TTTTTTTATATATATATTATTTATTAAGTTATTAAATAAAGAAAAATTTAATTTTTTGCTTTTTTACTAGTAAAAAGTGGTTCATCGGCTGAAATGGTTCATCGGCTGATCAGCCTCGGTATCCGCTCGGGCTTCTTATCTCGCACGCACGAGCATCGCATGAGCGGCACAGAGCTCGTCAAGCCACCCAGTTCTATGTCTCCCGGTCTCGACGCCTGCGAGGCTGGCACACAGTCGCTGCAGACATGGCCGCGTCTCTGCGTTGAGTGGCTGTTGTGCGACGCCGTGTTGTGGAGGCGTTCGACTAGCCTGACGGAACCCTTGACCCTTTCACCCACTTCGAGTAAAGACTTATCTTATCGCAGCTGGGCTACAGATATCGCGGTGTAACATAATCCTTCGCCGAGGGATCAGCAGTAGCCGGTGCCATCTGGGATAAAGAGGCGCCTTTGTCCGTCGCGCGCGGTTTTGTTAAATCTTCAACTTCGGTTGTTGAATAGGTCAATCAATTGAAGATGCCTCTCATTGAGCGACCACACTTCACGCTCAAGGTGGAGCAGACACAGTCGGCCTTTGCTGAAGGGAACGCGCGGTGGTGAGTGATGAACTGCACGAATAAGACAGACTGTAGTCGATTGTGCTGATGCTGGATAGGACGAACAGAGATCTCGATCCCGTCCCTCGACATGCGCGAAAGTGGGGTGTTACCAGCTTCGTCTCGTACTGGGTGTCTGATGCTTTCAAGTACGCCCTGTCGAGTTTTGAAGGGTACAAGATGGTGAAACTAACAATGCCAAAGCGCTGCGACATGGCAATTCGCATCGAGTATCATTGCAATTGGTATAGAGTTCACCAATTCCATGCCTCAAACCCCCACTAACGGCCATATAGGCCTCACATGGCGCGAGTCTCTCGGCATAGTCGCCCTAGCATTCTTCATCATCTCGTTCGTGATTGCAGCAAACGGCGCAATCGGTGTCATTCACCACGCTCCTTTCCCCGTGCTCGCGCGCGCCTCGTGGGGTTTCTGGGGCTCCTACATCGCCATCATCTCGCGCGCCATTCTCGCCATCTTCTGGTTCGCCATCCAGAACATGAACGGCGCAAATTCAGTCAAAGTCATGATTTCAGCCATATGGCCGTCCTTCCTCACGTTGCACAATGGCATCCCTGAATCCCAGGGTATCGAAACGAACACCATGGTCAGCTTCTTCCTGTTCTGGTTGATCAGTCTGCCGTTCTTATGCATGCATCCGAATAACCTGAGGTGGCTTTTCATGGCCAAGTCAGTCATTGTGCCAATTGCGTGGATTGCGATTCTCATCTGGGCCTTCCGCTCTACGGATGGTGGAGGGGTAATGTTCAATCAAAAGGCAAAACTTTCCGGAAGCGCATATTCATGGGCTTTCCTTTCGAGTTTGACTTCGGTCATTGGCAATTTCGCAACGCTTTCCGTCAACCAGGTACGTTCTTTTCCTACACCATCATCTTTTGTGCTGATCATGTTGGATAGGCTGATTTCTCCCGCTACTCCCGCGTCAGCGTCAAGTGGCAACTCATCTACGTCCCCTTCTTGCCCCTCGTATTCACTTTCATCGCCTTCATAGGCGTTGCAGCAACATCCGCCGGAGCCGTCAAATATGGCGAGCTCAACTGGGATCCCATGGCACTCATCTCCCATTGGGACAATCGAGCCTGTCGTTTCTTCGCCGCCTTTAGCTTCGCGCTTGCAGCACTCGGTGTGAATATCTCAGCCAACTCACTCTCGGCAGCAAATGACTTGACCGCACTCTTCCCACAATACGTTAATATCCGCCGAGGTCAGCTAATCTGCGCGGTTGTTGCTTGGGCGCTGGTCCCGTGGAAGATCCTCAAGAGCGCGGGCAGTTTCCTGAACTTCATGTCCGCGTATGCTGTTTTCCTCGGCCCAATCGCTTCCATCATGGTCTTTGACTTCTGGGTTATACACAAGGGCAGATATGACACGCTTGCTCTGTACCAGCCGCACGGAATCTACCGCTACACTGGGGGCTGCAACTGGCGCGCCATTGTGGCTTTTGTCATTGGCGTTGCGCCTAATCTACCGGGCTTCATTCAGTCGATCAACCCTTCCATTGATGCTGGAGTTGGCGCAAGACCATATAGCTTTGGGTGGCTGCTAGGCTTCACAGCCACCAGTGTCGTCTATGTGGTGCTTGAGATGTTTGTTGCTCCTCCTAGGGAGACATTTGTTGACAAGGCGGTTCTGCCGGATGAAGTATATGATCAGCATGGTTATGTGGATGAGGGTGTCAGTATTGGAAGCGGAGAGGAGAACAGGACGGAGAAATCTGGGTGGAAAGCTAGATTGGACCGCATCTTGTAGGCCAAGTGCGGGACATCGAGATGGACGAGTCAGAATGACTGAATCGAAGGGTAGAGACCTCCGCTTAAGTATACGTAACCGGAGAGCTACGTCGTTACTCTTGAAACTCTGATATATCTTCTCATGTGGTGTTGTAACTAATGCCCTGCATAATATCAGCGTTGTCGTCCGCAAAGCTGGCATGTGCCAAGGCTTCCTTTTGTGAACATGCATGATAGGTCACTGTAGGCCGCACACTCAATGTAACGATTCCTGACGTCTATCTTGGTCTTCGAAAATCTCTCGCCACGAAAGACCTTGGTGTGGGCGGTGTGAAATGTGATGACACCAGCGACTATCGGTCAAGGTGTCTCTTGGCAACATACTATACATTCTTATACATTGAGTCAGCGAGGACGCGTATACAGCATAACAACCAATGTGCGATGTGTACTCTCAATATGAAGTGATGTGGTCAGCATGAGATTCCCATCGGCACCTGCCAATCTATTCTCCCCGACTCGATCTACGTTCGGGCTTTCCCTATCCAGCGCCCGACAACAAGCCCAACCTCCCAACCCTCACATCAAACCACAGATCCTACGATCTCTAACGAAACAAGTGGGACCTTGAAGACGATCTCATGGTATATTGAGCATATTCAGAAGATATTCTGTTTCTGTGTAAGATGACGCAACATCCCAGAGCCGACATATGCAAGCGCGGTGCGCGCATCCTCCGCGTTTTCTCCCCACCTCATTCTCCGAAAAGCACTTGTCTCACGCCTGAACGGCCTCCACACACTCAGGCTCACTTGGCTCCCCTAGTCCCTACGCATACGCATGCACAGCTTTCCATTTCAATCCAATCAAAATCCCTCCTTGTCACGTTTTCTTTGTCTTAGTCTAACAACCCCGCCTGTCAACCCAGAATGATGCCGCAGGCAATGCAACACTGCTCACAGGGCTGAGCGGCCCTGCAGTAAGGCTTGATCCAATGACGTTCTTGTGCACCCAGATGGCTGAGACTGACACACGTCTTGAACGCGTAAGCGGGTCTGCTTGTCATCTCTGGGTTTGTACGCTTCTGTCAAAATGATAGACAGCTTGGGAGCCAAGGCGCTGATGAGCCTCTCGGTACCCCTCCGGACAAGGCTCTTTATGACGAAGTCGCAGCTGATGTGAAGGCGCCCAATGAGAAAGCAGGCCGCGTGTGTTGGTGCTGCGTGTATTTGAACGCTGTTACGTCGCGTAGGTTTGGGATTGCAATCCACTGTTTCTCAGAGACTATCGGCAAGGCTGAGATTCAATTCGACTCTGCTACACCCAATCTGTACTTATAGTTACTGTTTCAAACACAAGAGCAAAGAGCCGGAATTTACAAAGACGAGACATACCCAAGATGAAGTTAAGCTTCAGCACCATTGCAGTTCTCGCTGCACCCATCGTTGCGCAAAGCACTACTCCTGCGCCTACCACGACAACAACAGACGCCTGGGTCGGCCCACCATGGGCAACCACCGACATCGCTAAATGGTCCTCTGTCTACAACTCGCTCGTATCAGAAGGCAAAATTCCATCCACGTTGACGGCAGCACCATGGCCAACAGGGAGCTGGGGCCCCGGCTCAGGGCCATGGGGCGGGCACGGCGGTCCAGGAGGTCCAGGAGGTCCTGGTAGACACTGGGGAGGTACGTGCCAGCCACACCGCTCGTCATTCAGTCAAGACCCCTCTAACAACATTTATAGGACCCAACGGCCCTGGCCCCTGGGGCTCGTCAAACTGGGGACCCTGGAGCGACTGGTCTACAAAGTCGGACTGGCGCTCTGGCCCCTGGACCGCCTGGTGGGATGGCAGCGCGTGTCCGCCTTCAGAATGGCCTGGCTGGACTGCTGGGCCTTGGAGCACGAGTGCGCCATGGACGTCTTGGAGTGGCTGCTCGGCGAAAACGACGTCTACGAGTGTGGTCACGACGACGATTAGTGGGAGTGTCGTCACTACGACGGCGTTTGGACTGCAGGTTGCTGCTGCCCAAGGAACGCCTGTTGGCTCGAGTGCTGGAGGCGTGCCAATGGTTACTGCGGGGATGGGCATGGCAGTTGGGGCGGCGGTGCTAGGGCTTGCTGTTGGGTTGTGAGAGGTACTACGGTGAAGGGCGAAGAACGGAGTTTGGAGTTCATTGAACGCATTACATGGGTTGGGGGTTGGCTTACAAATCCACGGTACTGCATAGGGCTCTGTGATCTACTATGGGATAACGCTCGTTAATGAATATCATAATGTCTTTGGCAAGTTGCTTCATGATTACATTGGTATATCTATCGTGATGTTGCCGTCCGACATCTGCTACTTCACATCTGGCAACCGTACCGCGATGTCGCCTGATTGTGTGATGTACCGCACCCACGGCAGCGACGGATATTGCAACTAGTAACACGTTAACGATGATGCCACGGGCTATCTGAGTCTTGAATGCACTCACCTTTGGTTCAATGATCTTTAGGTACCGCACCTGAATACCAGATGTCGTGAAGTACGGGATCTCGAACTTGACGTTGATGGGCCGCTTCGCCTTTCCAGCTCCCACTCCACCCATGCTGCCACCAAATCCACCCATCATACCACCGCCCTTCTCGTCATCGCCACGTACAGAGGGCAGACCGAGCTCAGCGCGCATGAGGAACTCCTTGCCGCCACCAAACTGCTTGATCTTCCATACTATCGAAGAGGTTTCTGGGGCGTAGTGTACGCTACCAATGTTGGTTCGGAAGCGCGGGCTATCTGCGTCTTCTGGTACGGGGATGGAAATTTGGACGTTGTTGGCAGTGCTGCGTCGCTTAAACTGCGCTCTTGCCTATACAATGTTAGTTGGCCGCTTCGTTTGGGCCATGGCTTCAACATACCTTCAACATGTATTCTATCCTGCTGCCAGAGTGGCTCTCTACTATGCACTCGACCCAGATCAAAGGCTTCACTTGTGTGTTGAGTCGGTAGCTCATCAGCTCAAACTCACCATCGGGCGGAATGAAGCTGATGGTCCTGTCGTTCTCAAATCTTGATAACCGTACACATTGGTGGAACTTGACATCCTCCATCTCGACCGCCTTGCCCCGCGTCGCTCTTCCGGTAGTCTCGAACATGGCTTTGTCGTTCAGGCCTAACCGCAATTCTGGCATACCAGAGAGGTAGCACTTCATCTTGACCGCACCCAGAATCTCAGACCGCAGCACGCTGCCGGTAGCGGAGACGAGGAGGTTGAGCGATTCGACGACGTCGAGGAAGACTTCGTTCTTGCGGTAGCGGATGCCTTCGCTTCGCCAGCTGACGGCGTTTGTGACTGCGATGGGCGGCCGTGCTTGGACTTCGAGCTTGTGCGACTCCTGTGTGATGTACCTGCGGAAGGCATTTATTAGCCTGAGGCACACGCTGGCATTGATGTAGAGCATACTCTTGCAAGATCTTCGTCTCGGTTGTTTGCGGATAGCCAAAGTCCATCATCTCATCGAGCAGCTCGTAGATGACGACAAAGTTGTCTCGTATACTCTCCTCCTCCAGCTCCTTGAAGTACTCGGTGAAGACCTCGACGATCTTGTGCAGGAAAAGCAGAATCTCGGCGGCATTTGTGTTTCGCTTGGTGATGGCGAGGAGGTAGAGGTTGTTGTGGCGGATGTAAAGGTAGTTGATGCCTTCGTTGGAGAAGCATGGTGGGACGGCGGAGCTCTCTTCTTCGGCCTCGCTGAGTAGGATGGGGAACTTCTCGACAGCTGACATGGGAATGTCTCCGCGGTAGTTGCGCGCCAGAAGCGTCTATACGTAGCAATTAGCATGCAGAGCGCCTCATCGATGAGTACCCCACGAGCATATGCATACCTTGCCCTTCAGGTCGAGAAAGAACACCGCCGACGCCATGGTGAAGGAGGGAGAGTAACGGTAGGAAGAAACAAATTCGCTAAGATTGGCTATCGACTATTCATTATGCGCGGAGGAAAGGCAGTCGAGGGGGATTTGGCTGCTCTGGTCTTGTTGTAGCGGTGATGCCGTGGGCGCAACCCACAAATCTGGCCAAGAGTACCATCCGCGCTAACCCTTTCTAGCCGTGCCCGCCCGCACCTCTACTCGGAGAACCTTACTCTCCGCAGGCCACTTTCTCTTCCATCTCCTTGTATGTCGGATCTCTCCCTCTTGACCACTCCAAGTCAGCGCTCATGGTCAGTCGAAATGGGTCACCCTCCCCTGAAAAAGACACGTCCAACGGCTAGCTTCTTTGGGCCCAACAGTCAGAGCACCGCCTCAGTATGGAAGCCAGTGATGCAGTCAATGACTTTCGCATACTCCTAACATCTGATTCCTCTGTATCGCCTCTCTTCAACCGTCATGTCTTTGTGCAAACTCTGTAACAGTCTATCTATAGCGAGATTGTACCCACCAAACGTCTATCCTCATGCCGAAAACCTAGCTGCACTAGAGGCTTCCGCAAACGACTGTCGACTTTGCAAAATGATACACTGGTGTATAGAGCGGGGCGGTGAGCGCGAACACCACCCCCAATTGAACTTCGAAGGCGCCTCCGACGAGCCGCCATCTTATGGTGAGCACGAGGCGCGCGACAAGTGCGCTGTTAAGCTACAGATTATCCCAGGTCATTGGAATGCAATAAAACCTCAAAAGGGCTTCACGCATGTGGGCATCTGGCTCATATCAAAGTGGATGACGGCTGATTTGACCCTGTCTGTGGAAGAAGGTACCATGAACCTCCCCCCCCACCCATCGATGTGGAAGCAATTACTCACCAAGGATCTAGGCGATGAACTGGGAATGAAGACCGCTATAGCCGGCGAGCAGAACTCCTTCATATCTGGCCGTGTGTTGGTGAACGAGACTCCTCCACAGGCCCACTTCGACGTCGCCAAACGCTGGCTCGACCATTGCGAAGCCAATCACAGCGAATGCGCCGGTCATAATTCCAGGTTGGCAGAGCTACCATCGAGAGTGATATGTGTGGCTGAAGAAGGCCAGGATCCCCACTTGGTGAGTGGGAATGGTGAACGCGCGCGCTACGCTACCCTCAGTCATTGTTGGGGTCGGTCCACAGCAACAATCACGACAACGGAAAGCCTGCGAAAACGACAGGATAGCATACCCCTTGAAACAATTCCGAAGACATTCAAGGATGCTATTTTAGTTTGCCGCAAACTCGGGATGCCGTATCTATGGATAGATAGTCTTTGCATAATACAGGATGACAAAGACGATTGGGAGCGTGAATCTGGTCATATGGGCTCTATTTACTACGACAGTACCCTTACGATCGCTGCTACCGACTCACCAGACTCCTCAAGGGGGCTATTTATCCCAAGACGTCCGTACGAATACTGCTATTATGACATAGTAAGGCTGCCATCCTCCTTCGGAGACCATAAGGGCCAAGCTTATCTCACTGCATCCACCTGGGGCGTGTATGGCCCACCAGCTAGTAATGTCGAGAATGGCATTTTGCAAACCAGGGGCTGGGTAATGCAGGAGAAATATTTGGCACGAAGAACTCTGCACTTCTTGGCTGGGCAGATGGTTTGGATATGCTGTGAGAGGATCCTCGGGCAGAGCGGCTTCAATGAGTCTCTCAAGAACTCTTGGAGAAAGTCTCCCCGTATGCAAATGAAAGCTTTTGCCATGGGGTTTGAGCGGTCGTACAGATTCGCGGACCTTGGTGAAGACCGCAGTGACTATGATGAGTCCGATGGCGAGGACGAAAGCAACGCTGTGAAGGCTGAGGACCACAGCCCAGATGAGAAGGGCGTGGAAGAAGACTCTGAAATGACCTCGGAACCATCACACTTCGTTACGATATTAAGCTCTCCCGAGCACGGCCGTGCCTCCTATACCGTCGACCTACGTGACCCTCAATACCAAAACAATTCCCCGCTCACCATCATCACGCGTCAAATTGACAACGAACTCTACAACTTCCTCGATGCCGCAACACGCCAAACCATTTACCACGTATGGTACTCTGCAGTCGCAGCCTACAGCGAGCGACGACTGACCTTCGCGTCCGACAAATTACCCGCTTTAGCTGGTATAGCGTCCCGCGTTCAAGCAATCACACATGATCAGTATCTTGCGGGTCACTGGTGCAGGGAACTTGAACGCAGTCTGTTCTGGCAGACCAGTACGGAGCCTGATACGTGGACGCCTGCCCGAGTGAAGAAGTATAGAGCACCGTCCTGGAGCTGGGCAAGCATAGATGGGTCCACGTCGTTCGATTTTGCGGATCTGGCGCCGGGTGAGGACCGTCCGGCGTCGGTGGAGGTACTAGACGCCAGCACCAAAATTGAAGGCTCCAACCCCTTTGGCTGTATTACAAGCGGGAAGATAATCATTAGAGCTAGTGTTGTCAGGGCTACGTGGAACGCAGAGAATGATGGCTGGATGTTGAACGGTACATTCGCAGGCCCTGTTGAAACACAACACGGAGACCTTAAATTCTTAAGCCGCAATGGCCCCAGCGCGCAAATCGCGGGTACATGGCACTACGACGACGTTTTGAACGGCATCATGCCCGGTCCGCCGCTCACACCGTCTGACTCATGGGATTCAGTTATCCTACCACGGCGTGTGCCAAATGGCCACTTCATGTCCACGGCACATAAAAACAAACAAGTTCACGGCGAGGACTTGATGGAGACGCCCTTTTGGAAGAGGGGCACGTACGTGCCCGAGGAATTGGTGCTAGTCAAGGGCTCTGTGAGAAAAATTGAGGAATACTATTGTGAAGAGTGGGGTGAGACCAAAGTAGAGGTTTTAGTATTGGCTAAGGCTGGGAGAGAGGGAGGGGAGAGCACGTTTCGGAGGGTTGGGGTGGGTTTTTTTGGAAGTTGGGATGCGGAAGCTGAAAGTGTGGAAGTTTTGACCGTGGTGTGAGTAGGAGCGTTCTGGTTCTCACAGTTTCGAGCGCACTGTAAAATGATGAGATTGAGGTTCACGGATCGAATCGATATTAGTCCCGAAGAATGAGTAGGATATAACTCAAAGTTCCACGCTAGAGCAATGCTCGCTGAGTGTCCTTGGATCGTGTAGGTGTGCGTTCTATTTTACATTTATGTAGTTTAATATATGTCTCGACTGTATTATAGAGTTTTGATATATCACGAATAGTTATCACATAAAAAGTAAGCTACTCAAAAGCTGGCAAACCCCTCTACCAGTGATTTCCATTTTACATATCAGGTTGTAGCTCGTGTAATTCTGTATGAGAGGCCCGTACTAGCGCCCTCACAACATAAAAAGCATTGGCCATCGCTAAATTTGGAAATTACGCACACAAATAGTAACAAAGCAATGATGAATATGAAAAACAGTTTCAAATTATTATTATCGCCGGAATTCCTTCAAAGAGTACCCTGCGAGATCTGAGGACAACTGGCTATACAAGCGCGAGGAGAAGACTCTAGTTCCTCACATGAAGTAGTCATCACCACCCTCCGCATCGTCTTCGAACACTTTTACTAACAGAAGCTGATTCTTTTGCTCTTCTGTCAGTCTAGAACAGTTTTGCATATGTTCCACGATGCCTCGATTAACAAGTGCCTGTGGGATGAGCGACTGGTGCACACACCACCGAACGGGCCGACTGTACTGCTCGAAGCGATTAGCAAAGAATATAGAGGCTCTAGTAATCGCTGAGAATAGCAACGTTTTGTCTGGGTTGAAATCGAGGACTCGAAGGCGCGTGCACATATATGTCGCTGCTCGAAACCCGACGTTATCGCGCTCGGGTAAGTGTTCGAACGTTCCAATCGTATCTTCCAGGAGATTCATGCCAATTCGAACAAGTAACAGCCGCTCAGGGCCATTATAGGCAGTTCCCACGACGCGTGCATGGAGGATGTAATGCAGGCCGGAGAGGAGTAGAATCCAGCCTTCCATTTCGCGACCCAAGTCATCAAAATCCAACAGGAGAGAGATTTGTTGCACTAGACTGTGATGTAATGCTACGTGCATATGAGCGTATTCGAGATTTTCCTGTGTCCCTATGGATATGATGAGGGCGTTGAGGGTAGCCACGGTGATCAATAGGGCCTCGAAGGGGAATTGTGACCAATCTTTTGTTGACCACCCGGACCAAGGGGTACGATCTGTGTTAGACGCATTGGTCATGTTGCGGACTCGATCGTACAATCTAATTGCAGAAACCAATTGGCCTTGATCAGCGAAGTGATTGGCGAGTTTGATCCTGTGGGCGATATGTATGTAGATCTCATACATGGTCGGTTCTGCAACATTGCGTGGCAACGCAATGGAGGTTTCTATACGGCGTGCCTGTTGAGCGTCAAACGACCCAATAATCGACACCTCGTTCAAAGGACCGTGGAACATGTCGAAACAGTCCAACAAAGCTTGCATCCAGTGATGAGGATAGTTGGGATCGACGTGAACACGGATTTTGAGGCCGTTAAATCCCTTCATCGCATTGTATAGTCCCTGGTTATCCCCAATGAAGAAAGCTCTCGGCATGACGCGAACGCTATTTATCAATTCCGCCATTCGAATTTGCGCGAGAAAGGCCACGAAATGCTCCAACTTTATAAGTACAAGTTGTCGCTTCGGCTGTGAAGCAGGAGAAGGACGGATAATGCGTTCGCCGTTAAGACAAAGCTTAACACGTACCCGCATGATTCCTTCAGGAACTGCGTAGTTGGCCTCAGGATCGATGATAGTCATTGGTATCAAGATGCAGGCCCAGGGCAAGACTAAGTGCACATCGTCCATGTCAAATACGATCCACTTGTTCGCCAGATCAAGGTACGCTTTGGCCATGGCGTGGATCTGCTTATTCGTGCGAAGGATGGCAGTTTCCATGGTAAATCTGCGTTCAAGCGTAGAAAGCTCTGGAATGTCAGGGCGATGACGGAGGCGTGGTCCGGGATTGTCTGATGTACCCAGCAACTCTTCGAGCACTGCGTTCATGAGTTCAGGGGGGAGGTTTTCGAACTCTGTCGGATTGTTCATGTTGTGATTCGACATTATGGCGTGGTGAAGATTGGCTGTTGATGAAGGTGCGGTTGAGATGCGAATGTGTTTGATAATGTTTTGACTGAGAAGAGCTCCATGAATGACTTTTGTATGCGAGAGATAGTACGCATTGTTAGTGAAGTATGTCCGGTCGTTGGTGTAGTGAGGTAACTATGGACTGTTGGAGGTCTCGAGGCAACACTGTGAAAAGGCTCATCCAGTAATATCGGATACAGACTTTCACAGTGTTGGCGACTTGGTGGAAGGCGTGTTTCGCTAAACCCTTGGTGTGTCGTTAATCACATCCGACTCGGAAATAAAATCCCAGTAGAGGAGGCCAATAATTGGTTACTGTTCCCATAGTTCCATGTCGCATATTGGATGACTATGACTGCCAGATATAAGAAAATTAACCGGAGCATTCGATGCTCTTGAGAACCTCATAGAATAAGGACATGCACGCAGTCCAGATAGCTCTTGGCTGGCAACGACTGATGAAAAGTCGGCGAAGATTTGAAGGAACCCGATCGAAGTTTGGATAGATATCATGAGGAAATAAAATACTCTGGAATTTGTAAACAGGCATGCAAAGGTTGCATTGCATCCAGCTGTCTCTAAGATAAGATGGGCTTTATACAAGAATATATGGAAATACAGATTATCGTAGTCGCCGTGTAATTATATATAACGAGGTTTTGTAGCTTACTATACGAAGGCGTGTTAGAGGTATACGTCAACTCAAATATCCTTTGTCGACACAATGATCCTTTGTGTTGACACGTAAGTTATTATTCTAGCAAACACAAAGACCTTGTTTTTGGTTTCCAGCGAATGCCAATTGATTGCCATGGTTCAAGTTTCTCCGCGATAAAATGTGATGCACACAATGTCTTGAAGTGTGATTGCTCGTATTGAGTGGGGCGAACTCTGCACCTGCAAGTCGATATATTTCTTGGTGCACGTCTTCAGCCTATCGTCGCATTGCTCAGCTATGCCGGGTTCTTCGGTGCTGTGCGTCAAAGATGTATATTTTTTGTAGCTATCTCTTCCCCGCTCGATGGTACGGACTTGAGCTGGGCGTAAACGCGAGACTTGGTTGCAAAATATCCTTTTTAGAGTTTACCTTTGTCGCTGTACGACTGCAGGTCACAAGCAGTCGAGGGAGGAATCTAAGGGAGGGATTAGTGCGATCTCGTTAGAAGCTATGATCGCCAACCTAGCTGATGCGAGAAACTCGCCGATGGGTCCAACGAGATCCACAGATGACATGTCCCGTGCATTGCGAGTCACGACCTGTTGTTTTGAACCCCAGGTTTCGCCAGGATAGCCCGTGCAAGGGTCGCGTCCAATGTGCGGGGAAGCTTGTAATAGGGCCGACGCCTCTTTCATCATCCTCAAATCAACCAATTACGATGTCGTCGCATGCAACATTTCATCACCAAGGGCGGGACGCCTTGACGCCTCACAGGGGACGGAACTTACCATGTGGGTATATGTAGTACATCGGAACCTTTGTGGGCAAAATCACTTGAATGCGACCAACCCACCTCACCTTTCGTTGTTGCCCACATTTGAGAGAACCGAGTTCTCACCGCCACGATGTTCGGACCGTCAAAGCCGTATTTTGGCATGACGGGAAAATGGCTCACATTCTGGGTTACGGTTGCGTGTGCAACTGACATGGTGAGCCCGTTATGTACCGCCTAGAAATACACGCTCTAACAACGGTCCACAGACTCTGTTCGGATACGACCAAGGTGTCTTCGGTATGGTTTACACACCACTTAGCTATGATGCTTCGCTGATTCGATTTGCAGGTGGTGTCATCATCACTCCTAATTTCCTCGACCAGCTTGATCTTGTTGGTAAGACGTCGTTGATCAGCACCGTGACGGCTATCTACGACATTGGATGTTTCGTTGGTGCTCTTTCTGTTTGTGCAATTGGCGATCCGCTTGGGAGGAAGAAATGCGTGCTTTTGGGAACTACGATTATGAGCATTGGAGCGATCATCCAAACCGCCTCGTTCGGCGTACCAGAGATGATTGTGGGAAGGATTATTGCCGGTATAGGCAATGGCATCAATACGTCAACAGGTAAATATGTTATGTGTCTGCTCTCGCATCATGCACTGACAAGCGTAGCACCGGTTTGGCAAGGCGAGACATCGAAGGCAAGCTGGCGCGGCAAACTCATTGTCATTGAGATGATCATGAACATTGCTGGTTTCTCATTGTCTAATTGGGTCACATATGGATTCTCGTAGGCACAGAACTCTTCTAGTCGACTTCTACTAACAATCAACAGCTTTGTTGGAGGACCAGCTGCATGGCGCGTGCCTCTTGCTTTCCAATTTCTGTTCATCTTCATCTTATTCGGAACGGTACCGTGGCTTCCGGAAAGTCCGCGCTGGCTCATGGCAAGGGGACGCATCGAAGAGGCAGAAAAGATCCTTGCAGATCTGGAAGCTACCGATGTCTCCGATCCATTTATCATCACACAGTCAAAAGATATCCAGTGGGCAGTGCAGTACGAGAAGGACCACGCGGTGCGCTGGCGTGACTTGCTACGCGGTCGGACTGGCGACCAGGCAGGAACCCACACGATTAGAAGAATGCTTCTTGGAATGGGTACCCAAGCTATGCAGCAGCTTTGTAAGTTGAGGCTTGCTCTGATTACTTATGGATGCGCCACATCTAATGCGTTTCTAGCCGGCATCAACGTCACGTCATACTACCTACCAACTGTATTGATTGAATCCGTGGGTCTAACAAACAATCTCGCCCGTCTGCTCGCCGCATGCAACTCCGTGTCCTACCTTCTCTTCTCCTTGATCGGTATACCTAACGTGGAGCGCTGGGGACGCCGAAAGATGATGATGTACGCTGCAGCGGGGCAGTTCTTCTGCTATACGATCATCACAATATGTATTCGCTACAACGAACAAGATGCACTGCCGATCGAAACCCGGAGGAAGTGGGCAGAAGGGTCAATTGCGTTCTTCTTCCTGTACTATGTCTTCTTCGGCATCGGATGGCAGGGTGTGCCATGGGTATGTCTAAACAGTTGAAGTTAGAAGTAACGCTGACACGAGTAGCTTTATCCCACCGAAATCAACTCCATGGCGATGCGAACTAAAGGTGCTGCACTTGGAACTGCAACAAACTGGATCTTCAACTTCATGGGTGAGCTTGCTAGGCAATGTACCCCAAGCAACCCAGCGCTAAACGAATTCCAGTCGTCGAAATCACGCCTCCAGGCATTGAAAGCCTTAAATGGAAGTTTTACATCATATGGACGGTCTTCAATTTTGCTTTTGTCCCTATAGGTATACCACTCGTTAGCAAAGTACCCCGACGACCACGCTGACACCCATTTAGTGTACTTCTTATACCCAGAAACAGCTGGACGCACGCTAGAGGATATAGATCGCTTATACGTCGGAGAGACACCACTCCTGATCTTCAGAGACAAAGAAGCCATTGCCGAGAAGCGCCCGGAAAGATTCATCCAGCATGAGGCAGCCGAAGTCAGACGACACAGCAGCGTCGTTCCGGCGCATGTTAGAGCTGCAAACCAGGCTGTTCGAAAGAGCAACGATGAGAAGGAAGATGGTGGCGATTATCGCGAGAGCGTGTGAGTTGCACGGAGACAAACGTCAAATCGGCCATGATAGGAAAATATGCTTCTAATTAGACGCTGTACGATAACGAATATTACAACGGTATGATTTGTTGGATTTGATATTTGCTTCTAATTCAATATCGCCGTTTTACGATCTAGATCTCCATCCCTTACAGCCCGAACTGCGCTGCCCCCAACGTAGCATTAAGGTCCATCTTCAACAGATTACCCGCTAGAATCTCCTCTTTCCTCTTGACCAGATCCTCTACATCCCAATTCGACGTTACAAACCTGCCACTCAAGAACGCCCTGTCCAGCCCGTCCCACGCTGCAAGCCACACTCCGACACCACCGACTAGCTCCGGTGTATCGAGAGCAAATTTCTTGAACATATCCTTCATCATTTCAGTGTCAACCATGCCAGGATGCAAAGCCACAGCGACTACATTGGGGTTCTCGACTGCGACGTAGGTCATGAGTTCGAAGACGGCAAGCTTAGACATGCCGTAGGCACTGAAGGTCGGGAAGACTTCGTACGCGGCGCCGGTAGTAAGAGTCACGATTCTGGCGGGAGTCTCTGGGGAGGGGAGCTGCTTGAGGAAGGACTGGGTCATCAGGAAGGTTCCGCGGATATTGAGCGTCTGCACGACATGTTAGATACAGAACAGGAAACATAACTATTCAAGCAACGTAGGTATCATACCATTTCTTCCCACCATGCTACGTGATCGACATCCTTGATCGGCGCAATGGCTTTGAAGATCCCAGCGTTGTTGACGAGCACATCAGCGTGACCGTACTTCTCTTTTACTTTATCGAAAAGAGCTGCGACTGACGCCGGATCTGCAATGTCCGTGGACACGGAGAGTGTCTCAACATTTGGGTGAGACGTTGCAACCAGCTCAGCGACGTCTTTGAGCTTGTCGGCACTCCGCGCAACAAGTACGATGGCTTTAGCACCCGCAGCAGCGAAAGAGGGTACAAAAGCCTGAGCAAAATTAGCTGATGGTTCATTCTGGGTTCATAAGGGATTTACACGAGCTCCTATTCCTTGGCTTGCCCCGGTGATGATCACGACTCTGCCCTTCTGCGAGAGGGAAGCCTGCGTGGGATCAATAGCAGGGTATACATCGCGGTGTGTAGTTTGCACAAATTGCTGGGCTTTCACAAAGTGGTCCACTGGAAGGTCATTCATTGTGATGTTTTATATGAAGTGATCAGGGACAGAATTCATCCAAGTGTAGTAGTTGCTGGTAGAAAGGAGTACTGAAGGCTTTCCTTGCGTAATGGTCAAAGACACGGCAGCAAGAGTTTTCATTTTATATTGTAGTAAACTCCTTCACTCGAAAACTCTGCCATGAAGATGTCAGAGTGCAATTATTTGTTATCATGCTTATAAAGAATAGTGCATTAGAGACTGCATTAGAGACTGCATTAGAGACTGCTTACGTCACCCGCTTTGTGTATGAACTCAAATCAAAAAGATTTACCGTGGCGACAATGTGTCGCTCTGTTCTTGCCGTGCAGACGAATGGTTCATATATGTTAAATCTGAAGACCGCAGTTTCCGTAGTGTGGTAGTAGGTAGCTGTTTCGATACTGTTCATTGATGACTGTTCATTGATGGCACGAATTGTTGGTTGGAACCACACACCGCGCGGCATACCACTTCCGCTAGATTATTAAAACTACATGAGTTTGGGGCTACGAATCAAAGTCCCTCGCAACGACTAGTAGAACCTTGACCTTGTACTATCGCTAACACAAGGTGGTGTTAACGCATGTGCGAGCTGATGCAGATATATATTGTGCAGCTTGGTCAAGGCATATGACTCGTATACTCAGCCACAGTGCCTTGTCATGACTCGTTCACCCATAACTGCACAGAGGCTCAAGCTTTCCTTCTTCAAAGATTCTCATGGACTCTGTCTGCGCGCGTTCGAGGTTGAGTTCGTCTGCCTCTGTATAGCACTTGATGATGAATGTAGGTCTGCGTTCCTTTTGAGGCAGAGGGGCAGCATTATCGTCTATCCAATGAGCATGCGCTCGTTTCGGCTGACGCGCTCATCACGCTGACACGCTCCCAACACAATCCACGCCCATGCCCTTTGGACTGCGTGACCATAGCACGGAATGTCGTGATTGTAGGCTCACCAATGCGCTGATCAGACGAGGGTGCGGCCGTTAACAGCAGGTCCATGGGGCGCCACATCTGCCGCGCCCGGGCAAGTCGAGCGAGGCTCGCACGAGTGTGGTGTGATATCATGTTGGCGGCGCTCCTCTTTGGGCAGCAGATGAGCGTCTGGGCACTGGACGCGCTCTAACCCCCACAAAACTAAGTGTACAAAGTCTTTCCGACTCTGCTGGGCTGGCTGTTGAAACAACTCTCACAACTCTCTCTCGCGCAAGTGTTTGTAATCTACTACTGCGAACGTTGAATTGCAAAGAAAGCGCAATCGCCAAGAAGACCCAAAGTCCAAGCACCAAAATAGCACCAAGGCAACGGCAACGACTATCCCTACCCGCCGTAGTAACCCGAAGTCTAGCCCTACGACTAACTACGCTTGCATCATCTCGCATCTGCGCCCAAGCCTAGCCGCGGCCGCAGTGAGTACACCCTTGCTGAACTGAAGAGCACGCGGCGCCACGCAGGCAGCCGCGTTATCATATATGTTCCTACTGCTCCCTGCTGAACTGCGCTGATTTGAAGGTATCAAAGAAACAACTAAACATCTCCACGTGCCCTCACCCCACACGCAAAACAACTACCTGGCCCCACATCCGAAACTTTACAAACAAAAACACATCTACAACACCTTGATCTATCTTCTTCAAAGCAATCGAACCATCTCGCTCCTACACACAGCCCCCGCACATACCTTCAAGATGGCCCTCTCAACACACGCAATCAGCCAGATGCGCCGCTACTCATCACAACTACCACGAGACCCGCACTACCGCCTCAAGGCAACACTCGCAACCGGATATGTAGTCTCAGCTCTTGCCCTGCCGTTTGTACCGCCACTACTGGAGACGAGAAGGGCGAAGGCGGACGGATCCTACCTGACGAGGTAAGTCTACACCATTTTGAAGCCGTGACGCTGCTATTGGCTGGAAGAAAGCTCTTCCGGCTATAGTGGGTGTAACTTTTGAAGGAGATATACTAATATCCAGCAGGGAGAGTGCCTACTGCAATTCACATTATCTTGGCTTCGCGAAATAGACCCACTTTCTTGTACGTTCCTGTCCGCCGAGCCGTGTTGACTGTTTAGAGACTAACATCTGCTGCAGCTCTCTTCTACCTTTCGTCTTCCAACGCAGCATGTAGCATTGCATCACGCACCTGCATTGTAATCACCTCATACCCGGCAGTTCCTTTTGTGTTTGGCGTTTGGTTGCATATTGGCGTCTATGGGCTTGTCCACCTTGGAGATTTGGACATAGTAGTAGCATGTAACGGGCATAGCTCGCGTGCATTACCATGAAATGAAACTGTTCCCTTAATACAACGTGTACACTCGGCTATAATTGTGTTCGTCTTCACGAAATCGTGACCTTCGAGGACTAGCCAGAAGTAGTAATCTTGGAGCTTTGCAGAAGTTCATGCAGTTTCATGTTGGTGCGACGCCATTGGCCAAAGCGGGCCCCGCGTTGTTGGCGCCGCCCCTCATGGTTCCTTCCATGTTCCCTGCAGGCAACATGTGAAGCTCGACAACTTGAAAAGATAGCGTTTCTCCCTTACAACCACGCCAAACATTGTGCAGCCCTCTATATTAAGACGACAACCACGTGTATCTTAGGAGAATATTCCTAGGTATGTATAGTCCCTTATGTGAACACGCTCAACGCCTCGAGGGGCTTGTCACTGGCTCAACTACTGACCACCGAGCTCTAGAGGTAAAAACGAATCGCCCCATCATACTGCGAATGGCGTCTGGCCTCCTAGGTACCACAGGCCTACGCCTCCCCAACGAACTTGCCCTCCTAGTAATCGACCACCTCGCGGACGATAACAAAGAGCTATGCACGCTCGCTCGAACATGTCGCGGCATGCAGCACCTCGCCGAGGAGCGCATCTACAAGACCATTGAGCTTCTCTCTGTCAAAGACCTCCACGCAATTATCGAAGCCTTCACACGCCGTCATGATCGCGTTCGCGCCGTTCAAACACTCAAGATTCTGTACCAATATCGACCGGGAGATTTGAACGACAGCGAAGAAGCAAGGACAAGATTCAACGAGTGCGTGGCGCATATGATAAACCTCAGGGAATGGCATATCGAGAGTCCTTATGACAACTTCAACTGGGCCAAGGCGGGTGGGCACGAGTGGGTGGAGCGCGATATGATGCGGTTCCAGGGCGCCCTAGAGGCCGCATGCGTGGACGGCCCCAAGGAAGCAGAGCGCATGCTAGTAGAGCGGAGAATGGGCAAGAACATTGACCGGACTGTTGGCCTCGCTTTGCTAGAGACTTTGACTATCCACTCACACGGCGCCGCCGAAGACTTTTGGGCTCTCGATGGCTTCGACTGCCTTTTCCGACACCCGACCCTCCGAACTCTCCACATCTCGTGCGTTTCTTTGCCCGCCGAAGGACTACCTAGCCTTGTATCACATGTCAACAAAACGCCTCTCACGACTTTGATCTTCGACGAGTGCGAGCTAGAGCCTAAAAGCCTAAAAAGCATCCTACGCACGCCCGCAAGACTAAAGCATCTGACTCTCGGCGAGAATGTCTTCAACGTCAACCGATCTAGACGCCCTAATCCCAAACTATCAAAGAAGGCAGGCGCATCGTTTGAAGCCCTAGCAGCAGTTGCGCATTCGCTTGAAAGCCTCACCCATCTTGATCCTGGTTGGCGAACAGACTTTTCTCCACATGTTCTGCGTAGCATTCGCCCGCCTGGCGAAGGCATGCGGAATTTCCACTCCCTCAAATATCTGGAATGCGACACGAGTTCTTTCCTCCACCAGGGCGCCATCATGAATCGCGACCTTGCCCCACCCAACCTAGAAACACTCCGACTTCGCCGACACTGGGAGGTTGCGGTCGACTTTTGGGACCAACCGCCTGCAGCTGATCACTACGCGGCGCTGCCTTCTTTGAAAACCCTGGAACTGTTGCAGTCTTCGTTCATCTGGTTCGAGTTGTCACTCCCAGACTACATTTGCCAAGCAGACCGCATTCGAAATCGGCATGCGTGTGCGTACAAGCTGTCCAAGGCTGGCATCAACCTCAAAATGTCGATCGAGATGCATCGGGACCCCAAGCTGATACCGCCGTATCTGCATGGCGAACTTATTCCGATTGTTCACTGCATATACGACGCAAGTGTTGTTGGCTTTCATCGACACATCTCCGAGACGTGTAACGTCGCCAATGATGTCGCGGACTACCCGGGAATTGATCATTCACCCTCTGATATACACGTCTTCGCATCCCGTGAGCCCACTCCTCCAATCGAGTACAAAGGCATTGCTGAACTCAGTGCTGCCGCCGCACCTGATAAAGCTACCGCCATAGGGATAGCCACCGAAGATGCACCCGAGACAGATCAGCTTAGCGATGCAGACATCCATCGACTAACAGGTGAAACTCGCCGTGCTCTCCAACAACTAAAGCTCAAGTTCATTCGCCAACGACGCTCAGGTAGAGCTTCGTCAGTTTTGTCCTTCATTGACGACGACGACGATGACGACGACGATTCTGACGGCCTCGACGATGAAGAAGACTTTGAAGTAGATGATCTTGATGAGGACGCAGACATGGATCTAGAGCTCGAACTGGATGAGGATGGCTTCGAAGACGAAGATGGGATTCAAATTTACGAACATAATGGGCAACTGTACATTGAGGTGTATGAACCGGAAACGGATGATGAGGACGAGGAGGACGAGGCCATGGAGGGTGTACAGAGTACTAATGATGATTTGGATTGATCTGGTTGGATTAGCTTGGGTGACACAACCCTGGCGTTTTATGAGTAGGACGTCGATGAATACTGCATTGGGATGCGGTGGGTATTTAGTGGGGAGACTCTCAGCATAGCTAGTGTTAAGATTCGCCATATATGGGTGCTTGAAGGAGAGTCCTGTTCTCACTGCCGCCGTACATACGAGGTAGACAGTTTCGCTATTCACACTTGATCTCATTCTCTGAAATCTTTAGTCGGCTTCAACTGTCTGAGAATTAACACTTTCTGAGCATATATCCATGCTGAATCTTTTAACATACTCTTTCAATTCTTCAAAACCTGTAGTAATTACCGTTCTAGTTTCTTTTTTTTAACTTCATATCACAATGTGCGCTTTTTCGCCGTCGCATTCGCACGCGTCTCTCATCTTCACTTTCACTTGAGCAACATGCAAATTTACCTGCGACATGAATCTACAAAGAAGGCCTAGCTCCAAATAGGTTACTATTGTGAGAGGTGCAAGCGTTTGTCTACTGCCTGCATGTAACAACCCACCACTCTCGGACTGTTTGACCACCATGCAACCTCCAACAAGCCCGAGGGACTGTGACTCGCCGAGTGCGAAGAACAGAAAACGCGTCGCAGAACCTCTCTCGCCGCCCGCGCCTGCCAACGATAACGAGACACCGCGCATCCTCCGCCGTCATCAGCATCGCCATCGCAACGTTGCCGCCGCCATATGGGGCCCCGACATCGCCTCACCCAGGACACCTGCCGCTACCTCTCCTGCTCTGAAGCAGCCCTTCAACATCTACAAAGCGCTCCTCCGACATCCGAACCTCTTCTTCCAATTCGCACTTCGCCTACCATACCCCGCGATCATTGACCTCTACGCCATCGATAAGGAGTTTCATTACCGCCTCAACAAGTATAGCGTCAGCCTCATCCACGACTATGCAAGATACCACGCCCCACTCGCCGGCTACATCTTCAGCTGGATACTTTACCCTAACCTATGCATCTCTGATCCAATGCTTCGGCCCATGGATGGGCGTGAGTGGCTTGCGAGAGACGTACCCGGCTTCCGATGGATTGGCATGGTGCTCTGGCGCGAGCGAGTCGTGAAGTCGATATTAACGAGGCTGGCAATCGAGGGCCACAGGGTGCCAGAGGGTACGATAGGCGCATTGATGAAGTTTTGGTGCTTGATGGAGATGAATACGACTGCACTGCGACAGGCATTTCTTCAAGATGGCGACATCTGGACAAATGCGGATATCATCAACTTGCAGCTCTTCCTCGTCAAGCTGGATATGCGCTTCGCCAACCCGATACTGGGCAACGGCATCTGCGAACTGAGTCACATGTTGCTCACCCAGAAATCGCTCAGCACACTGTGGAAGATACTGTGTGGGAAGTTGGAGTTCGACTACGACGAGACTACCGAAATGGTCGTGCGCACCTACCTCACCGAGGATCTAGACATCGACGATCAGCCCTGGCTCGATGACGAGGTCGACACTGGCGTTCCCGAAGAAGAGTGGGGGATCTTGTGCCGCGAAGGATGGCAGATGAATGGCCGACGCATGGAGCCTGCTGTTGATATGGTCATCTCTGAGGGTATCAGAAGGGGCCTTAATGTGCATCAGCATTATTTGGATTTCGTCCTTTACGGATATGTGGATCCATGCACGGGGAGGAATCTGCCGGCACCGAGACATCTGAGGAGAAACAACGGTGTGGTGATGCCGAGAGAAGGGTGGCCGGGGAAGCTGTTGAGTGATAGAATGGTTGAGAAGTTGGACGACGAATTTGGAGTGCGTAGGCTTAGGAATGAAGATGAGATGGATACAAGCAGCTAATCATTAGGCTGCAGAAAGAGAAATAAGCCATATTCATTTCTAAAGTACTTTAGACTGAATTGAGAAAAGTTTGAGAATTTCGTGAGAGAGGGTGAGAAGAAGAATTCTTTTTGCCCATTTTCGGGCATGGTACACGCGTTATGATGGAGTGCAGAACCGTTCATTGTCGTAATAGAGAGCTTAAATCTTTACATCCCCTTTGTCTCCATCTATAACGCTACTAATAGGCCTTCTGTCCTTTAGCGCACGTGTTTTGTTAAGTAATCATTTGCTAGATGTATACTGATCTGCTGACGTGGCCGCGCAGACCGGTCAGCCGGGTTTAGACATCACAGTGTAAGTGTGGGGAAAGTTGCCCCGCTATAATACACAATCGCGGACGACACAGCCGCATAAAACTCCAATTCATCAACTACACTCGTTCTCTTTCATATAGCCAGGGTTCGACCTCTTTCGGATAGTTGAAATGCTCTGCGCCACTTGTGTATCGATGTTCCAAGGACCCCCCCAAGAAGGAACCCATCATGATAGTTTCCATAATCTTGTAAAAGCAGCGGAGTTGGGCTGCAAAATCTGTATTTTCTTACAACGCCTTCGTGAAAGCGGCAGCCCAGATGAAGTTGGAGAGGAGAGTCGACCATTTACCACCTTCATCTTTCAATGTCGCGATGGAAGATGTTTGATACTGTTTCGTTCTACAGCATTATGGATACAGAGCCAGAAGGATGCAATTATCGACTACCACGTCTCAAAACCTGGACCAACACCCCATTGGTGGCCAGAGTTTCTTGACAAAATGAATCAAGATCTCAGAACCGAACCTTGGAATGTCAGGGAGGATAGTTTCCCTACAAAACCTATCCCGAAAAATACTGGGGACATAGAAGTGGCGAAAATCAGTTCAGCATGGTTGGATGCGTGTCGACACCATCACGTAACTTGTGAAGCCATCGATGAGGCACGCCAATCAGACTACTATCCAAACAGGCTCCTTGATATTGGCAACCTTGAGTCTCATATCCTTCGTCTGATTCACACCAAAGAGGAATTACCGGCTAAAGGCAATCGATATGCCACATTGAGTCATTGCTGGGGCGACGATGTCTCGTTCATTAGACTGACCGATGAAAATATGGCTTCACTGAACAACGAAATAAGGCCACAGTGTCCCCCCAAGAGCTTTACGGACGCGGTGATTACTTGTCGGCGCCTCCGTATTAGATATCTTTGGATTGACAGCTTATGTATCCAACAGTCTGGACTGGGGTCGGAAGTGGACTGGCAAATTCATGTCGCGATGATGCATACTATCTACGCCAATGGCGTGCTGAATTTGGCTATAGCTCATGCTTCAAGCCCAGACCAAGGCGCCTTTGTTGATAGAGACTCATCATTTATCAAGACAGCGTTTGTCTATGCCCCTGTCAAGATGAATCTTCGAAACCCAGATGTCCGCATAAACGTCGGCTACGTGGGTGAGACACAAGAGGAGATATTGTTGATTAATAATGGCAAGGGCAACGCAGGTCTTCAAGAGGAAAGTTGCATTTTTGACGAGGGACAATGTTGCCTCGTGACAATATCTGTTGGGCGGTATGATTCTTCAACCAGCCTTTTCAGACAACCACTTTTTAAACGCGGCTGGGTGTTCCAAGAGCGTCTGATGACACCTCGAATGCTCATATTTGGGGATGATCGAGTTTATTGGGAGTGCCATGAACGAACTCTCAACGAATACCTACCCACAGGCTTGCCAGATTCAGCGAAAATCTTCGATGTTTATAAGGAGTATACATTCTCTCTACCAAGTGTCGTCCTCCGTTCCGAGCCACCAGATATCTTGTCAAAGGACGAGCTATCTACCCTCCACGTCCATTGGTACACTCTAATGGGTTACTACTCAAGGACCGAGTTGACTTACCCGGAGAAAGACAAATTGGCTGCAGTAGCAGCTATTGCAAGGCGATTTGGTTGCGTGATTCCTGGCAGGTACTGCGCTGGTTTGTTTGAATCTGATATTCCTATTGGGTTATTATGGTATCAAATAATTGCCGGTAGACATGGACGCGGGAACAATCCCAATTGGACATTCGGGATCTTGTTAGATCAGGACCGAAGCCCTAGATATCGTGCACCCACGTGGAGTTGGGCTAGCGTGGATGGCAGTACGATCTTCAACTCAGCTAGATACGCACACAAGCGCGGGCGTATCCATTATCGCACTCTGGCCAATGTTGAAAGCATAGCAATCGAACTTAAAGAACCTCGGAACCCCTTTGGTCAGGTGCTCTCCGCCGAGCTTGTGATCCGCGGTACAATTATACAACTGCCTGCGGTTGAGCTAGATTGCCTTATCAACAGCGATTGCTCGGGCGATTCTCAGGGGAATGGCTCGTACCAAAATCTGTTGGGGCTTTGTATCATGGACGCGGAGCAGCAAGGCGATGTGCATCTCTATTCTATAGACGGTATAATCCTATCGCACGTTGGCTTGGACACGTACAAGCGTATAGGGAAGTTCAAAGGGGACGGATATCCAAATAGCGGCCCCTTTCCGATTGAAGATCATGAAAGGAGAACGATAACAATAGTTTAGGGGATAAGGTGTGTTCAGGGAAAGCAAAAATTGTCTGGGAATTGCAAGAGTTGTTACTTAAGATCTTATCGTTATGGGTGTAAGTGAACATTGGACAGGCTACTATACACTAAAGATCGAAACGATTGAATCGTGGCTTGATTCTAATAGATCGTGGAGTTAAGGGAAATTACCCTGTCCCAGAATACCCAAAAGCCATAGAGTTGCAAGCAAGCACAGCCGGCACATACGTCCTGCACCATGTTGTCGTGCACTAGTCCACCAGAAGATAGCTAAAATCAAATCACTAGGTAAGACCAAGGTCCACCTCTCTACCGCCGACCGAACTGATCCCCAAATGAAGAACGGCCAGTACGACGACTAGAAGACGAAGACTGATCACCCTTCATGCCGCGCGGATCGCCCCGAGATGAACGAGAACGCATATTGCGATCGAAAGAAGGAAGCGGGCCCATATCTTGCACGTCACCGAAGCCGTCAAAAAAGCCATCGGTATCATCTATGTTGCCACGGGAGCCACTATCTGGATGTCGTCGAGGCAGCTTCTCATACTCAGACGCATATGCCGTCTTGGTACGACCAGTGCGATTGAACTCGTCTACGAAGCGATGCTCTGCTGCACTGCCATCATGACCATCGAAATCCTGGTATGTGTCCTTAGAGCGCGAAGTACCATTCCCGCCGCGAGATGAAAAGGCGTCTTGCGTAGCGTGCCGAGCGCCATAGTTCTGTTCTGCGCCAGTACCAAAGTCGGTGTAGCGCTGGGATCCAGATGTGTAATGCTGTCCTTGAGAACGAGACGACTCATACGCACGAGAAGCCCCATTGTAAGAGCTAGGGTGAGATGTAGGACCGACCGTGGCATAGCGAGGGGAAGAACGGGTAGAAGTACCGCGGCGGGAGTAAGGGTCAGAGGTACCTGCGTAGCTATTGAAACCACTACGTTCATAGCCAGATCGATCATCGTCGAAGAATTCGTCATTTGGATCGACATAGGACTGACGGCCGGATGTTCTACCGCTGCGGAGATTGTTACGACGGTCCATTGTAGAGCGCGAGTTATGGATTGTGATTTTCTGCTGATCTACTTTTTTTTTAGAGTGGGTTGAGATATTTGTGTTTCGTGGTGCTTGCTTATGCGTTGTGGTGATGAGAGTGGGTGATTGGGGAATATTTGAAAGAGACTTTATCCATTCAGGTGTCGCGGGAATCGAGGCCAAGACCTTGCATTGTGCGATCATAGTGAATTTTCGCGGCTTTGAACTTGAAAGACGGAAGCTGATTTGATCAAGGCAAGAGTTCTTAGAGATGAATTGAAACACTATTTAGAAACGACATTGTAAAGATAAGAAATCGGGTGTTCTTGAATTGTTGCTGGACACTTTGCCACGCTTAAAGGTCCGTCCACGCATAGCTCTGGTATGTTGCGTAATATCGATACTTCCGTTCCAGTTCAACACCGGCAGCTTGTAGACTAGGCCAGATGCTGTGATCTCTAGACGCATCGACAAAGTCTTTCTTCCACTGCGGTAGCAAGGAAGATGCTGGGCTCAATTTAGTATCGTTTTGACCAGTTCCCTCTTCGCCATCGTTGAATTCTTCATCTTGCCATTGGTGATCACGCACATTGCCCAGGCGCTGATCCCAATCAAAGTGACCATCGCATAGGTCATGCTTGAACTTCGTATATTGTCCCCGTCCTGCCCAAAGCTTGATGACCTTGAGGTTCGGGTAGGCCCAGATGTTAGCAAGTAAATGTTTTAGCCACCGATCAACGGCACCTGTCGTTTCGATGATACCAATTTCCTCGATGGAGGAGGGCAACTTGCAGACGAAGAACTCTTCATCAACCGAGAAGAATGCTTCCTGAGCAGCGACAATCTTACGTAACTTGGTAAAGTTAGTCAAGGACTGAATTGGCCTAAGTTGCTGAGCCCATCGAATAGTGCCTTGGATACGGAAACCATCGTCGTTATACATCGGAACCGTGCTTTTGGAGATTTCAGAAGTGTCGATCTTAAGAGTTTTGATGTTATGACAGGTGAGTTTCGCTACAAGACAATCGTAGCTTCCACACCAAACATTGCGAGCCCAGTTATAGGAATCTCTCAGGATCGGTTCGATTAAAAGGTCAAGACAACTGAGATTGGGTAGCTGATCAGGAAGTTGTTGCATGTAACGGTAGATGTTATCATCTACTTCATCGTCCATGTCCTGGCCCATATCTTCTTCCACTGGTAGTACAATTTTGTTGAGACAGTCTACATCCAACAGAACCCTCATACGATTCAACGGCGGGACAGCGCCATTAGTTTTGGATGACTGTAGTATCTGTATAGTCCTGGGCACGAGATCGAACTGCCGATCTTGCAGTCCAAACTCCAAGAGGGTGAGTTTCGGGAGAGTGACGAGTTGTATTGGAAGGAGGCAGTTTGCGGATAACGAATTAACGTTCGCTAATCCTGGAATCCAGGAAATGGAGAAATTGTTGGCGCCGCTGATATTGCCGAACATCTGCTGGAATGTGATGTGTCCAGGTTCCAACTGATATCCGCTTTCAAATTCCCTGCGCCTTTTCCACCTATCCATGGCCAGGGTCTGAAGATTAGGAGTACATGCGAGTACAACTCCAAGAATGGCAAGCTGCTCCCCCTTACGGATATCTTGCATCCACATAGCATCATTGAACTCTAGCCCAGTAGAGAAGCTTGTCATCTCGAGGAAGTCTGCGCAAAGCTCCGTGATATTGTCCCAATCGCAGTCATAGAAGTCATAACCCATTTCTTCCTTGAACTGCCAGCAGATGCGCTTGTGTCCGATCGTTCTTGTTGTGATCGAGATATTCAGCGTTTTCACTGTGTGCGCGAGGTCGGGCCGCTCCAGTAGAGTACGAGCAAAACAGCCCAGACGGCTCCAGCCGCGTAGTTCGTGATGTTCCTCATCTTGGAAATCCAATATGTCAATAACTGCATGCTGGTGCAGTACCTTCTGAGCAGACAATCGTAGTGATTGGCATGTCCTAGAGAGGTTATCCAAAGCCTTGTAAGCCCGAGAGTTGCTGCGAAGTTCATCCGCAATCATATCTACAAGTTCCCTAGGTATATTCTGGAGTTGGGCCATGTTGTAAATTTTAGTGTTGAGGTAGTTCTGAACAAGGCGCGAAGGGAATATAACCGGCACACTTGATATTAGGTCAGGCATTCTACGATATAGGTGAAGAACCAAACCTCGTGATTGCTATAGCAACAATATGACTTATAGAGCTTGAACGAAGTTTCAATGGCACAATTACCGCTAAACGGCATTGAAGTTCGGCATTTTAAGAAGTCGAGCTGCTAATTAGGTGTGTGTGGAGAAGCGCTGGAGTATGTAGGAGAATGTTACAGGAAAGGGATTTTGTTTGTTTAAATAGTGATAATAAAATGGATGAGGGCATCGAGTCACGTACTATCACATGTGAGTCATTTCATTCCTGACCTGTTTTACATGATAACGTGTTCTAGTCGTGACGTTTTGGTGCATGACTCAAATCGCAGAAGAAAGGGGCAGGATGACTTTGGTGTCACTGTAGCATATATTACTCATTAGAAATAAACTTCGTGCGTTGATTCAATAGTCAAAGCAACGGCATGCGTAAAGGTCGAGTGCTAGATTTCTTTTGCAATCCAAATTTTTTGATTACTTTATCCCATTTTACGGCTTTTCCAACAGCTGAGATGCATTAGTGCAATCCTCGGTCCCGGGTTCGTCTGACAGGTCCCATCCAGGATTAATGGCCAGAGCATACGTAGCAACAATGATCTTCCTCACAGTCGTCACAGCGACATGGACAGATGCAGTCCCATATGGCTCCATAACAACAATCACTGATCGACATCTGAACGAGGGCTGGTATGCGTTCCGGCGGGAATGCAGCCGAAAATGCAGCAGGTAGATAATAACGTCAATGATCTTTTTGCGATATATGATGATATGATTTGTAGACGCAAATTCAGGTGATGAGAGTTATAGTGTACTCCTAAAAATGTGGGGGACTTAATATTATAAGTACCCCTATGATAACGGTGTGATAGTTAGCTGTTTGCATGTGGATAGCATGGCGGACGCTGGGGTTTGCGGTAAATTGACGACTACGAACGGTTCAGTCTCGACACCAAACGTTATGCTTACTACTTTACGTGCGAATGTGATTCCGCACCTTTCGTTTGGCCAGACGTATAAAGTCCACTCGCTGGCTGACCACGGCGGCCCTCTAGCAGCTCAGCTGATCATCATCTTTTGGTACGGTCAATCGCCATTCATCTGTTCGTACGTGTACACCCAAGACTGCATCACAATTTCTTTTGCTCGGTTCGAATAATGTGTACTCGGTCTATTTCTGACAAACTTCACATATATTCAGGCTACAATCACTCGGGTCTATGCTTGCAGTATCGTGAAATATATTAGAACATCGTTCCCGTTGTCCGACGAGATAAATAACTTGCAGATGGGCGAAATGCCATCGGGCCGTACACGCGGAGCGTATAGTGACGGGAAAATTCTCATGACACAAGTGTGAATAGAAGTTTTCGCCGTACCTATCGGGTCATAAGCGTCGATCATCTTCTGAATGCCAAATTCAACCTAGCTTTAAGCCACGGTGTTGCATATTTATATCTCGATATAAAGTAGCTACTAGTGAGTAAGAGTGGCCTGACACGTCAACTATTGTCCATTGAAATGTTGCTATGTGGTGTTAAATTGCTGTCTAATTAACAGCCCCGCAAATTATAGTAAGCGGGGTGCGTGAGCACGCTAGCTGATGCCCACAAATGATAACACCAAGCTACCAAGTACAGGCTCCACGAGGATATAAATGACCCAAGCCCCTTCTTCAGAAAGCTTACCGATTGAATCCACCTACCTACGTCCAGAACGCTACTTATCATTCGCCTACCCGTTGGCCATACGCTAACCCCGCATCGATCTCCTGACGCCACTAGTCTTAGGTCCATATACGGAAACAACGTAAACTTGGCAAAGTCGCGGCCTCCACACCCCTATCACAGGCCAAGAAACAAACTTAGACGAGGCAAATATCTGTAGAATTTGGTTGTGTGAAGATGGGACGACTTGGCTGCAGTTTTGGGCCAACTATCATCTTCCACGACGGATGGAGAGCCCAATGGCCGTCGAGAGTTATGTCTGATGACCTAGCATTCAATATCAGATGAGCTCTTGGGTACACTCTCTGAAAATATAGCAAATTGTGGTGGATACACTGCCTAGCATGAGAGAGTGTGTGCATACAGAAAGATCTTTCTATAAAAGGTCAATCAGTCTCCCATGCGTCACTGTAACGCCTTCTACCTCCAACGAGTTCCAATAAATCGACTTTATCATCATGATTTCCGCGTCCAGCATCACGGCCATCCTGGCCTTCTGCGCATCTAGCGCCTCAGCCTGGGTTATCGGCAAGGAGCAAACCGAAACGCACCCCAAGATGACCTGGCAGCGCTGCACAGGCAAGGGCGGTAATAGCTGTACGAATGTCAATGGTGAGATTGTCATTGACGCCAACTGGCGCTGGCTTCACGTTACTAGCGGGTACACCAATTGTTTCGACGGCAACGAGTGGAACAAGACTGCGTGTCCGAACAATGACGCTTGCGCCAAGAACTGCGCTATCGAAGGTTCAGATTATAGGGGCTCGTATGGTATTACTACGTCTGGGAACTCTCTTACCCTCAAGTTCGTCACGAAAGCCCAGTCCTCGACCAACATCGGATCCCGCACGTACCTCATGAAGGATGCGAACAGCTATGAGATGTTCAAGCTCATTGGAAACGAGTTTACGTTCGATGTCGATCTCTCGCAGTTACCTTGTGGCCTTAACGGAGCCCTGTACTTTGTTTCCATGCCTGAAAAGGGACATGGAACACCGGGTGCCAAATACGGAACTGGTCAGTTTGACTCGTGCTTGCGTAGTAGATTAGCGCTGACGTCTGATGCAGGATATTGCGATGCGCAGTGCGCTCGTGACTTGAAATACATCGACGGCAAAGCCAACGCTGAGGGGTGGCAAGCTTCATCATCCGACCCGAATGCTGGCGTTGGAAAGAGGGGCGCTTGCTGGTAAACACCCATTATGAATCCGACAAGTTGCCATACTAATGCAACACAGCGCTGAGATGGACGTTTGGGAGGCAAACTCCATATCCACCGCCCTGACTCCCCACTCTTGCCAACCCGAGGGCTACTCCGTCTGCGAAGATGACAAGTGCGGCGGCACCTACTCCCTCGATCGCTACGCAGGATCTTGCGATGCTAATGGTTGCGACTTCAATCCCTACCGCGTCGGAGTGAAGGACTTCTATGGCAAGGGCAAGACAGTCGACACTTCCAAGAAGATGACAGTCATTACCCAGTTCCTAGGCTCTGGCAACCAGCTCACTGAACTCAAACGATTCTATGTTCAAGACGGCAAAGTCATAAGCAACCCCGAGCCCACGATCCCGGGTATGACCGGCAACTCAATCACCCAGGAGTGGTGTAACACCCAGAAGAACGTTTTCCAAGAGGAAATCTACCCCTTCAACGAGTTCGGCGGTATGGCGTCCATGGGTAAGGGTATGGAGCTCGGCATGGTGCTCGTAATGTCGCTCTGGGATGACCATTATGCCAACATGTTGTGGCTTGATAGCAACTACCCCACTGCAGCTGACCCAGCCAAGCCGGGCGTTGCGCGTGGTGAGTGCGATATTACGAGCGGTGTCCCGGCTGATGTCGAGTCCGCCAACCCGAATGCTCAAGTTGTGTTCTCGAACATCAAGTTTGGTCCTATCGGATCAACCTTCCAGCAGCCCGCATGAGCTTTCCAAAGGGATGCTCGGGGTGGCGGTCGTTGGAGGACTGTTGATGGGCGCGCATCAGCGATGTCGGAAGAAGTGGACGAGAAGATGCGTGTATATAAATTGATGTGCTCCCATGTCATTCGCTCGCTATTGTATTAAATAAGACCCCCAGATGTGTTATAGTTTAATGGTAACACATTGCATCTACCCCATCCCCTCGGGAACTTCGAGTGTATAGCTCCCAGTCTTGGTAGTAGTAGGTGTGACCATTGTGGATGTATTATGGACAATGAGATTTGCGCAAGTGCAAACAGGTAGTTTTACGCATGAGACCGTAGATCCCGATGCAAGGATCGAGCCAGCGCTACGCTTGACATAGCCAGTGTAGGTAATCTCGATACGCTTCCAACTACGAATTTTAGGTAGAGAAGATTCAAAAAGCGCTTACGCCTTAGTGTGATCTATCGCCGGTTCGGTAGAGGTACTTCGAGTATAGAGACGTTTGTGATTACAATGGATCCTAGGGCAGTTGTATAGACAAGCGGCTCTGCCAGTTCAAATGCATTCCGGGTCGTCCAGACATCGCCAAAGTCTCCCTTTATCCCCGCCTTCCGCGAACTGTTCCTCGAACCACTCAATCCTGTCTCTTCCATACCACCGCCCATTGGCGACGGCACTTTCCCATATTCGGAAGTCTTCGATCGCTTTTGTAGCATGTGCTGGTAGATTATGCTCCCAAGCAACCATCTTCCACATCCTGTCTTCATCGCGGGCAATATCTCGCTCTAGCTTCGCGATTGCTACCTTCACGTGATGTTGGAGTGTATCCGATGGGAGGAGAGTGGCATTGGTTTTCGTGCAGTGTTCAAGCGCTTCAGACTTGGATTGAGAGTAGGCGAGGTATAGCCAATACTTTTCGAGCTTCAGTTGGGTGATGCAGTTATGGAGGCGGTCGGTATCTGGCGGTACCCAGTCTGGGAGGTTTTCGACCTGTTTCTGGCATTTAGTGGGTATATTCTTATCGTGCTTCGCTTTCTCATATTCCTTCTCTAAGGCTCTGAACTCATACAAGATGATGTCTTCATCTTTATAGCAAACATGGCCCGGACACAGCCGCTGTACTTCTTGTTTGGCTTCTTCCAGATCAGCTTCATCCCGCTCAAGGTCCCACTTTTTTTGCTGCACACGCCATTTGGACAACCATTTCTCGTCCTCGTCCAATGCTTTCGCTACTTGATCTTCAAGCTGTGCTAGTCGGGCCTTAGTGTGCACAATCTGTCCAGGATCCATAGGGCTATGATCAGACTGAACGGTACCCTGTAGCTCTTCGATGCGCTTGAAGGCATCTTCGGCGTCGCCTCGTCGCGAGGGCGCATTCCTTGCTCGAATAAAGTCTACATTGAACTGGTCGGAATTGAAAGACTGTGGCCAACCATTCTTATGTAAGAGATTGATGATGGCACCAGAATCGACACCCCAGCCGGTTTCTCGATGTGAGGTTTCCCACGGTGACCATGCAGCGGTTTGGTATGCTACTTTCAGCCTATCTAATAGGATTGAAGCATCGAACCATTCCGCCCACTGGTAATCGTTTCTGGCCCATATTGACTTGTCCGCCTCAATGCCCGCACCGAAGATGCTGATGCCGCTAACATCATCATCGTTTAATTCGAGGTCCGTGGTTTGCGCAATCCACTTTTCGCCTTCGTAGACCTTTATTGCATGCCGTATTGTATCGTACATCAGTACCCACGTGCGGTCACCATTCCAACCGCCAGTACCCCAATTCGTCAGAGCGAGAGTATGCGGTGTCATGTAGTCCCAGTACTCACTCGCGCGAAGAGGATCGCAACCTTCTTCGAGGTGATCCTGCCTTCGGTAATCCATGAAGTGCCCGCCAAACAGCCAGTCCGGCTCCTGGATTTGGGAGCTGTCGACGTACGGCAGGATCTCCATGAGGCGAAGAACAGTTGGATCGCGTTTGCATCTGATGGCAGTCATATTAATTTCATGCGGCCCGCGCTTGATGGATGTGTGCGGGATGAAAGTCATGTTCGCTAGCGTCGTGTAGATGCCATCTAGCAACGTAGCAATGTCTTGCAGCTGGACTTCATTGTATGGATGAGATGAGCCTTGGGTGACCAGGATGTTGTAGATATGAGGAATGCATAGAAGGGCAATGAACGGTATGCTGAAGACAACAAACGGATGTTGGTACCATGTACGCGACGGGTCCACGACTGAGGTTTGCACTTTCCTGCGACTAATTCTTGGTGGCGAGGTCATTATGACCTAGCCACTGCGATAAAACTTATAGAAATAGGCTCTGAAATAGCGGCGGACGGTTAAGAAGGGACTTGGAGCAGAAAAATCCGAGAGAGCGGCTGCTCGAACAATCACATGTCGACTAGGATGATTCAGCGTGAATGTTGTGTCGTAATGCTGACTGACGAGGGAGTTGTACGTGCTCAATAAGTCGAGAGCCCGTTTTCGCAAGTGGCGACACCCATTAACAGCATTTTCGACCTCACTATGGATATTCCAAAATTGTGTGTCGATGCGAGAGGAGAACGCGGTTGATCGCGCGGTCACATGGGCAGCCAATAGTTTTCTTGCTGAATCATCGCGCGGTGGAACGTCTGACCCCGCGACAGCGAAATTTACACCCGCGACGTAATGGTATCAGCAGTTCGATAGCACACTACGAAGTCCTTTTCTGAAGGCAACTTGGCTACGAGATGTCTATCGAGGCTTCAGTGACTAAGCTAGACCAATTACCCCAGGAAATGCTGGAATTCACGCTGCTCAAAACTACGGGCGCACTGGCACCGCGACTCGGCCGCCTGTCGCTCGCTGGACGGAAAAGCATCTTGACACCGGGCTTCATTGGCAACACGTCAAGAGGCGTCCTTCCTCACGTATCGCAAGACACTTTCAGGAAGAGCCTCAACGTCAATGGCGTGTACGTCGCGCTCGAAGACTGTATGTTCCATTGCATCACCTCTGAGCCTTTCACGCAACTAACCAATTACAGTTGTAGAGAAGCACCCACAGAAGACACCGCCAATCTTCAGCTATGATGTGCCGGAGCCACTCCGCAAATTCATCACCCTTCCGCAAGACACTCTCCTCATATTAGGCGCGCGACGCAACCCGCCGATTCACAGTCCCGTCCCCAACACGAATACTGAAGTGGGCCTTCTGACGTCCGTGGGTTTCAGGTCTATAAGCTCGGAATACTATGCCGCTGCTGTGCGCAAACTGCAACCGGATATCGTGGTGGGGTTGGCCGACATACCCTTTGGCCAGGAGTCGGTAGGCATAAAGAGGAAAGACAAGATGAGCGACAGGACAGAAAACTGGCTGCGAGACATCATCGCGAAGAAGAGCACTTTGGACGAGGAAGAGAAAGGTTGGAGTATTTTCGCGCCCATACTGCCAATCGACCGAGACTTGCAGTCGTGGTACCTCGAGCACTTGCTCGAAGACATGGTGGACAAGATCAGCGGCATCGCTATCTATGATACCTATCTTCTGGACGACCTTCCAGATCAGCTACACCATCTTCCTCGGCTATCATTCCATGCGCCTGCTAGCCCACATGAGCTTCTGCGCCAGATTGGCTTGGGCATGGATATATTCATAGTGCCTTTCCTAGCTGATGCCACCGACGCCGGCATTGTTCTTGACTTCACATTCCCTGCGCCAAGCAAGGACGAGGCCTCGAGTACACGGAAATCTCTAGGAATTGACATGTGGAGCGAAGCTCACGCTATCTCTGTCACCCCACTCTCGGAAGGCTGCACTTGTTATGCCTGCACAAAGCACCACCGCGCCTATCTCCAGCACCTCCTCGCTGCCAAAGAGATGCTTGGTTGGGTGCTGATCCAGATACACAATCATGCCATTCTCGAGGCTTTCTTTACCGGCATCCGCGCCTCGATTGACGCCGGCACCTTCGCCGCCGACGTTGCTTCTTTCGAAGCGTACTATGAGCCTGCATTGCCTGAGAAGACTGGACAAGGGCCACGAGTTAGGGGCTATCAGTTCAAAAGCGAAGAACACAGTAAGAAAGAGAAGAAGAACCCGAGGCCGTTTAGAAAGTTTGGTGAACAAGAGATAGCCACGCTGAGAGCAGCACACGGTCAGCAGTCTAACATGAAGCCGCAGATGAGGGATGTCATTGACGATGAGGCGCTACTTGGGCTCGTGGACATGGAATATTCGGACACTAATGCAGATGTAGCCGCCCCGATCGAGAATTTGAAACTCGAGGACGATGCGAAAGCTTGAGTGTTGGTATTTGAAAAACTAGGCATGAGCGCCAAATCAGCCTACTTCCAACAGCCAGTAACTGTACCCGCTACACTCTTGTTACCGACGCTTCCACCCACGCTATTAACACCAGATTTGACACATGAGCTCCTATCCTCAAGCGTCCACCCTGTATAATCCCCGACTACCCGCACACGTCGTCCAAAATGTCAAATGCCGGAACGGTTCATAAATCAGGCCCTTCTTAACCTTAACATCCCAGTTATGGATGGTTACGATGTACCACATTGTTACAGTTCGCTCAGTATCATAGTCAAAGCCCCAAAGGATTACGCCTCTTTCGCCATTCGAGCGCATGTAGTCTTGAATGTATTGCCCCTGCGTGAAGAGGGAGCAGTGCCATTGTTGTACCAGTTGGAGAGGAAGATGAAGTCCCGGTAGAGATCGGATGCAAGCTTGAGGGTTGGATTGGGTTCTACTCTATGATGGGATCGAAGTTTTCGGTATCGCAATCGCTGATGGTCAAGGCAGTGTCGCGTTGGCCAAATTTCACGTGTTTACGTCAACATATCTCATGCGGATAACATTTTTGGAGACGAAATTCAAGGCCTACGTGAGGGTGTAGTGGCATTAGTCCGTCTGAAGATGGTACGCGAAGAAATGTCGGCTATAGAGCATAGGTGTACTTTGAGTATGGGCAGGGCTAAGGCCGGATGGCGAAGCGCCGCAAAGGAAACAAGGAGGAGATGGACCATCATCTTAGGAAGTGCGGCTATCGACATCCACCTTTGACAAACCATGGGAAACGGTAGCCTTTTTATGTTTAGCAACACGCGACCACACAGATGTGTAAATACGAGGTTATAACCAATAAACTCCACGGGTCACGCATCCAATCACGCGCAAACTCATTTGATACGCTGAACCTTCACATCTGCTTTGGCTAAACTACTTATTCGGCACTTGACACCCACAATACGCGCTTTCCCGCTGTCTCGTTACCAATCACTCTTCCCTCCTCGCTTTATCAATAACCTGGTTGGTCTTACTGCTGCTGATGTTTTCACACTCAAGGCAGAACGCGTGCTCGCACCCGGGTCTTCTACACATTGAGGCACAGGAGCTGAATGCCGCGGTGGGTGCGCCAGGGCAGATGGGTCGATTGAAGTTTCTGCATATGTGGCAGCGCCAAATTGGCGGTGCGTGCGCGCTGGTCATGATGTAGGATTGCGGGACTTTAGTTCAAGCTTTGCTAGAGCTAAGTTTTTTAGGAAGTATGCGATAAGAGATGGTGAAAATATCAGAAAGATATGAGACTTCCAGGGAATATGTTAGCGGGAAGTGTATGTGTGAGGTTCACATGTGGACATGATAAAGAAGGCGTGCGTAGAGTTACAAAAATGTTGGACTTGAATATGTTCTACTATCGCGAAATGGTTCTTTGATGAACTCTCTAGTGCATGTAAAAAACCGTTTATTGGTGCTATTTCACGAGAATTCAATACTATCTTGCTGGTCATTCAGTAAGTCAAGGTACCGTCATTCACGAGCGGACAAACAACACATAGGGCATATCCGCAACTTTAACAGTACGGTCCTGGATCTGCAGTCTTTCTCGTCATATTATACTTCTTGCATGCGTGCACTGCCACCTGTCTTTGTTGTTTGGCGGTGTGTTATATTTGAAATGTGAATTGGACAAGAGGATCGGTTGAGCGAGTAACATATTAAGAACTGAGGAGAAGTGTACAAGGATGCATTGAGCTATGTTCAGTCTACTATAATACTCCTGGAAGGTACTTGATAAGTTGACTATGCACTGTCTACTTCTAAGCGGGGTTTCAATTGAACAGGTTGCTCTTGGAAGGGACTGAAGCTGTGAGTACAAGACAAATCATACGGTGGTTAAGTTAATTGGGTCCTACAAAAGCTAAGCTGAAGTCCTCATACATTGAATAAACACCGGAGTCTACTTTAACACCGGTCTATGCATAATAATGAAGACAATAATGACAATACGATAAGATTGCGGAGATTATAGAAAATATGAAGCCGCAAAGCTGTTATTTATGATGATGAATTAATTATCGATGTTCTCGCAGCGATAACACCAGAAGTGAAGACAGTTTGAGCACTGAGCTGGGTGACTAGACTCAATGTTGTCGCGCCCACATTTGTGGCAGTTCCAAGAGCGAGCCTTAGACAATAATGGCTGAGTAGTGATAGCACTCGGGTTACCTTTTAAGCACATTGCTGAGTGGATTTGGGTTTCTGTATTCGTTAGATTTTAGGTGTAAGACTCAAAGTAGATTTCTGTGTGGGGCTGATGACAGTTTTAATGATAGGTGGGTGAATGTGAGACTGAATAGGAAGAAATGGGAATTTTTTATGTACGCTGCAAGACCTTTGTTCGTTTTTGAGTTCACAGTGTCGCGCGAATTGATGCTAGTGATCTTGAGTGCTGATATCTGTAAATAGCCATAACATGTTCTCTTTGTGACATTGTGCAATGTTTGTCAACATTATGAGCTCGCTCTGGGACTGCCCTTGAGCAGTGGAGAGGAAAACAAACCGCTAAAACTTCACTACTATTACTAAACTAAATACCGGCATGAGGGTTCCGCATAGAGATCGGACACCCGAAGCGCGCTGCCAAACCCTGTCGCAGATGCTTTCAGGCGCCAGGTGAACGAGAAGTAGCGCAGTCAAGCGCGTGCTTGGAGTATTCCATGTGACTTTTGAGCTCGACGCGCGGGTCGTTGCAGCGTACAAGCCCAATGTCAACACTGCTAGCAATGGCAGTTACTCACTTAGCTGACACCAACAAGCTTCTTCTTCAATGCACCGGACAAGCCAGCTACATTAACGAAAAAGTACAGAACACGACTCAGGTCGTGATGCTCGCCCCACACACGCGATGCACGATGGCTCACTCCGGATTATCACAACCTTCTCAGGTGGTGATCAGTCTTGCTAGGCCTCTCTTCTGTTTACAGTTCCCTAAAATAGCCAAACGCAAAAGAAGAGTGAAATACTTACCAGGACAGCTACAACAGAACACGACCGAAGTCGAGATGGATCGCCCCACCCCGCGATCCATGATGACTCCCGCCGAGCGTGCAAACCGTGGTGCAATGGTCTGTGGAGTCTCTCTTCTGTGTGCTGAGCACTAGAAAGTATCCAGTGAGGGGCCTACAGGTTAGTGATGTAAAGAGGAGGTGGAGGCAACCGCTGGAGAAAAGTGGACGAGGTGGGTGGGAGGAGGGGGTTTATATAGAGGGAGGAGCTGCCTCGCTTACCGGCAGAAGCGCGGGCCTCCAAGGGTTCCGGATATCTGCCGAAGGCAACAGGTAGTCGTGGAAACTGTTGGAAGGAGAGTGCACGGTGGTGAAAGAGAGAAAGTTGCTTTCACCGACGATGTTTGGGGGGTGAAGTGAGGTCTACGCTGCAACAGCTAGCTCGCAGGGTTGCGGGTGTATTGACCAATGAGCTGTTGAAGGCAGATGCAGAGGCGCAGCTCGTGAGGTGAATGTTACGGTCACGTGGAAGGGTTTGCGCGCTAGATAACACTCAATTATGTATGCGCAATGATAACAGATAGATGCATTAGATTAGTCTATCGTAAGACTTTTAATCTTACTAATCTTTTGATAATCGCAATGCGATCGTGGCATGCTCCCCCACAAGAGTGAAAACAACTATGCGCGCGCCGGTTTTGCTTCTGAAGCTTTAGGCTTCCCGTTCTGTTAGTGACGTCAATGCAACCATTTTCATCATGATAGCAACATAGCGGAACGGTGGGTGGTGTAAGGGCTGAACACCAGGATCTAATGTCATGGGTTTCGGTTATATTCTAGGTGATGATTTTGATGTGGCGCCATGTGAGCACCACGATTGAGTCTAATGGAAGGTAACGTTGGGGTAGATCAAAAGGTTACGCAAGACAAAATATCGCGACAGATGCGAGCAAAGTAGCCATGAAGAACAGTATAATTTTCTAGAGCTCCAGAGGTTTAATGAGAAACTGTCACTATATTGTTGTAAAGGAGTTCACACAGCAGTTTCAATATAACTGGGTGCTATGCTTAATAACCCAAACTTTTTGCTCTGTCCTCCCCAAGTATATCTACCAAGCTCACCAACTTGAAGCTCGCCTCCTTGGCTGTTCCTCCCTCAGCCAATTCATTAGCATCGTCATGCGTAACAAATAGACCTCTCGGAAAGTCTTTGTTCAGCGCGTTGCCCACGGCTACAAGACCGTCTGTATTGCTTACATGATCAATTCCATCCTTGTCATTGTTTACGACTGTGAACGTTGTAACGTATTTATGCGGCGGCGCACGCTCATACACAAAATAAGAGCTGATGCCCTGCGAAGAGACGATGATGTAACCGCCAGGACCTGATTTTGCGGGAACAAGGGTAATACCTTCGACGTCTGCATGAAGACCGCTTGCGTCACCGACTCTGGCGATTTGGACACCGGTATTGGAGCCGGTAGGTTCAGCTTCGTAGCGCCAGATACCTGAAGGCTCTGAATTGAAAGTCTGAAGTTAGTGTATTTCGCACACAGCTCGTATACGCAATGCTTACCTTCGCCGAGAAACAGGAAGCCTGCTTCTTCATCGGATACGCAGCCCTCGACTTGACCGCCTGAGCCGCCTTGAAACTCGCGGACGAGGGTTGTTTGTAGAGTGCCATTCGTAGTAGCGGTGAGCTCGTACTGGAGATACTTCGCCTCCTTATTATTGACGAAAAGGTACTCCTTGCCAGTCTTTTTTGATCGGTAGTTGCATGAGCCATAGGTTTTGTATCCTTTGGGGAGGGACTGAGCCCCTCCAGAGATGGGCTTGAGGAGGCCGGTGCTGTTCACCTCGACAAGGCTAGCTCTATTAGTACCGCGACTATTAAACGATCAGGGCAAGCCAAGTGCTTACCACAGGGTGTTGTCTCCACGACAAGCGGCGTACGCCAAATCAATCTTGCGATTACCTGCGGTGAAGTTGTAAATAATGTCGACATTGTTAGGCTCCTCTGCTGCCAGGTGTTGTAGCAATTTTCCCTTGAGATCAAAGACGCCAAAACCTTCACCATCTGCTGACTTCGTAGTCGTGATGATTCTGCTCTGGTCAGGTCTGGTAGCATGGATCCAAATGGCTGGGTCGTCCCCATCGCCACCGTTTGCCTCAGTTTCATACTTGGCCTTGACCGCGACGAATGAGCAGTCGGGTCCTGTCCATCCATCCTTGCATTTGCAAACGTTGGGGCCGGCGCACTTCCCATGGCCGGAGCAGGCGTTCTCGCAGGTCGTCTTGGAGCAGTCTTGGCCGGAAAAGCCAACAAAGCATGAGCAGCTATCAGAACCCGCAGTGAAGCCGTTGTTAGAGCACTTGTCGGATATTTTATCTTCGCAGCGCTTGCATAGTTTATCTTTCGGGTTATACTTCGTGTTCGCTTTGACATCGAGGGATTTCAGCACGCCCTCCAAAGAGCCGATCGCAACGCCGTTTTGATCTTTTCCTTCGAACGCAACACTGATAACTCCCGAAGGATATCCCTCGACTGGGTTCTGGAGCATGGAGAGACCGCCTTTGACTTCAAGTTCGGGTACGCCACTTAGGACAATGCTTCCTTTTGACTTGAGATTTTGGTCGTATACGCTAATGGTATCCTTGTGCGCAACGAAGAGATAATCATTAGATTTACCGTAGTAGGTAGCAAGACCGGTAATTTTGATTTTCTCGATCGCAGTCTTCACCTCGGGAGCCTTTGTAGTTTCAGAAGCCTGGAACGAGTAGAGTGGCCGGTTCTTGCCCGAGAAGAAGACCTGTCCGTTTGACAACACAGAGCAGGACTCGCCCTCGACGGGAATGGGGAATGTTTGAATCTGAGATCTTATCAGTATATAACATTGTTATGTCCGGGATACATACTTCGAGAATCTCTACATCTTTCTTCTGATCTCTGACTAGAAGCTGCACGACCATCTGCTTTCCGAACAAGAAGAGGTAGCTTTCTCCACTCTTTCCACTTTTCCAAACGCAAGCTGTGCTCCAATCACCCAGCTGTTTCTTGTCATTGCTATTGACTTTCTTTCCACTCTGGGCATCAAAAACCCTGAAAAGCGAATCTGGGGCAGGGATGTTGATGATTACATCCCGGCCGCCAACATCGTATACGGGGACAGCAATCTTGGAACGACCGGTTTTCTTATGTGCCGACTGCTTGAACGGAGTCGATTTTGAGACATCAAAAGTGCGTAGACCTCCATCTGCTGCACCTGCGTCGTTTGTGACTAAGACTGGTGAGCTACCATAGAGAAATGCAGCGTTATCAGCTTTGAAGCCTATAGCGGCTGGAACGAGCGTGACGTTGACTTCTTGGGCCGCCGCAAAGGAAAGAACGACGGATGCCCATGTGAGGCATTTAATGAACGACTTCATCGCAAAGGTCGACGCGGAGAAGAGATGCAAGATGGCCGGACCCTGTGGGCCACGAGGCTGTCCTCAACTTATATCGCGATCCATATCCAAGCGATGGGCTGACTCTAGAGCCCCTATGGTCCCATGCCCATGCGCCCTATAATTGCTATAGCCCATTGGTTTGGGCACGTTGAGAAACGTCCGTGAAAAGTACAACGGAGACAACGTCGCTAAGCGTTCGGTACCTGCCGATCTTAGTTAGACCTCGGTGCCGACTAACCAATCAAACGGCGTACAGACGCAACGTGAGACATCCGACATGGTTTTTGCATTGATCGGCTACAATTTGATCCCGAATGGTCAGAAATAAATGAGCCTGCTAGTCAGCTGTTCGTAAAGGTGACTGTCCAAACAGGGGGGATACATAGAGCGATACCGGCACCTGCACCTTGGGAAAAACAATGGAAAAAAAACGTAACGACTACGCTACAGGATTTCTAAACATTCCAAGTAACTAACCTTGAAATACCCATTAATTTCCTTCTACTTATAGAAGCTATATAACTCAGCTTAAGAATAACCGACTATTATTTCCGCAGGTAATGTCAATATTTTCAGTCAACTAGGCTTATACGCTAGTCTGACGAAAGCAGAGAAACGAAAGACGTGAAGATCGCGTATTACTCTCGTTATGCTACTGCTGTTCTGTAGAGGTATAGTCTAGAGTGCAGAGATGTTGAAGATTATGTAGAATCTTTCGAGGTAAACTAGTCAACCAACCGTCGACAGCGAGGGCAATAAAGAACCCGACCTTGTCGAAAATGATAAAAGGAAAGATCGATCGTCTATGGTGTTTATTACTTATCGAATCAGTTTATTGGAAGTCTCCAGCCCATTTCCTGATCTTGTTGAGATTGCCATTGGGTCGCGCGTTTCCCTTGAGGTTCTGACGATTGAGATCTGTTATGGCTAGATGGGTGGTCACGCCGCACTTTCGCAACGACACCTAAAGAATGTAATCACAATGCTCCCCGCACTTGAAGTACCGTCATAGAACCAGCGTAGGCGCCTTTGAAATATTCTCTTGAATACATATTACAATCCATCAGCTAGCCTGTTCAGCACCACATGTAGTCCTTTCGTCTCCAAGACCCCCCCTGTTGCAGCTCCGAGATCGTCAACCAAAGTCCTTGCACGGCAAATATGTGTCAATATGAGGTCTCTCGTATGCTTCAGACTGCCGGTGCTCTCTATGTAGTCTAGCGCTACCTTCTTCACCCCATCACTGGTACTCTTGAGCTTCAGTATTTGGAAGAGGTGTGGATTCGCCTTATTGGACTGGATGCTATGTATGACGGGGTACGAAAACTTCCCTTCGGTGAGATCCTCGCAGGATCCCTTTTGATCGCGATATTCGCTAGATACCAGGTTCTGATAGTCATCGCGGATCTGGAACAAGAGGCCGAGGTTTTCCACGAGGGGAATGCAGCCTTCGAGGACCGGCCTAGTAGACTCGGCTTGCATGAGCCGAATGGCAAGGCGAAAGAGGCCACCAGTTTTCTTGCTGGCCATGTCGAAGTACTCCGCTTCTGTGGGGCACCGGAGCATGTCGCGCCAGTAGAGATCCATGCCCTGACCGAGATGCAGTTGTAGGAGTTCTTCGGTGAAGATGTTTAGAACTTGGGGATTTCTAAAACTTTGGAGCTCTTTCAGTGCCGCAAAATACATGTAGTTGGCACTGTTAATCGTTTGTGGTGTTCCATAAATCGTGTGTGCAGCTGGATTGCCTCGACGAAGTGGGGAGTCATCTTGTATATCGTCGATCAGTAGTGAGGCCGTGTGAAGGATACCGATAGCTGTCGTGATGTGATCAAGGGTTGATGATGGTACTGCAAACCAAGCATTAAAGGCTGTGATGAGTTTTTCTCTTATACCCTTGCTTGGCGATGCGGCTACATAGTCGAAAGGCATTCTGACGATGGTCTCGTAGTGGCTAATTTGATGTTTGAAGGGCTCTGTGACTGGTGCTGTACCGTTTAGATATGTCTTTGTCGGCAGCGTGTAAGTCGTGCCATTCTCTTGTGGGCCATCGGGAGCTTGATTGCGTCTTGGAGGTTTCGAGGTCGGCTTGGCCAATTGAACCGCAAAGGCTTCATTAGGCCGATGAAGCACCTGTTGTGGTGCGGGCTCCCATAACGAAGGCATTCGGAAAGTGTCGCGGGTTTCTGAAGCGACACTCATGAAGTCCGGTTACTGGAGTGAGACTTCGAATTCTTTAAATACGGCCCGTATTTAATTATTTGAGTACAGGAACCCGTCGTGATATCTATCCTAGGGTAGCACGGGGTACTCCGATTCGCGTTATATTGTTGTATGCGATGTTTGGGACGTAAAGAGGCCGGGCTTGACTTGGATCCGACATCCAAATTCAGTGAGTAGATTCAGGAGAACGTGAACAATCTCTCTATCAACCTTCAAACAAGGTCATTGTTCTTGCTTCGGAGCTAAGTCCTGCGAATGCGTCATATGCTTCCCAGCTCCTCCACCAGTTCTAGCTAAAAGACTTTAATTACCAGTTTGGGTTATGTCCAGACTACTGAAGCGAGAACCCCAAACCATTCAGTGTATGAATTTGGGTGCACTCTAACGTCTCACTTAGGGTGCTAGTCGGAGTTACTACTTCGGGAAAGCCCATAATTTTGGCAAGCTAAGTTTCGGGGCGAACGCACAGTCGTTGTGAGCATTGTGAACAAGATGTACGCATTTACTAAAGGAAATTCGTTGGAGTTGATGGTTCTTAACACACTAATACTTACTTTGCTATTCCTTCGCCTAGGATATTCGCAAGCAAGAATATGGCTACCACAATCACAACCACAGGCGAAACTGTCGCGGTGCTAAAAGGCTCCAAGATTACCTCACCCCCATTGACTTCTCTTTTCGCTTGCAACAAGCACGAGAAATTTCGCGAATGTGTCGCGTACGCAAATTCCAGCTATGCCGAGTCGCTCGAGCCGGTTGCCATCATTGAAAGCAGCACACCACACAGCCAACTCCCAATGTTAGGCTCTTGCACAGCGGTATTATACCCTCGAGGGGACTTTGACCGTCTTCCAGTAACGATTGATGGCTACATGGCTTTCCTGTTTTTGGACGATCTCATCGACAACTCGACAGACATGACATACATCTCGAACATCGTCGACAAGTTCATGGCTACTGCTAGAGGGATACCAACCGAGGACGCAAGATTCTTTTTGCTAGCTAGGTTCATGACGGATAAGCGCTGGGACCCAACGAACCTGGCTGAGACCATAGCTGAAGCTCAACGTTTCATGAATGGTGCATTGGCTCTGCGAGCGATCGAAATCGAAGAACGTATCATCACTGTCGAAGACTACTTCCAGATTCGAGTTCCCAATACGGCAATGGGGTTCATGTTCCGCGTTATCGGTTTTGCGCAGCCACAGTTGACGACAGATTTCAACCGGTTGATGGCCGAAAAGCCTGACTTGTGGGACCGAGTGGAACAGCCATCAGGAAAGTCTGTTGGGATTGCACTGGATCTCTACAAACTCAATGGATCGCATGCAGAGATCTGCGAGTACACCAACGTTGTTAAGATCTTGCAACGTGATTCACCTATTCCTATCGACCTTAGCGACGCTATCCAATTTATGGTGGACGAGTTCTACAGATACGAGAAAGAGATGGCTGATGCGGTGGATGAGCTCTCAAACTTCAGCCCAGGCCTTGCTCAAGCAGTTCGGGATGTGCAGGGTGGTACTCTTAAATGGATGACCGGTGAGCGTGGTGGACGATACTCAAAGGTCTGATGGTATGCGGCGATTCCAGATTCTTAGTGCAGCAAGGCGGCATATGTATTGGTGGACATGGTCATCCCTTGCAAACAGTGTCGAATATAGATAATTGAGACTTTCCATATGCACGTGTCACTATGACCCATGTGCGTTCCGGCAAGCTCGATTGCAATCATGTCCTGCCCAGAGCTCCCCGTTACCACTTGACACCGCAGAGTGAAGAGAAAGTTGCAAAGCTCGGAGAGCTCTATGCAAAACGTAAAAGCGGTGTTGTAACACAATCAGTGAGATAGATCAATCATGTCCCAAGGTGGCTACTCTGATCGCGTTCCATACCTAGGGATCATCCTTTAGATGGAGCCTACACTCCCTAAGGGAGTGTGACTGCCTAGCGCGTGAGTAGTTTTGCTCTTGGAAAATAGTCTAATGAACGCTGGGCAGTTGTTCTTGTTTGCAGTGTCTATACTCTGTAGACAGCTGCACAATATCAACGTGAGATCGCCTCTGGTAACTACTTGATAGAATCCCGCTCTTGTCGTTAGCGGATCTTTCGACTCAGTCTTAGGGTTTCTCGGTTCCTTACTATCCTTGCCTTGGTCGCTTTAGCCATTCTTACTCTTTCGTGCACCGAAGCACGGTGCTAAACTCCGCCGCAATATGAGGAGAATCAGAAAAGGCTGCTAGCAAGTCTCATTCGGCCCCTGCATGTGTAAGCGACGATGATGCTACCAAATTAGCGCGAAATGGTGTTATAGCGGTATGCCAAGGGTAAGCCGCATTCGCTAGCGACTCTATTGTCCCTCGTCCGATAGCACATCTCGGAGTTACGCTAAAGGGAAACAGTGGCCGAAAAAACTTCAATCCCATTATCGGACGAAAATTGTGCATTTTTTTCGTGCATAGTACTCAAAGCAGCCAGCACGAGTAGTGCGGACTTACCTATTCGAGGAAATAGAACATGCACCCATTAAACCGAAATCCAAACTTAGTCTCGCAATATTCTGGTCTTACGTTTGGGAAAATCGTCTAATTAGAGCATGAGAAATTGATTAGCACAATCAACCGGCCCAAACGTTCTCGGTTAGTCAGTCGGACCTTGCCTTTTGTGGAAGTATCAAGCCACGCACGTGCGCACGGGCATGTTCTTTTTCCTCTGATAGTAGTGTTGAAGTCGTATGAGACCTCAATATTCCGGAATCCATCAACTCCATTGTTCTTTGAACTCGTATCCATTTGTTCGATACCCTCAGGTTTCATCTCACTGATACGGCAAAATCAATATGGCTATAAGGGACTTCTTCCAAGAGCGCCTACTAGACAAAGACTTCGCCAATTATACAATTTCAACTTCTGACCTGGCAGTCTTTCTTCTTTCTACGGTTTTTGTGTGGCTGGCCGTACGAAAGGCTCACCATGCTACTCGCGGGCCACTCAGTGCCTTCCCTGGCCCTCGCTTGTGTGCTTGGACGGATCTGCCACAAGGATACTGGAAGGTTACAGGACGAGAGCATGAGATCATGGCCGATATTCACTCGAAGTACGGGCCGGTAGTCCGCATAGGTCCAAGGCACCTGTCGTATATCGGAACGGCGACGATATGGCCAGAGATCTACGGTGAGAAGGTGGGTTATGAGAAATGCCTGCCAAAGGATAAGAGGCTCTACGACCTGATAGAAGACTGCTTTGGCTGGAAAGATTCTCTGGCAGCTGCACCAGACGACGTGGGTAAGTAAACATCGTTGTCGTCTCATTTCGTTCGCTAACACGTCCGTTAGTAAGATTGTGACCTCGCGCTCCCTTTCAGTGGAAAATGCTCATTGAATACAGCACAAAGTTATCCGCAAGCTTGTGGTATCTAGTTTTAGCCCTCGCATGAACTATCACTTTGAGCCACGTTACAAAGGATGGATGCAAAAGATGGTCGAGCAACTCGGGCCGAAAGCCGAACGGGCAGAAGTCATGGATCTGGGTAAGGCATTCCAATGTCTAGCAGTCGACTTGCAGACCGATCTGGTTCTTAGTGTTGATTCGGGGTCGCTCAAAACCCTTGACTACCCACCCACTAAAGTTGTTGTGAATGGGTCATTGCAGGGAGTCGCGGTTGCTCATGCCATACGTCTATTCTCACCTACTATTGGCAGAGCGGTCCAGAAGACTATCGTAAACATTCCTCACGTCAGGAAGTTGCTCGATAACTTCGCTGTTACGCTCTCCAAGCGTATTGACAACCGGTTGGCCAATCCACCTCCTACGAACGATGTGTTGACCGAAGTCTTGAGGAAATCCGAACTGTCCCCCGTGCCCATACCAAAAGATCAATTCTACTCCACTACAAAGATTTTGACGGTAAGTCTCATTCAAAGATATGGTCGAGGCCATTGCTGATGTATGGTGCAGGTCGCGGGTCCCGAGGCCATGACTTCTGCAATGAACACTATCGGCTACCATCTGTTCCGCGAGCCGGAGACATTCAAAACTCTGGTCAATCAGATACGCACCCGCTTCAAAACACAGGATGAACTAAGCGTAAAGGCCCTGTCCGAGATGGACCTATTGACAGCTGTCATCAAGGAAGGCCATCGCTTATACCCGCTTCCACCTGGTATCCTTCCCCGCTGTACGCCGAAAGAAGGCGCATGGGTCCAAGGAGTCTGGATCCCACCAAATACCAGTCTTGGGATCCACCAATGGGCTACCTATCGGTCCGAGCTCAATTTTCACGATCCTAATGGTTATCATCCTGAGCGATGGATGGGGGATCCCAAGTTCAAGGACGATCGACTCGATTGCGTGCAAATATTTTCAGTGGGCGCAAGAAGATGCCCTGCAGAGGTGAGCCAAACCAACAGGATTTTGAGCTTCGGTAATACTCACCCGCTCCAGATATTCTCATGGTATGCAATTCGTCTTGTCTTCGCATCTCTCCTGCTCAATTTCGATATTGAGCTGGCAGATGAGGCGTCCGAATGGCCTCAGCAAAAGTCATACTGGATTTGGAGGACTAGGCCTTTGATGTGCAGGATTCGCCCGGCAGAAAGGACTATCGCGGCCTAAAGGCTCAGGTGGCATTGCTTTGAATCAGTGGGACGCCAAGGGTCTTTTCATTGGGCTTGGTTAGTTAGAGGTGGGAGAAGATAGTGCGTACATATCAATGAGTCTATTCCATAAACTGGACTGAATGAAATGTAACTTTTAACGGTTTGACTTTTGTTCATTGCATGAGATGACTTCAACATGTCAGTAGGCACCCTATTTAGAAATGGAAGGCTCGCACAACTCCAATCAGGAGATGGTCCTGCAGGTGCAAGCGTATTTCATTTTTCTAGCACATATTAATTAGTCTGCTACGTCTGTGCTACCCATGTCACTTGCTAGTCTACTGCTGTGAGCCCGATAACATGACACGATGTCTTCCTCAAGCTGAGTAATTCTCCGTTGGCTTTTCATCTTCTGCGACCTCTTGGCTTTCTCTCTCTCTCTTCAGATTCCTGTTATCGAATAGAAGAATTGCAAAAGCAAGCAGCACCGCAACAGAGCCACAGGTGATGGCGAGATAATATCCAGCTCTCAAGCCGTCAAGATAAATCTCAAGGATCGCATGTAGCTCTTCTCCGGAAAAGACCTTTCGTAGCTCTGTCGCCCCGGTGCGGATCAGCTTGGCTCTGTCAATTTGTGGAAGGCTTTTCTTCGCTTCTTCGATGATCCTGTTGGTGAAGAGCGACTGCGTGATGGCAATGAAGACAGCTCCAGTCGCTGTCTGAACATAGAGCATAATAGCAGAGACATTAGACATGTCGGTCTTTTCCACAATGCCCTGCGAAACGACTATTGGAGTCTGGAGGACCATGCCACTCCCTATGCCGAGGATCACCTGGTATCCAATCCATGCGCTACTAGGGCTGCCAATGTCAAGCTTCAGCATGAGGCCAGCGCCTATCGTTATCAATGTCGATCCGAGTAACAGCAGTCCAGCATAGTGACCGGTACCACCAACAATGAACCCTGAAATAATGCTGAAGAGTGCGACTCCGATGATGAAGGGGATGTTCCGCACTCCAGACTCGGCAGGAGAGATCCCGTCAACTGACTGAAAGTAGACCGGGAGGTAGTAAAGGACGATATAGAAGCTGGCAGCGCTAAACACCACAAAGCTGCACAATAGGGCCAGTGTTTTTTTCTTGATCAACCGAGGAACCAGGAGAGAGCGCTCGCCCATCCACCATTCGTTGAGTATGAAGAGGCCGAGGAGGACAGCGAATGCGACTAGGCTTCCAATGACACTTCCGTCGCTCCAAGGCTTTGCGACACCACCCCATTGAAGCGCAAGTGTGAAACAACACAAAGCTGCCACGGAAAGTAACATGCCATTGAAATCCAGGGCGAGGATCTTCTGGAGTAACGGAGTAGGCGAAGGTGTAGCAGCAGTCGGTGTCTTGAACAGGAAGGCGATGATGAATATGCTCAGCCCGCCGATTGGGAGGTTGATGTAGAAACACCACCGCCACGAGACGTAGTCTGTGAAGGCACCACCCAGCAGAGGTCCAATGACTGCCGCACTGCCGTAGGTAGCCCCCAGCACACCGGCCATGCGTGCTACCTTCTCAGGAGGAAGTGAAAAGGCCAGTATGGTCCATGCTCCCGAGGTGATTCCAGCTCCCCCCGCACCTGCAATGGCGCGACCTACAATGAGGACGGTGCTGCTTTTCGCGACTCCAGAGATAAGATTGCCCAGCTCAAAGACCACGTTGGCTACCAGGAAGGTCGACTTTAGCGGGAAGTATTTGTAACCCTTGCCCCAGACTACCTGGAAAGACGAAAGGGTAATGTAGAAGGAGGCGCCGTACCAGCCGATTTGGTCTAAAGATCCGAATTCCTCGGTGATGCGTGGGATGGCGGTGGCAACGATCGTGGAGTCGAGAGAAGTGAGAAAGACGGAAAGAATGATGGCTAGTAGGACGGAGAAGAGCTTTGCTCCCGCGAGCGGCTTTGGATTCTGTTCGGTTGTTGACTGAGCTGACTGATCGGGCTGACCCGAGCCATGCGACTCCCGAAGCTGCAACGTCTCGGGAGACTTCTTCTGTTCGAACGACATGCGAGATTCCATGGTATCGGTAATGACAGGATGGATGAGAGGACGAGGGACGCGACGATTCGACTCTTTGTGCGATTGAGAAGGCAACGAGGCTGATGAAGCGTTGGAATACAAGGCTGTCATGCGGCTAAATACGCCTTCGTCTGCATGAGTATCTCGATGGTGAATGTAGACAAGCAGTTGACGGTGCAGATTGCCAAAATGGCACAAATGGTCAAGACGCACAGATCATCTATGTGGGGACCTGGGAAACCGAGAAAATGATCCTGCGCTTTGTTGCGGAGATACGCCGCTTCCTGTGAGCTGATGGTCATATTGGCCCAAGGTTGGTAGCTTCCATGGTATCTTAGGTGCGGCGGGTGTGCAGATCAGATGCGGTAGCTAATCGCTTTGGGATAGCGCCCGTAGTTTATTGTCCTGCCCGCATTTTGCGGATATGCACTGCAGGCTGCAAGCATTATGTGGCCGAGGTTCGTAGCTTGCATGGTGTTTCAGGTGTGCATTCTGCGGCGGCGGTCGTGCGGTCCCGAAGTCACGGGATGCGGCAGCTAATTGTTTTGGGATAGCGGCCGCAAGTCAAGGTAGCCTTCGCCCGCATGCCGCATCCTTTGACGTCCACCGTCCTCTTTCGTTCGCCTCTTCTCAACGTATTGCTGCGCCAACTAGACTCCATGTCCGCCATTGCCACCGGCAGGGCCTGCAGTCGGTGCTATGAAGCCAAACGAAAGTGCGATCAGATGTTACCCTCATGCCGCCTCTGCAGGAGGAAAGGACTAGCATGCGTGTATCCGTCTCGCAGACCATCGAGCTTCGTAACAATCGGTCCTGACAGCCTTCCTCATAGTACCGATTCACCTGACCACCAGACGATGAGCAATGAGCTCTCCGTCGCCGGAATCTCCCCTGACCTCGCTCTAGACTTTGGGAATCCGACAGACCTATCTTTCACCGACGATGCGCGCGCTGCTTGGTTTACAGCACCCGAAGCCTTCATGGTCAATCACTCGCTCATGCCTTTACCACCAAATTTCAAGATCCAAGATCTGAAAGAGTTTGTGCGGCTTATCGAGAGTTGGTTGGCGATCTGGGTAACCAACGGAAGCAACGCTTTCATCCATTCTCATCTGTATGGCAACAGCTTTCCATCGTGTCTGCAAATTGCCTTTGCTACTTATTCGGCCTATATTAATAGGGCAACTACTGCGAGCGAAATTATTCTTCGTAGCGTCAACGATCAAGCGACGACCTTGGTATCCGAATTAGACCGAATCCACGGCTCAAAAGACCTCGTGAAGGACCTCGCCTATATTCACGCCCTATTCACATATCAAATGATAGGCCTATTTGATGGTGATATACGTTCGCGCCACCTTGCAGAGAGCCGCGCCCCAGTTCTAGCAGAACTGCTTGATCGGACGCTCAAGAATGCCAGCGCAGCGCTGAAACAAGAGATGTCGATGGATGGGCCTTCATTCTCTCTCGCTCATTTGCTTGCACCTACTGAGCTTTTGTGGCGAGCATGGATCATTTCTGAGAGCTTGAGGCGAACGTGGCTCGTAATTCAAGGCATCAGTGCGTCATATGATGGTCTTAAACAAGGATGGGCACCATGCAATGGCGATGTCATGTTCACCACTCGCGAAGGGTTGTGGTCAGCGAATTCCGGGTCGGCGTGGGCCAAGATGTCTATAGACCAAGACGTTCGGTTCGTCGGACGCACGCACGCGGAGTGTCTTTTCATGGTCGCACCAGAAGAGACCGATGAGTTTGCAAAGTTCATGCTAGAGAATATCTTTGGGAAAGAGAGGTCTTCGGACTGGTTGGGTGGAACACGGTGTGTGGACACTGCGACTACGTTCGAGCCTCCCAGTCTCAGACACCTCCAGACTTAGCATCGAGGTAATTAAGAGACGTCTTTGTTCTGATAGCGCCCACCATTCTCATCAAGTAATCTACCTGAGGCCATGGTCCATCGGTTCGCTAACGAACCAAGCTCGAGGTCACCAGGGAATTTGCGTATGGCATTGCAGCACAATGCGACCCTTGCAAAATCGAGGAAAGAGATTCCTCCCCATAAGGCCCCCACCCAGCTGCCGTCGTGAGGCATGCATTGCAGCAGGCTGATCTATCTGCCGTATCGAGCCAGATATAGTTCGCGTATTGGATGGCCATGTGGGGCCATATCAGCAGCCGGGCCGGGCCATGTCAGCAAGCCTAATGCCAAGTCGTAGGGGTAAGCGTTATCACGACTACTACACCGATGTAGGCATCATTATGCGAACTTCGCTAACCAAACTGAAGATAAAGATAACTTGGCATTCTGTAAGCTCGTGCCCGGATCTTAGATGACGTTACATCGTTGATCCACTATCATGCCCTGGGTGCTGCCCGGGGATCACGGCAGTCACTACTCTGGGTACAGATTCTCTGCAGGCGAGTCACCTAGATGTGTCGCTTGGAGCCACGTTAGCAAGAACTGTTGTGCGACGCATAGTACTAATGGGTTGGATCTGGAGTAACATGCCTGCTATGATTGGCCATAGCTACTGCCCTTCTTCCTATAGATGACCTTCCTACAATGGAGAGGCCAATATTATGCGCATCAAAGAAGACCCTGTAGGCCCACTTCAAGTAGTCCTAAGCACTTTTGCCCTTTATCTAACTGGTCCAGCTGCGGCTGCAAATTCTGAGCCAGGCATACCTGGTGGATCTCACTGATAACCGTTCTCAGAGCACCCACTATTGGTAGGAAAAGTGGGCTATACATCCTGCCAAACTCTTCCGCGGTATCGACGCCATATTGGTTCCAGACCGAAGACTCAGCTGTGATGTTATGGTCGCTTATGAGCTTGAGTGCGTTATCGACGGCGTCCAATAGAGCGTTGATGTTGATCACCATTAAAACCAAGAATGGTGAGCATTCTATGCACATGCTGCACCTGGCCAGTTTTGCCAGAGATCGGGCACTACTCTTTGTGTTTGCGAGGGATCGCAGGAGTTCTTCCACAGTCACTTGGGCTTTCGGGCCAGCCATTGAGATCTCCAGAACGCGCAGAGCATCTGCTGTGCATTGATGATCCGTAAGGACCGATTGACTGCTGATAGAAGGCTTCTGCGATCGATTTTTGAAAGGCGACGGTTGTTGTGCGTGACTGATATCGTGGAAGAATAGAGCGGATGAGCACATGCTTTTCTTGGCACTTGGCAAGGCGTGCTGACCCATTTCGATGCTCATGTCGGTCGGGCTTATATCGAGCGACTGGGTATCCAATGGGCGTATTCCTGGCATAGAAAGGATCTCTTCAACGTCAAAATCCAAATTCATCGCCGATCCATCAGTAGCATCTTGCTGTATGTGGCCTTGGCCATTCAAGCTGAAGCTGTGATCGTAGCCACCGTTGAGCATGCTCCAACTAGACATGGCATCCATCGGAAAGAGGTCAGGACTTTCCCTTGGGGAAAGTGGTACTTGCATTGCCTCGATCTGCCATGAACTATCGTCGAAGTTGATCATATCATTCGCGCTTGCTATTGCCGAATCGTCGGGGCATGTCGATGGTGTCGCAGACTGGGAGTGCGTGCGGACCCTAGGAAGAGACCTTTTGCTTTCGGTCAATCTTGGGACCCCCGGATTCGTCGTGCTAGAGGACTTTCGTTTTCCAGCTGTGACCAGCGAATCTTGTCTTGACCGTCGCCTTCCCGGATATGTACATTGCCATTCGTTGGCCAAACACCGATCGCACCCACTCCTCTCCCCAGAACATTTGAGCTGTCTAGGTCAGTCTAAGGCGTCTTCGGTGGGATATGCCGCCTAAGTACCTTCTTTTCTCTGCACCTACGACACGCGTCGGATTGTACTCCTTTGAGAACTGGTGGATCAGTGGTTTCTCTCACTGCATCCAACGAGTCTTTATCTTGATTATGGCGAAAGGTTGCAAACATCTTTAATAGAGGTAGTCTTATAATTCATACAATAATTATGAAGAAAGAAAGGTGGGGTTCGGATGTGTGTCAAAAAGGCAAGCAATGAGCATATACTACGCTAGACGCGGTAAGAGGATAAACAGGCCTAGTGCTATTGGCTCACTTGTAAGACTCAGCCTTAGGACCACAGTAAGCCCTAATGCTGGGAGGCCTAGGAAGGGCAACTAGACATAAACTTTGATATGCACGCAATAGAGTAAATCTGGAATAAGCACGTTTGCACCGACAAAATACAGCTATACAAAACCTCCTTACTCTAATCGCCAAATCCTAGATTACTAGTAAGATAGCACTTGGTGTGAAGATTTAATTTATCCTCCGTTTCAATCCGGCATACGTTATAACCCGACTAAAGCGGGGCGTAGGTGATCTTATTTTACCCTGCAGGAACCCCTGCTCAGAAGTGGATTTTTGCATCCTGCTTAGCGCTCTTTGCAAATTATAGAAGTGGCCTTACAACAATAATAAACTTCCTTGGAACTGAATCTAACACGTGACAATGATGCTCCCCTATAGCAGTCTACAAGAGAAACCTAGGTCTTGACTGCATTCATGAGCTCTTCGCTGGATGCTAAACTGCTGTTTCAACTTATATAATTATATTGCATCAAAGTAAAGGCGTCCGGATATCAAAACTGGAAAGTCTGGATGCTACGCTGAGCAGTGCATGAGCAGACAAATGAGTGTGTGGGGAGTCTTGAGTCTGGTGAGAGTACTGCGTGATATACTCACTGACTAGTCTATGGAGCATATTTACTATGGTTTTTACGACACTGTAGTGTTATCGTAATGGCACAATGAATTTGTAAACAATCGACAATAGGGACCGTATTCTCAAAGGTTATGAAATTCGATCGAAATACTCCGCTGGCTCAACGACAGAAAGGATGTAGATATTAGATGTGGTATGGTTCTGGTATTAGTGAGAGCCTCAATCTCCTGGTGAATACTACAGTTCTTACTATTGAGTGCGACATTGTGTCTTATTGAGAAACACATGAAAATCGGCTTAACTGCCTATTTGCATTGTGCTGTTATTTCACTATTATAATTTGTGTCATAACAATAGTACTGCTACCAGTGTCTATAAGCACTCTCCTCCGACGGAAAGTTCCAATCACCCAACCATCACCCAAATCAACAACAGCAACAAAGCCTCTTAACTTCAACCCAATTACAACCCCATCAATTATACGACGAGACCAACAAGTATGCAACCTTACCTCGTACCCGTGTACCTCAACCCCAAGGCCATGGCAGCCTCCACTTCCACCCCTCTCGGCAAATACCAATCACTACGAACGGAAGCCAATTACTTCGTGATTGATGCCAGCACTCCGTCAATTTTGTGTCGTAATCCCAAGGAGAAACACGAGCGCGCCGTTGAGCTCCTCGAAGCCGTGAAGATGGCGCTCGATGAGATGCTCAAGTACTTCGAGTCGCCATCACTGTGGGTCATGGATCAAATTGAGCAGTTCGGGTATATGATTTGTGCATTACAGATGGTAGCAGAGGAGGCGGGAGACACTGTTGGCTGATGGGACAATTTCCGCATTGCATGCCGGCTGCACGAGTTCATGGCTTTCCAAGTTATGATTTGGCGTTGACTGACGAGGTCTATGATTTAGTTCGAAAAGGTGAGCAAAGAGTCCTTGGCTAAATGTACGGAGTTGAATCCGGAGTCGTTCTTGCGGGGACGGTTCGGAAGGAGATTGAACATCTGGCAAGTCGAGTGTGGTATCTCATACTCGAGATTGCAGCTGTCCAGGAGGAAAAATGCTACCCTCTGACGGTCTGAATCTTGAAGTAGAGCCAATTAGGAATATGAAATGCAATCTTATCTAAAGAATGCGCTGAGCTTATAATGTGAACTTTCTTGGCACTGGCTAACCTGAACACTGTGAAGACATCATAATATGTGATTGATCGTAAATGGGACCTCTAGAACTATGTTATCAATAGGATATCGATGGATGATGTCTGTGAGATAAGCTTGATAACTACGGTTCTGATTTTTGCAACCAGTCTTGCTGACTCACAACTACAGGAAGATCGCTTCAGAAATTGTTTAGACTCCACTTAACAAGTCAGCAGCTGCTAACGAGTGAACTTTGGCTAGTAACACGCTATTGTCAGCGGCTGTAGGGGGCGGTTTTTAGTGACTACTATGGGCGATCCAACTGGTAATAAATAGGAGCTCTACCGAACGCCGGTAGTTACTGCCACACTCTTGCTATCAAATACCGAAACTCGTCTAACCAAACGCGATCTCGGTATCTTGGCGACAGCGGAAACTATATGGGGCGTAGTTATACCCGGAGGCTTGGCCACCGCCTAATTTTGCATCAACGTTTGATTGGAACTACACCTAGTTCTTGCAATATTCCAGAGTATACCAAGGCGGATGAGCCAACTGCGTAGGTGATACTATTAAAATCATAACGGCGTATTGCGTGGTACAACCACGATAGATGAATAAGACGTGTTGTTTGTGGGGATATGGCTCCTCTGGCGGATGTGATAACAAAAGGGAGCCGGAGAGTAAGTTTTGTATAAATACCTGAGAACTGATTATTCTAGCAGACCATCGGTGTCGCTGGTTTTAGATCCAGGTCAATCACGCCCTTCTTTTTGTCATCATGAAAGTCGTTACTCTCTTCTCGCTGCTTGCGCCCCTGGGTGCCAATGCGCATTACATCTTCAACCGTCTCATCGTGAATGGCGCAAATATTGGCGGAGAGTATGCATACACTCGCAAGAACAGCAACACCTACATGCCATCCTTCCCTAGCGAGCTGATGAACTCCAACGACCTTCGATGCAACAAGGGTGCCAAAGCGGGCAGCACCGCCACCTACACCGTCAAGGCAGGCGACAAGATTGGGTTCAAGATTTTCAACAACGAGTTCGTTGAGCACCCTGGCCCGGGCTTTGTCTACATCTCCAAGGCTCCCGGTGCAGTCAACGAGTACGATGGCTCTGGCGACTGGGTCAAGGTCATGTCAAGCGGCCTGAAGAACCCTAGCTCCCCAGGCCAAGACACTTCGTGGGAGAGCTGGCAGAAGGACAGACTCGAGTGGACCATCCAAAAGAGCATCCCCGCAGGCGAGTACCTTGTCCGAGTGGAACATATCGGATTGCATCAAGGGCATGAGGGCAAGGCGCAATTCTATATCGAATGCTACCAGCTCAAGATCGAGTCCTCCGGCACGGGCACACTAGCACCAGCAGTCAAGATTCCTGGGCTGTACAAGGCGTCGGACCCTGGCATTGCCTTCAACAAATGGAATAATCCGAAATCGTATCAGATGCCTGGGCCGGCTCTATGGGATGGCAATTGAGGCGGCAAGGGATTGCAAGGGCTGGATGTGAAAATGCGCTAGTGAAGCTAGCGGGTGGTTAGGAGAGTACGAGGCTGGGATCTCAGAGTGCGTTGTTTGTAAATTTGGGTAGTCTTTAAAAGATGATGTGGCACTGCGCTTATGCGTCTTTTGGGGTCCCTTTTCCTCGTGCATGTGAGCGAGTGGTCACTGCGAGGCTCTCCCGAGTGCGATGCGGTGTGTCCACAAGTCAATTAGGGCTGCATAACGATGGCAGAAGTGATGCCAGACGAGACGACAATGCAGATTCGAGGGTTAGGGTTATGTTATGCAAGTGGCGGTGTTCTGTGTGACGTGGTGTTGCATCCGTGGTGTCGCTTCGGTTGTCTGTGCGCGCGGGTGTTGCTGGGGAAGCGACAACGGGACCCGTAAACATTGGGCCAAGTACGCCGGAGAAGCCCTGCTTAGCCCAGGTATACCACTCCCCACTATCCATCGCTGGGTGCTCCAGAGTACTCCTCCTCGCCATTGCTATCTTCGAATACTGCCTTTCGCTCGAGTTTTCCCTTGTTCGCATTCCAAAACGGCGTCGCCTCTCGCTCGAAAACAACGCATGTCGCCCGCCCGCCGCGCGCCCCGCTAGATGAGTTGCAGGCCAACTACGATAGCAAACAATCGATAAGAATTAGTGGAGATGTCAGGTGGGCAGGCGCTGCCAGTGCGCTTTCCGTGCTGGTGCAAAGCCGTCTATTCATGGGGCGGAGAGGTACGTTACTTGTTGTTTGCTGCTGCACCTTCACGGGCTCACGCTGACCGCCTCTTCTACAGACAAAGCGCGACCTCGGTTTCATAGAAGGCGACCTAATCGAATGCCTCAACGCCGGCGATGGATCATGGTGGATGGGACGATTAAAGCGAGACAGGCGCATGGTCGGCCTCTTCCCATCGAATTTTGTCGAGCTGCTCAGCGAAGACTTTCAGCCGTGGAATCGCAACGGTAGCGGAAGCATATCTAGGCAGAACAGTGCGCAGGAACCAGCCAAGCAAACACCACAGAAGGCAAAGAGCACGTTCAGGAAGCCCTTTACGGCGTATGCAGCTGCAAGTTCACCCAACCCGGCTGCAGCAGCGCGTGAGCGGCTGAAGGCAGGTGGAGTAGCTTCGCCCAATGGCAGCGTCAAGACGAAGTCGCCGTACGCCTCTATGAAGAGATCGTCGACAGAGAGTCGTGAAAGTCCACCAGCATCCGCGTCGAGAGGTCCTTCCAATCTACGCGCTGTCTCGCCCCGGCCTGCGTCGAAGAGACCACCAATAGCTCGAGCCGTGTCGCCAGCTCCGCCATCACGACATGGCTCTAATATTCGCGCACACTCTCCCGCACCTCCTGCGCACTACCAACATCACCCTCGAGCAGTCTCGCCAGCACCGCCAGTACAGCATTACAATTATTCGAGGGCTGTGTCACCTGCTCCTCCAGTGCATCATCAAGATCAATACAGGGCAGTCTCGCCTGCGCCCCCGGTACACCATCAAGATCGATATAGGGCAGTCTCGCCTGCGCCTCCAGTACACTATCAAGAGCCATACAGGGCAGTCTCGCCTGCACCACCAGCACACTACCAAGACCATTCGCGGGCAGTTTCTCCCGCGCCGTCGTTCCAATATCGCGCATACGATCGAGGCCCTTCACCCGCTCCATCGTTTCGGGAAACTTCGCGAGCACCTTCACCGGCGCCATCGTTTCAATACCGTGCTTATGACCGAGGCCCTTCACCCTCTCCATACCAGCAGCAATTGGCGAGCAGCCGCAGTCCGTCTCCAGCGCCCTTCCAGCATCAATTCGAGGATGTCCAAGACTCCCCCCCTCCTCCTCCGCCACCGCCTCATCGCCTTGCTTATGACCCCAGTAGAACCCCATCGCCTGCCCCCCCGCTTCATAATGGTTACCATACGCCGGAGCCGCCCTCGCCTGATCCAAGGGCACATGGTGAAGGCCACTTCACCCCCTCACCCCTCACAACCGCAATGAACGATGTAATGTCTTCCTTACAAGATATGGGAACATCTGGAAGTAGTAATTCCCCTGACGAACCTGAAACGCCGTCGAACCCATGGTCGCCAGATGCTTTTGATCAAGTGTACCAAGCGTCTGCCAAGAAGGTCAGAGCCCAGTCTGCGTTAGGACTTGCTAATGGCGATGAAGAGGATGAAGATGGTCCTCCGAATATGAACAACTACGTTCAACGCATGGAAAGCCGCTTGAGACGAATGCAACAGCAAGAAAAGTCCAGGAATGAGGAATTGTTCGTTTCCAAAGACTCCAGCGAGGCACCACCCCCTGTGCCTCTCAAGAATTCCTCGCATCATATGCCTGGATCGTCGATAGGCACGATTGAGCATGACGTGGCGCGCAAAGGATCCAAGTTACTCCGTCACCGCAAGTCAGCTTATGATGTTGGGCGTGATGTCCTAGGACGAACGTTCACGAGCAAGACCAACTCTACGACGACGACACATACTAGCAACAGCACCAATCGGAGCTTAATGTCCGGACACTCAGCTACAAACATGAGTTCTACGAGTGCCGGTAGCTATTATCGTAAAAGGTTTGGCAAGGACCGGCCCAAGAGCGTTATGGAGACAGGAGACGCAACAGGGAAAGGATACGGATTTGATGATGGTCGACCAGAGACACCGTTTACCGGCGTTACTTATCATTCTAGCCACGCATCGCGTCCACGCCCCGGCTCGAGCAACCAACAACAGCAGGAGGAAGTTACCACACCTGCAACAACAGACGGCCCTGATCCGCTCGGAGGTCTGAGGCAACCAAAAGCTAAGCGTAGTGGCTTTTTCCGAAAAATGATTGATACCGCAAAGACCCAGGCCGCAAACGCTCGCAGTACGATTGCTGCTGGTTCGATTAGTAGACCAGGATCCCGAGCAGCTAGTCGTGCTGCAAGTCGAGCGCAAAGTCGCGCAGCAAGTCGCCTTGACAACAACGGTCCAACAAGTATCGAAGGAGGAACTACAGTACAGTCGGCGAATGCCTCGAGAGACATGGGCTTAGGCTCGAATGATTGGGTACAAGTCCGTCGGGATGTGAACCGATCCAACTCATTAAGCAAAAATGAACGGACAGAGCGAGCCGATCGGTGCCAAATGATGGATCTGCCGATGCTAAATCCCGTCGACACCCTGTATGAGTCCGCTGAAGGAGATGAAGGTCTCGATGGCCTGCCCATTGCAGAGCCTACGGATTTCGCGGCCTGCAGTCTCACACATGTCGACAAGAGCGCTCGGTTCATCAACGCCATTCCACTTGGAACAACGCCCGCCACATTAGCCCAGGGATACGTCTGTAGGCCATATCGAAGCGATGTACAACGACTGAGAGCCATCTTTACCTGGGTTAGCGAGAGGATATCCTGGGAAGAGGATTTCGAAGGCAAAATGGACCCCCGACATGTCTTACAGAGCAAACGTGGATGCTCGGAAGAGATCGCAATGGTGGTTGCCGAAATGTGTGCATCCGTTGGGCTTCATGCTGAAGTTGTTCGAGGTTACCTAAAGACACCTGGCGAGCCTTTGGACCTGGATAGCGTCGCTCGACCGAACCACTTCTGGAACGCTGTTATTGTAGAAGGCGAATGGCGCATGATGGACTGTTCACTCGCTGGACCCACGAATCCCAAGCGCGTGCATTATTCCAATGCCGGTTCGTCCGTCGCCGAGAGCTGGTACTTCCTCGCTCGTCCGATGGAGATTTGCTACTCACATGTCCCGCTGCTCCCAGAACAGCAGCATATCTGTCCACCACAGCCTCATGATGTGCTCATGGCTCTCCCCTGCGCAACACCGACGTATTTCAGGCATGGCCTCCACATGGCTGACTTTGACACCAGCCTGCTCAATTTGGACAATCTCGAGATGGCGCACGTGTATGTGGATGTTCCAGACGATGTAGAATGTGTTGCGGAAGTCGAAGCAAGATCTTACTCACAAGACATGGATGGTGACTTTTTCGAAAGTGGCGATTTTGTTCGAAAACCGGCGCTTGCACAAGCTGAGTGGCGTGGAGGCCAAAAGCGATACACCGTGAAGGCGTTGTTGCCAGGTGACGAGGGACAAGGTGTCTTAAAGATCTACGCGGGACCCCGAGGACTCATGGTAAGTCTTGTATCGCACTCCTCGCTTTTTCATATGCTAATTGTAGTAGCACTCAAACAAGTTGAACCCTCACACTTTAGCAATTGGCCTGCCCATGTCACATTCGGGTAGTAACCCACCGTATTCGTTCTTGACACTGCATCCAACTCCACATGCCCAGCGGCATGATCTCTATGTGGCGCAGCCTCAGTGCGCTAATCTGGCCCTCAATAACACCTTCGTCTTCTGCGTTCGACAACACCCATCGTCCCTCAACAAGTCTCCAGAGCCTAATGCTGCTATTAATGGTCGTGCCTCGCCGAATCCATTTGCCCGGCCTGCGTCCGCTATGAGCATGCAGAGCATTTCAGCAAGTGGTTCGAACTACACAAACCCATCCCAGAGCTCTTCTGGGTCATCAAGCAGCAATAGCACGAAGCCGGCCAAACTGGCAATACAGACACCATCGGGGAAGATTATACGACTTACACGGAAGAGCGAGCACATGAGCAGTACCAACGACGCTGATGGTACAGCTTGGGAGACTATCATCAAGATTGGAGAGAAGGGCACATGGCGCGGTCTTGTGCTTGCGGATCGGAGTGCGAGGTGGTGCGTGTTTGCCCAGTGGGAGTGCGCCTGAGCTTTAGTTCTCGAAAGCAATTGTATTGTTGTGTTGGATGTACAAGTAGTTTTGCGCTGTTTTGGAGCAAAAGTTGTTTCTTTTTTTCTTGGTTTTCAAAGCATATCTTACGACTTGTAATGATCTGGAGTTACTTTTGGCAGATGGTCGCATTATTGACGGCGTCTGTAACATTCGATGCGAATGAAGAAGATTCAAACATTTAGTACTCGGCTATCTTTGCAATTATCAATGTCGTATACCATAGCTCCACACCCGTCGTGACACCTTTGAAGGCTATAAGTTTCGCTGAGCCTGTCATGAGTCGTGCCTGCCAAGTCACTGATAAGATAACAGCCCTCTCTCCCTTGCCCCACCATGGCTCGACTCATGCCACCAACAACTTTTCCAGTCAACGCCTGATTTTAACATTATACATCCAGAAGAAATTCGGTCCTCTAATATGGACGCACAAATCGCCGAGTGGACCTCCCGGGCAGAGGCCTTCAAGCCGCTCAACCTCAAAGCTATTGAGCCTGCGCTCCTCGAACTAGACGCGCACCTCACGCTTCGCTCGCACATTGTAGGCTACACATTGAGCGATGCCGACACGATTGTCTGGAAGACATTGAGAGAAAACCGCGTCGCACATGCGTTCATCAAGCAGAGTTTGATGCCGAGCTTGTGCAGGTGGTTTAGGTACATCGAAGAGGCCTACCCGCAGAGCGTTGTGGTGGTCGGCAAGGGAAAGGAGGAGGGTGCTGCTGGAAAGAGTGGGAAGGATGGAAAGGCGAAGAGCGATGATGCCAATTATGATATTGGACTTCAGGATGTGGGGGATGGGACTGGCATTGTTACGAGGTTCCCGCCTGAGCCTTCGTAAGTGCTTGATTTTCCCTTCGAGTAGAGTTGCTAACAACTCACCGCAGAGGTTATCTCCATATCGGCCACGCCAAAGCAGCCCTTCTCAACGACTACTTCGCGCACGAGAAGTACAAAGGCAAGCTACTCCTGCGCTTCGACGATACGAACCCGACCAAGGAGAAGCAAGAGTTTCAGGATGCGATTGTCGAGGACTGCGCGCTTATGGGGATTAAGCCAGACCAGGTCTCCTACACTAGTGATTGGTTTGATCAGCTGTACGAGCGTTGCGTGCAAATGCTGAAGGACGGCCTGGCGTACGCAGACGACACACTGCAGGAGAAGATGCGTGCTGAGCGCATGGACGGCATCGCCAGTGCACGTCGAGACGCAAGCGTCGAGGATAACCTGGCACAATTCGAGGAGATGAAGAAGGGCAACGAGGAGGGCGTCAAGTGGTGTATCCGCGCAAAGATGTCCGTCGACAACCCCAACAAGGCTATGCGTGATCCCGTCATCTACCGCTGCAATCCCCAGGCCCATCACCGCACTGGAGACAAGTGGAAGATCTACCCCACGTACGACTTCTGCTGTCCCATCGTCGACGCTCTTGAGGGTGTTACCCACGCTCTGCGTACAACCGAATACAATGACCGCGACCCGCAATACCAATGGTTCATTAAGAACCTCAATCTTCGACAGGTCTACAACTGGGGCTTTGCGCGGTTGAACTTTGTCCGAACGGTCCTTTCAAAGCGCAAGCTTACCAAGATTGTCGATGCTGGCATTGTTTGGGGCTGGGACGATCCGCGCATGCCCACCGTCCGCGGTGTGCGCCGCCGCGGTGCCGTCATCCCCGCTCTCCGCGAGTTCATTTTGAAGCAGGGCCCGTCTAAGAACATCGTCAATCTCGACTGGTACAGCTTCTGGGCTACCAACAAGAAGCACATCGAGCCCACCGCAGCGCGATACACCGCCATCGACGAGGACACCAAGGTCCCCGTCACTATTATCGGTGCGCGCGAGGGTGTGATTACTGAGGATAAGCCCAAGCACGCAAAATACGATCTTGGCAACAAGAAAATCGTCTTCAGCTCTTCGGTACTCCTAGAGCAAGCCGATGCTCAGTCTTTCGCGCAAGATGAGGAGATCACACTGATGAACTGGGGCAACGCCATTGTCCGCAAGATCAGCCACTCGATTAATCCGCTCGCAAAGCATGGCCTGAAGACGGTTACAGGTCTGGAACTAGAACTCCATCTTCAAGGTGACGTCAAGAAAACGAGCAAGAAGGTTACGTGGTTGAGCACCGATCAAAACCTTATCCCGATCGAGCTTGTCGATTTCGATTACCTCATCACCAAGGATAAACTGGAGCCGGAGGATACGCTGGAGGACTTCCTGAGCAAGGAAACTGAGTTCCGTACCAAGGCAGTTGCGGACTGCAATGCCGCTGAACTCAAAGTCGACGATATCGTTCAGTTTGATCGCAAGGGCTTTTTCCGTATCGATCGCGCATTTGCCCACAATGAGCCAATTGTAGCTTTCCAGGTTCCGACCGGCAAGAGCAAATAGTAGCCATACATGGGATTATGAAAGCCGTCAACATAGGCCACGGTGAGCTATAGCGTTCTGAGCCGGTGTCATTTTGACTATATGGGTGAAATGGATACTAGACAATACCGTCTCTCTGTATAGTGCCATAACAATATCTACTTGTTATACTATCATGCTGAGTCATCCTCATTCTACAGGTGTTGTATAGAATGCCGGGAATAAAGTCACACAGCTGCCCCTCAAGTTATCCTACCTCTCCCACCACATGCACTTAGCAGTAACATACAAATCCCCATCCTTGAGCGCCTCCTCAATCTGCGGCTGCAACGTATCCACATAACCCGCCGCATGCGGATACACCTTGCCGCAATCCAAGCTCCCCGTGCTACTCGAGCTGCGAAAATGCACTTGCATATGATAGCCACCCGGAAAATGCACAGCAACATAGTCTACCGAATTACAATGTCTATGCTCAACGTCATGGCCGCGCTTATGTTCCACAAACGTATAGCAATTCGCCGCATCCCAGATGCCCCGCTCAAAACTACCTGCGATAACGCCCACCATCAGGAAGTAGATTTTCGAGTCGCTGTTCCACCACGCGCGGTCTACGGAGACGGTTAGGTCTTCTGGGAAGGGCGCGGTGGCGCTGCGGTCGGCGCGGACGCGCTTTTCTACGTCGACGCGGAAGGTCGATGTTGTTTGCAGGCAGGCGCCGGGTGCTGTTGGGGGGCAGATGGCTTGCAGGGCGTGGTAGACTTGGTCGTAGAGGGCGGCGGGAGAGGAACTACCGACGTTTACTTTTTTGGTGCCGAGTTCGAGGAGGATGGCGCCAGTACGAGGCTGCAATGCTCTGTTGGTGAGGGTGGTGCTGTTGTCCATGCATGGTGAGTAGTTAGTATGTGTAGTGTAGGACATGAGAAGCTCTTCAGGGGAGTTACTCACTGGATTCAAACTTGACTGCATCTGGTGTACGAGCGATGCCTGTCGGGACAACTCCATCGTAACGCGCCTCGTTGACTTTGCTCGTGTCAGGATCATATCATGACTATACAGTCACCTCCCACATACCACGACCGACCTGACCTTCACCTCCAACTATGCCGATTGTAGGAGCAGCGTTACCGAATCCCCCCAACACCGCCGAAATCCCCAAGAGAACCGACAGCTTCATGGCTTCCTTCCTTTCCTTTTTCTCGTGACTTCAATAGAGCTAGTCGAGTGACTGAAGAGGTGCAAGGAGATAGATAGATAGCCCAAGAGAAGAGAAGAGGAGCAGAGAAGATATTAATATTCATCGACATCAAACGGCGGAGCGAGCAGACTTCAAGGTCCTATGATTGAGGAAAGGAGGAAATTGAAGTTTGCAAACAAGGGGGCTTGGGGAAATGAGTGTTTGCGAGAATTATTGTCAATGCAGATTGACTCATATAATCTATGCGTGTGTTATAATTGAATGGCTGACCCTTCAAAGTATTTTTTCTGGTTGCAGAATGAATGCTTGCGATGTTTCGATGCTTGGTATTGGTAAATCTATTGTTCGGCTATTCGAGTGGGAATATGCTGGTCTCGCCGGTGTGTGAACCCAACGTATCACGGCCACAATCGACTCGCATTTGCAGCGACCCGTTTGCTGCAGCACGGTCCGAGGCATGTAGCATAGTAGTCCGGTGGTAACGTTTGTTCCCCAGCTCATGAAGCATATATCTTCACCCAACCTACTTTGTGTTCGCTCCAGACCCCTCCTTGGTAACCTTCTCCGCCCCCTTCTCCAACTTCTTCGTCCTCTCCGCCTCCCTCTTCCTCTCGAGTTCCCTCACCTGATCGGGCGGACTATCTTCAATGAGATCCGATGCTCCGCTCAAACCAGTCCACTTGGGCAGTCCATCTGGGATATCCATGACGCGCTGGCCATAGAACATGTGGCAACGGGGTTTGAAATACGCCTTATCCTCGTCGGTCTTGAGGTGCACGAGCGAAGGGAAGAGTAGTATCATGTTGCGGCCCTCGTCCATGATGGGCGAGTGGCAGTAGGAGCAACGCACTTTACAGGGCAGTGTGTGCGCTATAGACTTCTCCGTCGGGTCGTACCACTCAAGATCGTGGTGGCCATTGGTGAAGTTGATGTCTGTTTTGTGGAAGATGGCGGCCCATTGGAAGGGTGCGGCTGCAGGGAATTAGCGAGTGTAGAGATGTCGACTAGATGATATGTACCGTGTTGTACTTGGCAGGTTGTACAATGGCAGAGCTTGCTGTCTAGTGGCTCCCTCCTGCTGAGCTGATACTTGACCCTTCCGCAATGGCAATTGGCTTCATATTTGACATCAAAGTCCTTGTTCTCGTCGTGGACGAGATAAGGAGGTTTTTGCTTCCATTCTGAGACGCCGGTTGTCGACTCGCCTTGGCTCTGATCTTTAACCATTTTGAACTTGCCTTGGGGAAAGGTGGAGTGGTGGCGCGTGAGGTACGGAGGGAGAAGTTGCACGCGAGCGAGAGCAGATGCAGATGTTAGCCGTGGTAGTCGACGCAGTGCAATTGAGGCAGATGGCATGAAGGTAAATTGGTGATGAGAAACGGAGCAGCTTCGTCGAGGACTTTCAAGTACTGACTGTTGGCGGCATCATCGATGTTTGTTCGAGCGCGTCGCATTGCGCGCTCTTGACGTCACTATATATTATTGTACGCGACTTGCGCTATTGTAGGCACTGATCATCACATAAAACGGCGTCTTCCCTGTCAGCCAAAATGCTCAAATGTGAAACCTCGGTTCGCCTCCAATGCAAATGCTTTTCGTGTTGGCTCCGATTCGTCATGATCTCATTACTCAATTATAACCACGCGCCAATTCTAAGCTCCCTTTAGAAGCTTTTGAGCCTCCTTAGTGGATAGGCCAAAGACATTAATGAGGTAATCGAGCCTGCAGACAACATGTTAGACTGAACTCTAATGCTCTACGATGGCATGCACTCACTTGATGTCTCCTGCAATCCTTCGCCGCACGGCTTCAAAATCCACGTCAGCCTTATCCCGGGTCGCATCTTGTTTCTTCGGATTGATCGTCTTGATGCGAAGTTTGAATCGCCCACTGACTGGCCGATGATCTGAAACTTTGATACCATCGTGTCTTCGGTAGTCAATCTGCTTGATTTTACCTATGCCTCGATATAGCAACCGATCACACCAGGCAGGCGAGCGCTGCTTCTCCGAGGTATCATAGTCATCGGTTCCGACGTTGTACTTGTACGTAGGAGCGAAGTTGATGGGCGCTTCGTTAAATGCGCGAAGGCGAAATCCGGGATTGCGTTTGCGTGAGAGAAGGAGCTGATCGCGCTCCAGAAGTTTTGCCAGGTTTCCTTGCTGTACTGCAGCAACGACCGTATTTCGAGGCATGGCATCGATGCGATAATTTAAGTCGCCATTGAGTACGCAGATTTCATGGTCGAGAATCATCGACCCATCACCACCGCCGACGAAGAAATTTGCACAATGAGATGGGGAGCGATTCTTCGGCAACGGTGCATTCTCCATGATAGAAGCTGCGTCATTGTTTCGGTGCACAGTCTGGCTCTGGCCAGCTGCAAGATGACAGTTGATAAAGCAGAGCGAAGAGTCGTCGATGAAGAAGCGGACTACCAGGGCACCCTTGTTCCCTACGCGTCCACTGAAGCCTAGCTTGATTTCAGCGCCACATACGTCGCGTACATTCCCGCGTTCAGAGGCTTTGATGAAGACGCAAGTGAAGAGGCCCACGAGATTGGCGGTGTGGAGAAGAACGTAGTTTTGCTTAGGGCTGTACTCGTCTAGAGCGCGCACGAGGTGATCTCGCCATGCGCGATACTGATGCGACATGTGCTCGTGCTCCGACGTCTCCTTGTGTTTCTTTCTCTTGAAGATACTTTTGGCAGTGATCTTTTTGTCTTCTAGATCGACGAGCTCCTGAAATCCAAATACCAGAATGTCAGGCGGGTCATCTGGTTCTAACAGTTCCCGGAAGAAATTCCTATCTTGTTCAGTATGTTTCAAGGTCGTGGGTTTTGTTGCACCAGCGTTCCACGTCATGACTCTTGCCGAGAGCTCTCTGAAGTCGCAGTACTCGGCATCGCGTTGTTGCATCAAGGTTTCTAGAATCGTCAGTCAGCACTCCTACTCCCGCGGGTGACAACTTACCGAGCCAGTCGGTTTTCAGCATCCCATCCCAGATACGCAACATGGTATCGGTGCCTAACGAAGCGACTTGGAATCTGTCCAACTTCCAGATGCTTGTCCGATCTGCCACAATACCTGCGATCGGTTTTTCGTGCGCCTTCCAATCCTTCAAAACTTTCCAGGGCGTGCACTTCGTGTCGTAGACGTAAATCATTCCAGTGCTGTAGCCGGCCCATAGGTTATCACCGACGCCGACTAGTGAGCTGATCTTGTATAAGCTGACGTTCACGATGCCGAGGCATGCGAAATCCTTCTTTGAATATACAGTCACTTTTCCATCAGTATGTCCAAAGTACACGCGATCAGGCTGACTGCTGACGATGGCCCCAGAAGTGACCTCGCCTACGTTCAGTTGTGACAGAGGTCCCTGGGTTATCTGCTGGAAGTGATTGTTGTCCCCGGTCCGTTTGTATACTCGAATCTCCTTCGTACAAGCTACCCAAAGTTGAGATCCGGAAACCATGGAGAAGGTATGTTCGCGTGGGATGCGGAACGTGTTCGGACTTTGTTGAAGCGAGGGGCATCCAGTATCATCAGCTGGCCAGACATGCAGAGTCCCATCATCGTCAATGGACCACATTTCTGATGCATATCTGAAAATCTTAACGATCGCACTCCTTCCGTGCGCGTTACTCTTAGTGTGTACAACACTTTGCGTGGGAATATCAATTTCAAGCATTTCACCAGTGTTGGTTCCCAGCCATAACCGCTTGCCCTCGTCTTCTACATCTTTCGCAGGCCTGAATGCGAGTGCCGTCGCTTTGACAGTGTCTCCATGGCTTAAGCTCATGAGGAGTCGTCCGTTTAACACATTCCATACGTTCGTCACGTATCCTGTCGTACATATATAATCTCCACAGATTGCAAACAGCTTAGTCTCGTAACCCGTCGGTATCCCGGTGGTGTTTTCGGAAAAGACCGGTGGCCGCCTATTCGCTTGTGATGAGTCGGGGTAGTCGGTCAAAGCTGTTGTTGGTTGCTTCTCGGGGGCAGCATCCTCCTCGTCCGAATCAGTTGTGTAGGGCTGTGGCTGTGAGGCTTGTGGTCTAGCCATAGGAGCCGGCCTTCTCATTTCTCCAGAATTGCGCGGTGGCGGAGGTTTCGGAGGTTCTAGGCTCTTTGAAGAGCTTGTAGAGCTAGTTCCCTCTGTTGTATGTGTCCGTCGTGGGGGAGGCATGAACCTGCGGTTAGCTTCAGCTACAAGTGCAGCAGGACGAAATTGGTCGAAAGATCGTCGAACTGGTAGATCAGGTGGAGCGGCTCTCTGTAGTTGAACACTCTTTCGCAAGTCAAAGTTGTCCTTCTCACGACGACTTGGTAATGCAGGACGATCGTCTGGCATATCGCTTGGAGACGGCTGTGGGGCAGCCGTCTTTAGTGACCAGTTTGCTGACGCTCGCGGATCCGGATGAGCCTGTTTTTCGGCCACTGCATGATGCACTGGAGGGGGCGGGAAGTAGCCATCCTTGCTAGCTGTCATCTTTGGTTTCGAGAAGCTAGGGATGACAGGTGGTGTAGGTTCGCCCTTAGTGCTACCTCCGCTACTGCTAGGTGGAGTACTGAATGGCGATACATCTGCTGCTACATCGGAAGAAGCTTCAGGGGCCAGAGTTGCGCGTATTGATGGGTCAATAGAAAGCGATTTGGTTGGTATCTTTGGTTTTCCAGCTCGATTGACAGGCGGAGGTACTGATGGCGCATAAGAAACTGGACGATCACCCTTGCGCGGATCAGCAGATGCCATAGGCGTTGTGTGCGAGGGAAACTGAGGCTTGAGGTCAAGCGCGGGAGTAGTATTGCGGCTAGGTGTCTTGACGGATTTCGCACCATTCGACGACGGTCCTGGAGGACCAGGTGAATCTAGAGCGGCGTGCGATGTTGGTCGCGAAGGATGGGGCGAGTAGATCTGAGGCTCAGATGACTTCGGTGGAGACTTGGGCGACTGGACTGTAACTTTGGGCGGTGATCGTGTGGGCGATCTGGGTGGAGAGAAGGCCATCATGGATGTTGGTCTCGGTTTTGGATTGCTCCATGGCATGCGTACAGTTCGCGCTCGTGGGGTGAGCGTGCCATCTCCACTGAATTCGGCCACACTTGGCGAAACTCGCCCGACATGCTCTCTCGGTATGTCGAGTGATATGCGCCCGTCAGTCCTCCTGTTGTCTTCGGGCATGGGAAGGCGATCGGTGGCGGCGGGGGAGCGTTTTCGTGGGGTCGCAGGTACTGAGGACTTGTTCACATTGAGCATGTTCTCGAACTGGGCGCGGAGAGAGGATACTGGCTTCTATGTATTCTGTTAGCATGTTTCTTCCTGGGGCGGTCCTGCGCTTACGATGGACGAGCCATCTGTGATGTCCTCTTCTGAGTTCTCCATGTTGTTGGGGAGCTCGTTGTCAGCCGGCACCGGAAGGTATCCTATAGTTGCTCATCGACCCCCAAGCAACTTTTCCCATTGAGCGCAGCTTGTGGTGGAGCAACCGTCGTTGGCGGTGGGTCGATCATGCGGTGAGGAGCCACAGAGAGGCAAGGTTTCAGATGGAAGAAGAATAGTCGCTAAGGCGATTTGTGGGTGGCCTGGACAGACCAGACAACGGGTTGGGCTCCCTATAGCAAGACGCGTACACGGTGTATGCTAAGAATGCTAGGACAGGGAACGCAGGGTTCGGCGGGGGACGTAGAGGGATGCCGTTTCAGAAACAGGACAGGAAGCGAATGCAGCGATAGTTCGGGGTGCGCCGGAGTGAAGTATTTGGCGATAGTAGAGGGCGACAGAGGTTCCAGGGTCGGGCGTGAGCGGCAAAGGGCGTGGTGGCTCTGTCTTGCTGCGCGGAGGTGTGTGTGTGCCTGACCTTGAATGTCCCTCAGCGCTCTTGGCCTGCAACATGCCGCCGCCGCCGCCGCAAGTTTCCCCGGAGACCCTGTCGGCACCTTCAGCTAGCAGCGATCAGGCACCCGGCGAATTACGACTCGCAAACAACCCGCCCAGCTAGCACTCTGGATAGTGAAATCGTGAATTAGCGACCTCACCTCCAAACACCGTCGCCTTCGTCATGTGGTAAGCAAGCACGCACGCACAATCCCGCCCTCCCCTGCACAGTTGGCTGATGCTGAGTGCAGCAAACACGTCCTCAACGCCCAGGTCTCCATCCGCTCACCGTGCTGTGCGTTCGCCAATAGTAGAGCTGCGGGATGAATGCTGAGAATGGCCAGGCAAGAAATGGTTCGACTGCGCCGAATGCCATGCGGAGCAGACGGACCACCCGCTCATGCAGACGTTTGACATGACCTTCATATGCAAAAAGTGCAAGAAAGCGTTCCGAAAGGACGCCCGCGAGTTTGAGGACGCGTAGGTGCACGGCAAGTATACCGGCGTGGCACACATGCTGAATGAGGGGTAGAGACGAATACTGCCCGCACTGCGACAACCATTTCGTCTTGGAGGCCAAAACGCCAAAGGCGTCTCTGCAAGTCGAGGGCGAGGATGCCCGCATCGACTCAAGGTATGCAACGCATGCCTCCAATGCCCCGCAGCTGCTGATTAGTTTCAAGGATGCTCAAGGACGAACGCCTAAGGGCCGAAGAACTCCGAACGATATTCGATGTCAAGGAGGCGCCGCACAAGCTGGGTTGAAGGGTTGGAGTGAAGCATAGGGTCAAGAGGATTACAAGCCGCATCACATCAGAAGGCAGAACCACGGGACAATCACGCGACGAGCGAGGGGCGGGAAGGCAAGGAGGGGCAGGTGTGCTAAATATGCCATATTTCGAGCTCTAGCCAGTTCGTCTCTGTGATATACAGATTCATGAGGTCTACTACCGAGACGCCAATGCTGTTCATGTCCGGTCCATCAGTCATAACTTTTCCTCTACGCTCCTGAGCCCGAGCCCTCGGTTGGGGCAGGGCGCGTGAGAATGGCCGCGGTGCCCGTGCCGGGTGTCCTTCCAGGCCTCCTGCTCGCTGCCTCTTCTTGCTTCTCTGTATTGATGTTCTCCACGTACTTCTCAATATCCTCCACAGGCAGCATTTCGATGGGCTTGCCTGGCGCCATGACGGCGATCTCGATGTTCTTCGCGCCCGTCTGCACAACCTCGAGTAGTGACTTCACCGTCAGCTTGATCGTCTCTTCCCGGTCCATACCCTCCTTGTGATTACGCTCGAGAAACTCGCGGACTGTCTTGCTCGATCGGCCAATCGCGTTCGCTTTCCTGAATCCGTAGTTAGTACATGCCAATACTAGCACCGACGCGAACGACATACCATGCCGAGTAGATGCCAGAAGGCTCAGTCTGGTATAAGCGCGGGGTCTTGTCGTTAGGGTCGAATCCAACTATCAGCGTGCTGATGCCAAACGGTCGGACACCACCACTCTGAGTGTATCTCTGCTGCACACCGGCAACGTACTTCGTAATGTACTCTATCGATACCGGGTCTTCGACTGTGAGGCGATGTGATTGTGCTTCAAGGCGTGCCTTGTCTACCAGGATGCGGGCATCGGCGTTTAGTCCGGCGAAAGCGAGGGCGACGTGGGTATCAACGAGGCAGATCTTCGATGGAGTGATTCGCGTGTCCTGGAGCTTCATCGCTGATCGCTTTTCGCACCCAAGTACTACAATGTCTCCGCCCTTTACGCCCACCGCACACGTTCCTGCGCCGAATTAGCATGTCATATCTAGCGTCAGGCTCGGACAGCAAACCTACCTCGCTTCACAGCTTCCAGCGCATACTCGACCTGGAAGACGTGTCCATCAGGACTGAAAACTACGAGGATTAGTTGATGCTCAGGTAGCCAAATATTGCATGTTTGTACCTGAAAGAGCTCGATCGTAGCCGGACGCCATGGTGAGAGAATTTATGGATTACTGCTCAAGCTCTATATAAACAGGCGGGTTGCGGAGAAGAGGGTTGAGAGCGAAAAGCGGCAGCGTAAAGGTAATGTAATCGGCAACTTGATCATCGGAGCTTCGAGAGCTGTCCGCGTCGTTGCTCCAGCCTGAATTGCCAAGCCTGGCTCGTGCATTTGCTACTAGCTCTCCTTATGTCATCTTCTACATGGCAGATGGCGAAGGCGACTCAAAAACTTTCCCCACTCTACACGTTCCTTGGCCATTGACATTTATGGCGACTTCAGCGCGTTTCGTTTCGTCATTGCGACGGAGTGCGTTCTCGTCTCGAGTTTCGCCGCGTTTTCAGCACCTGAAACCGACATGTCAAGTTCGATGGGCCGGAGTCTCGTCCGCGACCTCGGAACCTCACCAGCCAGATGAGAAGGGGACAGTAACGGGTGCGACTGCACCTGCAAAATCGATCAAATTCACTTCGGAATCGTATGTTGCGTTTGGTAACTTTTTTTTCTGGTCGTGTACCTAACGCCAAGTAGATATCCACAAATTCAAAGAGATTCCAAATTCACCAAGCTTTCAGAAGAACATGTAAAATTCTTCCAGGACCTCCTAGGCTCAGACTCTGCCGTCATTGATGGTGTCTCTAAAGATGCATCTGAAGATATTGAGCCGTTCAACAGCGACTGGATGCGCAAGTTCCGCGGCCACACCAAACTCGTCCTGAGACCTAGCTCTACAGAAGAAGTCAGCAAGATTCTCAAATATTGTAATGACAAAATGCTTGCTGTTGTTCCGCAAGGTGGCAACACTGGGCTTGTTGGTGGCTCTGTGCCCGTCTTTGATGAGATTGTCATCAACCTACAGAAGATGAACGAGATCAGGTCCTTCGATGAGGTTTCTGGTATCCTCGTAGCAGACGCTGGCGTTATCCTTGAGATTGCAGACAACTATCTCGCTGAAAGAAACCACATCTTCCCGCTTGATCTTGGCGCTAAAGGCTCGTGTCAAATAGGTGGCAACGTTGCGACTAATGCTGGTGGCCTTCGCCTTCTCCGATATGGTAGCTTTCACGGCAATGTTCTGGGCATCGAGGTTGTGCTCCCTGATGGAACTATCGTGGACGACCTCTCAACCCTTCGCAAAAACAACACTGGTTACGACCTCAAGCAGCTCTTCATCGGCGGCGAGGGCACAATAGGTATCATTACGAAAATATCCATTATCTGCCCGCGAAGATCGCCAGCTGTCAACGTTGCCTACTTTGGTCTCGAGAGTTACGAGAAGGTCCAAGAAGCGTTTCGGGAAGCCAAGGGCCAGCTGTCTGAAATCTTGTCTGCTTTCGAGCTCATGGACGGGCGCACACAGAAGCTAGTCAACAAAGTGACGGGTAAGAAGATGCCACTAGAGGGGGAACACCCTTTCTACTGCCTCATCGAGACCAGTGGCTCGAACGTAGATCACGATGGCGAGGTAAGATACTACATCGGCAGTGAAATGCTTCTTGGCTGACGCAGTACAGAAATTGCAAGCCTTCTTGGAACATGTCATGGAGACTGAAGTGGTAACCGATGGAGTCCTTGCTCAAGACCAGACTCAAATCCAGGAGCTCTGGTCATGGCGAGAAGGCATCACAGAAGTCTTGGGCCATGAGGGAGGCGTCTACAAGTATGATCTGTCAATTCCCATAGCAGAGCTATACGACCTGGTCAATGAGACAAGAGACCGTCTTACAAAGGCTGGCCTAGTCGGCAGCGACTCTTCCTTTCCGGTAGTCGATGTGGTTGGGTATGGGCATATGGGGGATGCCAATCTACATCTCAACGTCCCAACAAGAAGATTCGACAAAGCCGTAGAGAAGGAACTGGAACCATTTGTGTACGAATGGGTGCAAAAGCGAAGTGGTAGTATCAGCGCCGAGCATGGCTTAGGCGTCACGAAGAAGCCATATGTTGGTTACAGCAAAAGCGAGACAATGATCAAGTTGATGAAGCAGATTAAGGATCTGTATGATCCGGTAAGTAAAGTCCAGTATTCTAAAGGTCGCCACGTTAATACAATAACAGAAGGGTATCATGAACCCGTACAAGTACATATAAGATTCTTAATACCATTATTCACTATATTCTATTCTCGATATCCTAAAAACAGTCTTAGATTGCTATCTTAGCTTCGCCTCTTCTCTCGTTTAACAGCTTCACTGCATTCCCTTCATATATTGCCCCCCTCTCCTTCTCACTAAACAAGTGCTCTAGTCCGTCCTTCATTCGATCTGCAAATATCTTCACGAATTGCGTTTGCGTAAACGGAAAATCACTTCCGTACAACAACCTCTCATAACTTATCTCGAATCCCTCGACGAACGCTTTCAGTTGCCCATTTCCACCGCTCTCGCCATCGAACACGAACCCAGCCAAGTCGAAGTAGAACTGCTCATCAAGCTGTTTCCGCACTGTCTCCGCGTCCAAGACTCTACCCCCTGGAACGACACTTGAAAACTGGATGAAGCGTGTCATCATTGGTGGTAAGGCGCCACCAGAGTGTGGGATGATGAACTTGATATTCGGACAGCGGTCTACCGTCCCCGAGCTAAAGAGATTGATTACCGCGCGCGCGGTGTCGAAGAAGAACTCGAAGATAGGAATAGGGTATTGCGAGCCGAAAGGTAAAGCATCTGTTGTTTGAGCAGAGGAAGTCTCGTTGCCGTGCTTTATGCAGGGCTTTGTTGGGTGAATGAAGATCGTCGCGCCAACCTCGTTCAACTTGTCGAATACACCATCCAGAGCGGGCGAGCCGAGATAATTCCCGTGATAATTTGTCATTAATCCGAACCCATCTGCTCCCTCTCCAATCGCCGTCTCAATCTCCTCCAGCGCTGCATCAACATCCGGTAACGGGAGCGCAGCCCAGAAGCCGAATTTCTCGGGGTATTCCCTTTTTAGCTCTGCAGCGTAGGCGTTACACTGCCGTGTCAAATACCTGCCTAGGGTATCGTTTCCAGGTGTGATATGCGTTCCAGGTGATGAGACTGAGAGCATTGACTTGGAGACGTTAGCGGTAGACATCATGTCGAGATGGCGTTCTAGGGACCATTCTGGAATCGCGGGCATGCCATCCGGATGCAAGTGGCCGTTCTCTGCGAGAGCTTTGCGGTAGAATGGTGGGAGGAAGTGGGAGTGGACGTCGATCCGTCTAGAGAGAGGTGCCATGTTGGTGGTGTTTTGGGCTAACACTGTTGACTTGCTTATTAGGAACAGGAATATGGTATAAATCTTAATCATGTTTCGATATCAAGCTAGACTAGGCTCACCTTTCTATGCTTGGGACCTATCACACCCGATTCCAGGAGTCAGTCTATATGTAATTATATGAAAAGAAAGCCAGTGTATCTCCAACTTGAGTAATCCAGCGGCATTCGGGACCCCGCTTCGGTACTCCACAAAGTACAAGCAACAGCGACAAGAGGCTCCAACTAACACAAGGCGCTGTCATTGGCGACGGGGCACTGTAGCGACTCCTAGCACCACATATAGTTTTCCTTATTGCGGAGGTCTGGCACTGGTGTCCAAATCGGGCATGGGATCCCGATGACGCGGGCGGGCAATCGCTGCCCCACCTCGCGCTTTCCCAGAGCTACCCGCAACTTTCTTGTGGACCATTGCGACACTGTTCACGATGACTCCACGTCTTCAACTACGACCCTCGTTTTCTATCCTTCCCACACCAAAACACGATGGAGAAGATTACGGATAAGATCAATGCCTTGCCTGATGGCGCGAATTACTTCTCGCTCGAGTTCTTCCCGCCGAAGACGGCCATGGTTGGTTGCCCCGCCATCCACGCGACCGCGCGCAAACAGGCACTGACATTGAATATAGGGCTTCGCGAATCTGCAAACCCGATTAGAGCGCATGTCACAGGCTCTCCGACCGCTTTTTGTAACCGTCACATGGGGTGCAGGTGGCTCGACGGCCACAAAGTCTCTCGAACTCGCCGAAATCTGCCAGCGCCAATTGGGCCTCACAACATGTCTGCATTTGACATGCACGAACATGAACCGCGCTCTCATTGATGATGCGCTTGAACAGGCGAAAGTGTTGGGCATACGGAATATTCTCGCCTTGCGCGGTGATGCGCCGAGGAGCGACGAGTATAGGGATGAAGGACAGTTGCCGGAGCAGGATTCGAACAAGGACTTTACGTGGGCCATCGACCTCGTGAGGTATATTCGGAAACAGTATGGAGACTACTTCTGCATAGGAGTTGCTGCATATCCGGAGGGACATTCAGATGAGAGCCATCCCGAGCACCAGGACCCGCGATTCGATTTACAGCACTTGGTGGAGAAGACGAAGGCTGGTGCGGATTTTATCATGACACAGCTTTTCTTCGACGTGGAGGCGTACGTCAGGTTCGAGAAGCTGTTGAGGGAGCACGACAGCGGCGTGTTCAAGACCATCCCGATTATCCCCGGATTGATGCCAATTCAGTCGTACAAGATCCTACTTCGAACCACGAAGCTTTCGCATGCGAACTTGCCGGCTGATACTTTGGCACGGCTAGATGCTGTAAAGACTGACGATGAGCTGGTCAAACAAGTTGGCGTCAAGATCTTGGATGAAATTGTGGAACACCTCAAAGCGCGTCCAGATGTTGTTCGGAGAGGGTTTCATTTCTACACACTTAACTTGGAGAAGGCGGTATCGCACATTGTGGAAGATACCCACCTTATACCACAGACCACTGTCGAAGACGACGAAGAGGTCATTGTCGAAACAACGCCCGCCATCAACCTCGAATCTCCGCCGAACGGCGCAATGACGCGCAGTCGACGCCGGTTATCCTCCATAAATTCCGGTCCCCGCAACAGAGTAATCATATCACAACCCTCAGCCACAAAGTCTAGCAGTCACTCCTACGAAGCCCCAGAGAGCGAGGCTGGCATCCACCGCGGACCAGTCAACACTCGCGCAAACACGCTCGCCATCTCAGAAGGCGAAGGCTCACTAGGCCGAGAAGCAACATGGGACGACTTCCCCAACGGCCGCTGGGGCGACGCTCGCTCCCCTGCCTTTGGTGAAATCGATGGTTATGGACCTACGCTACACGTGTCGACACCACAAGCCTTGAAACTCTGGGGTCATCCTGTGGAGAAAGAAGATGTCTCGAATTTGTTTAGGCAACATCTTGAGGGAAATCTCGAAGCTCTACCTTGGAGTGAACAAGGCCTTTCCCCAGAAACAGCCACCATCAGCAAGCAACTACTGGCCTTGAATGCTAAAGGCTGGTGGACAGTAGCTTCTCAACCTGCTGTCAATGGTGTCAAATCAACGGATTCCATCTTTGGCTGGGGCCCCAGGAACGGCTACGTCTTCCAAAAACCCTTCGTCGAATTCTTCCTCCCTTCTTCCCAATTCGCAACCCTTAAACCCCGCCTAGACGCCCACGAACAAATTACCTACTTTGCTGGCAACTCGGCAGGAGACTGGGAGGCGAGTCAGGAGGAGAGCGTAAATCCAGTGACATGGGGCACGTTCGCGGGCAAGGAGATTGTCACTCCCACTATTATTGAGAGCGTGAGCTTTAGGAGTTGGCTCGAGGAGGCGTTTAGTATATGGAGGGAGTGGCAGAGGATTTATCCTTCCAAGAGTGCGTCGAGTAAATTGCTTGGCGCCTTGAGAGAGGATGTCTGGCTGGTGAATGTTATTTGGGGGGATTATGTTGAGGGCCATGGGCTGTGGGAGTTTTTGGAAGCGTAGATGGGGAGGCTGGGTTGTGTGGAAACTCGATTGATAGTAATCAATAAGATAGTACGTGTTACGCTCTCCCTTGTTGTCTCCCTAGACATCTCGTTAGCTACATTTTCCGATTGCGCCTACAGAAGGCACCATTCACATTACATCGGGTCCATTAGTTCATCATGGAGATAGCTAACTTAAATTGGTACGCTCAGTAGAGAATAAAGATTGAGTGGCGACTTGAGGGAATCGTGCAGTCCACCATCAACTTGTAATCGGACGAGATATAAGGACTCGCATCAGCATGTCAGAGCAAATCACAACAACCGTCTCCAAGGTTCGACTATCAAATTACCGTAGATTGTTCGAGCAAGTAAGAGATTTGAAGGCGGCCTATATGTGCTCATCTATACTATCATCTCGGAGACGTTGGTCTGTCTATGCCAAAACACTACCGTGATGTGTACCCACCATCGACAGCCAGTGCTGAACCAGTAACGAACGAGCTCCGCCCACCAGCCAAGTAAAGCACCGCATCAGCAATTTCCTCCGGCCGCCCCATCCTTTGCATCGGTACCGCAGTTTGAACCCTCTCCTGCATCGCCTTGAGCACCTCCGGATTCTTCGTCGTCATAGGCGTCTCCGTATACCCAGGACACACAGCATTGATTCTCAAGCCCTGATTTGCATAATCCTCGCTTGCGCTCCTCGTCAGTCCAAGTATCGCGTGCTTTGACGCTGTATAGGCGGTTGAAAGCGTGATGCCAACCACGCCCTGGATGGACGAAAAGTTCACGATTGAGCCGCGCTGGAGCGGGCGGTTGTTGAGCGAAGAGAGAATGGGTTCTTGCGTGAGCATTATGCGTGCGGATGCGCGTAGGACGTAAAATGTGCCGTTGAGGTTTACGTCGAGCACGCGCTGCCAGGATTCGGTCGTCGCGTAGGCGGCGCCACCGGCGTGCTTGAGTGCTATCCCAGCAGCATTGACAACGTAGTCGATGCGACCAAATGCTTTCGCTACGGCTTGGACGTGATCAGTGACTTGGTCTTCGTTTGTGACGTCTGTGGGGAGAATTTCGATGCGGCAAGTGGGTTTGTTGTCATCTCTTTTGTCGATGATGTTTTGGATTTCATTGCGGACGGAGGATAGTGCTTCTGCGTTAAGGTCGAGGAGTGCAATGCCAGCGCAGCCTTCTCTTGCGAAGGCAAAAGCGCACGCTTTCCCGATTCCCGACGCGGCTCCCGTGATTAGGGCGAAGCCGGGTACGTCCATTGGTATGAGCTTTTGAACCGTGATTCGAGTGACACGGGGAGGCAGGCGTGTCAGGGTATAAGTAGAAGCGCCTTGGTAGATATATACTATGTGTGCTACATAACTCTTTTTGATGCTCGGGATAGCTTTCCTCAAGTTCAAGGCTGTACTGCACGTATCTCCGACATCGCTGCGTGGACTTGCAGGCTATACTCCAGTAAAAAAACAGATCAATGCGCAAAGTAATTTCATCCTACATCAATATACGTACAACTCCGCTGCAGAATTTGCCTTGAAGGAAGTATCTACTCTAAAAAAACGAATCCCTCATATCCCTTCTCCTTGCAATCCGCACACCACTTACGGTAGTTAATGGCACTTCCTGCATACCTCGCCACAGTCCTTTCTGTCTTCCCTTCCACATTCTTATTGACACCTGTCATCCAGCTATCGATCTCGTTCATAAGTCCCGTCTTACCGCAGTCAAATACATGCTCAGTCCACAAATCCACGGCCCCCGTCGTTGGCTCAAAGTATGTGTATCCCTTATCATGGCAGTATGCGAGCATATCACATATAAAGGCTGACGCGTGCTCGATGCTGCGCGTCCCGTTTCCAAAGGGCTGGTGAGGCCCTAGTACCATGAGCATGTTGGGCATAGCAGGCGCCGATAGTCCAAGAAATGTCTTTGGTCGGTGGTCAGGCCATATGGCACTTTCGTAGCGTTCCGACCCACGGCTTACGATCAGAGGACGGCCGTCCTTTGCGTGCCAATCGATGGCGCCGAATGCGCCCGTGATAGCGTCGAATCCGGTTGCAAAGATTAGAATGTCGAGCTCATGTAGCTGTCCGTCGTCGGTTTCGATTCCCAGATTAGTGACACGTGAGATGGGCGTCTTCTGCAGATCGACCAAGTGCACGTTATCCTTGTTGAAGGCTTCAAAGTATCCAGTCTCGAGCGGGACGCGCCGCGTTCCAAAGCCGTGGTTCTTAGGGATTAGACTCTCCGCCACAAGCGGATCACGTACCCTTTGACGGATCTTGTCTGCCATAAATGCAGAGTACATATCATTGGCTTCCCGGTCAGTGTACGTATCACTGAATACACCGAGCCACTTGCCGAATCCAGGAGAATTGTAAAGCTTCTCCCAGTGCTCAACACGAGCTTCCGGTGTGACTTCAAGTGATTTTCGAGGATCGGCTTCGTGTAAAAAGCCTGCTGGTGTTGTGGCACAGCGCTGAAAGATGGCATCATACCCTCCTTTTGCTATCATCATCTCCTCTGCTGAAATTGTAGTGTTTCTTAGGGGCGCGGACCAGTTCGCTGTCCGTTGGAAGACGCTGAGAGATCCAAGGCTCGGGTCTTTCGACAATGCTGATATTGTTTGAATCCCGGTCGCTCCTGTGCCTATTATGCCTATTTTCTTACCAGCGAAATCGCGGCTGATGTCGATATCGCCCGGCCATCGCGAGGTGTGGAATGCTTTGCCCCTAAAGTCTGCAATTCCTGGAATCTTGGGTAGAGTGGGCGATGATAGAAAGCCAAGACAGCTAACGAAGAAACGTGTCACGTATTCTTCACCTTCTTCATCGAAGAACGTCCAGGTGTGATCACGGTCGTTCCAATGTGCCGATTTGATTCGCGTATTGAATTTCATGTCTTTCTCCATCTCATGTTTCTCTGTAACCCGTTTAATGTAACGTTGCGTTTCCGGCTGCTTCGCAAAGCTTTCTGTCCACTCCCACTCCTGCAACAGCTCTTTGTCGAACGAGAAGCAGTATGATAGGGACTCCGTATCGATCTGGCACCCGGGGTATCGGTTCCAGTACCATACACCACCAACATCCGTACCTGCCTCCAGTACTTTGACGCGCCAGGTTGGGAATCGTTTTCTAATGTGGTAGAGACTGCAGACCCCAGAGAGGCCAGCGCCAATGATCAGGACATCGTAGGCTGGTTGTGTGTCTTGGGGAATGGAGCCCATCCTCGCGGTTGACAAGACGATAGAAATAAAATCCTGACAATTGCTAAGGAGATGGAACCACAACCCTTTGTAGTTTTACCTACTGTGAGGATAAGGGAACACCATGTCATAGGACACTATAGATCGGTAGAAGCCTACCTCTTTCGATACTTCCGAAAAACGGAGGCTGGGATACTCACTCCACGTCGATGTGGACAAGCTCTCAACGGATTGCATACGGGGTTATAGGAATTCATGGCACGGCTAGGATCAAACCAGTTCGTCACCCCGCAAACCAGTGGGGTGTGGTGGTTGGCGGCTTGCGATAGGCAGGGTGGCATTGCCCGATGTGAAGAGAGGAAGGTGTCCGCGATACTCTAACCCGATCGAGTCGAGACGCTTATAATCGGTCCGGACAACCACATAACTGCCCTTCTCCGAGTAATCCGCTCGAGATAGATCCATCGTTGCAAAGGAATGGGTCTGCTGCCCGAATAAGACAATATGGCGAGCTTAAAACGCAGGAGGGCAGTGCAAGGCAACCGCAGCCGATCCTTTGGTGGATGTGCGACAGTATGTACGCATGCATCATTGCGGTAGCCATTGTACTAATAGTGCGCAGTGTCGGAGGAGACATACTAAGTGTGATGAGACAAGACCGAAATGCACATCGTGTATCAATGCAGGTCTGAGCTGCAGTGGCTACGAGAAGACTGTGTTTTTTTGCTCCGAAGACGCCTCATCCAACGGTACCGTACGATTTCGGCGGCCACTGCTCACTGAAATTGAACGTGCTTGCATGAGTGAGACATTGACGTCTAGCGTTCCTCCAGGATTAGCTCTTTGGCATATCGAACAGGTTCATGAGAAAAGCGAAGCTGCGTCTCGCACAGAAGACTTCGAAGTCTATCATGGCTGCTTTGGCGCGTTCAGGGCAGCTCAGGGCCAGGACCGCTTGACCGGACGCAATTCTATAGATGATTCTGCGACAGGTTACTGCCCGCAAGACGTAGTCTTTCTTGATGGGGGTAGCCCCTATCTGTATGACGAAATGGCCTTCACACCGAGGACTCGCGCCCTGTTCCAATCGATTATGGAGGATTCTTTGCTTATACATGATCCCCTCCCTCCGGTGACGAATTCTTCCGACTACACAAACAACTTCAATCGCTTTGAAGAGAGCTTCGATGTCGAGTTTACTCCCTCTGTCTTTCAACAACCAGAACAATTTCCATTATGGGCCCAGGACCCCTACTGTCCACAATCGCCCTCCTATACAACTGCAACTCAAGTTAGACATTCAGAATCGCCTAGTTCAATCCAATCGAATCCAACTATGGGTAATGCCTTACCTCAAGACGTTTTACATCTTTTTAAGCACTACTCGTCGACAGTGCTCAGGCTACTGACGCCTTTTCAGCACAGCAAAACACCATGGCATGTTCTTTTCATGCCTCACGTCAAGAGCTGCCTAGCTGCTCTCACACTAAGTGAGATTCTGGATCACGCAAGCTTGTGTGCGTTCTATGGCATACTAGCCGTCAGTGCCTTCAGCCTCAATGGTCTCTCTGGAAGCGCGTCGTGGCTAGAGACAGGAAAAAGGTACAAAACACGAGCGCGTGAGCAAGCGCGACACATGCTGCACTCCGCCTACGAGATTCCAAAAGTGGCAAAGTACAAGTCCATCCTTATGGCTCTTCTCACTATGATTCAGGTGGCAATGACATCGGGAGACATTGAACAAACAGATTGCTACTTCCTGGAAGCAGAAAAGTTCATTCGAGTCAAGGGTCTTAATCGCAAGAAATCTCGGAAAGTTCGTTTGCTTCACCACTGCTATGCGTTTGAGCGCATGTTCCACGAGAGTGTCTTTGTCGCCGACATGAACTCGAGCCATCGTAATCACATTCGAAAGTCCATCGAATCAAGCGGCGCAGCTAGCTACAGTCAAGATAGCCTTACATTCCGCCTGAGTAGCTGGAACAATCTCGACGAAGAGATGATGAAGGTCAAAGGACAAGAGGAAGGCGAAAATGATCTACATCTTCAACTACCAGGAACTTGGTCTGCTACGCTTTACCCGGAGATATATGGTGTTCCGGAATCTTATCTATTTTTGCTATCACTCATCATTCGATTAGGAAAGGAGAAAGATGCCGCTGCACAGCAGGACGTTGCGGATGGACTAAGTTTGAAAGAATTTTTGAGCCGCGCGGAAGCAGTAGAGCGATGCATCAATCAACTTCGACCACCTGATCTAAGCAGCATCGATCTCGCTGTCTATGATTCACATGATCTGTTGAATAAGATGCTAAGTAGCATGCAGAATGCTCTGGCAATCTACTTTTACCGGAGAATCTACGATGTAGAGGCTTCTGTAATTCAATCAAAGGTTGAGGCAGTATGCAACTGTCTATCACACTTTGAGCCCGCGGGGCTTGACACGGCTTACGGTGCTTTCAGACTCATTTGGCCCGCATTCATTGCAGGCTGCGAAGCTGAAGATCTCGGTTTAAGAAACACAATCTTAGATTGGTTTGATAGGTCTGCCGCATGCAGTGGATCCCGCCTCTTTGCAGAAACGCGAGACAACATAACACGCATATGGGCACAGAAAGACGGTGCAGCTGGCAGTGTCTCTTGGGTTGATCTCATAAAGAACAGTGCTTAGTGGGCAATATCACTCGACGGAGCGTATTTGGCAAAATTGACAACGACCTCCCTACGTACTACATCATCACCAACCCCACTAATAGCGCCCCTAGCGCAATTTCGAGATGGACAGATCGACCGTCACGTGTCGGCTTGACCTTCCAATTTTAGCTGAGATAAGGTATCGACGATAACCACTCTCGAATATACACCTATTTGCTACTGGATGGTCGGGTTGTATCCAAACTCTATTTCGTCTCAATCCTTCACGAGTCGGCTTTCCCCTGACGGAATTTCTACAATTGAACGTCTATTATTCAATTACCGTAAGTTATAGACCTACACATCAAGAACGATAGCTTGCCGCAATCTCATATGATTAGGTCTAATACGCTATGTCTACGTTCTCTGGGAAAGCCGTAAGTGTTCTCAACTCTGTTAGATAGTGGCTGGTTACTTATGGCAAGTAGATTGCGATCACAGGCGCGGCTTCCGGAATGGGCCTGGCAACAGCACGTCTGCTCGCATCTCAAGGGGCACACATCTCCGTTGGAGATATTAACACCGACGCTGCCAGATCAGTAACAGAGTCTCTTCCAGGCGGTCTTGAGCAGCACATGTACACATTTGTCGACGTACAGAGTGCCAATTTGGTCAACACTTGGATCGAGGCTACAGTGGAAAGATTTGGCACATTGAACGGGGCAGTGAACATGGCGGGAATCATTGCAAAGGCCAAGCCAATTGTGGATGTTACGGATGAAGATTGGGATCTTACATTTGCTGTGAACACAAGGGGTGTGTTCAACTGCCTGAAAGCGCAGATCAAAGCGATGAGCGGTGTTGGAGGGTATAGTATCGTAAGTCCTGTTCCTTTCGCTTATCCTGCAAAACCTGATAGCCGCCAGGTTTCTGCAGCAAGTGTCTTTGGTCAATTTGGTGCACCAGGAAACTCCGTGTATTGCGCTAGAAAAGCTGCTGTCGAGGCACTTAGTAAGACTGCTGCTAAAGAAAACCCACATATCAGAATCAACTGTGTGGCACCTGGTAAGAAATATACGTTACACTGCTCGATCTTCTGCGCGTCACGCTAATGTTTGGAGGGTAAAGGCTCGGTGAATACTCCTATGTCGCAAGGCGAGGATCCCGAGGATGTGAAGAGAGGCTTACAAGTGACCATTTTGAAGAGGAGAGCTGAGCCGGACGAAATAGCAAACGTTATCGCTTTCTTACTAAGTGAGAGCGCTTCTTTCGTTACAGGAGCGGTCTATAATGTTGATGGAGGATGGGTTTGCTGAAGGATGACAAAAATGCTATGAAAGACACTTTCATCCGCAACCCACTTTACATAATTTGTTTGGAAGTTAATGATTATGTCATAATATCTATAGAATCAGGGTATAAACCTAACGTCGAATTGTCACGTCCTTTTTTGACTCATAGAACTCTGGATAAGTGTGCGGTAGCTACGAATTTGACTGCTTTGAGATGCCGACTAGGGTGGTAGAAAGTGATAGGGGTTGGTCCACGTATGTGGTGAAAGGTACCACCGCGCTCGTGATTACGACCACGTCGTGTGATCCAACACGGAGTGCGATTGAGACTACCAAGTTAGATGCGGGGATAGCCGCTAATTCAAAAATGGTAAGAGCCATGCAACCAGATCTGCAAAGGCTTAGCATTTGATAATGTCGTCATCGCATGATCTCCATGACAAAGTCACTGATAGCCTCCACAAATTCGTTGATTTCCCATATTAAGCTGCCCGAAGAATGTGTGGCATTAGTTGTGCTGTTGCTCTGCGGGGTCATGGGCCCCTAGATCGAAGCCGCGACAAGCTGAGCAAGACTTTAGATGAGAGCCTCGATAAAATCAAGCATAGAGGACCAGATGCAAAAGGACAATGGATTAGCAAAGGTCAACGGGTTGGTAAGTGAATTCCTCCATCCAGATGAACAAATTACAGACACGTGACTGACTACTTCACCCTTCAGCTCTTGGCCACAATCGCCTGGCAATCGTGGATCTAAACCCTGAAGCAGAGCAGCCATTCCATGATCTAGATGGGAATATACATGCTGTTGTTAACGGCGAGCTGTATGGCTACGAGAAAATTAGGGATGAAATGAGTCTCCGGGGCTACCAGTTCCGCAGCAAATGTGATTCTGAGATTGCAGTTGCGCTATACAAAGAGTACGGACTTTCGTTTTTGTCGCATTTGCGGGGCGAGTTTTCACTCTGTCTTTATGACTCTCAATCCCAAACATTCATTGCGGCTTGTGATCGTTATGCTATCAAGCCGCTTTACTACACAACCTCAAATGGCATGCTACTTGTAGGTACCAATCACTTTCGAGTTCAATATCAATATAAACACTCGCTGAGGACTAACTTGGGCTCAACAGATCGCGTCGGAAGCCAAAGCCTTCCTCCCGTTTGGATGGCAACCCAACTGGGACGTGCAAAGTATCAAAGATGTTGGTTGGCTATGCGATCGACGAACTATTTTTCAGGGTGTACAGAAGATATTACCAGGTTACTATCTCACTTGCACATCGTTCAGCACTGTTTCCCAGTACAAGTACTGGGATCTAGACTTCAAAGACAAACGCGAAGTGGAGACGCGAACAGAAAAAGAAATGATTCAAGGTGTACGAGAACGTTTACTCGAGGCGGTGAGAGACCGACTCCGCGCAGATGTACCTATTGGTGTCTTCTTGAGCGGTGGTGTTGACTCAAGTGCTATTGCTGGGATGGTGAAGCATCTCATGGATACAGAAGGCGCCCAGTTGGGCACAGCACCGCCGTCAGAGAGAATCAATTGCTTTTGCGTCAAATTCATGGATGAAGAACACGATGAAGAGCCCATTGCACGACGCACCGCAGAGTGGTTAGGCGTCAAGATGCACAATGTGGAGATGACTGAAGAAGTCTTCGCTACCAACATCGAAAATGCTGTCTGGCATAATGAGGTCGCGGTAACAGACCTCGGCACAGTCGGGAAGTTCTTACTCTCGAAACTCACATCCGACGCGGGGATAAAAGTCGTTCTTACTGGTGAAGGGTCGGATGAGCACTTTGGCGGGTATCGAGAGCTCTTGACTGACTTCGTCCGAGAGCCAGACCCATCTTCGCCTGATTCTGGGCTTTCGGAGGAGGATCGTATACGCACTCTCAAAGATTTGGACGGGAACGACTATTCTGGAAATGAACCACCGACAGCTGCAACACCTCGGAAACAAATCAACGATACCTCATTCGTCGGCTTCACCCAATCTGCCTCGCTCACGGACAGCCTGTTTGCTCCGTGGATATTTGACGAATTCGGCAAGAGCGACAAGCGTCTGGCAGCTGTGAACTCTCTCGATGGCCGGACTCGTACACTTATGGCGAACAAGTGGCACCCACTCCATACCTCATTATACATATGGATCAAAAGTACACTCGCGAACGGCTTACTTACAGTATTGGGCGACCGCTGTGAGATGGCACATAGCTTAGAAGGACGGCAACCCTTCCTCGACCACCGCCTCACCGAGTATGCCGTAGCCTTACCCCCAAGTGTGAAGATACACTGGGACCCGAACTCCCGCACTTTCAGTGAGAAGTGGATTCTAAAAGAAGCGATGAGACCTTTCATCACCGATGAGCTATATGCGAGGAAGAAGCATCCATTCTCCGCACCGGTCAAGTATAAACCGAATGGGCCTGTGCACAAGTTTTTCGAAGGGCTGATTACGAAAGAAAATGTTGAGCGATTGGGCTTTCTGGAATGGGAGAATTGCAAGAGTTTGGTGGATGATGCAATCTTTCATGCTGAACGACCGAAATATAGCCAGATGATACTCGTGGGTCAGTTTATCATCTTGCAGAAGGGATTTGGTGTGAAGAAGGCGTCCCCTGAGCTCATTACTAAAGAGCAGTACGAGCTTACTACCTAAGTTGGGGCTGACCATCGAAATTGGACTTCACGAAGAAGGAGTGATATGTCAGGTTATTGCGATCAACTTCTTGTGTAGATCTTCATCCTCGATATTCCCAAATGAAATTAAAAGCGTTGCCCAGGTTACGATACAACATCTGAAAAGAACATGACGCTGAATTAGTAAACAAGGCTCAGCTATTGACTAGCAAGTCTCCCAGTACTTGAGCAATGCCCGTTTTCCAAATTATGAGTTCTTCTTCCAGCTGGTTGAGCTTTTCACACTTCACTTTATTGAACAGGCAATGTAATCAGAGTAGAATGAATGATTGAAAGCTGATAAGCCATGGAGAAACCAATACTCCCATGACGGAGATTAACCTCCAACACCATTGTCATATTCTTCTCACGAATTGGAATGCACGCCAACCATTGATTTGGTTTCGAAAACGGGTACCGGTAGAGGGAGCTTCGTCGCACTAGCCAGGCCGTCAAGTCCTCTTAGGTATCTCTTCCCCATCTCCAATCTCTAGCGTAGTAAAGTCCATCGTCGCCTTTGACAGTCGATCAACGAACTTTCGATCATCCAAGTAGTCCAACCAGAATAGATCCCAATTCATCATCTCAACGGGATCCCCCGGTAGGTATGGCCTCGGAGCAACTACCACCCAAGCTGTAGCATTACCGTCCTCTTGCTTGAACTTATACCCGTATGGTACACGAAATCCACTCTGTGCTGTAATTTCATACTTAAGGCCGTCCATCCATTGGATCGGCTCTTCCTTGCCTCCACATTTGCGCTCCCGGGACACTATCAACTCTTTGACTCGTATGGGGAAGCTCCGACCGATAAGTCTCACCCATAACGCATTAGGTCCTAAGAGCCTTTCAATAATTGAACCGACAAGAGTCTCTTTAGGCTTATATGGTGCCCAAAGCGGGTTGTTCCACGGAGTTTCGACCATGTGAATATGCACTTTGTTCAGTTTGACCATATGTAGACTCAATGCGATGTCGATTACAATCTTATTCGGACGGATGCTCGGAGTAGATAACCGGATCTTAATGTTGATATCTATCATCGTATCCACTGGTATCGCCGCAGTCGTGAGCTCCCTCGGAAGGCTAATCTCGACATGATCGTTGCTGTGCTTTTGCTGTATCTCCAACAGGTAGGTCCGTAGCCTAGGAGCAGCTGCGTTGTCCATCTCCTTCTTAGCTTGGCGACATGATAGATAAAGGCCGGAATAATTCTTAGCTTCGCGGAATGGCCTGAGCGGGATAAGATCGTAGATCAGGTGGCGAACATCCAACGGAAGATGGTCAAAGAAAGCGTTCGGGCGCTTTGGCGTTCGTTGGAGCTTCGCGCCATACTTGTCTCGTTCCTGGGTTTTGCGGAGGCGCATGCGTCGGGTCTCATGTCCCATATCAACCTCGAATCGCTTTCGCTTCTTTATAACCATATCCATTGATTCGTGGGAGTTTTGCACTTTACAGTGCGGTGAGTGGGTTTTTTGAGCAAAATTGGACGTTGAAGTAGCGAGGTTGAGATCGAGTGTGCAATTATTGTCAAAGTGCAGGTGGAGTCAAGAATACATGAGAGGGAGATTTGCACGGGCCAATCACCTGGTTGTGACTCGTCGGTGTTTCACACAACAATCCTCGAATGGCAAGTCTGGTGAAAGCACGTAACAAGGGTCTATCACAATGTTAACACGGGCAACCAACCTTGGAAGAAATCAGCCCTTCCAGCCTCCGGGCCTTTATCCAAGTTTAGTATTCTAGTACGACTTGCCTTATTGAAAGACTTCATCATCGCGAGACAGCAAGAGTATTGGCTTACCCAATGCCATTGAACGCACTGGATAGTTGAATCTCTCCGCCACACAAGAAAGGACCCTCTCCACTATCCCTCGAAGGTATAATGTCTCACCTTGGAGGAGGAAAAAGTTGTAAAGCTTGGAGAGCTCTCTGCAAGTCCTAAAAGCGGTATCGCAACACAATGAACTATACGACACTGTGGTTATAGTGCTGTAGCTGGCAGCAAGACAAGAGACTGAATATCGAATAGTAGTTGACTTATATGAGATGGGTGAGGGACAATCATGTAATCGAGATCAGTGTATTTGATATTGTCTACTGACAGACTTGATGATTCAGTATTCGATAAAGACTTCCGAACCGTCGTCTATAATATAGTAGATCAATCTCGATTCCGACTCGGACTCCACCTCTTGAAGACAAACTCTCTCACCGAGTACTGCTTCAGCACTGCTCCAACATCGAATTTCAAGTCATCTCCCCTACCAACACCATCCCACGGCGGAGGCACCTCTACGTAGACGAGAATCAACGTCTTCATGACCTGGGTCTGCACGCGATTGACCCGATGGAACCACCACCAATCCCTATACTCCTTCTCCTTCTCCTTCATATGAGTCAAGTTTTCTGGGTTGTCCTCCCACCACGAGTTAGAGTATGAAGGAATGATCATAATGGCAAACTCAGCATGAGTGAAAGCCGGCCCGCGGATGTAGAGGAGATAATCAACAGCAAACTTGACACCAGGACGGACAACCCAGCCTAGAGAGCGGAAGTGGTGGTACACAACGTACTTCAGCAGAAAGGGGTTGTCGGGCTCCATGGTTGGAGGGCATGACTTGACGGGGCAGACTTGCTGTAGGCCCTCGCGTAGTTGGTAAGCCATATGCAGATCGGAAATCTTATCCTGTTGTACCGGAGAAGATGCATGAGCGCAATACAGTCGCATCAAATACCAAGCCGGGTATGGGTTCAAAGCTTCCTTTACATCAAGGTCGCCGTCTTTGATTATGTCCAAGACGCCGAGAACGTATGTGAGGAAAAAAGCTTCCTCCGGGGAAAGTTGAAGGTGCTCCAGATCCTGGACTTCAGTTCCCTGAACGGCGTCAACGCCATTTGCGCCCCATGACAATGCTTCCTCGGTGTTGGCAAGACTCTTATCAACTTCGAATACGATCGAGTCACCTGTCACGGTCACGACATCTCCAGCATTGGGCGTGTAGATAGTTCCTCGAGGAGATTCGGACACTTGACCGTTCTCAACCAACTCATCAAGGCTGCCATCTGCGTCCAATTTCCCCTCCTGTCGCAGTTGCTGCTCAATCGCCTCACGTTGAGCTTTCGCTCGCTCCAGCTTGAACTGCTTGCGCTCTTCTCGCCGGGACTGCGTGACTTCGGCGCTAGTCTTTGAAGCTTCCGCACCCTGACGGCGCTTTTCAGCAACCAGCCATTGCGGTTCGCTTCGACTAAGAGAGCCTTTCCCCCAAAAGCCCTGTTCCCACAAGGCGCGGATAGAGGCAGTGTCTGTAATGTGGATGGACTGGGTTTCTGGGGAGTAATAGGCCTGGTGGACCAATTTATGTGATTGTGGTGGCCAGATCGAGTGAGAAATCAGGCCGATAGCAATCCTTACTAGTGAAATCGGGTTGTGTGGGATGAACACGGGCAATGGATAGACCTCAAGCGGAAGTGGGTTGGCATGGATCTGGTGGTAGTTGGGTCGCTTTTGGCGCGGTTTCCTCGGTGCACCGTTTGCAGCCTTCTCTGGATTCTGCGACGTTGCGCCAATTTCACATGGCGCGCCTTCGGGTGAAGCTTGCGCAGGTGTGGCTACAGCCATGTCGCTGATCTTAGCTCGGTGTTCGACGAAACTATAGAACGATGTCAGCAGGTTTCGCATAATCGTTTCCAAGGTAGGTGCGAGAGAAGGTCCTGTGATCAGATACCGTTGTAGTCTATAATAACGAGTGCTGCATAGAACGCCAAATGCAGTCAAGTGAATGCTTGCACCGACGATCTTATAAGAGAGATGTTGTCATCATGAAGGTGGATGAGAGAAAATAAGGAAAGGCACTTACCCGGCCCCAGCGCTTTCATGTAATTGCGTCGTTCATGAAGATGGTGAGCTGCGCTGCATGAGAGTTGTGGATGAAAGTTGAGAAAAGGTAGCTCTGACTTTTTGCATAGTCGGAGAAATTGACGGCCCGCCAACCTTCACCTGATTGGTTCCTAGGGCCGCAAGCACGTCGAGTCGAACTACCACGCTGCGATACGATAGAAAGCATTCTCTTGACCTTGAATCCGCTGTGCTTGTGTCAATTAGTCACCGTATTGCTATTCGCTTTTTGAAAGGCTCGCACTACCATCAGAGTGAAGCATCGAGATGACGTAATCTGCAACAGCTTAAGCTTGAGCTTTAGGACAAAACAAAATTACTTCGACCAACGCCACGATAGGGCAGACAAGACTCACGCATATCATCAGGTCATCTGCGAATGAACTAGCGGCAGCTTGGATTGATTGAATACTCACGCAGACAGCATTCACATATCTAGATACATAGAAGCAATCTTCCAAGATGCTGCCAGCGGCAAGGTGGTCGTGGAGATTACCGCGGGAGTACATTCGCACATTCGCAACGCATATCACACCCTCACCACCTAGGCCTCATGTTCGACTACAAAGATACACTCGTCCGCAGCGCCGAGCTCCAGCATTCTCGTCGAAACCGCCTGAGCCTCCTTCGAACACCCCAAACGACTCTCCAAAAGATGCCTCGAAAGTCGAAGCCGTATCCATTGCCCTCTCCACGACTCCCGACTCCGAAAACAACCTCATAACACCTGTATATATGCCCGAAGACCCGCATGCTATTCTCAAAGAAACCCATCCCGCGATGCGACTGCTCGACAATTCAGCAATCGTGGTACAACGGCAGCTGGAGATGATGAACGTGTTGATGGGCTTCGAGCAAGCAAATCGCTACGTCATTATGGACCCTCATGGCAATCACATCGGATACCTAGCAGAGCAGGAGCACGGCATAGGCAATGCCGTGGCAAGGCAGATGCTCAAGACACATCGGAGTTTCACAACCCACGTCTTTGATCGGGAGGAGAAAGAAATTCTACGATTTCACAGGCCTTTCAGCTGGATCAACTCAAGAATACGAGTCTACGATGCTGTGGGCAAAGACAACGCGTACACTAGTTCTACCAGCCTACAAGGGACAAGCGCTGCGAGTGTTTTGAACCAGACGAACGCGAATGTGTCGAGCCTGGCTCTAAGGGACATGCGAATCATTGGTTCGGCAGAGCAGGAGTGGGCGCCACTGAGGAGAAAGTACAATATGTTTCTTGCTAGAAATCTCGGGAACGATGCTGCCGCAGTTGGTACATCACAGATAGCATCAGGCGACCTGCCACTATCCAGCTCGAAAGCCGTAGCCATAGTAGAAGGAGACACAAGAGAAGTCGGTATGCTGCAATTCGCCCGCGTAGATGAACCCTTTTTGTCTTGGGACTTCAGCTTGACGTCTGAAGACGGTCGACTGGTTGGCTCCGTGAACCGCAACTTTGCGGGCTTCGCGCGCGAGATTTTCACGGATACTGGTGTATATGCGCTGAGGATGGATGCTGCTGGATTGGTCAATGAGCCTTCACATCTTGTTTCGCAAACTGGTGATCGAAGTAAATCCTCGCTAGAAGGATATCCAGGCATGACCCTCGACCAGCGCGCAGTCATGCTAGCCACAGCCGTTTCCATAGATTTTGATTATTTCAGTCGGCATAGCGGATCAGGAGGCATGTGGCCAATGTGGATGCCCGTGTGGTGGGGCGGCGGCGAAGCGGCAGGTGGAGCCGCCGCTGGAGAAGCTGGCGCTGCTGGAGCCGGTGCTGTAGGAGCAGCAGGCGGAACAGGCATCGCAAGTGAAGCTGGAGCAGCAGCGCGAGGTCTCGGTTCCGCCGAAGGTGTGGCAGCGGGCGCAGGAACGATGGCGGGTTATGAGGCGATGCAGAGGGGCAGAGAATCGAGACAACAGCAGCAAGATCCAAATGATGATGCTTCACCACAGGCAGCGGATCCATATCAAGCAAACCCGGATCAGCAACCAGGGACACAACAGGGTCAGGAAGACGTATGGGGTCAGAGTCAAGACCCGTGGGCACAAGACAGCAAGGACCAGGACCTCTGGGGTGGGCAAGATGAGCAACAAGGAGGTAGTGATGGCGGAGGAGACTCGGACTGGGGTGACTGGTTCTGAGCGACTGTAAGATCATGGCTTGTATAAACAGCGTGTTGCAACAATACCCACTGTATATGGCCTCACCAATAAACAATGTTTCCAAAGCTCTTCAGTTTCGCGCTTGGACATACATCTAATATTAGCAAAATTCGAAGGAACACACGAATCCAGGCTTCTCAAATTGTAGAATTGCATTGTACACTTTCATATCAAAGCACTTGCTAGTTCAACGCCTCACAGTTCCCCGTAGCCCGCACTTCACCACCGCCCACTCTTCTTCACCAACCACTTCCTCAACTCCTTGGTAAACACTTCATGCGTCCTGCTCCCCAAATGACCAGAATCATACCAAAAGTATGTATCCAACCCCTCTCCACATCCATACTTACTTGGGTTATTACGAATATCTGGTTTATTGTATCCTGGGCAGAAGTTCGTTACATTTTTGAAGCCATAATCCTTATAGTTGTCCAGAACTCTATTCAGCACTGTGTTGACGTCGAATTCGAGAACCGTAGTGTCCCGGTGTTTAGACTGGAATGCATCTACATGGCTTGCCTGAATGGCGTTGAACTGCTTGACGAGCGATGCGTTGACGCTCGGCGAAGGACCACGATCCAACGGCGGCAGATTCATGAACAAGAAATTCCGATATCCCAGCTCGTAAATTTTCTCCACGCTTTCAAACACATAGCCCTGCACCGTTTCATACAGCGGCGCAAAAGTCGCGTTCTTTCCGCGTAGTTTGGCTAGATCGTTGATGTCGTTGATTCCAATCCATATCGCCACCAAACTGTCCTTCTTCTTCAGTCCAATGCCCTCTAATGCCGGATTGCCGGATTGGGCAAATTGCTGCACTTGTTTCTCGAAAGACACAGTATGGTTCCAGTGTGCGGGCGTAAATCCCACTTTGCTGACAGTATTTGCGCCCGCATACGCAAAATCCCATAACTGCACCTTACAAGTTTGTGGATCTGTCAACCCTTTTTTAACCCCACATTTTGTCAAGAATTCTACCCAATTCGGCCCGCCCTCGGCTGTGCCTTGTGCTGTAGAGGTCTGGTTCAGCACGATGCGGTTGCTGAAAAGTTGGGAGGGCGTGAAGGAAAGATTGAAGGCGTCGCCGATGAAAGTGTAATTTGGGCGGCCGAGGGCGCCTTGGACAAAGGTGTATGAGTCTCCGAATGCGATTACTGAACTTGTCTTATGCCAATCAAAAGAGGTCCTCTTATTCGTTGGGCTGTAGTTGGTTGATGTTGGTGTCGCGAGGGTGTGTGCTGCAAGCGAAAAGCACAAAGCTACGTCAAGCTTCATGGTCAAGGAGATCGAGCCTTTCGTGAAGATCTTTGAATCAATTCAGATTCTAGGCTGCCCTTGCATTTGATATACTGTTCGCGATCATTAATTGTGTTCCCGGGAACATGGCTGAACGGAAGAATTGTGGCCGAGGACGACCGGTCGGGGTAATTGAAGCCTAAGTGACGTTACGCATCTTGAGCTAGATGACATTGTGATGCGGGGTAACACTTCGAGCCTCGGAAAACATAGATACTGTCATGCCCAAGGATATCCATGACCGTGGCCCATATCTGGGGAAATTCAGGAACAGCTAGCGAAATGACGCTAGGGAAGACTAGATTTCTTGGGGATCTGGATCATCCCTGTGACCCTTCTACCTCCCATGCGAAGCAATTCGCACAGTTCCTATAAGACCCCATGTTTAACTTGATCGTTCATGAGGCCCACCACTGCTCATGGTAACCACGAAGGTCGACATTTCCATCGAGCGCTCCGGCTTGAAGCCAGGGAGTTAAATCAACATCAAGATCCTTTTGCCCCCTCGCCGCCGCAAGATCCTTAGTGGTCCAGCCGTTGCCCAACCATGCAAATCGATTGCCCTGAGGATTCAAATAAGTGTATTCCCAATCTTCCCACCGGGGATCTCGACGCACTGCATTCACCTGCACCGTGTTAGCTCACGTCACGAAGACTACTCTCATAAAACGCACATGAGCTCCACTCCCCGGCCATATCCCATGTATCCGTCCGCCTTTAATACCACCATTGTACCAAGAGCTGCAATATTCGCTCATTACTGTACGGGGAAAGAATGACTCGCAATATGCGCGGAAGTCTCGTGTCGCCGCTGCAGAGGGCGCCATGCTTCGGATTCTTTGACTTGACGCCTTCCTCAGTACGCGCGCACAGTATGTGACCTGATTCTCTACCGAATGAGTCAAAGTACCCGCAGGCCCCGTCGCATTTGGGCCCAGTAAGGTAAGGAAGTTTGGAAAACCTGGTGCTGCAATACTAAGATATGAATCTGGAAAACCTGGATCGCCCCCAGGTCGCCACGCCGTCTGTAGGTTGACGCCGTTGGCGATCACAGGGAACGCGGTACTGAAGCTGATGTCATGGCCTGTACTACAAATAATGGCGTCAACCTCTCTATGGATCCCTTCTTTGCATTAGTCGTTTCAACGTTGTTGCCATGGCCTAGCACTTACCATCCGTAGTCTGGATACCGGTGCGGGTGAACTTCTCAATCTGAACCGTCACGTAATCGACGTTATCAGCTGTCAGCGCCTCAAGGTAGCCAGGGCCTGGAGTTAGTCGGCGGCAATTCGGTGCAAAGTCCGGGATAATTGCGTTCAGCAAATCTGGCCGGTCCCCAAGTCGAGTCGACATCAGTTTCGTGATGGTCTCACGTGCAGTGTTGTTCTTTTCACCTCCTTTGAAAATACCTCCAAACCGACTAAAGAGCTCTGCCTCTAGCTCCTTGCGAAATTTCAGGTATTCCTCCGGGCTACTTCTAGCCTTTTCAATACGATCGGTAACAAATTGCTCAAGGTTTTCTCCTCCGATTGGTGCTGCTACCCACGTCTTGTTGCGTGCGTAGTGGTCGACTCGGGCCGCTACCTTCTGAAGCGGCGGCAAGACTTGCAACCCAGAAGCACCATTCCTGCTCAGCATTAGCATGGTGCTGTTGGGTCCTGACTGAAGCTTACCCTATCACGGCAATTCTCTTTCCAGCAGGATCAAAAGTCGGGTCCCAGTTTGAACTATGTCGCAGCAAACCCTGGAACTCGTCCATGCCTGGATAAATCGGCAGTCGTGGGTCAGAGAAATGACCAGTTCCGGTCACAAGGAAATCAGCCTCGTCGATATGAGTACCATCCTTCGATACAACAGAGACGAACCACTTGGCCTTTTCTTCCGACCATTCGGCCTTGGTCACTTTGCTGTTTAAATTGATGTACTTGTCCACCCCGTGTCTTGCTACAATGCCTTTCCAATATTCCTTGATCTCCGAGCCTGCAGCATATGCAGTACTCCATCTTGTAGAGGGCTCAAATGTAGCTTGGTAAGCGTGGGCAGGTACATCGCACCGAACGCCCGGGTATATGTTGGTATGCCATACTCCGCCCTCGTCTCAAGATCAGCAAAATCTTCCATTCATTCCTAAGGACTAGACTCACGACATCGGATTCTCGTTCGTAGATGACCAAGTCGATTTTGGGCACCTTAGCGGGGAGAAGGACTGACGCTGTGATACCGGAGATTCCTGCGCCCACTACCACCACTCTCAATGGCCGCACATCGTCCAATGGGTGGTCTTCTAGTTCTAGCGGTGGAAAAATAGTCCGTGTCTGTGGAAATTCGGGGCCTGGCTCTTTTGATTGTACTTCGGCCTGCTCCTCTACAGCTATTGTAGAGCTAGGTGCTAGATGGTCACTGATAGCTTCAAGTCGAGATTTAGAAGACATGTTGTGAGAAATTAAGAGTGAAGATGTATCAGAAGCTATATTGTTCCCCAAAGACTCAGTTTAGGAATGAAGGCTTGGAGTTGCGCCCGACGTTGAGCGACAGCATGTCGCCATTGTGGATCGATCGCACCTCTATACCCGACATCGCAGGCTTATCATTAGTTTTCGTAGTCTTTTTGGAGTTGGTTACTGTCAGTGTTAAGCGCGCATGCGCAATCCATCGCGCAGCTATAGTAGCTACCGCGAGTCATGCTTCTTAGGGTCGAGCACGTCACTTATGAGCAGAACATCGTCAACGCCAACCACTCCAAATTCCGCATTTAATCAGCCCCCTGCATACACGCGGCAACCTGTTTCCGAGTAACTGTTGCGGGCGCGTTGCATGGGACCCTGCATTTGAATACGGAGATGGCCGATGATACTCCGATATTGAGGAGACGTTATGACTGATGGATGCAGCACACTCTCGTAGGGAAAAGGTTACCAGCTTCCACCCATTTGTGAACAGCATTCAACATGACGAATCATGTAAATGACAATGGTGATGGGTCTGCGAAGAGACAGAAGATCTCGCATGAGAAATTGAAGAAATCCATTCTTTTGAACGGATTCGATATGTTCACGCCCAGTCATCTGAGCTTCGGGCAATGGCGAAGACCAGATGATCGCTCAAAAGATAAACGAAGGGACCTCACATACTGGACAAACCTGGCACAAATACTGGAACGCGGCGACATTACGGCACTCTTCCTCGCGGACACATACGGCCAGCATGATGTATACAAGGGTAACGCTGAGCCAACTTTCAGAACGGCGTGTCAATATCCAATGGGAGATCCCTCAATTCCAGTCACCGCGATGGCCGCCGTAACGAAGAACTTGTCCTTCGCAATCACTACAAGTACAAGCTACGAATCTCCCTTCGTAGTCGCAAAGCGCTTCTCCACCTTGGATCACTTAACCAAAGGAAGGTTCGGGTGGAACATTGTTACCTCGTTCAAGAAGTCAGGCGCGGCCGCGGTTGGCCTGCCGCTGATTGAACACGACAAACGCTACGAAATCGCTGATGACTATCTTCGATGCATGTACAAGATCTGGGAGAGTTCCTGGGCAGATGATGCTCTGAAAGAAGATGCTGAGAACGAGGTGTATGTGGACTTTGAACGCGTCCGGTGGATCCAGCACGAAACGGGGGTATACAAGATCAACGCACCTCACGTCCTAGATCCTTCACCACAGCGTACTCCATTCTTGTTTCAAGCTGGAACATCCTCGTAAGCATACCTTAATTAAACTGCCAACAAATCCCATTGACAGGCGGTAGTGCCGGGATGACGTTCGCTGCAACGCATGCTGAGGGCGTGTTCGTATCAGCCCCTTCGCCTCATATTCTTGCACCACGAGTAGCCAACATCAGAAAGGAAGCCGCAGCACTTGGTCGCGACCCGCAGTCTGTGAAGATCTTCGCTGTCATTACACCTGTCATCGGTCGCACGGACGAAGAAGCACAGATCAAATACCAAGAAGCGCTCAAATACGCCAGCGCAGAGGGAGGTCTGGCTTTCTTTTCATCTAACGCAGGCATTGATCTCAGTCAATACGATCTCGACAAGGAGATTACACCTGAAGACGTTAGCGTTGATGGTCGCGTACATTCTTTGGTCAACTCACTCAAGTATCACGGCAATGACATACCGGCTTGGACACCTCGTAACATCGGGAAAGCTGTCAGTCTCGGTGCGAATGGACCTGTCCCGGTTGGCACTGCAGCAAAAATTGCTGATGTCTTGGAGGAGTGGATGGAGATTGCAGACCTAGATGGTTTCAATGTGGGATACGTGACAAGCCCTGGTAGTTTTGAGGATCTGGTTGACCTTCTAGTTCCTGAACTGAGACTAAGAGGAAGGTACCCTGAAAAGGTGGTGGGGGCGACGTTGAGGGAGAGAGTGTTCGGAGTTGGACAGAGCAAGTTGCGAGATGATCACGTGGGAAGTACGTATAAGTATGATAATTATCAGAGCACATAATCCATACCAATATCAATGCACATATCTGCAGACTAGCGATAGCTCAACAGGTATTCCGCGGGGTTCCGGCAAACCGTCTACCTTTTAGCTACGTTCACCTTGAGCTCTGTACACGTTGAGATGAGGAACACTTTGACCACTACTAGGAACGGGGTATTACTCATCTCGCTATCTCCGATACTCGCATTCGCCAACGGAGGAGAGCGAGGTTGATCTCGACTCCTTCGATGTCGCAATATCGTACTATGTTTTGATGCTAAAGTATACCGATGGTTGGGAATTAGCGACACTAGCGTGATCCACATGCCCAGGTGCCCCGTGCAGCCGTTAGCGTATAGTTGAAGTATAAATCTCTATTTGAGTCAGAATAACCTTGTGTTCATCTCAAGGCCTACCATCTGCTACATCATGGCAACTGCACCCAATTTAACTGTTGGAGAGACGGCTAAAGGCCCCGCTTTAGCAGTCGGGGACACAACGAAGGCTCCCTCGGTTTCTGCTGTCCATGAACTTAGTACAAATGGCCCGAACCATACCTACACACCTCGTACCCGGTGGGAAAAGGTTCAAGAAATAATCTGGGATGGCGGCAATCGTACACCGGAAGAGCGCAAGCTGATTCAAAGACTCGACATACATGTTATGAGTTGGGCTACGTTCGGCTATTTCATCCGTCTTCTTGACTCTGGGAATATCAGTGAGTTGAAACATACTTATATGCTCCCCTTTTACAAACACTAATGACTCGTCACAGTAAATGCCTACGTCTCTGGCATGAAGGAAGATCTTCATTTTCACGGCAACCAATACAATCTTCTCACGACCTTCTTCACCTGCGGTTATCTTGTTGGCCAAATTCCATCTCAGTTTCTACTCACACGCATCAGGCCAAGTGTGTATCTTCCGACAATCGAGCTGCTCTGGTCAATTCTGACCTTCTGTTTTGCTGCGGTTCCCAATGTGAAAACCGTATTTGCTCTTCGCTTTCTCCTCGGGATGCTAGAATCTCCGTTCGCTGTTGGCGTTATAACGCTCATGGGAAGTTGGTACACGCCACGCGAGCTCGGCAAACGCATAGCAATCTTCTACTCTGCTTCGTATGCCGCAAGCATGTTCAGTGGATATCTCCAAGCTGCCATCTACCGTGGCATGAACGGTACCGCTGGGCTGGCGGGCTGGCGCTGGCTCTTCATCTTCTGTGGCATTATTTCTATCTGGGGCCCACTGTGGGGTTACTATGCCATTCCAGACAATCCGTACACGACAAAGGCGCGCTGGATGTCGGAAGCAGAGTTGGCTCTACATATTGAGCGTATGAACGCGATTGACAGGAGAAAGCCAGTGCCACTCACCTGGAAGAAGGTGAAAGCAATTGGGAAAAATTGGCATCTTTATGCGTTCACCTTCGCATTGATGTGAGTTGCGAACATCTTCTTCCACGGTGCGAAACAGTACTGACTTGTTGGTAGATGTCATTGCGTGGTCACGCAGCCACTCAATTACTTTGCCGTGTGGCTAAAGTCCCTTAACCGCTTCACAGTGTACCAGATCAACTTATTCCCCACCGCTGCGCAAGCGACGGGATTAGTATTCACGCTGACCTATGGCTGGCTAGCCGACGGATTGAACAAGCGTTGGCAGATTCTGGTTATTCCCGCGGTACGGTCACTCCTTCAAATTCTCTACTATTGCTGATACATATCTTCCAGATTTTGAACTTTGTCGGCATGGTCATTGTAGCATCTTACCCTGGCTATGGGGCGACCTTCTTTGGCTACATGCTGAATGCGACATCGTGGGGCTTCTGGCCGGTCTTGTACGCTTGGGCGATCGAACTCATGCATAAGGATATGGAAGAGAGGGCTATCGTCATTGGCGTTGCACAAACAATGGGACAGGTTTTCATCGCTTGGGTTCCGGTGGTCATTCTGAATGTGGGCAAGTATGCACCACGATTTCACTTGGGGTTTTCTGTTATGAGTGGAATCAGCGTGCTGCAATTCTCCTCCATCTTTCTGATTCGATGGTTTGCGAAGCGTGAGGCTGCGAAGGAGAAGGCGGAAGAAGATGCTGGAACGAGTGAAGAGGGTGATTTATAAGAACACAGTAGGATGATAGCTCAATTTTGTGACGTCCTCGGATTAGTTAGATGGTTCGTTCAAAGTCACCCACGACTGGCAATTTAGTCAGCTAATTCCCTGCGTCTCTAGTGCTACTTTATCGACACTTAATGTTGATAGTACTCGTGAATTCAGAATTCAGAGGGTCCAACGGATAAAACATCCAATGATATTGGAGCGGAAGATGCACGTGCGTCGCGCTAAAATCGCGATGCGATCATTGAGAGTTGAGCGACATATCGGAACTAAACTGCTCCAGCGCCGAAACACGATTAACTTACAACATCTTTCAAATCCGACCTATCTTCACCTGCTCCTAGAGTCATTTGTCTGTCGCCAACTTCTAAGCATAAAAATCTTAAGCACCACCACCATACTTGAGTCAGATCGCAACCCGCCATCCCCACATCAACTCCACTCGCTCCAACCTCACCCCTCCATCACACCTGTGATCCCCCGTTTCGCGCTCCACGCCACCGCACAATGACCTCCTCCGCCTCAAAACGCCTCTTCAAAGAATACAAGTCCCTCTCCTCCGACCCCCCAGAAGGCATAACCGCAGGTCCCATAAACGAAGATGACATGTTCGTGTGGGAAGCTTTGATCCAAGGACCCGAAGGCACACCCTTTGAAGGCGGAGTTTTCCCCGCGGAATTAAGATTCCCCAAGGACTATCCGCTTGCGCCGCCGAAAATGAAGTTCGTCACAGAGATGTGGCATCCTAATGGTACGTTCGTTTGCTGCTTTGTCGGTTTGTGCCACACCACGCGATTGTCGGCGTAAGGTGTATTGGCTACAGGGAAAACGCTAATGTGTTGTTCGCTGCGTTGTAGTGTACCCCAATGGCGAAGTTTGCATATCGATCCTCCACGCGCCCGGCGAAGACCCGCTCCAATACGAACAAGCTAGCGAACGATGGTCGCCGATTCAGTCTGTAGAGAAGATATTGATCAGTGTTATGAGTATGCTGGCTGAGCCGAATGACGAGAGTCCTGCGAACGTGGATGCTGCACGGATGTGGAGGGAGAAGAGGGCGGAATATGAGAATAGGGTTAGGGCGAATGTTAGGAGGAGTCTAGGGCTATGATGAGATGGCATGAAGACGTTGTCAAAATATACAAGGGTATCTCACGGTGGACTGCAGATATGACGTGTGACGATTTATGACTGCATAGCTATCTTGGGTTACATGGCGAGATGGAGAAAAGGCAATTTCTCTGAGAAGAATATAGATATTAAACCAAGCGAACAAACTATGTAAGGCTCGCTGATAGAAGAACTAAGGATTATGTAGGCTTTGTATGGCCCCTTCGTGACTCCTCCGCATTGTCTCAGACAATCTCCAAGCCAGAAACCTCGCCGTATGCATTATATGCCACGCCTCTGAAGTTCCACTCCGTAGACTTCTCCTGCGTACTGCCACTCTTATCTGTCGCCCGACTAAAGATTTTCACATCTTTCCCCTTCTCAACCTTCACCCGCGCCCTCCACAGCGTCCATGCCCACTTCAGCTCCACATCGTTCGCCTCTTCTCCCTCATAAGCCTTTACCAACTCAGCATCCATCCACGTTGCTCCGCCGTCAACGCTGACCTCAACCCTCACTATTGGCCCATCAGACCCACTCGGTAGTGCATACCCCTTCACCTCAACAGTTCCATCCGTGTGCCGGTGCACAACAGAGTCTGGTTTGGGAACACCGATGACGCTGTTGATGGGCATGTCTTGTAGCGCGCTAACTTTACCCCACCATTCCTCTGCCTTCTCTTTCGAATCCGCTTCTGGGGGTAGGATCTTGTAGTCGTGCTGCTGGTAGTAGCTCTCGCTCTCCGACATCTGAACTGTAATGCGATCAAGCCACTTCACGCTCCTCGCGCCCGCGATCCCTGGGGTGACGATTCTCACAGGTGCACCATGGTTTGGTGGAAGCGGTTTATCATTCATCTCAAGCGCTAGCAGAATCGAGCTCTCCGGGTCCATGGCGCGTGATAGTGGTATCGAAGCCCCGTAGAATACATCATCCTGCGTTGGGGTTTGGAAACATGAAAATGCGACATGTGCACCTTTCCGCTTTCCGTCATCGAGTTTGATACCGGCTTTTTGGAGCACGTCGCAGAGCAGTGGGCCAGTCCATTTACAGTTCATGACTGCGCCATCGAACCAGTCTATTCCGGAAACTTCCTTGAGCTTTGTACGCATGGTGTGCCGTCTGTTGCCGGCGCATTGGAGCGCGCATACCACGCTATGCTGGGGAAGGGATTTTAGGTCTGCTATTGAAAGTGAGATTTCGTTTTGGACGAGGCCGAATATGGAAACCCTGTGGGTGTTGGCGTCCAGGTGAGGGATTGGGCCATGGTTACGATCATAGCCCTCTGTTGTAATGAAGCTATACTACATGTTAGACTTGCCAAATTGAGACTGTGCAGGGAGAACGGAATGTACCTTGACACCAACCTCTCCAAGTCTGGCTCCCGATTCAAGGGCTCTTCAACAGAATAGTCCAGCTACGACAATGGTCAGCTACCGAACGACCCCTGCATACATTATGATTCCGCATTAGGAGAACTATGTCGCAAAATGGGTACGTACCTGAACCATGGTGATCTATAGTAGTTTGGCGGCGATGGCGTGATCGAGTGATGGAAGGGTTAGACGACGGGCGAGTGCTGGTTTTATGCAGGTTTAAGCGGAAGTGGGGGCGGGGTAGTCGCGGAGGATCTGGCAAACGGGGAAGCAACAGGTGTCACTCTATAGGAAGGTGTGTGGCAGGAACGGGTAGCTGCGGCTGATACAGCAAAAATGCAGCAATCGCAAGGGTCACAACGAGTTATTGTGCGCACCGTTGAGGTTTGGCGGATTTGAAGCAGGTGAGTCAAGCTGTGCAAGAAAAATATTGTACCTTGAGAAAAATTCGAGTCTAAGCGATAAGAATACAAGCAAAAGAATTCCCCCTACAATCGTCAACAACCACACAACCCCACGAGCAAATTATAGTCACATGTTTCTTAAAGGCTTTGATCTCCATCATCATCATAACATATATACGGTGGTTCGAATCAACACATTCCTACCCGATCCTCTGTCACCGACACGAAACTCTGTCAGGATTCCATGGACTATGCACTTTTCCGTCGCGCGTTAGACATTGGTGTAGACATGCAGATTGTGGTGTTTATGCAGCAGCCGACGACTATACCAACCAAGATGGTGAAAAGGGTAGAAAATGAGGCACCAGAATGAATGCACGTGGATCCCTTGAAGAAATCCCCATCAAGTTTGATGCAGACTTGCAGTGCGTACTAGGCTTCCCACTTGTCAGCACTAGACTTCGTTGCTGATAAGCTTACCAACATTAGCTCATCATCTCCTGTGTGTATAATACCTCACATCCCCGCTTATGAAAAGATACCTCGTCCTCTTCACGCAGTTGACCAGAGTGTAACATCCATACAGCATGGCGGACAATGACTCTCTAGGTGTTCAGCGCGGCAATTACAATTGGACTCTTCCCGGGCCACTTCTCCTTTTCCTTGGTCGCCTCGCCTGCATCCCGCTGCAGTACTCCATCATCGCCTACCATCCGTTGTCAATACTAGGGTTTTCCCGGCCACCCACAGGCGGATCAATAGTCCTGCCCTGCTTACCAGCACAGTGGGCTACGCAACCACTATCCCCGGTTGTCTTCCTCGCAATGACGACCGCGCTTGTCGCGAAACAAGGCATTTGGGTCTTAGGCATCGGAAATGAATACATGTCCATTCCCTTTGCAACATTTGGAGTGCTAGCCGACTTCAGTAAGTAGTGTTGTCAAACTGCATGTGAGCCAAAAACTAAATTCATACCTCAACCTATAGTCTATGAAGGCATTTCAGCGCTTGTATTCACCGGTGCGGCTGTCAATCCATTCTGGCGCCCTTCCTTCCTTTATGTTGGTGCCGCGATTCAAATGACTGCCGTACTGCTAGAACTCGCGGCCGAGCTGCACCGCAAGTCGTTCAAGTCCAAGGCAGAAAATAAAGGAAAGCTATACACGGATAAACATTGGGGACACTGCCGCCATCCCAATTTTGCGCTCAACGTTGTTTATGGGGCTGCGTTTGGTTTCGCGGCCGGAGGTCCCATTTATGCGATGTTGACGGGCGGGATGTATCTGAGCAACTTCACGCTGAATGCTATCAAGCCTAAGGAAGACTATCTGGCAAAGAAGTACGGGGAGCAGTGGGAGCAATACAAGAAGGATGTCAGGTGGAAACTGTTCCCAGGCATCTACTGAAATAGAACGGTCAACGCAACGTATAAATATTGAACCACAAGCTTACTTGTGCACACATTGGTCATTTACTTAACCACGCTAGAGTCTTATATTCGCTAGGTCATATATTGAATATGTGGTCAGGTACTATTCGTTGAGATAGTCTTATACCCAAGCGTGATGTAGTCTTGATGGAAAGGTACAAAAATTACTAACTAAAGGATTGCCAAACATGGATCTAGATACGATATAGGAGTGTCTGATATCTCTACACTAATGCTCACTTACTACCTACCACTTGCATCGCCTATGAATAAACAATAACAATAACCCAACGAATATCTTCCAATTTATTTGTCTAACGCATGTTTCCTTTCGGTCGACACTCTGGGACTATACACCTCATGATAAGCCGGCGGTCCATCAAGATCCTCATCGTCAACATCCACAGGTCCATCCATATTACCAACGAGACGCTGTGCTTCTTCATCCTGCATCTCAATATCCACTGCTCTCCCCTTCCCCTTATCCACACTATTTGCAGTCCACAGCGACACTTCTCGATGGCCCATCAAAAATGCAATCGGAATCTTAATACACTCCACAACGGCGTAGAGAACAATAAATACCAGCATAAATGGCATACAAGGTGTCCACAAGTAACGTCCATTGTTCAATTTATACGTGAGTCCTTTACCCCATCGCACCAGCACACCATCCACCAGTGTCCGGAGGAATGCGAAACTAGCGCATACGAAGGGTATGATGTTGAGGATGGTGATGACGTGCCAGTGTGGGGCAGGTATGTTGAGGAGACGCAAGCATCTGGCACTTATCGCTGGTGGCACTGTTGCCTCTCGAATGCGTATGATGAATGCGGTGAGGATGAGACCGAAAAGGAGGGTTGAACTTGCAAGACGATTTGCGCGGATGGAAGGGGATGGGTTATCGTAACAGCAGAAGGGAAACGTTGTTGGCTTTCCTTCTACTGGTGGTGCGTCCATTATCGTCTGGTCATCGCTGTTGGGCGTCGGCTGCGGTTCAACGTGTGGCTCAGATCGCGGTTTTGGTTGCTCGAGGACAGTCATAGCAGATAGTTCTACTCTGGAGTCTGTAGCAGATGGTACAGCCTCTTCGTCGTCCTTTTTATGAGTCTCAAAGCCACAGCAGGTCAATCTCGCATTAGAGAATACTTCCAGCAGTATCGCACCCCAAATTATAGCGAACGTGCAAAAGACCGTCTTACTCGACGGCATGTCCATCTCTAGATAGCCATACTTTTGCTGACATCTTGATATAAGCATTCCTGTTTCGAAGTCCATTTTGCAAGAGAAGAAAAGTCTCTAGTAGGAGGTACACAAGATTGAAAGTGAAAAAGTAGAAGGTTGCAGGTATCATAAGGTCATATGGCTATGTATACTTGCAGGTGGCTGTGTGAGGACGTACGTTTGATTACGGGACCGGGGTTCCAATACGAAAGCATGTTCCAAAAATTGGTGGCGCAGCGTTAGGCAACGGAACGCCTGATAATCAAGTTGACCGCAGCGGTCTGCCTCACCATCAGCACACATCACCACGCGGCTAATAAATCACAACACGAGGGAATCTCTTCGTCTTATTGTAAGAACTCCACAAAGGACGGGGTGAAGTACAGACAACCTTGTCTAGAATGCCAAAGTACGAGTGAGACATTTGCCGAATAGAATATCACGAAGTCAAAAGCACACTTATCTATCCAAACACCTCAACCATGAATCGGTACTCCACCTTCCTGCCCTCAGTCCGTGCTTTAGCTGTCATCTGCGAACATTGGTCTGCCAGCTGCTGTCCAATAACCGGCGGTCCGCAAAAGAACACACCGACTTTAACTTCGCCTCTCTTTCTGTCGTCTTTTTCGTTTACACGTTCGCTCAGGACTTTACACATATCAGTGTAGTGCTCCTCCAGGATCGCTCGCACATCCGGCCGTCCGAAATACGTTGGATTCACAAGCCCAGTGATTGGACTTTGCGGGCACTCATCCGTACGATGTTTTTCGAGCAGCCAGCGAAATACATGTTGAGAGATTTGCTTGCGTTTCTGGGTAACGTAAGTTTTTATGCGGATGTCGAGATGTGAGCGGTTGAGATCTTGGGTGCGAGATACTTCGTTCAGGAGGTCGGAGAACCAAAGCAGGTTGTTTTTGTCGCGCACCATCCAGTGGAAATCAACGCGACGATGATCTATATACGGAGAATGGCCTTTGGCAACCTCGTCGGAAGATTCGGTAGAGGTGTCACCGGATGTACCACGTTGGAGCTCGTGGTGTTGGAGGTCAGTTAGGACGCCAGAGAAAGGTGTCACGCCGATACCAGCGCTGTGAGCTATTAGTAATAGTATCTAGGAGACTAGTAAAACTCCTTACCCAAAAACCATGCTGTAGTTGTAGTCATAAAATCGTTGTGCTGGTGCACCAAAAGGTCCGTCGAGACCGATCTTGATCGTGGTTCGCCGACCGCGCTGTGCCATATCTCGAAGCTTGTTCGTCCAGTCACCATCAGCTTTGACATGGACTCCCATGGTATTATTGATGCAGGTCGAAACTGTAAATGGGTGCCACTGGAACCGGGATATTTGGGGTACCTGAACGAAGACATATTGGCCTGCTTTGTAGTCCCATGGACGATGTGTAGGCACTTGTGCTGTGATTGCGACTGTTTCCTCATCAAGGAGCTCAATATCAGCCACAATGGGGCGGAAGCCCAAGAAAAATCGCCAGCCGCGTTCGAAGATAACCAGAAGCGTAGGAAAAGCCAGCCAGTAGCCAAACATTGGCCACTGTAGAAGACCGGCGGTGCCATGCGCCATCATGAGACCAATGATAGGGAACATGAGGAAGTGTCCAAGCTGGAAAACTTCGTAGCTCCATTTTCGAATTTGAGGCATGCTCATGAACGCGAGTAGGTAGAAGCAGGCGAGAGATGTCATTCCAGTCCACCCTGGTACAGAGCGTACATAGTCCATGTACGAGCGTGGAACCCCGTCATGGCCGACTATCACAGCAACTGCATCCTGTCTGCTTGCCATGCTTCCAAAAACGAATGATCCGCCGAGGTGGCCAATGGCATGCAGTGTTGCAAAGAGTAGCGCAACAATGGACATTTTGATATGAAACGACTGGGATAAATCCCAGTTTATAAATCGTGAGATGAAGTAGAACCGCCGAAGGAAAGTCGAAAACCAGCGGGACATGGAAAGTATGAGGAAGAAGAATGTTGGGTAGAGCACACCCGCGCAAGTCTTCGATATGACCACTCCCCAACCGAACGCTGGTGTGTACTTTTCGTGTGTCACGTATTTTACTAGTTGCCAGACTCCGAATGCGATCATGAAGGCTAATACTAGGCCGAGAAATGCGATCTCGGGTCCTTTGACTGCCCAATAAGCGCGTGCCTGTCGATATATTGACATTTGCTTCAAGTAATCGTCCTCATCTTTTGCTTCTTTTCGATCCTGCTCCAACGACGGGATTTCCCAAGTCTTTACACATTTTGCGAAATCATCGCGTTTGATGTGGTCCTCCCGTGTTCCGATGACGCTTCTAAGGAACTCGTGTCGAGCTTCGTCGCTACGGGATCCATGGTGTAAATTGTGAGGTTGCGCCTTCGGTTGTATCTCTTTGTGAACCTCATCCAACTTGCGTTCCAGTTCCCAGTAATCCACGCTTCCGTTATTGTCATGATCCAAGTCGTCTATGAAATTGCTTATCTCTTCGTCTGTGAGGTACTGTTGCTGGGTCATCATATCATGTACGGCTATGATAAAGGTCGGCTTCCAGGTGAGGACATGCCACATGCGGCCAACTTGTTACCTTTATCCCTCTGGCTGGGATCACAACCCATTTGGTGCCATGTGGGCATACGTGTGCCCAGGCGTTATCTATTGGCAATGTTGAATGGGTAACCTACTTGTCGCCCAGAGAAAGGTCTCGACTGGACCTAACATGTCAAGAGCCTCAAGTCGGCTATCGGAGGGCTTTCCGCTTGCTCGATCCACTTATAGATGGCGGCCAAGGAGTCCGTCTCCTCCAACTACTGCGTGTATACGCAGCGCTATACATTTTAAGGTGCGGGATGGCAAGAGTCTGACGCTCCAAATTCGTAGCGAAACGCCAAAGTGGATGGAATGACTTAGAGAAATGACCGCCTGAGACCGGTTCTGTCGCCATTTCTCGCGTGACCAGAGCTCTCACAAAGGTAAATGTGCAGCGCAAGTCTAAGAAAGCCACCAAGTTAGTTGTTGTTTCCCCAAGATACTTGGTGCCTCTTGGCGTGGAAGAAGCGGCACTACTAGGGCTACGTCATCATTGCAACAGTAGTCTCGACGTCGATCCCTGACATGAAACGCCAATACTATAGCAGGGGTAGGCGTCTTCTCTATCGTGTGCTTCCTCATCGATGAATTCGGTCGCTGTTGACACCCTCAATGTACCGACTTCACCATGCGCGTGTGCCAATTCTTTTCGACCCAAGCAGGATCAGACGAAGCTAGAGGCGCCATCAACGTCATCGGCGATGAAAACAGAGACGCGCGGGCACTGCCATTGGCCTGAAAATGTGGCAATGGCGGAATCTTTGGGGGAATTGTCCTGATATTGCACAGATCGTATCCTCCCTTGCGTCTCTTCTTCACAAACCTCCTCTAGAGGCCTTCGACGAGTTGCAGAGCTTGCACGTTGCGACGAACGATGGCAAACCACAGCGACAGCAAAGGCGCATCGATACAAGTCATCCATCGCGATGAGCGCTCCTTCTTCATGTCGGTTGTGCAATTCGTGGTCCGGAGCCTACGCAAACCGCTGAGCAACCGCGAAGTCAAACACGAAAGCGGCTCAATCAAACTCACTCTATCGAAAGCCAAGCTCCAGATGCGCGCAATCAGTGAGCGAATCGTATGCGACATCCACATATACGACTACTTTCCGCTTGAGAAACCTACAAAAGACCCGAAAAAGCGCATATACTACTTTGCGGGCGGCAGTTGGCAGACTCCGCCCTCAGGGCAGCACTTTCGCATCTGCGCAAAGATGGCAAAGGCCATGCCCGACACCATCGTCTCGGTCGTCTCGATGCCTCTCGCGCCGAACAATCCTGCGCCGGAATCATTTCCAATGTGTCTCAAGCTCTATCGCGCGTTGATGGCTCAAGCAGATGAGGCCGGAGAACGTGTAATACTGGCAGGCGATTCATCAGGCTCGAATATTATACTAGCAATGACGTTGGAAGCATTGAGAGAGGATGATGATCAAGCACAGGTCGATGTCAAACACAGTCCGCATCCAACGGCTATCATGGCCATATGTCCTTCAACGGATCTCACACGCGACAACCCGGAAATTTGGAAGATCGCACCGAGAGACCCTCTCCTCACACCCGATATCATCAAGGGTACGGCAAAAGCCTGGTGCGGTGACTGGGACCCTACGGATCGCCGAGTCTCGCCCATCAATAATGATATCTCATTATTTGCACGAAAAGGCATTAACGTTCATGGCATAACTGCAGGCTGCGATGTCCTAAGCCCAGATGGGATCCTCTTCCGTGACAGATGTGCAAAAGAAGGTGTCAAGGGCCAATGGGCACATTGGGAGAACCAAATGCACTGCTTCATTTTGACTATGCCATTTGGATTGCCAGAGGCAGAAGAAGCTGTGCAATGGATAATCGACGTACTAAACAAGGAGTAGGACCGAGCTTGTTGATGTTCAACTTTTAATATATACCTCTTCCGTTTTGTTGTTGAAAGGTTCCTTTTGTACCTTTACTAGCTAAGTATTATCATCTGTGGTCACGCTCACGAGTCCTTTAGTCATAATCAAGAACCTGCCTTGTGAAGGCTCGGACCAAACACATCTTGTAATAATCTTGGATAAGAAATACCAAATTATCTAGAGAACCTTGCGCCGTGAGTGAAAGCCCCCTAGAATTACTTCAGCGGTTCAGGAACACTTTCATTTTTTGAGACAAGGCAAGAATTTAAAGTTCGATCAAATTCTCAGTCCAATCATAGAAGCGTTCTTGTAACCTGAACCACTAGGACTCAACTATTGGGACTGCTTTGATCACGCAAGCCCTGAAACAATCAATCATCTGCCCATGCCATGAGTGAGTATAAACTACCGTCTAATCCAGTAGCTGCATAGGACCGAAGACGGCCTCGCTTGACGCCTTCCCGTCAACGACCTGACTTCTCTCGTCGACCGAACTCCTTCGAACATATGGATCTGGACACGCGAAACCATATCTATCATTACATGATTTTCCCTCCATTGGTGAATCCTTACCTACTGGTACAACGGATTCGCAGCAGGCAGACGAGGAGGGTGCTTGCCAATTCTGGATTACTTTGCAAGAAAAAAAAGGACCAGCACGAGAAAGAAACAGGCCATACTCTTCGTCTCTCACGGCAGTTAACCTCCAAGCACACTCTATTCGGGTTGAAATAGTTTACGATTTGCGTATACGGACCCACCCTTTCCAACTGCCTCACTGCTTGCGCTGGGGAACAAAGGGAAGTTGCATCCTACTACGCCTAGGCTACTTATAGGCAGGTCACTCACACCACGGCGCCCTATCTCCCTCCCTCCAATCCCTCCCTATCGGTCGCCACATTAGCCATCCACTCAAATCATCTTCCAGCAACTCCTTCCATTTCTGGCCCCGCCCAGCCTTCTCCAAGTTCTCCAGGCTCCTCTGCAATTCTGGATCCGGAGGAATAATCTCGATACACCCAAGCCCGCACTTTTCATACGCGCCTCGCGCAGAGGCTAGAGAAGAAATAACGGTCTCGATTCCGAGTTCGTCGGCTTTGGCGGTGCCCCAGCGGATCAGGAGACGGCCTGCACCACGGTGGCGGTGTGAGGGGTGGACAACAATCGACAAAAGGTCTTGAGGCAAGTCAATTCGCATGAAATAGTAGAGTTACGGGATATGAGGTAAAGTAAAGGGAGAAGGAAGGAAGAATGTACACGTACCCATATGCTTCCTTGTAACCCTCTCCGCAATAAAGCCCCATAACCCATTAATAAACATCTCCGCAAACTCTCTCTCCTCGCTACCTTCTGCATGCCAGTGCGCTACCGTCTTCTCACCAGTAGACTTTTGCGGGTCGTTTATTGCCCAGGTCGCCCAGCCGATTATCTCACTGGTTGCTGTGTCTGTGACTTTGACCATGAAGTAGTCAGGATCGTGTTCTTCGAATTTCTTCGTGGCTTTCTCCTTTGCGTGTGCCAGCGACTCTTCACGTGTAGGGAAGGGAGGCCTGAAGTGCTTTAGTTGAGGATTGTAGGGTGTTCTCCAGGCATCGTAGTCCATGGGAATGATTTGGTCGAAATCCGAGGAGTCGGTTACGAGAGAGACAGTGAGAGGCATTTTTCAAGATTTCAAAAATATAACAATGGAATTGTAGGAAGCTGCTTTCCGAGTACTAAAAAGTAAAAGAAAAGACAGCCGAAATAAAGGTTAGACATCTTGTTCATACTTATATATATCTCACAGTGGGCCTCCCTCGTGTCTGCATATGTTGAGCGGGGGCCTAACGTGAACATGTTTGCATAACCCCGCAATCCGACATAGCCCCCAAAACTCATTGTAATATCTAGCTCGCGCGACACGCGCTGACAACCTGGAAAGTGGGTCCTTCTCATACACGTCGAGCACTCGGGTGGACTATACTCCGCCTACGCCAAGGCAGTCCGCGCTTTCAATCTCACCATCAGCGACGGCTTCTGCCACAGGACGAAAACCTTCTGATGCTCCCAATCCTGCGATTCACTCTCTAGCTCGAACTCAAAATGCCACACCAACCTCGCTAATATGGTGCGAATCTCAGCCCAGGCGAGGTTCTGCCCGATGCAGTTCCTTGGTCCGACGGAGAAAGGTTGGATTACAGAGCGCTTGTCGTCGGCATAGTCACCGTCGCCCAAGAATCTTTGTGGCGCATAGGTGTTTGGGTCCTTGAAGTTTCGCGATGATCGATATGCAGGGTATTGCGTGATTCCTAGGTGCGTGCCAGGAGGGATGAAAGTACCACAGATTGTGGCGCCTGGTTTCGGTACAAAGCGCGGGAGAAACGTTGGGACAGGTGGATACATTCGGAAGGTTTCTTGGATGATAGCATTCAGGATCTTAAGCTGACTCAGTGACGCGAAGGAGATTTGTGATTCGTCTTTGAAACTGTTTCGGAGCTCGTGGTGAAGTTTCGACATCCATTCGGGGTTCTTGAGGAGGTAGTAGATTGCACCGCTAAGGAGGGTAGCAGAGGTCTCACTACCAGCGATGATGAGGGTGCCACTTGTTTGCTTGATCTCGTCGACTGTCACGCCCTTCTCGCCGTTGTGCTTTTGGATGTAGCTTTTATTCGTTAGACCCGATTCTGGAGCTGAATGAAATTGCTCACCTTATGAAGTCCTTTCGATCACTCTCTTTTCCAAGCCTCCTAGCAACCCTATCTGCAGTGTAGGAATCATGCGCATGCCTTGCTTTCGCCAGTGCGGGAACGAACTGCAACAACGCCATGATTGGTGTCCCAATAATTGGATAGTCTTTCAGAAGGCGGATGCGACTGGCAACTCGCAGCTTACCGAACAAATTTGCAATCCAGGAGTTGTAGTCTTCTGCCTCCAACGAGCCAAACGACTCATCGAAGGTTAGATCTCCGGTGATGTCAAATGTAGTGAAGTTCAGCCATCGCATGATGTCGGCCGGCGTTTTAGACTCCTCCCGCTTGTGTAGTTTCTGGATCATGAGCGTGATGTAGGAATTGATGATTTCTTCTTGACTTCGCAAGGCCTGCTCTGAAAAGGCGTGATTTAGTGGACGACGAATGCGGGCGTGGTCTGCATTGTTGGCAGCTGCAACCGATTAGTGGTGTACGCTTGAGATTGGAATATAACACACAGATGATATCGAAAGGCTTGCCTTGCTGTTGTCGACCATAGTAGCGAAGATCTTTTGGCAAGGGCATAGTATTTCCATGGCCGTAGATGTCTAACGAAGGTTCATTAGCTTTCATGTCGGTTCTGTATCGAGAAGGCTACAGACCTCGCCATGCCTCAGGCTTAATGATAGAGAGCGTATTGGGATTGATTCTCACTATGTCCCCGTACTTTTCATGGAGCTTGTGCCAGTTGGTCGGAACATCTCCCGTCAAAACCTCGTAATGACTTGGGAAGAAGAATGCTGCGCGCAACTCCGGCCCTGGAAACTTCGCCAGAGGGTGGAAGTATATGTTATGCAGGACTCGAAAGACACAGTAGGTCAGGCACTACATATACTATTAGTGAAGAAATAAGTGTTTAAGAGGTTAGCTTACCGCTGCGAAAGAAGAAAGCACCAGCTGACCGAAAGAGACATTACTCAATGAACTTTCCATTGCCATTTATATGATGTTGAGGTCAGTTGCTGAGTCTTGTACCTTCTGAGAATGAACTTGGATTTATACCACTGGTGGTAGTCTCCCGTCGGCCTTGACTTGAGCCCGTTCCGTACACAGGCATTGTAGTCTCGCATTCTCATTCGCCGTTATACCTGACTTTGTATAGCTACAGACAACTCTAAGCTGCTCTGGGTAAGTAGCCTGTCTGACTGCATGATTAAGATGTGCGCACGGATGGTTGCGAGGCTTAGGTGGGTTTACGATCCAAGCTGATAGCTTCCCCCGCACATTTTGGCTCCAAGTTGCACCTGAACTCTCGTTCGTTTCTTATGAGTGATAAGCAATATAAGCTTTCAAAACGTCACATTTTCCGTAGCTCATCTCCTCCTTCCTCTTGCACAGTCCAGCTCTTCTCCAAACTACTGTTCACTATTACATTCATATTTCATGGCAGGACCAGTGTATCGATAGTACTATAGTGTGAAGAAGCGATTTACAGTAACATGGAGTGTTTGTCGGTGAAAGGAGTGCTTACTACCGACGGAAGACGGGTATGAATAGAAGGCCGACTTCCGGTGTTCCTATGAACGAAATAACCAATGTTTGAAACTCCTGCTCTTAAACTTGCAGCTTGCGTCAGATGCCGGAGGACGGCGTAAAAGTGATACTACTGTCGGAGGTGCAATGGAGTCGCAGATGCCAGAGGCCCAAGCTCCACCGAGGTACAAGCTCCCGCTCCCCGCAATCACCATCATCCCATCTCGCGCAATGTGACATTAGCCAACAAGACTAGGCTCCCTTAAACGGGCTCAAAACTTCCCTTCCTTCACCCTCAAAAACCTAGTACGACTACCGTAGCCCACCATGCTACTCCTCGGTCTCACAGGCTCGATCGCAACCGGCAAATCCACCGTCTCATCCCTCCTCTCCAAACCCCCATACTCGCTCCCCATAATCGACGCCGACCTCATCGCGCGCCAAGTCGTCGAGCCCGGCACAGCAGGCTACAATGCCATCGTCAAGTACTTCTCGCCCACAACACCAGATCTGCTCCTCCCGGATGCGACGCCAAAAGGGCAACCGTTGAACCGGCCCGCGCTGGGGAGACGAGTCTTCGGTGGCGGAGAAGAGAAGGAGCGGGACAGGAAGATGCTGAACAGCATCGTACACCCCGCGGTGAGGAAGGAGATGTACAGACAAATGGTATGGGCGTACCTGAAGGGCAACTGGGCTGTGGTCTTGGATGTGCCCCTGCTCTTCGAGTCTGGCTGGGAACGGTACTGCGGCACTATCCTCGTCGTCGGCGTCACGGACCCTAGCATTCAGATTAATCGCCTGCGAAGTCGCGATGCTCATCTCACGGAGGAAGATGCGCGGAATCGCGTCATGAGCCAGGGCGATGTGCGTGAGAAAGCGGAACGGTGTTTAAGGAGAGGGCCTGGACGGGGCGTGGTCGTGTGGAACGATCATGATAGGAGTCACCTGGAGAAAGAGATTCAGACGGTCATGCAGGATGTTAGAGGGCGGACCCCGAGCTGGTGGACGTTTTTGTGCTGGGTTTGTCCACCGCTGGGGGCGTTGGCGGGGCTGGCGAGCTGGTATCGGATGCGGAAAGTGCAGTTGCAGTGGGAGAGCGAGAAGAAGAGGGAGAAGGCGAAGCTGTGAGCCCACACGTATGCGAGTTTGAGTGTTTTATTTGCTTCCGGCTGGTTCTGGTGTTTGCGAAGGTGCGCATAGATATCCTAGCAATTGGCAGCACGGGTGCTGTGTCACGGTAAACATTTCTCTCTCAGTCCCTCATCTATATGTCTTGCATATGTCACGAAGACCTGCGCTTTTCATACTGCACACTCTTATCGTCGGCCGTTGAAGTTTCCACCTTCACTCTCTTTCACCTCCGGTCCGGAAGTGATGCCGTGAAGTACCGTTTCAACCCACAGACGTTGCTTCATCCGCTCCAGCACCCGTAAGACATCAAGGCAGAAACACTTTGCTCGCCCTGCCTATCCCCTCAAACCATTTCGTCTTCTCCACAACAGCGACATGAGCGCCATAACACCACCCTCCTTCGTCGACGACGGCGGCTCATTCACCAAACGCATACCCCACAGCCTCGACCCCAGGCATGTAGCGCACTGGATTGATGCCACCGGCTCGGATACTTCAGGCTACACGGGCAGCTTCATTGATGACGGCGCGGACATGCTTCTCCCTCACAATGCCGCGCCGGGCTTTGGCCAGATCGACCCGCGATTCTACATGCAGCGTAAGAGGAAAGAAGGCGGTAAAGAAGAGGTGTGGAACGACGACGTGCAAAAAGCAGTCAGTGGAGATATTCAGCGTAATTTGGCCAAGGTGAGGGGTCTGGGGGGTCTGGAGGTGAAGAGGCATGGGAGGGGTGCACAAGGAGGCGAGAAGAAAAACAAGGAGAAGGAGAAGGACACCGTGAAGATAGTCATGCCCCCAACATGGGGAACTTTTGTGATCAAAACGGACGACGGGAGAGTCATCATTGTCGATCGCGAGGGGGAATTCGACTCTGGACCGCAGAAAGCTACGAGTGAGCGACCAGCCATGTGGGTCAAGGCAGCTTCTAGCATCGAAATGCCATCACCGACTGCAGTGTCGATGCCTCCGTCTCCGCCCAAACACCGTACTTCTCATTCTTCTGAGGAGCGCAGGAAACGAACAGACAAAAGGCATAGCCACGAACACAAGCATCGGAAATCGCACCACAAGCACCGCATCTCACCACGGCTCAAGGCGCTAACACCCATTCAAGAGTCGGAGTACGAAGAGCAGGGCCAACCTTCTGCCGAAGAGGACGCCCCATCCCCTACCCTATTTCTCATGACTGGTGGCGCGAGCGGGTGGCCTTCTCGGACGGCAACGTCAGTTGCGACACCAGCTGGCTCAGCGCCTGAACGATATGACTCTCCGGGTTTAAATTCGCTGGTCAAGTCTAGATCGCATATACGTGTGCCACCTGGGGGATGGTTGTCTCCGCCGGAGTCTCTAGTCAAGAGCGTCGCGGCATCAGAGCAGTCCTGGGTCGGCAATGGGTTTGAACAGGCGTGGGAAGGAGATAGATCGCCACGGTTAGAGAGGAGCGAAACGTCACATCGATCCCACACGAGTGAGAAGTCACATAGATCACACAAGTCACAGAAGTCACAGAAACAAAACTTGGACAATGTGTCTACGAGATCGTATTCGACATATAGGGCTCCTACCGTTGAAGATGCACCTGATACCTCGTCGGAGGAAAAGAGGGGATATGCGAAGATGACATGGGGTGGCAGCGTCAAGAGCAACAGTGTGAAGGATTGGGGTGGTAGCCTGAAGAGTGGGACAGCTGTAGATGAGAAGTTTACACATAGTCCAGCCGCGAGCCAGCTAGATTGGGGCGGTGATGATGGGAGAAGTGAGACGAGCTGGGACGGGTATGAAAGAGTCAAAACGGTCAGCGAAGCCAGCGTTGCGGGGACGGGAAGTGAACGAAGCTCTCTGGGTAGTCATGGTAGTCGAACAAGCCACGCACACAGCGAGCGAAGAAGCCAGGCCAGTCGGCAGAGCTGGGGTAGTGAAAAGGCACGCGTCGATGATGACGGGTGGGGAGGAAGCCAGAAGAGGAGCGATGGCGGCTGGGGAAGCAGCAAGCGCGGCAGCGAGAGAAGCTGGAAAGAACGCCAGGCTGTGAGTGAAGCAAAGGGGAGCAAGTATGCGAATGGATACGACGAGGATAACGAGACATATCTCAACGAGAACTGGGGTGGGACGCCGGTGCGTGTGGGCAAGAGGCGGATGAGGGTTGCTGGTTGGGAGTGAGAGATACAGTTGCAGCACGATCATGCAAAGGGGCTATAGAATAGTATATGAACACCAGGAAAGCCAAATCTAAACCTACCAACAAAACCTCAGCATGGCGTGCATGAGCAAGCAAACTCGCGTGCATGCTGCCTCGTCGCGGTCCTCGAAGTAGAAGGGCAGGTTACATGCATATAGGCAATAAATAATATGCAGTATGCACCTACGCGTCGAAACGCCCGCCGCCCTGCTGCAAACCACCACACGTACGAGGCAATCAATCCTCGAAGGAACCAGCACATCTCTTGCATCATATACCACCACCCCGCCCCCAACCACCAGCACTCGACCAACAACCATCGCTCTGTGCAACCCATCGACGTGACTAAAACGCACCAGAGCCTCATGAAGCGCTTCTACTACCCTGGCAGTGCCGCAAGTCCTGCACCGCCTAGGATGTCGCGCTGCAAACTCGCGTTCACCTTTCGCACCGCGACCGCGTGCGTGCGTGCGTTTGGGGATTAGTACGCGCAACCTCGCCTCGCATATGCACACCCAAGGAAAGCCTAGAAAGCCTAAAGACGGCCGCCAGCCAGTCAGTCTAGTCGCATAGACGGGGCAGAAACTGGTTTTCGAGTCGTGTATCCCTGCGGAACTTGTGTGTTGCCGGTGGGGGGTGGGTGGAGACGCGAAATCCCCGTCCCGTACCGCAAGGAGGAGGGAGGGAGGGAGAGAAGACGCGCTATAGATGGGGTTTGGCGGACGCGTTGAGTGGTTCCAGGTGGTGGGACGACTAGACTAGACGGGGGGTCCCACCGGCTATGGCGAATTGATATACTCTCCCGTCTGCGCCCAGCTGCCATAGCTCCCTTGTTGCACTCCTCCGCACCCTCTCTCTCTCTTCACTTCTACGCTGCTCGGGCTTTGTTGGTGTGTTCGACATTGCGAGTTTGCCTCTTTCTTTCCAAGAAAAGGTTGTTGCTTGCTGCTACCATATACCGAGTTGTTGTTTGTGTTGTGACGAGACGAGTTTCGCGTTTCAAAGACACGTCTGTCCGCCTAGCTTCCCTCCCCACTATCATCGTCTACGCAGTCAGCTCGTTCGACACCTTTCCACTCCACACCACCACGTCTCTCGCTATTGTGCATTGAGTGCTCTGATCTTCGCCGCGTTTAACCATCTATTCTACCTTTCTACTCAACCACTACGCGCCATTTACAATGGCTACATTTACGCGCCAGCCCTTTGCCGAGATCGGTGCACCGCGACTCCAGGCGCTGCAGAGTGCGAAGAACAGGCAGAACGGTAAGAAGCTTGAATCCCCACGGCAAGAAAGTAGTGACTGAACGCGAATTTCACAGCCATCGCACCCAACTTCGCGTCTCCCTTGAAGCCCACCACGACTCCCTCAACAGGCAAGCGCCAACGCGCGCCTGACATTTACGAAGATGGCGACGCGGAGAACCTCGACCCCTCGCTCTTCAATTCGCCGACCAAAAAGTCAAAGTTCAGCAGCGATGCGGGCTTCGTAAAGCCAGCCGCCTTCTCGCTGTTCACCACGTCGCCGGTCCAGCCTAGTCCAGTGCCGACCATTCGCAAAGCCCTCTCTTCTCCCAGCACCACCAAGTCAACGCCCATCACCAACAGCCGCGGCTCCCCAAAGCACAAGCGTATCCACGCCATCTCCAAGCACCGCCGTGCATCCAGCTCGCCATTCCGACGCGTCGACCCTCCCTCGTTCAACCAAAGCAGTCCCGCCCTCCCATTCAGCATCGACGCAGCCCTCAGCGGCACCATCCAGGGCTACACGCCCAAGCCTGCCGTTACCGCTACACCCATCTCCGCACCCGCACCCGCACAGCATGTCTCCACGCTGGACGAGAGCATGCCCAAAGGCTGGTTCTTCGAGATCCACGAAGACACGCCCGAGCAGGAAGCCGCCAATCTAATGGAGCACTCTGCTTCCGTGCTGGACATCTCTTCCGACGACGACGTCGAGACCAAGAAGCGCAACCAGGACCTCGAGCGCGGCAAGGAGAACATCCCTCCTCCTGACTTCTTCGTTGCCCAGCCGCGCGTTCAGGCCTTGGAGGCAGAGGGCGTAGAAGCAGAGCTGCAGATTGAGGAACCAGCTAAGCGCCCTCGTCTTCGGCAATTCGTTCAGGATGCCATGGATGAGGATCGCAGGCCGCTGGGTGATTTGCCGCCGAGCGAGTTCTACGGCGAGGGATGTGATGCGTCGTCGTATGTTACTGTCGACACGGGCATTGAGAAGCCCTCTAGTCTGTCCAGGGAATGCGACTTCAACAGCTGCCCGACGCCAGAGAAGGGCAAGATTGAGGAAGAGGAGGCAGTTGAAGTTGAAGCTGCGCCTCCTGCTACCGAGGACACGGTGCCAGAAACTGCTGAGGACATAGTCGTCCATGTGGATGGAGCTGCCGTCGCTGAGCTGCCTGCTGCTCCTGTTGCCGATACTCCTTCTACCTACCTATCAGAACAAGTCCTCTCCATCGACGAGGCTTTCGCTGCACAACAACCACTAGAGGCAGTAGTCGCCACATCATGAGCACCGCCTAGCTTATCTACCCACATCTCTCCGGACCATCTTCTCAATCCCCATCTTTCTACAATACCTTCTGCACATGGACCTTACGATACGATACGATACGTTGCGTTGCGTTGCTTAGCTTCCAGGGTCTATTTACTCAGTTTTGGCGTTGTTCGGCATGTACGATTCATGCGGCGTTTTTGGGTCCTGGTTTTTCCCATATCGATACCTCTTGTCTATCTTACCTACTCGCGCTTAGTGCTTGCTTGCTGGATGCGAAATGCGAAATGCTCAATGTTGAATGCTGTTTGGACCTCAATCGCCTTTGAATGAATATACACAAACGATTTAATTGCTTCATCTCTCTTGCCATCCTGGATTTGATGTGACATGATGTGATGTGATCCCTCTTTTGGCTGTGTGGGACTTTGCATACTAGGGTCAACATCCATGTCAGATTTGTGTGTAAGAGACAAAATCTCACTTCGCAAGATGCCCGCGTACTGCAAGGGAAAGTTGATGGAATAGCTATTTGGCGCCGTTGTATCCACCCACTCGACTGACGCTATATAGAAGATCTATATCTGCCACTTCACCCGCCGTCATCTTCAGCCTCCCCATCCTCTCCTACACATTCTTCCTCCGCGGCTGCTCCCCATTCACCTCCAACCGATACCCCTCGGCCCCCTTCTCCGTCTCCAAATCCTTCTTCTTAACCGCCTTGGCCCCGACCTCAGGCAAATCAAACGCCTCGCTCCTTCCCCCCCGCAACCCCTGCCACGCCCCAAACTTGTCAAAGTTGGCCCACGTCAACGCGCCCACCCACGGCTGCACATTCCACCCGAGCTCCAGCACCACATCGGTGCGATTCCCCAGCTTGCCCGTGATATCCGTGATCTGGTACTTGGGCCGCTGGTTCGGGAGGTGGAGTTCGCCAATGGGGTACGGGGAGGTGGCTTTGGATTTGGATGCCAACGAGGCTTTTTTGGATTTCTTGGGGAGCTTGGATTTGGGGTCTGGGTGCGTGTAGTGGTTTTGGTGCCAGGGCGCCGAGTTGGAGGCTAGGATTGCGTCCCAGATTATGGCTTCCGAGGCGGGCTCGTTGGCGCGGGTGGAGGGGTAGATGGCTTTTAGGTACAGGAAGACTTGTTTCGTGTTCCAGTTGAAGAGGGTGCGGAGGTCTGGGAAGTAGTTGTTTAGTAGGTAGTTCTCGTACAATTTACTACAAGGGCAGGAGGGGATGCTTACCCGTATCCAAGTCGAACTTGATATGCGCGTATTCCTCCTTCTTGTAGCTGTAGTAGTGCGGCCGTCCTTTGACTACCTGCACATTCCGCAGCTGCACACTCGCACTCGGGCTCTGCGGGGATATGAAGCTGCTCAGCGCAATGACCGTGGCAACTGTGAATGCGACGGTGGTGAAGAAGCCGAAGACATTCTGGAGCCGCACGAGCGCGGAGTGCATAATGAGGGAAGCGCGGAGCGAGCACTCAGTCGAATGAGTATTCAATCGAACTTGGTGGCCCGTACAAGATTTGCAGGTTGCGCGGAGAAGGTTGCGGGAGGTGAGAAGTAGTTCTGAGGGCAGATGTGGAGCGTTGAGCTATGGTGGTCCTAACACGTATCTGGAGCTGTTGCGCGTGGAGCTCAGCCCTATGAGACCGCCAGGGTCTGGGCTTGGCATGCTAAAGGAAAGGTTACATGAGAACACAGCAGTAGATTATCAGCAGATGGCATCATGTTTTTTGCGGGCATTTTCTCGTATTCCTACAATGGCTGAAAGCAGCGTTAGACACTGCCCTGAGCCTCACATCAACCCGTCTTTTCTACCCGGTATTCGTTACGTCTACATAGATCTTAGACGAGGCATCGAATCACAATTGTAATACAATAATGTTACGCTGTCAACCACCACACCTTGCCTACTCGGCAGTAGGCTGTCCACCGCCTCTTGGGCCGCCACGACCTCGGAACCCACCACGACCGCGTCCGCGGCCTCGATGTCCGCCTCGTCCACCGTCCAAGTTAGCCGGCGGGGGAACATTCGAGTAGTTCTGCGGGCGGAAATTCGGGTTATTCGGGACCACACCCTCGGCGGGGTCGCTGTTGTCGACCACGGTAAAGCCGCCTCGATTAGCCTTGAAGCCGCCTCGACCACGAGGCACAAAATCTGAACTTCCGCCGCGAAGGTTGCCGCGTCCATTTCCGTTCGGAGCCTGATTCTGGTTGTGGAATTGATTTCCATTTGCATTTCCGCGAGGCGCGAATCCACCACGACCTCCTCGAGGTGGGCCGCCGTGAATGGGGAGGTCTTGTTGTTGCTGCGGAGTGCCGTTGTGTCGGGGGGCCATACCTCCACCGCGACCGTGGGTGTTTCCACCGGCGAACGCTCCTCGGTATGAACCGCGTAGAGGTGGTGGTGTGCCAGCTGGTACAAGTTGAGGGCCACCAGGAGCACCATAGCGCGGCACAGTGTAGGACTGAGCAGTGGTCTGAGGACGCTTGGCGGCAGCCGCACTGGAATAAGAAACAGCTTGTTTGTCTGTAATGTTCAAAACTGCTGTTGCGGGCACCGTGGATCCTCTGAATGGAGAGCATCGATCGCCAAGAGACGTTCCGCTCATGAAAGTAGCGTCAAAGACGACGTCCAGCAACAGGTTTCGGGCAGTCCTAGTCTTGCCAATGACGGTACCAGATGATCCGATCGGTACCCTCCCGGAATCCTGGACGTAAACGATGCGGTCGCCAATGGTAAAGTTTTGATGGCCGAGACGCTGCTCTGCATCAGAGGGCTTCAGCAAAGCGTTGCGTGGTACCTTTCCGAGCTTCTTCGTCTCGAAATCTTGGGTGAGCGCAAAGTTTGCATCAGCAGCCTGCTCGATCAGCTTGACCGTATCCGAATCGAGTTGCTCTGCGTCCAACGGTACTTTCTCGAAATTCTTTGTCTGAACCTCCTTCAGCCAAGCTCCAATCTCCTTGACCTTCTGTTTCGCGACCTCGGCAGGATAAAAGTTTGTATCCTCCCACCCATCACCCTGTGGGTTGTGGATAATGGCAGCGACAAACTCCGGGAACTTGATCATGTACTGAGCAAGCAGGTCCATCGCCTTCTGACTATACTCCCAGCCATTTGCAGACTTTCTAGAGTAGCCCAGGACCTTGAGTTTCTTGGCCTCGAACTTGAGATTGAGTCCAAGATTCAGCTTGAGACCGCTTGAATTGACATTGAAGGATGAAGTCAGTTTGGACAATGCCAAGGGGGGCATGCTCAGTTGCCTGGCAACGACATAGGACGGAACGTATGGTGTCGTCCTCTCAGCACGCCGAACAATATCGTGTCCAAAATCAGGCTCCTTCTTCTTGAGCTTGGCAACATTGATCGTAGCTTTGTTGTCCACATGGCCAACGATTTGCAAAGGGCGGCCATAAGCATAATCGCCAAGGTAGAAAGCTCGGGCACCTTCAGGAAACTCCTCCTCAATGGGGAGCGCCTCCTTCTCCAGAAAGCGAGGGTCTGCGCTGATGACTTCATCAACAATGGTCTGAGTTGCATACTCAGCCGGCAGCCCCACCACTTCGCCATATTCCTTGATAGTGGCCCCTTCATCAGTCTTCTTGAGGCCTTTAAGCATTTCGACGTGCACAAGAGACTCAACTTCTCCGACATTGATACCAAGGCGTTTGCTGTAGGTATTTTCGATACGAGTTGCCGTCTTCTTCCAGTTTGAAATCTCCTGGGGTCCATGTGGTATGGCAATAGGAACAAATGGTTCGCTCTCAGGCAGGACATAGTCAAACAGCTCGTCTGACACCTTCACGACCTTGGCTTCGTTCAAGAAAGGATATCCAACATGTACTGCCTTTCCAAGCTTTTCTTTTGCGTGTGAGACTGGCTGTCGCGGCTCAGTGCCTAAGAGTGTGATCACCATGCTCTCATTTCGGCTGTCTTGTTGGAACACATTTACGCCTGCAAAGGCAAGCTTGCCATGGAACGGCAAGGTCTTCAGGCTTGGAAAGCCGGCTAGTGCATCTGCTCCTAGTTTAGCGCCGTCCATCAGGCCGATATAATATTCCAGTCCGTCCATAGTAGGAAGGTCGTAGATGTTTTCGATACACTTGCAGTGCGGGAGGTCCGGGAAGACACCAGGCAGAGACGAGGGGTAGATGAAGTCCAGATCCTTCGCGTAGGTGAACTTCAGCGACACACCGAACGAATTACGGGATTTTTCGTCCGCTGTGAGCTGGTCCTCCTTCGTAGCCATTGCCTTTAGTAGACGGTCCTCCTGGATGAAAGGGATCTTGACGACAGCTTCCCAGTCTTGCTTTTTTCCATTCATGTCCAGAGTAAAGTCTCGTGGGTAAAAGTCCACGATTGGTGAATCCTCGCTCGTCATGAGTGGATGATAGGCTTGTGGCACAATCTTCTTGCTGCGGTCGGGCAAGACTCCCATGAGCTGCTGGAAGGGTTTGAAAGGCTGGCCGAGCTTGAAGTTGATATCCGCCTTCAGACCCCGTTTGACGTCGGAAATCATTGGCGAGTAATGATAGCCGTAGAACCAGGGCCACGATGCTACTCCGCGGTAGTAATAGTAGAGGACCCACTGCAGTCCCTGCACGTAATTCTCTGTCAATTTACGCAACTCCTCTTCGTTGCTGCGATCCCACTCGAACTTGTTCTTGTAATAATCATTCTTCCAAGCGTCGAATTTCTCATCGTACTTTTTCTGCATCACCGATTGTGCCTCTTCAGGCGATATATCGACAATCTTAGCTTGTTCGTACTTTTGTATAACCCGCACAATCGCTTTCGTTGATTCGTCGTCAGTATCGTCCTCTTCGTCTTCATCGTCTTCAACCAGCTTAGGTGGTGCTGATATCTGAAGGTGGCGCTCGCCATCGTCATTTTGCACCGTCTTCCAGGGCAGGTGTAGCTTGTCAGCAAGCTCCTGCACGAATTTCCGGTCTTCTGCTCGCAGAGACACGGGGAGATCCAGAGGCGGCTGCTCCTTCTTCTCCAGATGATTTCCTACCCAGCTCTTGAGCTTCGAAAAGAGGTCTTTCTGCTGGGTGGACATGATAATGGTCCCGCGTTTGGCCGTCTTCTGCATGACATCTTCCTTTTCCAGACGCTTGCCCTTGAACCAAGCAGCGTCTGCGTTCTCCGATTCGAAATGACGGTATTCAATGTTGGCAAGCTCATCGAGCAATAGAGCTAAGCGCTCCATATTGATTACACCCTCTTCGTTGATGTAACCTTTGCCCTTGGGCAAGACCGTCTTGTAAACGTTGAACATGAGGGCTAAAGCGCCCTCGTTGATATGCAAATGTGGAAGATTGGGAAGGAAATCGTTACCAACAAAGAAAGCCATAAGAATGAAATCGTCAATGACTCGCTCCATGTCGAATGGGAAGCTGAGAGCGCCAGGCTCTTCTAGTTCTTGAAACTCGAGTTCTAGGTATTCTCGAACAATGCAGAGATGCATGAGATAGAAGTTTTGGTGCTCCAACTCCTTGGATTTGGTCTGGCTCTGACGGCCAAAAGTCACCTCTTCTCGCAGCAAGCTGAAGTGAGGGTCATGGCTTAGCAGACCCAACATGATGAGATCTGCGTCAAGACCGTACAGGCAGTGGCGGCGGTTCGGGTTGTACCCCGGCTGCGCCTTTGCCTGTCGGATATACTCCATGATCTTGTGCTCTCCTTCTCCGGGGACCTCGTGGCCAGACAGGACGACTTCCACGCCCTGCCAGTCCAAGTCCTCGGAGACCTTCTTGTTGACGAAGTACTTGAGCTGCTGGGTGAGCTTGGCCATGAACTCGGTGCCGGGAGTAATGCAGTTGCTGTCAAATGCTTCCTCGGTAGGCATCTCGACGCCTTCGCGGATCGCCTTCTCCCGAGCCTTTTCAGTATCGAGAGCGGTGCGGAAACGTCGAGCGCGCTGCTGGTTCATCTTGGCGCGCGGGGCGACGCCGTCGATGGCCATGAAGAAGAGCTGCTTGGGCTTGATCTTGCCAAACAAATGCTCGATGTAGTTGAAAATGGAAATGAACATCTGGTCCTCCGACTTGCGCGCGGTGACGCTGTCGTTGTCATTGTGCGTGCAATTATGGATAATGCCGTTCATATCGAGCTGTTGCTGTTAGCTGTATGCGCCATGAGGCTACTCGAGGCTACCCACATAAAGACAGTCGAACTCGGGAATGCGGTTTTCGGCAATGAGCTGCGAGATGCCCGGATACCGCTCGGACATCCATCGAAAGAACTTGGGCACACCCATGGTTGGTGCTGGTGTCTAGCGAATAGTTTGGAGATGGATGCTAAGGCGACAGACGGTGCGCCGTGGGTAGATGCACAGGCGGGGTTTGGTGGTAATGGCGAAAGAGGCGGAGGGAGGGGCTAAATAGCGAGGAGCGCGCAAGGCGCAGGGGGAGGTGAGGGCGATAGAAAGTAGAGGGGTGATTCTCGACGCTGAGGTCTTCAAAGAGTCGGTCCAAGGTGGCAGACGGCCTTGATGTGCCTGCAGCAGCGCCAAGAAGGGCGGGCGGCGGCCCTAGTGGGCTCTTAATCCTAGTCGCTTGTCCAAACGCGAACTTTGGCGAAGCGCGTCGTGCTCCGCAGCTTTCACTCGCCCAGTTTGCTTGCCCATCGCAATCGCATCCTCGTGCCACTTTGATCAGCTTGAAGCGCATAGCAGCACCATGGACGAAACCATGAGCGGTAAGTCTTCCTCCTCGAAATCTTCGCACTACTGCTAACAGCGCATGGCAGACGCCCTCGACTCGCGCGAGATGGAGGACCAGGAGCAGGTCGAGCACAAGATCATCAACGAAGAGTACAAAATATGGAAGAAGAATTCTGTCTTCCTCTACGACATGCTCTACGGCCGCGCGCTCGAATGGCCGACCCTTACCACGCAGTGGCTTCCAGACAAGAAACCGTATAGCTCCCAGACTACCCACGACTGAACAGGCACTGACAGTCGATAGGGTGGAGGGCACCAACATGAGCCAGCATCGCGTCATCCTCGGAACCCATACCTCCAACCAAGCGCAAAACTACCTCCAGATTGCCCACTGCGAAATACCAGACTTCCGCGTGCCAGACCTGGCAGAGCTCAACGAGGAGCGCGGGGAAATCGGCGGCCACGGCAATGCGAAGCGGCCCTTCGATTTCAAAATTGTGCAGAAGATCAACCACCCGGGCGAGGTCAACAAGGCGCGCTACCAGCCCCAGAACCCAGACATAATAGCTTCGCTATGTGTAGATGGCAAGGTACTCATCTTCGACCGGACCAAGCATCCTCTACAGCCCAAGGACGACACTGTCAAATTTGAGGCAGAGCTTGTAGGACACACCAAGGAAGGCTTTGGCCTGAGCTGGAGTCCGCTAAACGAAGGGCACTTGGTGACAGGTAATGAGGATACCACCGTCAAGACATGGGACATCAAAAGCGGCTTCTCCAAAAGCAACAAGACCATCAGCCCTACCGCGACCTACACCGTCCACAGCGCAACTGTAAACGACGTCCAATACCACCCAATCCACAGCTTCCTCATCGGTACCGCATCCGACGACCTGACCTGGCAGATCATCGACACACGCATGGAATCACACAAGAAAGCGCTATACAGAAAAGAGGCCCACGATGACGCTGTCAACTGCGTCTCGTTCCATCCCGAGTTCGAGATGACCATGGCCACCGGCTCCGCGGACAAGACAGTCGGCATCTGGGATCTACGGAACTTTGAGAAGAAGCTGCACAGCCTGCAAAGTCACCGAGGCGACGTGATTGGTCTGCAGTGGCATCCCCAAGACGCTGCTATTCTCGCCAGTTCCAGCTATGATCGTCGTGTCTGCTTGTGGGATCTCAGCAAGATTGGCGACGAGCAGACAGATGAGGAGGCGGATGATGGACCACCTGAGCTGTAAGCTTCCACGTCTCAACCTCTCCCACTCACATATACTGACATTTCCAGACTCTTCATGCACGGCGGCTTCACCAACCGCATCTGCGACTTCGACTGGAACAAGAACGACCCCTGGGTCATGATGGGCGCCGCCGAAGACAACCAATTGCAGATCTTCCGTCCATCCCGCAAGCTTGTCGAGCCTCTGAAGAAAAGCGTGAACCACGGAGAGGTCTCAGACTGAGCTCTTCATGCAGTCTGTCAGGCAGCTAGCTGACGCGACGCTCATAGAATCATGATTCGTGTGCTCATCCTCCTAGCTACTCCACATATCCCTCGCCTCTTTCTTTACCTCCATCTACGTCAGATCTAAGCTCGCTGGCATCAGGCGATATCAAAGAGCTAGAGGAAGCGACTCAACGTTTGAACTCCATGGTTGTGTGATTGATGGTCTTGGCTTTTACAAAGACGGCGTTCGGCGTAATAAAACGGGAATATCCGACGGCGCGAAATCATGTTCTCTCTACATGGCTTCTTTCAATATGAACCTAGTCAAGATCGACAATGCAACAATGTACATACATTTCCCTCGTGACGTATCGTGACAAGCTATCCATCCTAATCAAAGACCAACTATCCAATATAAGTTCATCGCCCTCATCTCATGGTACCAACCTAACGCTAAAACCTAGAAGAGACAGCAGTACCTCTCGCCTTGGCATGACCGCTTTAGCCATGCGATGGACTTTCTACCTCCCTTGGTTACTATCCTACTCCCACCCTATTTTAATTTCTATCCCAACTAAATTATAAATCAACATTCCCTGCTCACTGCAGGCTAAATCCGCCACCTGTACAAGAAATACTCGGATTAGGTGCGAAAGGTATGCTGCAGAGGTATACGATAGTACTGCTTACCGTTGTTCTAGTAAGGGAGGTATCGTGCTGTTTCAGGACATAACAGAAGGTAAGTGAATGATGAGTGTCGAAAGGACGGTGAAATCAGGGATTATTGAATGTATTTTCTACAAACATTTTTCCCCCTTTAGCTAGTGAGGAGCCACGGTCAGTGTCTCCATAACCTGTGTGTCTGTAACCCCTAGCTACTACAACACGAAGTTTCAGCTCTAGATAATACGTGTACCTACCTTCAAAACGAATCACCCTCTCATGATAGAAACCTCTCAACACAGGACGCCACCTATCTACCCTTTTAGTCAGTACATCCGCTAAAGAACAACATTCTTGTTCGCAGTCCTCCGTTAACTCTGTGTATGATTGTGCGGGTCTTTTCGTCGAGATGTGGGAACTATACCATAGCCCGATAGGGTATCAGTGCGCTCTATAGAGTCCGAACGACTACGCATTGGAGATGTAGCTAAGTCCCAATTTAGCAGTAATTATCTCGGGCTAACGGGTACTCCTTGAACTGGAGGACAATTGTCTTGCAGAATAGTTGCTACGAGCACTGTGTATGCCTGGATGGATGGGCAGCATTGTCATTCAAGAGTGAAATTAGCAGTAGGTGCGGATTGAGGGAGTGATAGGAACAGTCTAGCTCGAGCTTCTGATTTTCAGAAGACAGGGCAGTCATATCACTGCAATCCAACAAGAATATCAGAAAATTGTTAGTCGTCACTTCGATGCCATGGAACAAAATAAGACTGTAGCCGTTAGCCTCTGCCATTCCTGTTTTCCGCATGATCTGAGCCTGGGATCACCATAGACGGGATCCAAAAGGAGGTCAAACGTGTCTCAAGCGCAACGTGTGCCGTAGGCACAATGTGTCCCGTCGTGCAGCCCCGGACCTTGCCTCACTATGCAGGATTGCGCTAGGGGGGGTGGTCAGACCATGCGCAGCGTCATAAGATGACGCGAGTTAGACGCATATAGACGAGCCCCCAGTGGGTGGGCGTGACAACCGCTATCGCGACGCGCGCAGCTCGCGGTATGACGGAAGGCTCAGCAAAAAAGTAGGGGCCGTGATGTAATATGTTGATCTTTTTTTGGTCGAAGAGCGCAGACTGCTGGTCAGGAGTGAAGCTACAGAGCCGATTTGCCTCTGTGCGCATTACAAGCCGCTTTGAAAGCCTTATGAGGTGAGCTCGAGATTGGTCCAGTTGTACCAAGATGTTGGCTGTCGGTACTGATGCATTACAACTTAGGGAGCTCATGTTGATAGCGTGCAAGCTCTCTATACCGCGGCGGATCCTCGCAAGAGTAGAAGCTACTATGAATGATAGTGTCTCTATAGCTCTATAGCGCGCGTAAGGAATAATTACGCGATGGAAGCATGCATATACCTAATAGAAAAACACAGTCCCATAGTGCATATGATGTCGGCGTGCCTAAATTGAAGTTTACACGTTGTCAGCTTCAGACCGCATGCAGCGGCATGCAGCGACGTGCCCGTGGAACTAAACGACCGTTATGTCATATCCACGGTGGTTGGCGAGCGGCCACGTTAGATGTGGTTAGCGGGCCCAGTATGACGATACTGTCCACGGCGGCCCTTGGCTGGGGATGTAGGTTGTTGAGGTGGGAGCGCCATAGCCGTGGTGCAAGAAGCTTATCTGCTTGCTGAGAATCGGTGTGCAATTGACGTGAGAAGCAGAAGGGATGTGTTCTGACGTGGGTAACCCATGCTATGCCCCAATCGATGAGAGAGGCTGTCGGCGGACTGAGGGATCCCGCTGAGTTTCGGAACCTCGCGACGAAGCCGAGGCTTCCAATAGCGAAGCCGAAGCGGCAGCTTTACGAGGTCTGCGAGGCGAGAGCTGATCCCATTCGTCCTTCCGCCGAATAGGCGTGACTCGACAAGGTCTCGAATTGCTGATCTAACGTTCCATTCCACAGAAAGGCAGTCTACCGAAGACCCTGCATATCGTTAGTGCTATAGTGATTCAGTGATTGATGGGCGCCTGAAGAGCGGGGATGTGGACAGTAGGCTGCTCTGGTGGCGCTTGATGAGGTATGGGGTGGCAAACATCGAGGTCATTGCTCATGTGATCTGCAGATTAGCACGACGAGCTTCAAGCAGGGGATAATAGGGGATGAGTGGGAAGAGTGGGAAGAGTGGAGATAGGATCATGGACATGTGTCCAGAATTGCATCAAGCTGCTATCGAATATTGGGAAGGAGATTCCGATCCACAGAATAACCGGGAGAGACTGACGAGGGAGGGATCGTGCAGATGCAAGCAAGGCAAGAGGCCTTCGGTGAAATGTACCGACATGTACTGTAATGTAGTTAACGAGATTATCGAGTGAGGAGTATGGATATCTACAGCTCGTTTGATTACCGCTTGAAAACCTTAGGTGCTCGCGGTGTATCAGCATCCGTGATGGTGCATGATTGTTCTCCAATGTCCGCTGCACACGAGCCGTTCGAAACGACGCAATCGACTTCCTGTGCTCATCCCGTTTGGTCGCACACAGCCTGTTCTCCAAGGCTGATGCTTCTCAAGGCGTTTATGACATGGTATGACATGAATCCCGCGCGGTACCTGCATCTTTCAGCTGTTGGATACAGCTCCTCGGGGGTCGACCTAGATTCTTAGTAGTGAGGCTGAACTATTGCCCATCGTCAACTGACGTTGTTCAGGCAAAACACTGCGCCCTGCCCAGTGCATGAGCCAAACGGCGAGCTAGCTGCTGATGCGGCTAGCTCTAGATTATATTTGTGGGGATTATGACCGCATCGAGCGGGCATGACGCACTTTGAGCATGGTTACACGCATGCTCAAAGTGGTTCCCGCTTTGTTGGGTCCGGTCGGCCCTTTGGAATGTTTCGAGTCGAACTGCTTGGTTTGAAGTTTGCTGGTGCACAACCAACTCGCTGGAATCCCAACATTGACATCATGGGCGTGCGTCATGGCCATCCCGTGCATCACATGGGGGCACATCTGCTGCTGTGGTAAATGAGCACTACACAGGTGTCCTGGAGGAGAGCATTTGGATTATGGCGCAGCTGATGGCCCTTTCGCGGCTCTTTCCAGCCAGGCAACCGCTGTACTATTACCAGCCTCCTACACGATTCATATGTAGGACGACTCATGTGTAGGGTGTAGAGATACCTGATTCTCTTCGTCCCGCGACACCACTAAGACTGGAGGTATCGCCCGTCACTGGTCCAGCCCGCGGGTGACTAGTGCATTCTGCAATTCGAGACCTGAGACCCTACACACGCACAGGTGCCGCCATCGTCATCACCAGCCGCTACATCCCAGCTCCTGTGTGCGCCGCCGACCAGGGGCCTTTCTATCGACACTCTTTGATTGGTTGCTTGTGGACCCCGAAGATGATGATATAAATTTTAGCCCTAGGTAGAAAGGACCCTGCAGATCGCTCACCGAACGATCCTTGTGTGAGTGGGTCTTTTGTGAGCCGATGAGCAGTGTTGATCTCTTGCCTCCTGCGGCCTTGATGATGGATGGTGGCTTTGCCCGCTGCCGTCGCAACGGACTCTTGCAGTCTAAATGCTATTTAGTTGCTCACCCCGCCATCTTCGGTGTCTCGATATCTTAGCATTCCAACTGACTTCCGATCGCCTACAAATCTTCGATCTCGACATCCTCGTCCTGCACATACATACATCTACCATCAATCATCTACCTTGGTTTACTACTTCGAACCTTTGATACTACCACCACACATCAAAATGTCCGAGACACGTCAATCCGTCTTCATCTCCGATGACTTCTCCGAGCCCATGAGCGCTCAGCACAACTTCGCCAATAACTTTGACCTCGAGAACCCTGAGCGTGCCATGACAGAGTACCAGAGGTATGTTTTGCTTCGCCCTCATTCTTCATATTCATCTGTGCTAACAGTTCCAAGGATCATGCACGAACACACCAAGCGCCAACTGCGAACTGCCACCGACTCTGCCCGTCGACGAAGCGGAGCTTCAGCGTCTTCATCGCACGAGTCCGTCAACTCGTCCAGCTCATAGTGGCTGCCGACAACCCCTTCTTGTACAACAACACCCTGTCGTCTGGGACGACATCTTTAGCGTTCAGCGATACATTCACATCTACTATCATCTCTGTTGTTATCTCAAGGAATGGCGTTTGGCAATACTGCGGTTCTTGGGCACTGCCGATGGCACTCATGGATAGGCGTTAGAGCTTGCTAGCGCAAGATATCCTGTTATGAAATCAATTTACTTCCCACTCTGGGACTTCATCATCATTCTCCTTCATGGCTCACATCATGATCTGTCTATTTGAAACCTTTGCTCCATGTACACTTCTCTGGTACCCACTCGTGCGGTCTCGGTCAGACCACTCGCACTCCCGACGTTGGGCATCGACCCCTAAAACTCGACCTAACAATTTGCCGACCGGCTGCCCACCTTGGCACATATGATTAGGCCCTACTCTCGGCATTACTCTCATATAACCCTCCCGGAGACAATGTATGCAGGGCTTTCGGCGCGCCTTGTGGTTCATGGCCGTTAAGCCGGACCTCAACCCGCCAATCAAATTCTCAAGATGTCCAAACAACATGCTGTACTGGTCACGATCCCCGGATTAGTTGGCCAGCGGCAGTTGCCGATACCTAGCTAGGCGTATCCAGGAAATGGCAAAATTACACTAAGAGCAGAGATCTTCATATGCTTCTTTAGCTACCAAAATTCCCGGCTCTCGTGACACTCGGAAATTGTGCGGGTCAGCGGCAGGTTTGCAGATCTTGATCTGGGAGATGGAGTTTCCCAGATATACACAGTCTGAAAGTACCAATACTGTGTTCTCTGGAACGCGAAGTGCAAGATGCCACACTTTACTTATGAAAAATCCCTCTCGGCCGCACTAGAAGTCACATCTAATTATAACATGGCCAAATTTGAGGCAGGAACCTTTGCATCTTGTCGCGACTAATCATCTGGCCCCTCCATTTCCATCTCAAGGCCCTCCATTATACCCAACGGTAATGTCTACGTAATCAACCAGCGCCCTCCCAGAACTCAGCCGCCGCTTTCAAGTCATCCACATTCAACAAGTCAACACCTCCATCCCACAAGGTTCTCCACACGGCATTCCTCGTTCCGACCGGATAGTTGGGCTGATTCCAATACCTGGTCTTGATGCCCTTTTTGTGCGCGGTCTCAACCTGCTGCTTCAAGATATCCAGCTGTGTCACGTTGAACTCGCGCTTCTTCACCACACCAAAGGATTCCTCAAAGTTCGTCGATGCAATGGGAGACTCGTTGGCGGTGAGATTGGCATATTCAGTGGTGTTGAGTTTCGCAAGCGGTCCATCCAAGAAGACGTCGCGAGGCAGGTAGTTCTGCACATCCGCGAGTTGCGTATTGCCGGTTCCGATCACGGTGATGGGCTTTGTCTGGAACTTTTTGCCGTCATATGTCGACAGCCACTTGCCGCTTCGGAGTGGCTCCAGGGCAGAGAGGACGGCGGGCCACGTTACATTTGCTGGGGTCTTGAGGTCGATGAATAAGTAGAGGGTTTGCGAGCTTGCAGTGTCGAAGACGCCATTTTGCTCATCAGGTTGCGTGAAGGGGGTAGATGGGTTTTGACGCTTCAGGGTATCTAGGATAGGCTGGATGTAGAGAGAATCTAGTGTGCGCTTCTTCGTGAGCGCAGCGTGTTCATGTCCGACCTGATATGGGTGAGAAGGTTGTCCAGAACTCGTTCTACACGTCAGACTTACATATAGCGTGCCATCGATTAGATACACATCTGCCTCGATCGAGACAGCACCGTATGATAGACCAGAGTAGAATGGCACATCGCGCCAGTAATCATTATGACTATGGAACGGTTTCTAATTTGTCGTCAGCTCCATCGAAAGGCTTGCATCTTAGGCTCTTACCGGAAAGATCTCGCGGGTAAACTCTGTGGGATATTTGTACTTGTCGGACTTATCCGTCTTCTTCAGAATGTTCTGCAGAGCTTCCGAAACTTCGGGGATGTAGAGTGCTGCGCTAGAGCCCGCAAATAACGCGGTAATAGCGAAGAAACGCATGATGCAAGAATGGCCAGGTGCGAAGACGATTGTATAACGAAAACAACTCGTGGCGCATTAAATATCGAGGGTACCGGGGGGCTTTATATTCGTCTCGTCGAGTATCAACGATGTCCCGGTGGAGAGGGTGGGAGTCAGGAACCCGTGCACCGCCGACCAATCCGGTGCAGTCGTTTGGCTCGTGTCACATCGACGCGATTTGCACGAAGCTTGAACCTCCATTCCCACTATGCGAACATACAACGTGGGTAGGTTTTTGGTGGGGATCCACGAGGGGGTGGCTACGACTCGCACTTCTACTGGCTGTATGCGCTGATATAAGCAAGAAAATCCGGTTGACAGCAATTATTCCTGGCCGTGGCCAGTTAGGGGATCCACAACAAATGCTTGGGTAGGTAGTGAACCAGGTAACCGGTTCTCATACTTGCAACCTCTGCTTGGCCTTATCAGCTGGTGTATTAGCTGGTTGTATACGGCACAGAAACATTAATACTATGTTCATGACTAGTCGTTGCTTTGCCGCCCTTAGATGAGGCCCCCCGCAAGAGACGCCCCGCATGAGACGTCCCATATAAGACGCCCCGGTTGAGGCCCCCAGGATGAGGCGCCGCATATGAGGACCACAATATAACGGGACTGCAGTCCTGTTAGCAAATCCCCGTCCCCGTGTTATATCAAAACTTGTACGAGAGGTCTACTCCAACACGACTCGCAGTATCTTTTGTACGGCTGCGCTAGATAGTGTCTCCTGAGATTCGGATTATAAGAAAACTACAAACTTGACTTCTTTCGTTATTCTGAGATCGCGCTCCAAGTCAGCTTTCTCCCTTATCATTAACATGGCAATATCAACGGCGGTCATTGCTGTTGTTGGGCTAGCGATTGGGATTGCAATTCTCGCATCCAACATGATGCGAGTCAAAGTGCATCCGCAAGAGCCTCCCGTAATCCACCCGAAAGTACCGTTCTTTGGACACCTTATCGGGATGCTTCAAGAGGGCCCAGCGTACCTCAGAAAGATCAGGTAGGCTTGTGCATAGGGCTCTCCAAGTTACGGGGCTGACTAGATCACATAGCGAAAGATGTAAAAGTCCGATATTCACGCTGCCAATACTTAATGGCCGGACCTACGTTGTTACCTCCCCTCAACTGGCGCTGGCAGTTCAACGCGCATGTTCAACCCTGGACTTCGATGCATTGATCGGTGCAGCAAGTCCGCGTTTGTTAGGCGCAAACGCCGAATCGACACGTATAATAACTGATGTCAAGGCAAAAGAAGAAGGGCGCACAAGCCTCGTCGAACGCTTGCATAGCGTAATCTACCCAGCTCTCGCGATGAATAAGCTCCTGGATGTCACTCAAACGCAACTCAACCACTTCAGCGAGTTTATCAATAACGTGGAAGACGGCTTTGAAACAAATCTATTCCACTTCATCACTAGAGAACTGACAGCTGCATCCATGCGCTCATTCTATGGCCCCGAAAACCCCTTCGCTCTGCATCCTGAATTGATTGACGCATTCTGGGACTGGGAAGCAGGTACTATCCCGTACATGATCAACGTGCTGCCCAAAATTACCGCGCGGAAAGCTTACTATGGAATGGAAGCGTGCATTAAGGGTTTCATCGAATATATGGAAAATGGGCGTTTCACACAAGCCGATAAGCTACTGCAGAACAGAAACCGTCTCCACGACGAGGTAGGCATTTCGATCCCGGAACAGGCACGTTTTGAAGTGGGCTTCGCCTTCGGCTTCAGCGCCAATGCTGGCATCTCGTCTTTTTGGGCCGTGAACAACATTTTCAGCTACCCTGGACTGCTCAAACAGATCCGAGCGAGATACAAGCCAACGCACTCTCGGCATCTAACACCATTCTATTTCCGAAACTGAGAGATGCATGCCCCCTACTCAATTCAGTATTTCGCGAAACCCTGCGTCTCAGCGCTCTAATGGTCTCCGCTCGCGTCGTCCTCGAAGACACAATCCTCGCAGACACCTACCTCCTACGTAAGGGCAGTTTTGTTCAGATTGAAGGCGGCATCATGCATTTGGATACTAACACCTGGCGCCCTGATACCTCTTCCTGGTACGAAAGTCCTACCACAAATACTATTCGAATGTTTCTGCTAACATACGGATAGCGAGTAATACCGAAAACACTATTTCGGGGTATTTGATATAGTATCCAAATTCTCTATTTAGTAAAGTGCTAATCATGTCGCTACCTTTAGTCAACCCTTATCGGTTCCTGTACTCCACGACTGGATCCAAAACTAACCCAGACGGAAGAATCACTGAAGGGAAAGCCAGCACCGTACACCCTGCCGCTTTCAGAGCCTTTGGCGGCGGTGCAAGTCTCTGCCCCGGTCGACATTTTGCGCAAATGGAGATTATCAGCTTATGTGCCGTGATAGCCATGGGCTTTGACATGGAGCCAGTGCTGGGGGAAGAGAAAATATCATGGGATACGCCGAAAGATGATATAAACTTCTCTCTTACGGTGACAAAGCCATGTAAGGAGGTCAAGGTGAAGCTGAAGAGAAGGACCGGGTACGAACATGTGAAGTGGGTGTTGGAGCGCTGAGAAGATGCGCACAAAACTCACTCAAGAGCGCTGTTCATAGCAGATTCGGTACATATTACGACTCGTCCTAAGACTAGGTATGTAAACACAGAAGCAATCAGGGGTATTTAGTCGTAGTCTTGAACATGAGCATTCGTTCGTTCGTCTAGAACTCTATACTAAGCACGTGAGACTATCCACAGATGAAGTGACGTAACTAAGTGAGGCATAAGGCTTCGCGATTTGACCTACTGTATCCAGAGTATCGTCGCTGCACAGCCTTCATCATCTATAAAGACATAGTACCTATAAATTGTCTCCGGCAGCATATAAACGAATTTATGGCTTGCATCACCATCGCAATACCAGATGCTATAGCCACGGTGTTAGTAAAAACTGAAACAGATGCAAGATACATAAGCTTCAGAGTAGACAAATGGATATCGCCCACTGAAGCGCGTATCTCACAGTGACGTATTGTATCTCATTCCTTTTCTTCTTTGTTTGAAAGTAAAGGCAACGCTGATAAGATCGGGTTATACAACAGAGTAGGAAAATCAGTATAAACCCCAGTTCAGGTGCTATACCCAGCACCTTGACATGATATCAAGGAAGTAAAGTTTACAGGATGTATTGTATCTCATATGCCAACAATTGAAACCCCTCAACACATACATCAAAGCATTTCAAGTAGTCTAGTTCTAAAACCGAGATTTATATCTAGCCAAGTCCACATCTTTACGAGTGTCGCAGTTGTCTTTCTAAGGCGACACCCTATCATGCTCGTACTACACAAACTTAGCAGAAGGAAAGTGGCGGGTATCTTGTTGATTCTGAGGCGATTCTAATCTGTGCATGTCTGTATCTGAAAGAGTTTATTATTGTGCCTACGGCCTCGTTCTCTATTGGGTACTATTGATTTAGTAATCGTATTTAAGTCCTAGTGGTTTAAATTGTAACGCCGCAAGAGCTATAAATTCGTGAACACAGAGAAGAAGAGATTTTGCATACATATTCGATGGCGGTATGGCCACGTTGCTAGAGAGTTCATCGTCACGACGAATGAGTCTTAACAGATGGGCCTCTAGTAAGGTGTAGGGGGCCCTGCGACTGGCGAAGACGGTGATATCGATTCTTAGCAGAGCCCATCCGGATGGCAGGGAGTCGATGCTAAAACGCGCTCGAGAGTGTATCCTCGGAACTGTGCAAGACTACATACTATCCAGGAGAGCGAAGGGAAAGTAAATTTCTTGGTGAGTGGATAGAGACGAGGAAGCAAAGAGAACAGTAGCGAAACGTAAAAAGTCTTGGTGGACCCCCGATTTCGGAAGTAAATGGTCCAACCCCGCAGCCGTTTTGAAAAAGATGTTATAGCAAGCTTGTTAGTTGCATCAAAAGGACAGGTAAAAAATCACGTTCTCGGTGCTTTGGATCTCAAGCAATTGCTGATTGGAACTCAGGAGACTCGTGGGCCGTGCCGTAGCTACGGATCGATACTTCCTAGCCGCCACGCCGCTACAGCAAGATTACCGTGTGCATAATGCCCATTACCTTAAATGCCATTCTAGACCGAGACGGTTATGAGGGGTGGCGGCGTGACGTACGATCCAGGAGCCAAGATTCGTATCACAAGCGAAATGAACTACACAAATAGATGCTTCAAACTCAGCTAGCAACCGTTTCTAGTAACACCAAAATGCTCTCGTGACAGTGTTGTGCCGTGTCGATGCAGCCACACGGCACGGCACACCAGCCGAAGTAGGTACCATTACTCGCCTCCGAAGCGAAGTCGAGTGACATGCCGTGCCGCATCAACACGTAATACGCAGGAAAAGGCATGTCAAAACAAACTTTCGGCACTCTACGGCACCATCCTTTTCATAAGGAGGGAGACCCATGATGGTGGTTCTGAGTGCCGCTTCAATCCTTGCACAAGTGTTGCGGGCGTTGTCTTCTTTAGGGGTAGTTTGCGGCGTTGATTTCAAGCCAAGTGCTCACTAGTGCGTTTTTCAGCTGAACAGGGTACCCGGCAAAGATAATGCGAAAAAGCGGCGTTGAAAATCGATGGTGTGGTTGTTGAGAACAACTTTGGTCGACGGCTGCCACGTGCTGTACATTCAACATGTCTCGTATATTATGGTGGTACAGATTTTCTTGCTGGCGTTACTCGCATGTGCAAGAGAGGCCGCAGATCCCTGTTACTGTGTGGCTTTGCGGAACTTTAACCCCATTAATCAAGGCGTGGTGTGACAGGCTATCGAACCTTGTGAACCCCGATAAACGTCTGCGACAGGCAACAGCAGCGAGCAGCAACGCAGGGCTCCAGGACAATCCGTACTAGTAGGTCGGATCGTAGAAAGTGTCTTGAACAGATGTAAGAGGATAGTTAATGGGAAAAGTATTGTTCTCTAGGATCCGGCTATATCGAATAATTTAGACGATCACTACTCTCGGACGTCTCATTTCGGCGTGCAGCAAAGCCGTTAATTACCAGGCGGGCCAGGTCGGATATGAGTGCGGGAAGGAAGTTGTGGCGTACCCTGCAGATGGATTACCGTTGAGATGAAACAATAGCCGGCTTAAGATTCGGAATCGAACGTCAAAAAAGAGTCCGGCCGTGGGCCGAGCGGACATAACGCCATGGCCATACAACAGTGATAAAGTATATGTTGATTCCCTTGGACATTTTGGACATGATGTACTCAAATTATAGTCATTTCGATTTGAGCAAGCGACATAAGGTAGTTGTGGCATACTGTATTGATCCGTGTGCTCGAGCCTCAACAATCAGTCCGACATTAGCAAGGGGAAGCGAAGGAAGCCAAGAACTGTAATTCGCCGCAAAGGTCCCGCTTCGACCTTCGCCACGAAGTATTTGTTTGCTCAAATTCAATGAGATCTTGGATCGTCGCGGATGAACCAGGCTGGTGGGCTACAGTGGTGGAAGCCAATCTATCCTCGTCTAAGGGTAAGCGAGTGAGTATGGTCCAAATTGGAAGGTACTCTTGTCGAGACTGGTGACCTTTCCTTGAGTCCCCGAAGAGGGAAAGAAATAGAATGTTAAACCAAGTGGGTTGGCTGCATTTCGGCGTCATGCACGAGCGTACGGATTATCAGTTTAGCCGTACATAGAAATACTGCCGTGCTCTGGACTTTGAGCGGAGGCCGATGACATTACTCGCTGCCCCGATAGGGTTCGAAGTATTGCGATGTACAACGCATAGGGGAGGTAGTACAGAAGAACCAACTCGAAATGACATGTGAGTTAGAAAGCAGCACTCAGTGCTGAAGAATCTGTGATCTGTCCTCTCAAGCTAGGCCTTGCTGAGGTAGGATGCATCCGCGCTGCAATTTGAGTGCTGAGCTGATGAGGGGTTGACACTATGTTCCCTCGACGTCTTTCCGTGGAACTGACACAGACGTTCGCGAATGACCTTGCCTAGAAACTCTCGGCAGCATTTAATCGAGGCGTAACAAAGCTCCTGAAGCTGCGTGCTTCCGCTGACACAGATTTTCCGCCCCCAAAACAACGGCTCCATTTCACTGCCCATAAGATGTGGAAATCGGAAACGAGAAAGCGAACGAATGAAAAGGTTAGAATTTGATACAGCAGGTACCGCCAGGTCCCAAAAGGGGCCTAGACGACGTTAGCTGGAGACGTATGCACGTCATACAGGGCTGTCCTTCTAGCGCTTCCATCTGTAGATTGGCTGTTAATTTATTTGATCAATTGCGCAGGATCGGCAGCAAGGGTCTGTTTCAAATTGCCTTTATGCTGAAGGACGCTCGTGGACAGGAGATAACGAGGTAAAAGGCCAGTATTGAGCGTAGCATGCAGCTGAGAGATATTTGCACCACATTAGTGTAGATTGATAGTGACGAATGCAGTAGATGGAAGTGATGGGACGAGGTGTACTTGGACTCTTTTTGTGCTATTCCGTGATGGGTTAGCAGCAAAGACCCCGCCCCCGCCTTCCTAGCTGGGCCAAAAAATTATTCGCGGACATTCAACTTTGGACAGCCCGCAGATTGTGACCCCAACGACAAACATGGCAGGGCTAGATGAAGATGCGATAGACGAAATCTTGTACCTGGCGCGAGCAAACGAAGCCGCCGAGCTCGAATCATACCTTTCGCAATTGTCAGCACAGACGAAGCGGCCGACGACAGAATTGGTGATTGCGGCCGTGGATCCCTACTCGAAGAATAGTGCACTGCATTATGCTGCTGCGAACGGGCACAATGGTATAGTCTCCAAGATTCATATATTGTTCTAAAGTATGGAGTTGACCGGCATGTAGATGTTATCAAGTTAATATTCTCAACGAGCACCGAGAAGCCAACACCCGCGCTCATCAACGCCATCAACGACTCTGGAAACACCCCACTCCACTGGGCTGCCCTAAACGGCCACCTCGAAAGCGTAAAACTACTCATGCAGTCCGGCGCGGACGTGACGATTTTCAACAAAGCTGGACACGACGCAGTCTTCGAGGCGGAGCTCAATGATAAGCAAGAAGTCGTGGATTGGCTACTCGGAGCCGTCGAGGAGCTAGAGAAGGGCATTGGCCAGACAGGTGAAAGCCCACCCGGGGAGGATATTGATGAGGCTATGGAGGACAGAGATGATATAAAGACATAGTCGCAGGGCAACACAGCAGCTGGGTGTGATGTGGAAGGCATGCTGACCAGAGACGGCGCCCTGCAGGATGGCTGAAGCACGCGAACCCTGTTGGCTACAATATATCCATATTGCTGACATCCTTTTGTCCTGCCAAGGGGGCGTAATTGCTCCCGATAACAACAGGCTGACGGGGAGGATAACCACGTGGTAGGGGCTTCTGCCATAGGGTGTCATGGATGTGAGAAGAGCTCAGCGAAGAATAGATCTCGTCATTGTCACAGATAGGTGGAGCTTGACTGAAAGAATTGCCATGATGTTTACCATCATGTGTATTGCCTATAGAGTTCGAAGTATAGGACTTATTCCTGGTTTCCAATTCCTAGCTTCCAGTAGGAGCTCAGAGTGGCGGAGACTTGCTCCTGCCAATAATGCCACATGTGTCCAGTTGACTAGTCCTTGAAAAAAGACGGATGGGCTAACTATCAAACATGGATTTGCTTCAAATTGCAAGGTGCAAGAGAAGACATGTGCAACATAGAACACGTATGTCTCAATGCCGTTGGTGTTTGCTTCATGAAACCCAAAGACCATGGCAATTGTCAGATCCTACCTTGAAACGCCAGATGTATATCCATCACGCCAAAGACGCTGCTAATCCCTGGTTTGCATTAGTGGACGTGTGATGATTTCGCTTGTCTTTCCTTGGCCTTACCACCGCGAGGGTTCAATCCAGTAGCCAGGCACGACGCTTCTCTTCCTTCTTGTCGCGGCGTTTGTCCTTGAAGGCCTTGAGTTCTTTCTTGCTCAAGGTCTTGCTACGTCGCTCTGCTTTGAGACTGCGACCGTCATGGCTGTTGGCCGCAGCATCGACATCGAAGAAGGCAGTCATTTGGCGTTTGCTCTTGTTCTCGTCATTGTGCATCTCCGGGCCCGCGTCAGCCTGTTGGAATTTGCCCGTGAATCGGTTGAAGTGCGCCGCCGCAGTGTAGTCCTGGCCATTTGGAATGGGAAAGCCCCCAGTGGCGGCGGCAGCCGCAGCTTGCTCAGCCTCCTCTTCTTCCTTTGTTGCTTCGCGTGCATAGTCTGCGTTTGGGTCGTAGCTTCCATGAATGGCTGGATTGTAGCCTCCCCACTTGCGTCTGGGCGGAGAGCTGGTGCCGGGCGCGCCTGAGCTTGTCGTCAGAGTAGCAGCGCTACTGGTGGTAGTCCTGTAGTGATCACGTATTAGGCAAGGAAAGAAACAAGAAGATGATGATAGTTAGCAAACCTGTCATACGATCCGTAACTATATGCAGTGGCCTCAGGGACGCGTGGATTCTCCCACTGCGACTGCCCCGTCCTGGTGTTGTAGAAGTAATATGCGTTCGCGTTGTAGTCCCATCTAGGCTCCCAACCGTCGTCATCTGCAGCTGGAGGTGCCTCATCCGGTAGCGGAGGTGCCTCCTCGTCGGGCAGCGGCGGCTCAGCAGCTTGGACCTCGCTTCCGTTCTTGTCGTTCTCAGCTTCTGCTGCTCGCGCAGGCGACGCGCTAGACTCGTGACTGTTCGCATGGGCGGCGCCGTCCTCGGTAGTTGGTGAGGGCTTGCGCGCCTGGGCGACCTGGTCGACGCGGTCGGCAGTCATGCTCTCGTAGTCTAGAAGATATCTGGTAACTTTGGATATTAGCACTGGTGCGCTAAAAAGAACGACTGCACGCTGCTGCTTGCGTGTCGACGGGTTGTTGTTGTAAAACGCCAACGGTTGATTGCAGAGGTTGATGCGAGCTAGGCGCTAACTGCGTTCGCGGCTTGGCGTGATCCCGGTCACCTGACCTTACCCCGTCCTCTTCACACAACCTTGGAACCGTCACTGACTCGGTGAGCCGCCTCGCTTCCAGCTCACAACGTTGATCCATCCCATCCCCCTGCGTCATCTGCCGTCCGTATCGTCGTCCACTTGAACATGGCTGGTTCTTGCAACAAGCAGAAATGGCGGTGTCATGGGCACATCCACTACGATGCTTGTTGGCAGCTTGCAGCCGCTGCTGTTGGACAATCGAGCAGCTTCAACTGTGTGCATCCCAAGCACATCGCCTGCGCAGGTTCATTAATGGTCCCAGATTCTGTTCCCGCACACCCATCTCGAGGCCAGAGTCACTGCCAGACCCGATGAAGGGTTTAATTACGCACGTTGTCAATCAGCAAGCCTGTGCTATGCTCCAACAGCTCGCATAAAGCCAGGAGCGGCATGTCTGAGACCCCAACAGCAAAAGCCTGGGGTAAAGTTCGGCGCAGGCCAAGATGGGCTCCATGCAAGCAAGGCCATGGCGGCGTTAGGGGAGCCGGGACCCACTGAGTATCGATGGCTCAAATCGCTCAACGGCTGCTGTGAGCTCGTTCCGATCGGATTCGACGCCGCTTTAGCACGCGCGGCACAAGGACTGGGCTCCACTCCACTTCATCTGCGTTGGTCAAGTCAATATTCTGGCATCAGCTTCTCGCATTGTTGAATCGACGTCGCTGTCACTGGCGAACTAGGGCCGGCAGCCGGGTCCTCTGTTGCGCATTATCCTCGGTACTGCTGATTTGCTCTCGCAGCAATCGTCTACGCTGGTCGATGGCGTTGCAGCCAGTCCTTAAACCTAATCTATGTGAAGCTCATTGGTTGGAGGCGCTTTAGGGGCTCGAGAACCTGACGCCAGGTCTGGAGGTGGTTTCGCGGCAAAATAGCAAGGACGTGTTTGCTGCATTCCGTCCGCTTCCCACGCTGCATGATCTGCGCCCGTCATCAGCGGATGAGCTACGGTTGGCCAGGCGTGTTGGCTGCGATCTGGGGGCTCATACTGCCCACACGCCATCCACTACCGTATCTTGTACTGCTAATGCAGTGTCCTGCATCAGTCTGCACCAGTCTGCATCTCGCGCAGCAGAAACACGCTACGCAGCGTGCAGAAGGTTTCTGGCTCTGCTGCTACTTCGATATCTGCAGCTAATATTGCCCGGCTGGCTTGCCCACCACCCCGGACTGTCCAGCGCTCGGGTCTCAGACAGCAAAAGCTCCATGACCATGTCCTTGGCTATTCGTCACTGCATACCACTAGGACCATAATCTGGCCTACTTTCTGTGGACTGCCCGCGGCTTATCCTCCCCAAGGCATTGCCCTACCAGACCCTCCTCACTATCCACTCTAGCAGCACATGGGGTCCTGCTGCCGTCCCTCCACCTCCATCTTTCCTACCCGGTAGAATTATATTCATTGCTATTATCCTTCGCCCTACCCGCATCTAGTCGACGCCGTTCCTATTGCGTGCCCTGGCAGCGAATGTCTGTGCCCAAGTTCCGTCTGCGCCGCACCCTCCAACCCCTGTGCCTGCACCTATGTAAGTTTTTTCCCGTGTGCTGCCCCTACATACGCTCTTACATGCGCTTCGGCTACAGTTCATCAAAGCCGGAGGTGCGGTGGACAGCCGTCAGACGTCAGCCCTGCACGGACCGTTGATTCTGTGACCTATTCCCTAGAACCTTGCCGTCTGCAATACTTTGCACCGAAGATTCCATTGCAGACCAGACGCACCTTTGTGCGTTAGCACTACCCGCTTTCTTTACGTACCTCCATGTGCCCGACAATTTGACTACGAGCTGATGCTGTGCCTACATCAGCGTGAAGACTGGGAGCGGTACCTTCCTTCCTAAATCACCCTAGGCGGATCGTATCTCCTGGTACCTTAAGTCCTTCATGTGGTCGGTCGATCGATGTACCGTGGAAGTTATCCTACTTCACGCGCTGAACAGCAAAATCCACCACCCTCTGCTGCTATGCTCGTCACCATGAGTCGCCCGCCCAGCCTACCCTCACATTCAGGTCCTCCACACTCTTACAACTCTTACTCAATACCACATGCCCTCCATTCTCGGCCGGAAATAGTCACCCCCAGTCAACAGGTCCGCTCCAGGGATTCCATCGGAAACCAGAATCATGCACAACAACTACCGAGCCTTCGCACCCTTCTAGAACCAGAACTACTCGACAAGAAGTTATCCGATCCATCATTACGCTCAAATGGCCCCCAGATTTCTCTCGGCCATGGCGCCCTCTACGGATCGTCCAGCCCGACGTTGAAAAGACGGCATGATTTCGATGGTCACTCTCACCGATACCCCGAGGATAATGCTATCGCTTCTCAAACATCATACCTTCAGCGTCCACCCCTCTCTACTGCAAACACCGGCATCCAATCCACGGTCTCAACCCCAGGCTCTACGTTCGGCAACACTCCATTGGGACTTCAACGTCGCGAGAGCTTTGCCTACCCGTCGCATCATGATCCAGCGGGCAATAATTTTCGGCCGATGTCGACAGTGTCTGATCCAACAACAGCATTTGCGAATCAGTCAGTCCACGATGAGCTCGGAGACGCTGGCAGACCCGTTAGACGACGCATTGATGGTACCTCACGCGCCCCAATACGATCGTCGCAATGCATTGGGCAGCGTGAAATGCCTGGCGAAGGCCTATGCTACGTCTACGAGGACGGCACATATTGCCGCGCCATCATAGATGGCGAACCAGTCAACCCATCGTGGGGTATCACGAAAGCAGGGAAACCACGCAAGCGTCTTGCTCAGGCCTGTCTGACATGTCGAGAGAAGAAGATAAAGTGTGAGCCTGGTTATCCGAAGTGTCATCAGTGCGCGAAGTCGCAGAGGGTCTGCAGAGGGTAAGTTCTTGCTGTGGAGCCACCTGATCCTCTTCATTGGGATTCCCGAAAATATGCATTGACTTATGGGTGTCTTATTTGGTTTTGACTAAATAGCTTTGCGGACTGTATCACCAAATGACAAATACTGACTCGTGGTAGTGGTGTCAACCAAGCTGGCGTGAGCAATGCCTCCGGCGAGACGTCGCCGTCAAGTTCCGCTCTATTGTTTAAGAACCCGTCTACCGAAGTCCTCAGTCCTGCTGCTGGCCCAGACAGAAGCAAAGCTCCTGGAGAGCTGCGGGAATCCACCAAAAAAGTCGACTCGTGGAATCCTGTGACTCATTTCAGATCTCGGAACTTCCACCCCAATTCTGCTGCGACATCACGAGACATGTCGGTGCACTCTGTCGACTCAGATTGGAGCGGCTCCGCCAATGACCAAGGCGTGGAGGATCCCAGGCGCGGCACATACCAAGACCAGCTCGCCGTTCAATGGGAACAGGATCCGTACGAAACGGATCCAAGGCTCACGATCCATCTTTTGGATCTCTACTTTCTCCATGCCGGGCGTGCCACGTACGGAATGTTTCCTCGCCGACCCTTTCTCGCCTGGGTGGAAAACGACCGCGAAAAGGGCCAGGACCATTTAATGATTCTGTATTCCGTCCTGGCTATGGGATCGTTATTCTCCTCAGATCCAGATAAACGGGCATTGGGGAAGCGGTTCGCCGCTGTCGCCTCATTTGCAGCGGGGAGGCGATTTGGCAAATTTACTCTGCAACTGTGCCAGTGTCGCTTGATGCTTGCCCTGTACTACCTCGCGCGAGGTAAATTGCAAGAGGCATGGGACTTTTGTGGGGCTGGTCTACGAGCAATTAGCGCACTTAGATTGAATACCGAGGAAGGCGTCAAGGAGCTGGCAGATAGCAACCTAGACCTGGACTACGGGTTTGACCGCTGGACTTACGAAGAATGTGTCCGCCGCACCTTCTGGTCTGGCCTTTTGATGGATGTAAGTTACATTGTTGCGAAGGAAACGACTGCCACTAACATGATACAACCACAGCGATACAACGCATTCTTTGGTGGGACCCTGTTCGTCATTAGTATAGAGGATGCCTACGTTCGGCTTCCTTGTCCAGACAATACATATGAGGCGTCTACACCCTGCGAAACACCCTTCTTCGACGAAGATCTTCTAACAGGACATTCCTTAACTGCTCCGGTTTTGGGAGATATGGCATACTTGTGTATCATGTCAGCACTCTGGGGAGATGTGGTTACTTTTACCGGACGAGCCGTGCGCCGATTCGACACTGCTTACGAGCGACATTACGAATCATTTTACTCAAAAACGTACGAAAAGATGGAGGCATGGCATGGCATGCTACCGACCAACCTTCGACACAGTCCACAGAACCTTGAGAACAGCATTGTCGAGGGATATACAGGCACCTTCTTGTCCATACATGCCCTTTATCACGCCGCAGTCATACGACTCAATCGACACATTCGCATACGCGCGATGCCGATAGAAAGGATACGTCGCAACATTGAACTGGCGTTCCGCAGTGCAACCAACTTCTTGTCATTGATGCATTCATTGGCTGTAATCAACCGCCAACGGCGCCTTTCCCCCAATGCCACATCACAATTCCTGTTTTCGACACCGTTCCCAGGCTATGCACTGATGCTCTCCGTTGATGTTCTCACCTCTGCGGGTACCTTTTCCACGCTGCCAGGCCTCATTGAGACAATCGGCACTACGATATCCTGCATTGAAGAGCTGTCAGGCTTTTGGGCTTCAGCAGAAGCGCAACAACAGGCAGTATCGAACCGCTTGAAGCAGCTCACAGACATCGCTGTGCAAGACGATCAGGGCGTCAGAAATGGTAGCTACGGGCATTACTGGAAGATGAACGAAAGCCTCGAGACAGCTTTCGGTAACGACGACGTGGTGTACAAGGCCGATGACCAATTACTATTTGATGTTGTCGGACAGGTTATAGGTCACTGATCGGTGATAGTGGGCCTTCTTCTGCTTTTCAACCATTAATGCTTCGAATTTATACACTTTCGAACATCTCAGACCCCAACAGCTGTCAGATACTAACCATAGACTTGGTGACAATGGACTGTACTACGCGAATGAGGATGGTTCGATTTTCGACAAGGCCACTTGTGCTGTCGCAGAAGACTCATCAAAGTCTACCTTTGACAGTCTCGTGGGGTCCGCAATATAAGAATAGGGGTGGCCAATACAATTGCACATGCCTGAGGCGACGGCTGCATCAAACAGTCGCCTGCCTGACCTATGAGCGTCAAGAAACCGCCATTCTAGCAAGTCAGCTATAGAAAGAGGTCTATACTATAAGGGTTTTGTATTTGTACTATTTTATGGATCGGGATTGGGACCTAACAAAACTTCCCTGGGAAATTTAAGGTAATGAACGATCATGCTATCCCTTTCCGTGTTACGATTTTTTCTTAGTTTTAGTTTCTTGGTATGTTACCTGTACTATATACACAAAATTGGGTTGGGATATGGCGAGGAGGTTGCGCTGATAGCTGGGCGAGTAGCTACCACATCATACCACCATCGACAATTATGGGATTATATCTCGCATTTCAGAACCATGTTGACGAGTTCAAACAAGGGCATTCAAAATCCCTAAAAGCAGCCTAGGAAAGTTCTAAAGTTGTCCCATTGGGCAGAAGCTGGCGGATAGGCATAGGGCCGAGTCTTCATGCGGTACACCCTGCTCCACGTTCAACAAGTCGTACAGTATCAAAGCAAAGGCAAGTGCCTGCACTAATTACGATGACACCTCGGGTGTCACTATCATGCAGTTCATTAGCCATGTCAATCAATAGTAGAAGCCCTGACCCACAAGGCCAGAACTACCTCTCTTATGCCAATAATGCGTTGCGGCTATCGCCGACGAGCAACAGCGTGTACCCATGTACCCAACCTCGGACCCTAACACTGGATCCCGACACCCTTCCCAATCCCACCATCATGCTACAAAGAAAATACATCAGTAACAACACGTCAGCATCAAACTAAAACAACAACTTGAGCCATGGGGCTTTTTATCGTCGGCGTCGCCGCCATGCTTAGCCACCTGTGCCGGCCCTGCGCAAAAGCAGCACGAAACAACAACTCAAGGGTAGAGTCAATTATCGCGATGGACCCGAAGCTAGCCCATGCAAGCAAAAAGCCACCAGGCCTACCTCCCTCATCTGCCGATCTCAACAAGCCAAAAAAGGGCTCGGTACGTATGGCTGAAGCCGCATTGTGGGTCCGGTCTCGCACGGCACTATGTGGATGGTGTACCGAACTTTTGTGCTGCCGAGCTGGACTTGGCAAAAGACGCATGGCGCAGGTGCAGATGCACGCCATAGCAAAAAGCAAAAGCAAAAGAGATGTGCAATGGAATGTTTACCCGGGCACCCGGCTGTATAGCCAACTAAACGACGATCATCGGCTTGTATGTGGGGTTTCTTCAAAAGTCGGCATGCCGAAGCGTGTTTACTATCTGCCCGACTCACATACAAACCAGACTACTGTGTCGCGCTGGAAGACTTGCCCGAGCAAGTCCGCCGCCGCGGAGCGTCTGTATGTATACGCTCGTGTTTTCAGAACGCCACAGTAGGATACATGTACATCGAAACCCTACTCAGGGATACACCATGCTTCCCCTCCCCTTTTCGCTTTCTGCAGAACCCTGTTAGCTGGAGGCTTTTACCACCATGCGCGAGACGTCGCACAGACACCACACCTTTCTGCAGCAACGCCTCTTTCGTTTTTTCCCCTACCCCCCCTCCGCATTCGGGCTTGTACATGTACAAGCCGAAGGGTAAAACCAAGGATTGGATGTCAGTGTACGCACTGCCGCAAGTATCCCTGGGCGCGATCCGGCAGTAAGGGTACCAAGCGCGAGGGAAAGGTCGCCGAGTCGGGAGATACCGATGAGCGGTGCGATGATTCCGGATCAGCAAGAAGGTACAAGATAGGTATCTGATCTTCAATACCGACCCTGCAGCTAAGTCAAGGGTCTGACGCGCGGGAAACAGAGTGCAAATAAACTGTCGCGTACTTTGTGAAGCGCTTGGATGAGGAGAGAATCGAGTCAAGGTAGTATATGCATTTGCTCTCGGGTGTGTGGTGGAATACGTCGTTAATAGACGATTCTCATAGTGTACCCCTTATACATCCTCTTTGGGTTCACGAAGCGCCCCGTGGTCCTATATTAGAGACTCGTCTTCTGAGGTTCAGCTTAGCATTGCGAGTATGTGAATTGTGAATGAGCATAATAACACTGGTAATCGATTGCAGGTAGGCAAGTATCAATGAAGCAATACCATGATGCACATGCCACCATATTCCAGAACGCTAATCGAATACGCCTCTGATCGATACTCAATTCCTACGCGGATCCCTCCTCGCCCCTCTCCCACCTGCCCAAATCTTGCACTTTCCGCTTTCCCTTCGCCTTATCGCTCATCTCAGCGCTGCCAGAGGCCTGACCAGCAGAGACTGCATCGCCCTCGGCGCTCGATGATTCCTGTGTTACGCGGCTTTGGTCGCGGAGATGTTGATCAGGCTCCTGCTGGAGCATTATATCCCAAGGCGGATCGTTCATATCCGCTTCACCAGTCTGAGCATGCTCTTGCGATGTCGTGGCACCTAAAAGGATTTGGGAACGACCCGATTTCTGGGTGTTGTCGGGGGAGGTGGGACAGAACTCTTGTTGCACGAATTCTCTTGCTTTTGCTACTTCTGCATCCCTTACTCTCTCCATAGGCAGACCCCCATAACAAGGTGCCAACTCGTCTTGTTCATCTGGCACCAGACTCTCGGTTAGGCGGCGCATTTTCTCTTTGGTATCATAGCTAGATCGACCTGGAAGTTCCTATATTCCAGCGTGGTGAGCCGGTTCCTTCCCTTTGCCCTTCTCACCGCTGTCGCTAGTATCTGCCGAGCCCGCAAACGCTTGCTGAATGGGTGGTCTTGGCTTGGATGCGATATCGAGTTCGGCAAACTTTGGCCGCACTTGGAAGATATTGACGCGGGCGGCGTTGAAGACCTGTTCCGAGGGCGGGATCGCGACGGCGAGGTTGGTGTTTTCGGTCAGGCGGGTAATGAAGAACATGAAGCGCCCGGTTTTGATTTGCATTTCGGCAAAGTTTGCGCTACCGGCGGGGATGTTTGTGTGTTTGCTAAGAACAATGGTGTTAGCATGTAGTTGATAGACAGTATCAAGAGGTTTGAGGGTATACGTACGCCATACTCTGCTTATGCGTCTTGAGAATACTCGAGATGCGCTCGAAGCGATCTGTAAAGGGATTGGGCTCCTCAGTCTTCCTCGTAACATGCGCAACCGTCAAGCAGGTTGTCCGCTCGTACAGGATCAGCTCCCTAGCATCAATCACCTCGGCGAGCTGCTCCAATAGTGTCTCAATGGTGCCCGCATTCGGGATTAGGTAGTAGATGATCTTTGTCCAGGCCTTGTACAAGCTCTGATCCCAGATGCTCGTCGCAAAGAATTCGACTGTAGTTCTGAAGCCTTCGCTCGCCTCGCGAATATAGTCTGCGCGCTCATCGAACATTGCCTGGCGCAGGCGGGCCTGCACAAGGTCCATTTTGTGGATCAAGCAGAAGACTTTGGCGCTGGGGCTACATTCTTGGAGGGCACGAATGATGTTGGAATAGGAGATGACGTCTGCTTGGAACTCGCGGGATTCGATGTCGAAGACGAAGATGAGCACGGCGACGGAGCCGAAGACGTGGTTGCGTGACTGGTTGAGGTAATTCTCGACGAAGCCGTCCTGACTGTTTCTTGTCAGCCTGGAGTCGTGCTATATTTGTACAAGCATGCATACCCTCCGCAATCCCAGAGATTGAGCATCAGATTGCCCATGAACTTGATGTTACTATGCTCGACATCGATTGTGGCACCCAGCCTGCGCACGTCCTTGGCGACATAATTGCTGAAGACAATGCTTCTCATAGAGGACTTGCCCGCACCGCTCTTGCCCATCAGAAGCACCTTGCGCTGCTTCTGGCGCTTGATCGAGTTCATCGTGGGGGCTATACAGAGCGAGAGATGCGGCGGTGAGGATGTCGAGGAGAGTAGTCAGGGGAGCGGAGCGCCGTCGCGACGCAAGGGGGCGTGTGCAAGAGTAGAGCACTAAAGCAAATACTATCAGATGAGAGTTGTAATGCGAGGCGTTCGTGTAGTGTCTTAAGCTGCGATGACGTACTCTGTAAACAGCTGAGAGGACGGAGCTCTGAGCGCTGAGCTCGGTGCCGGGAGCTTTGACGCGAGCTGCACCTTCCTTCCACGTTCGCTTGGCACGGTGGGGCACGGAATGCTCCCGCACCCCTGAGCGCACGTGGAGACGAGCGCACAAGGATTCGGTCGGCGTTGCTTGATTTTTTGTTTGATTCATCTTTGATACAATAGATATACGAAGTCCCAACAGCCCTGTAACCTCTTGCAGACAGAAGTGAATAACAAAAGAGACGGCATATCGACGCTCAGGACGAAGTAAAGGTAATTTCCGAGATGCATGTCAGACAGATAGGTGATTCCTCCGCCGAAGCAGGCAAAAGCTAGGCAATATGAACAAGAAGCTGCCGCCAAACCTGACCGTCAAGATCGTACGTCGTAAAATTCCTCCCACTTGGCCGTAAAAGGAAGACCAGTCGTTGCTGACGTGCGGAGGGCCGCCTGCGAGATCGGAAACATGCGTCCGCTGCACGGTGGACCATGATCAACTGAAGCGAAAACAATGCGGAACTAATGAAGGCAAGGGTATCTTAGAAAACAGTTCCATCCGAGAGTATCATAATGGGTGGCTCTTTGGTATTGGGCCGCGACACTTCAGCGATTTCTCGACCTCCCTGCAAGTTTTGTTAGCTGTATGTCGAGTAGCTAGTGTATAGACATCGGCTTACCTTCCAGCTGCCGGCTTCCAGCATCTGAGCCAAGTTCAGCTTGTCGGCGCCGCTCAGTCCCAACAAGTGGTTTACCTCGGCGAGGAGATCATCGAGCATGCCGACGGTAACTGCGCGCCACTCCACAATTACATCGTCGTCGGCTGTGAACATGGGCACAACTTCCATACTGGGCTGTCCTGTCATCTGAGCGTTGTGCTGATATTGCGCGAGACCTCGCTTATTGTCTTCTGGCTTCAAGGTCAGGAGGCCCGTGTCGATGAAAAGGCCACCATTCCGGTACTCGGGGAGGCCAGTTAAGAGTTCGGCACCAGCGAAGTGAACGTGAAGTAGTTTGGTCATAGGAACCATGAGGGAGTAAGTGAGCCATTGCGTAAGCTTGTGGAATGGGACAATATTTTCCCAGGGGTGAGTGGGGTGTGATGGCATGACTGAGCAGGGCCATGCGTCGCCCATGGACACACCATCAATTTGGGTGCGGGTTGCGGGCCAGATGGGGGTCAAGCTTTCCATGAGGGTATTCCAAAGCGTGGGCAAAGGAATGATAGGGACTGAAGAGGCCTGTGTGGTGGGGTGCGATAGTAGATAATCTATATATTTGTCAGTCAACGTCAGGCGGTGCAGTCATGTTACATACCGAGCATGTTGCCGGGGCGCGCCTCGAGCCCGAAAACCTCCTGGTTCTGCAAAGCCTCAGAAAGCCTGAGCAATAAATTGGTGCGGCCCTCGAGGCCGTCGAGTGGGTTGCTTTCAGTTACTTGCAAGCCGCGTGCCATGATGGAGATGTCCAATCTCATCAGCCCAACACTGTCGACCTGGCAAGGCTCTTTTGGGTCGCTGCTGAAGACACCAGCCTTGAACATCTCAAGACTGGCCACTGCAAGACCCTCGCTGCGGCGGTAAATCCTACCCGACTCTTTGCTCTTGTACTGCCATTTAGTTCCCGCGCCTGCGTCGAGAAGAACAGAGACTAAGAAAAGATCGAGGAGGCGGCGCGTGCGCTCCTGGTTGTCAACCGTAGACGGCCACGACGCCATGAGCTGGTCAATTCGCGGTCGGCCGCCCACGTCAAAATGCTGCCACCGGCCATGGGGAGGGATTGAGGCGTAGTCGGGCGCATAGTCTCGCTGCAAGAGCGGGTTAGACATGTGTGCAATGCAAGCAGGTTTGCTGGGTTTGCGACAAGTCTTACCTTGATTATCGATACCACAAAGCTTGCTACATCGCCAAACTTGCTCATATCAACTGTGAAATGCTTGAGCTGGTTTTTCTTGGCCTTTTCGAGGACCAGCTTGGATCGCTCTCGGACGGCATAGATGCTTCGTAGGTAGCCAGCGGGGTCGAGGGTTGGATCTGGGGCTTTTGGCAGAGGCACGTCTGGGAAGCTCGTAGGCCTCGAGCCGTTGGGAGTGGGGCCAGGGGATCGCAGGGAGCCATTGGAGCTGTTTGGCTGGCTACCGTTTGGCGAAATGGCGGGCTTTGAGCTTTTGCGACCGAAGAGACGCATGACGACGGCAGCTGGAGGGGTGAGAATCTGGCGTGAAGGTGCAGTTCTGGAGAGCTATGCTGCGAGAATTGGGGGTCGAAATGCCCAAAGGACGGCGATCCACAACAGTCTAGAGAGCGAGGCCCCGGTCGCCAGGCCGTCTGAGCGCGCGTTGGCTTGCGGAGCCGTTGCCGGGTAATCCTTGGACAAAGAAGGCCCGAGCAGCTCGGATCGGACGTGGTAAGCAAGGGGATCTCGGCAGCGCGTGCAATGGGCGCGCGGTCGGATGTGTGAAGGGGTGAAGGGGTGAAGGGGTGAAGGGGTGAAGGTGTGATGGTGTGGAGGTGCGAAAGTCAAAGTTTGTGTGTCTAGCTGGTCGTCTCGCAATAGGGCGTATATTTTGGAAGAAGTCTGGCGACGACTAGAAGAAAGCACATGCGTCCGTGGATGCGCGTCGCTTGCCCAGTCGCATGGTAATTAGGTACAACCTGTTCGTAGCCGTACGTGCGAATGGACCCCTGGGTGCACCACACACGGCACAAAGGCACTAGCTGATATTGGTATTGGGTGGAGAAGACGGTTGAAACACACTCGAACGTCGTTCAAATGTTCCTCCTTAGCTGCATGGTGCCAGGCAGGCCGTGTTACTCTCGCTTCAGCCATGCTGCATCAATTGCCTGCTCTTATCGTACCGTCTTCTATACCTTCTCCACCTGGGAAGCGCCTTTCTGCGGGTCCACCATCCCTCCTCCAACAACACAACGAGTAGTACATACATCGTCCCCATGGTTCACGCTTGGCTTTTCAGGCCTGTCTGCCACCGTGCTCGCGGAACGCATCACGTCCTCCTTGCGGTAAGGCCCCAAAAGTCGCCCAATAGATACTATCGGGTCCACGCCTCAGACAGGTTAGCGACGGCTTGCACATGGCACAAGGCAACTCTATTTGCCAATCTAGTGCTCCATATAACAGTCTGGTCATGGTCGTCGTCGCCAGAGGCTTCGCTAGCTACAAAAGAGAGAAAGGCCCACTAAGTACCAGCAGCACAGCTAATAAGATCACCCAAGGATTGCAAAGCTCGAAACAACAAGGTATCGCTTACACGGGGCTTCACGGGACCCAAGCCAAAACACCCATCCATGGCAGCGGGTTGCGGGTGCGGGTGGGCAATCCCGCCTCGCACTGCCCAGCGCTGTATCTGGTCAGTTCGCCCGCCAAAGCTCAAGCAGGCTCTTGTCGTCAGCCTAATCCTACCTGAAATTCGAGACGTCCCAGGGTCTATGTGAGCCCAACTTCAACCATCGCAAACCCTCGAAGAGCGCTCTACTTTTGTCGTCCCGTCAACATGACCGGTTATATTCACGGTGCAGTTCACTACGGGGCAGACGAGTAATGCTTCTCCCGCCCGAGTCATGAAGGAGACTACCGAGTCAAACGCGAGGCGGTTAACGAGGAATGCCTTGTCAGGGGTCGAGTAGTCGGGACAGACCGCGGGCGGCAGGCGTGTCTCCATCTCCGCGGTCGTGGATCAAGGCAGCTCACTGACCAAACTCAATGCGAGGACCGGACAAGCCCCTAGCCTGGATCCAAGTGGAGTGGAGTGCGAGTTGCCCGGACGTTCATCCCATTCCGTGGCCCACAGTGGCTGTTTGTCTGTTTGTTTACCCTCGAAAGCACAAGACAAGATACCATGCCGTCTCCCTGCTCCGAGGCACGAGGCATTATTTATACCCGACAAGCAGCAGGGAGCATATGCAGCCGATTCCTTCGATAACGTTCCATCAGCCCGTCATTGCGTTCGGCACCCTCCGATAATGCGGGCTGCGGGCATCTGCGCAGAGGGCATGTGTCTTGCCATGTCTCTCCACGCACATGCAATTCTTGACATAACTGCCCACTCTAATTGCTGACACTAACCGAGTACTGCGCAAAGTCGAGAGAAGAACGCCTGATTCCCATGGATTACCGCAATTTTTCTTGCTTACTTTTTTTTTATCTAAGCTACGGTATTAGAGGCGCCGCCTAGCTTTAAGGTAGCTTGATTGCTTTCGCACTACTGAGTCTAATGTTTATCATTATGCGCTGTGAAGTGAGTGCCCAAGGAAATCCCCTAGCATGAAGGCGCTGCTGGAGACATCGACTACGAATTAACGCAGGGCCTCCTCCAGTTGCAAGCTATCGAATGCCTTCGCATGCGCCCATGAACACGTCAATGTCGCTTGCTGTTTTACGGGGGTTCTCTGCCAAAAATATCATAGAGTACAAACTTCGTTCTGAAGATGTGTGAGCACCTAGTTGAGTTGGAAGGTGGATGGAGACGCATCACGTGCTCATGCATGTGGCTACATCTGTGGCGCCAAACGAGCAAGCGCGATTGAGCGTCTCGCGAAACTGTCAGTACAACGCCATTTAACTTGCAATTATGATATGACATTGTATGAACCGCTTGAATCCTCTCATTATACCATACCGCAATGGACGATCTAAATAGCCTTGACTGGTCCCAACCCGCCAAAAAGACGGTCAACACCCCCGCGGTCTTCCCACCCTTCCGCCAGAGCCCCACGCCTCAGCTCTCTGGCCGTTCCACGCCTCTCTCTACACTGTCCGCGCAGCAATCGGGAGCTGGAGCAAGTTTGACCGGCAACCACGCCTTCAAAGCACCCTCGAAACCTGCAACACCGGCAAACGACAGCTTCGCCGGTCTTGTGTCCCTCAATACTTCCAAAGCCTCGACGAGCAACCTATCACTACAAGAACGGCAGAAACAGATACAGGAAGAGAAATCAAGACACGAGGCGGAGAGGAGGAAACAATATGACGCGACCTTTGGAGGTGCGGATTCGAAACACTGGGATACGTTAGGGAGTGGGAAGAGCACACCAGAGCCTACAGCTTTTGGCGCACCTCGTCCTCCTATAACTACGTCTGGCAGCCAGGGCCTGTCAAGAACTATCAACAAGCCATTTGCAGGCCTAGATACGACCTCTAAACGCCCCGCGCTGTCTTCGCCCGCTGAGGAGGACCTTCTCGCAGCATTCAACTCGGCAGCCCCTGTGGATAATTCGAGCCACTTTCCATTCCCATCACACGGTAGCGGCCGAAGCACTCCCGCATACGGCTCAAATGTATCTCGAAACCATACACCGCTGCCGCAGCCCTCCAGTAACAGCAACACGCCCATGGACGACGACGACGACGACGACGATATGTTCGGCCTCAAGCAGATGGCACAGAAGTCGGTGTCTCCAGCTCCACCACCCCAGGCGAATGACGGCGATGACGATATACTTGGGCTACTAGGCAAGCCTGTCTCAGAGTTCGAGAGGAAAGAACAACCGAGTCCAGTTGTGGAAGAAGCACGTACAGAGGGACGACGCCGATCGCCACCAGGACCCCAGAACGCGCATGACAAAGCTGTTGCTGAGCTGGTGGACATGGGTTTCACCGCTGATAAATCTGCGATTGCACTGGCGACGACCGAGTCTGGCTTAGATGTGCAGGTAGCAGTAGGATGGCTGTTGAATCAAGCACATGCAGAGGCAAAACAGAAAACCCAGAACCGCAGCCAGGACCGATCAAGGCGGAGTCCTGACGAGTTTGTTGAGCGTCCAAGGCAAAGCGACAACAGACCTAATGCAAGAGAGACATCAAGAGACGCTCGTGCAGGCGGGTCTAAACCAGCATGGATGCGCGATGAAGAAGGGCGGAGCCGGTCCAGCCAACGTCGACAAGAAGACCAACCTCAAGAAAAAGATGTCACTCAAATGGCTTCGGAGATTGGCAATAATCTCTTCAAGTCCGCCAATTCGTTGTGGAAGACTGGCCGCAAACAAGTACAGAAAGCCATGGCCGACCTTCAACAAGATGGTGATAACAATGTGCCCAAGTGGATGCGAGACGCGCAAGCAGCGGAAGCAGCCCCCAAGTCAAGTAGGACGCAAAGAGAGCAGCAGGCTGCGACTGACGAGGCTATGATGCTAGAAGCGGGCGGACGTCCCATCAAACCATCGCGTCAGAGTGAAGTACGTCAACAAGCTGAACCTCTGCCCGTGCGACAACGCAGAGAGCAAGAAGGAGGGCGCAACGGCTTCCCAGATCGCATGTCATCACAGTCGCCATCCCAGCGGCAACAAACGTCAAGCTTAGACAAACGGCCAGCAACCAGATTGACGCGGCAAGATGTGGAGGAGCGAAGCCCTCAAGCATACGTTAGTCCTGCGCGACGGAAGAAGTCTACACCGCAGCCGCAGGTAGATCTGTTCTCTCCTGAGCCTACACCCTCGAGTCAATCCTCGCGACAACCGACTCTGGTCCAGTCAAAGAATCCGTTCCTTCAAGCAACATCAACGCCCAAAGCTCGGAGTCCAGCAGTCACTCCTCCTCCACCGAGACCCAAAGCACCTCCTCGACAAATTCCTCCTGTTTCTTCCTCAGCCCTCAATTCATCTGCATCTGACCGACAAAGAGGGTCTGAAGCCTTCAAACGTGGCGACTATTCAGCTGCACATGCTGCGTACTCGTCTGCACTGAGCCCTCTACCCCAATCGCATCCAGTCACCATTGTTGTACTCTGCAATCGGGCTGTAACGAACATCAAAGTGGGCGACCCTAAAGCCGCTATAGTTGATGCCAACGCTGCATTAGCCATCATTGGCGTGTCGAGAGGGGAGGGTGAAAAGATTGCTACAGGTGGTACTGAAGGAGACAAAGATATGAAAGAGTTTTACGGGAAGGCGCTCATGCGGAAAGCCGAAGCGCTTGAAAACATGGAGAAGTGGGCGGATGCGCACACAGTCTGGAAGGAGGCCGTGCAAAATGGTGTTGGAGGTGCAATCAGTATTCAAGGTCGCAACCGATGCGAGAAGGCTGCGAGCGGAGGAAACACCTCGGCTGCCCCAGCAGCTGCAAAACGCCCCCCTCCAGCGCGCAAGCCCGCAGCACCAAAGCCTACCGCGCTCTCAGATCTTGGCAGTGGACCCGCGAACGACTCGGAAGCTGTTAAGAAGTTGAAAGCCGCCAACGCTGCAGCCGAAAGAGCAGACGACGAGAAGTTTGCGCTTACAGACCAGGTTGATGCAAAGCTTATCGCGTGGAAGGGCACCAAGTCCGACAACCTACGAGCGTTGCTAGGCTCGCTAGACAAGGTGCTGTGGGAAGAGGCTGGGTGGAAGAAAGTCAACATGGGAGATTTAGTCATGCCAAACAAGGTCAAGATTGTGTACATGAAGGCTATTGCCAAGGTACACCCTGATAAGGTACGGTTGCCACCCTAGGGATTCGAGTGTGAAAGAGGCTAATAACGTGATAGATCTCTCAAGCGGCTACGACAGAGCAGAAGATGATAAGTGCAGCAGTTTTCGCGACGTTGAACGAGGCGTGGGACAAGTTTAAGACGGATAACAACCTATAACTGTGCACTAACCTCGAAGCAAGCACTATGAATCTGGGGCTTCGGGACTATAGCTCACAGACTCAGAGTATGAGATATAGAGAAATTTAAAGTCAGAACCATTTGTGATAGTCTTATGAATGCTGTGAAGTGTCGCACGAAGCGCAGATGATGCTAGCGTGCGGCTCAACGTTCGGTTCCTGGCAGGAGCTGATCCCTGCACCCCGGGTTCCTGGGCATTAGGTAAACGACTGTGGAACTTTTCCCATCCGTGCAGTCCTCGTCCCGAACGCTTTGAAGCCATTGTCTATCCTCATCCTCGCAAATAAGAGCAGACTTTACTCGTCCAACGTCTTCTACACGTCCATTCGCGTAAAGCGCATATCTGCGCCCACCAATTGGTGTCCTTCGATTGGCCTAGACTGAACCTCTACCTACCTACGTCATAGCAACGATGTTTCCACCCTCACAAGGCTTGCGCCTGGATATAGATGCCATCAGCCAGATCTTTGGGTCTATCAGTATAGCATGCTGGATCGGTATGTAACTCTACTTCGCTTCGTCCTACCCGACGCAGTAACACGAAGCCCTCGAAGTATGATCCTAGCTGACTCACGTGACAGTCGTCTTCTCGCCCCAGATTATCGAAAACTGGAGAAGAAACTCAGCAGAAGGTCTATCAGTAGTCTTCATCGTAGTATGGCTCCTCGGAGATTTCTTCAACATCTTCGGCGCGGTGCTGCAGGGTGTATTACCGACAATGATCATTTTGGCCGTCTACTATACCCTGGCAGACATCGTACTGCTCCTGCAGTGCTTCTGGTACAAAGGCTTTACGCTTCGCGATGAAATCAAAACACCCGACGACGATTCAGACGACGAGATCGTTCCGGCGAGCGAGCAGTCTCCCCTTCTTTCGGAAAGCAGACGTCCAGGAAACGGATCCAGCCACATCAACGGTAACGGCAATGGACACGAGGTTCGCGCGCACATCTCAGACATCGACAGGCGCCATTCGGATCACTCTCAGTCGTCGTTCCGAGAGCGCTTTCTTTCGATCGATGGCACCCATTTGTCACCAGTCACTCCGCTGCATGATGAGCCCACACAAGCTGTAAGGCAACGGCCTCAACCCGCTCAATCGACGCTGCAGACTGTTCTTTTCAACCTCGGCACTATTCTTCTCGTCTGCGCGGCCGGCGTCTTTGGCTGGTATCTCAGCGCCCGCAACGCTGCTCCTCCCTCTGACAGCCCCCCTTCTGAGTCAACGCTACACTTCAATCTGTGGGGCCAGATCTTCGGCTATATCTGCGCGCTGCTTTATCTCGGTTCGCGCATCCCGCAACTACTGCTGAACTACCGCCGCAAGTCCACGGATGGGATCAGCATGCTCTTCTTCCTGTTTGCTTGTTTGGGCAACCTGACCTACGTGTTGAGTATTCTAGTGTATAACCCGAAGTGCAAGGGTGGGAACTGTGCGGATGGAGAGGCGGCGTTTATCTATTGGCGGTATATTGGGGTCAATGCTAGTTGGTTGTTGGGAAGTTTCGGGACGTTGTGCTTGGATGCGGGGGTGTTTGTTCAATATTTCTTGTATAAGAAGGAGGATGACGAGAGCAGTGACGAGGAGGAGTAGAAAAAGGCATGACTCTGGTGTGAGGGACTGTAGGAGGAAGTGTAATTTAAGCGCATCGCGCCACTACGTAGATAAGTATCTATTTTCGTACATTGGCTTGATGAGGTCGGTAATGCATTGGTGCGTTCCTCCCTAATCGCGTTGTTGTGTATTGGCGGTAGGGTGTTTGTCAAACAGGCTTCCATCTGATTATTAGTAAAACAGCTGAGACAATGTTTGGTAGGAGCAAACCTATAAGTATATCTACCTACTGTATTTAGTAGATAGGATCTATTGCTTTTATTATATCTTTCTACGCCTTTGCACCTTTAATAAGTTATAAGCCTAGTTTGCTTTTTTTTTTTAAAAAAAAAACTCTCCTAAGGACACAAATATTATTACTAAACTAATCTAATCTTATAATTACGTTAATAATATTATATCTTACTATTTTAACACCGCGGACCTTACGAAGCTCCCTTCTAATCTTATTCGTCTGAAGGGACAGGATAACTTCGTGAGATGGAAGCCTGTTTGACAGTGTTGCTATATTCACTCTGCACTTGCCCGTTTGCACCAACATCCGACACTCACGTGTGCCAAGGTTCTGGGTGCTCACCTCCTCAATCAACGCGCTTTGTATTTCCTCTCCTTCTTGGAGCTACCTGCTGTGAATATCTCGTGTCTTGCGTCTTTCAGCGTTCCATCGAGCTATCATGGTGCCTCTTTCGCAACAGAAGCAGGTCAAGAAAGACAGCGTATCACCAGCGCTATGCCCGTCATTCGAAGGTACAACTCCCCTGCAATTCACGGATAGTTGCTCACATGCGCAGATACTGTTTATGCTGCTATCCCTCGCGCGCTGTCACTGGTCCAGACGTACGCGAAACCATTTGCCTCGTCCAAGGAAGCAGAACAGTACGTTGAAGGCGTGTTGGAGTGGAGAGGACTCCATTATGGATTCGTCGCAAACGCTCCAATCTCTTTCCAGAGCAGGGTTAGGAATAGGATACACTATGAAGTGGCGAGAAGGGCTGTCGACGCAGGTATCCTCCTGATTGATAGGTCTTTACAACAGCAGATCCCGACGCAAAGAAACTACCAGATGCCAGCAGTAGATTCAAGTAAGACGACTTCATTATCTTACAAAGTGTCATGCTGACAAAAACAACAGAAGAAACTAGGGAAAACATCAAGCAACTCAAGGCGCTGATCAAAGAATGGCCCCCTTCATTCGGTAGCCTACGATCCGCCAGAAACTATGCCCGCAGCATCTGTAAGAAGAGCAACCTTCGCTTCACTCTACATCGGGGAGTAAAACCTTCGAAAATCCGAAACTTTGTGCTCAATGCTATCATCCGCGATGCCCACGAGGCTGGCTTCTTCCAATTCGGCACTCACCCGGGGGGTCATGGACTACACTCTGAAACTAAGATCCAGCATCGAGCCATGGAGTCACGAGAGAGGAAGGTCAACTCTCCATCGTCTGTACACTCGGGAAGCTCTGCTACGCTGACCGTCGACGATTCGTTCCAGGTGCCTAGCACGCCCACACTTCTCGCAAAAAGAAAGACAGAGAAGGATCTTGACGACGCCGGAGAAAAGGCTTTCAACACCATCGACATACGCGCGGAGATTCTGGCTGCCCGATTCGAACTGGCCGAGAGGATGATGTCTCGACTCGGACTCGATCTTACAGACAGAAACACTCCCGACCTGGAGGGGCCAATGGCGCCGCAGGCAGAGCAAAACGATCCTGAGGTTGGCTTTACATCTGGCGGGGAGAACAGCGCTTTCAAGGCAAGCTCCGCTTAGCATATTTTGTTTCTTTCCCTTGCTCAACTTACCTGATAGGACCTTGTGTGTGAGTTTCAACGTGGACTACGCATCTAGGCGATGCCTTGAGCTGTAGCGACGAAAACGAGGTGTGTTGCTCCGGCTCGTACGATATCTGGTTTGCGACTAATCTCAAGATGGCGACAAAGCTAGGCGAGTTAGGATTTTGGAGTAGGGGAGTTTGAGTATACAAGTTTGACCAAGACTTCGATCAGCTGCCAGATGCGTAGTGCGGATATGAGAGTTGATGAGATCTGGCGCAAAACAACATCAAAGCTCGACTGGTCACCAAAAGTACAGACAGATAGAAGCTACAATAATACCTCAAATCTCTCCCAACATTTCTCCCTCCATTCCAACTTACCCCCTCACTCCGTCTCCCTCCCCTTGCCCTTCAACTTGGCAACCTCAACCTCAATCGCAGCCTCGACATCCCTCCTCAACCCCTTATAAAACCCCAACTTGAACAGCACCTCATACCACACAAACAACGGCGCCAAAAATAGCGCCTGCACCAGATTATCCAACAGCGCAGGCTTCCTCCCTTCAAACTTGCCGTGCCCGATGAACTGCAGTATCCAGCTGACGACGTGGACGGCAATGGCAATGGTGTTTACTTTGGTGCGGTTGTACTTGGTCGTCAGGCGGTTGGCGAGCGATGCGGCGCCCAGGACGAGCGGCGCGATGGTTGCGCCGGCGATGTTGGGGCTGAGGAGCAGGTACAGCGTGGAGTAGGTGGCTGCGGCGAGGGTGCCGAGGTTCAGGGGGAGGTTTAGGCGGGTTAGGAGCGTGGGCGAGCGGATGGGGAGGGTAGGTGTGTTTGTGCCCTAGACAACGGTTGTTAGTCCTGGGCTCTTTTGCTGGCATACTTGGATACAGTTTAGAGGGGTTGGTAAGACGTACGAAGAGGAAGCCTGTTGCGAGCAGGATGGGTACGCAGGCGATGTGTATAGCGACGTTTCGCGGTTCGCGGTGGTATGCGCCGTACTGGTGGGTGTCAAGTTAGTATACACTTCAAACAGAAGAATAACGGCGTGAAAAGGGTAGCTTGTTAGCTGGCTAGCTTACGAAAACAAGGTTCTTCTTCAGATCAAACGACGGCATCTTGACGCTTCTCCGTCGTAGAGAATCGTTGATGTGAATGTCGTCTGTCTGGTAACGCGATTGCGGAGAGGCGGGGATGCGGATGTGGATGCGGATGCGCGATAAGCCAGAAGATGCGGGGAAGTCGCTCGTTGGTTTCTTTCAGCTCAAAACCAGCTTCAAGCCAAGAAACATGAGGGAGATGACCCGGAGTCTTATACCCGTCGCGACACCCCGTTCGTTTCCAGTCACCCCACCTTTCCTTGCTTGTTGGTGACAGGAGCGCCTGGGGTGCATCGGCCGACTGCTATAGTAGCTATAGCTCCATCAAGCTCAACATGCAGGGACGGAATGCCGAGGTAATATTCCTCTTCTCATTGGCCATGCGCATTTATCGAGTGATTCGCGCGTCAGCATGTCCCGGATGGTTTGGGGGTTGATTAGCATGTGTATGGAAGCTGGAAAGAAGTCATGATGGGCGCTAGGGGTTGTAATTGTGGGTATTGGTGACGGCAAGCGTGGTTTTGCTGTTGTGGTTATTCAGACAACACTACAATCATGCATGTTGGATTCTTACGCTACGTTTGCTGCAATACGTGATGTGATGCCTCGATGTTCATAATGGCAACTGAACTGGTGAAATTACGGGTAGCGGATGTGGGCGGGATGGAGAAGGGTGGGACCCCATTAGGAGTGTGCTTTCCACTCTTAACGGATATTTACGTCGGCTTCTGATCGCAAGACTGCACTACGGTATTTTATCATCATTAGGGACAGACTACGTAGGCTAACTCTATGCAGCCACGACGAGGGTATAGAATGAAAGCATCGCCAATATCATCCCACCACGCCAACTAGCTGTTTAGCGCTTTCATTGGAGAAAGGATGTGGACGACCATTACGCCCACTGAGCAATTGTTACCCATAGCGACGGCATAATCTCGAGCGCGAACAAAAGTAGAGTTTGAGCAAGGTACAATTTGTGCCACTAGACTTCCTAGACCTGCTTCTCGCCCCGAGGCGAAGCCTTGACGTACGCATCTGGCTTGACCAGACCCTTCTTGCGGAGGATGTACGTGTTCCAAGCGTAGCTTATTTGGTGCGTGACGCTAACAGGCGGACGCTGGTCGCCAAGCTTGTACAGCAGAGGCTTCTGGAGGCCCTTGCGACGAAGGATGTACGTCTTGAACCACCAGGGCAGGTTCTGCTTAGCCTGATAGTTCATGTGAGTTCGCGTTGGCACGGCGAAGATGTAATCCAGCTCTTCAAGCGTGCGCTGCTTGGTCTCTGGCAACCACAGGAAGCTAGAGAGGATTGGTCAGTATAGGATTGCCAAAACGAGGTTGGGGGTTGACTTACATCATGATGAGTGCGAGGATGTTCAGGCCTGCGTAGAATCCAAACACTCCCTGAGGCTTCATGGCCTTCAACATACGGGGAAGCGTAAGCGACAGGACCGATGCCCAGAAGTTGTTCGTAGCCACAGCCCACGACATTCCCACCTCACGATGAGAAAGCGGGAATACTTCAGCCGAGTATGTGAACGGAACTGGACCCTCCCCAGGGCTGTAGAAGGCGCCAAAGAGGTATACGAAGAAGGCAATTAGGCCCAAGTGGGCAGAGCTGTCCTTGGGAATATAGTAACACATTCCGGCTGCGAGGAGCGTCCAGAACATGTTCGGGAAGGTGAAGAGCAACAGTCCGCGACGTCCGAAGGTGTCAATGGTCCTGGAGAGATAGGGTTAGTGTCTGTCTCGCTTGCAATTGGTACATGAAAATCTTACCACACGGCAGGCCAAGCGAACACGAAGTTGACAAGACCGAACCCGAATGAAGCGATCAAGGCTTCCTTTGAAGTCGCGCCGCCCTCTTTGAAGATGGTGGACGAGTAGAAGGCAATGATGTTGATGCCGCACATCTGCTGTCCAATCATTACAATGCCGGAGGCTTGAGTCGCACGGCGCACGCGTGGAATGGTGAAGAGTTCGATGAAGCGGGTGAAGAAGTTGCTCTTAGGATTCAGACCTGATTCTCGTACTAGGATCTCCTCCTGTTCAAGCAAAGCATGGGTATAGTAGAGATCGCGTGCCGCCTGCAGAGGGGTGTTTCGCAGGCGAAGGAAGGATCGATATGCCTTTGCGTACTTCTTCTTTTTCATGAGCCATCTCGGAGACTCCGGGACGAACCAGATGCCCAGGACTAGCGGGACGGCAGGAATGAAAGCGCTGCCTAGTTGTAAGCGCCAGGAGATGGAACCGGTGTTCTGGTATACCGTTAAGGATGGTACCAAAAGAGAAGAGCAAGCAGCACACTCACCATGACGACTAGATTGGCAACAGTACCAAGGAAGATGCCAAAAGCCGTCCAAATCTGCCAGGACATGACAAGCCCACCGCGCACACTGGCCGGGACGTTTTCAGCGGAAAAGACAGGCACGGTCACTTCCTTCAGGCCCATACCAACTCCGAGGAGTACACGACAGGCGGCGAGTTGACCCCATTTCTGGGTAAATCCGGAGCCAATGGGAGCTAGTACGGAGAAGATGGCAGCGATGAAGATGGTCCCACGACGGCCAAGGAACTCATTCACCGGATCAGAGATCCAGGCGGTGAACAAAGCGATAGCAATGTACGGGCAAGAGTTGATAAAACCGATGATCCAGCTGTTCTTTTCACAGGTTCCAGCTGCCGTGCACTTGTCACCAGAATCGGGGATACCAAACGCCTCGCCAAAGGACAAGTTGGCGCCATTGGATCCAGTCTGATCCCAGCCCTGAATGGCAGCGGCGATGGAATTGAGAATGATGGTGAAGTAGAGCGTCCTGGGCAGCTTGAAGCGATGGGTGATTTCTTCGCGAATGGCGAGGCGGTCTGCGTCGTCCAGCTCCTCGAGCTCCTCGAACAGTGCTGGAGACTGCGCGACGAGGGCACCCTTGACTAGAAGCGGCTCGACATCTTCCAATTGGTTCTCTTTGGCGAAACTTTTAACATCGAGCAGAAGCTGCTCTCGCGGAATGTCAGCTAGAGGGTTGCGAAGTCTGTTCGAATTAGTGTCAGCAGGCAAGGCTGGGCCGCCAAAGAACTCACTCGCCCTCGGTGTTGGCCGTCAAGCGGGCAATGCTCTCTCGGCGCAACTGCTCATTGTCGAATTTGGAGCCCTTGTGGTCGTGGTGTCCGTTGTCGATTTGCCTAGAACAAAAGGTTAGTACAAGGATACAAGAGGTGGAGGATTACTCAGCGGCACTCACTCAATCGTGGTCTTGTCGGGTTCCGCCATGGCCGAGCACTCAAGCTTCGTGTTGTTATGGTGAAGCTTGTGAGTGGGGAAAGGCAATGCTTATAAGCTTTGCCGGGGAGCTTGAGCAAAGACCAGCGGAAGGCTGCACGGTAGGTTTGGTAGGGGAGGCAGGGAATACGGAATTGGTACAAGGCAGAGAGCGAGGCCTTTGTTTATTTCCCCCCGGCTTGGCTGTCAGAGTTGCTCTGTTGCAGGGCTGCGGGATCACGCGCAGCTAGGGTGGCATCCAATGACAAAAGAACAGAAGGCCAGGGTGTGCATTATGCTTTCACCCCCAGAGATCAGTAACGTCGGTGGCGTTCTCATCTGCCTGCCCCTCTTCAACCACACGGTAGCATGCGAGGTGGAGAAACGCCTGGGCGTCCACTTTGTTGCGTTAATGCTCTCCTTGGCATGTGGTGGCACGCTGCGTCAGTCCGGGCTTACGGTGAATGCGACATACAAACGTCTGATGAGCAACCGTGTCAGCTACCCTATCTGGCTAACACGGGGAGCATCAGAGCTCACCCGCTGCTCAGCGCATAGCCACGACAGGAGGAATGCCAAACGACGAATGTGCGCCGAGGCAATCGAGCTTCAACAGCTATTGCAGTAGAAGACGGGTAGAACGCGCTAGTCTGCACACTATGGCCGTCAGGTAAACGAATCGTTGCTGGGTGCGAGTGGAGTGCATGCGGAGTTGTCTATTGTCTACGAGCCATCAATCAGCCCACCCAGGGAAATCCTGCCTAACTGACCGGTAGGTACCTGCTGTGTCAACCTGTAACACCAAAGACGGTTGTACTTTGACCGGTCTATAATTCGTCAGCGACGATCGATGTCGATTTCTCAAGTCAGAGCCAAGATGCGAAGTTCCTAGAGAGAGGCTTTGCCTCGTTAAGCTCGCCATGGACTGTCCTGATTCCCCACCTTCGTTGCTTGGCCTCGAGCTTTCCTTACACCACCGCTTGACTGGATGCAATCTAGCGTCGCGAACCTGGGAACCTGGGGAAGCAAACGCGCAACACCCCCAACATATGAATCATCTTCTCCCATCCAGCGCTCTGTCGAGTCGCAGTTGCGGGCATCCCCTCAAAGCCACCAACAGAAGCCTCTCAACGTAGCCACACACCACCACGGCTCAGTCTCAGTCTCACTCCTCACTGCCTCCCTCTGCGCCCTGCTCAAGCCCGATACGGCAGATCGAACCACCAGCCCTACTAGTGCGGACAGCCATGCAGGGTGAGCAGGGTGAATATTCGGCAACCCCGTCCATAAGCCCTCCCGCTAGTGGACAACGGGCAGCACGACGCGAAACTTGGGGAACCATGGCGTGCGCGTCATCAGATTGGTACTAAGGATTTGGCTGCTGACGATGTTGACGGCCTAAGCGTCGCAAACTCTTTGCAGAATAAAGGATCGAAGCAGGTGGTTTACTAGTGTAATTTGAAAATGGATTTGGGAGGATTCTATTTGCAGATGGATGAATTGACACCGAGAAGAAAAAATAGAGAATAACATAACATTGCAATTATAGTATGAAGTGTGCAAACATCCAGAGTGCTCCATAGAATAGAACAGAATATTAGATTAAGAGAACAAACACCGCAATACGCCAGGGCGTGCAAAGGTCTACCTAAGTATTGCCATCCAATCCGGTAAAACCAAAGCAAAGAACATGATTCACATCTCATCTCATTCATCAGACACATGATTCTCTCCAAGTTCGACCCATCCACCTACGAATTCCTCAGACTACTCAACCGCCCTCCCATCGGACTCGCCGCTCTACTCCTCACTCTCGGCTGGGGCGTAATACTATGCGCCCTCGTCCCCACTCCAGCACGCCCCGGGTTATTCCTCGCCCTCTGCAACTCTTCATCCTTCTGCGCAAGCGATTTCCTCAGTATCGCATTCTCAGCGCGTACGCTTCTGAGCTGTTTATCCTGATTTTCATACTGTCGATCTAGGTGCAGCGCTTTGAGCTTCGCGACTTGACCAGAGGCTTGGTGTTGCAATGTAGCATTGGAAGTAGTGAGTTCGTCAACCGTGACCTGGGACGTCGAGGCCGCGTCTTGGGCGAGACGGTATTGCTCCTTTGTATATTCGAGCGTTGATTCGGCGCTCTGAGTAGCCTTGAGCGCGCGTTGTTTGTCTTCCTGCGCGGTTGCGAGCTCCTTTCGTAGACGAGTTATCTCGGCAATTTGTCCGTCCTTGGAGAGCAGATGCGTGGCGCGCTGTTCTTCAAGCTGTTCGCTTAGTTGTCGCATCTCACTCGTTCTATTGGCAAGGCGTTCACGAAGCGTCTCGTTGTTCTTTGTCATAGTCTCGAGCTTCTCTTCTGCAGTCTTGTGCTGCCCGAGAAGGAGCCGGTAAGCCCGCGTGACGTTCTCGTGCACAGTTTGTTGTTTGTCCCACATTTCCTCGTGGTCGTGGAAACGCTGTTGTTCTGCTTTGTAAGCCTCCTCTGATCTAACGAGCTGTCTTCGAAAACTCGTTTCATCTGTTGCTGTACCAGGCATAGAATCGCTGATGCGAGTAACTTCAGGCTCGTCGGTAATGCTTGAGCTCGTAGCGGCTTGTGGTTGTGGTTGTGGTTGTGGCGTGAAGCGCATGCGCTTTGATGGGTCAAGATCCTCAGCGTCCTACACACGTCAGTGTCTATTCGTTCAATCGCCCACGCTCATTTTAAATTACCAGGGGCCGCTTCGGACGATCAGGTATCGGAGGTGTAGTCGACGGCTGCGAGAGCTGCGTCTGATACTCGATGATAGTCTTCACGCTACCAATAGAAGGCAGGGGCCAACTCAATCCTTCATCGTCAATTGCGGCAGTAAGCCATTTCACAATCCTCTTGGCGGCGACTGGTGCCCGGGGGGTGTCTTCACTGATAGGCTTCCCAAGTAGTCCACGTATCTGGGCTAGGCTGGCTAAGATTGTATGCAATCGCTCCCGGTGATCCAAGGCTGGCGAGATATAGCGCTCAATATGACCCACAGTTCGGGGTATCACCAAGTGGAGAATGGGTACAACGTCCTGGCCAGAAGACCGGGCCCAGTTCTTCTGCCGGATCTGAGATGCTTCCTGGAAACCATCGAGGCATATGATAAGATCCGGCGCCCGTATGACGGGCGAGGCATCACCTGGGATAATAGTGATAGTCAAGCTGCCTTCAATCTGCGCTGGGACCGCTCGGCGACCCCTTATAGGCATGTTGTAGTTGACAAACTTGGCTTTGCAGAACGTCTCAAGGATGTTGAATAGCGCATCATCATCTTTCTCGGTAACCAACACAACGTGCTTATTGCAATCGCGCAAGTGGTGAAACAACGAGTGAAGAAACCTGAATTTGGAAGAGTTTTCCATCCCGAACTGGGTCGAGGATTCAACTTGTGTTGCTGACGGAGCTGATTCGGCTTCAAGAAAGACTAAGTCGATGTGGGTTTCAAGAGCTCTCAAATACGAGACGACTTCTTCCACCTTGTCGAGTTGGTTGAAGCCGCGGGGATCCTCCAGAAATTGCTCCAGAAGCTCCCTCTTGTGCACGAGGCGCCCAGAATAATCGTCCCTCTGTCGTCCCTCTATAAATAGCGGTACAATGTACTCTTCGCGTTCGAGGTTCAATTCGTCGGTAAAAAGACTCTCAGTGTCATCATCAAGGTCGCTTAGCTCTTCATCATCAGGATCAGTCGGGCTGGGTTTCTGAGATAGCGTTGCCTGTTCTTCTGTTGTGACCATACTTCCGGTATCAGCAGGGTCGTGTGTCGCCCCGGCATGAGAAGTCAACTCCCCATCGTGGGACTCCGTCGCTGGGATGCTAATGCTTGGTACAAAAGCGACAGCCCGTAGCGAAGTCGATGCTTGTGGAGCAGGTGAGCGATCTGGTACAGTCGAAGGTGATCTTGTTCCTTCTGCGGCTAGTGTAGAAGGCGAAGCATTTGCCTTGAACAATCTTCTTGCTGAGGTGGGTATAGATGTTGGAATTTCCGGGGTCGGAGCTGTAGAAGGCGTAAAAGATGATGTGATGCGACGTCTACTAGGGGTGAATGGGTTCTCTGCTTGCGCTTGCGCAATTAGCTCCTTGAGTTGTCGTGCAACCTCTTCTCCGGTGCTGTGGCCCGCCATATTTGATAGTGAAGAGATAGGGACTGGTGTAGTCGGTCTGGTGGGTGGTTTGGAGTTGAGAGTGTCTGGCAAATGGCTCGGTGGCGCTTGTATGGGAGATGAACTATACTGTTCTGGTCTTAATGGCTTCTCTGGTGTTTCCTGGGATGAGTCGTGTCGTGACTCAGAGCTGGCGCGATGGGCAACGTAATCCTCCTCAATGGTTGACCGTATGCTTTCGGTAGTATCCTCTTGCGTGCTGAAGTCTGTTTCAACAGGTAAGACTTGGGCGTTTTGTTCGCGGAGGTCCGTGCACTGGGGAGGTGAGAGACGTGCCTGTGAGTGGAGCTCGAAATCGCGTCGTCTGTTGGTGCCTTCCGTAACAAGTTGTAACAAGCGGTGAGTGTATCCTAGATCTAAACTCTCGTTTATAGGATCGCCGCCTTGCTCCCGAAGGGGCGAAGATGAACCTGGCCCTGGTGGTTCTGACTGTATAGGAGCGTCGTGAGAGGGTTCCGGGATCGTGAAGCTGTCAGCACTCGCTTGAACTTGTACTTCTTCTAGCCGCGCTGATCGCTCTGCGTGGCCACCTAATTTTACGTCTGTAATGTCTTGCGGGCTAAAACTGTCTTCTTGATTGAGAGATTGATTAGGGACTTGCGGAGCAGTTTGAAAGCGATGTAGAGAGTGTTGAGAGTGAAATGGGAACTGGGCGTTCTCCTCTAGTACGGACTGTTCAGCTAGACTGGCCTGGCTGCCACGAAGACCGATCCGCTGGGAGGATCGAGTTCGAGATATCTCGTGAGCCTCACCGGCAAATGACTGCTCCAAAGTGGTATTGATGTTTTGATTTTCTTCCGGATACCCTGATTGACAAGGGTTGTTTTCTGGTACAGCTCGGACTCCCTCTTCCGCGTCGTCGGGAATAGCAGCACTTCCAATTATTGCGTCTCGCGCTTGATTAATAGATCGGTCTCGTTCTCGTTGAGTTGTGGAATTCACATCAACCGGAAAAGTGGTTTCTAAAGCAGGCTGCGAGGCACCCGCAACGGTCCTTGGTAACGTATCGTGGTGCTGCAGCGTAGGCTCGTTCTGTTGTTGTTCGCTCTGCGACTCCGCAATGATTTGCTGTCCGTGTTCCTGGTCAATGCTCTGTCCTTCGTCCTCAGCCACAACCTGCGCAGCCTGTGACGAGCTCTCGACAATCTCAAATGTATCCAGAATCACACGCTGATCTTCTATATCGGTTCTCCGGTGCTGGCTCTGTGAATCCGTCACAGTGTCAGGTATGGTCTCAGGAATTGAGCTCGCGGGTGACACGTCGCGTGATGCACCTTCTTGAATGATTTCAAAAACACCCTATAGCTACCTGTTAGTGAACATGTCCACGTTCAAATGTGAATAATTTATACGAACCGAGTCGTCCGAAAGTTCCTCCTCCGCGTGTGATTCGTTCGTATCCGTGCTCTGTGGGTTAGTATCTCCCGTCTGTTGTGTGGCAGGTATGAAGCTCGCCTCACTTGCTGAGCTCTCAGAGTCGGGTACGATGCCAGTGGAGAAGGGTTGTCCTGCGGCGAAGAGTTGCGAGCTGTCGAGATCGGTCTCTTGGGTACCCGATTGTGTAGAAGCACTTTGTTGTGTAGTTATCTGGGAGTGTGGCTCGAACTGGTCGGGGTCGAAGCTGCTGCCCCGCGGCGCGATATGTATGCGCGGCGATACACGTTGCCAAGACGCAAAGGTGCCAATTGGTGTCGTGACGGTACTATCTGCAGTTGGAGAAGCGCTGTCGCGTGTTGGTTTCGATGGTACGGAGACTAGGGTAGACGAGCGCGGTATGCGGTTGCGCCGAGGATGTTGACGCGCCTGCTGGTTTGTCGAACGCTCGTTTCCTCTACTAGGTTTAGGAGTTCCTCCTACACTGTGTATTTCCCTGCAGCGGGCTTTTTCTTGCTCCCAAGATACGACAAGTAGTTCGTTGGCGTACTCCTCCGGCTCCCAACTTGGTGAATAGTCTTGCCCGGTGGCGGGATCAGTGCCTTTCCATTTGATCAAGTACTGTCGCTTCCCTCCACGTATTCGCTCTTCTAAGATATCTTCTGCCTCCCACCATGGACTACTGTTGTCTCTGGTATGATCGCTATCGCTTGACGTGGTGTACTTGGGTCGCTTGTTCGATTGTCGTCGTGTCGAGTTGCGCTTTCTTTTCTGGCTAGCCATTACGCGGCAAGACCGCTAGGAATAGTCGTAGAGTCTAAGGCCATGGCCATGGTCGGTGGGGTGAGTCTCGAAGGCCCTTTGTTGGTTGTTTGGCGGAGTGCTGGCAACGAACAGTAAGTAGGGTAGGTGCGGGACAGCCCGAGCCCGCTAAGATCCATAACCCTGTCAGCTAGTGAACTCGTCGACCGGCTAATGGATAAGTGCTGCACGTTTAGTGTTTAAAGCATAGAGATAAACGGTCATGTTGCACGTAGACTCGAGGCTCGAATATTGAGGTATCCAGGTGATAGCATTGAGAAGGTCTCACGTCATGTGCGAGATTGGCTAGGTAATTGTAGTGAACATTGGTCTGCTTGATCTACTCCCTATTCGTTCACCGTCATCCCCGAAATGCAAGCGCTGAATACCCGACGTGTCCTTAGGTGACCTAGAGACTTTGCGCTTACCCGTCAGTGGAAGCATTGAACCAGATCTCACATCGTTTGAGAGATTGGCTACGTAGTTGCAGCACACACTCGCTTGTGTAATACACCCCTTGTTCGTACACTGTTCTCCCCGAATATAAAGCGCTCAGTATCCAGAGGCTTTGCGCTTATCCGTCCATTTGCGCTACGCATCTCACTTCAGTATCTACCACCGCGCTGTCCCCGCTGAGGACCACCATATCCACCTCTGTTGCTGTTGTACCCACCACCCTGGGGACTGCCTCCATAGGCGCCGCGCCCAGCTGGAGGATAGCCACCTGCGTTCTGGCCATAGCCGTTGTTGTTACCATAGCCAAAATCGATGCCTTGCTGATTGCCGAATTGATTGCCGAAGTTATTATAAGGATTATTCTGCATCGCGGTCATGTGAGGTGGCGGCGGAGGATAAGGGCCACTGAAGTTGGGCGGTGGAGGAGGCGGTATGAACCCACCGGAGCCCTGGAATTGCGGCGGAGGGGGAGGTGCAAGGTGCGGTGGAAATGGCCCCATAGGAAATGGTCCTGGGAGTTGGCCCGGTAGTAGTGCTTGAGGAGGAAATGGCGGTGCACTAAAGGGCGGTTGTGGAGCCTGGGGGAAGCCTCGTCCAAAGCCTTGCGGTGCTTGTGGTGCTTGCGATGGCTGAGGTGGAGCGGGATACCGATTGCCGCCGTTGGGATTACCCCGAGAGTTCCGGTCACGATCGTTCGATCCAGAGTACGATGAGTCTCTGCCATATGGCTTTGGCGGCGGTCGTGATTGGCCTGGGCCTCTGTCGTCATATCTCTGGCCACGGTCGTCTGAGCCTCTCCTCTCATCCCTGGGCGAACGATGACGGCGGCTGTAGCTTCTATCGCGAGACCTTGAGCGCGAGCGCGGGCTATCGTAGGAGGACCGTGATCCACGACGGCTGAGACTGTGGCTGCGGCTGTGGCTACTATGTTCCCGTCTGTAATCTGATTCTGAGGATGACGGACGACGTCGTCTCGGTGACTTTGAGTAGCGTCGATCTTCGCGTCGCCTCTGCGGTGGCTCTCGGACCGCATCAACTGCCTTCATGCGCTCATCACCCTCCCATGCTATCGCGAGGGTCTCAGGCATGGTGTGGTCCTGTATAGCCTTACAGAGCTTCATTGACCATCCGTAGCCGTTGTAGACCGTAGCCGTTTCGCCTGTCTGTTTGTCCCGCTTGACCAACTGCCCCAAGGGATCTAGCCATAACTTATACTTTTTGGTTTCGCCAGTCGGGTTGTCGCCCGTTGGCATATATTTGAGGTCGATGTTCTCAAAGTAGTCGTCAAGCAACTTACGGACGTGGGGAGAAACTGGCTTCTTGTCGAATTTCGCAATTTTGATTCGGGATGGCTCGATAGGGCGTTGAGGGTGCTTGAACATCTGGTCGAGCATGTAGGAAGCTGGCAGGTCGTGCCATGGTGCGGTTCGGTCGCCATGGTATTCTGGCAGGAGGTAGTGGCGCTTCCGGACAGGCGTGCCACCTTGGGCTAGAAGCAAAGCCTCATCTGCATTATCTCGGAGAGATTTGATATCTTCGGCGCTGACCAGCTGGTTGACAGCCCAGTAGTTGAGGATGGCTCTTAGCTTCTTCTCAGCTTGCGAGTCCTTCTCGTAGATGCACGAAGCTGCCAAGTCGACGAGCTCAGGCGTGAAGGAGGTGGACTCGGTACCGAAGATGCTTTGCTTTGCGGTGCTGCGACGGTGGAATTTGTCAGTATGAAGAACATCGTTCACAATCAACAAGAGATCAAATCGATTGCGGGCGGCTTTCTTCGCTGAAGCTGCTGCTGCTTCTGATAGTGCCGCCGCCGCCGCCCTTGGCTGGTCAATGACGATTGACTTTGAGACCGAGACTAGGTAGTCTCCGAGCACTGAAATCCGGGCCTTGGAGGGAGCTATGTGCTTGACAATCCACTCTGTGCATTTCTATGAATTGAGATTAGTCTGCTCCACGGTACATGTGATCAATGGCCTTGTAGTCAGATACCTGGACGTGCACGGGCGTGTTCTGCTTGAGAACAGCATCAAGGTCGCTGAGGAAGTGCGAGCTAGCTTCGACAGAGACGGGCGGGAGACGAGCTTCGTGCTGCTCTTTCTTCAGCGCCTGCTTGAACTTGAGCTGCGCTATTGTCAAGATGGTTGTCGCGCGCCTTGCTTCATCAGGCTGCGCCATAGTGCCGACGGGAAGCTGCTGCTGTTGTTGGCCGTGGGCGCGATTGTTGTCGACGAGGAAAGAGAGGAAGGTGTTTTCGAGCTCATAAGTCCCCAAATGTCTGTGCGCCCACGCTAGCGCGCCTGCCGCTTCCAACCACGGCACGTGCATCGTACCAGCCCTGGCATGTCGCAGTAATTCAGCCATGTCCAACGATGCTATCCAAGACGAGCTCACGTCGATAAACTCAATCTTCGATGAGGGGACATTGTCTCTGATTGATGAGGATGCAAGACTCTTCAGCCTGCGACTGCCCTCGCTGCCGTCGATAATCTTGCGTCTCGAATTCCCTGCAGACTATCCTGATGCGCCGCCGTCCATCCTGGGCACGCAGAGTGTAGGACAGGATGTTCCAAAAGGCATGGGCAGTCGAGCAGTAGACGTGGTTAGAGACGTCCTTGCCCAAGTCTATCGACCGGGTGAAGCATGCATCTATGACCTGCTCGAGGAAGCAAGAGAAGCCCTAGAGACGGCAGAAGAGCAGGGAGATATACGTTTACAAGGAAATGTCGAAAGCCATCCCGCCGAAGAATATGGAGCTGGACATGCACCGCCAGATCCCATAATCGACATCGGACCAGAGCCCCCGTGGGTCGTCGCACCAGCAGTTATGGAGAAGAAGTCGGTCTTCCTGGCGCGTGTCGCCCCAGTATCATCCCCCGACCAGGCCAGACAGTACGTTACCCATTTCCTAGCAACGGACAAGAAAGCTGCCCGAGCCACTCACAATATGACCGCTTGGCGCATAAAAGGCCCCAACGACACGAGTTACCAGGACTGCGACGACGATGGCGAGACTGCAGCCGGGTCACGCATGCTACACCTCATGCAACTTATGGATGTATGGAACGTCATGGTTGTCGTTACAAGGTGGTACGGCGGTATTCAACTGGGCCCGGATCGCTTTCGCATCATTAACACTGTGGCGAGGGAGTCACTAATTTTGGGAGGTTTTACAAAAGAGAGCAAAGATACCGAAAAGAAGAAAGGGAAGAAGTAGGCAATCAGCGTCTGTCAAAAATAAATTGCCAGGGCACGAAACGGAGAAAATTTATTCAAGATCGATATCATGCATGGCCGCCACACCGTTACAACATTGTTGCAGGTATCATATCAGTTCATAACTAATCACGCTTTCCAGTCAAGTACTAGACAACTAACCTATTATTCCTTTAACCTACCGCTCATCGAACCTTGCGGTCTGGAGTGCGCGTTCCAATACACTAATACTATGATGGCACTAAGCCTAATGCAGCCTTTGCCGAGCTTATCGAACGCCGATCGGTATACTCCAGGGCTTACTCCGAGATCTCACTTCGCGTTAGGCTGCCATCCAACATGGGGAGCCAACGATAAATAGCAGCTGATATCACCTCTAGTGAATATTGCACAGTACACTTCCTTTCCAAAGTAAAGTAGCACTATGGAAACAACCGTCTGTACACCTAGGCTGAAGCTCACGCTTATCACTACTGCCAAAAGAGGCAGTCCAGAACTCGAGTGGCTACATGAAATGCGTAGTGATGCACAGACAACGTTTTGGAGGTAAGTCATGACATTTCTTACGTACCCAAATGCTAGAGCTTTTGATTCCAAAACCTTTACTGAGCTGATCTTTGCAGCATCTATGGTCAAGCCAAATCCCTTGAAGACACCGAAAGATTTGCAAAAGCGTGCCTACCCGAGGCTCCAGAGGAAGGAGGTGGAAAGCCCAAATCGTACCGAGTCGTTTACGCGGTGCACGAAATCCTTCAGAAATTAGTCACTGACACGCAACCCGATGTTTCTCACGCAGAAAAACCACCACGTTTCGTCGGTCTCGTGACAGTTCGCTCGTTGGGGGGCCCAAACGAACTCACCCTTCCACCGCAGTATACTCCAGCTTCCACTCATGATCCCACAACGCTATCCATCGAACTTGCATACCAGTTCCTGCCTATATCTTGGGGCCATGGCATCGCCACAGAAGCTGTAAGCACAGTTCTCAATGTCCTCAAGCGTGCGACAGCGTTTTGGCAACCATTCAAGAGGGTGTATATCCGAGCTATTGTGAACGAAGAAAACCCAGCTAGCCTAGGGGTTATGAGGAAGCTAGGGTTGCAGAATATGGGTGTCTGGGAATGGACCGGTGAGGCTATTTGGTTAGGCGGCAAATGGACGGATAGGAGCCGAATATGGATATTTGGCAAGAATCTGATAGAATAAACAAGAGAGGTAGTAAGTAAACTTGACCATCTACACGGCTATAACACCACGATGTCAGCCTCTATACCTTCCATTCTATCGCTCACTCGGAAGCTCACTAACTTCATGGTTGTTCTGATAGGTCTATCTACCAGCAGGCACCTGTGCGACTGTCGCATAATGGTGTCCGTCCTGCGTTGGCGTGCCATCTTTTGTATTGACCTCGTGAGTCTGCTGCAGCTCCGGTAGTTGCCAAAGATCTTGTTGCTGCCCCTGTGCTGGTACCACTTGCGCCCCACCTTTCCTACAATGAAATCCGAAGAACCATACTAGGAAAGCTATAACGAGGAGCAATGCTACACCGGCTATATTTGCGGCTGCGATGACTCCTGGACTCGTTGGCGTAGAAGGGTAGGATTTGCGGTCGATGTACGCGATGTCGTAGTAGGAGATGAAGTGGGTGAAGTTATTCGGTGGGATGGAACTGGACTGGGTGTTGAAGATACTGCTGAGGTGATAGAAGAACTAGATGTTGTGCTTGTTGGCTGCGTTCTATAAAGCTCAGATGGAGTCTAGTTTGCAGCACCGCAAAAGATTTTTAGTTTCCTGTTCGATTCTGGGATAGGAGCGGGGTAAGTGTAGTGCATTGTCTGAGTAAGGCACGAGGAGCCACTTGAGGCAGTTTGCGGTAATTAGCCAACGTAGTAGTCGGATGGAACGCGTTCCCTAGTACTCACCATGCGGACAACATTTTGTCATCCTTAGAGAGTCCAGTCGATGCGGTCGTGCAATCCGTCCAGATTGTAGGACACCCGAAGTATGAACCTGATTCGAAATATAGTTCACTGATCAGCGAGCATTCCATCGTCGTCCCTGCGGGTTGTTAGCCCAATCTCGAATGAAGGTGTAGATATCACGCGCATGTTGTCGAGTCATTATACCAGCCCAGGAATCTGGAATTTGGTGACGCAATAGTCCCAAAAGGACTTGGTGTCGTCGCCATGATTGTTGTTGAGCGGCGTGCTCGCACCAGATGGAAGCGTATAGGTGCAACGGGAGATCACAGATATCTTCCAACGCTGAGAAGAAGTACTGTCGCGATTAAAATCCAGCTAAGACCGCGAAAAAAGAGGATTTCAGAAGGCTGAATAGGAGATGTGGATCAAGGCAGGTTTTTAACTTTGGTCTGAAAGCCCAGACTTGGCAAACACTGCCACGCAATTCGCCGTCATCCCGCGGTGAATCAAGAGCGTATATTCGCTCGCTCAAGTGAAGGCTTGGTGCTGGGACAGTGACTTTGTATCGTTAGCATTCATGCAGTTCAACGAAAATGATCAAACCGCGTGTTGCGTGTAGCCCCCCCAAACGCCGCCTACACACAGCCTTGCACTATAGCCAATCGCCGCCCACAGAAAGATTTCATATAGCTTGCCCTAGCACTCAAATCAATAGCGATCATGATCTCGTCTACTTTATCCGAGAGCTCTTTCTTCTCACTCTGCCTTGTTTGCAGTGCGGTGGACGTTGTAGTTTGCGCTGAATCTGTGGTCTACGGTAATCTTGAAATTCTGGTCGCTTTCGATTACCTTCATAAATTGGCACCTAGTTAGGTAGAAATATTGCAATCGCAACAGATATAAAGCCATGTTAGTCTTCTCAGATAGTTGACCTGGCCGAAGGAAAGAGAACCTTTGAACTTAGCCAAATAATCCATCCACGTTGAGTGCCCTTCCATTTTTCAGAATGAGCTCAAACGTCCTGTATTAGTTTCTGGTTGAGCAAGTGACCTCGCCTGAATAGGCGACGATCAAAGCTTCTTTGTAGAGTAGGACGAGATTAGGGTGGTGAGGACAACAAGTCCCAAAGGGCATCGCCTAATTGCATCAGCCTTCTGCTTTCGCTCTCTTATTGATAGCTTTTCCTGTCATTGCTGGCATCCTACATATCCCTGTACATCTTTCTAGCTCCTATTCATCCGTGAGCCTATCTAAAACGATAATCGATAAGATCATGACTAGTAGTCCTATCGTCACACACGCCTCGATAGTGAACCCGGCCCACGCCATAATCATCGCATTAGTACCTATATCAGTTTTGACGTTGCCATAATTTGCAGTTTCTGCCATCGCTGCCGCACCCACAGAACCTATATGCTGCCAAAGACCGGCAACGAGCAACAGAATTGCAGCGACAAAGGCCTGCGTCATGGCGACCTGCGAAACGGGACGGGACGGAAATGGTTGAACGTCGACATCTGAACCAGTTCTTGTATCACGCTCGGCATGCCAGTTGGGGAAGGTAGCCATGAGCAATATGCAGATGAATGCGAGGACGACGGCCATGAACAACAGTCCGGAGAATAGCACATCATCCTTGAATTTCGACGCTGTACCTATGAGGTTCAACGGATCGTTCTCGGGTCCAATTTGCTGCGCCAGGCCGTCTGCATCGGAACTACAAAGCCAGACAATGCCGCGCTGGCGCACACACATCCCAAAGTATCCGACTCGGACTTCGAGCTGCGATGAGCCTTTGAATCCATTTAGCGTCTGGGATAAATTTCTTGTGACTGAGGTAAGACCTGATGGCGTTGAATTCGTGTACGATAGGCCGAGAATGTAGATATTAGTCATGGTCGAATAACTGGAGCAGCCGGCGAGTATTATTGCTATTGAGTTGTCAGATACCGAGGGAGACAAGGAAGAGCTGTGCGCATTGGGGCTTACATATGAATACTACAACGATGACTTGCCCTATCATGAGAATATGGTGGTAGCCGAGAAACGGGACCAAACCTGGGGTAAGTGTCAGCTGGAGCACACGTAACATTTAAAGAGCTTCCACGGACGCTGCAAAGCTACTGCAAAACGTAGAGTGCCCATTGTAGACCAGAATTTGGGAGCGAAGTAATATTAACGCGCTGTCATTTGATTTTGCTTGATGATCGAAAGTCGTGATCGTTGAGGTAAAAGTAAAAAGGATATTGGGCGGGGCTGGGTAATCTCTGCTCCCCGGAATTAGCTGCACTTAGGGAACAACCGTGTATGCCACATTCAAGCTCTTGGTAGGTGCACAATACGCCTTTTTGGCGTGGTCATATACGGGATAGGCAAAGGTCCGAATTTGCGACCAATGATCTCTTCTGGCGGCCCGTCTTTGAGTGACGCAGTGTGGGGGCCAAAAGTGCTCCCAGTCTCTTCGAACCCGCGTAGCCTGACCCGACGTTCTCAATACTGTTTTGACTGATCACGATGAACATGCGAAGGTCCAGGTCGCATTGAGAATAATGCTAGGCCTGGTTGTGCACTTATGGAGTCACCCCAGAATGCGCAAGATGCATTTCGAGAAGAGCCTGCTACGCAGCCTCCGGAGGTAGAGGGGAAAGAGCTAGAACACAACGTCGAAGATCATCAAAAGAGAACGGATATCGAAGCCCTCAAGCATGACTTGAAAAACAAGGTCAAACCCGACATTCGCGACAACGTAAAAGAGGGTGGAAAGAATTCTCCTGATCAAACTCACGAACAAACAGTCGAAAACGAGAAGCAGCTTGAGGCTACACTTGGAGACGATGAAAGCGTCGGAGAGCTCGGAGATGCAGAGGGCGGAGCTGAATTGCAGCATGGTCGTAACCAAAGATCTCCTGAGACAGGCAACGATGTAGGAAACGTTCAGATTCCTTCGCCTGGCCAAGATGAACATCGAACGTCTCTCGAAGACCTACTGAAATGGCCTCCATCCCGTGTATGGCACTCTCCTGGGCCTGCGGGGGGAGAACAAATACTACTGCCACCATCAAAAACCTCATCGACGATTAAATTAGGGACCTCGGAAATGGAACAGCTACCTTTAGGGCATTCATTAGAACAATTAATGTTGCAACCAGAAAATGTTGCTCTCCCCAAACGCAAAAAGAAACAAGCAAAAGACACAGATTTTGGGGATTGGGGCCTAGTGGCTAGTAAGGCTAAGGATAAACACGTCGATGATTGGGGCTTCGGTGCTTGGGGGGCGACTAGCAAGTCTAAGACGAGAAAGAAAGGAAAGAAGATAGAAAAGCAGATGCCGCCTTTACCGCCGCCGATCGCTCCTGAGGTAGAAGCCTATCGGGCTAACGTCAATCGGCTGGCCACAAATTTCTCACATTTCGAGAACGTTGCTGCTGGAAAGACACGCCATCATTGGAGTCCACGAATTGTTGTGCACAATCGAGTCGAGCCTGCGCATCCTGAGGTCATCGCAATACAAGAACCTTGGAAGGAGCGTCAGTCAGCACCACACTACCAGGAATTTTACGACACGCTAAGAAATGTTCCGGTCGGTTGTGTCCAACGAACTATTCTAGTGGAGGATCTTACCCCATCTTTGATCGACCTCTTGGGAGCAAGTTTTCAGATTCCACCACATGTTTTTGAAGAACATCTGGAAGGGGGAGGGTATAGAACAACGCCAGAGAACCGCGATAATGCAAACACATGGCATACCCGCTCCTCCGCTCAAGGATATTCGTCTATTACTTGGTACCGCCCGGTCTTGCCGCTGTTCCCTATTACCTCGAGATTTCGAGCCCGGCTTGTTAGGGATCGAAAACCGTCCCTCCGCTGTGTTTATGACGGCTGTGAACGACGTCACGACATCCGTCTGCAAACGACCGCAAATATCTGGCGTCGTAGTCTTGAACTCTGTCCTGAACCCGGAGTTTATCACAAAGGATCTGAGACAGAGTTCCCCGTAGGATGGGAAGAAAGGGCTACGATTTGGACTCGAGATATTGATGGCTGTAGATTCGGTAAGAAGCTAGATCGTCTGATAATGTTGATGTATAGAAGGTTAATAGCTTTAGTGATATTACTACTCGATCCACTACCGGTCACTGTTGTTAGTGAGAGCACAGGGGGTGCCCAAACACAACACCAGCACCGCCCACCGGTACTCGTCAGTCTGTTGCGAAGACCAGAAGTGCTAATGACGAAGGCCCGCACCTCTCGGGCCAAAGAGGAGCCTCAGTCTAGCAATGTTCAAGACTGGATTGCACAAGCATCTCACTATTCTGTTGATCCCGATTCTCATCGTCCTGAAAGCTCACCGTTGCCGCCACCTCCAGAAACAATGCCAGTGCAATTACGGCCCTTACCTATTACACTATCTGGTAAGCAACTAATTCTTTTGATTTTAAAGTTTTATTGGGTGGGCAAAGTTATCTTTGTAGTCAAGCCCCTAGTAAGCTTATTGACTGTTCTCTTGCTAAATCAGAATCCAGCTGCAGGCCTACCACCACTACCGCCGCCGCCGCCGCCACCTGGAATTGCTCTAATTCCAGTACGAAGGAACCAATCACGGACTACTGGGGCCAAGATTAAGATCCAGGAGGCAGATTTCTCTCCAGCTGCTTTGAGGCGACGAGCCACAAAGCCTGATATGGAGCTCCCTTCGCCTTCAAGCGGTCCTGAAGACGTTGGAACATCCAATTTACGCAACAGGAAACGCTCTATTAGCGATTCTAGGAATCCGCGTCCGCCTTCAGTAGAAGTGTCTCGACCACCACTGCCACTTGTAGATGAAGAATCTATAGTGACTGAAACCCACGGACCTTTCGTTCCATTCCACCCAATCAAAGCCAGACAGTCTTCATCCGCCAGAATCGGTAATGTCTTTACAACCCTGCATACCCGCGCGTACCTAAAAAGTTTGCAAGTCCCGACGTCAACGTTGGAAGAATTCGAGTACTTCCTGCAGCGGCCTAGCAAAGGAAAAGAAACGGCACATGATCCATTCCGGGCGCTCTTCCGTGTTATCCACGACGACACACACAGCCTCGTAGATATTATTCGCATTTCTCAACAGCGCATTCGCGAGGGCACCATGGACGAGGATTTGATGCAAAAGCGCGTCACCTTCTGGAGGGGTCTACTTCATCGACTTAATTTCAGTCTCGCGGAGGTGGATCAACGGCTGCGTGCATTTGTGCATTTCACCTACGACTCTGAAACGCATCCTTTCACGTTTGATCAGCGCACAGAACTGCCGTCTGAGAAGCTCGCAAAAGAAACGAAGCAAACGCTACGCAGCTGCATCGATCTCCTCGACCGGTCATCCAACTCGCTACTTGCCGAAATGCAGATCGTCGACAGTCGACGAAGCATAGCGGAAGCAGAGAGCGTCTCCAAACTCACCGAGCTTGCGTTCGTCTTCATCCCGCTATCCTTCGTAGCGAGTCTCTTCAGTATGCAAATCCACGAGTTGGACGGAGGCGTGTCGCTATACGTCTTTGTGATGGTGGCAATTGGGTTTGTGCTCGTCGCCTATGCGGGACGCCTTAGCATTCGCAGCTCGCGCCTGATCGAATACAAGAGCAAAGTCCTGCTCCAAATCCGCGACAAATCCCAGATTCAATACAACCAGCCTATTCCTACACATACCTTCCTCGCATGGGTCGGCAAAGCTATGGGCGGGATAGCAATTAAATCCATGAAGAGCTTTATTGCAGTCTTCGCACCGCTCATGCTCGTTTTGGCGATCTTGGCTGCTATCCTTAGTCCTATCATCTTGCTTTGGCTACGCAACATTAGTAAAGGTTTCACAGCTGTCATTACGGTATTGTTACTACTACTAGATGTGATGCTCGTCTATCCAGTAGTAGTCACCGCATCTGGAACGTTTGAGCTCAATCCCAGAACAATGATACGCGAGATTCAAAGGAACCGCGAAATGAAGCGAAAGAGAAAGAATAAGACGAAAAAGCGACGAAAGGAGAAAGTGGGCATAGATCCAGAGTCATTAGATGTAGAGAGCAGTGATGAAAGCGATAAAGATTATGTGTAGCAAAGCACTGGTCTTTCTCCACGATCTAAACTGTAACACCATAGCAAGTCATACCATACCGTTAATCGTTCCCTTCATAATATGTCGGTAGGCGAAGCTACCGAGTCTCAAAACGCCAACGTCGATCCCTTCACACCTGATACGCGTCACAAACGTTGTGCCGACAGCGGACATGAAAAAGCATTATAGCCAAGCGTGAATCAAAACTCCGAACACTTGACATGCCAAGCGAGCACACGACGTCCTTCCTCATAGGGAAACTTGGGTGTTTGATCACGGTGTCGAAGTTGCGTGGAGCATTGCGCATGCCCGTGGCGAAATTCGGACCGAAATGTTTCGGCTCTTCGAAGGTAGATGGGGCGCAGTTGACGAAAGCATGTTGGGGGTGGATATAGCGAGCAGGGATCGTTTTTAATAGCGGATTTGTGCATAGAAACTCGAGGCTGCGATGGTAATGTTGTCTCTAGGGAGCATTATTTTATTCACGTCTGCCGTTCGCTACCTCCCGCGCAGGGCGGCGAAGTCTTGTCTTAGCCGCTGACGCCATTTTTATTTCCCATGTAGATCTTCCGCATCAACTGCAAGCGCTCGGGGCATTCGTCATGAGGCAGATATAGTCTTACAGCACATCATCTAAACTAGCGTGTTTGCCACAAGGCAGTAAAAGGCTTCGTGGCTTGGCGAGATACTGCACAGTTCAAGCAAGAAGCATAATTCGGCCATGAAAGCCAAACCACGTCAGTACGTGGCATCCCATTCAGGCGAGAGCACGTGACAGTTAGCACACAACAAGACTATGATGGCGGGACGGGTAAAACGGGAGTGGAGTGGAATATTCTTGGCTTTCACTTGTCGAGGTTGTATCGAGATGTTACGATGTAGCTGCCTGTGAGGGGTTAACTGGCAAAGCGCCGATCTAAAGCGTGCGAAACCTGCGATGCCTCAGAACCATTCAACCGGAGGCGTGCTCGCCCTATGCTTCCCTATTGGCCTTTGAGATCTTGCAGGCATTTTTGCGTGTGGGGATTCCAAGGCAGACCCAAGAGGAGCGGGATACACTTGGCGGGGAGAATTTCCGCTTGGCCCGCCGAGAAACTTGGCAGATTTATCCTCAGAATGGATGCACGAGGCTGACGTGACCCAATCAGGGAGAAATATGGCAATGCGGACTGGGATAGTGAGGATTTGTTCGCTTGGCTGATCGCAATACCTAGATCCTAGGAATCCACACTAGGCAAGTGGTCGCGTGTCCATATATATAGCGAAGTTTGTCCACTCAAGTAGGGCAATTGAATTCCCAAGGACTTGAGACTCCTCTGTTCCTAAATACAACCACATCAAGATGGTGCCTGCAATCACTGCGAGATATGATTGGATCCTTGCTATCACCACCATCGCTTTCGTCTTTTCCGCGTTCGGTAACGGGGCGAATGATGTCGCCAACTCGTATGCCAGTATGTTGTGTCATAATATGAGAAGGAGGAGAGAAATACTGACGACTCCAGCATCGGTGGCCGCTCAGACATTGACCATGCCACAAGTCGGCTTCTTGTCTATAATCACTGAATTCGTCGGAGCTGTCGCCCTGGGAGCTCGGGTTACCGACACGATCAAGAACGGGATTATCAATATAGATCGATTCCAGGCGGCTGCCAACCCAGGAACCCTCATGCTCGCCATGGGATGTGCTGAGGTTGGGAGCGCGACTTGGTTGATGTTTGCAACCGTAGGATTTCCCGCCTAGGTTTGCTATCAAGTGTGCTGATCTGTGTCAGCGCTGGGGCCTCCCGGTATCGACGACCCAAACTGTAGTCGGCGCTTTGGTCGGCGTGGGTTTGGCCACTCGAGCTGGCGTGACGTGGGGATGGGAGTCTGGTTCCGTCTCGCAGGTTGCTGCCTCATGGGTTATTGCGCCTCTCATTGCATGCGCTTTCAGTGCAATTATTTTCGGTACGGTCAAGTACGCGGTGCTAGAGCGCGCGGACTCATTCAAGTGGGGCATGAGGCTGATTCCATGGTACTTTGCTCTCACTGCCTCTATCCTTGCGCTTTTTATCGTTGTCGAAGCTCCTACTGCGCCGTCCCTAGAAGAATTCGGAGCTGGCAACGCTGCCGGCATCGTCCTCGGTGTCTTCTTCGGCGTCCTACTCATCTCTTACGTTTTCTTCATTCCATTCCTGAAGCGAAAGCTCGTCCATAAAGATGCTCGTCTCCGCATCTGGCACGTCCCCCTCGGACCCCTTCTGATGAGGGAGAATCCACCTCTTTACTTTGCTGGAAAGGCTGATGGAGAGTACGTCACGAACTACTACGCTGATGCGTACGGTGAAGTCCGAGCCAAGGGCCAGGAGCTGCGACAACGAAAGGCCGGAGCTGGTAGCGACGAGGAAGCTGCGATTGGGGATGGCGTCGGCGAAATACAGAAGAATGATATGACTGGGGATAGCGTACTGACAAACGCGGCAAAGGTGAACGGGGTGGAGGAGAAGACGGACACAAGCGACGATGCCGTTGCTGATGCTCAGCTATCGCGCAAGCGTAGGCCCGAGCCGTACGAACGATTCATCGCCCCCGTCAAGGAGTTGTCCTGGGTCAATCCGCAGAAGTACTGGGGATACTTCAAATTCGGCATGCTCCAAGGTGAGTGATACTGGAATAGAGACTGAGCAAGGAGCAAGCGGCTAACTATGGCAGGTGTCACTCGAGACGTCATCACCCACGACAGCGACAGACTCCGAGCTATCCACGCCCGCGCAAATCGTTATGATGTGCGTGTGGAGCATATGTGGACGTACTGCCAAGTCATCTCGGCCATGATGATGTCGATTGCTCACGGTAGCAACGACGTTGCGAACGCTGTGGGGCCATGGTCAGCCGTCTACCAAACCTACAGAGAGGGCGCCATTGCGACCAAGTCTGGCACCCCAATATGGATGCTCATCGTAGCCGGTCTGCTTCTCGGCCTCGGCTTCTGGTTCTACGGTTACCATATCATGCGCGCCATGGGCAACAAGATCACGCAAATGAGCCCTACTCGAGGCTTCGCGACGGAGCTGGGCGCTGCTGTTACGGTCCTCCTCGCGTCTCGCTTGGGGCTTCCGGTCTCAACAACCCAATGCCTCACAGGAGCCTTGATCGGAACCGCTCTCATGAACTACGACGTGAAAGCAGTTAACTGGAGACAGCTGGGCTTCATCTTCATGGGCTGGGTGGTGACGCTGCCAGCCGCGGGCCTTATGGCGGGCCTGCTCTGTGTGATGGCGTTGAACACGCCGCACTTTTGATGAATTGCTGCTTTTATCTCGGCGCATGACATGATGAGGGATGAGAAGTCGTAGTGCTTGGTACTGGTATACCAGGGAACTGATGGCTGGTCAGTGTTGGAGTGTGCAATAGACTACTTCAATAGACCACTTCAATAGACTGAAAATACTTTATAAAGCAGCGAATCGTCTACGAAGATATGGTGTTACTGCAATAGTGAGAGGAATAATTCGCGTTGATGTGGACGTGGTGGTGGTGGTGAAGTAAGACGCTAGTTACCAGCCCAATGAAAGACTGCCCCTCCGCTCTTCATCGAGCCCCACTTAAATTTTGTCCGTCTTTCACCCCGCCATGAGTCGACGCGCCTCGACATCGCTCCTGTCTTCGGACTCTCGCGAGGCAGAACATTCTCATTCAATTAGACGCTCTTCAGTATGGTGTCGACCGAGGACCCCTACCTGATCCTGCCGGGCTCGTCCGCCCACTCCGACTTCCGCCTGCAGCGACTCGCCCAAGACATTGGGGCGAAAGAGGTCCGCTCTATCTGGGTGCACTTTGTCAACCCTCTCAAGGAACTGAGCGCCGACGAGTTGAAGACGCTGCAACAGATCTTGCACTATGGCGAATACCCAGATACGCAGGATAAGCTCGCACAGGTACTCCGCGATGCTGTTCACCGCAGCGGCGAGCCCAGGGACCCGGAGACAGTGCTCTTCTACATCAGCCCGCGCGCAGGCACCATATCGCCATGGAGCTCACTGGCATCCATGATTGCGCGTACTTGCACCCTCGAGCATGCCGTGAAGCGCATCGAGCGCGGCATGGTCATCGCAGCCACCTTTGACCGTACCCTGGACGCGAACGAGATCCCGAACCGCGACTACCTCCACGACCGCATGACCCAGACGATAAGCCGTGGTGCGCCCAACTTAGAGTCCATATTCGGCGAGAGCGAGCCTACGCAGGCCACCACCATCAGTTTCGAAGAGTACAATAGCGCCCATGCCGCGTTGGAACACGCTAATGGAGAGCTCGGGTTGGCCATGGACAAGTCCGAGATCGAGTACCTGGTGGAAGCATATACCCATGAGCTGAAGAGGGGGCCCGTCGACGTAGAACTGTTCATGTTCGCCCAGGTCAACTCGGAGCATTGCAGGCACAAGCAGTTCAACGCCGACTTCACCGTTGATGGCATGCACAAATCGTATTCGCTTTTCGGAATGATTCGGAACACCCACCAGAAGCACCCGCAGCACGTCGTGAGTGCATACAGTGATAACGCTGCAGTGCTGCAAGGCGAGGAGGCTAGCTTCTGGGCACCCAACAATCTGACCGGCGAGTGGAACGGGACCAAGGAGACAGTACACATTGTCTGCAAAGTCGAGACACACAATCACCCAACAGCGGTGTCGCCATTCCCAGGCGCTGCGACTGGATCTGGCGGTGAGATCAGAGACGAAGGTGCTGTAGGACGTGGCTCAAAGCCCAAAGCTGGTCTGGCCGGCTTCACCGTCTCTGACTTGCTAATTGAAGGTTTCGAGCGCCCATGGGAGCTGCGGGATGTTGGCAAGCCTTCCCACATCGCCAGCAGTCGGGACATCATGCTCGAGGCGCCCCTCGGCAGCGCCCAATTCAACAACGAGTTTGGTCGCCCATGCACCATCGGGTACTTCCGAACTATGCTCATGCGCGTCTTTACGAACGAGAAAGAGTCGGAGATCCGGGGTTATCACAAGCCCATCATGCTAGCAGGTGGAGTTGGAACAGTGAGACCGCAACACGCGCTGAAGGACCCCGACATCGTGCCAGCCGGCTCGCATCTACTTGTCATCGGTGGACCCGCCATGCTCATTGGTCTTGGTGGTGGCGCAGCTTCTAGTATCCAGTCCGGCGAAGGCAAGGTCGATCTTGACTTTGCTAGTGTGCAACGAGGCAACCCTGAGGTCCAGAGACGTGCGCAAGAAGTCATCGATACATGCCGCTCCATGGGTGACCAGAACCCTATACTCTTCATCCATGACGTTGGTGCAGGTGGTCTCTCGAACGCTTTGCCGGAGCTCGTGCACGACTCTGGGCTTGGAGCTATCTTCGAATTGCGCGAAATCGACAACGCAGACAAGGGTATGAGCCCGCTGCAGATTTGGTGCTGCGAGGCTCAAGAGCGATATGTTTTGGCCGTCGGCCCTGACCAGCTTGACCTGTTTAAGCGCATCTGCAACCGTGAGCGCTGCGGATACTCCGTTGTAGGTGTTGCCACAGACGAGCAGCGCCTTGTGCTCAAGGACAGTCAATCGAAAGAGAACCCAACCCCTATCGATCTCCCAATGTCGACACTGTTCGGAAAACCACCAAAGATGTCCCGCATCGTCGAGTCCCGGAAGTTGAGGCTACCTGCTTTTGACAGTAGCTTGTCGATGTACATCCCAGACACGCCCAAGGATGGTCTAATCGCGGAAGCTGTAGACCGGGTGCTCACGCTTCCTTCCGTGGGCTCCAAAAATTTCTTGATCACCATTGGAGATCGAACAGTCGGTGGACTGACTGTGCGTGACCAGATGGTTGGTAAGTGGCAGGTACCCGTCTCTGATGTGTCGGTCACAGCCACATCATTGCTGGCTGGAGTCAAGACTGGAGAGGCCATGGCCATGGGTGAGAAGCCTACACTTGCCCTGATATCTGCCGCCGCATCGGCAAGAATGGCCGTTGCCGAGTCGCTCATGAACCTTGCTGCAGCAAGCCTGTTTGACAGACTCTCCAGGGTTAGGCTATCAGCCAACTGGATGTCGGCTAGCAGCCATCCTGGTGAAGGGGCAGCTTTGTACGAAGCTGTCGAAGCTATTGGCATGGACCTCTGCCCGCGGTTAGGCATATCAATCCCCGTTGGGAAAGACTCTATGAGCATGAAGATGAAGTGGTCGGACAACGGTGAGGCCAAGGAAGTCACCGCGCCCATGTCCCTGGTTATCACCGCTTTTGCACCCGTTGACCGCATCGACCGCACATGGACACCAGCTCTGGAGCGGTTGGAGGATGTGGGTGAAACGATTTTGATGTTCGTCGATTTGGCAGTTGGCAAGAAGCACCTTGGTGGTTCTGCCTTGGCACAAACGTTCGGACAGGTTGGAGACGAAGCACCTGATGTCTATGATGCAGACACCCTCAAGGATTACTTCGACGCGGTCGAGCAGCTTCACGAGTCTGGCATCGTGCTAGCTTACCATGACCGATCGGACGGTGGTCTGTTCACTACACTCGTCGAGATGATGTTTGCTGGACGATGCGGGCTGGAGATCATGCTCGATGGCATCTCGCGATCGGGCGAGCCCAAGGATGTCCTTGAGACTCTCTTCAACGAAGAGCTTGGCGCTGTTTTCCAAGTGAGAAAGAAGGACGAAGTCGCTTTCAACCGCTGCTTCGCCACTTGCGGTCCACCACCGGGTATGGTCAAGAAAATTGGACGCGTCCCCCAGGCTTCAAAGCAAGAGATCTCCTTTGCATTCGGTTCAAAGATCGTCTACCGCAACAACCGCCAGAAGCTTCAACAACGCTGGGCGGAAACGTCATACCGCATGCAAAAGCTCCGCGACAACCCTGCCTGCGCCGACGCTGAATTCGCAAACATCCTCGATGACAAAGACCCGGGTTTGTCGTACAACCTCACCTACAAGCCCGCTGAGAACATCCTTCCCTTGAAAGCCACCATCTCCTCAGCCTTCACATCCAAGCCGAGAGTTGCGATATTGAGGGAAGAAGGTGTGAACGGCCAATCCGAAATGGCATTCGCCTTCCATATGGCCGGATTCTCCGCCATCGACGTTCACATGACCGACATTATCTCTGAACGCGTCTCCCTTGCCGGCTTCGTTGGCCTTGCCGCTTGTGGTGGCTTCTCATACGGTGACGTCCTCGGTGCAGGTCAAGGTTGGGCTAAATCTGTCCTTCTACATCCCAATACCCGCAAGGAGTTCCAAACGTTCTTCGAGCGCCCAGACACCTTCGCGCTTGGTGTCTGCAATGGCTGCCAATTCTTGTCGAAATTGAAAGAACTTATCCCTGGTGCGGGACTTTGGCCGTCTTTCGAGAGAAACGCATCAGAGCAATACGAAGCGCGCGTCTGCATGGTCGAAGTGCTCGACCCCACGGGCCCCAACACCTCTCCCTCGGTATTCCTACACGGAATGGCGGGCTCAAAACTTCCCATCGTGACCGCGCACGGCGAGGGCAGAGCACACTTTCCATCCTCTTCGTCATCATCGTCGACTCCACAGACGCTGTATAACGAGAACCTCGTCGCACTACGCTACACAGACAACTACGGCAAGCCAACCGAGACATACCCATATAATCCCAACGGTAGCCCGATGGGCATTGCAGGTGTGCGCAGTACAGATGGACGCGTGCTCGCACTTATGCCGCATCCCGAACGCACCATCGTGAGGGAGGCGAGTAGCTACATCCCCAATAACGAATCGGAAGAATGGGGCGAGTTGGGTCCGTGGATTAGGATGTTCAAGAGTGCTCGACGATGGGTCGGGTAAAACTCTTCACTTTTGATCAGGTGAACATGATGAAGGAATTGATTAGACAAAATGGCGTTAGTTGTGATTATTACATTATGAGCTCTGCATATATTAGTTGACGAATGGAACGTAATGATTGATTTTCAACGAGGCTTGTGAAGAACGTTGCATTAATGGGTGTGTGCACCTCGCAAGGCTTCATACGCGATCTCGTTTGCCCTCCCAATCTAATCGCTCCGCTAGTTGCTCCCACATGGGCTCCGCACCTACTCTGCCTACACTTCGCAAGCCCGCTGTGATGAATGGTAAGAGTCGTGCAAGCTCTTTATCGATCATCTGTAGTACTTCTCTCGGACTTCGTTGAGCGATTTTTGTTGCGCCTGTCCTTGGTTCTGCGCCATCGCTTTCCTCGTTTGCATCCTCGTCAGACAACTCTTCGTCAACGGGTGAAGATGCGCTGCTCTTCTGTCTCCCCCATCTATTCCTCCTTTTGCTCGGCCCCGCGATGGTTTTCTGGGTAGCACCGAGAGTTTCTGCGAGAAGAACGCCTAGTTCTAAAATCTCCATAATCGCCTTGTGTATGGGTTTGACGTCTTTGCTCAACATGGCTCGCTCCTGTAGCTTCGCAACGTACTTGATGTGGATCTGGGACATTTCGTCAATGTCTTGCGCTTTCTCCATCGCGGTTTCCATATCTTGGGTTGTGAAGAAGATGACTGTCTCGGTGAGGTAGGAGCGTAATATGTCGGTGAACCAGGTAAGGCGGTGTTGCAGCTTGTACGTGAGCTTAACAGGAGGTTTAGCGCGTTGGGTACGCGTTGGGCGGACGCGTTGGAGTTGGTATCTCACGCGGTAGATCTGTAGGAGGAAGGTGAAGAGTTGTTGGTAGACAGGGATCGATGAGCGCTGTACGATGTTCTGAATGGTCCATGGGAGCTGTTTGATGGTCAGCATATGTGGATGTCAATAATTTGGAAATGCTAAGTGGCACGTACGGCATAGTCAACAGACATAGCAGCCAGCCCCTTAAGAGAACGTTCAGGGCTCTTGGTCTTCGTAGACCGCACCACGACCCTCTCCACATCCGAAGTAGACAAGGTGCTACAAAATATCCCGCGCGCAAGCTCTGTCAACACGTATCGATCATTCCAGCCTCTCTGACTAGTATCCATGCGCTCGAATACCGCATTCGCAAATTCCTCGAAGACTGCCCCATTCTTGCCAAGGTATATAGTTTCGAAGGTGGTCAGAGTACGCGTGAGGCCAGCAACCTCGAAGATATGCTGGCGGAGGACTGATGAGGCGACGGAGTATTTGCTGCGGATCCAGTTTGAGAAGGCGGCTTGAAAGAGCTCTGGAAATGGGCAGAGAAGTACATCTGATGAGGTACCACAGACTGTTTCGTGGTCAAGACGTGGTTCGTTGGCAGCGCTATTGGAAGAGATGTTGTGAATGCCCAGCTCTTTGAGGAAGACGACACTTTTCCCAGTATTGAAGATCTTCTCCGCTGCTGGCTGAAGGAATGTAGGCGATCGCAGTTCATTATGCCCATCTCGGCGTAGCACATATCTGTCGTGCCAGAGAGAGGCAGCATCGCTGTTTGGGTCGTTTGCAAAGACAAAGAAGGTTTCATCGTCAGTGCCAAGCTCGCCTGCTTCCATCCACATTCGGATCGGCTTAAGATAAGTTTGAAGGCATTCGAAGAATATCTCGGACATGTACTCGAATATCTCCTTCTCGAGGATCATCTGGGCTAGCGTTGTTTGGTTAAACAAGGCTTCCAGGTGGCTGAACGGATTGACGAGGAGCTGAGGTTCGATGTCTGACACTATCTGTGCTAGGCGGAGTATAGGCACAGACAATGACTGAACCTCATGGTGAAGCTCGAGCAAGCTGATCGAAATTGGTGTAACGGGTGATAGGTAACGTTGTTGTAGCTGTGTTAGAGACTGATCATAAGCCAACAGGCGTTTTCGGACGGCTGCTTCAAAGGTCTGGATGAGGGGTAGTGTTGATGCTTTCGCAGTCCACTGCCGCAGTCGGTAGATATCTTTTCCTATGCTCGTGAATTGAGATAGAAGATGATCGGTCGTATTCTGCATAGCATGGGCGAGGTTATACCTTGAAACGATACGGATGTTGTATTTCTGTTTGTCGGTTTGATATAGGCTTGTCCGGAGTCCTGCGAGCATGAAAAGCGTTTCCCGTATCGCCTGTAGCTCGGTGATCTCAATCTTTGCACTATGCTCGTCTTCAGCATTTTTCCAAAACTGTGCTTCTTCCAAGTCTCTGACAAGGTCGACCTTTGTTGAAAGAACACATGACTCTGGATCATACGTGTCATCTTCTTCGACACTCGTCGGTGGTGAAGACTTGGTCTTTCCCCGCTTCTTTGTTATTCTCTCGTCTCCTGAAGATTCGACGGCGTAGTCGATATCCTTCCAAATATCCTCGTCGCTATACGGGTCCTCATGCAGGATCTCAGACCAAGTCAGCGGTGGCGGGGGGCTAGGCGGTCGAGCCAGCGCCAGCGCTTCGACTTGTGTGTTCTCCAGCGGCCGATCAGCGAGTTGAAGCAATAGCGCGAGGAGTTCGGGCTTGAACTTGCTGGTCAAGCCCTCCAGCTTCTGGAGTCGTATTTGCAATGCGTCCGCGAGGTCATCGCGGTCTTTAATGCGGAACTTCTCGTCCAGGCCGGCAAAGGTAGCTTTAACGTCGAATTGATTCGTTCGAGCATATTGATGTCCCCGGAGACCACGTAAGGCGATCTCTTTGGCGTGCTTGTAGGCTTGCCTGTTGGTTGCTGGACTGAACTTTAGAATCGAATGTATCAGCTCGTCCGTGAGGCCAGCTATCTTCGCGTTTTGCGCCATGTCGACGCGTCTTCCCTCCCGACACTTTCGCTTTCCAGTTCCCAGTCCCAAGCGATCTACAGCTGTGGTGGTGGTACGCGTTGGAGTCGACATGCGACGGTCCCTGCAGGTGCCGGCCCCACTTTGTGAAAGTACCTTACTCAACAAGGCTAGGCCGATAAGCACCGCGTCACCAAAGGTGAAACTCATCTCGAGCAGCAATTCCTCTCTTAGGTGGGCTATGCCCCATTATCTTGTCAACATACTCGGTATTCCCCATGGCGTTGCCTAAGAGCATACGCTACTTGGCTGGAGCCACCTTCTGCATATTCGTATACTTGTTTGTGCAGATCCTCAAAGCGCCTGGTTCCGAAAGCGAGCTGCGGCTTCCGAGCAAAGCGCCAGCGACGAAACTCGATAATTGGGATCATGACCCGCAGTCTGATGGTATGACAACCCGTCTAGATGATTCCTGCAACTCATAAAGCTGATTGGTATGCGTAGCGTCTGGAGAACCTCCCGAACCCTTGCGCCGAGTCGATGGCAACAACTACGCACCCAACAATCCCGAGAGCGCCCGCATAAACGCTACAATTCTCAGCCTAGTACGGAACGAAGAGGTCGATGATCTGCTACAGAGCATGCGCGATCTGGAGCGGACATGGAATCACAAGTTTAACTACCCGTGGACCTTCTTCAACGACAAGCCCTTCACAGAGGAGTTTAAGACGAAGACGAGGGCGGCTACCAATGCGGAGGTACGATACGAGCTCGTTCCCGCCGAACACTGGGACATACCGGCGTGGATAAACATGGACCTCTACAACGAGTCTGTCTCGCTTCTCGAGAAGCAAGTGCAGTACATGGGGAAGCAGTCCTATCACCAAATGTGCCGGTGGAACAGCGGCATGTTCAGCGAGCACCCTGCGCTCAAGGACATTCAGTACTACTGGCGCGTCGAACCAAATGTCCATTTCTTCTGCGATATCGACTACGATGTTTTCGCGTGGATGCAGGACCATAACAAGACATACGGATTCAACATCAACATCTACGACGACCCAAAGAGCGTTGCAACCCTGTGGCCGGAGACGAAGAAGTTCATCGAGGATAATCCGGGCTACGTACACCCCAACAATGCGCGGGAATGGCTCGAGGACGACAGGCGCCGTCCAGAGAATACTCAAAGCGCCCATGGCTACTCGACATGCCATTTCTGGTCCAACTTTGAAATCGGCGACCTGAGCTTCTGGCGGAGTAAAAAGTACCGCGATTTCTTCAATCATCTTGACCGCGCGGGCGGCTTCTTCTATGAGCGTTGGGGCGACGCGCCTGTCCACAGTGTTGCATTGGGTCTATTCGAGGATAAGAGCAAGATACACTGGTTCAGGGATATCGGGTATCAACACATTCCGTTCTTCAACTGTCCGAACAATCCGAAGTGCTCGGGTTGCGTGGCAGGGAGGTTTACAGATGGGGCGAACTGGCTAAAACGGGAAGATTGCCGGCCACTGTGGTTCAAGTATGTTGGCATGGATTAGGCCTCGTCACTCTCTTCGGTGCAAACACGTTTTTACCCCATTGTATCATATTCGGGGCGCTTCTAATTCTTTCTGTATCTACTACCAGACATCTCCCATCAGGGGCAGCATGTTGATGCATAATGGAAGCCGGAATTCCATGGTGTTCTCGGCGCTTTGTACCTACGCTCTAGTACGTTTAGAAGAGTTAGTACTATATATACCTCTGTAGAATTGAAACCTCGAGTTTATGATATACATTAAGTCCACACCCATCCTAATGTGATGTTCGCCTCCCGCGTGCGACGGACATTTAGTATCCGCCTGCAACAACCCTGGCACGCCGCGTCGCTTAGCTGCAAAGGAAGCAAGTTTTGCCGACACACTCGGACCTCATCCACGGCAGAATGATTCCAATACCTTGAGTTTTTATCTATAATTCACCAAAAGACATCTCGAGGTCCTCATCAAACTTCTAGTTGGTCACTTAGATCACAACACCACGTGTAAGTGAACTTGGATGTGAAGTTACCATAGTTTGAAGGCATGGTTAGGTATTCATATTCATGAATCATCGCGCATTTTACGCGGTATAAAGGGTATATCTATGTGCCATTGCGCCGTTTGATGCGTAGAAAGGAAGGACAGATGCAGATACAGAAGCCATGAACGAGAACTCTATGACGCACAATCTCCATCAAAGCACAAGTCGTTAACGATGAAGCCAGAATCAACGTATAGAAGCGTAAATACAGCCTGAAAGGAAAAAAATATCAATAAGAAAGAGAAGGAATCATGCGCCATCCAGCAGCACCAACAGTCATCGCCGTCCTCCTTGGCTTCCTAGCTTTCATGCTCCTATGGAGTCGACTTCGAGGCGATAGCCATCACGAAGGGAACCCACATCCAGACGATGTGCCACGCAAGCGCGATGACGCCCCAGAGGACGAAGAACTCTAGGTTCTACTGCTGTAGAGCGCCAAGGATCTTGCGGTCGTCCACCTCCCGCCTGTACCTCTCCTTGGTCATCATCGCCTTCTCGCCCTTTTCCAGGCGCTTGTACGTGTCGCGTTTGCCTTTTGGGCGACCAGGCTTGTTCTTCGGGGCGTTGGGGTCCTTTCTCGGGTGCTTCCTGGGGCGACCCGGCCCTCGCTTCGTTGGCGGCGCGACAGGTGCTGCTACCGGCAGCTGGGCGGGTTGTGCCGTCTGATACGGCGCGCCAGCATCGTAACCCCCAGCACAGTTCACCGGGCCACGTGACATCTGAATGGCAACTTCAGGCCAGACAAGCTCCGGCAGTGGGTAGGCGCCTTGCAGGCCACCAAGCCTGCTTTGTTGCGGCCCAGGTGTCACGCCCCATGATGGGGGCGACACCTGCATGGTGGGCTGCTGCCCGGACACCTCAGGCACGAAATCTTCGAACCAGTTGTTAACGGCCTGCTGGGGCCAAGTCTCCTCGAATAACTGCTGGGAGTTAGTTATTTGTGTGTACTCAACAAGAGATAGGCTTACGTTTAGAGTCTGAGGCTCTACCCATGTGGGCAGCTGCGGCTCGAAGGCCTGCTGCTGGTAACGGTACTGCTCGTACCGTTGTTGTTGCTGCCCCTGCTGCTGGTATGCAGTAGGCAGGTACTGTTGGGATGTGGCCTCGTAGGCCACCGGCTGCTGCTCGGAGACAGAAGGCTCCGCCACGATACCTCCTTCCAACTGATAGTTGTCGAGGAAGAAGTTGAAATCGGCCATGGAGTTCTCCATGTTGAACGCCATGGTGGCTGTTGATGGATAGAGAAGGGAAGATGAGGAGGCGAAATTGCGCTAAAGTGGTTCCGGGTATGTCAAGAGCGTTGGTTAACTGTGGTGTCAAGGTTGTGAAGGGTGGTAGAGTGTGTCAAGAGGTGTTCAACAGTGTTGTGATGGTGTCCTGAGGTACTCCAGGGTGTGTTGAGAGTACTGAAAAAGAGGTGGAATGCTCTTATACAAAAACGAAGATGCTCAATACTTGGGACTGGTTGGATCGAAAAGTTTACATCAGCAATACCTGCCTTCCACCCTGACGGTCTCATGGGACTCCTCCCCTAACCAAGGAGAAGCACTGATTCGTAATGGCCCTCAATGTCCGACCAAACTAGGAAGTTATTGTATGCGTTGGACCAAGAAACCTTGATAGGCACGATCCATCTTCCACCCTGCCAGCATCTAAAACGGGGTTGGGCTTTCAATACTTCGGTTTCGACAACGAATAAAGGCTTGATCAATAGTATGACAATACCGAAAGGTCAGTGCACCGCTGCAACTAGGGGGAGGGTGTGTGTCATGATTACTATGGAATCTGGAAGACTCAGGGCAAATGAGAAGAGGCATTTCAGGACGTAAGCTCATTGGGATCACGAAGTACGGTTCACGGTTCTGGTTGAGCAAGTATTAAGAAGAGCAAACTGGAATCAAGGATTGCATGCCCACAGACGGGGTCTACTTTAGGAGCCAAAGCATCGCAGCATGAGAAGGACGAGCATTACATGCAAAAAGACCGCGTTGCGGCTACCCAACGAGACCACCATATCGCTGTCGACAACACAGAATGTCTCGAGCGTGCCAAAGCCCTCTATGACGGAATCCCATCTACGGGTCTATCGAGCCTCTCCATAGAAGATGACTCTTCTTGCCTCTGATTCCATGGATTACCATTTTCCAGCATATTATGACCGTCAGGCTATATTGATGCACAGCTGTTGGCCGAGTAAGCAGTAAACAGATACCGAAACGGTCATGCGCAAGATAACACCGCCACACTTCCTCGAAACTTGCTCACGAACTATTCTTTGTACGCGCTAGCGATTCCAAGTCTATGGCCACACGATTTGCAGTCCAAAATCCCAGTACTACCAAAATCTCGGGAAGAGTCAAAAGCAAGACATGGTACGTGTTTACTGAGCTTCAACGCTGGGATGTTACCAAGCATGTGTTTTCAGTTCGGATAAGCGATCGAATCAATATGGCCTCAATCTTATTTACGCTGCCCGGGTCATTCCGATGAAGAAAGAGGACAGAATTTGCTTGCAGAGAATCTGATGAGCACGGGGAAAGCCTTGAACAATAATAGTCCAGATTGTTCAGCGCTCCCCACCTGTAACGCTCAAGCAAGTAGTAGTAGGCAACGCTTCAGGTACTGTTTAGCAGCATGAAGAGGCCCAAACCCAGCCACAGCAGCATAGCTTAACGCTGAGCGCCGCAGAGTACGCCTCATATCACATGCATGCTTCGGTCTTACAATTCCTCTTGGAAACGAGTGGCGTGACCTCGGGTTACATTTGTGTACATTCAAATGTTTTTCATGAGCGAACAGCAACCCGCGTCTTGGGCCCGCCTTCCTCGACCCATTTAAACAAAGCAAGGGCCACAGACGAGGAAAACATGGAGATTTCATAGCGGGTGGGTGCTACCTTTGAGCCCTTGGAAACCCAATTGAGGGCCATTTGCCCATGCTAAATATATGGCAATATTTGCACCTTGATCGACTCGGAGGTCATCACTCGACGCCCTATTGACAGAGGTCTTGATGCACACAATTTGGAGCTCAAATCATCTGGACTATTCTTGTTCAACGTCTACATTCAGGCTACATAGGGTATCTTTTCATTGAATATGTTAAGTGATTGCTGGATCAAGTCTGCAATCCTCTTATGACAACTCTGAACTTTTCACGTCTAGTTTCTTAGGACGCATAGCTATCATCCTGTTCACAGCACACTCTTCCAACCCCTTCGATGGAGATCTGCCTGGGCTGTCTCGCCTCTATACTGCTTTAAACTCTCCCCCTGCGCTCAATTGCTAGAGCTTAACACCTTTCACCGTCGCCAATATCTTACTGTGTCTTAAGTGCTGATGTTTATATACCTCACCTACACTAAAGTCCAGATAGGGATTTCGAGATACCTTAGTACTCTCAAAAACGCGACGGGGAATTTTGGAGATAGCCAGGCATTGCTTCCCTTCTACGGCAATCGGAATTTCGACTAGCGACTATCTGCAGATGCTTGGAATCTTGGCCTGTTAGTCTTGGGTGTGTTCGGGGGGAACCTGTCCCGCCATCTAAAGGTACGTCATCAGCACGCCCAAACAGCTGCGAAGAACGAGCGAGTACCCTGCCGATTCGCTCGATTTCTCCGGATTAGTAGCCTCCGTCACGACACTATCCCTTTGTTAGCTTCGACAATACAGACGCGAACTGAATTAGTCGTGTTAAGCGAAAGGCGCCGAGAGATTAGGGCTTTCGGGTGATCATCTTCCGCTTCGGGCACAAGGGATCTACGCAATCCCGCCTACATAATTTCCACATCGACTTTTCAGCCTCAGTCTAAGAACGGTGGCGGTATAGTGAGAAGCTGATTAGGCCAATGTCAAATCTCATGATTCGAAATCTGAAGATCTTCGTAGAATCCATGAGTTGAGTATGAAGATCGGCCATCTTGATCTGTTCCTAGATGTATACCATGCCGCTCATTCCTTTGCCTTAAAGCCACTCAGTCCTTGAAATCCACATTCCATCTTTTATTCTATTTCCCCGATTGCCTTTCGTTAATCATGGTGCTTTCACGGTCTTTCGCGATTATAGCGGTCGCAGCCACCGGCGCAATCGCCCAAGTGGGGCAGACGCCAGAATGCATGGCTCTAGGCGGTGTTTCTAACCTGTTGCAAATTGGAGACGAAGGGCTACGGTATTGCTCTTCGATTTTGAGCATTGGCACAGTCGTTGACCCAGTCTACTCGACTGTCACATCGATACTCACGACCACCATCAGCGAGGTTACAACCACTGACACCACTCTCCTCACGAATATCCTTTCCGCCGGTACATCATATCTGACCGCTTCCTCTACCTTTACAACGACAACTACTGCGACCTCGTAAGTATAGCTTCCGATTAATTCAGTTTCGCGATGCGCTAACTCCTCGAAAGAACCACCACCGCATTTCGATGCACGACCGAAATTCTCCGTCGAGACCTCAACGCAAGAGGCTATCCTCATGCAACAAGCTCAGCAACCCCCAAGCACCCAGAGCCTAAACCCCATGACAGGCACCCTTATGACCCCCATGGGATATGGTCTCATCTTTCAAGCTTCTTTTGGGGACACCCAAAGCCGTCGTGGACAGACCATCACAAGCCCACGCCTACATCGTCAACCAAACCTGTCAACTGGTATCCTACCAAGTCATGGAAAGCCACCACCTCGACTCAGCCTCCCTCTCGTTCGGTATCACGTACTCCATCGATCTCAACATCTCGCACCGCCTCAAACAGCATCAGGAGCTCGATTGCAGCGACAAGCTCATCTTCCCGTAGATCAAGCTCCTCTTCTCGCGCATTAAGCTCTTCGTCCCGCGCATTAAGTTCGTCTTCTGGTACATTAAGCAGCTACCTTTCCACAACATCACGTAATCCATCTTCCAGCACTTCTCTTAGTACCTCGAGTAGCTTGGTCCCAAGCATTTCGAGTGGTGTAAGCACAAACAGCGTTATCCTCTCGAGCAGTATCTCTTCGAGCAGTATTGTGTCCTCTAGTAGTCCTGTTTCTTCTAGCAGCGATCTCTCCTCTAGCAGCAGAATCGCGTCAAGTAGCGTTATCTCTTCGAGCAGCATAACTTCTTCGAGCAGCGCTATTCCATCTAGCAGCACCATCGCTTCAAGTAGCACATCTTCGAGCATCATTGTCTCCTCTAGCAGCGATGTCTCTTCTAGCAGCGCATCTTCGAGCAGTGTTATCTCTTCAAGCAGCATCATCGTTTCAAGTAGCTCGTCCAGCACGGTGGAAAGCACCTCCACACCAACACCCTCCTCAAGCGCCTCCAGTAGCCCTGAAATCACCCCAACGCCTTCCCCGAGTCCAACCCCGACACCTACACCTGGTCCGTCATGCTCGACCGCTCCCGCTGCTGTAGTATATTTCGCCTGCGACGTCATCTCCACCGCATGCAGGTGCCTCAGTCTGACTTCGGCTACACGTACAGAGACAACGACAACGACTAGCATAGCCTCTACGCTTGCAGCTTTGCTCAACACAGTCACAGTTGTTCTTACAAACGTGGTTACTATCACTGTAAGTATATCATTCACCGTTGCAACATATACATATCAAACCTAGGTCACTAACCTCTATCTCAGGTACCCTTAACAACTGAAATATTGACTCCGACTGTAACGTCGACAACAAGCACCGTCGCTACCACAGTAACATGCCCTTGCGCCGCTCCTACCCCTGATCTTTGCGGCACGACTGCCAACGACTGTAGAAATACAGAGACTGATGTTAATAACTGTGGAGTTTGTGGCAATACATGTATAGGCGGTATATGTGGTGGCGGGTTGTGCCGCGCACGGCCGATACCAGTAGTGCCGAGGGTTGCAAGGGGAGCGGGCTCGTGGCAGTGATTTTTGGATGGGCTAGAATATACCCATTACTATGCTTGGTGGAGACTGAGTATCCAAGCCGTAGGGGAAATTAATGGGAGACGACAACCCCAATCTATTAGAACATAATTTTCTTTTAAAAAAACAATAAGCATAATGTCTTCAAAATTTCCATGTTCAAGTTTGTTGGCTTGCTAACAGAACAACCGAAATGCACACCACTGGGCAGGTAGCCTAGAATCTGGAACCGCCTTGCATACACATTCTCCCGAGCTGTACATACTAGTCTCCCCGAGCTATTACGCCATCATACTTCCCGCCGTTCGCTCCCTGTTGTACCATCCCACATCATGCACAGCCTGTTATTCTCGAATCAAAAGCCATGGATGCCTGGTCCCTCTTCCCAACCCCAAGCACGATAACGGCGTTTCTTGTACTCGTTCACTACTGCAGGGGAGCATGCGACACCGGGATAGTTTCCGATTTTCCAGTTCTCCAGCGAACGTAACGCAAAACTATAGCACTTGTAACAACAGAACTGCAACGGGCAGTCAACAAGTATCGGGTGAGAAAGACGTGAGGTAGGCTAGCAAGCAAGCAAGCGAAACGTAAACAGTTCCTACCTTTGGGCAAACGACGGGCTAGCGAGGCCGCCACTTAGGCACACCTGCGTCTAGACTTTTACTTCAGTCCTCCTTGTTTGTCTCGGGCGAACATGATCTGCGGATGGATCAACTCTTTTGAATGATAGCGACAATGCACTATAGGCAACCTTCATCACATTGAGCCTCGGACAGAAAAGACGAGTGGAGTCGAGTAGAGTCGAGTAGAGGCACAAGCTTTTATTTCCGTGTCGTACAACAACACAGCACAATAATGCACCCGATAGTCAAACTAAAACATTTCCAGACTTCCGGTTCGGCTACAGTAGTGAGAAAAGCCGTGCACGTTAGTGCATGACTTTGGATTCGAATTCGGATTCGGATTCGCGGAATGTGTGTGGTGTGTTGGGGCGCGGATCTACGCTGGAGCGAGCTTCTGCGCGAAGTTTACCCGCGAGCGGAACATTATTCCTATAACTAATCATAACCATATTTCATCGTCACTATAATTTACTTATCTGGCTCGCTTACCCCGGGCAAAAACAAAGACTAAGCGCGCTGTCTAGCAAAAAAAATTAACCCCGATGGCGCCTAAGATTTTCTCTCGGGGCGGAGTTGCGTTCTAGCCGTTGCGCCAAGAGTGAATAGGGCCGATAGGGATGGGTTCACGGGATGAGCGGTGAGGAAGTAGGGGAGATATGTGCGGTGAGAATGAGGAAGGTATACAAACTTATGTTGTATAGGGCATGGATCTTGGGAGGAGTGCATTAGGGTGGGTTGCGGAAGGTTGTTTTGGGCGGTAGGTGCATGTATCAGGTGAGATGGAAGTAGGAGGAATGAGGGGGTGGGGTAAGGATGGATAATTCATGTTTGGTAGCAATTTTGATACAATGTGCCGATGCGAGAAGGGTATTCCCAGATGTCCCCTGAAATGCGTCAAGTAAAGTCAAATGAATGCGATGCAATGCAATGCCTTAGCCTAATCTTCCCTTGCCCTTTGCTGCCTCATCTAATGAAAGCCCTTCCCAAGCAGAGATGACTGCATCCATGGTCGCGCTCTCCGCATCTGTGACCATCTTGCGCGTGTCTGCAATATATTGGCTGCTAACCATGTTCGCAGCATGCTTCGTCCACTCCTCACTCCTGTAGAACTCCAGCGTACTTTGAACTTCAAGAGGTAGTTGGACGCCGAGAGTCTGGCACTTTTGAGTGAGCAATCGAAAAAGCGGCTGCGCGTAGTAGCTGTAGCTTGATAAGCTGCTCAGTGCCCGCAGACATGTTAGCAGGCCTTGATATGGTTCGCTCATTTCCATGGTAGTTGATCCTGGGCGCTCGAGCAAGATCTCATCCAGAGTTCCGAAACTTGCGACTGAAAGAGGATGGAGGATCAGCGTGATGGTATTTGCCCAGCCATAGCGTATCTCTTGGATGGCGAAGAGGCGCCGTGTCTCTCTTAGTGCGGCGGACGTGATGGAGCGCGCGCGAAGACGGTACAAGCTAATCTGTTCGACGGGGCTTTCGGCATCAAGAATTGGTTGGAACAGACTGACGATGTTTACTTGATACATCATGCTGTATGTAATTAGTATTGAGAGGCGTGTGCAAGAATTGGTATACATACGCGCAGAGTAGATTCTCAATGGAAGGGGCCTTATCTGGGTGTATGTCTGGTGGTCGCGTGTCCCACCAAGATGTTAATCTAAGGTAGCAGGCTTCAATTTGTTCCGGTTCTAGCTGATTCTTGTTGTCGAGATCATTATCGCCTCGAAGCATATTGACGTAGTCGAGAATGACAATATGCTTCATGCATTCTGAACGAAAGAGAGCTTTGTGGGCTAGATTTAGCTTGCTCTTTGAAGGGGCCTGACCATGCTTACCTTCCTCCGTAGGAGATTCCCGATATGGGATCTCCATAGGAGGCAGCGTTTTTATGATGACTGGGAATGAATAGGTAAAAGACATAGATCTGCACTTCGTCAACAACACTATAAGTGATTCCAGGGGTACAGTCTTGACTTACAATTGGAAGTTGAAAAGCGTCCAAGCAGTCACGGCTCGAACCTTATCCCACCTCTCGTGGGGTCCGTTCAAGGTCTTCCAGCTGGCTTCTCCGGCCTGGGACTGAAAGAGACCGAGGTCGCGACCAGTTCGGCATGCTTCTTCGAGGAAAGTATAGCCAACTTTGTCTCGACCATACTTCCCAAGCACCAGAACTAATGTGCCTGTTAGCATATTCACAGAAGCATCAAAGCTTGTGGATAAAAGGGCCCACACTTCGGATGATCGTAATGAAAGAAAGTGAAGCTGGTTGCACTTACAGAGACAGATACCGGCCTGCACTTTAGTCAAACTGTCTTTACCTTGTTCGAGGTCCCAGAGTCGCCGGGCTTCTTTGTAGAACATGGTGGTCAATGACCTCTCAGAAAATGGTTTTTGTCGATCTTTGACCGCTGACGAATGGAACTGTTGTGATAGTTAGAAATCACTCAGTGAAGAGCCCAGACTTTGAAAAGTTTCGATTAGGCTTATCTATGGTGGACGTACGGAAGCAGATGCTAGCAATGCATTGACAAGAAGTGCCGAACAGAAATCAGTTCGCCCACTTGCCATATCATCAAGGAAAGCGTCTCGGTCCAGGTAATGATAATAACAGAACTCGCGCGTAGTCCATGCAGAGAAGAGGGTTAATAGGATATTGGGATCGCTGGTTACTGTCGTCCAGTTTTTGGCTGACGCTAGCCGGGGATCTGTAAAAGCAGCGTCTACAAAAGAAGATGAAGGGGGTTGTAGGATAGCCTCAATTGAGGTAGGAGGCGGAAGAGAGCCTTGGCTATCTGAGCTAAAGTTGGTCAAAAGGACTCCCGTGTGGGTATTGAGACGAACTTACCGAACTGGAAGCTCCGTATCTGAGGTATATCTCCTACGCTGGCTGATCGGCCCATCTACTCCCATGGACAATATACCAGGCAAAGGAAGGTTGTGAGGGTCCAAATCGCTGGGTGAGTCCAAGGCCAGAGCCAGACGAAGTGGGGGCAGAGTCACGGATTGCCCGAGCTCTTGGTGATGTGGAGAGGATGGGACGGAAGAGGCTTGCTGGGTAGGCATGTCTCCATGGCGGACGAAATCTGCCAACTCTTGTATGCGTTGGGATTGTGATGTGTCTGGGGGATTTGCTCTGATACGCCTCATAATCTCCATGGCCTCCTGCTCTGGGCGTAACCGAAGAAAGTCGTAGAGCTGACGAAGGTTCGAAAGCTCGCCTTGCATCTCTTCGTTCTTTCGCTTCATGGCCTGGGAGGGCTTTTCGTTTGGACCTAGCTCATACACGCAACTGGTGACCTTTTGGACACAGCATGTACACACAGGACGGCTGCCATCGCACTTTGACTTTCTCTTTCTACATGCAACACATGCACCCAGGGTTACGGTTCGTTTCGGCTTCTGTGCCAGCAATAGTCTGCCCTGGGGTTGAGGAGGTGGCTCCTGCTCCATGGGAGCTGGCTGGAGAGGGCGGAAGTTTGCCATGGCAACGATGTTTGGTGAAGCCGGGAAAGGTGGACATGCTACAAGGAAGAAGAGACAGTCGACATGTGCGTCATGTGTTGGAGGTTGTGTGAGTTAGAGGTATGGAAAGCAGCGTTGGGACATTCGGGGACAGATGGTGCGATGAGACCGTGTTTGGCCGGTCGCTCGTGCTATGTGAAGATAGGGTTTTCTGTGGGGAAGGCATGCCGACGGGAGGAAGAAACGAAACGAGAGACGATGAGCTTAGGCCGCCATAGCAGGGGTCGGCTGGCGAAAAGTACCCCAGTTATTGAATCCAGGCGGGAACCTGTCGCCGGCCGGTGTCACTGCGACTTGGTCGATGTCGTCGCCAAAGCACAAGTTCGCTAGCGGATCTGCTTCCGCAGCGAGTGGCCATTGAGAAAGGGGTTTCGTACGGCCGGAGGATCCTGAAAAGTCGACGCATCATTCGTAGCGCTGTCTTTCTAACGGTTGTGGGCCAAAAGTGTTACTGATTCGCTACGGGGCCCACTCCGATAGTGCAGATTGGTAGTTTTGCCGTGCGTCGAGGCTGCCGCTGCCCGTTGTGGAGCTGACCAACCGCCATGCTTGGTCCTTCGGAAGCTTGCATCCGTGAGGTTTTTGGTTACGGAGATCGTCCTCTCACGCACCCCACACGTGGTGGCAAACAGATAATGGGCCATGGATGGGAAACACGAATGGGGTGGTGCATGTTCGCAACAGGAAATGGGTGCGACGGCCAACTTTGTCGATAGTGCGAGCGAGGCGCCCAATGCAAGTTAGCCAGCCGCAAGACGGTTTACCAAGACGAAAACATCGGCCATACATTCGGCGCATCTTCTTTCTTTTTTTTCGCCGGGAGAGTAATAATATGCAACGAGACAGCTGTACGCGCAGGAGAGGCCGTCTAGTGGCATGCAAGCAACCTGTCTATCAGCTGACCAAAGTCGGTGTAATCGGATCTGCGCTAGAAGAATGCCATGTCAACTGCTTTAGGTCCCTGAGCTCTTGGCGCGCTGGGTTCTAGCATTGGGCGCATTCCTCGAGACTGATTTGCTCGGCTCAAAAGATTCCTCGTATGGACATCACGGTGCTGCTTTCAAAGCGGCACAAAGAAGCTTGTATCGGTGATGATGACCCAGCGAATAGCGTGGCTGATACGGTTTATCAAAAGCATACTATCGTTGCTCAAGCTGAGCCACCTCCTCTTTTGTCCACATTACTTTACCCTGCTACAAATTTGGGAACACAAAGTTAGTCCTCGTTTCACATGCAGTTCGTGCAAGGGGAGTTTACCTTGCCGCCATCGACGTTGACTATCTGGCCATGTACATGACTGCTGAAGTTGTGACTGGCCAGAGAAAGGATTGTCATTGCAACGGCTCGAATAGGAATCGGCTCAGCTAGAGCGGTCTAGGTTCATCAGCTATGATCTGCAAGTCTCATCATGATCTGGGAATGCTGTTTGGGCTTTTCAAGCACCAGGAAGATAGTTCTCCATCGTGGACAAAGAGGGTAAAGGTCTCAATTACCGTCGCCTGAGCCTCCAGATAGTATTGGTCTGGATTCCTCCCGCACTCTTCGTACCATCGATCTGTCTGCACTGGTCCGGGAGCAACAACGTTGACTCGCGCGCCTGCATATTCTCTTGGAACTTCCGCTCGGAGAGACATGAGTAACCCTCCTTGCACGGCACTCTTCCCTAAGCTGTACTCGGCATTCAGTCGCTCGCCAAAATGTCCGCTTTCAGACCCAATGATGATGAGATTTGGATGCCTCAGTGTCCTGCCTTCAAGCTTAGCCTCGCGAAGGCCACGAATCCATTCCCGTGCTGTAAGCCAAGTACCTACAACATTGACGTTGAGGACTCGGTTCAATTGACTGAACGATGCATCGGCGAATGGAGATGGCTCCAGGACTGAAAGGTCGAGGGACGCTAGGGCTATGCAGATGTCAACCGGGCCATAAGCCTTTGTTGCAACTGCAAACGCCCTCCGCACTGAGTCTTCGTTAGACACGTCGCAGTGGATGGAAATGAAAGCCGACTGTGCAGCATCCAGCTGAAAGTCGCCGTCCACCGGGTGGATGATGTCGAGCGACGATACTTTTGCTCCCGCTGCGAGGAAATGATCGACGACAACGCGTCCAATGAGTCCACCGCCGCCAGTGACAACAACGCTCACGCCTGTGAGTCCCAGATCGAGAGACAGAGAATCCATATTGGGTATCCAATGATGAGGAAGTAAATCAGGTCGGAGCTCCGAGTGTAAAGAGAGGTGGAGGAGCACCTGGGCAGAACATGGGTCAATGGCGGGGATCGCTTATCACGAAACTAGGGCTTGATAGTCACGGTCAGTACCAGGACACATTCATACATAATAGCAGCAGTGTACTTTCCAGTTATTGCTCAAAGCATTTGTAGAGTGAACACGCATCAACTCTGCAGTTGATTATGAATCTTCTATTCAATCGAAACACAATCTAGCGCTAGTAATGAAAGCCGTATAGAGAAATGCCGGCGCGCCCTAGCGTCTTAGAAGTTGTACATGATACCAAATAACGCCAACACATTGGGTCCTGCATCCCATGCCCACATGGTACACCTCTCACTTCTTGGCTCCCGACCTTGCCAGCTTCTTGATGAAATTATTTTTGATCCCTTTCGCCCCCTTGAGCTCTTTGTTCCTGCTCTTGTTGAATTCCATGTACGCCATATCCTGACCACCTGACAGATCAGACAGCGTACCCGCCGCCCTTCTCACACCGTTCTTCTTCTTCTTGCCATTTCCAGAAGCATATTTAGTGCCGAAAGCATCTCCTTCAATCCTCTCCTCCTTTGCGTCCTCATCTCTGGCGAGCAGGACATCCATGAGTAGCTCTCGCCGCTCGGATGGGGTCGCAAATGCCAACTCACTGAAATTTTCGATCCCTTCTAGACGAGTGATGACCTTGAAAGCATATCCTTGGTCGACTAGGAAGGCCTGACGCTTCGAGGAGTAGTACATTTCATCCGTGTCTTTCGAAACCAGCGAGTAGAAGAATGCATTAAAGCCTTCATCGTTCCTTCTCTTCGCTCGAAGAATCCGGCCCAAGCGCTGTGCTTCTTGACGACGTGAGCCGTAGTGCGAGGAGATTTGAATCAAACATGTCGCCTCCGGTAGATCTAGACTGGTATCGCCAATCTTGGACAGGAATATGGTATTGACCAGTTCGTTGTGCTGAAAGTTCTCCAGGATGCGCAGTCGCTCTTGTTGTGGGGTTGCGCCGTAAATGTAGGCCTTGCCAAGCTTACGCGAGTACTTCTCCAATGCGTACACATTATCAGAGAAGACAATGATCTTATCACCACGCGACTCGTGGTAGTTGATCAAAAACTGACATGCTTGAAACTTTTTGGGGTTCATGATCGAAAGTAAGGCCCGCTTCTGTAGTGATGATGGCTTGAGCCACTCCGTGTAGAATTCCGGTGTCATCTGACACCATACTTCCGCACACTGTACTCTGGCGATATGACCTTGCTCCGAGAGCTCTTGCCAGTTGGCTTCGTACAGCTTCGGCCCGATCAAAAAATTGAGGTCATCAATCTTGTCATCTTCGCGAAGGAGTGTGGCTGTGAGGCCGAGTTTGGCGTGCGACGCAATCTCGTAGGTGACTTTCTTGAAGATGTTGGCGGGCACAACGTGCACTTCGTCGGCGATCAGTAGCCCCCACTCTCGAGATCGGATGAACTGCATGACCTTCTCGGCGTCATAGGATCGTTTTCGAGCATTGCTAATCATAGAGTACGTGCTAATGATGATACCGGCATTGCGGGGAAAGCTGTTCTTGTTATCTGCGGTAAAGACAGCGACATCCTCTGGGTTGATATTGGACCACTTGATGAACTCAGCTCGCCACTGGACAACGGACATGGCGCTCGTGCACAACACGATGACGGACTTTTTAACGCCACAAGCTGCTGTGATACCGACCAAGGTTTTACCTGCACCGCAAGGAAGGACAATAATGCCTGACCTAGCACGCGAATTCGAGAACATCTTGCTTAAAGCCTTCTCCTGGTAGTATCGGATCTGCGCATGGGGCTTCAGGTCAATTTCCAGGTTGGCATTCACTTCATCGTTGTTGAAGTCATACTCCTCGGTCAGCGGCAAACCGATGGTTCGGCACCGCTTCACGACCCTTTCTCGTTCCTCGCTCTTGATCTGGAACGAGTGAACTTGGGCAACTTCTTCATCGTCGTCGTCTTCTCGCAAAGCGGCAATCATTTCGCTTGGTGCTGGATTCTCTGCGGCAACCTGCTGTTGCTGCTGTGCCATTTGATTTGCGCCAGCGGCCAGTTTGGTACCTGGAATGGCCATCTGGCCAATTTTGGGTGCAGCCTCCTTGATGAGGCCATCTGTAGCGTCTGCTCTGCATTCGGCTACAATGGGATCGCGGAGCAATTTCTGAAGGATGGAAGGGTCCTCGCTCTCGATGTAGGACAGTGTTTTCTTCAATACAATCTTGGCTTTGCCAAACGCAGAGGTGGACTTCTCAATAAAGTTGACGATGGCGTCTGACAAAGCCGTCTTGGAGTACCTGTCAAGCTTGTCGATGATCTCTTTATTAGAGTGGCCAACACTGACGGCGGCGAAAAGGCTGTGCGTGGTAAGCTGGTATTCATGCATCTTCGAGACACGCGACTGCGGTTCGGCAATATTGATCAAGAAGTCCTGAGCCTCATCGAAGAGAGGATGGAAGGACTCGAGGATGATGCCTCCTGCATCGTTGACCCATAGAGGGCGATTGTGGTGGTCAGGCTTCAGCGGCGCATTCCATTGATCAGACTTCTTGAAGAGGTCCGCCGCTGCATCTCGAACTCGGCCCGCTCGCGCCCGCTTCTCCATAGCCTTTACATCGTACTCCTCCTTCAGCTGATCAAATGTGTCCTGGTCGCTCATGGGCCCGTCATCTTGGTCGTCCCACCCATCCTCAGCTTCAGCATCCGCAGCCGTTTGTGCCTTGCGCTTCTTTGATGCCATGCTGGCGTGTCGACGCTCTTAGCGACGCGCTGCAAGCCTAGGATGTGATTTCACAGACGACAGCTTGTACGGCGCACGTCGAGACCACGAGGCGAGTACAGCGAAGACGCCTCACGCTGGCACCGGGCAGAGATCGAAGGGGCGAGGCGAATACGGGCGACGTGGATGCGGTGGGTAGGAGCTGGTGAGGTTGAGAAGGTATCAAGTGGCGGAGGCAGCAGTCATGAATATGAATGGATGGGCATGAAATGCTTAGTAATGACGTAGCGTTGCGTAGCGTTGCACTTGCACATGCACCCTCGCGGGAAACGATGGGTCAAGTGAGTGCGTAATTCCAATAAACAAGTGATCGGTAATGAGATACGGCGAGGGAATAATTAATGAGACTCAGATTAGTCGAGGAAAGGAAACTATATTCGGGCCGTGGCGGAGAGACGCGTCGCCGAGTCGCGAGAGCATGTGAGCGCAGTGTCCGTAGAGATGACCGGGATTTGCTTGCTTCGCACCGCCGACATCAACTCTCTTCCAGCACACAGAATGCGCACATGAGATAGTGACATGCATCCTGATGGGCGCCTCCGACTCGAAACTCAGCTTCAAGCAGGGCGTCTTCCGCCTGTCCGAGCCCGAGCAGATTCCCGCCGATGATGCCTACTGGACTGGCGTACGTCTCTGCCTCGTGCTCTCGCCCAGCTATTGCTAACCACTGCGCCAGTTCTGGGAGCTGCCTGAGTCTACCGAAGATGTCTTCTCGCTCTTCTCGCCCGCGGATATCCGCCGCACGCGCGACAACAATCTAGTCAATCTCGAAACGCTCATCCTCGCCGTATCCTCGCGCCTTTGTGTCCTCCGCAACCACCCCTCTTTCCCAGATCCCGAGCTCGCACCGGAACGAGATGCTCTCAATTGCATTCGGGTACTCACCCGGCTGCTGCCTTTTCTATATGAAGCCGACCATCTCGAGGGGTGGGAAGACCAGTTCTTCTGGGCTGCGCGGCGGAAGCGCAGTCGGCGGGGCCAGCTCGTGAGAAGCGAGGTCATCTTCGACGAGGCCGACCCTGAGCAGACGCCGACCGAGAAGGAGCCAGAATTTGAAAACGCAAAACCGCTGGCTGAGGAGATCATCGACACCCTGATCGATCTCCTCTTCTTCTCTGAGTTTACCCTGCCAAAGGTGCCAGCAGGCAAGAACAAGGTCACATACGCGATATGGCAGAGCGGCGTGGGCTGCAACACGCCCGTGGCTTCGACAAAGGAATTCGAGAGCAACAGGACTGAAATCCTACGCCTACTGCTCACGTTGGCAAGCAAGTCCATGTACATGTCTGCCGGTACGCATCCCACGGCCAATGCACTTCGAGACTGTCCTGATCAAGCGTAGGTATACTCCCCGTCAAGGGTGTCAAGGCCATTACGTACATAGCGACCTGTCCGGACAAGCAAGTTGTGCTGTCAGTCTTGTGTTCGCTTCTCAATACAGCGAGTACCCTCCACCAATCCCGTCTGTTCAGAGACTAATCCTCACAGACTTTGAAGTACAACCCCGCAACATGGCGCGTGCCATACGACCATGTCGTTTTCAAGGACCAAAGGCAGGTTCTGGTCACATACTGCCTGCAACTCCTTTTAGTACTCATCCTGTATCCCATACCCGAGCCTGGCAATGGGCCTGCGCCAAAGAACTTCTTTCGTCATTTCCTTGGTCGCCTACACCGGCCACAAGACTTCCAATTCCTGGTCGATGGTATGACGCGAGTACTAAATCAACCCGTATGTCCACTACGCCCCACGTAATCGCCGGCATTGCTGACATGCACTAGCTTCAAGCCAATACCACCTATCTCCCAGGAAGCCACAAGTCCTTGACATGGGCGCCGGAGATGATCATGCTCTTCTGGGAAGCCCTACAGTGCAATAAACGCTTCCGCTCGTTCATCATCGATACCCATCGCGCCCATGATTTCGTGGTTTTGGTGCTGTACTACGCTATCGATCAACGCAATGACCCGTCGAAGCAAGGGCTAGTACGTATGTGTGTATTCGTACTCCAGACGTTAAGCGTAGAGCCACAATTTGGCAAAAGCCTCAACAAGACCTTTGAAGGACAGGAGTCGCTTCCACTAAGTATACGGATACCAAACTTCCACGGCACATACGCCGACTATGTTATTACGGTAAGTCTAAAGTTCAAAGGTTTGAGCTGTACTGACTTTTCTAGTCTATCTACACGCTACTCACTACGGGGAAAGGCAAGCTTGATGCAGTCTACCCTGCATTACTCGCTATACTCAACAATATTGCGGCATATGTGCAGAACCTCGGACGTGCCCCAAGCTCTAAGCTCCTGCAGCTGTTCGCTTCCATGTCATCGCCCAGTTTCTTGCTCGCCAACGAGAATAACCACACCCTTCTTCACTCGCTCTTGGAGGCAATAAATGCCATGGTCGAGCACCAGTATCAACGTAAGGTTCGTTTGCATGTAATGGTGTTCATGCATTGACTTGTTCGACAGATAATCCCAATCTTGTATATGCGATTGTGCGATCACGGAAGAGATTCCAGGCTTTACGAGACTTCACACTCGAAAGTGGTCAGGAGGAGCTTGAACGCCAAAATCAACTGCGCAAAGAGGGCGGAGAAGAGCTCCAGAGAGCTACGTCTATCGACAGCCTACGGAGCCCTACAGTGTCTCGAACGCCGACTCTAGATAACGTACCAGAAGAGGATAGCGCGTTCGCCATTGGCGATGACGATGATTCAGACGCGGACGAACCGCACATAACTGAACAGCCACGATCACCAGTGCAGTCTCAATCAGGAGCTTCAAGAAGCGCATCGATAGCATCGTCCGTCGATGAATCTGTTCCGCTTCAGTTGAGAGGCATGTCAGAGAAGGCGCGGGGCAAGATGCCGGTTGGGCAGCCCGCCTTCTCTCGACAGAATAGCGTGACCAGCCTCCACAGCCTAGCAGGCCCAGCATTAGCCTCAAATGAGTTCTTTACGCCGTCTGTGCCATGGGTAAGTGTTTCCTTTCGCGCGTGGATTTTTGCTGACTTTGTGACTAGCTCGAGAGTTGGCTTTCGGGATTGCCGCTTCACACTGTCCTTATGCTGATATCCGAGCTCGGCCCTAAAATGCCCAGTTCAGGAAGCTCAAATGACACAGCAGCAGCATTGAAAATCATTCGGGAGACGCAAGTGCGTGGCATCGAGCCCTCACCTATCAGAGTACATCTCTTCGAATGGTCACCCATGTCCCTTGGTTGGTACGAGTCATTACTCTGGGGGTTCGTCTTCGCGGCCGAAATGTTCGTAGCGAAGGGAACAGCTGGGGTATGGAACAACACTAGCATAAGGCTGTTCAAGGTCCAAGAAGCTGCGGCTACCACGCCGTCTCTAATGGCACCACGAGGGGCTGTAGACGCTGTGGGGAGCAATATCGTGCAACGTATTGGCAGCCTCAATCTACGGGGAGCGGCCAGTCAGGCCACGCAGCGTACTCCAGCGAGCAACGGCAACGCCGGGAACGCGAATGTTAGGGACGTCTAGCGTAGTCTTGATGGCAAAAGTTGACCAACATTGGCCACATCTCCATTGATTCTGTACGAGAATAATGGACTAAAGGCAATGATTGGTGTTCCTGAGCTGCACGTTAGGTCTTTTGCCCTGTTTCGAACTCGCGGTTTGCCGATCATTTCGGCTCTGGAACTGGACCCTGACGAAGATGAGGCTGTGCAGCCGCCACATCTCAAGCTGTGGCGACGGCCAAATTTTAGGGCACTGTATACAGCCAACAACAATCAACGATTTTTTACAAGCGCTTCTGGACTCTCCGGCGCATGACGCAAAACGTGTGATCCCATGCTTGACTGACGCGTCCCCAGATTTTCTTATCTCGCCATGCTATTGCAACGAGTTAAGCGTAGCTTTGGCAGGGGTAATGATATACCGTGAAGGTACTTGCAAACCGGCATTAGACATGACTTAGTAGCACACACATTCTCTTCCTGTACTGTGTGACAACCCGTGCCTAGAAAAATCGTTACATACATCGCATCCTTACTGCACAGACGAGCAGTTGCTATATTATATTATAGGCTGAATGATTTCGCAAACACTTCGGCCTCCAAGTAAGAGTCACGCGACGCATTGAATGTCCCCAATCTTTGTCACGACTAAGTCAATCCCTAATCGTTCGTTTGTTACGGAGCTGTCTTAATACAAACCTCGAAAATCATTACAGTATGACAGCGACACAATACGAGGAGAAGGAGGCCGTCACTACATATAGTATGCACGTCTGTATCTCTACTCTCCATCCATCGAAGACTACTGAACAGCATCTTAGGTTTCCGCCAAATATCTGGAGCTGACGAAGAAGAAGCTCGAACTCACGCGTCTACCGCGCGAAGTGGAGCTCCCAGAGCAAAGGACGTGGGAGCAAGGGACGCCAAAAAGTGCACTTGAACCATTATTGGACTTCTGGTACGTGCATATTCCAACAAGCCAGCTTGTTGCACTCGAGCCGGGAGAAGAAAGGCCGAATCGTCATCCTATGGATGTTCTGATTGGAATCCATGTGCCCAGCATTACGCCGCTAGATTCGGCAATATATGCCAGAGCTGTTAGAGGAAAGATTTGACTGAAAAATCTCCAAGAGAGAGAAACTGACACATTTTAAGGCTCGATGGCTACGACTGGCGGGCTGCCGAAGCAAAGTTTAACCTAGACCTTCCGCAATATCGAACGACTATAACTACACCATCAACGTCCAGTCTACCTACTCCTCAAATACTTCGCATACACTTTGTGCACAAGCGTTCGAAGCACGAAAATGCCATACCACTTCTTTTTTGCCACACATGGCCGTCTTCATTCATTGAAGTCCAACGAGTCATCGACGCACTCACCGATCCTCATTCGCTGCCGAGCTTTGGTGATGGCGCACAGCAGGCTTTCCATGTCATTGCGCCAAGTATACCTGGCTTTGGTTTTAGCGACGCGAGTATGTCTGAAGATTTTGGGCTGAATGGCACTGCGGAGGTATTCGATGGATTAATGGCCCGGTTGGGATATGATCGATATGTCGCGCATGGTACGGGATGGTAAGCACACTACGGCCCAATTGCACATCATTATCATTGACTCGACTTAGGGGCTTTAGCATATGCCGCGCGCTGGCTCTCCAACATCCAGAACACTGTCTTGCGGTGCACACAGCAAACCCGTCGTTCACCGAGCCAGCTTTCAAGCGAGGACCACTCGCGTACATGAAATATCGAATCGCGAAGATGACAAAAGCGAAGATTCCCCTCTTGAGCTTCGGTTACGTGCCTACGGAACTTCAGGCGTCCCGCGAAAGACAAGCTTCTGAAGTGGGCCAAGAATCACTCTATTCATCTCGACCGCTCGGCCCGACGCTTCATCGTCTATACTCGCTTCGACCGCAGACGCTCGCCTTTTCGTTGTGCGATTCTCCGGTTGGACTTTTGGCTACGTTACTTGATGTAATTCATACTAGGGCACCGAGCCATTCGCCGCTGACTTCGAGGTCGAGGTCGCCTTTTCTCTCGCCTGTTGAGCTCGAGATGCGAGATGACGAGCATGAGCATCCGGAACGTGATCGGATCCATTCAGGCTCGACTGAATACCCATTCAGCCCACGACAGAGTGAGATAGATGCCCATAATTACACTTGGTCGCCTACTGAGGTCCTTAACTTCACGATGCTACAATGGCTTCCAGGGCCTGAAGCTGTACGTAATCATCCATCGTCTACCATTATAGTCCGCTAACACTCTTATCCCATAGGCACTCCGCTGGTTGCGTCGCGCGCACCTCGAATCCACGGACACTCAGTGGAGCAGACACTGCTCGATACCTCTAGGTATTAGTTCTTTCCACGCGCGCAACAGCAGCAGGACGACACCGCTTATGTGGGGTTCGTCCTCATGGGACATCTCGTGGGTGAAGCGCCACCAAAGACCCAGCCACATACCCGCGTGGGAAGCGCCGGATCTCGTTGTGCTGGACCTGCGAGAGTGCTTCGGCACATTTCTGTCGCATGGGAAACTAACCAACCTTCCCAGTGCAGCAAGTTGAGCGCGGGCGCTGACGGCAGACACTAAAAAGTGTCGAAGGCTGCTATAGCTATACGACGGGTCGTTATGCGCATATAGCTGGGTGGACAATTAGCAGCGTCATGAATGCAGAGCGGAGGGACGGAATGGCAGTGCTGGCACAGGATGCATGTGTGTATTTTGGTTGCTGGGGTGGAGGTGCAGATCGTTGCGGCTGAGTGGGGTATGCGGCGAAAGGGGGACAGGCCATGATTGGAAATCCTTGCCCAGACGTAATATATGGTTGGGCTAGCAAGCGTAATGGTAGGGATAGGCAGGGCTATAGCGGGCGTTTTGTGGTTGGGGTGTAGTTATCTTTGGACAGGTCGTTATGAGCGTAAGTTGGATGATATTAGCGTACACATGCAGGGAATTGCAAGACGCGTAGTTGATTGTTGCAAAGGCACACTGTTCAGGCTGGTTCGTAGTAAACATGACACACGAATGTCCTCTTGTTAGTATGTACAAAACAGGAGCATTGGATGCAGCCCCCTGTGGCAGTGAAATCAACAGCAAGAGGCAATAATGGTGAGGGTTGGTTGAGGCAGACGTGGGCTAGCTAGCCGTCGGCCCGCACGTTGGCCAGCGACTTAGCGGTGACGTCTAGCGCTGGAGAAAAAACACCGCAAGCACGAGCAAAAATTGCACGCGACAACGCCCAAAGCCTTTGCAACTCCTGCATCGACAGCAAACGTCCCAGTTGGCTTTCGTGAAGCTTGCCTATACCTCGCACAGTACGTAGCTTTCCTTACAATCACGCCTCGCCCACAGTGTCCCGGCCGCCCGCCACCCAGGAAACTGCATCCCGACTCACTATAGGCAGTCTGCACCTCAGCGCCCAACGCCATTGCATCGCACCCGTCGCTCCACGCCCATCGCCAAACCTATACCGTCAAGCTGGCAGACCTAAGTTTGACCTCTTTCTACACTGCATAGGCTGTAATAGCCCGCAGACCGTTCCCGCCGCCCGTCTTCGTCTTTCCATGCGTCAAGAGGACCTGGTACGCTTTCTGTCCAAGCCCGCGAAGTGAGTTGCATCTCTACCGGCCACCTTCACGAGCCCTTTTGTAAAGCAGCATGCGAGACATTCAATGCAACAGCGCTGACCATGGCAGGCCCAGATAACACCCGCTACCACCGTTAGCCCCACGCCCACCTTCAACCCCCACCGAGCAGATATCCTCGTCTGCTAGACCCGATACTTCCCCAGGGTATCGGAATCTGGTACTACGAGGACCACGACGACTGACAACATTTCCCAACGCAAAGCCTCGTTTATCCCCCTCTCCGCCCGACCTCCCTAACATCGACCACGGTCGGTCACACTACACACATACACTGCTGCTGGCACACGCCAGCCTCTTCTCTCTTTGCGACTCGTGGGCCTTCTCCTCCTCAGGCGAGCACCGCATTGCTTGTCTGAGCAGCAGATTGTGCTTCACGTAGCTTGATCTCGAAGCATCTACGTGATTAGCGTCAGCAAATTCGTCACAGATACCTGTTCACTTCCAGCAAACACGTCCAAGATATCTGTTCCGTGCGCGCAACAGCCACATAGTCAAGAGATGGTGGCTACTGAAATTCCCAAGCATTACACTGGGTCTCCGTCGTCGCATATCGGCACCCCACATTTGACAATCAACAAGGAGGCTACCATCGATCTCGATTCTTCCAATGCCTTCGAAGGTCCCGAGAAGCTCCTAGAAGTATGGTTCAGCTCCTCCGCTACCAACCTGCCCGGTCAGGCCGGCCCGCTTGGGCTCAAGAAGGTGTCCGCTGAGGTGTGGAAGGATATGCTCGACCTGGTCAACTGCAAGGTCCTCTCCGTCATCGAGTCCGAACATGTTGACGCCTACCTTCTGTCTGAGTCGAGCATGTTCGTCTTTCCCCACAAGGTCGTGCTTAAGACCTGTGGTACCACCACCTTGCTTTGGGGCCTCACTCGCATGCTTGAGATCGCGGCTGTGGAGGCTGGTTTCCCCTATGTAACCCCTCAGCCAGGCTCTGCCATTGCAGCCTCTGCTACGCCCTATCGCGTCTTCTACAGCAGGAAGAATTTCCTCTATCCGGACCAGCAACGAGGTCCTCACCGCAGCTGGCGCGACGAAGTCCGATACCTCGACCAACGCTTCCAAGGTGGCAGTGCTTATATGATTGGCAAGATGAATGGCGACCACTGGTATCTCTACATTACCGGGCCTGATACACACCTGACGCCCCCTCCCAGTCCCGGTCATGAGATTGCGGAAACCGAAACGAAGTTTGTCAGCCACCCCGAGCGCCTACTACGTGAGCAAATTGGCGACGAGGACGAGGACGAGACTCTGGAGATCCTGATGACCGACCTCGACGAGAAGAACGCCCGCCAGTTCTACCTCGAGGACGCAAGTGCGGTTGCGGAAGGTCGCTACCTCCAGAAGGCTCGTGATGCCCGAAAGAACGCCATTCAGTCCCTCGGGTCTATCCCGGAGGAGAAGTGTGAGAGCCTCGGCGGCTCTACTATTCTCAATTCCGCTGCCAATACACACACCTCCTCTGACAGCTTCGATGTGTTTGAGCAGACCTCCTCTGACCACTCCGGCTTCAGCTCTGACGATGAGCTAACGTTCCCTGAAGAGCTGACCACCGAAGGTCACTCGCTCGGCTCCGTTGTCTCTGAGGTGTGTGGCCTTGCTGACGTATATCCGACTTCAAAGTATCCCGACGCCCGTATCGATGCGTACCTGTTTACACCCTGCGGCTTCTCCGCCAATGGCGTCGTGCCCGCTCCCGGAGGCGCTCCTAATGGCTCCAAGAAAGGTTCTGATGCTACGCACTACTTCACCGTTCACGTCACTCCCGAACCGCAGTGCTCCTACGCCTCATTCGAGACCAACGTACCCGCCCGCCAGACTGGAAGGGAGACTGCCGATGTCGTCGAGCACGTGGTCGATATCTTCAAGCCTGGTCGCTTCAGCGTGACTCTATTCGAGGCCAAACCCTCCTCTGAGGAACAGCCTGGTAAGGGTGCTGACAAGACCAAGAGGATGGAGGCGATTGCAGGGTATCGCCGTGTGGATCGCATTGTGCATGATTTGGATGGGTATGATCTAGTGTTTAGGTACTATGAGCGGGATGATTGGAAGGGAGGGAAGCCGAGGTTGGGTGAAGTGTACTGAGGTCTTGAGTGATCGAAATGGAGACATGGTTTGTGGGCGTGTTGGTGGTATGGAAACGGGATTTTTTATTGTTACGGTTGTTTTTATTATTCCGTCTTGTCGCATAGCGTTCAGGCACTGTCCCTACAATCTTAAGCGACTTTCTTTTTACAATTTTCCTCAATACTTTGCACAGTTAATACTATTGGCTTCTATAACTCAACTTGCAAATCCTGTCCAATAATTCGATTTTGAGGGATGTTTTGAGCTAACATGGTGCCCTGATTAGACAGTTCGGGTGTATAGTAATGACATGTATATTCGTGTCACTCGTGTCTCTTCTCAGATGTATTGAGATAGGAATATTGTTCATTGAAATCGAATATTCTTCAAGTAACGATCATCCCAGATAGTAATGGCAAGCGTGTAGCCTTTTCAACAGCCCCCACCGCTAAACTCCTGACGCCGCTCATGCAATAGGGTTTTAAAAGAGTCGAATGATCCACAGAAACAGCTGTCTACGACAGCGTGATGTCGCTGCCCGTGCCGTCGCCATTCGCATCCATCTTTACATCTTCTCCTCCAGCCAGGACCTTTGTCTGAACATTTCCGTCTGGCGGCCCGACGCCAGGTGTGCAAGCCGCAACATTACCCTCCTCATCGATGAACTCGAAATTGTAGCGCGAGAGGAGGTGAGGGATCGCCGACAGCTGCGGTCCATATCGCGCGGTGTTGTCATAGAGTTCGAAGAGAGGGACGGCGAGGAGTTTCATGTTCTTGGGGACACTCAGAACCTCTGCTTGAGTATCAGTACATTGTACCTTGAGCTTATCATTATTTTATGGGGGAAAGTTGGGCCACGTACTGCTGCGCGGGAGCTGGATGAAGTAGAGCTTCTTGCACTCCTTTGGTCGTGTGACGTGCGCGGGGATGAAAGGGTACATGAACGTCTCGAAGTTGGGCCGCCACCATTGCGCCAGTGTGTCGCCGACCTGCCACTCGTCGTTGACGCCTTCGCCGGTAAACTGTGTGCCGACGGGTGCGAGGCGCTCGTTTAGCCTCGCCTTGAAGCCTTCGATCTCGTCGTCTTCGGCGCGGAGGTAGTCGCCAGGTCTACATGACGTTAGTATATGTGTATGTATGTTTATCTCCGGTACCAGAGCTGAGGTCACATACAGCTTGAAGAAGGCGTTTGCAATCTGCAGCATGAGGATGTGAGGGTGGTTGTGCTCGTGGCAGACCAAGATGCCCTCACAGGTCCGTCGCATGCCATGTTCTGAGTAATGCTCCTCTAATCGCTTCAGGCGCGCAAGGACTGATGGGTCTTCTTCTGGCTGGCCATCTTTCGTTCCGAATGTGTAGTTGCTGAGAGGGTATAGGCGGATAGTCTTGGGTTGGTTTGCATTGAAGTCCTTGGGAAGGACGGGGCTATTCATGAGTTAGATGGTAGTGATGGTGAGTAGATCGGGCAACACTGACGGATATGAGCTTTGTGAAGCTTGCTGTGTTATCGTAGACATTGTGCTTTGTGTTGTGATTGCAGAATCGTGGAGTAGCTGGGCGGCCTTCGCGACAATCAACGGATCTGTGACAGGGATCAGCAAGCTCTCGGCCCGCACGTGATGGCGCACAGATCATGTCTCTCACTTGAGCACCGAGCTTTCCAGCCCTTTAGTCCTAGCTCCTCCGTTTCTGGCTTTTGGGAAGCAGGAAACTGAGTCATTATACTCGTTAGTGGCACGCCGATACTCTCGATCAACGACCAATATGACGCAAACAGCACTTATCACCGGAGGTAAATTCACTTCGATCCTCTCAAGATCGCTGGCTAACCTCAGGGTCAAGCCAGCGGCCTCCTTGGACGACAAGTACAACGTCAATTTCTCCTCGATGGCTGGGAATCCATTGGAACTGGTCTAAGCCGTATCAGCCCACCAGAAGTCATCAAACTAGACATACTAGACCCACAAGAAATCGAGCGAGTTCTCGACGAAGTAAAGCCAAATGTCGTTGTTCACTGTGCTGCGAATCGCTTTCCCGATTCTTGTACGGCTGACCCAGAAGCGGCTCGAAAAACTAACGTCGAGTCGAGCAGGGCGCTTGCCCAGGCTGCGATTGCGCGTGGCATCTTTCTCATTTATATATCGACTGACTATGTGTTCTCGGGACGCCCGGGAGAGGCGCCGTATAAGCCATCGTCGAAGCCTTCTCCTCCAAATGTGTAAGTCTGGATACATCACGGCTCTAGGTTGACTTTGAGCGAGCGATGCTTTATGTCCTCTGGGCTGCTTTCATTGGACGCTCGCTGACACTATCTTCTAGATATGGTCAAACAAAGCTTGAGGGCGAGCAAGCTGTTCTTGATGTGGCGACTCAGAGTGGTATTAAGAATAAAGTTGTTGTACTACGAGTCCCAGTTCTCTATGGATCGTGCCACGAGCCGAAAGAGAGTGCAGTCAATGTGCTCATGGGGCAGCTCTGGGCTGCCCAACAGATTGGAGACGGACAGCCTAAGATCCAAGTCGATGACTATGCACTACGATTTCCTACAAACACGCAAGATGTAGGCAGAGTATGTCGCGACATCGCAAAACTCTACCTAGACCCAGCAAACAGGTAAGTCAACGTGCATGTGCATAATGATGTCGATGCACTCTGCTGTGTAAGCGAGCATGTGCTAATGAATCATCCCTAGAGATCGCGACTTGCCTGGTGTTCTTCAATTCAGCTCTGAGGACCAAATGACGAAATGGAAAATATGCCAGACGTTTGCCGATATCATGGGACTACCGCTTGACAACATGCTGCCCTTCAAGCCGGATGAAGAGCCGAAGGATGGGACGGTCAGGCCATTCGATTGCCATCTTGACACCAGCGCGCTGCAGGAGCTGGGCATCGACGTAGCAACAGTAGACTTCCGCACTTGGTGGTAAGTTCTTTTGTCCTCGCAGTACATGCTATGATGATATTTACTCATTTAATTTTAGGCGGCGAGAGGTCGGCGCCTTTCGTTAAAAGACGAAAAGGTAGGAAACTAGACCCATTTGACATCCAAGGTCTACCACATGTGTCGCAGACACCGCCACAACCGGTGTACCCACTTAGTAAATTTTTATAAGAATCAGATTGGTTGCGCAAGATGTCCGAGCGACCTAAAACTGCGAGTCTTTCCCGGAAATGAGGTTCGTCGCTAAATGTGTGGATGAGACGTTCTCGCTTCATGCGGCGCGGTTGTTCGGCGGTTAGCAACAACTCGCAACGGCCATGCCGTGTCTCCTCAACGAGGCGTTAAGTACTTACAATAGCCTTCCAGTAAATCTGTGTATCATTTCACTTTCGTATCTGTTGCACGACGTTTTCCATCTCATTTTTCTTTTTCTTTTTTCCTTCTACTATCTGTACACCGGTTTTGGATTTTGGTGGATCATTCATTCATCATAATTATGGCTTCTTATCAAGCACAGTCGCATTTTTCGTCGGCGGAGGAGCATGGCAGTAGTCTTGTTAGACCTTGGGCCTCACATCTAGTCCAGCGGAAGCAAGATACCGGTAAGAGACCTTATGCATGAGCAGCTACAACCCCCTTCTGAGAGGAGTAACTAACCTCTCGAAGGCGCCCGTCGGTATTCATGGAAACCCGCTTCATTCCGCCTCGTTACTCTTCTTACTATTACCTTGCTTGCATGGGTTTTGATTGCGATTCTACAGATCCTTCTCGTCCGCAGCCAGCGGGATGGCGGTATTATTCTTATGTCCTCCATCGATGACATACCTTTCGCACAGTCATTCTCATACAAATACTTGCCTACAATCATTGCGCTCGTTTTCAGCATCTTTTGGAGCTGGATCGATCTTCAAGTCAAGAGAGTGGAGCCCTACTATCAACTCAGCAAAATAGCCGGAGTGTGGGGCAAAGACAGCTTGCTCTTGAGCTATCCATTCGACTTCATGCCGTTCGTTCCCTTGAGTGCTTTCAGAAACAGGTCAGTCAGCTTTGAAACCCCAATGCCCCTCAACTCTTCAGATCCAAGCCTTCTTCTTTCTTATCTCAGCAAGTTTTACCAAACACCATGCTGACGCTTCTCGAGGCATTGGGCTGTGTTTTGGGCTGGCACGTCTATGCTGTTCATAACATGGGGTGTTGTCCCATTTCAAGCAGGTATCTTTGCTACCGAAACCATTTTGCGTACCACGCCTGCGGTCTTTTCTCGTTCCCTCGATTTCATTCCTGCTAGCAAACAAAAGGCCACATTAACCAATCGCTATGTCCACTCTAGCCATGGCATAATCTGGCTGAACGAGACTCTTCCGCCATACATGACAAGAGACTATGTACTCGCACCTTTCAAGCTGCAAGAAGCTGAGACCGCTCTTGCAGTCAACCAAACGTGGACCTCAGATACGACACTGTACAGTCTCGACATGAAATGCGAAGTCCCAATGGTCCAGGTTAGAAAGGACGAGTACAATAGGTTCTCATCAGAGTACGTAAGCAGCAACGGCTGCAGTTCCCCTACGGATCTTGCTACAAGTTTCGGCAACGAGACTATTGGGCCTAAGCCGTCCTTGCATGGTCAATCAGTATATGACACTAAGGAGTTTGCGTCGTTATATATCGGGTACTATAGTACTGACACTTCCGACTATTACTTGTCACAGGGAGGCAAGTGCCTATCGAATCACACTTTCATGGTATGTAGCCTTTGGTTCATTTCGGGTCTGGATGAGTTCAATGTACCAGGTAGCTTCCAGTAGGAGCACTAAATACATTTAAACCATTTAGCCTGGTTGCTATCGACAACGAGTCCAATGCTAATAAGCGGCCAGGCACTATACACTCGTAACAAGAATTCGGCCAATGACCCGCCTCAAAACGTAACGAGACTCTATTGTATACCGTTCTATTACCAGCAAGATGTCACTGCTGTTGTTGATGCTTCTACTCAACGTCCTCTCAAAATAGAAGCGAAGAGCGAAAAGGTCCCGCTTCCTGCCGAGACGTGGGATTCGAAGTTTTTTGAGGATCAGATGAACGGTGGTAAGCAAGAGCAGATTCGCGATACACTGCCACTCAAGTATTGGCCCGATCAACTGGAAACGCTTTCCACCGTGCCGCTGAGTTTAGCACCGGAGGGTCTAGCTCTCGTTACCATGGCTGGGCTCGTTGTTGGCGCCTCTCAACGGTCGCTAGCAGACCTCTTGGACCCGGAAGCATTACGGGCTGCGTATGAAACCACTTATCGCATCATATTTGCAAGATCTATGGTCGAGATCTTGGATCAAAAATTCACAAATACGAGAACAGTGAATGGAAGCACAGAGCATATGACCGCAGCGGTTGTGGTCGTTCCCGTGTTCACATACCTTGTGGAGGGTCTCCTAGGGTTTGTATCTCTATGCAGCATCGCCCTTATTGTCATCTCCATTCGACGAAAATGGAGCTTGCACTCGGATCCCGCAACTATAGCCAGTGTTATGGCGCTGGTAGCCGATAATCCGACACTGTTGGGGGACTTCACCAAGCTCGATGGTGCAAATAAAGAACGTTTCGAGGAAAGTCTGAAAGACAAAAAGTTCCAGCTAGAATACAATGAAAGGGGCAACATGTAAGTGAACCCTATCTACAGCGATATAATGCGCTGACGACACGACAGCATTACCGAAGCAGACAGCTTCGACCCGCTCGATCACAATTCCCATGGTATAGTTCGCACCGAGTCTGATGAATCTCAACCCGCAAAGCCAATACGACCGCGCGAATTTCAGTCTCTCATGGTATTGCCTTTCGTCAGTCTGCTGATCGCCCTCGCAATTACTCTCGGTGTGCTATTGCTGAAGAGTCAACCATACGGTAGGCATGTTCAGTCTTCCTCATTCCCGCATACTAATCGCACTATAGGCATTGTCCGACCGTCGAGCAGAGCCATCGTCCGACAACTCATTGAGAATTACATACCCACTGCTATAGCTACCTTCATCGAACCCGTCTGGGTGTTGGTGAACCGCTTGATGTGTATGCTACAGCCGTTCGAAGAGCTCCGTGGAGGCAATGCAACACCACAGAAATCCATTAACGCGGATTATAGCTCTCTACCACCGCAGCTTGTTATCATTAAAGCGCTTCGATCGTCGCATTTTAAGCTTGCTGCTGTTTGTACGATGGCACTCCTGACTAATGTCCTTGCCATTGCCTTCTCTGGAATGTTTGACGAGCGTTCTGTTATATTTCCGTACAGAGTACCACTACAGCCACCATATGAAACCAAGTTTGTGTCGATCAACGGTACAGTCGGACCAGGTATGTTGGAGCAGTCCGGTGCTTTTACTGGAGGCCTAGGCACGAACCAATTCCTCGTTGCTGAATCGAATTATACTGCTGGAACACCACTTCCGGCTTGGACAGGCAATCAACTCTTTTTTGTTCCTTTCGCAGATAAGGAGCTTTTGAAGTTAAAGGAAGATGAAAGATTGGAAGCGCGCACAACGGCTGTTGGCGCAGAACTGGACTGCCAGCAAATCGACCCGCGGAATTTGACAGCCAGTTGGTATCGAGACTCACACAATAGTGGCTCTACCTCGGATGTCTCGGTGACAATAGATGGTGTAGCCTGCGAAAAAAAAGACATTCGAACAGAAGACGGACCGGAAGGTGTTAACGGGGGACTCAATCCATATTGCGAGGACGGTAGGACTAGTATGGAGTTGGTATTGCTCCCTCAGGCTCGCCAGAATGCTTCGTTGGCCGAGCAGGACTTTTGCGCTCGGTTGGCTGTGTTTGGTTATGTCCGAGATGCTAACATCTGTCGGCGAAATACGACGACGTTCGATCAGTCCAATGCGTTATTCGTCGGATGTCGCACGAAAATTGTCGCCGGCGAGGCCACTGTGCTCGTTGGTAACGATGGGCGGGTGCACAAGGTATCCCAGCTGGACACATCATCAGACCTCTCCTCAACTTTCACGGAACGACATTTTAGCAACAATGCATCAAACCTTTTGCGACAAGGGAACACTTTTCTTCTCCGATACCCTGGAGCGAGATGGCACAACCAGTCATTCGCCAGTGAGTTTATGAATTACTTCATGTTCAAGCAAGCGAACAACAGTCGACTCATAGACCCGAACCTACCTCTTCCGAGCCTGGAAGAAGTGACACGACAACTGTATCCCGTCTACAGTAAGCTTTTCGCAATATGGCTTGGCATAAACAGAGACAAGCTACTTGTCCCTCGAAATAACGGCTCGTCTTTCACAATAGAGGGGTGGATACATGAACGTCAGACTCGCATTTTTCTCTCTATGCCACTGTTCATTATTGCAGAAGCAATTTTAGGCATATACACCATCGTAGCAGTGTGCATATACCTTTGGCGACCGGGCCGCTTCCTACCGCGCATGCCAACGTCTATCGGCGCGATCATTGCATTATTCGCTGCGAGTCAAGCCGTGTGTGATATGCATGGGACTAGTTTGCTGACAAGGAAGGAGAGGAAAAGGCACGTGGAAGGCTTGGGGACAAGGTATGGGTATGGGACGTTCGTGGGCGTTGATGGGAGGTTGCATCAGGGTATCGAAAAAGAGCCACTTGTGAATGCCGTGCCGGTGCTAGGCATAGTTGAGAAGGTGCAAACTGGGTTTTCGCAGAAGAGTTTGGTGTTTAAGCGAAGTCGTAATTGAGATGGGTATAGTTGTTCAAGGCCGTTTTACCTGAACAGCTTCAGCATCATTTTCACGAGAATGGACTACATTTCGCGTCCAATAGATCTGGACTTCTAGGATTAAAGCTTAGGTAAAAAAAACGGTAGTAACGTCATCAACCACAAAGCTTGGAAAGGTGCTCGCCATACCGCTAGATGCCAATCAAAGGTGAAGTCACATGGTAAGGACATTCCTATATCACCTCAAGAGCACGATCTGGGCTATGAGAGGAGCTCTCGACCATGCAGCTAGCGAAAACGAACAATTTTACGGTAGCCCATTGACTTGGAGCATATACGCTTTGGGCTGTCTGAAGCCAAGCCACAGACAAGGATCGAATGTCAGCGGGACGGGCGGGTGGTAGTGGCTGTATAGAGGTCACCTATTTTAAAACTAGGTGCCCGAATTTACGGTTTATTCCGTATCAAGGCTCTATGTCGCTAATTGAGTGGATGAGAGTCTTTAGTGCGGCGCAGCAGCGTCTACATCGATTCTGGGGCGCTTAATGCACTGCAGCAACATCAAAACGTTGAACAGCGCCCACTCAAGCTCTCACTATCGTTCTCGTTCTGCCAAAGCTCATCTATTTTCCTACCCTGCCCGATTTTTCTACTTTTTTCGTTCGCGTCTCACAATGTTTTCCAATGGGCCGACAGCGAAACACCAACTTTGGACGCCTCCCGCGCTACGCGTACCTGTGCTCGTTATTACAGTGCTTATGTGCTGGGCCCTCATCGCTATACTTCAGTATCTACTAATTAGAAGTCAACGAGATAGCGGGATTATGTTCGCACCAAAGATCAACGACCTTCCACTAAGAAAGACCTTCTTCTATCAACATTTTCCAACCATCGTCTCTGTCGTTTTCAGTATATACTGGGCATGGATCGATCTAGAGACAAAACGAATGGAACCATATTATCAACTCAGTAAGAAAAATGGCGCGCTTGGCAAGGATTCTCTGCTTTTGCACTACCCGTTCGACTTTCTTCCTTTGGTGCCACTCAAAGCTTGCAAAGATCGGTAAGTGATTCCAAGCAGTCCAAAGATGGCAGGATATTCAAGAGCTTTTGCAATTTCCCCATTGTATTTTGAAAAAACTCTGCAATCCCAACTCAAGCTTCAATAGCCCGCATCCCGGTACTGACTAAAATAAGCCATTGGCCCGTATTCTGTGCTTCGTTTGCCGTCCTTCTTGTCACCTGGGGCCTGGTACCCACACAAGCTGGTATTTTTTCCGTCCAGACAATCACGCGGACTACGAATGCGACATTTTCAGTTTCTACATCCAACATGCCAGTCGCAGAACAAGCATCAAGGCTATCATTCCGATATGCGCAGTCTACGTATGGTATCGTGACTCTGAACGAAACTCTTCCACCGTTTATGGCCCGCAACTACACGCTAGCACCATTCAAAATAACCAATGATTCCAGTCAAACAGCACAAGGGTATGGAAATTGGACCGCGGAGACGACCATGTATTTCCTAGAACTATACTGCGAAAACGTATCGCATCAGGCCAGCAGTTCCAACGCATCACCTATCTACTTGAGCAGCAACGGCTGCAATTTTACTGCGGGGCTTACCGGAAATCTGACCGTAGGCGAAGGAAGCGACGACGGCCAGGCTCTCGCAATCAGACAATACACAGGACAATATATAGGGTACTGGAATCCCCAGGGGTTCGCCGACTATTCGTTGGACAAATCCTGCCCGAAGACTGCAAATCAAACATTCTTCGCTGCATTTTCGAAAAGCAAGGTACGTACTATGTAAATTTGCTCTCCTTAAGGCTCCAACATAAAGAAGGTTACAGAAAAAAAATGTGTTTAGATCATAGAACGATGTCTAATTTACTATGGTGGTCAATGCGGAATGCATAACTTCTTTGAGGCTCTGAACGCTGTTTAACATCAACACTAGAACAAGGAAGAAGACACACCACAAGATGTAGCTGCCATATACTGTACTCCATTTTATTATCAGCAATCTGTCTCTGCAACTGTTGACATACTCAATCAAAGACCGCTGAATATCCGGTCCGTGGGCGAGAAGCATCGACTCGCAATGGATATATTTAACATTACAATATTCGAGGAACTTCTGAACACGCGTTCTCTGGGTTCTGGGGTTCGCGGCGATATCCTTCCTGCCACATCAATGCCGAGATATCTGGAGTCACTTGCCAATTTAAACGTCAGCTTGACTGGTGGAACGGGCAGCATCAACCAGGCTCCGGTAGGTTTAGCCCTTGGCGTTGGCAACCGACCCCTAGAAGAATACCTCGACTGGAAAGTTCTCAGCAAATCGTACGCGGACGCTTATCGACTTATATTCGCCCGTGCTATGGTGGATGTCCTCGGCAACGACTTTCGGTCTTCGAAAGCCGCTATTGGAAAACGTCAAATAAGAACAGAGGCGGTAGTGCTGCAGCCACTATTTACTTACATTGTAGAGGGTCTACTGGGAATCGTATCGCTAGCTACACTTGCGTTACTCTGTTTATCGCTCTCTCAAAAACGAAACCTGCATACAGATCCTAATACTATAGCGAGCGTTATGGCCATCACAGCAGATAACCAGCCGCTACTCTCAGGTTTCGCGGAGTTGGATTGCTGTACTGTGGATGAAATGCAAAGCATGGTAGGCAACAAGCGATACAAGCTTGTTAATTATGGGCATAAGACAGGGTACGTTTCGTCAAACCTTGAGATGTATTGCCAGCCTTGCTAACACCAGCGATCAGTATAGTCGAGGTTGGCCTTACAACCAAAACTCTCTCGAAGAATCAATCATCGACACCCTTCGAGCTGCGACGGAAAACTCCAACAGCAATTGCGAAACCTGTCCGACCAGTCGAATTTAGCCTTTGGGTGGCTTTCCCGCTTGTCAACCTGTTCATCGTTCTCGCCGTGGCGCTTGGAGTGATCTACATGAAAGCACGCGTCAATGGTATGCCAAAGCCTGATTGTGCCCCCAATCAGATGTCCACTTGGGGTAAAAGCTTACCTAGGATAGGACTTCCTCTACCTTCGTCAAACAAAATCGTTCAGAATCTACTCGAAAACTATATTCCGACTGCCATTGCTACAATGATTGAACCGGTATGGGTCTTACTCAACCGACTGCTTTGCATGCTGCAGCCCTTAGAGGAATTACGACACTGCAACGCAAAGGCGAAAGAGTCTATTAATCTTAACTATAGCTCTCTTCCACCTCAACTAGTTATTTTCAAGGCCATAAAGTCTAGCCACTTCATACTTGCAGCTGTATGTGGAATGGCGTTGCTATCGAATTTACTCGCCGTTGCATTTGCGGGTCTCTTCAATCAAGCCATGATTGATATGCGACGTCCGACAAAACTCTATTCGCCATATGATCTCAAGTTCGCAGCTATCGACGGTACCATCGGCCCAGTGGATGGCCAAGATTTCGGCTCGCGCAATTTCTCTGGGGCATACCAGGGTGGTGACGGAGAGGATCAGTTTCTTGTCGCCGAATCGAACTACACAAGAGGTACGCCATTACCCGCTTGGACGGACGATACAATGTTCTACCTCCCGTTATTCGCAGAAGGCGGCAGAAATAGTATCAGCAACGTAAACACTAGTCACTACGAGGCCTTGACCCCGGCGTTCGGCGCTGAACTAGATTGCACTGAGCTCACTCTTGGTGGAGCTAACTTCGAGGCGGCATTGAAAGTGGAATATTCAGGATCCACGCCATCAAACAGGGCATTCATAAACATCACGATACCCAAGGACTCTGGCGACGTTCACTGTTCCAGCCCTAGCTTTAGCGTTGGATCCGGCCCGATAGACTGCGTGAATAGCCCAGCCTCACTAGAGTTTACCACGAAATTAAACCCGCGCGTGAACGCAACACGAGAAGAGACAGAAGCTTGCATGCGTCCAATAATCCTGGGATGGGTGCGCCATCCGCAAGGCTCCTGCCCGTTTGGCAAAGAAGTACAGCTGACCAAAGAGAATTCGCTATTCATTCAATGTCAGCCGAGATGGGTGGTAGGGACTGCGAAGATTCGTGTTGATGGGTCTGGACGGTTACAGCACAGGGCGAGGGATAAGGTATTCCGAAAATCAAAAAGTAAGTGGCATCCACTACCTTGCCATGCGGCTAGTTAGCTTCTTACACGCTGCTTCCCCCAATCAGTTTCGTCAGGTGCTAACTTGTATGCGTGTAAGGCGATGATGACAGCGAAATGCAACAACTATTCAGTAACGATGCCGTCAATCTCATGGGCCAATCTAGTCGGTATCTGATCAAGCTTAATCAACCAGCGTAATACACTTTGACCTTCAAGTCCTAGCAAGTGCTGATAAAACTTTAGGTGGCATGGTGACTCCTTCACCAGCGACTTTATCAACTACTTCATCAAGTGTGCCAGCAACAGCAGCCGGCTCATCGACCCAATACAGCACGTCCCAACATTCAACGATGTTCTAGGTCCTCTTAACAAGGCTTATGCGGGTCTCTTCGCAATCTGGCTAAGCACCAATAAAGAAAAACTATTAGTACACCGCGAGACGGAGCATATTGGTTCCATTGAGGCTTGGAGAATTGAGCCGGAGACACGTTTGTTTCTTTCGACGCCCATGTTCGTTATTTCCGAAGTGATTCTCTGTACTTACGCTATGGTTGCGATTATGGTGTACATGCGCCGGCCTGGCCAGTATCTGGCACGCCTACCAACGTCTGTCGCGTCTTCCATCGCCCTGTTTGCCGCCAGCAGTGCGGTCCAAGATATGAGGGACACTTCGCACCTCAACAAGAAAGGTCGGGCACGACATTTAGAAGATCTGGATTCACGCTATGGATATGGGAGTTTCGTTGGTGGAGATGGGCGGTTGCATATTGGCATTGAAAAGACTCCGTTCGTGACACTCAGATCGACGACTACTTGGCTGGAGAAGAGGGTTCCCCTATTTCGCAAAGCGTCCGCGGGGCGTTGACCGAAACGTGTGGCATCTAGCCTACACTTTATGACTAGAAAAGTGGATAGACAGCGAACATATATTCCAATGAGGTCGTCTCGCATCGCTTGGGATATTGGCGAATGCTTCACTCGCATTTGGATGGAATTGGTCGCCTAAGTTTAAAAATCGATGGCGTAAGGAGGTCCTTTCAGTTTGCATAATATAGACACAATGTTGTTGTGAAGCGCAAGCGAGAATCTTGTCGAAAAACCTATTTATGACGTACTGGTCTTGAGAGGTCCCCAGTCCCTGTGCCTGAGTGGATGATGTAAGAGATGAACAGTGGCCACTGGCGCCCACAGATACTGATCAAACAGTGAGATGTCTGATTTGCTTGGCCTGAAATGTCACCAAGAGGCATCGACCGTATTGAAGCAAATTACTTACTGATCATATTCTACTTGTCAAAAGAGCCTCATTTGGTCCATTTGAATGTCATATACTAACCGTCGAACTGGATGTGCAGGAAATGAACCGTGACACACCGGCCAGGAACGTGCGAAAGACTGACAGCTTTGAGAGCGTTACAGGGAATCGTCACGTATGTCCCTCTCTATAACACCAAGCCACGGGAAGGAGGTTGAAGTTGTAGTGGGCGTAGAACGGGGGGTGATGGAATGAGTTGAGACGAAGTAGCATTTACAGGGGTGTGAGAAAGCACCCATGTGGAAGTAGGAGCGACTCGTGGCGGGGACCATGGCTTTCCCAAGAGCTTTGCTGATACGAAAGGTGACTTTTGACAAGAGTGTGGTGGAAATGAAAATTGTCTCGTTATGTGGCGTGTCTACTGTCAAAGCCTGAAGACACTGAAGCCAGCCGTTGCACGAGCCATTGATCATCGCCGGATTTGCGAAAACTCTGGAGCTTCGAGCTTGAAGGGAGGGGACCTTCCATGAGACATGGGTGAATGACATCTTCTGCTCTTGCATGTTTCGCTCAACAGTGTTACATCCGCCTAATAGGGTCTCCATGGTCTTGACAATTATCCACCGAACGTGGTGTTTTGGCAAGTACAGTATTTTCGGTTCCACAAAGCCATTCGAGCTGGGATGCAATAGGTAGCAAGATGTCAACGTTTCGTTTCGCGCTGGGGGTCTTTGCATAGTGCAGCTGGTGGAGGGTTGGCGAATAGTGGGTTTACGGGATGCGAAACCAGGCTTCCAAGCCTCGTCATCCCCACGGATTAGCTTTGAGGATAACGGATCGCCCGGCGTTGCTGACTGCTCCATCAGACAATCACCCCCGAGCTGTTTAGGTTTAAGTAATTTGTTGAAACAAGCTGATGGTGATCAGAGGCCAATCACTCGCCAGAGGTGATGCTTTTGATGGCGACGGCGCTTTGCCATCACCAAGCTGATCATGACGATCGGCTGGAAGCGACCCACAGCGAGAGCCGCCAGGTACGAGGACCTCGCACGACACCACCACACGGCCTCCTGGTGCATGGATGTGCCGGTATTAGTACGACCCAACTAACTCGTCCTGCCACGATGCGGCGCAGTTATCCGAGGCCAGCGGAACAGGGGCACACGATATGGAGCTCATATCAGCTTTCCCAGCATAACATAGGACGCAGAAACGAGCACACAGCCCTGGTGTGTGTTTGACGCAACATATTCGACGGTTAAAAGAGGGCCGCCCAAAAATACAGCCCCCTGCGCATGACGAGCGATGCCTAAGTTGGACGACGCATGAAGTTCAGACGGCGACCATGCAACTGGCCACGGCAATGCCTGCAATCAAAACCGTCTCATGACTCTGTCTGGCCAGCTACAGGTCAGACTCCAGCAGGCTGGCTTGCGTCACAAATACGGCGGTAACTAGGGCTGCGTTACCATCAGGAACGTCGTGAGAGGGCGGATTGGTTTGTCGTGGATAAGCAAAGAGGGCGACACGAGTGTGCGTAGAGATGGCCAACACAGCGAATGGGAGTCTCCGCAGCTACTCACGCGAAGCAAGCTGGCCGTTTCGACTACAGCACAGGAGATCGCCACTCCACAGCATGCCTAGTTTTCCGAGCTTTACGGTTATCGATAGGCCGGGATTTGGTTTGCCCCTGCATAACTCACAGGCCTCAGCGCAGACCTCAAACCTGCCCTCGCGCCCCCTGTACAGAGGCTTCCCTCCATCGAGGCCGTCTCCGCTCTTTTGTTTCAGAAACAATTATCATCCGAATGTCCCAAGGCCAATCACCAACCATTGGGACCTGCCGAGAGGTCTGATCGCTTGCTGCTACACCACTCATCCCGTACTCCCTCCCCTGCCGCTAAACCAGGACAGGTATTGGAGCCGGAGAGGTCCATCTATCGTTGCATGAGAGACTTACCCTGTCGAATAGCCTATGCTTCTCGACGATGATCCGCCAGGCACTGGCTCCTGGTCCCTGACATCGCTGTACGAGTCCCTCCAGACCGCCACAGAATAGGGAGGTGGGCAAAAATGGGCATCCTATATAACCCAAGTCTGTTCCGCCTTGTGTTCCCTCCTCACCGCACGCACACCACCACAGTTCCTGTTGACTTGTCTCTATTTATTCTTGCATTATCAATATCTTGCCTGCGGCAGATATCACACTCCTTTCGATTGCTGTGCGTTATCAAAGAGCTAGACTCACTGATCCCACCGTCGCATCCACGTCAACTTCTCTGATCCAGCCAACTTCGGATAGCACCAGCTGCCACAATCGTTCATCGCTGAGCAGGTCTAGCGATTTCAACATAAAAAGATACCCGTCTTTCGCAACACTCTTTCAACCGTCAACATGCTTTTCTCCCAAGCCTCCATCCATTTGGCGCTCGCCGCCAGTGCTACCGCGCACATGCTCCTTAGCCACCCCGTTCCCTTTCACCAAGTCGCCCCCGACAACGGTCCAATAGATCCATTCACTCCTGGTGACTTTCCATGCAGACAGCACGGGACGTACAGGGTGGACAACATGACCCAGTGGAACGCTGGGGAGACATATACCGTCGACTTCTTAGGCTCTGCTGTCCACGCTGGTGGATCGTGCCAGTTCTCCATCACGACAGACACTGAGCCGTCTGAGAAATCGCAATGGAAGGTCATTCAGAGCGTTATCGGTGGCTGCCCAGCTAACGCCAAGGGAAACCTGGAGGGTGGCGCAGACGCTCGCGTGGCCGATAAATTCCCTGTTACTATGCCTAGCAATATTCCCGATGGCCAGTACACGTTCGCCTGGACTTGGCTTAACAAAAAGGGCGCCCGTGAGTTCTACATGAACTGTGCCCCTATCAAGGTCGGCAGCGGATCTGGTAACGCCTCTACTGCAAGTGCTGCATCGGCTCTATCTGCTCTCCCAGACATGTTCGTCGCCAATCTGGCTACCTCTAAGTGCACAACCGTTGCAGAAGAGGACTTCGTCTACCCCGATCCTGGCCAGAACGTCGTCACAGGAAAGAACGCCACCCCTGGACCTGGCGGCGCTGGTTGTGCCAAGTCTGAATCTAAGCCCCCTTCGTACTCTGGGGGCATCTTCGCTCCAGGCGCCTCATCCGCCCCGGCCGCTGGACCTACTGTGCAACCAAGCCCCCCCGCTGCGGAACCCGTTCCCACTGCACAACCAAGCCCTCCCGCTGCTGAGCCTGTTCCTAGTGCGCAGCCCAGCCCTCCTGCTGTTGAGCCCGTTCCCAGTGCGCAGCCCAGCCCTCCCGCTGCGGAGCCCGTTGCTTCAGTGGCACCATCGCAGCCCAGCGGCGCGCCTAGCTGCGGTACTCCCAAATCACCCAACAGCAGCAACGACACCAACACTCCCACTACACCTGTTGCCGCTGGCGAATGCAGTCCTTGCACCAACGACGGCGCTGTTGTCTGCATCGGCACCAATCAGTTCGGTCTCTGCAACCGTGGTTGTGCCGTTCCTCAGAACCTTGCGGCCGGCATGGCCTGCTCGAATGGTGTCGTCGTTGCTGCGGCCAAGCGATCCATCAACTTCCCTCGCGCTCACCTTCACCGCCGTCACGGCTCTTCTCGCTTCATCTAAGTGCGATGTCTCCTATCGTACTTGGTCGAGAAGATTTTTACATACCCTGACAGCCGTGTCGGCTACGAAACGCATCGCTTGGAGTTGGGGAAAGGGATTGGATTGTGCTTTGGATTTCCTTGTTTATATACCTCGTCTCGTTTGGCATGGACACCACCTGGGCCCGGCTCGGGATTTATGCTTTGTGAATCACATTCTTTCGTTCATGATTGGGCCTTGACTGGTTCAACATGCCCTGTTGTTTTAGAAGAGAAGAAACTGTGGCAGTCTCGTGCCTTGAGCGGAGCACTGCTCTGTATCCAATGTACAAAAAAAAATGAAAACACCATTCGTTTAGTGAACAAACTACTCCATTCGAACGTTTGTGATGTCCCAATTCTCTTGATAATACTTGCCTGATAAATTATGGGATGTTGGGACGAATATCAACGAATAGGTGAAGAGTTTAACTTAGACAGGCCGACTGAAGATGGCTCCTAGGTAGCTTCCCGTGTAGCTTTGTGGACGATAAGAGTGAGGCGCCAGCTGCGTAGGTAGAGGAACGACTAAACGACGACATCGAGGGTGGCGCCATGACATGCACAAGAACAACGTGTGTCTAAGAAGTGTCTTGGAGTAGCACGAGTGCGAGCCATTACAAGCAAGACATTATTCGCCATTCACCGGTTATGACGTTGTTTGGTTTCTGATTGGGTAACCACCAGGGAACAGCCAAGACGACCGTCTTCCCCTCCAGAATTCCCACTTTCAGCCTTGACCTCCCATTGCCAGCGCACACCGAGCACGCGACGACACAAACGACACTTCTCCTCACGAGCATACGAATTTATTTATTTCGTGCTGTTGAAAGTCTCGAACGTGCCTCGGCCTTCGTTTCATACGCCGCCGCCACTCGAGCCTGGAGGTCATTGCGCTCTCGCCCCACTCACTGCCTCTCGTTGCCTTCTCCTCCACCTTCCTCCCGCGTCTACAGCTCCCGGCCTACTGCATAGTCGCCCAATATGGAGAACAACAAGCAAGATATCGATCAGTCACAGTACATTGACAATGCCATCCGCGCGGTCAGGGAGAAGAAGCCGCGCCCCGAGATTGACTTCACCCTGCATACGATGGAGGACAACACACAAGTGAATACCACGGAGCGCGTCTGCAAAGGTATGTTCGACCCCCAACCCCTGGAAGTGCCCTGTAGCTATTCCACTACTCTCGCGACTTGACATCGTCAGCAGAACTCAGCTGACCCCGCTATGACTGCCAGACGTTCAGGCGCCAGCCACCCATCCGCCCACAGACGAGCAATTCTTCTCCCCACAAGACCGGACAAAGCCCAACATCCAGTTCCTCAAGCAGCATTTCTACCGCGAAGGTCGCTTGACCGAGCAGCAGGCGCTATGGATCCTAAAGAAGGGCACAGAAATACTAAAGTCGGAGCCCAACATGCTGGAGATGGACGCACCAATTACCGTGTGTGGCGATGTTCATGGGCAATACTACGACCTCATGAAGCTGTTTGAAGTCGGTGGCGACCCGGCGGAGACACGCTATCTGTTCTTGGGCGACTACGTCGATCGGGGCTACTTCAGTATAGAGGTAAAACGCTTTTGGGGCTCCTAGGTCGTATATACTAACTTAGCCAGTGCGTACTGTACCTGTGGTCCCTGAAGATCTGGTACCCGAACACCCTCTGGCTACTTCGAGGGAACCACGAGTGCCGACATTTGACCGACTATTTCACTTTCAAGCTTGAGTGCAAGCACAAATACTCCGAAGCGATATATGAAGCCTGCATGGATTCATTCTGCGCGTTACCTCTGGCTGCGGTCATGAACAAGCAGTTCTTGTGTATACACGGTGGACTGAGCCCTGAACTTCACACGTTGGACGACCTGAAGAGCGTATGTAGGAACAGGCGAGCTTGTGAGCCCGTTGCTGACCAATACAGATTGACCGCTTCCGAGAGCCTCCTACACACGGCCTCATGTGCGACATTCTCTGGGCCGACCCACTGGAGGAGTTTGGACAGGAGAAGACGAACGATTTCTTCATACATAACCACGTCCGTGGATGCTCCTACTTCTTCTCGTATCCTGCCGCGTGCGCTTTCCTCGAAAAGAACAATCTGCTCTCTATCATTCGTGCCCACGAAGCCCAAGACGCCGGTTACAGAATGTACAGGAAGACACGGACGACCGGGTTCCCTAGCGTGATGACCATCTTCAGCGCACCGAACTACCTCGATGTATACAACAACAAGGCTGCTGTTCTCAAGTACGAGAACAATGTCATGAACATACGACAGTTCAGTAAGCTTACTTAGTGTGGCACATATGCACAAGCTGACTCTCGTAGACTGCACACCGCATCCCTATTGGCTGCCTAACTTCATGGATGTCTTTACATGGTCATTACCGTTCGTCGGTGAAAAGAGTATGTGAACACGAACCTGAATTGAACAGAACACTAATTCCAATCAGTCACCGACATGCTTATTGCCATCTTGAACACCTGCTCGAAGGAGGAGCTCGAGGAAGAGACACCCAGCTCATTGGCATCTGGACCGTCATCGCCACCTCTCTCTAGCTTGGACCCGGATTCGACCGAGTTCAAGCGACGCGCAATCAAGAACAAGATCTTGGCCATCGGCCGACTTTCTCGCGTATTCCAAGTGCTGCGTGAGGAGTCTGAGCGCGTTACTGAACTGAAGACAGCATCAGGAGGTCGACTCCCTGCGGGCACGCTCATGCTCGGCGCAGAAGGAATCAAGCAAGCGATTCACAGCTTTGAGGACGCACGTAAGGTCGACCTCCAAAACGAGAGGCTCCCACCGAGTCATGAAGAAGTACGAAAATCTCAGGAGGTCAGCCGAGAGCAGGCTCTCGAGAAGGCCACCAAGGAGGCAGATAATGACCAAGGACTCGCTACCGTCGCCAGGCGCATCAGCATGTAAGTTGCAATTAGCTCTGCCTTCTGTTGCAGTGACTGACATGTACAGGTCTTCTGGATCCGGGCGTAGCAGAAGGAGCTAGGTGCCATTCAGGCGCCCGCGATCCGATGGTGGAGGCGAAATGCAAGCCCAATAGCTAAAGGATGTAGAGGCTTTTGATTTATGTATTGGCGGGCCATCGATCTCATCAGTGTACCACACAGGCCGAATAACGCGGACGGTAATAGTTTGCTAGCCAAGTGCGCTGGCTTTCAAGGAGCCGAGGTCTCATAGCAATCAAGCTCCATTTCTAACGTGCCATTGACCTTTATTCTTTTCGAGTGCGATACGCTTTGTTAGTTTTGTTGCTCTTGTCGTTGAAAATCCGCCTTAGCGCTTACGGCGTTCACAGTTCATATCGTGCAGGTACCGGGCCCAAATGTTACTTTCTCTGGGGGGCTTCTTACGGGCATACAAGGATCGGCCAGAATACCTTTTGCGCCTCGTTGCGCGTGGCAGAGCACACTTGCATAAGCCAGAGGAGGGTTGTCTCTCCAGTTGAGTGGGCCTTTGGGAACCGGTACGCTCGGAAACGGAAAACGTAGTGAGTTATAATGCTGTCTAACGGAACTCTATAGCTCTAGTGAGATCAGCGTATGTAGGTTAAGCATCTAAGAGACGATATACTTTATAGCTGTTGCGCACGTGCCCAGACCGAAGCTAGCTTTGCCGGCCTACGTCAACTTGGACATTTCAGATGTCGACAGCAATGCTCATCTTCAAGCCCGATGCCTCCATGGGCGGCCTCTGTGCCGCGAATGACTTTCCTTCGCACAGGACGAGCAATTGATTCATTGCGGCTCGCTTTTCTCTGTCGCCATGCCACCAAACCGCGCTTCGCGAACCTCCGCGCCCGCTCCGCATCGACACACGTCTCGCCGACAGCAATAAATCTGCGCCCGAATATCCCGCCACAGAACAAGGAGCTACACGATACCCTCTCCGCCTTGAGTGGAGCTGCAGAGACTTATGTCAACATAAGTAGACTGCAACTGGCGCTCCAAGGGTTGGCTGCGCAAGATGCTGTCACGAGGGTTGCTGGTATGGTCTTTGCGTAATTGTCTGGGAACAAGTACAAAAAAGCTGACTGTGGGGTACAGTGCTCGGCCTAGATAGCCAAGTAAGCGCTCAGCGATTGGCCCGACTGCTGCTCGCGGATCCTTTGGGTGCTGAAGAGCAATGGGAGAAGGAATTGGAGAAGGCAGGCGATGGGAACGAGAGAGCTGTGCTGCTAAAGTGAGCACAAATCAGTGGTTTGTGGCAGTGAGCAACTGCTAACAACTCATCAGGTATGGAGACGAATCCGACGCGCTCGCGCCGACACCGCTTTACAAAGTTCTTTCCATACCCTCACGAGTCCTGCGGTCACACAACCTCGAGATATTGGTCTCGACGCTGAACGTCAACGTTTCGAACAAGGTCGCTTCAGCCTCGACCGAGAGCTCAACCGAGTCTATCCTAGTCCCAAAACTTCAGGCTACTTCTGCCCGAGGACTGCCTGTGCCCTACCCAGTGCATAAGACATTGATAGTAGGCGAAGGGCTGGATAGTGCGATATTATTCGGCAGATTTTCATCGGATACCGCTGAGGAGGTCGGGAATATGGTCAAGGTGGCTGTAGAACTCCCAGCGCCACAAGAAGAGCCAAACCCAGAGGTGCAGACTGGAAGCGTAGCGATCAACGTCCAAGTCGGCATCCAAGCACTCGCGAGTTTCCGCGAGTCGATCCAAAACTCTGTCGCGTACGAGCGAGGCTGGTTCCGAAGCGGCCTCCCAGCACTCTCGCATTGGCTCACCCAAGATCTCCAACCCTCAGAATCTGTCAAACCTACTTTGAAGACGCTGGTAGCATCAATCGCTGACGAGGTCGAAGCCGACATCGCACAAGCCGACTCAGCACAGCTACAGAAGCTCGCCTCAATACCCACCAACCACGAAGTTGCAGCATCGATAGTCGGCCATCTCGAGTCCTGGGCCGAGAAATCGCACACCGAGCTTCGTGATCAGCTCGACGAAGCTTTCTCAGCTCAGAATTGGCATAAACTAAGTTGGTGGAAGCTCTTCTGGCGCGTCGACGACATCACAATGATCAGCTCCGAAATCTTAGAGCGGCGGTGGCTCGTCAGCGCAGAGAAATCGAGCATCTACTTGGCAGGCCGAATGAACCAAGTCGGTTTCCCCGAGGACATCCAAAGGCATGCTGTCAACGAGATCCCTGAAGTAACGATGCAGGACACAGCACCCACAGCAGAAAATCCACGCACGGATCTGAGCACCGAAGTGCGAAAACCGCAGCCCTGGCCCGAACACATTGCGACCGCTCGCACGGAACTCATCGCTGACACCGTTCCACCCCTACAAGCCCTCGCGCAACGCCTCATCCTCCAAACTTTTAGCACAACGTCACTATCCTCCGCTCTATCAGCTCTCCTCTACGTCTCCGTATCCTCAATCTCGCTGTTCGAAGCATCTGCCGTTGCCGCACTAGGCTTGACTTTCTCGCTTAGGAAAATGCAGAAGCTATGGGAGGGCGCGAGGGAAAGTTGGCAGGGCACAGTACGAGAAGAGGGGAGAAGAACGCTAAAGAGTACGGAAGAGCTTGTGCGACGAATCATAAGCAGTCAAGGGAAAGAGACATTGATTGAAGCTGAGGGCGCGGCAGAGAGGAGGGACGCGAGGGAAGCTGTGCAGAAGGTTAGGGATGCGCTTGATAGGATCGGCAAGCAGAAGTTGGACGCGAGGGAGCATGTAAGATAAATCTGTATGTTCACTGCTGTATGCTAGCAACTGTCTCTGTTTTCGAGTGAGCTTCGTATATCGTGAGATGTTTGAATACTCATGGATACACTGTTCCAACATTTCTTCTTGCCCACGCGTACATGCTATAGAACTTTACAGACGGGCGATGAGTGTAGCGAGAAAGTGTTAGGTTGAGTTGTACTGTAATGAGACGCTGCAATGTAAGCACTGCACTGCACCTAAAAATGGCTGCCGTGCGTGCCGTGAGCAGTGCTCATCGTGTTACTGTGCTCTTTACTGTTTCATTACACGCTTATACAATCCTGAACGTCTGAACTTGAGAGTACATCATCCAGTCGATTGTCCCATGGCCAGAAAGCTCATCCGAAACTCGCGCAATTCCGATACGTTCCCACGCGGGCTCTCCTTCAATATACGTATACTCGCCCGCTCTGGATTTCCGCCGCAACACTAGTGCTACGTCCGGATGTACCAAGAGGAGCATCACCTCTGTCCCTTCGCATATCTCCGCTGGACCTGGTTGACTGAAATGGTAGTCGGCAAAAATGTTCACGTAGATGTTTGCGTCGTGTGCATCACCGTGCTCTATCTCTACGCGATAGTGCACACGGTACTGGTCGATCCAGTCCATGCGGTCATGGTCCGGCCGGAGTGCTCCTGTGCTTAAGTAGTAGAACGGGTTTTGGAGGGTTGCTGGTACTGCAGATGCCTCGAGGGTGAGCACACCGGATTCCACGGAGCCATATGGGTTCTTACCGGGTACTCTGACGTTGTACTCTAGTTTAGTCCTGTTTAGAAGCAGAGGCGTAGTAATGTTGACTCTGTCAGAAGCCAGCTCTCTCAAGAAGCGCGGAACGGTATCGCGGTAGTTGGTAATGTCTGACCAGTACTGCACCGGCGCAATAGCAGATACCCATGACCATGAAGGACCGCAATACTCTTCTGGCCTGGGTGATCTGACCATCCATAAGACGTGCACGTCGATGCGCCACATGAGATCGAAACACAGAGAGTCTGACCATAGACCAGCGAGGTAGTCGTGTCGAAAATGTTGCATACGTTCAGAGATACCTGAGAAAGCGGGCAGCCGATCCGTGGGCCGCGTTAGGTTCAGAGCTGAGTATTGCTCGACGAGACGATGATAGTAAGACACAAAGTCGGGGTTATTTTCTTCTTTGAACTCTACAGATGGGGGCTGTTGATAGCTTTCTATATTGATCGTTACCGGACGGGTGGTCGTGGTGGTAGATGATGCAGTGGATTGTGGTGACGATACAGGCCCGAACCAGCTGTTTCGGAACTTTGATGAGGGAGATTTTGCCTTAATGCGGCTCCACAAAATTGGCAACCTCTTCATGGCTGTAGAATGCTCAAGCCCTATCTGCTGTTCATCAAACCCTTTGATGAGATTATAGAATACTGCTCCCGGACTGCTGTCCTGGTCCAACGTTCCACATTCGCAAGCAGTGACTTCACGACACTCCCATATTAGCTCTGTGCCGCTTAAATGAAGTATACGAGGAGACAACAGTCGTTCCTGCAGCACCCAACCTCTTGACAACAGTGGGAATTGCTTTTCGTCGTTTGCGGTCTTTCTGTTCCAATGGCGCACGCGTTCCCTGACACCGATCCGATATCCTGCTACGCCTCCTTGGAGAATGATCTCGGTATGTTTCGCTATGCGGGGATTCCTAGAGTAAGTGCCCTGTGAACTGGCTGAAGATGTCGTTGCAGCCAAAGTCAAAATGGCGTGTTGGTAGATGTCAGCCATCTTTGATGACTCGACCTCCCAATCTTTCTGATTATCTTGAAGAATACACAAGGAATCTATCCAAATGAAGCCTATGTTTAGTCTCATCGCAAGCCTGATAGCGTCTTTGAAGGTGTCTGGTATATGGAGCCAGAGTATGGATTTCTTATGACTTTGGAGTGTTTTTGCTGTTGCTAGAAGTCGCTGCTCATTGCCCCAGCAGTGTGATAAAGCAGCATAAGCATCGCAGAAGTCCGACATAATCTCGACGAGTTTCACATCGATATCGCCCTTGCTATCCCTCTTCAATGACAGAAGGCGCTTCGGTAGCTGTTTCGGACGACTGCTCTTACACGATACATGGCTCTGATTGCAGATGTCAAGGCGCGCCCGCGCCCAGGTCAACGCATGATCAGAAAGCGGATTGCTGCTGATGATCGACCGAGGTAATATAGCTTTCCAAGCTAGTATTTTGTTAATATAAAAGTGCGTCCCAGCGTTGGGCCGTCAATAACTACAAGAGGAAGAGTCTGAGGACGTACCTTGAGGTTCTAGACTGTAAAATTCAAGTCGGAGAGGCGGGATTTCCGCTTCCTCGTTGAATACAACGACCAGGTGGAGCGTATCGGTATGACCTCCATGCTCTCCAAGACATCGTGCGAAAACTCTTTTGACGAGTGGCGCAAGCAGATGCCAATCCTTACTCTGTGCTTGACGGATGCCTTCACATATAACGACGCAAGACTCGCAGCGATTCCAGAGCGTCGAGTGAGCAATTTCCTTCAGTGTAAAGTCGAAGCTCAGTTCAAGATGGCTCACGTGCCGCTTGCACAAGTCATTGCACAACGCACAGCGGGCCATGGAGACTCGGTGATATCCGTTCCGTCCGATCGAAGTTTGGTGAAGTTGCTAAACACAGGTTCAGAAGAAACTTCCATACTTGCATAGGCTTAAGGGTAGCTCTGAGCGAAGGTACGAAGCGGGGCTTCAGCCTCAGCGTCCTGATTAGGATTGACTTCAGCCCAGCTGATGTGCCACCAGCCACTGACGAAAAGAATCCGAGTCGCAAAACTCTGAGGATCCTCTTCCACCGCACAGTTATGTATGTTCAAGGGGCAGTGTGTATGACAGTCACGATGCCCAGAAGCGATTGGAGGTGTTACAATAGCCCTGGAGTTGCGACTCCTAGAATGCATCCTAGAAGCGCTTTGCTATTTTCAGACTAGTCTACTAAGATTTCCAAGGTTGGCCATCCTCCATCGCATACTCCGAGTGCAACTAAACATCACCAGGCCCAGCCAAACCGAGCGCCTGTCGTCTCGTTGGCGCATCCGCTTTAAAGAATGGCTTCTCGGCCAGTGATGTCACTCTCGTGCCATGTCTCGGCTCATTGCCCTCATAGTCCCAGCTGGCATTGTGGATCGTGATCCTGTTGTCCCATAGCGCAGACGTCCCAGCAGTCCATCGGAACCGAACCTGGATGTCAACGTTCGACTCGTAAACATCGTACAGATAGTTGAGGATCACGTCGCTTTCTGCTTTGTCTAGGCCGACAATGCGATCGGTCATTGCGCGGTTCACCCAGAGTGCTTTCCAGCCTGTTGCAGGATGCACGCGAACGAGAGGGTGAATGCGCTCGAGGAATTTCGGGCCAGCTGTCGGATTCTCACGGTCCAGGTAGGGATGTGCGCTCCGATAGACAGCTTCTCTGCCTGAACGCGTAATCAGTATGTGTCGCAGCGCAGTCTGAACGATTTACTAACCATCGATAATAGCGCGAAAGCCAGGCGAAAGCTTTTCGTATGCAGCATACCCGGACGCCCAGAGAGTGTCGCCGCCAATCTTTGGGATTGTGTCGTTGTGCAGATGGGTTACGCTAATCGTGGTCAGCTTCCTGTTTCCCAAACCGCATTACTGGACCTACCCTGCTGGCTGGCGTTCATGCACAAGATCAGTGTGCCAATGCGATGCCCCGCCAGTCTGCCTGAAATGGGCTGGAAACTCTGTAGCCTGCAGCGCAGGCCATATCACGGTCGTTCCGGGCACGCCAGGTACTGACGGAACTTGTGGCTACATGGGACGTTAGCATATTGACTATATCTATCCGATACCATGGTACTCACATGAACTTCGACCTCCCCATACCACTCGCCGAGTGTTCTCTGTTGCTGAGGCGAGATGTCTTGATCGCGGAAGAACACGACACTTCTCTCAGCAATCAGAAGACCAAGCTCATCTTTTTGCTGATCGGTAAGGTCCTTCAACTGAAGTCCAACTATTTCCGTTCCGATGTGGGACGTCAGGTGAATTACTTCTTTGGCTGCACTCAACAAAGCCTTCTTCTCTGGATCAGCTCGGGAGCCAGGATCTACGAATTCGCGATCATAGTCTCTGATCTTTCGTACATCGTCGAGATATAGGGGTTTTGCGGGCCTGTACGGGTATCCTTTGGATAGATCAATACCTGCCTTCTCCAGTCGCTTTTTTGTAGGCTCTGGAAGACCCAGGGTATCTTTCTTAGGTTGAATGGTGTCCTGTTCTTGGATCTCTGGGATAATAGCACCTGGAGCCATGGTGAAGTTGCAGATAAGTTAAGCTCAGCAGTGACAGCCTATCCTATTGACAACGCTTCGTCTTATAACATTTCTATTGCACAACCCCCACTCAGCTTCCCCAAGTCACTAATGCAACCACTAGGCGCCTAGTGGTTCGTATGTTCGCGTCGGGTGGTCGTCGCACGTTGGTGTTGCGGGGTCAATCACCTCATCCACTAGGTTGATTGCGATATCTCCAGTGAACGGCTCCAATCTTATCGGCCAGACAACTTTGCGTTATTCTCAGCATATATTTCGCATTCGGAGTTGAGACTCTTCTTGCTTGACTAGGCAGTTTTGAGGTGCATCAGCGTCTGAAAGCCCCCAGGAGCTCAACATGATGCATCATGTTGCCATATACATCCACCATCGCGTTTTCTTGCCTGCATGCTATCTATATCTACTGCTGACAAACTCGTGCTCATTATCCGCTCTGGCATGACTTCTTCAGCCGAATCTCGCAGCGTATCTCCGAGACGTGACGGTTGAGAGACTTAAATCCACGGTATCCGACCTGGGCATACACGTTGTTGAGAGCTCACGTAGTCACTTATTGCTTTACTCAGTCAGCATGCCTTCAGCAACAAAAAGGGTTGCAGTCATAGGGGCTGGCATCAGTGGCGTGGTTGCAGCCGCTCATCTTAAGAAGGAAGGTCTCGACGCTACTGTCTTCGAACGGTCTAGCGCTGCAGGAGGCATATGGTGAGTTACAAACTACCTCTGAAGCTCTATTCTAATCTCCTTCAAGGTTGTATGACGAGCGAAAGCCATTGGAACCGGCATACCCATCCGTACCAGCTTCGCAAGCTGCAATTAGTTATACAAAAAGTGCCAGCGAGGACTCGCAGCTTGAAAGTCTCCTTCATGCGCCGCCTGGGTATGATCAGCTTCTACCAGTCACTTTTCTCTTAGCTGATCAGCTCACTTAGTATAGACCGTGTTATGTCGGGTTGAAGAATAACGTTGGTACTCGACTTTTAGAGACAACATTAAACAAGTTCCCAACTGGCACCGAGGATTTTGTCACCCATGATGTTCTGAAAGACTACATCCAGGACACTGCTGCCAAGACTGGGGTCAATGATATCACCCAGTACGATACTGAGGTAAAGCACGTATCCAAAGAGGGCGCCAAGTGGATCGTAGAAACTGCGACGCTTCATAGCGATGACGCTGGGAGGACCTCGCGCAAATCTTCAAAAACAGTGAGAGGACTTGAGTCTTCGGGTTTTCTTAGACTAACGTGCATTCAGGAATTCGATGCTGTGGTTGTAGCTTCGGGCCACTATCACGCAGCCAAAGTACCAAATACGCCGGGACTGACGGACTGGAAACGAGCATGGCCGGATAGAGTCAACCACTCAAAACGCTACCGGACGCCCAAAGAGTACCAAGGAAAGAACTTTTTGTTAGTAGGCGGTAGCGTCTCTGCAACTGACATTGCTCGCGAACTCGGTCCAATTGCGAACAACATCTACCAAAGTCATCGAAACGGGACTTTCGACCTTTCCCCTAATTTGTTGCCGGAGAATGCGACGCGAGTTGGTGAGATTCTATCGTACGATTCACCTTCAAATGGTACACAAACTGGGCCGTTGGCTGCTTCGGATGCAATTCCAGCGACCATCACACTAAAGTCGGGCGAGAAACTCTGCGATATACATCATGTGATCCTTTGTACCGGCTACCAGATCACGCTGCCGTTCTTACCGCATCTCCACTCGGACGAAACGCCAGTTGATGCAGCGAACGATGAGCTCATCGTAACGAACGGGTCTCAGTTCCACAACCTACACAAGGATATCTTCTACATCAACGACCCTACCTTGACCTTCGTTGGCGTACCTTTCTTCACCGCAACCTTCACCCTCTTCGAGTTCCAAGCCATGGTTGTAGCCAAAGTCCTCTCAGGCCAAGCAAAGCTACCGAGTAAAGAAGCTATGCGAGCAGAGTATGATGAGCGCGTGCGAGAAAAGGGATATGGCAAGGCATTTCATAGTTTGAGGGATAGAGAAGCTGATTATGTCAAGGAGCTACTCGCATGGGTGAACAGGGATATAGAGGAGATTGGAGGCAAGAGGTTAGACGGACATACAGATACGTGGCATGTTGCGAAACTGGAGCAGGTTCAGAGGATGAAGGCTTTGTTTGCTGCTGCGCCCGGGCCGGAGAAGAGACTTGAGGTTACGTGCTGGTAGTGGCTTATAGATAGATGTTGTACAGATCTCATAATACGCAAGAATTGACTATATACTAATAATATAAATTAAAGAGAAGTGTCTCCCTCCTTCTCTGCGCCCTATTCCATAACTCGTATGCTAGGACAATGCCCACTGCATCTTAGCCCCGCTCACGATACAAGGGATCCGGAGATCAATACTCGGCTGCAAAGAGCTAACATATTTTCTGGACGTTCGAAGCTGTACACTACTAATGGGTAATCACTCAAGAAAATTGCAAACGTTACGTAGCATGCCGAAGCAAGTTGCCAAACACAAGCCCTAGCGCTTCACGTCCTCTACAGCACCTGTTAAGCCCAATCCTTGCGCTAGTCGTTTTGCTGCGTCTGATGCAAACTCTGTCTGTGCTAGTCTCGGAGTGACCTCCGGGGATTCAAGTTCTCTCGGCTCTGTTGCTCCAGCGGGAAGCTCTGAAAAGCGATGCGCTGCAGTCTGGGCTGGTAGCTCCGAGTATCTGTTATTCGCGGACTCTGCTGGTAATTCTTGGGGTACTATCCGATTGTGAGACCATTTCTTGTGATGGAGGTGATACGCTGTCAAAGACTTACTTCCAGAGAATGCCTGAGACTCGTATGAGTATGTAGGAGGGGCTGGGCTTATTGTCAGCGAGAGTCGCTCCAACGTGCTCAGAGCTACCGACGAGAATAACCACTGAATTGTGGCGAGGATGTCGGGACATCGGAATATTTATCTGAAGCCAATCTAGTATGTGCTCCTGCTCCTCCACTATCCAAGTTCTGCTTGCGTTTCTTCCTGTAACACAGGCAAAAAATGACTACTCCAATGATTCCGACCAGTGCGACCGCGCCTCCGACTGCGCCGCCAATTACCGCGCCGGAAACTTTTGTAGAAGAGCCGGAGTTTGACGGAGGAGGGACTAAACTGGCTGTTGCGGTGGCCGATGGACTCGATGTTGAAGGAATGGTAGATGAAAGCAGAACATTGAGCGCGCCGAAGTATTCGATCTGATCAGGCCGCTTCATAAACGTAGGTTCTAGATGGCCCACTGCACATGTCGAGTTATTCTTGCACGGATCAGAGTTGCAACAACCCCAAAATGTCGGTTCGGTCAAGCAAGTCCAGAAATCAGTGTTACCACCACAACTTCCACCTGGGTATTGATCGTAAATTTTCGTAGAAACACCAGCGGGGCGGAGACGTTCTCCAAAGCAGCCAGTTCCGCACGGATCAGAAGTACAACATCCTATGAATTTTGTCCCAGTCTGGCACGCGTACCTGATTATGTTAGGACTATTGTTCGAAATAGCTGCAGAGTCGCTTTAGCTTGGCGACCTAGGTCGCCTATCCTTGTACTACAGTCGCGCGTCCAACGTACCAAGTTCCTCCGGCTGGGCAGAAGAAGTCTCCTGGGGCAGCTGGTGTGTAAGTGTTCTCCGTCATTCTAAGGATAGCCCGGTCAAGATCAAATATTGCTCGCTTTGGAATGTGCGCATCTGTAGGTATAAGGACATAAGGAGAGGATGGGGTTGGGGCAAAAGAGGCGCAAATGATGACCTCAAATCGCGGCACAGCGATGGAGCTCTTAACTGCACTTCTAAGAGAACTGAACGCCGCATCTGTGCATTGAAATGAGCGACGTGCACAGCTCCGCTTGGCGCAGGTACTGCGTCGCTAGTATACTTGGCAAGGCAAGGCAGCCTATAGCCTATATAGTCAGGTCGTATAGAGAGGTGGCGAATTGTCGTGGGCGCCCAAAATAGTATACAGGGTATAGCATGAATGCACGCCCAGCAAATCCTGTCAGCTGATGGGGCCTGATGATGAACAGCATCTTTCATGCAACACGCACGTGAAAGGACCAATGGAAAGAACGGCATGGTCAAATTGATACCATGAGTAGGAAACTTTCGCAAAAACTGAATCTTGGTCTGGCCTCCTGTAGGAATCCTATACTTCCCGACTGATCTGTATCTCTTGTCGCATGTCGCATCTTACATGTTACCGCATGATTGAAGCTGACGATCGGTAAGTACGTCGCGCAAGACGGGGAACGACGAAGCAGGCGGTAAGAAGCAAGATGCGACAAGCGATAACCACATCTATTGCTTACCATTGTACAACAGGAAACGCCGTCCTCGCGATGCAAAGCGTGTCTTCGTAGGGCTATGGCGTGTTGTGCCACTACTGTGTGTTCGATGGTATATTCGTTGGCGTTCGTCTAAACGTTCCATGAGTGACACAAGGCGGCTCGTGTCTCGACAATGTTTGCAGGTGCATTTGCGGCCAGAAATGATGGGTGTGAGAAGTCTCAAACCCCGCACGCCACGGTACTCCAATCTCTGTGCCAAGCTGCCAAGGCGGCTCGTCCCGTTACACCGTCTGTCTCACAGCAGTTGCTTCTTCCTAGCTACATTCTCCTCTACAGCTGTTTAGAGCTTTTGGGCCCGATTACTTTCTCAATCATTTTCCCGATCCAGATAGTTGAGTACTTTGATTCCAGCCAGCGGTAGAAGTCAAGCATCACCGCTTGGGGACGGGTAGTAAACTTATCAACCAGCAATGGCCCGACAAAGGAGTGACGATGTTACCCGGAGAAGCTCTGACTTGGATGCTGGAGCATTGATAGAGCTTAGAAGAGTAGGAGGAATGCTGACATTGTAGGAATCGTAGAGACCTAGCACGTAGCTTGGGATGTTACTACAAGTAAGATTATTCGTTCATTCTGTTGTAACCGCAGACAGCAGAACTGTATCAACCTGGTATGGAGAATAGTGTGTAGTGAAGATGATATGAATCCACTTATGATTTTAGAATTTTGAATACAATGGTAATGGTAAACACGTCCGACGCCAACCCTAGTCGAAATTTGGTACTGCTTCTTGTCACCACCTAGCTCCGTAGAGTAGGGTGACCATGATGCGAAATCAGTTCCAGTACTCAGCGCCGAGCTCTTCACCGAGCTTGACATTGTCGCCCTCAAGGATAATCTTCTTGACAACGACGCCGACTACATCCCACTTGCTGTCGGTCCTGATGGGCAGTTCTGAGTTTCTCCTCTTGCCAGAGTTGTCCTCGCCGCCAACCTCTCGCACGACCTCCCAGTTGTTGTTTCCTACATCGACCAATCGTGCACGCTTGTAGCTCGCATTCGAGACTTGGCGATGAGCGATGACAAAGCCCGCCTCGTCTTGCTCCTTGATCCACTTCTTTGCTGCTTCGTCCTGCCAGACCTTCTGGAGGGAGGCATTTTCGTCCTTCAGCAGCCTCACGCGTTGTTCTTCGGCTTCAATAGTGCCCGCCTCGGTTCCCTTGTCAAGCGGCTTTTGGAGGAGATGGGTGCCACCGAAGCTCTCGACGAAGTGGCCGCTATCTGTGTTGAAGAAGAAGACGTCCTTGTACCATCTTGTGCCAATGTCATCGTAGTCGCGGTCCTCGAGCGCGGTCGGTGTGTGCTTGGACTTCTTGGAGACGAGCTGGCCACAGGGCAGCTCGTCTGCAGGGAGGGGCTTTGGCAGGATCGCCAGGTCAGGGATTATCGAAGGCGAGAGGGGGCCTTCGAGGTGGCTGGGTCGGCGAGAGTATACTGCTGCCATCTTGGAAAGCTGTATGTAGGATCTAGGCAATGAAGGAAGCTTGAGAGGGTTTCAATTGAGCAGTATGCGTGAAATGGAATGCTGTCGAGTGAACTGTGTAGCTGGAATGAGCTGCAGAGGAGCTCTCGTGAGGGGTCAGCAAGCTTTAAGTGATCTCATTCTCCGCGGTTGTACCACCGTCCGCTTGGGACCAACCCCGCAAGCCATGGCCAGGGTGATTTCCTCAGGTCACGCTCATGCTACGGTACCTGGATTGAGCAGAGGTGAGGCCACATTGATCGTGATTCAACGCGTACCTGCAGCGAGCTGGGTGGTGTGATGCATCAGGTGGGCGTGATGAGGTCAGAGAGATGGCGTGTTGTGTACCTCAGTATCACAACCGATCTGGCCCCGGAAGAGCCTCGCCGGCTCCTTCCGATGTTGCTCCGGCCTGGGCACTACAACAACCAACCTGACGACCATTTCAACGCTGCTAGAAGCATCTTCTTGTCTTGTGCACGCGTGCGTCGCCTCCAACAGTACTCTGCGTGCAAAGGCGTGTCTTCTGTGCCCAGCGAACAGCTTCCTACAGCCGACTTGGGTTGGTTGCCTCTACAACCACTTTTGGCGTTGGATGTAAAACACGTAAGAGAAGCCAAATACAATCCTTCCCTTAGCATTCGAGTTATAGTTTCAATTGGTAGGCCAACATTGCGATGAGCCTGGACTGCCATTCAGAGCCAGAAATCTAGCAGGCCCTAAGAGCAGTAATTCATCCACACTAGGACGAGCAATGACCATGGCATCCTTCTGTAATTCGACAAGACTAACAACACATACAAGCCACAAAAGAGAAGGCTTATTGCCCATGCGGAACTGGAACAGTGGATAGTGGAATGGTTCCGGCGACAATCTACCTCGAGCCTCCTTATCTACGTCGAGATACCCCCTCTTCGCCTGTGTGGCTCGTTCCAGGCCGCGCGCTACATATCAGCCAGGAGAAGGCCTGCAACACCACGCTAAAACCCCGCATTTCCACAATATGCAGCTCCCGCGCGCCGGAAGGCTTCCGCACTACCCTTTTGAGGTATATCACCTATCTCTCAACATGATGCATAGCTCCGAGATGCCTCCTTACGAGTCACATAACGCCCCAGCTTATCTACCCAGCTTTGCAAAGCCACATTGTATAAGTCGCCCGTCGACTCCTGCGAAGCATGTCGCAAATTGAACCACAGATTGGAGATTCCACAGGCCGTTTCGAAATGGCAGACGCCGACATCAAAAAGCTCCCGCTCAACGATGAAGACGACGAAATACTGGCTCAGCTGGGCCACACCCAGGAGCTACGGCGAGACTATTCCATCTGGTCGCTGGGAGCCTTGTGCCTGTGTTTGATGGCAACGTGGGAGGCCCTGTCGACTGTTATCGCAACCGCCTTGTCAACAGGCGGAGCACCTTGTCTGTTCTTCAACTTGTAAGCCATAATGCGCCGACCGAGGTGTCGCAAAAGAGACAATGGCTGAAAGATACTAGGCTCCTCTCTGTCATTTGCACCATGGCAATATCGCTTTCGTTGGGAGAAATTGCGTCCATCTACCCAACAGCTGGAGGTAAGATGTCCCCTCCTTGGTGTATGAATCTGTACACTTACTGACCATACGTTAGGCCAGTATCATTGGGTTGCGGCCCTTTCTCCGCCGTCAACACGCTCAGTTGCGGCTTGGTCTACAGGATGGATCAACCTCGGTGGCCAAATTGTCCTAACAGCTTCTGCTGCCTTTGCAGCTGGCCTACAAATGCAGGGCATGATTGTGCTAAACAATGAGTCCTATGTCCCAGCGAGATGGCAAGGCCTCCTTCTCTACTGGGCCGTGCTGGTGTATGCTGCGTCGATGAACATTTGGGGATCGCGTCTGCTGCCAACCGCCAATCTGCTTGCAGGTGTGTTTTTATCAGTGCAAAGTGATAAGGGCTAGCACTAACTCGCAGTAGGTGTTCTTCATGTCGCAGGTTTATTCGCAGTCCTCATCGTCCTAGGTGTCTTGGCGCCAAAAAACACAGCATCTTTTGTCTTCACCGAGGTATCCAACAGCAGTGGCTGGTCTAGTGACGGCGTCTCCTGGCTTGTCGGCCTTATATCAGCCGTATACCCTCTCCTCGGCTACGATGCGGCATGCCATCTGGCAGAGGAGATGCCTCACGCATCCCGCAACGTACCACTTGCTATGGTTGGCTCCACCCTGGTGAACGGCATTTTAGGGTTGGGCTATTCCATCATGCTACTCTTCTCTACCGGCCCGCTCGAGGCTCTGCTCACAACACCCACCGGCTTCCCCTTTATGCAGATTTTCCTCGACGGGACAAAATCTCCAGTCGGCGCAACTGTCATGAGCGCCATTATCGACATTATTGCCATTACTGCTTCCGTAGCAGGCGTAACTTCGACGTCTCGCACACTCTGGGCTTTTGCTCGCGACAAGGCCACACCTTTTGATCGCTACTTTTCGTACGTCGACCACAAATCGCAAATCCCCGTGCGTGCCGTCGTTATTGTCACCGTACTCCAGATGCTGCTCGGTTTCATCTACTTGGGCAATTCGACAGCTTTCAACGCTATCCTGTCCATGGCTGTACTGGGGCTGTATGCTTCGTACCTTATCCCTATCGTCTATTTTATGATCCACGGACGTCCAAACTTCACCGCACATGACTTTGGCGTGTTCAAATTACCGAAGCGTCTGGGTCTGGCGCTGAATCTGCTCGCATGTGCGTGGCTGATTCTGGCTATGGTGTTCTCGACTTTCCCAACGTCGATGCCTGTGACGCCACAGAATATGAACTACTCTACAGTAGTCATGGTAGGCTGGGTGGTGCTAGGCGGCGTGTACTATCTCGTAAGCGGCCGACATAAATTCAAGGTCCCTGTAGTTGATAGAGAGGCGCGCGGATTCTGAGCGGGATGTTCTTCAATTGTGCGAGCGTAGCGTATATCTTACCTTGAATACACTCAACGAGCTTATTTACAACTTCTGCGGGCCCCTACATTGATCAGTATACACAAAAACTTTCCTCTTCAAACCCGCACCGAAGAAGGAAAGAAAATAACTCACGGCTTCAACGCCATAGCCTTCTGAAAAATCTCCACAAGCGGCGGCCCCTTGACACTCAGTCCCTCCTCAACATCCAGCTCCGGATCCGCCTTACCCATCGCCCTCCTATACGCCTCCCTCTCCCCAATCCGCTTCAACCACGCCTGAATGCCCTCGAACCCCGTTAAATCAATCGGCTCAAACTTGCGCATAGTAGTAAAGCACCAACCCGTCATAACATCCGCAGCAGTAAACTCCTCACCCGCAAGCCACGTGTTACTCCTCAGCCGGTGATCGACATGCCTCAACGCAACACCCACCCGCGCATCGTTCCCCTTGAACCTTGGATCCGCCTCCCCGACCATGCCCCTCGCCATGCCGCGGCGAAACAAACCAGGCTGCAGCGTCGCATTGGCAAAGTGGAACCAGTACAAATACTCCGCATAGTTTTCCTCGTGCGGACGGACGCTTAGTTGGCCCCCACCGTACTTGTGGATGATGTACTCGCAGATGGCGCCTGATTCGGCGAGTTTCACCGTTTTGGAGGCCTCGGTTACATCCTCGAGCACTGGGGAGGCGCCGAGGGGGTAGACGGCTTTTAGTTCTGGCGGGGAGAGGAGGGGGGATCGCTTGTAGAGCTTTAGCGAGTAGGGGATGTTGAGTTCTTCTAGGAGCCAGGGGATCCGCTCGCCTTGGCCGACCTGCAGGTGGTGGACGATTAGTTTCGGAGAGGAGGACATGGTTCAGGTATTACTATTTGGCGCGAGTTTGAATTGTGCTGGTGGTTGTAGCAGGCTTCTGAAATGGTTGTTTCGTGGATGGTGTCAATGGAGCTAGTTCGGGGATCTGCGGATCCGAGGCACTGATCTTCAGATTGGTGAATTGATCTCAACTTTGCGTGCTGAGTCGAGGAATTTTTTTAATTCTGCCTTCTTGCATATCGTCTTTATATGCGATGCTCCTTTAGGCAGCCATCTATCATTTGCTTGAGATCCCACACTGTGCTTACCTATTTAGGTAGACCATTGTCATGCTGACCAAATCGGGCACGTGGGCCTCGGCCGAGATGCAACTCCGCCTTTTATTTGGCTAGAAAGAGAGCTCTACTCACAAGTACACGGCATACACTCAGGAAATCGGTGAATGTGGAGCTATCGGAGCTTAACAACTCCGCTGGTGAACTTTATTGGAGCAAAGGGCATGCCACAGTACTAAATGCCAACCAGTTGAACAATCATATTCGACAGACGCAAGAGGTAGTTTGGAGTGTTTATTCTTATTCACATACTTTCATAACCCTAGAACGGTTCGCTTACCGAAATGCGCGCTATAAGAATCGTCAAATGCGAAGAAGAAACCAGAAACTCCATACCATGCCACATACCACGCCAAGACGCCGGATATCATACCATAAAGTATAAAGGAAAATACTGGAAGACCAGATAAGCGCGATGCTGTGTAGGTCCACCATACAATTACCCACGCTTTTGGCGCAACACACGTGGTGACATCCTCCTCTATACACCCAAAATGCCAATAACATATCGCATCATCTCGCCCTTCCTAGTCAGCTTGCTCAAGGTTCTGTCTTGTCCTTCTGCATCCTCTTCACAGGATGCAGTAGCATCCCCGGAATACACATCCTCTTTTCCTCAAACTTCCCATCAAAGCCTGGTCCACCATCAACTCGGTCTGCCTCGCCCCATTTTGTCTTCATAATCGGCCAGTTCAGCCAACGTCTGTACAGGTTCCGCGGAAATCTTGATGCGTAGTACCACGACCACCCTTGGAAATTGTATTCCCGGTCGTGGTTGTATGGTGAATCTGCCTCTTCGGTCCACGCGCCTTGTCGGTTTTCGAGCGCTTCGCCGGTATATTCATTGACGGAGGAGGCCGTATCGAAGACAGCTTCGCTGTACGCTGCAGGCCAGTGGCGGTCGTTGAAGATGGGATGGGGCGCGTATACGGCTTTGAGGCCGTGCTGGAGTGCTACTGTCGAGGGCCACATTTCCGCTTGCATACTGCGTCCTTCTAGATTCTCTTCGTGCATAGCCTGTAGCATGCGCTTGCTGAAGCGCACAACCGTGTTGATAAAGACTCGGCGATCGATATGGACAAAGTCAGGGTGCGTGAACCAATCTGCCTGACCGTCCCTCGGGGTGAAGATGGGGCGAACGCCGGGGAGGTAATTCCAAATCTTGTCCTTGTACGACCAGCTTGTATTACGCGGATCCCACATGGGAAGAAGAGTGATGAAGTCCGCCGGCTCATTCACGCCCCAATCAAAATTGTCGTTTTCAAAGCTTGTTGGCGGCATCGGACCTAGCGGCTTCTGCGGGGGCTCCGCTCGTGCCCAAGGTTTTGGTCCCCAAACGGGTGGTGGAATGAGGGAGTTTGCTGATGCGTTGAGTACATCTGAGTGCGTGTTCTCGACGAAGGATTGGTAGTCTCCATGTACGCTTGGAAGATAGTACCGCTTGTTACGCTCCCAGAGTAGCTTCCTAGGCTGTTTATCGGCAAATTCGCTAATCTTCTCGAAGAAATGATAATGGTGTCCAGTGTATCTTGCGTCGGTTTCCCAATTCCAGACATAGTCGAACTCGGGGTGCGTGATACTGAACCACTGCAGGCACATAAACTGCTGCCAGTAGACCTGCCAATCCATGACTTTGGGGTACCACTTGGGAAATATGGATTCGGACCATAGGACTGCGATGTCGCGCAGTTCTTCCGGGACGTTTTCTTCCAGTACTCTGTCATACTCCCACTTACTGTCGAAGATGCGCAGATTCTTATCCTTGACGTGTACATAGAGAAAAACCTGGTATTCTCCACCAGATTGAAGGGATAGCTCGGAGATCATAGCACGAATAGCCGTAATGTCGTTCTCCTCATAGTGATAGCCGGTCCAGGCCCGAATGAGCACTGCAGTTCGGTGGTGATACTTCTGCTCCTGGTGATCCCTTTCCTCAAGATTGCTCCTGCTTGTGTCAGGTGGAATGGCAAAAGCCGATGACGCTGCTGCGGGTTCAGGTAGCACGGTGCTGGGTACTTTGACCATGGGTGCCCGCGCTTCCTGTCGATATCGCTTCTGATTGAGGCGAAGACAATCATCTTGCAATTCTCCCCATCGCACTTTGGGCCATTCGGGTATAGTCAACGGAGCCTTCCAGTGCTTCACCTCTTCGGGAAACTCATCGTCGCCATATCCATAAGGTCCATACCGCGAATACCGATCGAAACAGACACTGTCGTCCAAGCCAATGACATCGTAGCCACCAGCGTACACTGGGGGAAAATCCGCAGGAACACCACGATACACTTGGACCTCGTCGTCCATACTTTGGTTGAGTGGAACGCCTCTTGGTCCAAAGCATGCCGTATATTCGCCTTTCCAGCTCTTCTTCCATTTTTCTGTATTATACTTTGGATATGGCTTATACGCTACCGGATCTGATGCAATGGAGCCGTTTAGCTTGTGATGTCCAGATGTATAGACGCGGTCGTCCCTAGTCCTTGTCAATCTCTCGTTCGCTTTCTACTTGCTGTAATTACTTACATGGGAAATTGCTCCCACCGATTAGGGTCATATGCCTTGTAGATGTATTCTTGAAACGGCGGCCAATGCCCGTCCCACGTTGGCCGACTCCATTTTAGCATCTTCTTCATGTACTCCGTCATATTGGATGGCCGTGGTGTCGGACGAGGCAGAGGTGCCGTTCTTGCAGGCGCAGTGACCCATGGCGGGTTCGGTCCTGTATGTCTGGAGCCTGATGCAGAGACCATGGGAGGACTGACTCTGGATGCACCAGCTGCCAATTCCGCATCAACGGAGCCCGGTTTTCCAAAGGGCACTGCATGCTGCCATGCATCTTCAGGATATGTCCGTGTCCCATCCTCTATTGGCGCCTGATCTGGGGGTCTACTGCCCAGGTCGAAATGCGATAATTGCTCGTAGACTTTTTCATGCGCCCATGGACTCTGCTGCAGTACCGCGAAAATGAAAACAAAAGCTATGAAAGAAAGTATAGCGAATCTGCGGGGCGATCGTAGAAGCATAGTGTCGATGTTCTTGGTTCGTATTCGTACCGTACTAGTGTGTGGTGGTGTGCACTAACGTGTTGTACCTCGTGTAGGATTACCGATAACGAGAAAGCTGCATCGCTTGCGGGAGTGGCGTGCGTACGGCGCAAAGGAAGAGTTAGCGAGTGTGGGTGAGGCTGACTCCGAGGTTGTAGGGACCGTCCGTGGTGGAGGATATGGGGGAGTGGTGGTGGAACTCCTGGGGGAGGCGCCTTCCAAGGCAAGGACCAAGTGACGAAGGAGGAGCTGGAGGGACAAGGTGCTATTGCTTGTAACCGCCGTAGCCAAACGCAGTGAGCAGGCAAAGCGAGGGAGCAATGCGAGGGAGCGTGGGAAAGGCACAAAAGACACAGGGAGTCAAGACAAACTACAAAATAAGAACAAGATGACGAAAGAAAGGGAACGCGGGCTGAACACACCCTTGGACAGGGAAGCAGATTGCACCAGCAGCACTCATCGGACCCATGTGTGCAACCAACCCCCCCAGGCCACAGCAAGAGTATCTTCAACCCGGACGGGGACCCATAGAAATTTTCAACACATTCCACCGCCATCCCGCACCATATGCCCCCTGTAGGGCAGTCCGAGAAACCAATGACGCGTTACACAGATTTGCGGCCAGTCGATCGACGAGGTGGGCCTCCACTGCTGGTGCGCCGAGGGAGCATCTGGTAGCAAGTCCTCATCTTAGGCCGCCGTTTAGGCGTTTCGCAAACCCCCCGAGCTGTCGCACCAAGGCCCCCAATTCAATCTACCCGTGCACATATCAGCAACGATCGGCCCGCCAAGTGGCTTACCCTTGTATACGCAATTTGAGTGACGGCCAAAACAAAACGTGCACAAAAGCAGACGACGAGAGGCAAACGAGAGGTGCATGTCATTTGGATAAAATAGGAGCATCAAGAAAGGATAACTTGGCTGCTGTCGATTCGCTACACGCACCACACTACTATCATCGTGTCCAGCTAGGCGGCGCGCCGTGCAACGTGCGAACATCAAAAAGAATGCAATGCAGAGCACAATGCCATCTGGAAGTAGCCATCACATGTTGCTCAGCGGCGTCGGCTTGGCTCCAATTCTAATTTACTCATGCCATCTGGACGACCATGGTCTTTTCCAATCTTGTCCTGCCCAGGATCCCATCACACCCTTTGCCATTGTGCCTTATCAAATACTCTCGTCTAATCTCACACTGTCCGCCGCACGTGTGGACGATCCAAGATGAGGCTGACGTGGCACGTTTGCCCACGACGCTAGCTTCTGACCTAGCTCGCCCGTTCCCCCCACCCCAACACAGCTTGAAGCGGGATGGCGTACCCGTGACTTCTGATGAGCATTACCTACTTCCACTTCTGCACCACCACACCACCACGCTTGAACTCGGCCATGTCACCAAGCACCTGCGCCTTGTCCGTCAACTCCTTTGAGGGGAACGTCGTCATAAGCGCATACTCGCGCTCCTGACTCGCCGGACTAGCCCTGGCCACGAAGTCGTAGACGTCGCCAATAGTATGTGTCGTGTTGAAGCGCGACTGTAACCGCGTGCCGTCACCGAGACGAATCTGCAGCGTGACGATGGGCGCAGAGGCGTCGACGTCGACGGTAGGTTGCGCAGAGCCGGCCGACGTCGAGGCTGTCGTGGTGGTACTGGACGTTGTAGCCGAGATGGGAGCAGCCGCGGAGCTCGCACCAGGGGTCGGACTACCAAGACGGTTTCCAGAGCCTGAAAAGGGAACGTACTTCTTCTTTGGCTGCTTGTAGTCCTCGTCCTTGTGCGCGTGTACCTCAACATCCACCTCTTGTCCATGCTCGACGTTCAGAATGTGCAGCGGAGCGTGACCTGTATTGATCATCTCAAGCGTGCGTGCGTTGGCAGGATCGTCATAACGGAAGAGAGCGCCGTCGTCCACCGAGAAGCCGTCACGCCAGAGGTGGAGCTCGCGATGGGCACGCGGAGGCGGCGCGGGAATGTTGGCGTTGGGGTCTGGGACAGTACGCGAGGGAGCATCGTCGCCACCGAGCGTGGTTCCTGCGCCGCGGAAGTGAGAGCTAGCCGGTTCCTCTTCGTCACCGCCAGGCCGGGGAGCATTTCTGAATACCATTAGCTTTGCTATCACTAGTCTAAGCTCTGACAAACTCACTGTCGTGCCCTCTTCAAGATGTTGTTGATCTGGTCGCGTGGATTGGACTGGTTGGGATTTTGAACAGCGAGACCCGACTTCTCACCACCAGCGAAGAAGTCCTGGTTCTCATCGTCTTGGAAGTCCTCGTCTGAGTCGCGGTCTCCGTCATCGTGAGCGTGTCCATGTCCGTGACCGCCACCCGAAGACTGCAGGTCCTTGAGCGTCCGCAGACCCCGCTGCGGGGCTTGTCTACTGGTAGCCGGAGGTTGTGAGGATGAGGATGATGCGTCTGCCGCTGGGGGGACATAGGCACCGCCGAGAGTGCGTCCACCACCAGGCACTGGCTGTTGTGGAGGGTTGGGGTTGGGATTCGTGGGTTGATCGTCACCGGCCATGTCGACGTCGGGGTCAGAAGCGTCTTCTACTGGTTCGGCGGATTCGTCGAGGGCGAGTGATGCGGCGAGAGCAAGATCTCCGTTGGAAGCGTTTAGGTAGCCTTCTGCCTACAAGTCGAGGTTAGTAACAAGCTCCGTGACATTCGACGAGCTTCTACTAGCCTGTGCAGGGTCGAGACCGGTCAAGCTTGCAAGCTGCGCTATCTGAGCGTCTCGATTCTCAGGTGCACCTTCAGACATTACAGGGCAATAGTGAAGGACAGGGTGAGGGTGAGGTTGTGTCGTGGAGTGGTGACAGTTGATAGACCTGCGATTTGTTGCGTATGCGGGGGGTCGTTTGTTTCTTGGGGCAGCTTGCTGACGTCGACGCTTGGTCGTGCCTTCCCCAAAGGTCCACAACAAACAACGGCTTTTTGAGAGGCAGATTGGGCTAATAATTTGCAATTGTGCAATCCACTGCACGTTAATTACTACAATCTCAAGCACGTCTTCAGATCATTCCCGTGAACTATTTGCTACTTGCAAAGCGAAGCCCATCTGCATCAAAGCTCCGATAATGCCAAGCACGGGATGGAAATCCACTTGAGCCTCATGAACATCCACACTTGCTAGTGACAACCTCGGAAGTGGAAGAGCCTCCCCACACGTTCTTTTGGTGACTGCTCAGATCCTCGATATTCTTACAATCAGTTGATCACCTAATTGCCTCATCTGCTAGTGTCCCTCCTTCGACTACCCATCCAGGCAACAAACCCGCACGCGTCTTCCTCCGCATCGCCTCCGCAAACCCACCGCACGGCATTGAACATACAGCTTGTCGAGCAAACTCCACCATGTCTTCACACGCCTCACCGCCAAGCAATCTTACCGAGAGCGGCATCACCATCCCCTCCGACAGCGAAAATTACGATGGAAACAACGAGCACTCTCCCTCACCACCACCATCCTCCTCGTCCTCGCCGCTCATTCTGTATAAGCCGCCAACAATCTGGGGTTTACTGAGGGGAGCTGCGATCAATCTCCTTCTGCCCTTCATCAACGGGCTAATGTTGGGCTTTGGAGAATTGGTCGCGAACGAGGCGGCATATAGGCTGGGATGGTCGGGCACAAAGGTACGCTGGCGCTGGCGAGGAAATGCATCTGAAGACTATGCAGAGGTGCTAACGTTTGTGACAGATATTTCCTACGCATCGCTCTGGTTCGGATTCGAGACGTGTAGGTCCGGGTGTAGAGATGCGTGCCGATCCCGTGGAACGGAGGCGGAGGAATGGCCAGGAACTGGACATGTACACTTCCCTCGAGTAAGGACATTGATCGTTATAAGGACAAAGTATCGTCAAATTGGGATGGACATGGCCTTTGAAATCGACAAGCTGAATTTTGGCCTGTACATACATGGTAAACTGGGGACAGCCGCCCGGCGTTTGGAGGCATCACAGCAAGGCAGTATTCATGCCACTGATCTATTCGCAAAATTGTTCACTCTAGACGAAGCGGTACAGTTCAAGAACTATTCATTCCACTATTTGTACAAGAGGCCTTTGTGGCTTCATATATTCCCTCCCAGATGCTAAATGCCATGCACGGTCTACTAACACAAGGTCGAACACCCCGCAAGCCGGCAACCTATCATACACTCACCCTAGACCAATGCATCTACTGCCGATTCTCAAACCTCCTCCGCCTCTCAATCTCATACTCCTCCGCCTTCCGCTTCCTCTTTTCCTGCTCCTTCGTCATCTTCGGTCCGCCGTAGCCTGCCTTTCGCCCCATATCCTCCACACCACTCGTCATCCTCCTCCACATATAACTAATCCTATAATTCCTCCTATAGTAATCCAACTTCTGCATCAGTGGCTTGCCTTGAGTGCCTTCCTCGAAGTCATCATCCTGAAGCCTGGGTCGGTCTGTATCGACCTTAGGGGCTTCAGGCTTCAAGTGCGCGGGGAGGGCAGTTCCAGCCTTGATGTTGATGCCAGACAATGTTGTCGAGTTGCGGCGGTTTTCCGGTTTGATCGTAGGTTTTGGTGATTGGTAACGGATCTTTCCGTCGCGGGTCTTGACATCTTTCAACTTCAACTCGCCTTTCACAACCCTGGAATACATCTCGTTGCTCTCCTTGCTAGGCAGTGTGCGGATATTGATCATGCGTCTGAAGCTGTTTTGACGGAGGAGCCAGCCTGTAAGACCACCCATAATACCTGACATCAGGAAGTATAGTTGAAGAGCGGAGGCCTGGAAAGCAGTGACGATACCGAGGAAGATGGCTAGACCGGTGAACATCTTCTGTCTCTGGGCTGCTTGTCCGACGTCATTTTGAACACCGGTTTCGCCGCCAGTCTGCAAATATGATGTTAGCATGTGTAGAAAAGACATGAGAGGGGGTGATAACATACCTTGAAGACCGTGTACATGATCGCCGTAGTCGCAGCTGGCAAGATGAAGTACGGGTCGCGAACCGTTAGATCCGAGAACCACAAGAAGCCATCCTGGTTCATGCCAGGGACGGGCAGCTCGCCCATGGCCCTCAAAAACCTGAAAGCGGAGAAACCAATCCAACCCTGAACAATCATGAACCCTCCCATGGATAGGAAACCTCCCACGTGCGGCTTCATAATCTCTTGCTGTTGCAACCTTAATAACTCGGCTTGTTGCTTGTCACCCTTTGCAATCGCGGCCTCCATCTTCTCTTGCAGAGGCTGAGTGACGGGTTTCAATGAGGCCATAGCTGCCATCTTGTCCGAGCTGAGGGCCTGGAAGAAGAAGGTTGCGCAGCGAACCACTACACCGGCGGCCATGATGGAACCGGCCCAACCCCAGCCCGAGGACAGGTAGATCGACTCAATGGTCCTTTCGAACACGGTCGTCATGCCATAACCATAGTCCAGACCCAGTTCCTTCAAGTGTCCGGCGTGATCGATTAGCTGAGTAGGGTCGAACTCGGCTTTGGGCAGAACGTCTTTGGTGGGGTCATCGCTGAGCAGTTCTTCGAAAGTCTTTGCGTCACTCCATGTCGAGGCGCTTTCTGCGGTTGGGCCCGTTGCACTCGATGTTCGGTCTACAAACGCAGCCTTGTCAATGCCTGCAGGAGCGAGTTCTGGGGTAGCCGTGGTGACGACGGGTTCGGCATGTTTTGCAAATTCGGAGGCGGGTTGAGTCGAAGATAGGGTACCGGGTTGATGTGAGATTTCGGCTATTGGGACTTGTTCGGCGGGGCCAGTCGGTGTACTAGATCTCCCCCAACTCCAAGGAGCATACCATGATCCATAGCGAACAGATGATGCGGTCAAGAGGACATTCGATCTCCCCGTTGCGCCCGTTCTCCACCGAGCGGACTGAAGCGGGCTTGTTCGACATGATGGAGCGGAGAGGCTAGCGGTTGCGGGAAGAGAAGAGAACTGTGGGTCACCCTATTAGTTCATTGAACAGCAATTGGGCGGTGTAGAGCAGTTGATATGGGTCAAGTGAGGAATCGTGTGTAGACGCGCGACATTGATATGCGGCATGCGACGGCGGAGGCAAGACGAAGCATAACGGGAATGGAATGCGCACCTTTCTTGAAGCATGAGAACGAACTATTGTCGACTGTCGTAAAGCTAAAGGGGCGAAATGGCCTGGCCGCAGCCCTCTACTTGGAAGCATGGTGAGATGTCGTCCGAAGTCGTCGTCAGAGTAGCTCAAGCGTGTGTCTGGTCCATCTTTTTCGACAGTCGCGCCAAGCATCGGGTATTTAGACCACTTGCGCACTTTGCTTAGACCACCGAGAACTCCGCAGTGTGTTCTTGCCTTTCGTCATGAATTTGTTATTGAGTTAGATACTTGCAAAATACTGAAGTAATCATTCATTGCACTATCGGAATATAAGATAATATCGCACCCCCGCCTGTTCCGGGTAGGTAAGTTTCCATAACCCCAACTATGCACCCCATAAACACCTGTATCGATGCAGCTCCACAGCACCACGTACATTAGGATCCTACACCAGCCGCAAAAGCGGTTGTAACACCTCCATACACCATCGTAAAAACACACTGAGTAACAGGTGCACATGCAGAAAAGACAAGTAGAAAGTAAATGGCCGCACGAAGGTCTACTGGTGTAGAGCCATGGTGTATAATGATCATGGTGGGAGTGCCGATGAGTCCCAAAACGCCACCCTAAGATGCTGGAGAAGTGAATAGATTCGTGTCGAGTAATGGAGCGTCTCGTGGGGTATATCCGTCGGACATCTAATCCATATAGCTATTGCTTTCCGTGACAGCCAGCGCTTCCTCTGCTTGGCCCCCGCCCATCTCCATAGCCTCACCAAACATCTCGTGGCCACTACCTGAGCTCTTGAATGGATCTTGCATGGGGCTGGTCGGCGCCAGCCCAGAGCTCTCAAAGAGTCCTGGGTCAATAGGTGCGATAGAAGGGCCACCGCCAAAATGGAGTGGAGCGTTGGTAGCGAAAGTGGGCGAGTTGTTATATGTAGTCGTCGGCGCTGTATTGAAATAGTCGTTCTCACCAAAGCCGCGACGAGGTTCGCCCGGGGGTGTATGTGATTGTTCGGGGGCCGGCTGCAAGCTCTGTGGTTTTGTCGGGTCCGGAGCCCGCTTAAACTGATGTGTCTTGGTCTTCAGGTGCTCTGGCAAGTCGTCTGGGTTTGTGATACCCAATTGATTCATGAGCTTTTGCTGTTTCGTTGGTCGTGGTTTTCGCGTGGAAAGAGACACCTGCAGGATTGGTGGTGGCGCCGGGGCTACTGGAGCCCACTTATGCAGCTCCTGGCGGAAGAAGTTAATCTCATTCGAAAGAAGGATTTCGGCGCCCTCGAGCTTGCGTAGATAGAAGCGCTGTGTAGTGAGTTCGTCTGGGCTGGACATCAACGGGTTGATGTATTGCGCCACGTATTCGCGGAACCTCAGGCCCTGCTCAATGAGAGATTCCAACGTCTCTTCCTCTTCGGGCTGGAACGGCAGCCCGGCAATCTCATCTTGCCAGAGTTGGAGGTCTTCCAGCTTCGGCCGGGTAGCATCGCGAGGGATCTTGACGCGGTAATCACAGATTGGGCAGGTATATTTATCATCCTCTTTGACCTTGCCACGCGCGATCTTCAGGCACTTGCCGTGATACCTAGCACTATTAGCCATACGTCTCTCGCGTTGATCTGCACAACTTACCATTCATGACAAAGCTCACACTCAATCATCATGCCAGCCTCAGGCTTGCGGCAGATGCAGAAGACGTCTCGGCTGGATCCTGACCCATCTACCTCTTCTCCCTCTGCTGGGCTTTGTTCGCGCGAAGCGGGTTCCACAGGCATCCGGGGCTGGTCGGACAGGTCAAAGCACGACCGATTTCGTTCGTCGACCTGTTTCATGTGCGCATGCAGGATATGAAGCGGTGCATTTGCCTTGCCGAACAGCTTCTTACCGCGGCGCATCCAGTCTTCATGTCGCTTCTGCTCTTTCTCGAGATCAATCGTACCCGCTGGCTTGCTGTTGAGCGCATTTAGTGCCTCCATTGCATTGCGTACTTCCATGTACTTTGGCCGCTGTAAGAAATCTAGGTGCTTACTTCGCTCGTACAGCGACATGATCTGCTCTTGCGCGTCTCGTTGCTTTTTCAGGATAGCATCCACGGCAGCACGAGTCTCGGGAGTAACGGGCAAGGTGGCAGCTTGCTTGGACAACGCGTCCAACTGCTGATAGTGCACATTTTCCACCGCCATGAGTTCCTTGGCCTTGGTTTCCCAAAACTCACCTTGGTCTTTCTTGCTCTGGAGGAACTGGATCTCAGGGTGGTTTTCTGGAATACCCACCTCGACACCCCGTGCGATGAGCTCGCTGACTTCTTGAAGCGTAGTAGCTAGCTTGAACTTGTAATCATCGGCTTCTCGGAGCCACTTCAACTGTTGTACGACCTTCTCAAGGGACTCGAGCTCTGGTAGGTCAACATTGAAACCTTTCCCTTCTTCGAGAAGTTCATCCAGTCGTGCGATGCTCTGCTGAGCCGGTCGGTCGCGTAAGGCACTTCGCGCCCTCTCCTGGAATTCAGCGATGCTTTCAGCGCGTTCGCGAAGCGTCGTTATTTCCGGGCTATCGAATCCCAGATCTTTTGCCTGTTTGAGCAACTTCTGCACGTTGTCCACACGCCTGTACTCGCGCTCTCTCTCATCTGCTTCAGCTAATGCTGCCTTGCTGGGGCGTCCTCTCCAAGCTCGCTCGTTCTTGCGGCGGTTTTGCTGTTTCCTGGTGGTATAGAGGACAGCATCATCGGCAACTTCTTGGCACTTCTCTACAAAATCCCTCAAATCAGGTAGTCCAGGTAATTCCCAATCGATTTTCTCGCCCTCGTTGAGGAGGGAACGCAAGGACTTGAGTTGAGGCTGGGGACCTTCGGCAAGAAGAGTCTCCATTTTGGATTCCCAAGCCTCGGGCATGCTTGCTTTGTCCACAATCTTCTGCACAGTCGTAGTGAGAGCTTCATCTGTCAGCCGATATACGAGCACGTGTTGGCCTTGTGATCCTGAATAACGATCTGCCTCCAAGCTCTCTGGGCAGCATTCGTACCACCCGGCATGTTTCAAGCACAACACTTTCTTGGTGTTACGGCAGTAGAAGCGAGACAGGTAGCTGTAGGATTTGCAGAATGTGCAAATGAGTTCATCCTCGTGAACATCCGTATCGTCGATGATGAATTCGATTTCGCACGGTGACTGGGTATCCTGGATGTCGCCATTGCCATCAATCTTGCAAGCGTGTTCTTTAGCGGTTCTGTGCTTCTCCAGAAACTCTGCGCGTATGATTGACTCCCTGTCGCGCATGCGCTCTAGCGCCGGACCAAGCCACTTTGCTATTTTAATCGTAGTGTCCTTGCGCGAGGCGGCAGCCAGAAGCAATTCATCATGGGAAAAGCATGGCTGCCGTCGATAATCCTGAAGACGTTGAACCCCATGCTCTCCGAAAGGTTCCCAGTCGCTTGGTGCGAAGTTTACAGCCTCATTAAAGTTGAAACCATGATTGAAACCGGCATGGTAAGCTTGGGGGAACGTAATGACGAACTCCCCAGCACGCTGATCAAGGGCAAACACCCTTACTCCAGCCTTCTTGAGTTGCTCAGGAGTCAACAGTGTGACAAGCTGGAATAGAAGATCTGGTTGAGACTCGAACAACTCAGGTACTGCCTCGCGCATAGCTTGCTCGAACTTCTCCACGTCTTCAGCTGGTATACCATACCAAGTCTTTGTCGCGCCGAAGTGCTGGTAGTTCGCTGAGTATGTATAATGATCTTCAGCATGCCAACAAAAGGTCGAGAATACCATGCCAACGTATAGCCAAGGCACTGTCATTCCTGAGATGTCGGACTTGATGTGGCGGAAGAGCGAGTCTGGGGCATATGGCAGAATGTTCAGATTCCAAGGGTCCGTAGCATATGGGTCTCGTGGATTTCGTTCGATGGTAGGGAAGCCGCTTCCATGGGTTGTAGAATGAACGTCTGCTCCATACTCTACTTCCACAGTCTCTGTGAGGTTGCCGACCGAATGCCAGAATTCGTGTTCAACATCGTCTTCTGTCACCGGCTTCGGTGCGTTGGTGATGGGGTCAAACGGCATCTTGTTCGCGAAGTGACTCTGCTTGAAGCTGTGGGCCCTTTCCTGAAATTGCTTGAGCGAATAGACACCACCCTCCTCGAAACCAAACTCGCCGGTCCCAACGAGACATCGCGCGCAATGCCAGTCATATGCAGGAATGCCTTTGATTGGCGGATCAAGGCAGTAACCATGGTAGCCAGCATCGCAGCTATCGCAGAGCAAGATGTTCGACGGGTCGTTGTCGGTGCCACACGTCTCGCATCGCTAGTTATGTTAGTATAAGTATTGCTGAATTGAATATAATATACATACATCGCCAGGGCGATCATCAGCTGAACGAACGCGGGGGCCAGCTCGACCTGGTGTAGACTGACGAGGCTGGGTCATGTGCGAACCAGCAACGGTGGGCGCCCCATCTACAAGTCGTCTCGTTAGCTGAAAGTACCACCCAATAAGAGTCATGCAGCGCTCAGGAGCGCGTGCCTAGCTTATACCGGGGTGCAAACCTGCTTACCTTTCTTTAGTCGCTTGCTACGCCGGCCATTTGCCTCATCTGTATCGTCATTTATGCTACTCTCTGCGTCTTGGGACATTGTTCGCTTCAGTTGATTGAAAGGCAGTCCATTCGATAATGGGGTCAAGCCGACTTGTGTTGGACGTAGATCTGGGGTGTTGTGAGCTGATAGCACGGGACTGCCGCCATTCCGCAAGGGTGTAGAAGTGCGCGAATCTACGTGCTCTCGAGGTATGCCGTTTGGTGCATTGACTGCAGCAAACGAAGCTGGCGTCGATGGTTGCGCTGGAGGGGCTTGGAGTGGGTGCGCGTTGACGGGCGTGAATCCTCCGGAGTTGACTGGTGTGAAGCCTGATGGCATTGCAGGCCGGGGCAGGTCCGCAGGTGGAGGAAGCGCAGAATCACCATGCAGTGTCGCATTCAAGGCTACTGTAGCCCTCATAGCTGGAGAATCAGAGTTGTTCGCGGTAGGCGTGCCCTGTACCGATTTCTTCATAGGCGAAGGGGCCGGGGACGGCGTGAAGGGACCACCATGCTCGAATTCTAGCATTTGTTGCACACCGGGCTTCACGACGCGCAGATACTCTTCGTAAGGGTGAAGCCATTTCTGGTAGGAGTTCTTGAGAGATGTAGACAGCGAAGACATTATCTTGCCGCTGTAGCCAAGGTCGCGCCCGATCTCAGCCCACTTTTTCTGCTTGCAGACGCGCTCGAAGCCGCCCCTGGTCTCGACGGCCTTTTTGAGTTTATAGAGATCCAGCGGTCGCTTATCGACGCTGGGAAAGCGCGTGAGACTGTGGCCATGCTGCTTGTGGAATTTGGCGAGCTGGTCTAGATAATTTAGGTTGGCACGTGTGCCTATGGACTGTCAGCCAGGTAACCAGCGGGCGGGTTGCTCATAGTACATACCGCCCTCAACAGAGTTCAACTCCTGTCGTCGTGTGCGGAAGTGGAAGCGCTATTCAGTATCAGCTGAGCTCTCACGCTGTCTCATAGCTTCCGAAAGATGGATATCAAGCTGGTTTCACGTGCGGCATGGTCGCTGCAGAGACTCACCTCGGTGTCGATGGCGAAGGATGGATTCCAGCTATCTGGCGGAACCACCTTGACTATGCCGTACTTCTGCGCCTCTTCTCGAATGCTCTGGATATATTGAACAGGATCTTTGAACTGCTCGGCTGTTGGTCGATATGTCGGGGCTTCCTGCAGACCAAACATGCGATTGGGCTTCGGTGGCTGGTTGTTCGGTGCGCCATGCCCTCTGCGCTCGACGGTTGCGAGATCCAACGGCTGGGCCTTGCGCGCGCTCAAAGGAATCATGCCCACGCCAGTCAACGGTGCACCATTCACAGCAGGCGTCGCAACGCCGCCCATTTTTGATTTGGGTGCTCCAAGGCCTCCATCAGATATTCCAGCGTCCGCAGCGACCCGAAAGGTGGTCATCGTGGCGCCTGTTGGCAGTCCGGCTGGGGGTATAAAGTCGACCATGGCACCTCCGCTGCTGCACCCAGCGCTGCTGCCACTATGGCTCTGACTGCAGCGTTATAACGATATTCAGGACAGTTCGGTGTGTCAAACGATCGTGGTAGGGTGTGTATTGGGTGGTTGTGGGCGCTATCGAGGGAATATATCTGCAGGCATGGGACCTCTACAGCGGGTGGGCGACCGCTTTGGACCAAGCGGATACTGTTGCAATGCAGATGGTTAGGGAGGAATCGTGGACATGCAATGTGATGTCTGCCTTTTATCGACTGACGTTGTCGTTGCAGCGCATTCGCAGGACTGGTGGGTCTTTGGAGGTGTGAAAGGGAATGATAAGTTGGGCGAAGCCGGGAGTGGATGAGAGATGTTCGGTGCCTCGCTCGCTAGCGGCGGGAGGGCCATCGCAACTGAATCGCTCACGAGCAGATGCGCATACCACACACCTAAAAGGCAATATCTACCAGGACGACTTATTTTCACAAATGCCCAAAGGGTGAACGTATGACCCTGGAACGACTCGGTGATATTCTGCATGCATTCATCCAGTGCATGTTCCAGAATACGGGGCATTATCAGATCTGTCTACTCGAGTGTCGTCGTGAGCAGTGCTGAAACATACATCAAGCCGATTCGGCAATAGCAGACCTCACCTCATCTCATTCCTTTATCCAGTACTCCTCCCCGGCATTGCCCAGAGGATCCAACATACACTGCGTGCTTACATGGACTGACGTTGCGATCCAACATCTCACATTGCACCTCTGCTCGCTCGACAATTTTCCTTGAGCAGTACCAGCTAGTCAGGCGGCGCCCACACCTTCGGTCTAATATCTGGCCAACGACCCATGTCCAGAAGAGGAGCGCGTTGCGTTGTCACATAGGCCCCTCAGCTCGAACGCCCACCGCGTATTCCCCTGTACCTCGACGTCAAGTACGCTTTGCCAATACTCCCACTTGCAGCAGCAGACCTGAGGTCGGCAGCAAGGGTGCCGAATCGAGTGCCTCAAACCGGGCCAACCACAGCTCACTTCATCTTGTCGCACCCTGGCAGCCCTACACTCATCGTTGCACGCTTTTGGCTGCGATCGCCAGCAACTTCCATCTCAACCTGATGATGACTGACGCCTTGAAGATTGAGAGCAGGCCCATTCCAGCTTTCTATTGCTGTTATCTGTTGCGCTCGAAAAACCGCAAATCTTACTACATTGGCAGCACCCCGAACCCAGCCCGCCGCCTTGGCCAGCACAATGGCTCGAGCAAGGGCGGGGCAAAACGAACGTCGATGCAGGGGAAGCGACCGTGGGAGATGACATGCATCGTGACGGGCTTTCCATCCAAGTTTGCAGCACTGCAGTTTGAGTGGGCATGGCAAAATACGCACGCGACGCGGCACATCGAAAGAGGCGTTCGAGATGCGAGGGTGGAGGACCTGCAAAAGGGCAAAAAGCCACTTTCTCCGAGCAGGAAAAGACGACCGCCCATGAGCCTTGAAGCGAGATTGAAGAATTTGCACCACTTGCTAGGTGTCGGCAGCTTCAGTAGATGGCCGCTGCATCTGAGGTTCTTTGCAGCAGACGTGTTTACGCAATGGGAGAAGCACATGGCAAAGATGCCAGCAAAGCTACGGAAGAGCATCACGATACAACTTACGCCTGCTGAGCTCCCAAAACTTGCAGCAGATGTACGCGTTGAGATGCAAACACACTTCATACCCGACGTCATACGTGCGATTCCAGTTGCCTACGAAGATTGCAAAACCTACGTCGAGAAGTCGAAGAGCGTGCTTGACGAAGCGCGAAACCGAGCCTGTGGCGTCTGTAAGAAGGAAGCAGATACAGTAAAGTCGCTCATTCTGATCTGCCCTGTTGAATATTGCAAGGCTGTATCACACATGGCTTGTCTCTCGAAAAAGTTCCTTGCAGAAGAAGGCAATCAAGACACGCTGTTGCCAATGGAAGGGACATGTCCGAGCTGTCGCAGCCCGATTAGATGGTCTACGATGATGAAGGAGCTGAGCCTACGAACACGCGGTGAGGAAGAAATAAAAGCTTTGTTCAAACCAAAGCGGAAAAGGAAGGCCGACAATGCTGCTGAGTCTGACACGGGAGATGCACAGGACCTAGATGAGCAGGACGAAGACCTAGATGAGACATGGATGGAGGATTTGAACGACGACGAGGAAAAGCCTGCAAGCTGAAAACTGTGTAATACCTTTCACCATTCTCCTACGACCCTTAACGGCAGGTTTCCTCTATCAACTCGCTCGATGCCCTGATCTACTTCCTCTCGGATCCGCCTTTGCACCTCCTCCAAACTCCGACCCGCGTCGATTCTCACAAAATCCTCGCCCTCCTTCCTCTGCATCAGCGTCTCAAACAGCTCTCGCACGCGATGCTGCATGTCCTCCTTCTCATACTTCTCCGTTCCATAGCCGCCTCGTTTCGCCGCATCTTCAGCGGAGATGTCGAGGAAAAGGCACACGTCAGGGCGTGGAAGACCCACATCAGGCTTTCGACACCACTCGAGGCTAAGACTGGGATTCTTTTTGGCGGCCGAGTAGACGCAGCCGCTGTAGTAGTAGCGGTCTATTATGACTGTAGTGCCGGCGGTGAGATCGGCCTGGATCGATGAGCTAAAGTTCGTCAGCTATATGATATGCCATTGTATAAATCCATGGTAGCGGATATATATTCAATGCAATACATCACTCGAGACTGAAAGTATTCAATGCACTTACGCTACCTCCCACCGATTCGCAGAGAACAAAAGATGAATAACGTGATCCTCCTGCTCGCTCTGACCACTCAAATAACTATTAATCATCTGACCAATTGGTGTCGCTCTATCTATTCCGTCTCGAGTCAGCATACTCCATATACACAGCATAATCATACATCTAATCGTGTAAAATTGGGGGAGTGGAGTTCGTGGTGCATACCAGGAAATCGCAAATGCCGCACTCTAACCCCGTCTTTCTGAAGCGCTTCCACTAGCAGCTCGCATTGCGTCGACTTGCCTGCGCGATCTAGGCCTTCGAACACGATCAGTTTGCCTCGAGTCATGGTTAACCGAGTTGCGAGATATCGCTGTAAATGGGGCGCTGGTCTGTATGAGGTGCTGGAGATTGAAGACTTGGACAGGGATGTGTCGGGAAGAAGCGAGGGCGGATTGGGCGGGCGTGGGTTTTGCGCTAAGACTTCCTGCTGTATCACGACGACAAAGTCACCTCACCTCACCTCACTCGGTCTTTACGCCTCAACTTTCGAAGAGGCACAGGCCAATCCAACTCCCATTGGGATCCGGCCTCTTTGCCTCAAAGTTTTTCGTCTCTCTTACTCAAACCTAATCACCTGCTTTTTGACGTTTATTGTCAAGTTTGACTTCCTCGTCTCTGAGATCTCTTCAAAGCTCCCCTTTATCCACTCTTGTACTCCTGCCTCCTCACTCACACCCATCTCGTACATTGTTCCGTCTTTAAGTCCCGCTACTTTTGGCCATTTTGATGTGTCACCGCTCTGAGGCTAATGATGCTTCCAGAGCATAAGGTTGTTCCGGAAACAGCGTCACCCACCATTCTTTATTTCTTTACATGGATTTTGGACCCAGTAATCAACTTCACCTTACCAATGTCTCAACATTAAGCTACGGGCGTAGAGGGGTTCGTTAGAGAGACGTGATAACCGCTTCTTGAACGTAATAGGGTTGGTAAAGTTAAGTGTCAAGGTCAAGGTCATTGTGAAAGGTGTGTTGAGAGAGGTATAGACAACCTCTCCCTGTAACGTCAGTCTAGTGATTTGTTGCCTAATATTTAGTACCGAATGAAGCTTTGCCTCTCTATCTCAATTAACCTTGCCGTATAACTCAAAGTACCTTCACAAAACTAACGATAGCTCCACTATGACATAGGCGCTTTGAAAAGTGTCGATTACGATATGGTCCAGTTGGTGCATCATGATTTTTGTCCTGATAAACTGAGCAAATGGATGCCGCGAAAAGAACTTCACTGCCTTATTGTGCTGTTGGGTATCTGGTCTTTACTTTCACTGTCCAGGAATGATAACTGGCATTGCTGGCTACGCAATAGCACATGGACCAAGTTTCAAAGCTATACTTGCCCCATGGTTATAATACATTGCACTTCAATTAATCACCAAAGCCATTACTTGTATTTGGATATCACTGGGTTAATACACTATTTAGCACAAAGCTAGATAGCACACGAATTCAAAGATAGTTTTCAGAACGTGGGGCATGAGAAAACTATATTCTATAAAACAAGACTTCGTTTCCCTCCATCCAGACAGTTCTGAATCCTTGAAAAACATCGCTCGCATCCTTGACTACGCATACCCATCCAGTAATAGACTTGTCCTGTGATCAAGAATCAGCTTAAACTCGAGCACACAATACAACTTCCTTCACCTAAGTGCACTGTTTACTCGTATCCCAAGGCCCTATCGCTTGTTTTATGCTTGCTAGCATCCAGCCAAGCAAGCATCCCAACGACTATCAGCATGACTGCGATGAGTGTAGCGACAAGACATCTTGTCCTCAGGTCCCGCTCTCTAGAGCAAGGAGGGTCGATGGATTCGGCCGTTTGCCTTCCATGCGTGGCAGGGATTGGGTAATTGCTCATGTGATTGAGGTATTCGGTGGTGTAGACCGGGAGTAGAGAATTTCGTGTCCGCGGTTCGTAAAGAGGGCGCGTATGGGTTGCTTCAGGGAAGGATGGGGGGATTGGCGACATGATGATATGTTCTTCCGCAGGAACTTGTGGGCGTGGTGGCTATTTGATTATGGGAGGTGTTCGGGTGTTGTGGGTCGGGAAATGGTGTTCGTATGTCTGTGGTGAGGGAGCAGAGCGTCGAGTAGTAATATACTTTTGCAGTGTTACGAAAGTGCTTATCATGGTTGGTTGAGATGATAAACGAGGAGAACCATGGCACCGTGCTCGCCTATGACTGGGAACCTTTGTTGCTTCGATAGAATTGACGACTTGGAGACTGATATTTGATGCTGACCGTGTGGTGCAGAACCGACCTCTAAGCCAATGATATTCTGTCTAAATGTCTATGTCTATAGCTTGCTCTTACCAATACCCCAGACCTCCGCACCAGGATTATTCGACTTCTTATCTATTGTGGCGCCGGCAGCTACTGCATCCTGACCCTCCTCAATGAAGTAGGATTGTGACTGCTTCATCGCAGCGTAAGCTTCCCGCTCGATGCGCTTTAGGAGCTCTTCGTTGGTAGGGATATCGTGGATAAGTCCGATGACTTGGCCGGCAGTCCAGACCTATGCCTTCATTAGATCGTCTTTTAAACACAGGGCACAACGACACTTACACCAAAGTCCTTATCACCGTTCAAGAAGACCTGTCGACCCCGCTTTCCGCTAACATACTCAGCAACCTCCTCAAACTTGCCCGTTGAGCTAGTCTTCTCAATGTCTACAGCCTGAAGTGCGACCTTGTTGGCAAAGAGTCGCGAGGTATTCTTCCACCGCCTCAGAACAAGAGTAGTGTCCGTCTCTTGTGCATCAACAATAGCCTGCTTGATGTTATGGTGGATGGGTGCCTCTACTGTGCACATGAAGCGCGTGCCCATGTTGATACCGCATGCACCAAGAGCGAGGGCGGCTGCTAGGCCCTGACCATCCGCAAAACCTCCGGAGGCAATGAAGGGTACGCCGAGGGTCTGTCGAGCCTTGCTCAAGAGGATGAAGTTGGTGATATCGGTCTCGCCAACGTGGCCAGCGCATTCGAAGCCATCGATCGAGAGGAAGTCGACGCCGAGCTTCACCGCGGACTGCGCGTGCCTGATTGTGGTGCACTTGTGTAGAATGATGGTGCCAGCCGCCTTCAACTGCCTGATAACAGGGCCAGGGCTATTTCCAGCCGTCTCCACTATGTTGATCTTCTCCTCGATGATGACCCTCGCGTACGCGGCGTAATCTGGGGGGACCATGGCGGGGAGGAGGGTTAGATTGACACCAAAGGGGTACTTGGTCATCGTGCGGCAGCGACGGATCTCTTTTCGGAGGTCTTCGGGCGACGGTTGTGTGAGCGCGGTCAACTATGCACTGTTAGAGGCTGTTCCATTCGAAGGGGTGCGATGGCGTACTATTCCTAGACCTCCTGCGTTGCTAACTGCGCTGGCGAGCTCTGCATATCCGACCCATTGCATGCCACCCTGAACAACGGGCACTGTTCAATATGCTGTCAGTATGGAGCTGTGAGGATCACTTCTCTTGAGACTTACCTCTAATACCGAGTGCCCTCGTAAGCTCGGTGTTGAACGGCATTCTGGAAGACAAACAAGGAGCGACGGGATAACTGAAGAGTCAATATGGGGTTAGACTTTGAGATGAAGTCGCAGGGAGCGTGAGGAATATTTGAACCCCCGAGGAGCAGCGCGCGTTACGGGCGTTGCGACGGTTGGGGTATGTCAAGCGTGTGGGGAAGACATGTGCCGAGGCAATTCGGGGGACGCGACACCAAACGCGGATCCAAGCCCGTCACATGCAGCTAGCACCGACTTGTTCGCCGGCATGATTCGGTTCTGTTGAGTCGCTTGTGATTGCTCGCAGTTGTGATGATATAGATGGCGTTTGATGCGACTACTCGGTCCTGGATGGCAACAGCGGCTCGATGGTATAAGCTTCAAATCTTTTTCAAGTCCATGGAACGCCCTCCCACAACCTCAGTTCGAGATGATAGAGGTTCTAACCATGCAAAACACCGGCTTCTGAGATTACGTGTTCAAACTGTCCACAACCTACCACTGGCTTACGCTATTTCTTCCGGGCTGGTCTTTCAAGATGGAGAGCTCCATCCTACCAATAGTGATATCTGAGAAGGAGAAAAGAAACAGCAACTTGGGACTGTGGCAACCCGATTTCGCGCGACGATTTCCCAGTACCTAGGTGTAGGTACAGCCTCACAGTAATAAGCCTTGCGCTTACGCTTTCGCTCGGTACCATCAATCTCCGGCACCAACCAAGCGAGGCAAGTGACACAATACATGCGTCCATTAGCTTGCTGCTAAACTTAAGAACGATACTTAGGGCCCATCCCCTCAAGGAACCTTCAGAATCGTAAACTTCAGCGATATGTTTTGCTCGCTTGCTTTCCTCGCCTTGGCTCAGGTCATGTACGCTACATGCACGCCGAAGACCTTTGACTATGTCATCGTTGGTAGCGGGCCAGCAGGCCTCGTCATAGCGAATCGCCTGTCTGCTGACCCAAAGGTCACTGTCGCCGTCATTGAAGCAGGAGACTCGGCTTACAGCAACCCAAACGTGACAACTCTACCAAAATTAATCACAGAGTACGGTGCCGGGCTCGATACCTCAGTGGACTGGAGCTACTCGAGCGCACCGCAGACGTACATGTTCAATCGTACATTGCCATATCATGCGGGAAAGGCCTTGGGCGGTACAACGACTATCAATGGAATGACTTTTTTGAGGGCAGAGAAAGCACAGATTGATGCTTGGGAAGAGTTAGGTAACCAAGGCTGGAACTGGGACAGCTTATGGGATTCCTATTCAGCGCAAGAAGGCTTTCAGCCCCCAAATGAAGAGCAACGAAGGAACGGCGCTACCTACGAGGACGCTGCACACGGGTTTAACGGTGACCTCAGCACAGGATTTACTCCATACTTGGTAGGCCAGGGATTCTTCAACACGCTCAAGGAAACGTCGGAAGCGCTTGGCTATCTTTCCAATTCCGATGCCAACGACGGCAGCATGCGCGGCACTACAACTTGGCCTATGACAATTGATGCTTCCAAGTCGATACGCGAGGATGCAGCTAGAGCGTTCTACTACCCTGTCGCCGAGTCGCGGCCAAATCTCCACGTGTTTCTCAATACAACGGCAACAAGGATCGTATTCGAAGAGAATGAATGCTCTACATCTGAAGTAGTTGCTACCGGCGTTGAAGTGATCTCATCGGATAACACGACTGAAACTATTCGCGGAACCAGAGAAGTCATAATCTCTGCAGGATCGATCAGATCTCCCGCTCTTCTTGAACATTCAGGCATCGGCAACCAAGCAGTACTCGAGCCTCTTGGTATCAAGACCGTTGTCTCGCACCCAACAATAGGATCCAACCTACAAGATCAGCCAAATATAGCTATCGTCTATACTTCACCGACAAATTGGACTGGTTATCCTACTTTCGTTAGCTTACTCACGGCCTCGGACCTTTTTGGCGATGATTTACCTGGCATCACGGAAGAAATTCGAGCCAATATTAGCGTCTACGCAGGCGCTATCCTTGCAGATTACGCACCGCACACCACAACCTTGGAGATACAAGAGAAGCTCCTTAAGCATCAAGTCGACCTCATTTTTGACGCCAATAGTACTGTCCCTTTAGCTGAGATTCTATGGGCTCCCGCAGGCAACTTAATCATCGTGCCATTCTGGAATTTGCTACCGCTTTCTCGTGGCTCAATCCACGTAACGTCTCCTGATCCACTCCTTCCACCATCAATCAACCCCCAGCTTTTCCAATTGCCCATTGATTCTTTCGTTCAAGCAGCAATCGCAGTTCGCGTACGCGAATTCTTCGCTACAGGACCACTCTCCGAGCATGTCACGTCAGAGATCTCGCCAGGAATTGAAGCAGTACCACAGAACGCAAGCTGGCGTGACCCCTCATGGGCTACATGGATCAAAAAAACTTCTGGGACAAACACGCATCCTGTAAGCACCTGTGCGATGATGAGCAAGGAATTGGGAGGTGTCGTAGATAAGGAGGGCAAGGTCTATGGGACGAAAAACGTGAGGGTAGTAGATGCAAGCATATTCCCAACACAGATTAGTGGGCATCTCTCTGCAAGCGTTTATGCGCTTGCTGGGAGAATTGCTGATTCAATACTGGCCAAAACGGAAAGGTAGGAGCGTATGTTTGTGTGTTAGGCATACCATACCCCACTTCCCCACCACACAAGTCAGGCAGCACTTTCGAATATACAATTTCATCACTGTCTAGTGCCGCTTTCTTAACTCAACAAGGTTGATAGTTTCAGATTTGCTCTAAAACCGTCCAGATACCGCTTTAATTTCGGAACACCGGCTCATTGTGAGTCTCACAGACATCAGATATTACGATGCCGTCACTCTTGACCATACCGCGCGAGCTGCGCGACCAAATATGCACATACGCCCTCTTCGCCCAAACCAACGAGCGCCAGGCGCTCAATCAAACGTTCGAGCAGCTGATAGATAATCGAAAATCCAGCCCTGCAGTCTTGGAGTGACCTTGCCCTCGGAAACCCAGAAGATACAATCTCAAATGATTCAAGTTTGCTTCAAATCAATCACCAGCTGCGTGCCGAGACGATCGAAAACATAAAGCTCTTCGCAAAGCGTGCCACTTATGACCTAGACATCATCTTGGTGGACGAAATCCTGCTTCTGCCAACATGGGTCCGCGTACCCTTCCTTACGAATCGCCTCGAGGAAGTGAATGCGACATTCCGCATTTCAGGTAGCTTCGATCCAAAGAAGGAGAAGCCGCGTCGGAAGAAGGGGGAAGACGATCCACCCTTGGGCCCTTATGTGCGCTTCGGATCCTACAAAGGCTTTCGAATTGGCTCAGGCGCTGGGCCCGCAATGGGGTGGCAGATCTACGGCGTGCTTGAGCGTTTCATCCGCGCTGGTCCAATTGGCCATTGCACTGAAAGAAACGATCATCGCCATGTGGCTGTCAAAACTCTCAACATCAACATCGAAACACCCCCGGATATTGACGCATCTCGCTTCCTCGAAGCCCCGCGAACTGTACAATGGCGTCATTATAGCAATCCCGTCGACGACGACGACGACAAAGATGTGCTAGACCCCGACTACCTGGTCGACTTCATCAGGGGTCGGTTGTATGGCTTACTTAATGGGTCAGATCATGAGTGGTTCTCGTATGGGAAGATACTGTACGAACATGTAGATGAGGTCGTCATGAAGAAAGACGGAGTTCAAATTAGGAGATTTGATGTGGCCAAGATGCTGCGGAATGTACAGGGGTTGGAAGAGAGATATGTGACAAAGAAGCAGTTAAGGAAGTACAAAGAGATGGTATGGCGGGTAAGAAAGGAGAGGGGATTGAAGGTGCTTTCGAGCTGACTTGAGGGATTTGGGTTCAACGGCGGTGGATTTGACACAGGTTACACAATGATGGAACAAATTGAATCAAGTAGTATCTTGCGAGAGAATGCATGCTCAAATCTTGAACACAAAATAAAATTCAATAATCTAAAATATACAATTGAAGCTACTAACTCACTGAAACACACACCAAATTTCTAAACAATGCATGTTTACTGGCCAGCAAGCCTGGAACGGGGCGGGGTGCCAGGATAGAAACTGGCAGGCATAGTCGGAATGGGAATGCTAGCCGCGGTGCCAAAGGCGGTCTTGAGATCCTCCTTCATAACCGGGGCAGAGTATCCCGTCGGGGCAGCGACCTGCGTAGACGTGATCGCCGCATAACCAGCTCCAGTACCCTTCTTCAGGCAGAAACCGTTGCCGTATCCGGAGCGGCACGAGTAGGTCTGTTTGTTGCCGGTCTCGGTCCACATGGAGAGGTCGGTGATGTTGATATCAGTGCACGGTGTCTTGTCAGAGCAAGCAACCTTGACGGGGCCGCGCTGTGCGCCGTTGGCGAGGCCGCCTTTCCAGTTCTTGAATGTCATGTTGGACAGCTTGACGCCGTCTCCTGCGATCAACTTCATGGACGACCAGTATTGGTCAATGTCGAGCGAGTATGCGTTTCCGTGGCCGATGAAGTTTTCAAACACGACGTCTTCGACGTAGCCGCTGCCGCCGTTGGACTTGATCATCATCATCTGGTTGGAATGTACCGTGTAGATGTTCCTGTAAATGACGGAGGAGATGGCTGTGTCGGTTCCGAGGGAGCCAATGGCGCTGCCGCCGCTCCAGTTGCAGTAGATGTTTTCGATGAGGATGTTCTTCGAGGGCGACTTTACTGTGACGCACTCATCTTTGTTGGTGACCATGACCTGGTAATGTGATTAGTCTCATTGAGAAATCAAAAGCAGAGAAGCGCTTACATCATGGATCCAGATGTTAGTACCCCAGACATCTACGCCATCGAGACCGCCCATATCACCGCCCCGGATAGCCATGTTATAAGCCTCTCCATTTGAGCTCTTCGATATGACGAAATGGAACATCGGGGCATCGACAAGAATGATATCATGGACTGAGAAGTTCGTAGACTGCTCAATACGGATAAGGCGAGCGCCGTCGCGCTTTCCAGTCTTGTGGTCCTCGAAGCCGTTACCTAGGGATGCATTAGTATGAATCATCCAAGGACACAATGTTCGTCAAACATACCCTGAATGACACCCTTGCCGTTGCTGCTGAACAACTCAAAGTCGTTCGCGTTCCTCACGAACAGCATGTTGCCGCTACCACCACTGGTGCGAGAAATCGTGCCGTCGATCTGGAGCGCCCATCCCTTGCCACTCTCAAATGTAACCCAAGTCTTGATCGCGAATTCACCCGCTGGAACAACGACGGTACCACCAGTCTTACAAGCTGCAAACGCAGCCAGCAGAGGCGGACCGATATCGGTCGTCTTATCCGCCTTCGCACCATAGCTGAGGACATTGCAAGTCTTTTTGGCGGACTTGGCAGCATGCGTGGTCAAAGGTCCGACCTTGCCTGATAGCTGTCCGAATACAGGGAGAACGGACGCAGCCGCGACGAGGAATGAGGTGAAGTGCATTGTGTGTGAAAAAAAAGACCTGCCCAGCAGGAACGAGTGATGGAGAAGTTAATAAAAAAAGCTGGTCGGCGATAAAAGAGTGACTTTGGTATAAAAGAGAGACAGTGAACGATAAATTGGCGAGCTGGAGGGCTGATAATCTCAAAAGATATATAAGTTCTGGATGGCGCAAAGGCCATCCAGGACCCTAGTGAAGATCGTACTGAATCTCATTTCCTAGCTCCGTAACACGGCCCCCGCAAGATAATCGTATGAGTCTCACAGCATCTGATTGTAGTAGGGCCGTTGACAATCTGATATGATATTCCGTTTTGATAACCTCGTGGGGGTTGGTAGGCGTTGGTATTTGCTGGCGAACAAACTGCAGAGCCTCTCTTTCCTGCACGAGAATCACCAAACTTTCTGCAAAACAAAGACGGAATTCGAAAAGGGCCGAAACGCACGAGTGCATAAAAGTGCGAACCTTCACCTGTCCTCTACGGGATTAGCCATGCTTTCCATGATCTCAAAAAAAGCTTCGCCCGAAGCTTAGTATCGCGATGTTTCATGTTAACGGTCTGGAACGGTGGTCATATACCACTAGGCCATTTCCATACTAGATCCTGCGAGACACGGGGGGAGATGGACAAGCTGTGGAGATGAGGTGTTGCGCGGGTGATGCTGACAATGCCGCGTGCCGTGAGCTAGGGGCAGATTCGTGGAAAACAAGTTTCACGATCTTGAATGAAAGGAGCGATGGAAATTCTTCCGATGATTAGCCTGGCACGTGCCGGGGATTTTCAACGCCTGAAACGAACGCCACCCATGCACTTCTGATAAAGAAATGGAGCCTGAGGAATGCCATAATGCAGTTCTTGATTTTACTTTGACTCGATTGAACTATCTACTGACAACCTTTGATTTTGAATAATAACCATACTCGGCGTCCGCTTGATAACTTGAATGAAAAATAATACAAATGAGCATACTAGCCCTTCTCCTGAGGGCCCGCAAATGCCAGAGTCACACCGACAACCCCATGAACGCCAGTCAAAATGCATTTCCAAGACAAACGATCAAAGTCAACACTTTTGGTCGACTCCGTAATCCCGAAACTCTTCATCCCCCAATACTCCCATTCACTCTCGTTCCCTTCTTCTTCTCTACAGATATCCCATCCACAGCGGATCCGTCATACTCAACTTGCCCGGATGCACCGCGACAGCTACGAGGTCAACCATCGTCTGGTTTGCCGGCAAGTTCGCGCCCGTGGGCAGACTCCCAATGGCACTCGCCCTCTTCACCACCAACTCACTATTGCTCTGCACCGACTCCCTCAACACCTCAGGCGTAAGCTGACTAGCCTTGTGTTGAGAAGTGAACCAATGATTCATCTCATCGCGCATGAAGATAGAAAGTTGCATCTCAAGTTCGCCTTCAGGCTCGATCAAGCAGCGAGCGACTGTCATGACGGCGGGCGCGAATATACCCTCGAGATTGAGGGGTCCCATGATAGTCTGTAAGTTGGGTGTTAGGCGGAAGGGCACGGGCTCCGAGTTGTGCAGGATGGGTTTGCCGACTGCCATTGAGGGGATGAGTTCGGAGCCCCAGACCCTGCCAGTAGCACGCGAGACGCTGATCTTTTGTGGGAAACGTGTGTTCATGTGCATGACGTATGTCATGAAGGTGAGCGCTGCAAGCTGGTACGAGAAAGTGCGGCGGAAGAGCCAGAAGTCTGCGAAATTGGGGTATGTGGCGCGGAAGTAGTCCTGGATCACAGTAGGTGGCACGTACTTCTCCTGAACGGCGGCGAAGGTCTCGAGGCGGATGGAATTTGCGTGTTCGATGTTTTTCTGTTCGTTGACGTTAGCTGGCTGTGGGCTTGATTCTATGGGGTTGGCTGCACTTACCGGTTGTAGAGCTCTCAGCTTCTCGATGCTGAAAAGGACAGGCTCATCCTTGTTGATACCGTTCTTCCTGCAATAATCTTCGTAGATGCCCTGCATGTTGATATACGACGCATCGTCCTGGACCATGCGCACACTCGGCGTGATCGGAACCACAAGCGGGAGATGGAACTGTAAATTCCTCCGACGACTCTCTTTGCGCTTCGCCAAGATGCCGTTGAAGATACGGAACAGCTGCAGAATGCGTTCTTCTCGCCTCGAGCTTCTAGGGGCCGGAAACTGGATCGCAAAGGGGTGTATACTTCCATCATGACCACGAATTTGAAGGCGTCGATGACATATGCCAATGCCACGTACCAGCTCAACATCAGGAAGGAAGCGCTCGATGCGGACAAAGTCCGAGTTCTTATCGCGATGCTGCAGGTACTGTCCAGGGACTTCCACATCGTCAAACTTGAGGAATCGGAACTCGCTAAGCTGATGCGTATACTGCTCGAGCGGCACTGTAAGCCTCCTTCGGTCAAGCCTCTCTTCAAAGCGATTTCGCCAAGTACGTAATTTCTGGATGTATTCGTACATTGTCGGCTTATTCTTGACAAAATCCATTTCGAACGCTTTACGGATATGTGGTGGCAGGACTGACTCGGCGAATCGCGTAATGTTCGCCTCGGTCGAAGCAGGCAATTTAACTTCGCGCGCGTAGAGGTTTGGCTGGCGACCAACGTACGACAAACCATCGTTCAGAAGAGCCACGATGAGCCTGTAGGCATCTTCGTCCGGAGGGCATTTGAAGTTCTTCTGGATCTGGTCGAACATCGTCTCCATGGAGAGAGCGAGGAGAGGGAAAGCCGTCTTTAGGATCGCACTGATTTCCTCCACATGATCCCAAGGTTTCTTTGGGGCTGGCGGCGCATCACCAGCAACAGGTGCGGCGGCTGCATTTGGACTGCTTTGCTGGCCACCCTCAGACTTAATGGTGCCATTCGGTGTACCGTTCGCGGTAGGCTTGCTCTCACTACTCGCGGATGCTGGCCGGTTGCCGCTAGAGCCAGGTCGAGCTTCTGGTGAGCTTTGCTTCGCTGCAGGGGATCCTTGGCCTTGTTGTTGTTTTGCCTTTGTTACTTTGTCCTTGGCCTCCTTCTGTTCGTGATTCTTCTTAAGCACCACCATATCTTCTCTAGTCGTCCTGAGGTGGCAGTACAGTGCCTGAGGATACGTCTTAGCCAGCTTACCCAGAATCGACCTTGCGATGGGCGCTTCCTGTCTTGAAAGACTGTTCAGCAACTGAGGGATGTAAGTAATCCAGTACCAAGCCGGAGTATCGCCCTTGAACTCTTCAAACTTCTCCGCTAACTTCCTCTCGGGGTTATCCAAGCTGAGCAACCACAGCACGCGTCCGAGCAACTTTCTCGACTTCGCGTTCTTGAACTGACTCGCAGCCTCAAGATAGCAGCTTAGTGCTGCTTCAGCCCTCTCCAGATTCTGCGGCTCCTCCTTGAACAGCATATCGTTGTATCGGCCCCACTCCGCCCAAGCCTTTGGCAGCTTGATATCAAAGTACAGCGCAGTGCCAAAAGCCTCACCAGCCTCGTTCTTCTGCCCCAATTTGGCCAGGAACATACCCTTTAGCGTATAGAACTCTGCCTTCTGTTGCGGACCGAAGTAGTTGAGATTGGTATTGTTAATGACATCCAACCCACTGTTGAGATCAGCGCGGATCTGATAATGGCACTTCGCCTGTTCACGCAACTTCAAGAACGCTTCTTGGATTTCGATATTGGGAAGGGTGTAGATGCGTCCGAGTTGGTTGATGCACACTTCCGGAAGATTGTGCTTGCGTGCTACGTGCGCAAAGCGGTTGATGATCCATGCAGTCTCATGGTAGCCTCGGTACGCAAAGGAGTTGCCGCTGGCGTTATTTTGGTTCGGCGGAAGGAGGTTCAGGTAAACCCCATTGATCATGTGGAAGATGTGCTGGCGCCAAGTGACAAGATCTTGCCATGCATTGATGTCGTCCCAGAAGTTGGGTAAGCGATCGCGCCAGGTACTCAGAAGAAGCTTAAGCTCCTGAGATTTGATGTCGAGATTCTGCTGCGTTGTCTGCGCAAGGCTCTGACAGATGACACTAGCATCATGCAGTTCCACCAGCTGCTGGAAGTGCTGTAGTAGTGGAATGTGCGCCTGCGTAATGCGTCGAGGAAGCTGGTGCCACTTTCGGATCGAGAGCTGAATGGACTCGTCACACAGTCGATGGAACTCAGGCTGCGACTCCTGCTTATTGTGGAGCTTGAGAAGAGACATGAACGTTTGGAAGAAGACTCGTCGTGGTGTCGGGGCATCGCTGACAGCCTTGATAGTTGCATCAAGCTGTTCGCGCGTCTCAGTGTTCTGCCAGGCGTCGAATACCCGCCAGGTAGACTCAAGGTAGAGATCGTTGAAGTTCTCGTGCTTAGCGAAATCACTCAAGATCTCCCATTGCTGCAGTTTCTGTGCACATATCACCCAATGGTCTTCCCAGAGCATATACTCGCCGGTCGAGAAAGGTAGCACAGAAGTTCGAGCTTTGATCTGCGCTGCCTCGTACATTTGCTGTGCCTTGTCCCAGATGCCGCACTGCTCATAGGATAGAGCAGCATTACTCTCAATGAACTGGCAACGCCGTCGCCATGTGCCGTAGAACAAGTCATCCTCTTGTAAGCCACTGTATATCTCTAAAAGAGCATCGAGATTGCTCTCTCGCAGCTTTTCGACATCGACAACAGGTGAGATGGCAGAGTCTTCCATGTACACGGCCGCAGTATACCAGGCGTTGTACGTTTGAGCCAGGTACTTCATGATGTGGGGAGGAAACTTGACGCGTGGCCGAGCATGCACGATAGCATCCAGCATGGTCGCGACGCAATTAGGTCGCTTGTCGAGTTGGCGCGAATGGTAGTCCTTGGTCAGGAGTGCCGCCATGCCCTTCTCTAGGTCGCTCTGGTCATCCTTCGTGAGCGCAGTCCAGGCTAGAGGGAAGAACGCAATCCAAATGTCGTGAGCAAGATTGCTGTCGGTATGCTGAAGGTGTCCGAGCGGCTCAAAGATATCCTTGATCTTAACGTCGGCTAATTGACTGCAGAAGCGGCGATGGCCATTGATAAGATTCTCCAACTCATCGTCGACCATGACATCCGGAATCCTAGAATCCTTGCTGTAGGGTCCAAACAAGGTGGTCGGCTGCAAGAGTCGGAAGTCCTCTTGATGCAGCTGTGCAGGCGTGTTCATCTCAACCGAGCCAAACATCAAATGGATGACTTGGCTCAGCCAGTAGCTATCAGAAAGCGTATCCCAGTTCTGGGATGCAAGCACATAGCTCAAACGACTAGCTGCGGTACGACTTAAACTCTTGTCGAAGATGACCATATATCGGTTGCGCATCTCGACATCTTGTGCCCTTGTGCCGATCAAGAACGCATGTTCCATCCGAACCGTAAGCTCACTCCTTGTAATCTTAGGATCCTCGTAGATTCGGATGACAAGATCGAGGAAGCGGGTGAGGAGTGAGGTATCTTGTCGGTGTTCAAAGAGAAGCATCTTGCTGAGCACTGCGGTCTTCTCCTTGAGCGTTGGAACTGGCTCAGTGGAGTGGAAGATCCAGTCTTCCACGAGATCCAGCACCTTCATGCACACGGAATTAGTTTGAGACCGCTCAACAAGTGAGGCAAGGACGCTCAAGTAAGGTCGCCGGTTTTCGCCAAGTTCGTTCATCCGCGCTGCGAGAATGTCGACGGTTTTGAGAACGAGATCCGTTTGAACCTCGACCTCACGGGGATCGGTTGGCGGATTGGATCCTTCCGGACGCATACTAGGCGGAACAGGCTGCCCTGGGATTCCGGCGTGACCAGCGAGATGATCCTTGGCCATTTTGCCCTGGAACGCTTTCATGACCTGTGGTATATGCTGGTCGATCTCCTCTGGTCGCTTCTGACAAAGGGTCCAAAGGACATTGATGGCACAGACATAGGAGCCGTTCGAGAGTGCCTCGGTCGAGACAGCTCCCAGGAAGTTGACAAATTCTGTTGATGGGGACTCTTCGGTGTTTCCCTCATCGTCTGTAACAGGATCTGGCATGACCTCCAAGATCCGTTTGAGAATGGGCTGCAACTTCATCGATCCATCCTCAGACTCGTCGGTCGCGTGTAAACTCGCCTGAACATCGGGGTTTTCGGATCGAACTGGCTTCTCTAGGATTTTCTGGAACTGCGGAATACGCTGGAGTACCCAGTCGTCTGGCTTAACATTGACAATAACCTTTACGATCTGTAGCGTGTTGATCATTCGTGTATGGAACACTTCAGATTTATCCTCCTGTTTCATCTCAATCAGTAGGATCTCCTCGATCTTCTTCGTAAGCATTACGTCGAGGTCCAAATCGTTCCATAGTCGCTGTGAGAGGAGGTCGTGTAGTAGCTGCACAGCCTTTCTACAAATCTCAGCGGGCTGCGATGTGTTGGTTGTGACAATGACTGCATCCTTTGGCTTGGGTGAGGCAACAGGGAAGCGCTCGGGTAGGTACGCTATGAACTGAACGAGGTACTTGATCAGCATCATGCGGATGCCGGCTGAAGCGACAAAGCCCTTTGGCAACGGACCCGGAGCCACGGCCGACCCGTCTGCTCGCCTTTTAAGCGCTTGTGGTGACTCCGATTTTATCTCAGCCGTACCTCCAGCCTCATTTGCTGTTCGTTCTTCCCAGGTCCTGATGAGGCTGATCAAGTTCAACGCGAGCTTCTTAGCATCGGTCGACGGATTCGGAGGCTGCGCAATCTTCGAAAGCGCGGTGATGATAATACTAGACAAATGCTCGCGCCCCTCGTAGAAAAGATCCGGATGCTTTACAATGAAGTTGAAAATGCTCATCAACTGCTGCAAATTCGAACTTTCCTCGGACAGGATTTTGCGCGGGTGCTGGATCCATCTGGGCATCTTCGGGTCGCCGTTCCCCATCCGCTTTTGCAAGACTGGTGCCATAAGCTCCAGCGCCTGCATTACTAGTGAACGTCCTTCATTTTGATGCGCCTTGAGAAGGGCTTGATAGACCTGAATGGCAATCTTCATAGGCGTATCGTACACAGCGATGAAGAAAGCGATGAGAACATACGCCGCGTATTTGTTGATGACGTCTTCGAGCTTGATGTAGTTCCAGGCAAACTTGATGACCACTTTACGAGCGTCTTGGATCATACCGGAATAGTGCTTGAGAAGGAGTGTGGTGAGTTGAAGCAGTTCCATTCGCGAATGGTCAACGCCAAGCTGTGCAGTCTCCTCTGAGGTATCGGTTAGTGACTGTGGTTTCCACAGTCGGTTGTGAATTGTCTCCGTCATGTTACGATCCATCAACTTGGTACCCTTCATATTTTGATCGAACAGGCTGTCCCAGTTGCGCTTGACATCCATGGCAAAGATGGGATTGACGATATACCGGAAGATGAAGGTCTTTGACTTTTGCGAGGAAGTCCGTGACGTATACAGGTCGATGCACTTGTGCACTAAAGTCTTCCAGTATTCGACAGACTCGCTGCAAATGATCTCTTCGTAGATGAAGTCGAACAATCGTGGCGACGCTTTCAACTCCTCAGATGTGATAGCATCGATAAGCTCGAAAAAGAAGTCCAACCCGTTCGGCTCGTGCTTGAGGTACGTGGTGAAAATGAACATGACCTGGTCACTGGCTTGTTCAGTAGCCAGACGTAACTCCACGTCGATGGTGTTCAAACGGAGTTTCTTTTCCAATGACCGCGCTGCCTCAAAAATTCCCTTCCGCAAGTCGTCATGGTCAACCAGCCACTTACTCGTCGCCTCGAATTGGCTAAGTGCATACGCAATGTGAATAGCGTTGAGCTGAATCTGACAAGTCTCCTTGTCGGTCCCTTCCGAGTTCAACACATTCAAGAAACCAGGCACATCCTCCATGACCTGCTTTCGCAAGACAGCGCTCAATTTGTTCTCGAGCAGCTGTGCAAAGAAGCGCCCAGGTATCTGTTCCTTCAGCTTTGGTGCGAAGTAATCCCAAGCTTCTTTGGGGTACATGCAGAGATACTTAATAAGTGGCTCTCTGAACGGACTGTAATGTGTTCGTCGTAGTGCAATCTCCAGTTCGATGACTTTTTCGATGACCTGCTTGAGGAACGTAGCAGCCGTGGGTGGAAGGAGGTGGAAGATGTTGAAGATGCCTGTGACAACCTTCATCTTGGGATTCTGCTCGATCATGGTGAATGAGATCTTTTGCAGGCTATTCTGATCTGCAATCATCTTCATATGGTCCAGAAGACGAGTTGCGATCTCGACTCTGAAGTAGTTCGTTAACAGCTTCAGCAATCGAGCCAGTCCATCCAGGTTCTCAACCGAGAGCTTGCGTGGATCTTGAAGATTGACGAGGATGGGGCGGAGACCACTTTGTAGGACATCCTTTGGCAATTTGTTTGTAGCCGAGATGACACCAGACAAGCCGATATTGGCTGCCTCGATGACTTCAGGAGATCTCGAGTACAGACACTTGAAGAAAACGGCGATGATACGGAGGAAAGTCTGGTTCGGTGGCATGCTGCTGAACTCTGGGAAGCTCTGGGCGGTAGATAGAAGGTGGATGCAGGCGACCCGCAAGTTGACGATGTGCTCCGCATTACGTTGCTCGAAAGGCTTACTTGCGAGTCCTTCGTCTTCCGCATCGGCCAATGCAAGTGACTCCATGAGCAGCCTCGTGAGCTGGTCATTGAACTCCAGAATATTATTTTTGAGCTTCAGGCAGAAGGTGATAGCGTCGATATAAGCAATCTGTATGCCGAATGGCAGCGCTCGAAGGGGCTTCGTCCATATTGGTACAATGAGTCTATCCTTGACTGGCATGATGAGTTCGCTTACGGTCAAACCGGTAACACCAGACAGTACGTGGAAAGCTTTTTGTGTCGCCTCTCGTACACTCTTGTTCATGTGTGAGAGGTCACCCACTAGCTGACCGCATAGTCTTAGTGTGATGTTGTTGCCCTTCTCAAACTCTTCCTTGGTAGTTCTCTTGTGACATTGTTTGATCAGTTCCCCTATCAGGCCTTCTGCTTGAATGCGCGTCTTCGAATCGAGGTCAATCGGCATGTCCTTCATGACGAAGTTTAGAGCCCTAATAAGTTCAAAATGGCGTGCCACCATCCATGATTGGGGGAGTCCTAGCTGCTTGATGATGATCTCGATGCCTCGTGTTCCACCCGACTTCATAAACCAGTCGTCGGCGTGGCAATTATGGCAGAAGGTACTTGATAGCTCGTTGAAAAAGGAGAACTTGTCGAGCGAATTGTCGTTGCCAAAGATCGCTTTGACGGCATCACGCATCGTCAGAATAGCTTGTTCAGCAGCATCTCGCACATCTGGGTGTTCCGATGCAAGAGATTCACCAATAGCGTCGGAGATGACATCGCTTTCGATCGTGACCGGTCCTTCGCCCGAATGCACATCGAACGGTTTGTTCTTATGCTTTAAGGTTGCAAACTGAGTCCCGAGCTCTAGGAGGGTGAAATGTTTGGCTAGATTCGTCACCAAGGCTTCAGCATCTGTCTTGAGATCTGGTATTGACACAGCGAAGATGCATGCCTTGATGAGCTTCTTCAACGTGTCTTGCTCGACAACCTTCTTGACGATGGACCTCTCTCGCTCAGACGCTGTGAGTATGTCGACTCCATCCTCAAATTTCTTGGCGCATAGATCATTCGCTTGCAGTCTTACTAGCTGAGCAAAGTCCTCGGGTAAGTTGTCGAAGCCAACTAAAAGTTTCGTATGTGCCGTAATGAGGCGGAAAGCCTGCTGCTTGTGGAACGCATCTGACTTCTTCGCTGCTGGTTGCTTCGGGATCTCATGTAGCTTAGCGATAGCGGTATCTATACCTATCGCTGCCGGGAAAGCACGATCCTTGGTCGATCCAATGAGCCGGATGTCGATGGAAGATTGATCGTCCGAGTAAGGCTTGTACTCCAGCTCCGGAGGCCCTGTGATGAACTTTCGATTGCGTCCACCGAGCTTACCAAGAATGCGCATTGTGGTATGGGCATGGAAGTGACTGTAGGGATTCGGCTTCAGGTGCTCCCATAATGCAGCCATGAGTTCGTCGATGACAGGCGCCATGATTGGATCCAGATAGTCCGCCGTCAAATTGTCCACGCATAATTCGAGTGTGCGCAATCCTTGGCCGACGAGATCAGAGCCAGCTCGTAATGCTACAACCAGAGGCCTCATGAGGTAGCTAAGGTGCGGCAGAAGGTTGCTCAACCGCGCTGGCACTGTGAGAGATAGTTCCACAAATAGGTCGCGCTCAGCAGGCTTGCGAGCTGTCAATAAAAGGTTGTTGAGAACGTCCAGTAACATCTCCAGCAATGGAAGGATCTCCTTATAGAGATGTTCGAATCTGCCGCCACCTATGCTTCTGAATAACGACCTGAGCAGTAAGAAGTAGTTCATCGGCTCTTCGGCTGTTGTTGACAATTGTATCGATTTTGTGATGATTTTGCTGACGTGCGGCAACAGCACCTGCTCATTCTGTGCGGAGAAAAGCGTGACAGCCATAAATGAGAGTTTGAAAAGGCGTAACAGAATAGACGACTTCTTTACGTCCGCTGTGCCGACTTCTTCGATCCGATCCATTAAGAACTGTAACAACATTCCCGAGAAGCTTGGCGACGTCGCTTCCGACGCCAGGAGAAACTGCGGTACGTGGAGTAACGCGGGATGATCAAACATCATATCGTACAAATGGGGTATCTCGGAGGAAAACACTTCGTGGAACGTAGCTGGATCGATGTGGTGAAATACGGTTGCGAACGTCTCCAAGAGCTCCTTCTCGTCCTTGCCGCTCGACATCATGTGCTGGTTTCCCATGAAATCTCCCGGTGATAGGCCTTGCGTTTCCGGGGACTTGTCGGTGCCGTAGTAGCGAAATACTTTTGCGCCTTCGCGGAAAAGCTTGATAAGGACCTCAACCTCTTCCGCATTATAGCCAAAGGAAACCTCATGCCAGTTTGCCGATGCGTTGGCCACATCTATCTCTTCTTTGATCTTCGCCGGATTACAAACTCGTAGCTGGTAGAAGAGATTCTTAAGCCCATGAAGCAGATTCTTGAACAGGAACTTGTTGTCGGCAATTGGATCCGAGCTCCTATCTCGCGGATTCGAAGTTTTAATGGGCGTCGCATTGAAGATGTCGATTTCGTCCCAGTCTGGAGGGTGTTCTTGAACAGCCATGTGATTTTCGTCTACCGCATCGATAGAAGGCTGACTATACTGAGCCGACAGCTTGACAGCGTTGTGATACTGACGGTTCATAGAGGCAAACTTATCGCCAATGGCGTTGAGTATCATGATCAAAAAGTACCGGGCATCTTCCTTTGGCTCCAGTTTAGCAATGCACTCCGTCATGTTAAGTAGAAGTTTTGCACTCATCGTCTGGAAGCTTGTTCCCGGGAATGTGTCGTGGAGGTTCTTAGTGTATACCTCTACGGTCCGGCGAATTTGCTCCTTGGAAAGCGATTCTCGTAGATGGTGTATTAGGTCGGCAAGCATGCTATAGGCCAGCGGACGCATAGTCTCGTAGACCGTCAGCCCGTCACCAATCAACGTCCGTTCGTCTAAGAGCTCATCGATCTTCTTAAGAAAGATTTTGCGGAAGTTGAAGTTGATGATATGCCTGATAGCCACCAAGAGCTCCTTGCGCGCTCCGGACTTCTCTCGCGGGCAGTCTTTGAGTAGCCGTACGACAATATCCGGTAGTGTTGGCAAAAAGTCGTTCAGCTGGTTCGCGTACACCCTCAGGAGGTAGGCTAGGAAGCTCATGGTTTTGACTTGAGCTGTAATAAAGTCGCCGAACGCAGCGCGGTTGCGAATGTCCTTGCTGACCCCGGTGAAGATGGTGCCCCGTTCTTTGGCCTCTTCGTGTGCCTTTTCTTGCGGCTTCGCCTGTAGCAGGAGCACATTCTTGATAAGCGGAACAAAAAGTTTCACGTTCTTGTTGACGCAATTCCTGTATGCCTGAAATAGTGACACGACGATTATGGGGCACTCGGCGAGGACCTTGAACGACTGCATGCCCTTCAACAGCATGCGCGTTTGCTGGTGTTCTGACCCGATTTCGCCTGCGGGACCAGATGTGAGGGCGGTCGCGGGTGAACTCGGTCGCGGGGACTGTGAGTATTGGTGATTGTTCGGAGTTGATGGTACGCCCTGCGAGGCTGGCGCTGGCGCGCTGCTGTCGAACGTGTCGTGCACCGCCTGCTCCATCGTCTCGAACATCTCTTGAATAAGGTCTAGAAACGGTTGCACTCGGTCCGCGAGAGCCTTGGTCTGGTGCCGCTGAAAGTCCATAATGGTCTTCATGCACAACACGGCATTATCCTCATTTTCCAACTTCACCAAGCTCATAAGCTTGTCCACTATCTTGGCCGCATGGGGTTCGACCGCCTCAACCGGGTTCATAGGAAGTCGGTGTAGGATCTCGAGGACGCAATTCCGTATTCGCTGTGCCTGGGGTTAGACTGTTACTTTGTGGTCACAGAGTCGTGCGCTCACCTGTTCCGGGGACGTGGATATAAAGACCGGGTTGCCATCCAGTATTCTGAGAAACACTGGGACAAGATGGTTCAAGAAAGGGCTGTACTGCTGCCCTTGGCAGTAACTCTCGATGCTGTCTCGTATGTCGATCGCCAGCGTTCCTTTCGTTCGTAGATCTACGCGCAATCAGCCTCCAGTCTCTTTCCCATAGCTTGCGCAACCATTTGCAAGCGGATATTGCTTCCAGGGAAGATCATATACCAGAATTTGGATCGTCCAGCTTTGCGGCCATAGCCTCAAAGTTGTGAGTCGCCATGGCGAGATGGGTGTGCAGCTTGCAGCTGCTTGTCCTGCCCCTTAGGCCCCTCCTAGGCTACTCGGGTTGGTACTGCAACAATCCAGCTACGTCGTGCGAGTATGGAGGTTCGAAGGTAGTCGCATCGGTCGGAGGATTTGGTTTGTAGTCGCAGTTGAGGGCCAGTCCCATGTAGTGGTAGCAGATTAAATATTGAAATGAGAAAGGAGAGTGTAGGCTACGCAGCCTGTTGGGTCATTACAATCATTAAATGAGAGGTAGGGCTCGTGGTGGGGTGGAGGTCGCGTCCAGCAGATGCTGGATATGAATCGCGACTTGAGCTCTCTGCAGGACTGCAAGAGGACTGAACGACGCTGGGGCATGCGATTTACCCTGACGGCCGTAGAACGTGCTCTGATTGGTCGGAGCAGCGGCCGCACCTTCACCAAACGATCCAAGCGTGCGGTCGGCCTCTTTCCGGCCCGCGGGGGTTCGTCCCATCGCAATGTATATGGTGGCCAGCACAAGCAAACAGCATTAAACGCAACATCATCTCATACCACTTCTGGAGGACTTCTAACTATGCAAGTCTGTCTAACTACTAACCCTTACACCCCCATGAATGTTTTCAGATATTTCAATCTTCCTCGAGATCTATGAAGACTCGAAGCTATTCAGGCTGTTTCAAGAGGCACTGTACTGCCCCGTGTTATCAGGCGTACACGTAGAATAGTACTATCTAAATAGTTCCAGTTCTCTGCGTACCTACTAATCTTCTTGGTTCCCAAAATGCTCGAGGATAATCCACGCCCGCAGTCTCCCCTCATTTGTTGTGCTTTGGTCTTAGTTCGTGGGGAAATGTATAGGACTGATGTAATAGACTCTTATCAGGGTCGTTAGGCATCGCAGAACTTGTTGGAATCCTCCACGGACGCCTTACCATGTCATCTTCTACTCCGCTATAAACCAGCCTGACCATACCTCCTACCGAATAAAAGCTCGAGCAACGGCCCACAGGTCATTGCAGCAAGTTGAAAAATATGCCCATTCAACGACTTCACAAGACAACAAGTGGGGAAAGTTCTGAAGTTAACGAAATCTGTACATCTACCACAGCGAGATATCGCTCCATCTACGACTACGACCACCCTACGCTTCAAAATAGCCGCGATACCCAGATTGCTAAAGGAAAAATCACGTAGTGATACAGCACCCTCCCTCCCCATCCATTCGTCCAATCGAAACATCGAAATGTCGGCGTTTACAGTAGAGCCGATGTGGGCTCCAAGATTCTGAGGCCAGATAGAAAGGGAGGAATGTCGGGCATTCAGCATGACCGCGTGATCGTCTACTTCTCATCGGGATACAAGGCCTCCTTCAGCGGGATGCCGAGCTCCTCGCGTATCGGCTCAAGTTCCTCGACGTATTCGGCATATTGGCCCTTGTTCTCAACCTTGAACTTGATGCCTGACTCATGTGTTAGTAATCAGCGTTCCTTGAGTGGTTACTGGTGTATCTATATAAAAAATTCCATGCGAAAGCTCCTCGGCCTAGAAGCGCGCAAAGATGACTCCATGGGTGTGTAGAGGGGTGTTGATAGAAAACGTACCCTCGAAAACGCGGACAGCGGAGGGGAAGTCATTGACACGCCTGGCCGCGCGCAGAGCAGCCGTGATGACGGTAGGCGAGGGGACGAGATCGTAGGCAAAGCAGTTGTTGAGGTTTCGCTGGGTATTGATTAGCTCTCTTTTCTTCTTTCAGGCGCCTTGTCGACTCATCCATGTTGGATCGGATGATCCCGGTGCTATTCCGTCATTGGGGCGCGACAAACGTACCTGGAGCTCAAAAACGTCGTTCACCTTGTCGAACTCCTTCTCATACCTGTTATGAAGATACACATGTCAGCGACAGAGCTCCTGGCAAGCTCGGTGGAGCTCAATGGCAGCCCATTGGTCCTCGGGTACCTCCTTCCCCAGCCTGAACATGTAACCCCTCCTTGGATGCACCATACCTGGCAGTGAACTCCTCGAACGTCTCCTCGGAGTGCGCGTCGCTCTTTACGGCAGCCGACTGGGAGAAGGCACGCTGTGCGTTCCACGCAACGGGGGTTGCTCGGTAGGCCGGGACTCGCACGCCCACTCGGCCGACCGTCGATGTAGCGCGTACAAAGGACATTTTGCGTCTCAATTGACTCTCGGGGTGGTGCGAGAGTGTGTATAAGGGCGGCTAAACGGGGACAGCCTAGTGTGTGATGGTGAGCGGTGGTGTCGGTGGTACGACCTTTGGGTGAGGTTCTGAAAACGAAAGCTCAGGCGATCCGGGCGCCTTGCGCAAGCCAAGCACAAGAAAAGTGGGGCCTTCTGTCCCTGTCCCTGTGACACCTTGACACTGACAACATGTCAAATACACTTCACAAATGCCATGCGACAGGTTACTAGACGCTATTCTCACCTGGAGTGCTCTTCTACTGGTCCTCACAGTGTGCGCTGTTCTGACAGCCCTCCACATTCAAAATCTATATCTGAAATCGAAGTCACTACTACTAAATTATACTCTGTAAAGCCCGCCAAAGGGCGCTGGGCCTTCTGATGCTGCCCGTGCAGACATGGCAGGACTGTCCCCATCATCGTCAGCCTCCCAGACTCCATCGACGTCCTCATCCTGATCATCGCCTTCATCGTTTACATTCTCATTTTCATCCTCATCATCTTCATCTTCGTTGCTTTCGTCTCCGTTTTCTTCCATCTCACTCTCGTCCAGGAATTCTTCTACCGTGACGGGATTCTCAGTCATGTCTTCGGGAATGTCAATGTCTCCGGTGCTAGTCTCCTCTGCTTCTGCTTCGCGTACTGGTTCACTTGGTGTCTCCATCGTCTCGAAGGCATATCTCGGATTCCGTGCAGCCCATCGGACGTGATGCATGACATCGTGCTCCCTCTTCTTCTCGTCGTGTACCTGGCGGTCGTTGACCTCTTCTTTGTACGTGGCTGCTATAGTCTGGTCGTCCCACTGCTCGGGCCATTCAATGATACGCTGGTAAATGGTGTCATCTGGTCTCTCTTTGCCGATTATCGTGTTCATCTTGTCCTTCAAAATGACGGTTGCTTTTGCCCATGTTCCAGCGTGGTACCATCCTTGGAAGGTCGGGGCGCACGTAGTTCGAATATCATCCGTGGCCAGAATCTTCGCAATCAGAGGGTCCGTGATATCGCAGAACTGAAAGAGGTTACCGGTCTGAGACACGTTGACGCCGTCGAATGTGTGCTGCGTCTTTAGCTCTCCTGGCGTCATCTGACTCAATTTCATAACATGTTGGTCGAAGCCTTTGTGGTGCTTCGAGGTACCCACCTTGAGGTAAGACAGAAACGACACGGTCTGGTACCTTCGGTACTTGGAATCTTTGCGGGGATCGACGCCCCAACGCACGAGTGCTTCTCGCCACGGTCCGCTTTCAAAGAAATAGCCACAATACACAGCGGCCTGTCTGAGTTTTGTGCGCTTGTCCCATCCGAGCTTGTTGTAGAGCAAGTGCCGAGTGATGATGGGCCGTTTCTCGAGTTCACCTTTGATGTGTTTGATCAGGGTCTGCAGATAGGGGGTGAGTGACTCCTCTGGCGGTAGACTGAGCTTGGGCCCCGTCGGCACATGGTCATCGGTAGGTTTGATGATGGTGTATGCGTTGTAGGCGATGCTTTTCTGCAGATTGACCACACCCTGTTCAGTGTACTTGACGTACGTATTCTGCTGGAATCTGGTTGTTCGTGAGCACCATTCGTGATGAAAGAAATCATAGGCTTACCGGTAGTTGAAGGCAATAGGCATCTGCAGAAACTCGGCCGACGGACCGACGCTCTTGGTCAGGTCTGCGCCGGCGGCAGTGTTGAGCGTGTATTTCTTCAACTGGCTGTCTGCATCTGGGTCAGATAGTAGTACTGCATGGCTCGAATGAAACATACATCGTTTAGGAACAACGTGGTCTCTGAGTGCGACCATGGTATCGTTATGAACGGCAGCATATTGTAAGTCAGGCATGCCTGACTGGTTAGAAACGTTCATCTGTCCCAGCAAGACCGAAGCATAACGACTTACTTCGGAATCGATGGGCCTCGTCGACGACACCGGCAAGCGCGACCTTGTAGGTTGAATCATTGTCCCGCACACTCGCATAGATGGTCGAGGCACTTGCATAGGCATGCTTGCCGAGAGGCGTGTCATTTGGGGGTCTATTGCTGTTGGTTGCCAGTTCATCTTCGGTCAGGAAGGGACCCGAAGTGCCACGCTTCCGTTTACGTCCTGTTCGCTTGGGCACCGTGACCTTGAGAAGGAGGTTGTTGGTTCTCACAGGCGTAGAGAGCAAACGCTTGGCAAAGGGGTCGTTTGGCCGCAGAGACACGGTAATGAGTTTCTTGATCTCATCATCGCCCTCGGCGTTGGTGGTGGTTTCTAGTCTGGAGCGCAGGCCCTAATGGCGGTATTAGTCGCCCGTCGTGGTACCTTGGACAGGCTGGGAGCGCTGCTGACCTTGCTCAACTTGACAGGCCCGCCCAATGAGATAATGCCCTTGTCCAGGTTTTTGATGATACAGGGATGCTCGACGACTGAGATGGCGCGCGACGGAATGGGCAGCCATGGAGCCCCAGCCTGTGGGCTGTCGCCATTGTGGTTTGCAGTAGTGTCTTTGTTGTTCATGGTGGAGCTGGAGCTGGAGCTGGAGCTGATACTGATACTGATACTGGTACTGGTACTGGTACTGGTACTGGTACTGGTACTAGGGAAAATAATGCTGCAGCTTCCTTCTGCAGAGACAGGGATCTGGACAGTGTCGTCTCAGGGGAGTGATAATAAATCAGAGGGGCATCGTGGTGGCGCCCAACGCAGCGGTGTACAGGGCCCTCTACTACTATGCTCATTCCACGCTTCTCTCGCCTCGCCACGGCTATCCGCAGCTACAACAGTGATATATGCCCTCTTGACATCTCATCAACGCAACGCAACGCAACGCAACGCATCGGCGGGGTCTCGTCTCCATCAAACGCACGGGCGTTTCGCTACCGGTACGGCTAGTGCGAATCACTCGACTAACCGCTCGCTGCCCATCACGCTGCTGTCTAGTTGTAGAGCCCTGAGTTGGCAATCTTAAACGTCCTACTACTCGCATTTCATCCTCCTCGCGCCTCGCCCGTACGCACCGCTCCCCCTTCAGCCAGAACCCCCATTGCGTCACCACGTGGTTGCTAGGGCACCAGCTGCCGTCTGACCCCCTCTCTGCGAGCTCCTACCTCCTCGCCGACTCCCGTGCACCAGCCTGAACTCCAACACTAGCGACGATCTATTACGGCTTCGCGTCCATCCTCCATGCCGACCTGACCTCTACGCTGTCCGTCCCTTTGATATCGTGTGCGCGTTGCTATACTACTCTCCATTGGCGCTGTTGGATCGCGACCTCTTTCTCGCCGCCTCGACGAGGGCCAGCCCCCAATTCGGACCTTCTGTGTCCGCGACACTTCCGCAGCGCTTGACGTGCACTTGCGCACATGTCGACAGTCATGAAAGGCTTTAGGCAAAGGGTCGTAAGTCCCCCATTGTTCCTCTAGACGCGGCGCCACTTGACCACCCGAAGCATTACCCCTCTCCAGGCGCAGAGGCTAACATGTCTAGTCTGAACAGCTCTCTCGCAATAAGGATAGCAAGTCATCTAAGAAGAAGGACTCGACGTCCGGTACCGCATCGCCCTCGCACGGCGCCTCGAATTCGCCCTCTGGCTCGGCTCAGGCCACTCCCTCGTCATCGCAGACCCAACTCACCGACTCACGAGGCAAGAACCAACCTGCCGCAGATGGCGCCCCGGGGAACGCTGCCTCGTTGCAGCCAGGTCAGCAGCCCGCTTCAGGGTCTTTGGCCGGGGGACCTCACTTCACTGCGCAGCAGGGCTTGATGAGCCCTGGTAGTGTTGGTGGCGCCAGCGCTGGCACTTCTGGCCCAGGCACGCCTTCAAGACTTGGGCAGCCGCTGGCACCCAGTGTCATTATTAGCCCAAGCGCTCCTGTAAGTATACCCACTCCAAAAACTAAACATGTAGAGCGCTCATTCTCGCTACAGCATATTCCGCCTCCTGGCACGGCCGAGACCATGCCAGGCGACCTGGCACCCCCCAAGGCGGGCCAGAAGTCGTTGATCTTCGACCGCCTCCAAGCAACCCCCAAAGACAACATCGAGGGTATTAGGACGCCGAAGAGGCAACATTCTTCGCGCTTTGACATCTCGGACCAGCGCCAGCGAGAACTGGAAAAGCTACCAGGGTTCCATGAAGTGCCCCCGAACAAGCGGGAAGAGCTCTTCATGCAGAAGATCGACCAATGTAATATCATCTTCGATTTCAACGATGCCAGTGGCGACATGAAGTCGAAAGAGATCAAACGCCTAGCCCTACACGAGCTGCTCGACTACGTTGCCAACAACCGCCAAGTCATCACAGAGAAGATGTACCCTCGCGTGGTGGAAATGTTCGCCAAGAACCTGTTCCGGCCTATCCCACCGCCCATGAACCCGCAAGGCGAGGCATTTGATCCTGAAGAGGATGAGCCTGTTTTGGAAGTAGCGTGGCCGCATATACAGGTCGTTTACGAGTTCTTCCTGCGATTTATCGAAAGTCAAGATTTCAACACAAACATTGCCAAGGCGTATATAGACCACAGCTTCGTGCTCAACGTGAGTCCCCGCTAGTTTGCCAACCATCTCGCATCATTGCTGACACGTCCAAGCTTCTCGAGCTATTCGATTCGGAAGATCCGCGGGAACGCGACTTTCTGAAGACGACGCTTCATCGCATATACGGCAAATTCCTCAACCTCCGCTCGTACATCCGTCGCTCCATCAACAACGTCTTCTTCCAGTTCATGTACGAGACAGAGAGGTTCAATGGCATTGCTGAACTCCTCGAGATTCTTGGGTCCATTATCAATGGCTTTGCACTGCCCCTAAAGGAAGAGCACAAGCTTTTTCTCACAAGAGTGTTGATCCCGCTGCACAAAGTCAAGAGTCTAAGCATGTATCACCCTCAGCTGGCGTACTGTATTGTTCAATTCTTGGAAAAAGACGCTGCCTTGACAGAAGAGGTAGGACCGTACAGCAGATCTAACAGGCTAGGCTTACATGTCCAGGTTGTCCTTGGCCTTTTGCGCTATTGGCCGAAAGTCAACAGCACCAAGGAGGTCATGTTTTTGAACGAAGTAGAGGACATTTTTGAGGTCATGGATCCCGCCGAGTTTGCCAAGGTTCAAGAGCCGCTTTTCAACCAGTTAGCGAAGTCGGTGGCCAGCCCTCACTTCCAGGTATGTCCACATTCCTTTTTATTCTCTCTGTTTGCATCCCTAACGAGATTGCAGGTCGCCGAGCGGGCACTCTACTTCTGGAACAATGAGTATTTCTGCAACCTGGTTAGTGATAATGTCGAGGTTATTCTGCCCATCATGTTTGCTCCATTGTACGAGAACTCGAAGGGACACTGGAACCGGTAAGTCTTTGCAGGAATGCTGTATTCGCAGATGCACTGATGCCACATTTTAGAACCATTCACGGCATGGTATACAACGCTATGAAACTCTTCATGGAAGTCAACCCACAGTTGTTCGATGATTGCTCGCACGACTACGCGGAATCTCAGAACAATGCCGGTGAAAGACAAAAGAGCCGACAAGATCGATGGGACAAGCTCTCGAAGCTCGCCGAAGCACGTCAAAACGGGACGGTGGAGAAGCCAGGGCTGTCATCGTCGACTGCGGCCTCGCCCATGAGGTTAGACGATTCGGATCCGCTTAGTCAAGGACGACTAGAGAACCTCCGCCTGCAGGACGACGGAACGGCTTCAAGAGAGAGGCGGCCGAAGGAGTATGAGCGCCAGAGCAGTCAGACTTCGGTACGTTGATTCTCACGTCCTCTAGAAGTCGGGATTGAGAATTGTCTGTGGGCGAAATCGATGTACTCTTAATCCTATCCCTAGACTTGTACTAGGTCTTCTTCTTGTTCAAGAATTACATTTCGGTTCAGGTGGATCTGACGTCTTTGTGCTTGCGTCTTTGCAGCGCCGGCACCCTACTCACCAGGTGGAGCATCACGCATCAAGTGGTCGGCGGCCAGCTGCGCGACCGCGGAGCAACAGTCGGCCCCATTCTTCAGGCAACGTCGCCGTCTCTTCTCGGGCGCCTACTGGACGTGCGCGGGCAAACTCTGGGGGAACCATCACCAGAGTCGTCTAGTCTGTCTCCTGACGCTGCGCGCGCCCTGGCATTTTTCCTTTCTCTCCTTTTCTAGTTCTCCGCCCCTTGTTCCGTCATGGAAAGATTGTCGCTGCGATATTGTGTGTGTGTGGTTCACTGTTGGCATCATAGCGGTTGCGGCTCTCTTTTTATTTTGTTTCTGGGTGTCAAAAATAAAGATGGATTTCATACGGTGTTACGGGTTACGACGAAGTTGCTTTGGTGGGAGTGCAAGCTGGCTGGACAGGGGCTTCTCTTCACATGGATAGACACGGAATGTAGATTGTTCAAACGTAATATGCTGCTGCCCGCTCGTCGACGTGGAGTACTTCACAACACCCTTTACACGTCTTGAAATATAGTCTATTACCCTCAGCATGCGTCTTTTACACGTGAAGGCGCGCTTCGGCTTTCGGGCGCCAAGGCTTCCAGGCAAGTCTTTCCCAATTTGTCCTTGACCATCCCAATCGGCTCCAGAGTCGACTAGAGACAATGTTGGATTAGAATTAGAACAAATTAGAACAGGCGCGAGAGAGACGTGTACTGTACAAGACCCGAGCCCAATATCAGTCAGCATCCAATCACAGCTTGGCTATTCGCCTCGGCCTGCACCGTGTCCCAAACTTTGGGCCAATCTGCGGGAATCGCGGAAGACCCCAGCATTCATCTCCGACCTCCTTTCCCGCTCACCCAGAAAAACATTGCGGTGATAAAAAATCCCGCCTTGCCCACCACACTTCCTTCTGCTCGGCATTGGGATCGTGTCTCTTTCTCCTTCTTCCCCCCCTCTTCTTCGTCGCTCCTTGGGCCGCTGCTGCCTTGCTTTACTTTTCTCTTTGTTTACCTTGGCCCCGACTTACAGGCGCAATCCTCCCAAGTCTTCCTCTAAAAAAAGGCACCCGACCGCCCTCCAACGAGACCACTTCTCCCACCCTGCTACCGCCACCTCAAATCTCGCACAATGAGTAAGCCCAGTTGGATCCAGTACGGCGTGCCCACGCTCGACCGCCCCTTCGGCCTCGAGCTATGGCCCATCTTCGAGCGAGTCTTCGAGCCCATCGCCGGCTACAAACCTCAGGATTTCCGCTTCGTACAGGGCGAGACGCCGCTCTCGACCTTCAAGACGTGCGCAGTCACGCTCATTACCTACTACATTATAATCTTTGGCGGCAGGGAGCTGATGCGCAACCGCGAGCCCTTCAAGCTCAACTTCTTGTTCAAGGTGCACAACTTTTACCTCACAGCTATTAGTGGGATACTGCTTGCGCTGTTCGCCGAACAGTTGATCCCCACGGTGGCGAGGAAGGGCATTTTCTTTGCTATTTGCGACTATGAGGGCGGATGGACGGATAAGCTTGTCATCCTGTACTATGTAAGATTTTGCGAGACCTGGCTTTGGCTCGTAGCTGACTTTGCGTAGCTCAACTACCTCACCAAATTCGTGGAGCTGATCGACACCTGCTTCCTGTTCCTGAAGAAGAAGCCCCTGAGTATGCGCGCCCGAATTTTTTGTTGTGGAGAGCTTCACTAACTAGAATAGCCTTCCTCCACACCTACCACCATGGCGCGACCGCTCTTCTCTGCTATACCCAGCTCATCGGCCACACGCCTGTCTCATGGCCCGTCATTACCCTCAACCTAGCTGTTCATGTCGTCATGTACTGGTACTACTTCCAGAGCGCACGTGGCATCCGCATCTGGTGGAAGAAGTACATCACCGTTGGCCAGATTACCCAATTCGTCCTCGATCTCGGTATGCCATTCCACCTCCATGCGCTATACCTATGCCACAGTCTAACAACCTCTAGGCTTCATCTACTTCGCCTCGTACACGTACTTCACGAGCACCTACTGGCCACACATGCCAAACCTGGGTAAATGCGCAGGCGAGGAATTCGCCGCCATCTCGGGCATCTGCATCATTACGTCGTACCTCTTCCTCTTCCTCGCCTTCTACTTCGCTACGTACAAGAAGCCCGTGCCCAAGGGCCGCCGCAGGGCTACGTCTGCGCTTGTGGAGATGAAGGATGAGAAGGTGCCGACTGTTGGTGAAGCCCGCAGGCGTCTTTCTGTCTCGCGCGTTGGCCAGGTGGTTGCTAATGGACATACCACAGGCGCCTCCCCCAACGGAACTCCCAATGGGCGCGCTACCAGGAGCCGCAAGGCTTAAGGACGGCTTGAAAAACTGTGGAAGGAGCGCGGCGCAGAAACTCGAGCTTGGCTCAAGTCCCAATTCCGAAGCATCGCACGGTATCTCTCACCCGTGTCGAACTTGAAGCCCTCCACGGCCTTAACGCAACTTTCCGCTTTCGGCCACCAGTCGCAAATTTCACAACGTCTTAGGACCTTCCGCGCAGGCCCCGAGAACGACCCCGTGAACAGGAGCCACACACGGCTCCTTACCTTCATCAAATATCACCCTAGAGGGCCACATTTCATATTCCATTGTAATTGCTATGTTTAGGGGAGGTGCCAATAAGTGGTACACCCTGTGTTACGATAAAAGCATGTAAGAGCATGGTCGTCGGTTGGAAAATCACGATGATTACTGGTGTTGGGTTAATTCTTTTTTTTTTGGGAGGGGGCAATGGCGGCTCGCAATGTTTGCTTGTTTGTTTGTACTACTATACAGAACAGAAGAAATGAAAAACGCAATGCACTATTACCACATTGATGACTTCTGGCCCTAAGTTGTTCATCCCCTTGACGTTGCGTGCAAATGAGCAGTTGCATGTTTTATTATATCTACCCACGTCTCTTACATTTTTGTGTGAGGACTAAGACTAAGTAAGGTTATCTTGCAGTTCTCTATACGGCTGAAGCACTTGAACGTTTGCCAACGCTTCACAATATCACAGGGACCGTGATTCTGCCTGATCGATCCCAATTAGCCTCACCAGCACGTCTCTTCCGTCTGTTCTCACAACTTGCGTCCGCCTGGCTCGCGTTCATGAAATCGGTTGGTGTCGCTTTCTCGAGACCCGCCGCCTACATCAAGCATCATTACAACGGTCCTACAAAGCCCGCCAGTACCGCAAAGTCCTCCCCGCTCATCTCTTGGGGCGGCCGCTATCTCCCTATGTATCCGCGACAGGGGCCTAGGAGGCTGTCCACTGGTTCGCGCTAGAACCGTTTCTCAGCTTCAGGAACAAGTGGGAAGAGATGTTAACTATACTTATGCGCGTTCCCTGATACACGTAGCATTCAAAGCTACGTCAATGCTAACTAGTGTACAAGAAAGACTAGAAAACAGATGGCTTCACTTTTCAATGTCTCGCAATCCCTAAGCACTGACCTTTTTATATGAACGCTTGTTACTGCACGTCAAAGACGTATGCGCGGCACTCTCTATCCAAGACTCAGACTTGGGAAGCTACATATCCCCAATACGCAGAGTATGTCAAGCGCGGTCGCGGAACAAAATTCACACCGTTCAAGCTCAACCAGAAGAAGTAAGGGTAGTACAATGACATGTGCCCAATATTCCAAGAGCTTATAGCTTGGATTCTATGAAATTACGTACATGCGCGATGAAACCAATAGTAACTGGTCAAAGCAAGGTCAGTTACCTCACGTAGATTATGTGCTGTATACACACATTACTTCATGTCCCTTAACTATATGTACGAGTCAAGGGTGGGGTACTCGACTCTCTATGATATCATGTACATACGTTGCTTGTCTAATGAAGCGTTACGAAGAGCTTCTAGGCTGTTTGGGTTTGCACTATGTAAACGGAGCGAGACTGCAGGTGGTGAGAGATGTCTAGCTATTCATGCTCTACTAAGTGAGTGTCTACTCTGTTTCTAAATACATGTAACGAAGGGAATGCCCTTGAAAAGGTCGTGCCGATATCCTAATGATAAGCGTCCGCGTGATGCATAATTCATCGCTCGTCTCCGTTCGTAAACCCGCAATCTACATCCATGCGCATCTCTTAAGCCCACATAGCCTTGAACTTGGTGTCAAAATCCTCTTTGAGTGCCTTGAAAGCCTTCAAGACGTTCAGTAACCCAGCACCCTCTTCCCAAGCCGGCGCCTCCTGGTTGCCATCATCATCGGCATCCCAGTCACTAGCTTCCGACTCTGAGTCCTCCTCCGACGCTTCGTCGTCCCAAGAGTCCATCACCTTCTTCTTCAACTTCTTCTTGGTCTGGATCGGCAGATCCTGCTTCACCGGCCCTTTGTTATTAGACGCATTTGTAGCCGCGCTAGCCTCCGTTGCAGCATCGGTCGGCAACATCTTATCTTCCCTGTTCTCTTCCTCGTCATCGCCACCACCACGCACATCAATGAAGTCGAGATCAGACTCAGCTACGAGGCCCAAGAAGTTCGACAAACTCGTGGTGATGGTTGCTAATATCATACTGAGATCGTTCAACACAAACCAAATATCTCCACGGCGGATTTTATTGGCAGTGATGACAGCATTCACATCGCCGTGCATGAAGAAGTCATACAAGTACGCATTGAGCGGTAAATCCGAATCTTCTGGGTATAGACCAACATTTGGTACGACTGCTTCTTCGAGAAAAACGCCGGATCGGCTTGTAGAACAGAGGTCATGAATAGATTCGAAGTTGTCGTCGTATCCCGAGAGTGCGACGAATGCAGAGCGAGCCTTAATATCTCGATGTTGACCATCCCCTAGTCTCGAAGAGGAGTCGCCACCGACTGTGACTGCAGTCAAGGGAAGTGTATTGTCCGGCTCCTGGACGTGCTGATCGACAAATGTACGGACATAAGCCGCGAAAATGTCTAGCGTAGTTTTGTTGTGGCGGCGTAGGACATTTGCAGCCTGCTCAGGTAAGGGCGGCAGGAAAACAATCGATGGGCTCTTCTTGACCACTTCTTCTACGTACTCCTCGTCGGCTTGTCGACAATGGCGTCGCCCAAAGAGATGTGACATTGTCAGCATGAGCTCACGCAACACTAATTCCCTATTGGTATCGATCTTTGCACACAGCTCGTGGAAGTATCCATCCTTCAGCAGGGCATGGAATGCGAACGATGAATTCTCCGTGAAATAGAGATGGCTAACAACGCCCGCAAAGTTGAGAGGCACACCTTGACCATCAAGGAGGTGTTGCCTCCGGAGGTATTCGATGGAGAAACGTAGATGATGGAGCACCGTCAATTTTGCGTCTTCTCCGCCTAGGTAAAGTCGTGGTTGAGACAATAGCGCATTGACGCAGCGTACAGCGAAGCGCGAGTTTTCAGACGAATGCAAGAGCGTGAATAGTCGCAGGACCAGCGTAGTCGTGATAGGGAAGTGCCCGTTCAGATCGGGCAACCGGGAGCTGATCAGTTTGTGGATCTTGCTGAGCGACACGCCATGGAAGACAACGTTTCCGAGCATGTCAAAACCTCGACGGCCAGCACGGCCAGCAGCTTGTCGGAAGTTGAGTGCCGTCAAGAAGACTGAGTCACCCGAGAAGACTACGGTCTTACAAGGCATGTTGATACCCAACGCGAGCGTTCCAGTAGCAATGACAACCCGTAGATATCCCCTTCGGAAGAGCATCTCAACACAGTATCGATATTTGCGGTTCAGACCAGCGTGATGAACACCGATACCTCGCCGTAGGCCATCGATGAGCCATTCGTCACATCCGCGATAGCGCAGTTCTTTTACGTGGGCCTCGAGCTCTTCTTGCGAAAGCTTCTTGTTATCCGCAAAGTGAAAGCCATCAAGGGGCTTGTTCGGGTCAAATGAGGCGAATGCGCTAACTTCTACATTTGCTGCTTCCCTCATCTGGTCTTGTTTCGTCATGCCTTTGGATGCCTCACCGCGAAGACCTTGCTTCTCTCGCCGAGCAACTTCTTTCTTCCATTCTTCCCACTGCGCTAGCTTATCTTTCCACTTTGGGCTTGATTGCTTCCAGGAGACCTCAGCCTCCGTTAACTGCTTGAGCAGAGTTTGACACATCCTCTCGCAGATCGAGCGATCGTAATTGAAAATGATGCCTGGAAGTGCGTCTTGCAGTTGTAGATCGGCTAGTAAGGGTAGAATACTTGAGATATCATGAGTGATCTCCATCTCCATCTCGTCTACCTGCGAAGCATCATTAGTAACCTCAGCATTTTCATCCCGCTGGCTAAGAGAAAAATTGGCGATTGAGCTGCTAAGATATTTACGGACGATTTCAAATGGAGACGCATCGTCTGCCATCCATGCGGAAAGAATGTCCTTTAGAGCAGTCTGCCATTTTATGATGTCCGCCTTCTTGATAATAGTAGGCAGGACCGCGGAGGGATTCAGCGACTTATCTACGGGATACTCCTTGGTTTGGTGCTTCGACAAGCTCTGCCACAATGTAAGGCAATCGCGTGCCTCGAGCGTAAGATCTGACGGTAAGCCGCGTGTACGATTGATCAAGCTGGACACCGGGTGCAAGAAAGCAAAATCCGTATGTTCATCCAGTCCGAGTTGGGCAAATGAACGCTGGGTGGGTAGAGGTAGATAGCTGGCCGGATCCCGCTTAGCAGGTGGAGTGTACACGAATTTTCGTAGATCGGAGTATCGATGTGGGTGTTGAACCATTACAAGCTCTTGCCCAGCCGCCTTCTGAGTAGCGGCTAGCCAGTCGTTGAAAGCCTCGGCGTTGCCGATTGTCGCAGAAAGCGCAATAATAGGGCATGGAGCCATGAGCAGTAGCTGTTCCCAAACCAAGCCGTCCTCGGCTTGGCCAATACAGTGGACTTCATCGAAGATGATCCATTTGACACGCTCCGACCAGCCCTTGGCGTTGCTCGGTGCAAGCAGCATAATTTGCAATATATGAGGTACTGTTACTAGGATTTGACATCCGGTAGGGTTGTTAATCCGATAGTCGCGCGTATGAATGCCCCACACCGACTGGCTATATTTGTAGTTCTTTGAGAAGCGAGCTTGAATCTCAGCCGCAATCTGATTGACCAACGCTTTTGTAGGAGCGACATACACCAGCACGTCCTCATTGTTGGACTCGAGTACTTGCTTCATGGCGTAGAAAGAGATGAAAGTTTTACCGGCCGAGGTCGGAGCGATGACGAGTAAGCTGCGCCGTGCGTCAATTTCATCCAGAACTCGTCGTTGCCACGCATCAGGCTCGAAGGGTACACGAGAGTCGGGCGCAGAATCAATGGTCCGATCAAAGTACGGTCCGCAATGAAGCAGTTGGAATTCCTCTGGGGTTAGGGTCAAAGCAAGATCCGAGACCGAGGTTTCCTCCAAAGCAAACTTGAAAGGAAGCTTCCGATCACCTTGCTCCCGGGGCACTTGAAGTGCAGGCAGTTTCAGGCGATCCACAGTCGTTGTAAGGCAGATTGCAATCGTCTTGGTAACACTGGGAAGGCTGCAAAGAGTCCGGGCTGTGTCAAATATAAGAGCGGCGACGTATAGCCCCTTTTCCTTGGCCCCGTCTTTGCAGAAGCGTATCCACATCTCCAAAAGCACATTGAGCATGTAGACGCGCACTTCTGGTCCAAGAGTCTGACGCTTAGACTCGCTGTTAAGATTAGCCAAGTACTGTCGAGCCTTGTTGTATCTCGATGGCAGATCAATCTGCTTTTCCAGGCCGTCGCAGAACACACCCCAAGCTTGGTACAATTGTTTCGCGCTCTCTTCATCCTTCCTCTTCGAGCTTGCTTCGATGTCAGCCAGCATGGCTTGTTTCGAGGCGTTGATGTTCTTGGTGCCCTTTTTCTGTGCCTGCTTTGGCTTTCTATTCTCAAGACTTTGGCTTGGTGTCAGAGACTTCGGAGCAACCGATTTTGATTTATCCCCAAGAGTAATGGTCTCAGGATCGAGCACCTTACCAACAGCATTGGTAAGACTAGCAGCGTACGAAGTCATTTCAGCCATGAAGAACTGGTTGCGGCGTAGAGCTTTCTTTGCTATCTTCGGGTCCTTCTCGGTTACAACTCTCGTTTTCTGATTTAATGAACGCTGGTTGTGCCAGTGAGAAACTTCGCGAAAGATCGCGGCTGTAGTTTGCTCTGCTTTGCCACCAGATCGAGATACATCCAGCTGAATAGGAGCGAGGTGTTCGTCGAAAGTACTGTTGGTAAATGGAAGTACCGCGTAAGAAGAATCTTGATCATTCTGACCGTTGCTTGGAGCTGAATCTTTCGTGGCTCCTGAGCCTTGGCTTGATTGATCCGGCAGATCTCGACCAATCAAAGCCGCTGTCGCCTTTTGTAGTGTCTCGTAAAGCTCGCTGCCCTGTGATGTTGGGTGCTGCGCGCAGGAAGCGAACAGCCGTCCATCAATAAGATCCGCAACATCGCACTCAGGGTGTCCGGCGAAAGCGTCTGCCCATGCTGGGCTACCAACGAACTTGCGTGCTTCTCGACAGAAATCAAGGATGAAGTTTTTGACTTCCTCGGACACTGTTTGGTTCGCAATAGGTCGGTCCGACAGACGGAGGTCTGCGAGTAATGATGTGTGGTGCAGAAGAGCGGAAGAGAGCTCGTCCTGGCCCGACGATGCAAGTTTCGAGGCAACTAACACCGTAAGATACTCTCGCTCAGTGAGAAGTTGATCACATGACGCCCTGATTGTCTGCAAAAAGCCGCGCATGTGGGATAAATCTACAATGTCGGTGACTCTCTCGCACAACTTAAGGTCCTATACATGAGGTGGTCAGTTCCGCAACTCTCAACACTGAGCCTAGTTTCAACACCCTGAAAACCTTCAGCGTATTGTGGTTTTGCTTACCGTCGATGGTAATTCAAGATTCATTGACCGTGGATGCTCAAGTACTGTGGTCACCACCTTGGTGTCTTGCCATTCCAATCCATTGATCAGCGCGGCGCTGTAACCTCGCTGCATAAATCTATATATGAGTGTGCGGAATGATGCCTTATGCTGCTGTTGGCGTTCATGTAGGCTTCGGTCTTCACTTTGAAGAGCGTCTAGATCCTTCCGTGAGATCATCCGCTTTCGGATGTCCTTGAATGAGGCACCGTCATGGCAAAGCACAAAGTAGATGTCTGTCGTCTTCAGATACTCCGCGAAGGTGTCAGATATTGTCGAAGGGAAAACCCTGACCTCGATGTCGGGAATAGCATCTGGTAAATTGACTTTGAGATGGCGAATGATGGCTGCTCGTGCAAGTAGATACTTCTCGCTAAGTGCCGGTGACGCATCCTGGGGCACGCAAAGCTCTTGGTGTTCGTCGAAGAAGGCAAGGTGGAAGTTACAACACCGGGAGACGAGAGCCTGTAGAAATTTCTCAACTGCATACGAGGCGTGTAACAGCTGATATCCCGGATCGAAGTCGATGTGCGGGTCGCTGAAGCAGTGAAGAAGAAGTGATTCTCCGTGAACGAGGAAACGCTCGCTACCTGCGAAGTCGCCCACAAGGTCTACACGGCGACTGTAGAGTTTGGCATACCATTGGATGATCTGGTTCGATGTGTCCGTCTCTGATGGCTTATCGCTGGCCATGCTGGTTTCTCTATCAAGGGTGAGGGGCAGGCTATGAGGTCAGTGCTGAACCGTCAGCAAGAATCAGGGCGACGAGGAGCGTTTGCCCTTTTGGTCAAGTAGGAGTTGACAGATGCTGTCAGGTTGCAGCGGATAGCCGCCGATGGCGGATAGCTATGCCGTCGATTTGCAGGAACAACTGTTTCGTAGCTGTAGCCTTGTCGTCTTTTGTATTTTAACTCTTTCGGAAGCCCGTAGTTTGGGCGTTTTTTTGGTAGAAGAGGGGACGGCGTGTCAAGTATGAACGCACGTCAGCTGAGGTGTTTGGTTGCTATGTTGAGGCGGAGTGGAGCATACCTAGGTATGGAGTGCGCGCTAGTACAGTAAGCGAGGGCGAGAGCAGCAGCGCCCCACCATGATTGGAACGGTCGCCAAGGCCGAGAATGGGACATTCAACAGCGATGGTCTCGCTAAAGAGTTGCTGAATAGACGTCCATTGCGGCATTTCAAGTAGCTGCCCTTGCAATGTGAAGATTCAGAAGTAGGAATTAGCAGTAAGAGCTTGGTTGAGATGCCATTATTGAAGCTATCACAGTGCGCTATGTTGCACATTCCTCGGTAGAGGATGCAACGGTTTGGAGGATACGAAGAGCCGTTTATTGACACCGAGCATCTGCATAAAAGCTTGTAGGCGCCTGAGCGCAAAGAATCCGAAAAAAGAGAGGCCACAAAAGTGCGCCACAAATCGCCATATCGACGCCTCGTAGATTGTATACCATAGATGCCCTCAGACCATCGACACCAATTCAACATGCTCAAACGAAAATAATGCGCCATATTGTAGAAGCATTGGAGGGCGACCTGGAAGGCCCGATCCGCCGGGTGGGAGTGGGAAGCGACTCGACACAAATGCAGCGTCCAGCAGAATCGAATGTTGAGGGAAGGGAATGTTGATGATACAGTCGAATAGAAGAAGCAAGGTGCTATGCGGAGAAGAGCGAGAGTTTCGATTCTGTGCAAGCAAGGTCAGTGAAGGCGATCTTCCGCGGAGGTTATACTGACTGAAATGCCCGACACTACCCCAGAATTTAGATCTCAAGCGGCGCAAGGGAGTCAAGCTTAGCGTGGTAGTCAGCACACGCCAACAGCTAATGTGATACAACCTACCGAGATAGGGCGATTCCAACCAGCCGGGCTTGGTGGTGGTTGAGGGGGAGGAGATGGTGGGTCGTCCCTCGAGCTGTCTAGAGGTGACTGGGAGCTTGCGGTGTCATGATGCTTCTGTGTATGTACAAAGTCGGAATTATTCGCCATCGCAACGATAGTAACGGCCATGTTGATCGTTCAGAATGTTCGTTTGGTTGGCGTGGTATATGGTGTAGAGAGCGTAGTAGTAATTTCTTCAGGACTTGAAACAATGGTCTGGATGAGGTATTGCTATGGGGGGGAGGTAGAAGGATGCTCTGGAGAACGAGACACCAATGTAGTCGTTGGGCCTTAAATAGTCTTGTTCGGGGTTTTGGTAGGTGGCTGGCAGCGAAGTAGATCTAGCTGGCAGGCTTAGTTGTTTGGACAAGAAACAATCACAGTTGCAACGGCCCGTACGGGAAGGCGGCTGGCATCAAGGAAGGCTAGATTAGAAGAAGCAGGACTGGAATGAGATACTGGACCCGTTGGAAGGGAGTACGAGCGGTAGATGAAGCCCTTCCCCGGGCGGTAGGCCCGAGATTGGTTTTGAGATGGGCATTTCCAGCAGCGGTAATCAAACGTGGCGACGGATACTACAGATCGGATAGGGACATTCACGCAATGTGTAACCAAAGGAGACAGGGATGAGAAATGATACAGATGCACGATTCGCTGGGGAAGAGCAGCCGCAGCCGGATAAGCAATGTTAGGAGACGCCAGGTCGACTCGTCTTTGCTCGAAGAAGGTTTGGAAATGGCGGTCTGCCAGGCCAGCACTAGTTGAAGTCGACGCGCGGAAAAGCACCTCTCAACCACAGGTCTGGGTAGTGCAGTCGACGACGAAGGAGGCATACGCGCGTTGATTGGCTGTCGAACCCACACTGACATCTCTATGAGTTCATGTGGTTGGTGAGAGGATGAGCATTGATGTTTGTCTGCTGGCCAAGGGAAGCAAGCCGCTAGACTGCAATGGTTATGGCTTTGGCTGGAGTCGCCAAAAGAGGTCGAAATGAAAGATGCAGTGTATGCGCACAAGAGACGGGTCATCGGTGTGATGAAAGATGGAGGAGAGTAAAGGCCGCGGGTGCGAGAGCGAACTGTCACTCCTTGCACATTCGACAAAACTGGCGCCACGGTTTAAGCGTTCTAGTTAGTGGTCATGAAGCCATCCGAGGGGTCTATAAGGCAGTAGATAAGAAATGAGGTAGCGTGGCTGGCTATGTTCACAGTCGTGACAACGTTGGCTCTGTTTCACTTCTGTGACCTTAGGGGACGGACGGTGAAGATGGGAGGAGTCGCGCTCGGACTGGGGGCGCGCCAAGACCGACGGCCAAGCCAACATCACCCATCGCAACGTCTATTGAGCAGTCATCCCAAAGGAACTTTTGCGCCCGCACACCTTCGCCATCCACCCGCACCACTGCTACGGTACCTCTTGTGTCACAAAAGAGAACCATTCGGGATCCCAATCTAGTAGACTTCTCCGCAGGATTTCGTCGGCCAATCTCTCATGCACGCACCCGACATGTGCTTCACTTGATCGTAGGGCTGGCAGTCACATCCTCCAGCTCTGAATCACCCGCCTGGTGACACCCTCTCGGCCCTTCCATCGGCTCTCGTGCCTCCCCGCTTCATTTGACGCTGTGCGTTCGCGACTCCAACAGTCCCACCGCTACCAATACTCCTCGCGCTACGCTCCGCCAGCATGTCTTCAGTATGGAATCCCGATAATGTGCGCGACGTCGCCGAGTCTGTGGGCGTCGCCTCACTCGCCGATAACGTGGTTGATGAGCTTGCCCGCGACGTCGATTTCCGCTTGGCCCAGGTTCTAGAAGAGGCGCTGAAGTTCATGCGACACGGCAAGCGGACAACATTGAGCACACAAGATATATCAAATGCCCTAAAGGTTCTCAATGTGGAGCCTCTATACGGATACGAGTCTACCCGGCCGCTGCGCTTTGGGGAGGCCTCACTAGGACCTGGCCAACCGCTATACTATGTCGAAGACGAAGAGGTTGACTTCGAGAAGCTCATTAATGCGCCGCTGCCCAAGGTGCCACGAGAGATCACATTCACAGGTAGGCAATCTCAACACCCGTTCTAATTTGCTCTGCGCCTCATCTCTAACATCCCTCAGCGCACTGGCTTGCCGTCGAGGGAGTCCAGCCCTCAATACCACAGAATCCAACCACAAACTCTGCCGATCTCTTGCCCAAAGGACCGAACGCAAATCCACATCTCGCCGCTGCCAACGGACTGGACAACGTGAACGTGAAGCCGCTCGTGAAACACGTCCTCTCTAAAGAATCGCAGGAGCTATTCAACAAGCTGTCGGGCGCACTCACCGACGAGACCAACATCGAATGGCAGAATGCAGCACTTGCAGCTATACGGACAGAGCCGGGCATTCATCAGCTGATAACCTATCTACTCAGCTTCATAGCCGAGAAGGTAACACACAACATGAAAAACTTGTTCGTACTGGATCAGATGATGAAAGCTACCGAAGCTCTCCTGGATAATCGGGCCATCTATCTAGATCCCTACGTTGCGTACATGGTGCCGCCGGTTTTGACGTGTTGCACGGGTAAAAGCTTAGGCCCAATAGCACAACAAGCACCCTCCAATGCCTCCTCAGAGACTCTGAATGGGAACGGCGTCAACGGCTATGGTCCAAGCTCTTTCGATCATTTCAAACTGCGGGACGATGCAGCGTCTATACTCAGCCGTATATGTCAGAAACACTCAACGTCAAACCAAGGGCTGAAGTCGCGAATCGCGCGAACATGCCTCAAGCAGTTCATGGACGTCGGCAAAACAGCCGGAACCCACTATGGCGCCTTGCGCGCCTTGCTCTCGATCACTGGTCTGGAAGGGCTGAAGATGCTTATTTTGCCAAACTTGAAGATGTACAACGACGATTTCCTGACAGCCAAGTTGGCGGATGAGAGTACGAGGCGAGATGCTGAGAAGGTGGTGGAGGTGTTTGCAGGTGCTTTCAAGACGCTCAATGACTCTAGGCAGCCGCAGACTACGCATGGGGTAGCCAGCCCAGAATCGCACAGGGAGCAACTCGTAGAAAAGATAGGCGACGTCTTAGCTGATCTGCTTATTTCGAGGAAGTGGACTAGGGCTGCGCAGTTCATATTGCAAGCAGACGTCAGTATATGATCTGAAGGCGAATAGCTAAATGATGTGCATCACAATTTTTGGCTGTACCGGCGTTGGTTGGAGGACCCGTGGAATGATACCATTTATGTAGTCAACAATGTCCGGCTGTTCGGATCGAATAGCTATAATAATGTCTTTAGTTCTCTCTTACTGGCATGTATGTGACGTCGTCCGCGCCAAGGCACTACTTGCGCATCATTGTGTCCACCTCACCAACTTCCTCAACGGAACGCTCGGTATACCCAATTTCGACAGCAGCCTGTAGCCATGTGGATTATTAACTGGCAAGTTTTAAGAGACTGCACAAATGACAAGCGCTAACAAGTAGGCCAGGTGTATGTTCTCGTCCTCACGCCACGCACAACTCCCGCGCTTCGCAATGTGTATCATGCTAATGCCTACCCAAAGTCTACGAGGTTTTGGCCTCTCTAGGCCTCGCCAACAAGCACGCAAAGCTTCTCGTACGCTAACTCGCCATACCAGACTCGGAAATGGGGGCAGCAGTGGGCTGACAAGCTGTAGTTCCTCGGTCTCGATAATGCCGGCAAGACCACACTCCTCCACATGCTGAAGAAGTATGTAGGCATTATACATGCGCGACAACCTTCCGGCTGATGCATATGCTAACACTATACTCTCTTGAAGCGACCGTGTGGCTGTCTTACAACCTAGTACGTCCACCTCCGTCCAACTTTCCAGAACTCCGCTCACACATTCCTTCTAGCACTCCACCCAAGTACGCCTCTTCCTTCCCGCCTCATACCGTTGCGACACCCTCTAACCTCACCTCAGCCTCCGAGGAACTCTCAATAGGCAACGTAAAATTCACCACCTTCGATCTCGGCGGACACGCCCAAGCGCGACGCCTCTGGCGCGACTACTTCCCCGAGGTCTCGGGCATCGTCTTCCTCGTCGACGCGAAGGACCATGAACGATTCAACGAGAGCAAAGCGGAACTCGATGCGTTGCTGGGCATGGAGGAGCTAAGCAAGACGCCGTTTGTGGTCCTGGGCAACAAGATTGACCACCCGGATGCGGTGAGCGAGGATCAGTTGAGGAGTGTACTGGGTCTCTATCAGACGACGGGCAAGGGCAAGGTTCCGCTTGAGGGCATCAGGCCGATTGAGGTTTTCATGTGCAGTGTGGTTATGCGACAGGGTGAGTACAATGACTACTGTGTCAACAACGGTGTGGGAATGCTGACATGCGACAGGATACGGTGAGGGCATCAGGTGGCTCAGCCAGTACGTCTAGGCGACTTCAACGACCCGTACGCGAACGACAAGTCAAATGATACTGTACTGCGGCACAACAGGATGGTATATTGGGTGGTTCTATACGGGTTCCACGACCCTAGTGGAGCAGACGAGCCATGGCAGCAATGTCACGATACACATAGCGGTGGATCGATTTTCTAGGTGTTTATAGGAGTAAGTCAAAACTACCTTAATAGATATCTACATTCCCTCAAGCTTTGCACTCTTCCCTAAGCTAGTCCGCGTTTCGAGTAGGCAAAAGCAAATGTGATATCTTCATCTCCACTCATTCTGCCGCCTACAGTCCAGCTACCTATTGCATATTGGAAACTTTTCGTTGCAGCAAGGAGGATACAAGAAGGTTACTCTGCCCTCTTTCACCTCTCATTCCACCTTGAATCCCTTCTCGCTAGCAACTGGCAAAAGCAACGGCTCGTCACCACCATCGTCGTCCGTCCACTTCGCCACTCTTTCAACTACTTTATCTACCGCTCCGTCCATCATGCCCAGACCATGGTCTAACCAGCTCAAGCTTCTATGGAGCATACTCGTCTCGCTGCTGCTGTCGGTCCTACCTTGTCTGTTTCCATCTCCAGTTAGAGGCGCCGTGCCAGCTTCCAGGGCCTCCATGTCCGCCGTATCCAACCATGTATAGCTCGACGATGCTGAACCATGGTCTTGCAAAGATGGCGCGGGCGATTCAGCACCCGATGTATTGTTATTGTTGTTGCTGTTGAAGAACGCTGCTCGTTCGTTCAGCCACTCGCTGGAGCTGCGCGGGTTCAGGACCGGTTCGGGTGCATGTACGCGCGGGGAAAGGTGGTCATTTGGAGGATGCAGGAAGGGGTTTGGTGGGCTTGCGACTGTCGAGATTCCCGGCGACTGGGTGATTTGCGCATTGGTTGGACTTGGCGATGGCCCAATGCTAAACCGCAGGCCCGCTGACGGAGAGGAAGAAGTGCGTCTATGCTCTGTGTACGTCTCGTTTCTCCCTCGACTTCGTTGCTCGTCCTGCGTCCGCTGATGGCGGTGGTTGTAAATCCGGTGTTGAGGACGCTGCGTCAATTCGACTGCTGGCTCGCCAGTATACCTAGTATCCAGTGGCAAGTTGTGTTGCAAATAGTGAAATGGCGATTTCGTTGCAGACGAGACTGCCCTATCAAGAGTTGAGCCCATCGGCGTGTCCAAGACGGAGGGTTGAGGCACGTACTTGCTCGGTTTATCAGTCGGCCTCCTCTCCTTTCCTTTCTGCTTCTTCTTCTGCTTCTTCTCTCCGCGTATATCCCTTCGCTGCCAACAACTCCACGTCCCCGGTGGAAAGTTGATAAGCCACACGAGGATCGTCCACGCTGAAGCTAGTACTACGACGGCGAGGACCCCAACGAATAGCACTTTTAGTCCTGAGGGAAGATAGGTGAGTTCATAGTTCGTCATGCCTTGTACCGCACGGTAGAGCCGTCCTGATTTAGCGTGATGGAGGTGATTCGGCTGTTGTTGTAATGTATCCTGTTGATATTGTGTGGAGTACGCGGCTGGTGGAACGATGGCCGATGGGCGAGGGTAGTTTGATTGTCGCGTTGATTTTGAGTGCACTGAAGCCTTCCCAAGTGTTGCCGTTGCTGCTGTAGTTATCGTTGTCGGGAAAGGCTCGCATTCGGGTGGTGGGGGCTGTGGTGAGGGTGGATGGGCCAATTGATGGTGAAGTGGCTGTGAATGCCAGCGTAAATTTTGGGCACGCAGCGCGCCCGGTATTATCCCATGGATGTAAGGTATCTTCTCTTCGAGAGTGGTTGATGGCCAGTCAAACGACGCTACTGACTGAAGAGTTGCGCTCGGCGCATCCTCCAAAATGGTCAACGTAATCATCCTTGTCTCTGTTTGAGTTCTCGTTCTCGCACCTAGGCTACTTGTGCCTTCCCGAGCTGTAGTCTGAGTAGGAAGAGCTGTGTGTGTTAGAGTGACGTCCTGGTAGTCTGGGTAAATTGCTGCGGGAGCCATGATAGTCGATGATGGTTCTATAGTCGAATCGCGCGATAGACTGTTGCTCGTAATGCAACGACCTTCAGGGTTAGCTATGAAAAAGAAAAGCTAAATGTACAAGGTCTGGCTTGTAAATGCAGCAGTGGTACGCTGTTTTGGAGTATGGAGATGCAGACCTGCTCGCAAAAGTAAACCAGGTATTGCGGTTATAAAGTAGCAGAAATTTATATGTCGAGACTTTGGAAGGGCTCGAAAAAAGCTATGAGCATAGCGGTGCGGTGTAATTGTCTCAATAGGCAAACATGCGTGAAGTCGGTACGAGACATATCAATGAGACAGCCTGATGATGCATTGACGCATCTTCATTTAAGGAGGGGAGAACGTGATGTATAATATGACTCAACTCAAAGATCGGTAACTTCACATGTTCAAATTGGAAGGTAGGTAATACGTATGACGATTTGGTATGTGTCTATTAACTTATATGCTGTGAAAAAGCAGGCCATGCTGCTGGCATATGACGAACGCCGCCCAATGAGTGTCCAATCAGTCTATATGTAGTGTTGCTTCAGCGCAACCTAATCGGTACTCAATTTCCAACTTTTCTAAAAGAAACGCTAAATAAGGTGACGTTATTTAACAACGTACATATTAAAATGAGATCTAAAGCGTGATGCATGCAGACTAAATCTGCGACGGGATACTGTGGCCCACGCGAGATCAGTGTCGTAGTTCAGAACAAGGTGACCTCAGTTCAGTTGCTACAACTGCTGGCTTGGCAAATACATCGTTGATTATGGCGTAATAATGTTGCTGATACAATCCGAGCATGTGTCGAAGCTCAATAGATCTCGCTCAGCGTCGGTTGAAGTTGAGGTACCTCGCAGCAATGAACAAGATGAACAAGTTGCTACCGATGAACGCAGCGAAGATACCGAAATCCCTCCACCTGTTGGCGAAATCATAACCAAGCGGCCCGTAGAATTCATCGCCGACCTTGACTGCGCAGTAACTGCACATATCCGTGGCATTGTTGAGAAGATAACCCGGTGCACCGTTCGAGAAGAAGTCGCTCATGTAAGACCCGCATTCCTTGCCTTGAGGGGCGCGGAACTGGTTAAATTCGGAGGCCTTGCAGGTGACGTCTAAGCCGTGAAGTTCGGTAACGAGCATACCCCCGATAAGGCGAGTAAAGGGGTTCAGCTCATACAGCCACACGCGCCAGAACTTGGGGATCTGGGGTTTGGGAATCGTGACACCGCAGAACAAGGCGAATATGATGATGATGAAGGGGTTGAGGTAAGCGGCGATAAACGGCGTTGGAGTCAGCGCCGCAATTGCCTGGGCCAAAGTAACGGAGAAAATCTCGGTAACGAGAACCATCAAGAACTGGTAGCCGGCTCGAGAGCTGGTCGAGTTTAATCCGGGAATGTAGTACAACGGGATGAAGAAGCACACGGCGCATAGGATGCTATAAGGCATCTCAGCAATGACCATGGAGAGGGCGAAGGGAAATGTTTTGTAGGCCTTGGACATCTGCTCGCGGAAAGAAATCATACGGGCGACGGCGTATTTCGGCTCGACCTGGGCGAGAATGAGAGCTGGGAGAACAGTGACCTGGAAAATGATGAAAACACGGTATTGCAGGGACGATCGGGAATCATCGAGCTGTAGGTACATAAGACCTGTGAGTAAAGCGATGATGACGTGGTTGAAAAGACGAGTGAATCCCTACACAATGTTAGTACAGTGCCTTATAAAACGGCCTGGACAGCCTCGATGGTTTTACAGTTCTCGAGAGAGAATCGGAAAGTACCTAGCGACGTCCAAGCGGGTGTATGGGTATGTAAACTTACGTAGTTGGGAGTTCTCCAGAAAGATAGGTTCTGTCTCTTCACAACCTGCTTGATCTGGAATGACAGCGGGGTGGCGAATTCTTTCTGTTCGACCAGCTCAGACGATCCAACCTCAGCGGCACGGTCTCGCTTTACATGAACAATGTGGTCCTTGACTTCTGCGAACTCCTCAGAGTCAGCCCAGACATCGGCCCAGTCGCGGTCACCAATACGGGCAGCGGAGCCAGCACCAACAGCATCAAGCATCCATTCCGCAGGATTGGCATGGGAGGGGCAGTCAGCGCCGTGACGGTGGAAGTAGTCGAGCAGAACGTGGGCGTCTTTGCCAATGTCGCCAAAGTAGACGCACTGGCCACCTCGCTGGAGGAGCAACAGACGGTCAAAGTTTTCGAACAGAGCCGAGTTCGGCTGATGGATCGTACACAGGATAGCTTGTCCCGCAGCAGCCAGTTTGCGAAGGAAGCGGACGATGTTGAAAGCACTCTGCGAGTCGAGACCTGACGTGGGCTCATCCAGAAAGAGGAGTAATTCAGGCTTAGCAGCCAGCTCGACACCGATGGTTACACGCTTCCGCTGTTCGACCGCCAGTCCACTTTCAGGATCGCCGATGATAGCGTCTGCAATATCCTCCATCTCTAAGAGAGCAATAACCTCCTCGACGTATGCGTATTTGTCCGCCTGGGACGTCTCGTATGGTTGTCTAAGATCGGCAGAGAAGCGAAGCGCTTCACGGACAGTTGTTGCTGGTTCGTGAACGTCGAGCTGTTCGGCGTAGGCGGTTCCTCGCTGGAAGGCAATACCAGGCGCCTTTCCATCAACAAGCCTGTCGCCGGTGATGACGCCGATATTCTTGCGATTAGCTAGCACATCGAGCAGGGTCGTCTTTCCAGCGCCTGATGCGCCCATTAAAGCAGTCAGCTGGCCTGGCTTCACATAGCCGTAGATGTTGTTCAAAAGTCGTAGTTGTCCACTAGGGACTGGTACGTCATAGCAAAGATCTTCCCAGGTGAGGACCGCCTTGGAAGTAATGTTCAACTCAGAGCTGTCGTTAGCGCCTTCTTCTTTGCGGTTGCGCCTGTCGCGCTTCTCTTGCAACTTGGCGTTAAGCTCCTTGAGTTCCTTGTCCTCCTTGACGAAAAAGGTGACAGTACGACCACCAGCACCCCACTTGACGAACTCTCCCAGGAAGGCGTTTGCGAGTAGAAAAACGACGATAAGGATAACCATGATACCGAAGTGGAGCCACAAATCGCCGGCATCCCAAGAGAACGAGGCCTTGATGTATTCCTTGCCAGATACCATTGTTGAACCTGCTCGGCTACCGGGAAGCGTGCAAACTTGAGCGTTGAAATCGGTGTAACCAGGACCAGACGGGACTAGCGATCTGCCTTCGCAAGACATGTCCAGTCGTTTGAACTCGTTCATCATAAGCGCTGAGAATCCGAGGCCAAGAGCGTTGATATAGAAAATCCACCGCAACCAGACTTGCTCGGACTCCCACTGAATTAGATATCCAGAGGTCAACACGAAAAGCGTGATAATGGTAGCAGCAAGACGGATAGCAACGTCAAAGTCTGGACAAAGACAGCCCACTGTTCGGAAGAACAAAGTCATCGCTAGATAACCGATGGTAATGACGAGGACGAATGTGAAGAAGGCGCCTGCGTCCCGAACGAGGTTGGTCATGAAGTACACAATGATGGAGAAGACGAAAATCTGGACCGTTGCGAACAAGAGATCGACACCTATTTGGGCGATCCAGAGGGCCGAGGGTCGATGGAATGTGAAGGCGCGATGCTTGTTGATGATGGGCCGACCCAACATAGTCGATGCCAACTCGGAGAAAGCCTGAAAAGCGTTGAAGAGCAGCGCAATGAAGAGAACACCACCTCTGGTGAAGGCACCAGCGGTTGTATCAGGGAGATCGAGCCAAACGGTACCAACGATGATAGCGATGGAGATGGAGGTAATCCAAGAGACAGTCAGGCCAAATTTATCTTGCCATTTAAGCAAGAATTGACGCTTGGCCAGAGCCCAGACCTGTAGATAGAATGGAATTGAGTAGACAGACTTCTGAGGTGCGTGGCGCTTGCTTTCCTTGACCGCCAGCTGGAAGTCATCGTACACGTGCTTCTCTTCATCCATACGAGCGTGATACGCTTCCATTTCCTGCGCGAGCCTTGAAGAGACTTCGGACTTGTTGAAAGCCTCGGCGAGCGCATCCGGGGTGGAAGGGACGTCCTTTTCGCTCATTCCGGGCTTGTACTCGCGCTCGAAGGGGTCTGTACATCCGGTAAGGTAGTCTGGGGTGGTTTGACGGGGCTTCTCCATGAAGCCAAGACCTTCGAAGTATGCGCGTGCTGTATCAGCCGGTCCATAGTACACCTGACGTCCGTTGTCGATGACAAGGACTTTGTCGAAACACTTGTAGATGTTCTCAGATGCCTGGTAGAGGGAAACAAACGTCGTGGTCTTGTAGATGTTGGTAAGCACTCTGAGGGAGCGGGCGTAGTCAACGGCAGTCGATGCGTCGAGTCCTCGAGTGGAATTATCCCACGACATGAGGGATGCACCAGTAATCATGGTTTCAGCAATCGAAACTCGCTTTCGTTCGCCTCCAGAAATACCCTAAAATCGAAATGTATGATTAGTACGTTTCTTTGACGCTCTGCACAGGGTCAACGTACCCGGACAAACGGATTGCCGACAATGGTGTCTCTTGTGTGCTCGATGTTGAACATCTTCAGCATGAGACTAATGACTTTCTGCTTGAAGTCTTGTCTTGATAGACCAGCAGGTCGCTTGCCAGGTACCTTTGTCTCAAGCGCAAAGTCCAGTGTTTGGCCGACTGTGAGAGTGGGGTGGTGGTTTTCGTCTTCCTCACAATACACAGCCTCACCTCGATATCTCTTCTCGAAGAAGGCCGAATCGAAGGGGCCGTAAAGGACCTTTCCGTCGACCTTGGTGTATCCATATCGCTGGTTGCTTATGACTTTTAGGAAGGTAGTGCATCCGCTCCCTGGACGGCCCAAAACCAAGACCATCTCACCGGGTTGGGCGACGCCCCTGAAGTTTTTTAGGATATCAAACTCTCTCCCCTTCTTGCCGAGTCCAAGCAGGCTGCCGGCGGTCTCGAAAACATTGAAGAAGGAAACGAAAGCGTCAGGGAAAGTCTAAGCGAGCGTTAGTTGTCTCGGCTCTTGCGTGCATGTGCACCTGATGCTGACGCTGACGGCTTACCTTGACGAAGTTCTTGACTCCTCCGATGCCTCGAATCAAGTTAGTGTTGGTCGTGCAGGCAGTTCGCTTAGTACCTACCGCTCACGGTGAGATCCTCCCAAACCACGCCAATGCGCTTGGACTTGATACCCGCCGCCTCCTCCTCGTCGCGATCACCCCGCAATGTCTTCTCGAGGTCGAATGGTTCATCGGATGAGGCCAAAGATCCGTCCATGCCGCCCTTTTCAACATCGTTGCCGACGGCATGGTCCTTGCGGCTTTGCTTACTCTGGACGCGGCTCAGTCTGCGCGAGTGGCTCGTCCGGGACAGCTCCTTGTTGAGCTCTGCGAACTCGGCCTCTGCGCGCTGAACGTCGACACCTCCCTTGACATTGACGAAGCCCGTGTCATGGTTCAGGTCGGTTGAGTTGCGGGCGGTGCCGCTGTTGTCAATTGAGGCGGTCCTGACGCTGGCGTTGTCGGGTTGGGCGTGGGGGCGGTCTGCATGGATAGGCTCGTAGGTTGGGGACTTTTGGTTGTCCATGGCGCTGGGGGCTTGGTGGTGCAGGGCGCACCTGGTTACAAGCAATTAAAAGACCTGGTTGCGGGGTAAGACAAGATGTCTCACTCGCAGCAGGCGCGAAAGAAGCGAAAAACAAGGAGCGTATTATGTGGCGTAGGAGAGAAGGGCGCCCCCAGGCGGGTAATAAATAAAATATGATAAATCAACAGATGCTGCCGACGAGAGGCAGCCTAGTCTGCTTCGGAGATAACGACTCTAAGCTGACGCACCGGCAGCTTGGCAGATCGCAAGCAACTGTTTCTTCAGACCCGTCGGAGTGGGACCCATGGGTGAATAGCATCACTGCGGACTGTTTCGCACGGAGTCTCGCTATACCAAAAGGGCGTCGTCGACCCATCCCATATGAGAGGGTACATGACTACATCCGTGCTCATGACGATATTCTTTACTTCCTTCCTTCCTACCTACTACACCATGCCATGGATCGTATAGGGCAGAGCCGATAGGGATGGCTCGGCGTGCTACGGGCCCGCTGCCCCCCGATGGAACCGATTGTACCAGGCTAGCGTGGGAGAATTCAGGTAATCTGACATTGGCGTATGAAAACGCCTCATTGAAAACGCCTCAACAAGGCACTGTAGCTAGCGGTTCTATAATCCGATCTACGACACAGTGTAGATCTGATTACCGGCACCTGTTCTTAGCCTTCTAGCGTCTGGGTCCCACTAATATGTCAACCATGCGGACGAACAGACTACCTCTGAGTCATGTTGACTCCGCCGTGCCTCGAGGGATGCAAGGCCTGCTCTCTAATTAGACAAGCCGAAGTAGACCCAGCACCTCACTCGACGCCCGTTCGCTCTTCGGCGTTGGGACCTCCGTCTCCACCGACTCTTTTGGTGCGCGCTATGGAGCTTGAAATTTACCCCCTATGCTCCTCCTATCCTATGCTCCTTCTAACGGCCGTATGCCAAACGCGGAGTTGAGACGACGACACCACTCATTCCTACTCATTCCCACTCGAGACACTAGCTTCCACTCAACGAATTCCCTTGCATGAGAATGGCCGCCTCCCAATCCCGTCCCGTCCCGCTGCTGACAATTGGACTCGGACTCAGACTCACTCATAGTAGAGTCAAACATAGACAATATCCGTCTTATATTAGTTTCCACCCTTGCCATAGATTTCGCGGATAGCTTGGCAACCTCAAACTCCTTGTTCTTTTAGGGCCGATTTGCCAACTACTAACGCCAATGGACTTAGTTGAACCTCTTTTCAAGGGTCTAGCCCTAGACCCCGCTCCCCGACAGCATAACGTTGTGATCCGGCTTGAAGAAACGTCACACATGAAGCCCAAACTAGTCTTGCATCCCAAGGACATGATCACCGACTACTCTTGCATCAATATTACCAATCAACACCAACGACGGGCGTAAACTCGACAGCTGTCATCGTCCCAATACAAAACGACTGACATCTTGGCACCTGGACAAGGCAGATTGTCTCTCCACAGTGAAGTAATCGTACCACCTCGAACGTCCTCTCCGGCACGCTGGCGCGAGTTGCCGTCTCAGCTTGCATAGCGCTTTTTTTTGCATGGCTCAAAAATGGCAAGGATGATACCCGCGACGCGAAGTCATGTGCGCGCGCGATGGATGCCTAAATGCAGTCAGAATACGCTGGGTAGGTGTCGAAAGTCGCGCATAAGGCAGACTCATTATGAGCCAACTCAATCAAGTCACCGCAAGCATCAAATTCTATCATAGCAATATTTTCGTTTACGCTTCGGTTTCTTTGCTTGCTGTGTCTTGAGAATCGCTTATATATAGGTCGCAATCAGTCTCCCTCAACCTCGTCCATCATCCACTCGAGCTGCATCATTGGAAACTGCAAAAACTTCATCTACCAACTTTACGCGATATCTCCACAGGCAATAGCAGCCAACATGTCCTTCCCTCCAATCCGCTTTGCGCCTTTCCAGGTCACAAACGCGCCGTCGCCTGGCGGGGACACGCAGCATCCGTTCTTTCAGCCGCAAACTTCAACTTCATCGAGCTCAAATACGTCCACCTCGACTCCAACCAGTCCCCAAAATGGGAAATAAAGGCCCTTCGATCATGGAATTGCAAGGATACAACGCGTTTAGACAGGACGGAGTGTTGTAGTGGGACTAGGAATATGCTATCGCGGGAGGTTAGGCACTGGTCAGCATGGGCGATGCCACCACCTCGTGATACCGACGATAATCTCCAGTCAAGATCCGGGGAACAAGTGAGATGCATCCATGGGCAAGGAGTCACGACCGGGGTGTGATCTACACATTTAAACATTCATTTAGCGTACGGTGGGCGTTTGATGTCTTGTTAATCATTAAGGTTTTTCTTTCTACTTAGTTTGTAATAAAATATATTATCTATACATACAATACATGCTGAAACCCCCCAAAAAAACGTTGTCAATGGCCTGCAAGTCGGCCAAGATAGGCTCGCGCTTTCCTTCAAATACTGCTGCCATGCATAACAACCCTAACGGGCCGTACTACTAGGTACATGCCCATCACTTACCGTCCCAAAACACATATTCAAAATAGTGTGTTCTTTGCATCGGTTCTACGTGGTTGTTCTGCCTTGTCGTCCACTTTAGGTTCACCGGTCAACCCTAGTCTACCTGCACCACAGGTCTCGTCTCCAACAGCTCGGTGAGAATAGGTGTTCAAAATAGCAATACGACGGTGAACGATGAAAAGAACGCGAGTGCTTCCAGAGACACATGGTGGAGGCTGTGTATGGTGTACAGACAGCACACTATCCATTATGTTGCTTGGAAAGGTGGATTCGACAACAGGTCTCTCCCCTTCAATTATAGGGTCTATCTATAAATGCTAGCTAGAGAGACCGCACGGCTTCGCTACACGAAGAAAGGGTCTATATAATCGAGGTCTGGTGTTCTTCTACGGCAAAAGCTCCACATCCGTATAGAAGTTGAGTGAGCCTTGCACTCGGGTCCACAGCGTAAACGAATCGCAAAGCTACAAAGAGACTTATATGTGCGAGTACGTTGCTTGGCGTGTCTTCCCAGAGTCGTTTGTAGAGTGCAGATGTCTGCATACACAGCCTCCATGTCTAACTTGTGAGTGGTACTAGATGGTGCAGGGCTGGGCCGTCGACGGATGCATCTCCGTAGCTCTTGTGGGGACGATCTCCCTTTTACGTTGCGGGCTGAGATCACAACACTAATGGTCGGGCAGACTCCGGGCATCGGTGTCGAAGCTAGGCTCTCGTACGTGTAGGACTGATCATTCGATTTGGACATGGGAGGCTTGTGGCGGTACAGACGCTGCGGTGATATCCCAGAACGTTTTGTGTCTAATAGTACACAATATAAATAGCTGTGGTGAACGATGGGGAACGCCCCTATCAAGGTGCACTGCTTGGTGAAGAGCACACAATCAGGGGAAAGGAACATTCGTAGATCAGAACCTAAAACGAGGCTGACATCGTGACACTACATGCCAAAGCCATAGTCTTCACCAGTGAACGCGCACATGAATCTTATAAGCAGCACGAATTCTGCAGCGAGCAATGCTGGCGAATGCGAGCGCAACGTGGACCACAATTGGACGATACATGATTCATCGGTTAGGGCTCGCTATCGCTTTGCGAGTCGCCGAGAAATACGGCCTGCCAAGAAGCATGTTGGCGTTGAGTGGACGGATTGCTGCATTACCAGGTTTTGACCACGCCTCCTTTACGCCCTCCCGCCTGCTTAGAAACCTATACACGGAGCACATGCTGGTCTTTTACAAGATGGCCATCACGTGTGCAGTAAGATTACTGATTAGTATTCCCAAAACCAGCTAATACGGTACACGGTGTCTTCGAGCATGTGATAGAATTTGCATGTGAGTATCATGTGCTTTGTCGCAACGCCTAACCTGCTACCACCAGTCGGCGCTCCATCATCCTCTACCGCCCTCATCTCAACTTCGCCGAAGCCATAGCCGGATTTCTCGCCACCGCCAACAGCGTACAGACTCGACCCCTCGCCATGTTGATATTGTAGCGAGGTTTGGCAACCCCTAAAGACGTCGTCGCATCCCAATCCCCACGCCAAACGCCGATTGCGCACCCGCGGAGCACGCTTCCTCTTCGAGCCGCTGGCCCCGACGCTCGTTGTATACTCGAACGGATACAACGGAGATAGTGGTATCAAGACGATTGACTACCACGCGCTGCTAAAAGGAACCCTCCACGGTTTGCTATTCGAGTCGACAAACAGTGCGGGATCGTCGCTTCGCTCGCCGTCACTCCCCGCCCTCTCAGAAATCATGCAGCAAGAACAACACCACCAACGTCCCCCACCGCCTGCCTACGCCCAACACGAGCCCGAGTCCTTCCACCTTCCTTCCGTACCTACACATCTCCCCAATGCTCAGCACAATAATGGACGCCTACCAGGCATAAAGTCGTTGGACCTTCCAGAGACGACGGCCCGTCATACCCCGCGCAACTCGATAGAACACAGTCCCAGGAATCAATTTGATGGGTCGCAATGGGGTGTGCTTCCGAGTCTGAATAGTGCGACGTTTCCCAGGGTGCCTGATGGGCTGCCTCGTGAAGACATAGGAAGTCCTATGGACACAGCGAGTGTGCGGAGTCTGCAGGATGATACTGTGGGGAGGAGGGAAACGAGTGTTAACATAGACGATCCGGACGTCAGACTGGCGGCCGAGGCATTGAGTGGATTGGGGAATCCTGGTACGAATCCCCATAACAGCCGTGGAAGCAGGGCGCTTGCGTCGTCATCAAGACCCCATAACTAACACGCGGCAGACTTTGTACGCTCTCCAACTGCACGATCGCTTACTCTCTCCGCCCGCGAACCCACAGCTGACCCCGAACCCCTCCTCTCGCTCATTACATCGAACCATCCATGGCTCGGCGGCGCCGTCAATGGCTCCATCTCAGCCTACAATACCACGAAAGGCTACACACCGCGTTTCGTTCAGTACGGTGCTGAACTCATCGAGCGCAATATCGGATCGCCCATGGTCAATACAGTGTCATCAGTAGGCAGGAGGACAGGTATGGAGGAGAACCTGCGGCGATACCTTGGAGAGGTACACAGACGGCCTAGCGACCTTGAAGCTGGAGACGGGGAGGCTTCAAGAAGCAAGAGGCAGAGAATAGCAAGTCCAGCAGATGATGCCATGGACATCGATGATGCACATGCAGCGTCACGGACAAGAGGCGGCTCGCAATCCTCGTCCCAGTCGTTGTATGCTGAGTCGCTACCTGCATACGATGACCAGCGCTCGCCAAACTACGAGGAGTCGTTAACTGCAGCAGACTCGAAAAGCAGCCGAAAAGCAGAGCGATCACAGACCCCGCAGGATAGACGAGTGAACTGGTCTACACAACTCATAATGACAACATCCGGTCTCGGCGTCGCGCTGTCCGACACTTCTCTCCGCTCACTCAAGCTTTGCCTCGGCCTGTTGCGTTCCGCGACCACGCACATCGATTCTGTAATGCGCGCTCTGAAAGTCGTTCTGGAAGAATATGAGGCCGCGTTAAGAAGCCGTCGGCAGTCAGACGGACAGGCGTCTGTTGATGAGAACGGGATGGAGAGAATGGAGGGCACAATGGCCCAAATGGGGCTCGTAGACGCAGAGAAGGACGATCAAGTACGCCGAATAGCAGATCGCATCAAATCCCTCTCATCCGATATATGGACCACGCTCCAGTCCGTCGTACAATCTGTCAGCCGGTACACAGGAGGTACGCTGCCGGCAAACGCATCGCAAGTAGTGCGAACGCAATTACTATCTGTGCCGCAACGGTGGCAGGTCGCTGGTAGGAATGCCGGGCAGGACAACCAAGGAGAAGAAGTCCGCGGGGCGAACAGAATGTTGGCATTCGCCAAAGAAGGGCTGGACATGATGGGTCAAATTACAACTGTGGTTGACGGCACGGTTCAGAGCGCCGAAAGCTGGCTTGCTAGGATTGGACGGAGAACGCCTGGCAGCCAAACGGGCGAGGGTCAGGAACAGACGGCAAATGGGCGTGGGACTTACAGAGAGAAGACCCCACTAGCATTGGAGAATGGCCATGCGATAAACGAGAAGCGATGAGAAAACCGAAAATGGCCAGTAGGTCAGGTAAAATCCTTACACCGTGCGACACAGCGTCAATATTCAAGGCGCAAGTGGGTACACGGAGCGGTTCGGAGTTGACGAGACAGGAAACAAGTAGAACCGCAACATACCCAGTATTTTTTTCTCTCCTACATCTGTTCGTTTGTTCCAGTAAGGCGTTTGTTGGATACGGCCTGAAAATGCAATCTAGCGCAGCGAGGGAACGGCGATTATCCTCAATCATATCTCACCAAACGGCACTTCAACTGCAAGTCAAAATGGAAAAATTGAATTCAAGAGAGCATATGTACTATCACCGCCCATATATATCCCATTTCCCATTCCCTTGTCCCGATCCCGATATGCCTTGCTTCATCACAGTGTTTACAGCACTAGGTCAAGGCGGCAACAGATTCGCCGACTCCCCCAAGCCTTCCTACAAACAATTCTCATGGTATAATAAAAAAAAATGGCTAACCAACAGGAAATAAACAATAACAGCAAATAAAAATAAAGAAAAGTCCAGGGTGGCTAGACAGTAAACATTTCCATCCATGCATAGTCAAGACCGTGCAGGTGCAAAACTCAATATATTCCTTAGTAGATTCATGTCACTCTTCTCACACGCAAGGAGAAAACTATCGATACCCGGGATCCTCTCGAGATCATCTTGTGTGCGTGGTGGGTTCTTGATGATCAGGTCGAGAGTGTGGTCTGTCACAATGGGCGGTGCATTGACTGGTCTTGCTACCAGCTTCCGTGCAACGCGCTTGCTCAAGGCCACGAGCTTATTTCGGAAGATTCTTAATTCCAGGGGAAGAGGCTCTGTAGTGGGTTGTATGGGTGAGGTTCCGTGCGTTGGAGCGCTGCCTACTCTGCCTACCGTTGCAGTGGATGGGCCGCGAGGATCAAACTGTTGTAATTCGGGTGCTGGGCTTTCGGCACGCTTGCGCTTCCGCTGGAAGCTTGTCTGTTGAGATTGGCTGCCAAAGTTCAACGACGGTAATGAATCTTGAGAGCCATAGGGAGTTGCGCTGTGGTTCGAGTTGTTACTCTCCGTATCGAGTTTTGTCTCGGCCATTGTGAAGGATAAGCCTGTGTGCAGTTGCTGAGAGGGTTGTCCGCGCGCCTGGGCGCGTCGAGGTATGGATGGCGTTTGTACCGCAGGTTGTATTGGTGACTCGTTACAGGCGTTAGATGACGGATTATCAGGAGCTTTTGCTTGCAGATTGGGGTTGTGCACTGCCACAAAGAGCGATATAACCTCAAGCCAGGAATCGCCGTACTTCTCTTGCTGAATCTTTCCAATCCCCTTGATTAGAAGCAGGCTATTGGTGTCGAGTGGACGCTTGCGCGCGAGCGCCTTTAGTATAGAGTTTGATGCGATCTGGTACGCCGGCTTTGAGATCTTCTCGGCCAAGGTCGCTCGACGTAGAACCAATGCATCGTATAATGTTTGCGATGTGCTACAAAGGTCTCCCTCGGGCACTTTAGGCTCCACTTCTTGTGTTTGCTGAGGCTTGGGTTTGCTTCCAGCTGATATGCTGTCAGTCATTCCAACCTTAAAGAACATGGCTGATGTGGTCATTGGAGCATCAACTGGGGACAACGCTAACTGAATGGGAACGATCCCGGAAAGTTTATAAGACAGGTATTTCTCTGCGTGTATTGGGAGTGGCGGAGTGGGGTGCATTCGAAGCCGCTTGAAATTCATGCAATGATACAGCATATAGCCAGCGTAAGCGTCTCCTGCAGCATATTTGATCTGTTCTTGGGACAATGGCTTGCTCCAGTTGCTCGTTCGCACGTCGCCTTTCCATAAAGGGTAGCCAAGTTGGTCTTCGACTTGTTGTGCCAGGCTGACCAACTTGGTCGACACGAGGTCTGGTCTGTGTGCGCCAAACTTTACGAGCCGATAGAGGTGACTTAATTCAAATGCGCCCTTCGGATTAAGGCGAAAATATTTCGATAGCCGACTAAAGTCTGCGTGCAAGACACTCACGCCGAGTTTAGTGATAGTCGGGCTTTCGATGAGCTGCCGTAGCGATGGTGCAATGATTTCGTCGGTTGTCTTTCCAGCATGCAAGCCGATATGGAACAGTGCGATCTTGTCTTCAGTAGCGACTTGTATCAGTCCAATCTTGTTCTGAAGATCGGCCTTGGTATAATCATTCCAAGGCCATTCCATATCAAAGCCGACGATAGATTCATCAAGGAATTGACGTGCAATGATCTCCGACTGAGCCTTGGTCCGGCTATACAAAATCTGGACCTCTTTATTACCAGGCCCACGGTAGAGCGTATGGCTCCACCATTGTTTTGGTGGTGGCCGCTGTGACTCGAACCTTGGTTGCTGGTTGTTCCCGCGAGGCTGTAGGCAATATGCAAGTGGCCAGCGGACCCTTTCCCCGCTTTTCACTCTTGTTGTACCGGGTGAAGCTGCATCGTCGAGAGCAGCACTAACAATAATTTCAGATTCAGTCATATGTTAAATGCTAGCCAAAAACCAAAAGCGCACAAGTGATCGATAGCGACAGTGTTTGAAGGTAAGAGGGATGAAAGTGCGTGGTACGCCAACGAAGCACGGGCTTTTCACTAATGCACGCTCACGTGTACTTCGTAGGCTAGGGAAGCGCACTTCTTACGTCCGCCTTGCACGTCTCTAAACCTCAATCCTACTCCAGAGCGTTTCGAGAACGATTTTTCTTGCCAGCACCTCTACCTCCTAATATAGCACGTCAAGTAGATGTAGCAGCGGCCCGCCAACGAATACATTGACTTCAATACCTATCTTCTCACAGCGTCAGTTTACCAACTCGATAGTTAACGTAGGTGATTTCCTTCGTCTCGGGTGTTTGCCAGTATTCCTTTTTTCATTTGACGTGAACTAAAACTACACCGTTATATCCAATGTCCAAAAGCATTCTAGCGGTCTATTCATCTCTATTTCCGTTCTCGGGTGACCCTCTTCAGACAGTAGGAAAGTTCGTAGCAGTATGTGTTCTTGATTGAAAAGAACCATGCCACTAGATCAATATCGCACTTCAAACAGCCATGGGGTGCGCGCTTCTGAATTATTAGTGTCGGCTAATGGCTGGCGATTTCAAAGCGTCAAACAGCTTATTAAGCCTTACTACATCTGCAGTTACAGTCTTGACTGCACATGTGTCGGCCAGAAAGTTTAGGCAGATCATCAAACCCCGTGTCTCGAGCTCCGCTTTGCGCATTGTGGAGATACTCGTTGCCAAGACGTAGCAGTCGAGGCTTCGTGCACTGCCCGTTTCAGGGCCATACGCTTTCCTATGTCAGCACAAAGCTCGGCATATATGCCGGTTGAAATGCGACAAGCTGTGCTACGGTTGTCAGGCCACTACGTCTTAGACGCGTACGCAATTCCTTCTTATATCAAGGCGCTGAAGCCCACCACCATCACATCTACAATAATATACACCCAAATCACATCGCAAAACAATATCACTAATCTTCTTGTCTTCATTGTCCATCATGTCTCTCTTGACCTCATTACTATTTGCAGCGATAATCGGCTTTGCGCAGGCGCAAACCCCCACAGGCTTCACACCCCAAGTGAATACTAAGCTTGAGGTCGCCTTCAACACAACGATGGTTGCAACGCCTGGTCAACAATTGACAAAAGCTGGTAAGCGGTAGTGAGAATTCTCTAGATGATCGACTTCTAACGTCAAAAGGCACCGCAAGTCAGCCCCAAATCGCATTACCAAGTGGCATGATCAGCAATGACGAGACCTTCATGTTTGTCATGCTTGACTTGGACGTGCCCCCAGCACAAGGCAGCACGAACCGCCGCGTACTCCTTCACGCCTTAAACACTGGCTTCAAGGCAACGCAGCAAAAGCTCAACGGAGGTGCAGTGCTGCTTGCATCAACTGAAAAAGGACCTGCAGCATACCTCCCGCCCGGTCCTCCTGCAACAGACACGATGCCACATCGTTACGTGGAGCTCCTGTTCAAACAGCCGGCAAACCTAAATGTGAAGGCATCGGACTTTGCAGGCCAGCAAGCGAGATTCAACTTCGACATCACGACGTTTTTGAAAGATAAGGCTGTGAGCGCTCCAGTTGCAGCCAACTTCTTCAGAGTTGATGGTCGTGCTAATGCAACTGCGACTGCATCTGGCACTGCGATTCGCAGTGCGGTTCGTTCTGGGACTGGTACTGCGACTGGCACTGGAGGAAACGCACGGAATACGTTAGCGCCTTTCTTGGGTGGAGCTGGACAGGTAGATTTCTCACATGGTCTCGCAGGATTGGTTGGCGGACTAGCATTTTTTGCTATGTAGATAAATCATTCTCGCTTATGAAGGGAAGAAAACGGAGTCAGGGGCACAGAAAACGGCTTGATGAAAGATATTGTCTTCAAAAATATGTCCCTAGATGACCAGTACGTGATAAAACGATGCCACATAAGGCTTCAGAGAGAATTGTATATGCTATAAACGCTTCAGGGTAACTCTAGGACATCCTTCAACACAGCCAAAGCCCCAAAAAGCTCATTGTCGTGATATTTCCTCGCGTTGATCTGCAAATCAATCGGCGCTCCCTCAAAGTTCGAAGCCTCCCACAATTCCTTGACATGCTTACACGCCTCACTCAGCGGCCTGTAGTCCGTCGCATACTGCTCCTTCGCCTCGGTCCTTATCGGCGTCGGAGCGACAACTCCAGGGTAATCGACCAGATTATACAGCGAAGTATACGTCCAGTACAATGCCGTATCATGCGCACAAGCCGGGCCAACGAATGCAGGCCCAATCACAATGTCGACATCTTGCTCGTTCCAACTGTCTACGAACTTATACCGGAATTCATCGCGAGTAGCACGCAATTGGTTTACATCTTCGGCGTTCAGCATGCCGTGCGGTTTGGCTTCTTTCCATATCCAATCGCTCAAAGAGAGGATGGGTTCACCAGTAGAGACGATGTCGTCTTTGGCGAGTTGACCACCGTCGAGCCAATACATGCGGCAGATCATGGACCAAGCTTCCTCTGCGTTGTAGGGTTTAAATGTCTTGACTTGGAAAGTATCGGAGTACTTGGGGTCCGAAAGCCGTTCGCGAGCCCATGCAATGGCACGTTTGACTGGCGGTTGAGGGTCGATGAACCCGTCATTTTCGATGATTCCTATCTTCAAGGGCTTCGTATTTGATGTCTTTAAGCCTGTCCATGGAATAGGTATAAGCTTTTGGTCCAGGAGATGTGGTTTTACCGCCAAAACCGACCTCATGAGAAGATCCATATCCCTCAAGCTTCGACACATCGGCCCCGTCGAACACAGAACATTGAGCTCCGCTGAGAAGGAATGAGCAAGGTAGTCTTTCATTGGAAGTACGTAAGATGTGGGCTTGAATCCATAGATTCCACAGAACGCACTCGGACAGCGAATACTACCACCAATGTCGGTTCCGATTCCAAGCACCGAGCCTTTCATAGCGACTAGTGCACCTTCGCCGCCTGAAGAGCCGCCTGCCGAAAGGTGGATGTTAAATGGATTTAAAGTGCGACCATAGTGTGATGTAGACTCTAGATGCATGATTGTTTGAGGCTGGTTAGTCTTGCAGTAGAATACCGCGCCCATGCTTCTCAATATAGACACCATGTAGCAATCTTTCTCGTTAAGGACTATACTTGCAAACGAGCCCTGAGACGAATAGGTTCCTGCGAGAGGAATATGTTCTTTAATACTAATGGGTACACCGTGAAGCGGTCCCACTGTTGTCCCGTTCTTCTCAAGATAATCATCTAGCTCTTTCGCTTGCTCGATAGCATCGTCCATAAACCATTGCGTGAGGCAACATGTCAACTGGTGTGCGATAATAGAGCGCTTGGAAAATGAGATGGCTACTTCGGTGGCAGTCAATTGGCGCCCAGCAACTGCTTCTGCGAGACCAGAGGCATCGTAGTTCTCGGTGATATCTACCTCTCTTGGCGTAAGGATGCCGCAGGTACTTGGAATGTTGGACACATCGAGCGGTGGGCTGGCGATTAGGTCTACCGGCAGTCGGAGCTCGGGAGGGACCTTTTTTGCGAAGGCTTCGAGGATGGCGCCGCGTCTCTGCTCAAATTCGGGAGTTCCTTGAGGAAACCCTTTTGGCTGGAGAATGGCTAGCTTTGAAGATGCGGCGGTCATATTGTCGGCTCTGGTCTGAAAGCAAAGAAATATGCCGAAGATGACTAAGGCTTGATTCTCTTGATATCTCGCGAGTTTTAATTCTGGAAAAGACTCATGGAGCCCTTATCAGTGGCGGCTCTATCTCCTGAATTGAGTGGGGCAAGCGTGGTATCAACGTTATCATGGTACGCCGTAACGCTTCGCGATAAAGGCATCGCGTGATACCATATCCGAGTTGCTCGGCAAAGCTTCAGCGAGGCGCAATTGTCGTTGATACGATGAAGTCGACTGGGTTTGTTGATGTTGATGTGCGGAAAGACACCGACCGTGGCACAACTGCGTCAACCTGCATGCACTAACGCGCCACAGATCCTTTTGGCGGGTTTTATCTCAATGCGTCCAAGACAACCCAATAGCCAGCGTTTACGCTTCATCATATGACGCTTCCCCTCATTTGCGTTTGTACACCTAACTTTGACGCGTTCGCCTGAACTTTCCCGATAAAAGTGTAGTAGTGATGGAGGATCTTTAGGGGTAGATCTATACGAGTATAACATCGACTTGAACCGTGCTAGAACGGGCATGATAGGTTCCGTTATCAGAGTCATCCCAACTGGAATAACCATGCACGACACGGATATAGAAAGTGACAGGGGTGTGGTGTCAGTCCTGACTTGCCGGTATAAGTACAGGTCGTTTTAATCATTATCTGCCACGGCCCTTGCCCCTCTTCGAAAGACTTGTTGTTCGAAACTCAGGGTCCCCAGCGCATTCGGTGCCATCAATCACAACCATGGCGAAGGGAGTTGAAGCTTTGACAAAAGCAGTGCCCGGTACTGTTCATCTTGTCGATTTGGACCATAGTATGCACGCGCGTCATGCCGGCAATGGAGATATCGTTCTTGACCCAGCGCCTTCCATGGACCCAGATGATCCGCTGAACTGGACGCCGCGTCGAAAGCTCACTGCAACGATGTGCTCGAACTTGTAAGTATAAGTCTCCAAACTTCCCGACTGCGCTGACGCCTGAGTAGGTACACCTGTATGACTGGTATTGCAGTGTCTACAGTATACTCAGTACTAGTTCCGTTATCCAAAGCATCAGGCGTGTCTATTAAAACGCTGAACCAGGGGACCGGTTATATGTTCCTTTTTCTCGGCTGGGGACTACTATTCTGGCAGCCATTTGCGCTAAAATATGGCAAAAGGTTGACATATTTGCTATCGGTGCTTGGCGCTATCGGTACCAGTATCTGGAGGTAAGCAGATGATACTCTGAGAACGAGTCGTACCGGGGTTGACGAAATCTAGCGCATACGTTAGAAGTGATGGCGAGTGGATAGCCAGATGTATTGTGATGGGTTTCTTCATCGCACCGATCGAAGCTCTGCCCGAGATTTCTGTGACTGATGTTTACTTCACTCACCAGCGAGGTACCTATATGGGCATATACGCCTTATCCCTGGCGGGAAGCAACTACTTCGCGCCCATTATTTGTGGATTCATTGCAGAAGGTCAAGGGTGGCAATGTGCGTAAAGTCCTGCACGAACTGCACTTGAAACATGCACTGACTTCATACGCCAACGTTTAGGGGTGTTCTATTGGCCAGCTATCTTCAACGCGGTCACCTTTGTGATTCTCTTCTTCTTCCTGGAGGAATCGAATTACAATCGCAAACCTACTAGCATAGTTCCTGCACTAGATGTAGCACCAACAGGCTTGGTAACAGAAGCTGACCAAGAAAAAGCGCATCCTGCGGCCTCGCAGTCTAGTGCAAGCGTAGAGATTGGGTGGTCGACGAAGACATTTATTCAAAAACTCTCCATCTGGCAGCCATCGCCGGGGCATCACATGCTTGAGAGCGCAAAGCGAAGCTTGAAGTACCTCAGCTGGCCAGTGATATTTTATGCTGGATTCAGCTACGGCTCTTATCTGATCTGGTTCAACGTCCTCAACGCTACGGCTTCTATTATCTTAGGAGGCCCAGGATACAATTTCAAACCATCAATGGTCGGCCTGAGCTACGTATCCTGCTGTATCGGAGTCATAGTTGGAGCGCTCGTTTCAGGCCGTTTGAGTGACTGGCTGACGATCAAACTCGCCCGCCGCAACAACGGTATCATGGAGGCTGAGCATCGCTTGTGGCCATTCATCCTGTGTTTGATCATGGTCCCAGCTTCGCTGATACTCTGGGGAGTGGGGGCTGCACACCAAGTGCATTGGTTCGGGCTCATTTTTGCCATGGGCTGCCTTGCGTTCGCTTCGTGTGTGGGTGTCACGCTAAGCATCAACTATATGATCGATAGCTACCATGATATCAGTGGCGATGCGATTGTGGCGGTCATTCTTGTGCGCAATACTATGTCTTTTGCGATTGGCTATGGGTGAGTGTCTATCGTGCGCTCAAAGTATACTACTAACGTTATTCAGGATTACCCCTTGGCTGACTGATTTAGGGTACCAAAACTGCTTCATCTCTGCGGCTTTCATTGGCATGGCTGCGTCCTCGGTATTTCTCGTCATGATAAAATTTGGAAAAGGGTTGCGCGTTAAAAGTAGTAGCAAGTACTGGAATATTGTTAATGCGGATCGAGCGAAGACATAGCCTGTATGGGGCTTCGCTCACTGTTACACTCTTGTTGTCTTTATATAATTCTCTTAGAACCCAATACGGTCATCGGAAGGGCAGTAATGAATTTTTTGAAATAGCCAGCATCTGGGGTTGGTAGGTATAGGCAAAAACTTCCCCTAAGTTGGGTTGTGGAGGTGTTCAACCGGGCGTGCGGCCTAGAAGACGGCTGCTGACTTCCGGCCTCCATCCTTATCTAACTTCGTATCGCGCACACTTCCCCACGCCTACTCATGCTTTTTCCTTGGTACTTCTTGCGACTTCTGAAAGCTTTGCGGCTGGTTTCATCGTCTTTCGTCCTACATCCCTGAATTCCGATCTCACTCTGTGGGCCTTTGAAATGTGTTTTCCTAACCTCTTTCTATCTACAGTCCCGTTGCTCCATTTATGCACAACGTAGCGAGCCAACTCGGCGGGGGTACAAAACAAGGCTCTGGAGATCCCAAACTCAACAACGTCAAAGACTGGTGACAGGATTGGCAATATGAGTGGTGTTGTACCACGCAGAAGGTTACGAACAAAGACCGGCTGCCTCACCTGTAAGTAGCTATCTATGAATTAGCTATGATCCATCGCTTAGACAACATGAGGCAGAAGCAGAAGGAAGAAATGCGACGAGAATACACCTGCATGCGACAGGTGCTTGCTTTCGGGACGCTCATGCCAATGGCCTAAATCAACTGATCTTGTGGATCGCCGTTATGCCTCACACCCGGAATCACGATATGGTAACACTATCGAGACTAGGCTATCCCTAAGATCGGAAAGTGCAAGCCAGGGTCAAGCCACCTACGGTCTGGAGGTTGCTATCTCGCGGCATTTCATCGATAAGTACTACGGCTTCTTGCTTTTACCTGGTTGTCATCCAGTTTTTCATCTTGGCTGGATCCATGAGATACAAGAACTTATGATAAACGAGAAAAGCCTGCGCTTTTCAGTACTTGCCAACGCCGCCTCGCATATACACAACATCAATGACTCCTCCAGCATGCAACAACTTGCGCTGCATTACTACTCTGAAGCTCTCCGAGGCCTAGCAAGCACTTTAGCACGACCGAAATCCTCACGCCTAGCTAACCACAACGGAATTTTGATGTCAGTCATGCTGCTATACCTTCATGGTGTAAGTTTAGCCTCCCTCTTCCAAGATGCATTTATTGAATGAACAATCGTAGTGTATGGGCCAAGCTACATACCTGGATATCCCTCCCCACCTCAACGCGGCAATACACATCCTAACCCTCCGCCTTTTTAACGCTCCACTGAATATCAGTCGGCCATTTGACCGTCTAGCCGTTGAAAGCGTACTATACCAGATCTTCTTAGTCAGCACCGGGCTCTGGTCAGATCAAACGCCGTTGGCCGACTTTGATCACAATTTTTGGATGAGAGCGGAGAAGTTACTGGAGCAGTCGGTGATGTTTGCTGGTCAGTCAAACAGCATCAATAGCCCTGTCCTAGGGGTTCCAGTGCCGTTGTTCAGACTCGCTATTCAAGCAAAGCACATATACCAGGTGTCGCCAGCGTACAATATGCAAGCACTAAGTGAACTCAGAAGTGAGGTAGAAGCCTGGGAAGCTATCGTGCTTTGCGACAAAGAGATCGATCGATTGGGAGTTGATGAACTCCCCAATCGTCATAAAAGCTATTATGAGGACGCCAGCTACCTATACGTGCTCATTATCTCCCTTCTTTTGGAGCAGATCTCGGCTTGTTCCAGAATGAATGCATCGGAAACTCATCAACAAGATTTACTCGGACGAAAACCACCAGCTGCCGCAGCTATTGACAATTGGCAAATAAAAAAGGCAATTCAGATCATCAAAAGGTACCAGGATGACAATGACTGGGCAGGTTGCTATATGGGGAGCTGGCCTGTCTATACTCTGGGCTTTTTCCTCATCGATCCGGAGCATATCGAAGTAATCCGGCAGGACTTGAAGCGGAGATGGGAGTCGACTAAATTTATGCAGATAACTCGCTTTCGAAATGATTTAGAGGGTGTCTGGGCCGCGCGGGCTCGGCTTTTATGTCCTCCCACGGTGGACCATGCGTCTATGTCGCTTGAGTCTATGTGATAAAAGTTGGAAAGCATATTCATCACTAGAGTTTTTACATCAAGATAACCTTGCCCTACATGAGCTATGGATGTACAGATCCTGGAAGCGTCCATATTTAACGCAGCAACATTAGTTCTGACTGCACATAGTCTGGCTACTCGCTCGGCTATCCTCAGATCATGTGCTTACGAATCCATTTTCCGTGCCCAATGTCATTCACGTGCTCCCACATTAGCCTCGCGTCCTAGCTTATACACACATGGCAATGCTCGAGCACGCGCCATTCACCAGCTACCGCAATATACATCAAGTATTAGAAAGTTTAATGTGAAATAGTAATGGTTTCCGAGATATCTTTATCTAGCAGCTCACGAAGTTCAAGAGCAGGCTTTGAACACGATATAGCTTCTACCCAACATTGCTCCGTCGTCTGTATACGTACATTACTGGCCCATGTCATTAAAGAAAAGGGTACATTGTCGAGCTTTCTCCGGTTAGCAAACCTTAACTTTCTACGAGGATGGTGCACTTCGTAGAATACATACCTTGTTTGGCATGTGGTAGCGGTTCGCGTTATACGCCCACACTGCCTCTCAAACGCTCAGCGACTCATTAGAGCGTCCCCATCAAATGCATTCCGCGTACGATCAGTGGTGGAGATCTATCATGCATTAAGAAGATTTCATGAAGATTGTATGTATGTTGATTGAAGGACTGAATGCTTGAGGCTGGTCCGCAGGTCAAGCTGTCATATGAAGTTGTCTGAGTTGACACACTCTGGATTAGACTCTTCCTTTCAACATTATCTCATACGTCCTCATCAAGATTCGGCGCGTTCTATATTGCGGGAGCCGGTGACTGACGTTGCCTTGGATCTCTGTCGGTAGATGCTGTGAAGGCGGTCCTTGTGGCAGGCCTGATGAAGGACATCAACTCTTACTCCAAAGTCCGCCTGCTGTACGTAGACAGGACTCCAACACCCTTCAATAAGTTACGTGACAGAGTAGTCTAATTAATTTCTTTGACGTGTCATTCAGTGTTCTTGAGTGTAAACCTATAGCTTTCAAAAAACCATGTAATTTGCTCTCATAGCAGCGCACTCGGCTTCCATATGTAACGTCTCTAATCATTGACTTGCGCGACACCTCCTCAGCGTTGCTAATGGAAGGCAAAACAAGGCAGTCACCTACGAAGGAAACCGTATGAGTGACCGATCAGTGTTGGCGGGACTACCTGCGAAGGCAATCGGACACTAAATCGAACAAAGTCTACTGTCTAAAAACTCGTGTTCAATATTTACACCTCTCCTCCACATCCGCCGCTCGAGGTCCTCAAGCTCCTGTCTATTATAGTCCTCGAAAAAACAGTCGCCTTCTTCTAAGATAGGAAAGTCCGGCCTCCAATTCCGACCGTGGTGCCGTTGCCGCAATCTTCGCAGAATCACAAAAGGTGGGATGGGTATGTCGTCCTCGAAATGTCTCGGAAGGTTGATAGTCAAATCCAGGTTTGGAAGTTCTGCCAAGGGCGCGAGAGCAGACAAAGCAGTACGTTCATTAACCGTTTTCCAGTAAGCGTCATCATTGTGATCGAGCCAGATTTTGAGTTCTTCAAGTCCTTTTATCCGAGAAAGAGCGGGGCCCAATCGTAGCCATGTAGCTGCTTGGGTCATATCGCTATCCGACGGCATCATCCATGCCAAACGTTCCTCGCGGGATCCAGTCACTTGGTCTTCAAAGGCGTTGAAGACTGTACGTGGAAGGCGTAAGGAGATTTCCAGTTTTCGGATATCCTCGAGAGGACAAAGAATTGTTGCAGTGCTGACAGCTCCCTGTAGTAAGGCGTCAATCGTTTCGATGCTCGTGACAATGATACTAGTCGAATAGATCATCTGCTCCTTAATATCTGCTCTCCTATGAGAGAAATTTGGATTTAGTATACACTCTTTACAATAACAAACCTTACATCTTTTTACAAGTCCATAGAAGAGCCTCAATCGTGCTATACATTGTCGCATCATCGCGTTGCGCCTGGAGCATCGTTTCTTCACATTTCCAGTGAGGACCCCAAGTTGATCGCAGACGAGTCGACCATGTATCAGTATCCTCACGTGTCCATTCCGCGTCCTTCAAGGGCAACCCTTCTTTGCGCTCCAAGCCTGGATCAGTGGCGTGCACGGCCGGGTTTGGCACGCACTCCGACACGCTTATTTTGCCCTCGCGAAGATGGACATGGACTTGGTCCGGGATAAGGTAACTATATATAGCACACCTAATGTCATAAGGTGCTTGCAGGAGTGGGCTGCCCGATTGTGTTTTGACAGGATTTCGTCGAGCAAGAGTAGTTGCCATGTTGTGCATCTGGGGAAAGTTGAAAGGTTAGGAGGGGCCGAAACTGATGGATAAGTTGGCCTTTTGAACATTACGAAGTGCCAAGCGTACTTATAGCCGCTGGGTTTCATCAACGGGCCCAAAAGAAGAAGGTCACATATGCAGTACCCGAACTCACTTTGACACCGAAAGTGACATACCTATGGGGCCAGATCATGTAAAGTGCCCAGGTAGTGGAAGCCCATAGATCTCCTTCACTTCTCTACTCCCTTTGTTGCTTAAAGTTTTATCTAGTATATTAGTTGCAAAGAGCTGTGCACATGGCTTCTATCGTGGCGAACGTATGTATCATTGAAGCTTAGGGGTTTGCAAATTGAATGAAGACGGTTGACGTGAAAATGGTGGAGTGGTGAATGAACAAGACGCGAAGGCAAGTACAGCCGGCGTTGCCAAATGCGGTTAGGTACCGCCCTTCGTAGGGAATGTCGCGTGCAGGTCACAATGGAACCCTAACAGGCTTCGCAAGTGCATTATTCAACGTCAACGCTCGATAGCTGCTTGGTCCTTAGACATCAGCCATGCCCGACTTATAACAAGAACTGCGCAATCGATGCGCACCCAAGTTTCACCCGACATGGATCGTGTAGGCATCTCGGAGCTCAACCCAGAGCTGCCAGCCCTCGAATCGAAGCAGTTCAAAGCCACAGTCACCCTGATATGGCCCTACTCGTCTTCAGCCCGCCAATTCGCCCTACTCCTTGCTGACCCTGACTTCCGGCTGCGTCGAAAGAAGGGCCAGGTCAGAGCTCGCTTCTCCGGATCCTGCGCCAAAGCCATTGCGACAACGAGTATAGGGATCGGAGATGAGGTTATACTGAGCTTGCAGGGCGCGCAATTTGTGCAGGAAGGAGCTGTCAACACGCCGGGAAAGGGCATCGACTGGGAGCTGTCCTACACACAGACTGTTGTGGTCCAGGTGTTCCGCAATGGCAGCGAACTCGCAAATCTGAACCTCGTCGATGTTGCCCCTACACCTGCGCCGCGCTCACCCAACCGCCGCGAGCCTGTAGCAGCTCCAAGCCCTGCCCAACAATGGTCCTCTCCGGCATTTCTCAAGCGTGTGCGACTTTCCGACGGACCGGTCTTTGAAGCTCCATACGATCCCCTGGTGGAGGAGAACAACGAGGGTCATGACAAGAAGCGACGGAGGAAGTCGTACAGAGATTGGAAGGCTTGGACATACAGTGCGAGAACACCTTCGCCGGAGAAGGAGCAAGATAGTATGGAGGAATACTCTGGTGGTGTCGAGGCGTCACCCAGCCGTCCAACCCAGCTGCCCGACACGCCCGTTTCTCCGCCGAAGCCTGAGATGCGCTCGGTTGCGGCTGAACCACTAAATCATTTGGAAGATGTCAAGGAGACGCACCAAAGCCGAGCAACCGCTCACAATGAATTGGTGTCAAGGCCAAAACAGGATGACTTCGTTCGCGACGCCGATTACTACGAGCTATACGCTGGTCCCAACGAGCTTCCACCCTCGGGCGCGCAGTATGCTTTTGGAGGTGATACCGAAGTCAATACCGAAGAAGAGGAAGTTGTGCAAAAAGGGTCAGAAGCTGATAGTTTCAGTACAACAGAGGCCAATACCGACGACGACGATCGTCTTCGCCAGATCGAGAGTGAAGCAGTCGAAATAGAGTTGTCGGACAGTGAACATACACTCGCTCGAAAGAACACGGAGATCGCAACCAAAGAGGAAAATTCCATGGATGTCATTGGAGTACGGCATGCTACGGAGACTTTAATTGACGTGGGGAAGAATGATCGCGATGGAACCCATCTTGCGACAGCAGCAGAGGAAGCAGTCAATATCTACGGCGCACCAACAACCGTCATGCCCCCTCCTACTTTATCTACTCTCCAGACCAACTTTCCCATCACCAACATCTCAGCTCTGCTCACTCCCATAGGCAGAGAGCCTGATAGCCCAACTCTCCAGCCTCTGGACTCTGCTACACTCCCCTTGCCGTCACCATTTCCAGGAGAGCGGGATAACAGCATCGCATCGTTCCTTGACCAAGTGGCAACCGTACAACAACTCGCAGAAGTCGATGCTACGGCCAATGAAGATCTGGAGCTTCCAAGCGATGCAGACTACATCCTTGAGACCTCATTCTTCAGCTCGATAAACTCATCGAGACCTTCAGGAAATCATCCAAGTCATGAATCGGCCTTTACTCCCGTGCGGTTTACATTTGGCATGGATGGTGCTGGCTTTTCTCGTCCAATGGAGCTATCTTCCCCAGCACCGGAAGAATTTCCATTGATCATCGAGGAAAACATACAGGCAGACACAGGATTATCCGACACCAAATTTCAAAAAGACTCTACTGCTTCTTTGGACATACAGATGCCTGTGCCTTTGTCTCATGAGACCGCGGACGGTGGGAAGAACCCTCACGATGTCGAGGACACCGCCGAAGCGGCCTCGGAGAACATTCAGGGAGAATTTGAGGAACATGAAGTTGTTGAACTGTCTTCTGGTTCGGAGTTCGAAGAGCTGGAGGAAAGCGAGATCGAAAGTAACACACCGGCTGACAATGAAGCGGACGCCGATGGATCGAAGGCAAATGTAATGGACTTTAATCAAGCTACTACTAACGAAGTTCTGGACAACCAAGAGGAAAGATGGCGCCAGATGCGTACATCACCTAAGTCAGAGATCAAGGACAAGGTCAACTTCGGGATTATTAGCACCCAACCGTCTACAGCGGGATCGGGAGTATTTGACTTAGGGTCTCCGTCTGAGGATAACAGTGACGAGGAAAGCCATGTCACGGGAGCTGAGCCTAATGTCTTCGACAGAGCCGGCAGCAATGAAGTCAACGAGCCGCTGTTGTTCGGCGCACGCAGCGCTCCCGGGCCAGACCAGAAACAGGATCTACCTCCCAACAAAGGCCCGAGCCAACCATCAGACGCTGAAAGCTATAGTGGGTTCTTCAACCTAGATTCTGCGCATGAAGTCGCGAGTGCGACTGCAACTTTGGAAGAGGAGGTATATCCTCACACAGAGGCACAACAGCAACTAGAGACAAGTTTTCACCATCTTGAGGAAGAGCAACCTTTCCCGGTCCATGATCATGAGTCACAATTCGCCCTGGGCGATTCGGACGCCTATATGCAGGACGCTTTCCGCATAGATGAGCTGCAACCCATACCGGAATGGGAATCGCTAGTGACAGAAGAGCATCACCCAGATATCAAAATGGAGTCGATTGAAGAGGACTCTTCATTCCATTTAAGCCAACCTAACATCCAACAAGTGGAAGATAGCCACCAGCATCATGCCGCTGGAAGCCCTGATGAGCTAATAATTGCTGTTCCGGGAGAGAGCCATGTGCTTGGAGAACTACACACCATATCGGTACCGGCCACAGCTCCTGCTAGGAACACTAGATCCAAGACAAAAGCCTCAACATCGCCTAGCAAAGAAAAAACGCCAGTCCCTAAGCGCAAAACTCGCTCGGCAAAATCCAAAGCATCGGTAACATCTGTTGCCCGTACGACTATCTCACCTTCTAAAACACGAACTCGTTCCACGGCATCTCCATCTCAGGATGCTGCGCAAAGCTCGCCGTATAGCCTTCGCTCTCAATCGAAGTTGCTTTCGCCCTTCAAAGACACGTCGGAAGTCGCTACAGCCATACCACACAGGAGTTCTCGTAAGCACGCTCCGCAAAATAGCACAGGTTCAGTCTCGGATCTTGCCCCATCCCAACTGGAGGGTCGTGACCTTTTTACGACGAGCTTTGAGCTGTCACAAGAGCTAAACGCTTCACAAGGAAGATACTCGAATGTGTCATTCGTAAAGGATTCTGAGGAGGAGAGCTTGAGCTCTGAGCAGTCTATATCTATCGCTCAACACTCTGGTAGTTGGGGTGACATTGGCGCACATTATACTAATTCGAGCAATCCAGTGCAAGATGCTGCTCATGTCAATGATCTTAAGCCGCTGTCAGCGAGTGCCCAGGCGAATACAAGACCAATAACGAAGGCGACAGGGAAGAAGACCGAGCTCCAAACGGTAGATCAGGTGAAGGGCAGTAGTCCTACTCAGCCGTCACACTCGTTTAACGCGCCACCACCGGCGACTAGCCCTAGCAGACGACTTCGCTCAGCAGGTGCAGCAGAAAGTACATCTCCTAGCCCTCGTATGGTGCGCAGGACAAGAAGGCACGTATATGAGCTTTCTCCCGAGGCTCGAGAATCTATGGAAGAGTCACCAGATGAGGCAACACCCAAGCTAGATATAACCGGTGAAAGTGAAGGTGAAGACGACCACCAGATTAGAAGCTCACCTCCACCCGCACCAAGTGAACTCTATGCACTACCCTCGGGTTCTACTGCTACAATCCCTTTTATCAATCAACAATCCCTCAAGGCTGACAATATGCCAATCACGCCGGACGCTACACAGCAGACAACGACAGAGCCGCAACCCGGTTTCACCGCTGTACAACAAGGAGATGGCCTACTCATGACACCTCAGCCTACTCAAGCCACCTCCAGAGAACTTCGCTCGTTCCAGGCCGATATTGATGTCGAAGAACCTGCCGACAAGGATTTAAAGCAAGCCCCAATGATTAAAAAATCAACGCCCCGCCGCAATGTCACCTCTACCGATGTCGCATCCGCCTCAGCTAGTCCACACTCTGAAGCTGCCTCTTCCTCTTCCGACGTGGTCGAAGCGGAGCAACCTTCAATAGGCCTCTCCACACCGCTCGCATACTATACGCCATTGAAGGACTTGGTATTCTTCCTCAATCGGTCATCACAATTTCACTCCGCCGCCAGTCCTGACGTCCTCGCCCTCGTCACATCATCCTCCACGCCGAGCGAGAAGGCGAAGAAGGGTCCCAAGCACTGGAATACCACTTTACACATCACAGATCTAAGTACCTGGCCCACGATAACGACAGTACAGCTCTTCCGCGCATACCAAACTGCTTTGCCGCACGCTGATGTCGGCGATATCATTCTGCTCCGCTCTTTCGCTGTCAAGAGTCTGAATCGGCAGCCGATGCTGATCAGTGCGGATGAAAGTAGTTGGTGCGTGTGGCGGTATGGAAAGCCTGTCTGGGGTGCGAAGAGGGGTGCGTACGGGGAGATTCGAGCGAGGGAGGAGATGAACGGTCCGACGGTTGAACGAGGTGAAGGCGAATGGCGGGAAGTGGAGCGTTTGAGAACGTGGTGGGTGGAAAAAATCAAAAGAGAGCTTGAAGAGAAGGAAGCAAGCCACGTGAAGACGAGGAGCAAGGATAAGTTGCCGGAAAAAGAGAACGATGAGGTGGAAATGGAGGAGACCATTAGCCAGGTCAAGACAAGGAGTAAGGATAAAGTGACTGAAAAGGAGAACGAAGTGGAAATGGAGGAAACCATTAGCCAGGTTAAGACGAGGAGTAAAGGCAAGGCGAAAGAGGTTGTAGATAGAGATGCCGAGGCGTGATTGTTGTAACAGGTAATAGCATTAGTGGCGTTTATTCAGAGCGAAGGGTATGGCATTATAAGTCCAGGTCTGGGGTTACATCAGGCCGGGATCCAACTACTGTCTCAGGGCGACGGGTGCCCAAGTAGAAGAGGACATCACGTCCGACATGATCAATCACATCACATCATATTTCTAATATTGTCAAGAATGATCTAACATCACTCAGTGTGTCTCGTGTTTGATTTATAGCTTATCCATCTAGCATGCATGATCGTTTCGTTTCTCATAGCTCACGCCCATATAACAGCTGAGATTGACTTTTCACAGCGATTTCCCACTTACTACGCTTTCGTTGCAAAACTGCAACTACTAGCCTTTCAGTGCAAGCTCGCAATTGCCATGTCCATCGTCAGCCCAAGATATGGTTGTGCCAGCATCTAGAGTATCCTCAATATGAGAGACACTCCATCTACTTCTCGTAAACCCAGTCGTGCTGAGCGCTCTTCCAGCTCTGGACCTCGCCCTCCTTGAACCACAGGGCAATCTCCTTCTTTCCGTTCTCGACGCTGTCGGAGCCGTGGCACACGTTGCGGCCGACATCGAGGGCGTAGTCGCCACGAATGGTGCCGGGAGCAGAGGCGAGGGGGTTGGTGGCGCCGAGGATGGAGCGGCCGGTCTTGACGGCATCACGGCCTTCCCAGACCATAGCGCAGACGGGGCCGGAACCCATGTCTATGAAGGTGTCAGTCCGCCATTCACGTCAAATGTAGCAATGGAGGAGGTGGGCTTACAGGCAATGAGACCAGGGAAGAAAGCCTTGTCGCTCAGGTCGGCGTAGTGCTTCTCGAGGTGCTCCTTGGAGGGGGTGACGAGCTTGATAGCAGCGAGCTTGAAGCCACGGTTCTCGAAGCGCGAGATGATGGGACCGATGAGGCCACGCTGTGGATTGTTAGTAATGTGCTCTTGTAGATGCGTATGATTCTAGGCTTATTCGACATACCTGAACGCCATCAGGCTTGATAGCAATGAAGCTGTGCGTCTGTCAGTAAACAGTGTTCACCGCCCATTGACCCCTCCCTCTCTCTAGGCATGGAACGTACGTCTGCTCGGTAGTCATATTGGCGGCTGATTGAACTTCGATGTTATGTCGTAAATGGGATCTGTCTTTGAGGCCGAGTTTCTTGAAGATAGGTGGATCGGGAATGCCTGAGGGGAACTGAGAAGAAGAGGCGTCGCTAGCCATGAGAAAATTGTAGGTGGGGGAGCTGCGGGCTTCGTTGGCGGGGCTAGGGGCGGTGGGGACTGGCAGTTGTCGGGGCTTGCACAGAGTTGTGCAAGTTTTGTGCAGTCCTCGAGCTTAGTGCACGTTTATGTAAGGCAGCTTATGTAAGGTCGAGCTACGTTTCAACACCGATGTGGTGCTGAGAATGCTTGATATAGAGAGGCTGGCTTGCGAAATATTAATTTTCTTAAGCCGCCAGCCATGAGTTCGTTACGGCAGAAGTCCGCTCCCCGGTGGACGGCTGTATTCCTGCTATGCGCGGTGCTATGTTGCCTGTTCGTGCCAGCTGGTAAGTAGTTCAGCTCTTGGGAGCTTCAAACGCCCATATATATACCCTATGCCTTGTTCTTGTAGGATATAAGGAGCTAAAGAGATGTTGTAGTAACGGTCAAGCACGAAAACTTCAAGAAATGCGACCAATCCGGCTTCTGCAAGCGAAACCGCCAGTTCGCCGATGACGTCTCCGCATCCAGCTCCTGGACTGCGCCCTACGCCCTCGACCCAACTTCGATTACATTTGAGAAGGGTCAATTGAATGGCGTTGTGCTCAAGATATTGAAGGAAGGCGAGGAGAAGGCGAGATTACCGCTCACGGTTACCTTCCTCGACTCTGGCGTTGCAAGAGTCACTCTTGATGAGGAGAAACGAGCAAAGGGCGAGATCGATCTAAGGCATGACAGCAAGGCGAGGAAAGAGCGATACAATGAGGCTGGCAAGTGGGCGCTTGTTGGAGGCTTGAAAGTGTTCGAAGGCGCGGCACTAAACGCAGAAGCCGAGCAAGGGTACACAAAGGTTGTGTATGGCAAAGGCGGCAAACACCAAGCTGTAATTCGACATGCGCCTTTTGGAATCGAGTTTCAAAGAGATGGGGAGACACAAGTCAAGTTCAATGAGCGGGGTTTCTTGAACGTAGAACACTGGCGGGCCAAGGTTGAAAAGGTAGAAGAAGAGAAGAAAGAGGGTGAAGAAGAAAAGGTAGAAGACGAGAAGAAAGAGGATGCAACTGGTGAAGATGAGAGTACCTGGTGGGAGGAGAGCTTTGGTGGTAATACCGACAGCAAGCCCAGGGGTCCTGAGGCTGTCGCGCTCGATATTTCATTCCCAGGCTACGAGCATGTATTCGGTATTCCAGAGCATGCTACGAGGCTGTCGTTGAAGACCACAAAGTAAGGTCGTCGTTCAGGAATCTAGGCTCGATTAGCTAACGGACATCAGGGGTGGTGACAATGCTTACGATGAGCCCTACCGGTTGTACAACGCCGACGTCTTTGAATACGAAATGGACAGCCCAATGACGCTTTATGGCGCCATTCCTTTCATGCAGGCTCATCGCAAGGGCTCGACAGTTGGCGTATTCTGGCTCAATGCTGCTGAGACATGGATTGACATTACCAAGAAGAAGAACACGGCAAACCCGCTCGCTCTTGGCGTAAAGGGACACACTGATACCCAAACTCATTGGATGTCTGAGAGTGGTCTGCTAGACATCTTCGTCTTCCTCGGTCCGACCCCTCAGGATCTCACTCGCCAGTATGGAGAGCTAACCGGATTCACTGCTATGCCACAGTCCTTCGCTATTGCCTACCATCAGTGTCGATGGAACTATGTTACCGATGACGATGTTAAGGACGTCGATCGTAGGTTCGACAAGTTCAACATTCCGTACGATGTCATCTGGCTTGACATCGAGTACACGCAGGAGAAGAAGTACTTCACTTGGGACCCATTGACTTTCGTTAACCCAGAGACGATGCAAAAACAGCTCGCCAAGCGCGACAGGAAGTTGGTTCCCATCATCGACCCGCACATCAAGAACACTGACAACTACCCTGTCATTGATGAGCTCAAGAAGAAGGATCTTGCTGTCAAGAACAAGGACGGTAACCAGTATGAGGGCTGGTGCTGGCCGGGGTCCTCTATGTGGGTTGACTGCTTTAACCCAGCAGCTATCGACTGGTGGAAAGGCTTGTTCAAGTACGACAAGTTCAAAGGTAGTGCTCCGAACACCTTTATCTGGAATGACATGAACGAGCCTTCGGTCTTCAATGGACCCGAGACCACAATGCCGAAGGACAACCTGCACCACGGCAACTGGGAACATCGTGATGTCCACAATATCAACGGCATGACCTTCCACAATGCGACGTACCAGGCCCTCACTGAGCGCAAGAAGGGCGAGCTCCGACGTCCGTTCGTACTCACCCGCGCCTTCTACTCTGGTAGCCAACGTAGCGCTGCCATGTGGACGGGAGATAACCAAGCTGAATGGGCTCACCTTGAAGCCTCCCTTCCTATGGTTCTCAACCAGGGCATATCTGGCTTCCCCTTCTCGGGTGCAGATGTTGGAGGTTTCTTCGGCAACCCGAGCAAAGAGCTCCTAACGCGTTGGTACCAGGCGGGTATCTACTACCCCTTCTTCCGCGGCCACGCACACATTGACACTCGCCGCCGCGAGCCCTACATTCCTGGATCGCCATACACTGAGATCATTACCCAAGCTCTACGTCTACGATACCAGCTTCTACCCGCTTGGTACACGGCTTTCCATGAAGCGTCTACGACCGGTGCGCCCATCATCCGACCAAACTTCTACATACACCCAGAAGATGACAACGGTTTCGCTATCGATGATCAGCTATACATCGGCTCCACGGGCCTTCTCGCTAAGCCAGTCACCAAGGAGGGCGCTGACAGCGTGTCTGTCTACATCGCTGACGATCAGCCGTACTACGATTACTTTGATTACACTAGCTATCGTGGCGCAGGTCACCACACTGTCCCCGCGCCACTCGAAAAGATCCCTCTTCTCATGCAAGGCGGCCACATCATCCCGCGCCGCGACCGCCCTCGTCGTTCCTCGGGACTGATGAAATTTGACCCCTTCACGCTCGTCGTTGTCCTCGACAAGGCTGGCGATGCTGAGGGTACCCTGTATCTAGATGATGGGGAAACATTTGATTACCAACAAGGCGCCTTCATACACCGCCAGTTCTCTTTCGATGGCGCAAGGCAGGTCCTCAGTTCCGCGAACCTCGACATCGGACATAGGACTGTGAAGTGCGAAAAATACCTCAAGACTATGGAGAAGGTAAGAGTGGAGAAAATCATCATCGTAGGCGCACCTAAGGCCTGGAAGAATAAGGAGGAGGTCGTGGTCTTGGAGGAGGGTCAGAAGGAAACCAGGAGGAAGAAGTCGCTCCCGCTCGAGTATCATGCCGCTGAGGGCAAGAAGGCTGCATGGGCGGTTGTTAGAGATCCTGGAGTTTGGATTGGCAGGGGCTGGAGGATCGATTTCGGCGACAAGGTGGCAGGACATGAGCATCATGGGCATGAGCATTGATTGGTAGCTATTCAACCTTGAAAGAGTAGGCTACATTTAGATGATCTCAGCAACCAGCTCCGGTTATGGAGTACGAAGATTGATAACGCCCGACATCCAGCGATATAATGTAGAGTATAGATATGATTTAGAAGCGTCAAGGGTAGTCACTTGTCGCTTCCCTCACTTATCGCTCCCCTCCTCAGACAACCCCTGCAGTGCGCGCATCATGGCTCCGATACTGGCCCTGCGCGGCGTGTCCTCTCCTTCTACCACCCCCACACCGCTTTCCCCTCTCCCGACTCAACGTCCCAGCTAAAGGTCCAGGGGCCGTGCCCTCCACGGGCGAACCTTTCAAAAAGTAGTACCCAATCTTCCACGCTCATATTCGTCATCCTAGGCGTCTCTAGGACAATCTGCCGAATGCGTACTGCAGTGCTCTTGCTACCTCCTCCATTTCGTTCTTTTCTCAATTCAACTCACTCATCCAAACAGCCAAAGCACTCACTCACAACACCAACAATGCGCATCCTCCAGCTCGCCATCGGCCTCGCCGGCTTCCTGATCACGACCGTCAAGGCCACACCCATTGAGTCCACGGTCTACAACGTCCCCTTAGACCTCGACTTCAAGCTCCCCAAGCTCCCCGACTTCAATGGCACTGTCCAGTTGGTTAAAGTCGTCACCATGGGCCCCATGGTGGCAAATGCGGCTAGCTCACTACATCCCTCATGATCACTCCTAGACTTTCACTTTTCTTCCTGTGACAACATATTTCCCATGCCTTGCTCATAAAAAGACAGACTATGGATAAAATGCCCATTGAATAGTTGGCTCTGACATTTACATAATAGGCATCAACACCCTGGCTCATACAGTGATGACTATGTGCGCATACCGCCACGCATCTCCTCACTCTTTGTCCCTTTTCTACAACTCCTACAAATCTCCATGCCATATCAGTATCGCAAACCAACAACCCCCTAAAACATTCACAGTCATCATGAACACACAGCTCAGTCTACAATCGCGCATCCACGACTACGAAGAGCGAGAAAAGGAGAAAGAAAACGAACATGATCAGAAGCAACGAGCAACGAGATGCGCTACCCTGAACGAAGAGCGGGGAGAGCGCGATTCTGAAAAGGTTGGTAGTGCTGAAGTAGAGAAGAAAAGAAATATCTTAATACGAAAGGAAAGCAATAGTGAGGCGCAGGTGCACGGCGACGCTAACAACACTGCCTGTATTGGGAACCAGTGATGAGAAGAACAGGGCAAGAAGTGTGGAGATGGTAGAGAACGAGGGAAATATGGCATTGTTATTAAGCAAAAATGATATGTCCTTGTCCGCCGAGAGAAAAACTTTGATTGAGATGATGGGCAGAGGTGGTCTGCATGTACCTGCATTCCCCTATAATCAAATCACAGCAATACCAGGAATGTGAATGTGCAAGTATAATTCACTACGTTAAATAGCTAATTGATAAGCTAATAGATAAGCCCAAAAAACCACATGGGCGGTCTGTCCCTGATCCATCTCCCGCTATCCGGCGTTCCTTGCCGTACTTCTGTCTATGTTGCGCCCAAAACGCCGTGCTTGTTTTTTGCTTGATAGTGGTACAGGACATTTACATAGGAATGAAAGAGGTAGATTTACGTAAATTGCCCTCTGATGGGCTCTTGCTTCGCATTCAGATCTTACTGTGCGTGCTTGCCATGAGTTTTCGATGATTCGTCCAAGAGTATTGGGGTCTAATGCCTGTCGCTGGAGCGTCGGATAGTAAATAAGTATGAGCATGCAGCTGTCGATCTTACTGGATTGATAGCATGCGAGGCCGCTTGGTAGGCGAGTGTGGGACTGTCAGCGCCCCTCTCTGATGCGGGGCGGCCACTCTTGAGTGTTTGAATACCTCAGGACGTATCTTGACTGGGTTTCTCTGTCTCAGCCTCAAGAGCTTCTTTCTTTTCAGTCTGCGCGACCTGCTTCCCCTCAACAAGCTGAATAAGGTAAGTACCAACATTCCCAGCGCCATCGATAGGGCCCAATTTCGCTTCGAAGAGTTTCGCTTCTCGCAACAGCCTGATCCCATATTAGCACCTGTGCTCTATTTAACAGCAGTCAAGTCAGCATACCTCGCTTTACCACCCGGCGTCTTGACCGCCGCTTCCCTAATAACCTTCCCGACCTGCTCCCTATAACTCTCAAACACCGGAGCCATGATCATTCTAACCTGTATCTCGCTTAGATACTTGTTGATGACCTTGTGCATCGTCACCGTATCCTTGGTCAAGCTCTCCATACTAGTACTAACATCCTTGTTTACCTCGGCATCAGTATCCCACTCCACCTTCTTGAGGCTGCGCATGTGTACTGTTGCCCTCCCAGATAGGATATCAGTGAGTTTCTCGTGGATCGAAGTCTGTTGATCGTGCAGGAGACGCTTGACGTTGTCGAATTCGCCGATGGCAGACTTGTTGGTGGCGGTGGCAATACGGCGGCGTGCACATTCGCGGATATAAGGGAGTATGGCGATGATGAATGAGAGGGCCTGGGAGGCAATGGCCAAGTGTTTTGTATTGATGTTTTTCAAACCGGCAGTTTGCATAGCGCCTGCTCCTAGGATAAGCTGACACAGGCGCGAGTTGAAGAGCTTGATGTATTCGCATAGGGAGGAGGAAACTTCAGACGTCATGCTTGGTATGGTAGAGAGGAGGATTTCAAAGCGCTCGATGCCGCGGAGGACTACGGTTGAAGAGTGTGAGATGGTGTACTTTTCTTCGTCGACAATGGCAGGGGCGGTGTTCCTGTTTTTCTCTTTGGGCTTGTCTTCGGAAGTGCCGTTCGTTGGCGCTGTACCATTGCTAGTCGGTTCCTTGATCTCGCGAAGGACATCGCCTGTCTGGCCCCAGTTTGGTGGGTCGCTCTCCATACCCTTTAGTATTCGTGCTAGAATCTCGTTATCCTCTACATCGAAGTCCTTGGGCTCCCAACGGTCTGAGTCCATTGCTTTCGCTAGCTCTTGCTTTTCAAAGTCGCCGAACTTGGACACGAAATCGCTTATGTGAATGTTCACAACACCCTTCAGTGCTGCACCAGAACGGCCTGAGACTGCCTCACATTCGTCGGCAAATAGTCTACACAGGCTAAAGTACCGTAGAAATCGTTCGAGGGGCAGATTCGCTGTAGCTTCAGAACGAACCTTCAAAAGTTTTGTGATCTGAGTCTGCGCCGCGTCCACTGCCTGACCGAGCAGGCTCGACATATCCAAAGCTTGCATCAGCTCCATTTGCAGGTCGTTCGACGCAGGTGCAGGGGTGCTGTTACCGAGGTAGCTGTCCATGTTGTGCATGTATGGACTCCTCGGAGGAGATCGTAGTCCGCCTGCAGACGCTGGGGGTGTGGAGACTCCACTAGTGACATCCAGGAGAACCTTGACCTGCGTACCGAGCCGGCGCAATGCTTCGCCTATGTCCGTGAAGATGCTAACAAAGAACTCTTCGGCATCTGCGGGATCCATTGCTCGGAGGTTTCGGGCTAGTATCGAATTCTTGTCTTGCTGGCTGTAGCCTCGACTGCCTCTCGTAGAGACAGATGCCATAGATTCTGTATCATCGTCGGTCGAGCTGGGGAGATATCTCCGGATTAAAACCTTCATTTCCTTCACTATCGCTTCTCTAAAGGTGGCGCTGGCTTGATTTGTAAACTGTGCTCCACTCAAACCGTACAAGCTAACTCGTAGATCCGAACGAAGCTGGTTGCTAGTATTCAAATATGCAGGCATGCTTGACTGCGTCTTTGGGTGATTTCCTCGCGCTTTTTGTGATGCGGCTACCCATCTTTCCAGAGTGTCGTGGTTCGGTACGCGTTTAACGTGCTCCCGCAAGTCTGTGAGCAGCGTATCAACGAAGCGCGCTTCAAATCCTCTCCCAACGCGGAATTTCAACTCTTGAATGTTCTCAAAAACGCCCTCCAGTGCCCTCAAACTTCTTAGATCGATCAATTGTGGTGGTAACCGAGTGTGTAACCACGAAACGCTGTTTGAGTCTGTGGTGTCTAATGCGCCGGTGATCAGTCGTTCGATGACTTCCAAGCGGGTCATGGCAATCTCTAGGTCCCCCTTATTGACGACTTCGTCACAATGAGATAATCCAACGATGACTGCTTGTAATTGATCCACTGCGTCTGTCAGCTTCCTGAGGTTCTCTCGCCGCCGTTTCATCTCCACGACTTTCAAGCCTCCAATCGCCATTTGTTCGTCCAGTCGTCGCAAATCATCTCTGAGCCCCTTTATCCTTGCAACCGATTCCGAAGCTTCCGACTGGAGTTCGCGCAGAGATCCCAAAGCTGCAAAGAAGGACGTCGAAGCCGTTGAGATTGCCGATATCAAGTGCACCTCGACCGTGTCTAAGTACCATGATAACTTCTCCTGTAATATCGCATTTGTCGCCAGTGATTTCCTGCCCGTTGGCTGTGGCGCATCTAGCGAACCGTTTGCAGCATTCAGATCATCACTGCTCTTGGATCGAACAGGTCGCACCACCTCGGATCTTTCACTCACAATGTCAAAGGTTCGCGGATTCTCGAGGTGGAAGTTCTCCTCAAAGTAGACATTCGGTATGGTGGATAGTGGCGTGACAGCGGGCAAGGCGCGCTTCGATCCGCTTGTACGTCGCTTGGGTTTCGGCGCTGCAATCGGAGAGGATGCGCCTCCTGACAGGTTCGGGGTGCTCAATGGTGAAGCTGTATACAAGCTGCGCTCCAAGTTCTCTGTGATGCCATCCTTCTTCGACCCTTTTCTGGCTAGTTGCGCAGCCTCTCCTTCTGCTTCCGCCTTTGCGCGCTGAAATGCTTCGTAGAGGGTTCCGACTTGCGAGAGATAGGGATTAAAGGCGGACGGTTCGATGTGGGGTATGTTTGCAAGCGTTACGGGAGGGATATCTTTGGTAGAGGGCGGTCGATGCCCGGACAATGCGGAAGCTGTGGTGTGCGGAACCATGCCGGTCCTCACAATCGGGGGTTGTAGCAATGTCGAGATAGCTTGCACTGAATTAGCTTTCCTTCTCTCTATATACCCCGAAAAGAGGAGACTATGTGCCCACCATTATGGTTCTGCTCTCTCACCGCGCCCATGTTGCTCTTGAACCCCGAATCCAGCACTCCGCCGACCGAGTGTATTGAGCTTGCCGTGGACCCGCGACGTGGCTTATAGCGCCCGCCCGTGGAACTCGGCCGGTTTGTCCAGTCATTCTGTGATGGGAAGGGAAAGGAACTCTGTGAAGGGGTTGGCGACAGAAACTCGAAGCTGTCTTCGGACCGCCGAGGGGACCTGGGGGAGGACATGATGGCGGCGCAGGTCGGGGGTAAACAAGTGGCCGAGGCATGGGGTGAACAAGGGGCGCGAATTATCTCATGCTGTGGTGGGAGTCGGGTAGCTTCAAAGTTTTGGACCAGTCTGAGACATGAAATTAGGCGTGGATATCAAGAAATTGGGTATAAAGCGTGAGCTTCAGCGCCATCTGCGTCCAAAGTTCCACGCTCGCCATGACGGCGCATGAGCCTCTTGGCTGACAGGGATCACGCGGCAACCGAAACCGTCCCAACCTGCATCAGACATCAAAGCGTGAGACCAAGTACAAACATACTAATTACACACTAAGGTTCAGAAATCTTTAAAAATCTTTAGGAATCTTCAGAACTCTGGTCGATGTGACAATCTCATCGAAGCTGCATCTACGTTCTTTGTCTTTTTGGCAATAAGTTGTATGACCTCACAACCAAGCATAGGCACAGGAAACGTTTGATGTTCAGAGAGAATAGAAAATGAATGCCTAGCAAGCTCTTATCAACTTTTGGCCATTACCGCCACCTCGAAATGCCACCGCCCTACAATCTCGGCGCCCTACCATTATAATCAACACCAGCCGAAGCAGTGTAATTAGCAAAGCAATCATAGTCAAAATCAATTTCAGCACTTCTCTTCTGCAGAACAGAAACAACATGATCGAAAGAGCAGAGGCCATTCGGGTCAACGGGGCAACCAGGATACGATTCATCGATAGGGATGACGGCATCGTTGCTACGTGGTAGGATGTTAGCTATACTCAAGAACAGATTTCATGAACACAAGAAAAGGTATGGAAGGGGGGGAGATATTGGGATATAAGAGGATCCTCGGTATACGTACATAATAAAGCGTATCTGCTTCGTAGGCTGCAACGCCGGACAAGAAAGCACCTGCGCAGTAAAATGCGTTGCAAACGGCACAAGTTTACTCGCTACGAAGCTATTCTGCCTGCGATTCCCCGTAAGGCCAAGTGGTGGGCCTTTAAACAAAGCGGTCAAATTAAACGCAACGAGCGTATCAAGAACAACAACCTCATGCGTCGCATCCGCATAGATGGACTGATTTAGCGGAAAGAAAGTCGTCGAGTTATCAAACGTCTGGTTGAGAGCTGAGTTTGCAGCGGGATATTCCCCAGTAAAGCGCGCGATGAACTCGTCCAGGTAGCTCTTGCCTTGGGCGGCTGCGACGGGTGATCCAGGGCCGTTGTTGTAGTAGAAGGATAGGTCGAAGTAGTATTCGTAGTTTAGAAAGTCCTCCTCGCTGAAGAGACTGCAGAAGGACGAGTAGCCCAGGGCGTGCGTCTCGTACGAGCAGAGCTGGAGCATGGCTATGATGTCCACTGATGTAAAATTGATTCCGCTTGCCTGTGATTGTAGGCGGGCAATCGTCGAGTTGAAGACATTGGCGGCAAACCGATTGGCTACTGTGCTTCCGATGCTTCCCTTACTGGCAACATTTGAGTTTTTGCAAATCTCATATGGCGCACCCGAATTGTTCAGGCCAGGTGTCTCGACAAGGATCTCAATGCTGACCTGATCCTGATATTCGCCTACCCCAAAGAATCCAGCGGCGAAGTTCTCAGCAGTCTTGACCATGCGGTCCTGCGACTGAGTTCGAAACACAGGAAGGGTCCTGGCGGCCGTGAAGTTGTTCAAAATATGGCCATATAGCTGCCTGTATTCGACACCCAGGAGGAAATTCTGACTGCGTCCAAAGGGCGTGAGAAGTTCAGCACCGAGCTTATACGTCCAGTCACTCAGGAAAGCGAGCTCCCCCGAGACAGCCAGACCAGTCTTGGTAGCATTCACAATCTTCTGTGCAAATGTGCCCGGAGCCGCACCGCTGGTCGGATACCTGGCACCATGGCGGTACAGCAGGTGTACTTGCGTGATGTCGCAGGATTCTGGTACTAGCGGGCTAGCGTCAGGCAAGCCGTAGTCTGACGAGCGTAGCGAATACCACGGTGCCAGATTACCCCAGTACTTGCTACTGTCGAACCTTGGTGATGCGGAATCGCTACCATGCGGTTGTGGGATGACCAAGGGGAATTGATTGGCATTGCCGTCATTGTACGGATATGCCTTTGCTGTCTGGATAGCAAAAGGCTCCACTCCAGTTGGCGTAGGACCAGGGAAGCCGACTTTAGACTCAGGCGGGAAGAGTTCAGAGTTGACTGGGGCTGTTCGTACAAGCAATCAGCGGCGAGATTAGAGCAAGAGTAAAGATCTCGACTTACTGCCCGAGGGAGGGTACACATCAGCAGTCGCAGAGCCCGCAAAATCCGAAGCCTTGATTGTCGTCGGTGCAGCAGCAGCAGCATGAGCAAACAGTGCCAAAAAGGCAGCTGTGCGCGTAGTCGGAGTAACCTGCATCTTCATCTCGACGTCTGCGAGCTGTTAATATCGAACAAGATAGCCAAGCTTCGACAAGCTTTTACCCAGCAATGTGGATGCAACCGTTCATCTTATGCCCGTCACAGTTCCCACCGTAATGTACAGTTTCCATGATATTTTCCGGTATGAAATCAAGTGGGATAAAGTGACGACATACATGCAGGATGCAATCCAACTGACCATGGGTTTATGCCAAGATTCGGCATGCCGGCTCTTAGCACAACCCATGGTTGGTTGGATTCATAAGAGGATTTCCAAAGCGCCTACGCCCTACCGGTAATTTAAGCTATCGCTAGTTCTATAAAAGTAGTTTAAGTGCGGAGATATTTATAATTACATTAATTCCTCAATAGGTTAAAACAGTCGCTGACTATAGTTCTAAACTTGATTATCGTTCTCCTAAGTACCAAATATTGATTTTCTGCTCTCGATGACTACTGATAAGTCTGATGCGATTTCTGGTTGTATCTTGGGAGAGTGGGGAAACTTCCAAATCGGTGTTTGGTCGGATGCGGGAGCAGAGATTGGGTACTAAGGTAGATTAGCTGATAAACTATTTCAGCCAATAAACTACTCTAATATTAAAATAGATTTAATATATTATTTTTAAACCGCGATATATCTACTACTAATAATTTAATTTTAAATATAATTATAGCAATTAATTTATAAAATTTTAAAAAATAATTTTTATACTATATAGCTATAAAAATATTTAGTATTAACTAAATTACTTTAGCGCGCTAATACTAAAAGAAAATACAATTAAATACAGAAAAAGCTTAATAATAAATATATTTTAATTTATAATAAAAATTAAAACTTATATAATATATATAAAGTTTATTTAAATATAAGCTTGCACTTATAAAAACTATAATAAAAAATTTTGCTTTTAAAGTATTAAAATAGGAAATTTCTAATATATAAATTATATAATTTTTAAAAAAAATATTACAATGCTTTTACTTTTAAATATACTACTAAAATTAATTATAAATAGTACTTAGCTAATACTAAGCATAGCTATAAATTATACTTTAATTTTTTTTATTTAAAAATTTAAAAATATAAAGTTAACGCGCGCTACATTTATAATATAAATAAAAAATTTTTTTTTATTAGCATTATTTTACGCTTTAAATAAGTTTTTTTAAAGTAATTTTAAAAGTAAAAATAAATTATAGCAGCCTTATAAAATAGTAATTAAAAATAAATAATAATTTTAGTATATATTTATGCGGATAAAAGCGCAGTAAATTTAAATATAATTTTTAAAAAAAAAAAAAAAAATTTTATAACAGTTAATTACGCAATATAAAAGTAAAAAAATACTAAATTTTTTTTATAATAAGTTTTTTTAAATAGTTTAATAATAATATTAGTTTAGCCTAGTTTAAATAAATTTTTAATTAGCATATAAAAAGCAAAGTATAAGCAAATTATAAAATTTTTATTTTTAATAGCTATAGTAGCTATTTTACTACTAATTTTATAAACTTTTGCAACGCTAATAAGATTTTTTTAATAGTATTTTTTTTTTATTTAATTTATAGCTTATAACTTTTAAATATAATATTTTTTTTGCTTTTTTTAATTATTTATTTAACTAAGCTTATATACTACTTTTATTATAGCTAAAGCTTTATTTTTATAAATAAAAATTTTTTTTTTTTATTATTTTAAACTATTTATAATATTATATTTACTTTTATAAATATACAAAAGGTGTTTAAAGCTATAAGCATTAAGCTACTTAATATTAATATTATATTATAATAATTTAAAATATAACTATAATAAGAAGATTAAAAATTAATAAATAAAAAAAATAGTAATAAAAATACTTAAAACTAGCTCTGCAATTTATTTAAAATTATTATAAAAAATAAAGCAAAAGTTAAAGCTAAATAATTAAGCTTTATACTATATTCTTTTTAAGTGCAAAATAAACTTTTTTTATTATAAAAATAAAAGTCTTTGCAACGCGCTTTTAATTACTAAAAAAAAGTATAAAAATAAAAGCAAACTTTTAAATTTTTAATAGTATAAAAAGCTTTATAGCGCTATAATATTTTAAAATTTAAAAATTATTTAGGAAGTTTACGCGCGCAATACAGTAAAATAATATAAAAATAAGTTCTCTAAATAGGGACCCTATTAAACTATTATATATTAATTTTATTATTAATAACTAACTAAGCTTTAGCAGCTCCTTAGCTAACTTAGGCTGCTATAATAATATATAAACTACTGCAATTATAAATACTATAAATACTAATACTGCAAATACTATAATATTATAATACTATAATACTATAATTACTGCGATTACTATAACTTTATAAAGTTATAAAGTAAAATACTAAAATTTAAATTAATATAAAATAAATTATATTTAGTAGCAAAAAATATAGTATTAAACTTTTTTGCTGTACTACTAAATTTTGTAATACTAAATGCTTTATACTTTAAACTTTCTGCGATAAGCAATTAATAGCTTATAATTTATTATTATTTTTTTTATAATTATTTTATAATAAGCTTTATTACTTATATAAATAATAGTACTAATATACTGTACAATACTAGGCTTATAGTATTAAGCGCTACTTGCTGCACTATTATATTGCGTATTATAATTAATAACTATTTACTTACTAATACGCAAGTACTTTTTTAGCTTTTTTTACTATAAAAAACTATTAATAAATAAGTTTTTATTATTTATTTTTTTTTTTTTAGCTAGCTTTTTAGCTAGCTTTTCTAGTATGCACTGCTAGTTAATAAAAAAAAACTTATTTAGCAATTTTAGCTACTTTATATAATTTAGCAGTAAGCAAATATATTACTATTATATAGCTGCAATAATTACTTACTTTAAATATATAAATTTTTAATATAGAATTAGAAAAACTTTAACACTTTCTAAGCTTTTAGGCTTAATAACTAATAATAGTTATTAATGCAGGCCTTTTTCCTGTATTTTATAATTATAGTATTTAGATAGTTAAAGTCTACTTTATTAATAATTAAAAATAAATATATAGTATCTACGCAATAGTTAGAAATATATAACTAATAAGTATATAAGAATAAACTAACTTTTAGTAAGCTATAGTATAAAAATAAGTTTTATTTTTAATTACTTTTGCGTTAAATACTATTATATTAAATAATTATTACTATTAAAAAAGTATTGCAAAATTTTATAAAGTAAAAAATAATATTTTAACTATAATATTTTATATATTATGCGCTAAGCAATTGCTACTACTAAATTACTACTACTAAATTATAATTATAAAACTTTTATTATATAATTTTATAATTTTCTGCTTTTGCGCTTTATACTTTATTTTTTTTTTTTACTTTTTGCTTTTTTGCTTTTTATTAGAAATTTTTATTATAAGAATCTTTTAAATATACTTTATAGTATTATCCCCTTTTTTGCTAAAAAAATAATATCTTTTTAAAATAACTATTTAATATTCTATAATATTATTATATTAGACTTATAGAACTATTATAAACTAAGTATATTGCGTACTTATTATTAAATTAATTTATTACAAGCTATAAATAGATAGCTTGCAATATACTATAGTATATTTTTTTTAAAGTATAGCTTAAAAATAGAGGCCTGAGCTGCTGTTACAGCTATACAATTGTAGTTAAATTCGAATATTGTAGCCTATTAAGGAAAAGCTTCTACGGCTTTAAAAACCTTAATAATTTAGTTAACTATATAGCTAAGTTTAATAATTATTTAATTAAATCTGAATTATATTAGAATAAACTTAAGTTATACCTAAGTTATACTTAAGTTATACCTAAGTTATATCTTAATTATATTTAAATTATATGCAGTAAACTAAGTTCAAATCCTGCAGTTTCTAATAATAAAAGCTGTATTTTTCTTTTTTTTGCCAAATTTGGTTACCTACTTAGGTAAAAATCCAAATTTTTGTAGCTTAATTTTTTGTAATTAACTTTAGAAGGCCTCTTTGCCCTCGCTGTAGCTATCGATAAAGTATAGTTTAATATAGTAAACTAGTATAGATATATAGATTTTATTATATATAGTACTGTTGTTTTATTATTAAATAGCTGCTTGAGCGGTTTTAGCCTTCCTTTAATATAAAAATAAAATTAAATAATTTTAAAAAAAAAAATAAAAAAGCTAAAAATAGTAGCAATATTATATAAAAAAAAAATTATAAAAAAAGTAAAAGTAGTATAGTTGCTTGCTAAAAAGCGCGCTATAAAAAAATATATAATAATAATTTAAAAATAAACTACTACGCGCGTACAAAAGCAATAAAAAAAAAAAACTATAATTTTATAAAAACTTTATAATAAAGTAAATAAATATAAGTAAATAATTTTATATTTTACAAATTTAAATATAGTAAAGCGTTATTATATTATAAATGCTAAAAGTAGTAGTTTAAATATATTATAGCTACTACTGCTTTTATTTAAAACTACTATGCGCAGCTACTAAATTAACTTTTTATAAAAATTTAAATAATATAAATTAATTGCAAGCATTTATTTACTAATACTTTAAAATTTTTTATAATAATAACTTTTATTAGTAGCTTTATAGCTTTATTTTTACAAATAAGTAACTTTTATTAAAGTGGTTTATTAGCTGAAACAGTTTATCGGCTGATCCACCTCAGTAACCGAGGCTGGCTATCGATTTGAGCGGTGGCTATAGCGCGTGCGAGCATAATATGACCGTTATCCTCGTTAAGATAGGCTAGTTAAGAAACCATAGTTGAGAGCTGCTGCTTAACTAGACTACCCTGGGCGGAAGAAATTGAACGCGTACGTTGAGCATACTTTGAGAACCTTGAGAATCGTTGGTTGGAGTGTAGCGTCAAGCTCAACTGCGACTCCTCCATTGGCTCATTCTTGCACGGCTACAACTCGCCCACAGTACTGTGGTCTTGCTCAGACGATAAATCGACATCCTCGCGAAGCGGGAGCGGGCACGGAACATCTGTGTTCCTTGAGCTTGGCGCGGCTCTGCTATTTAAGCACCGTTCCTCGCTCCGAGCAAACTTTTCTCCTTAGGTCAGAATCCTGCGTTTACCGGCTACAGCTATGTCTCTTTCCTTGGAAAGATGACAGTTTTACGCAATAATTATCGGAAGCAGCTCCTGTCTACTTTCTTGCGATGATGACTTCGTGTCTGATGCATATTGTAGCTCCTGTTTTCCATGTGCATGCAGAGCGTTTGGCAGTGATGAAGTGCACAAGCAAAAACTGAGCCTACAACCTCACTGACCTACATATAACATTCCGCCTTAAGGCTATATATCTGTTTGGGTCACAATTATTATTTAAATATAGAAAGATTCTCGGAATGGTACTAGAAAGAGAAGATGGCATGCAGGGAGAGAACAAAGATGATGAATTCGATATATATTGTCAAGTAGCTATGTCATGTACAGAAGACTGTTGACCAGTAGAACCATGTGTTGCTCACGAAAAAAAAAGGGCGGCCTTTTACGCAGTTCAGAATTCTGCGTGGCCTACAGAAATCTCATGGGAACGAGAAGCCTGCATACCACCGGCTATCTTGATCTAGGAGTCTTTGGGAACAAAAGCGTCATGGGAACCTTGCCCGAAGGGGGCCCTCGACCAGCAGAACAAGGTCGTTAATCTTGAAGACTCCACCTGGGTACTCGCTCGGTCCTACACAAGCTGTCAGCGAAAGGGAAGGGGAATCACTTACCTGTATGTGTAGAGAAAGAAAGTCGGAGAAGAGGAGGGGAAGAGAGCTTCAAATACCCAGCGAGGGACCAAAGCTCGTGGCGATGACGCTGTTGTGAGCCTTCCTGTTATTCAAAGCAGAAGCCGTCGTCATGGCGTCTACCCTGCCTGTTGTCATCTCTAAGGGGAGGAGCGTACCAGAACACCGAATCTATCAGGCGACTCCTTTCTGTCCATTGCTTGATGAAGACTGTGCGAATCACCTCTGCTTCAGTTGGGGAGTTTGGTATAATAGCATAGATTCTAGACGTAATTTCTCTTAAACACTGTGTATGCAGAGTATGTACCTTTTACAAATAGTCTTGAGTGATTGGATGGCATTTTCTCTCTCTCTAAAGATTCCCAGCACCGAGATGAGGCAGCGTCTTGAACAGAAATGATTAGGCTCTGCTGATTCCTCCTGTAGTAGGATACCACACGCGGCACATGCTAGGTGGCGTGTAACAACTGGAGGAATCAGATGATGCAGGGCCAGTCGTAAACGCTGACTAGGTGCAAAATGTCTTGGAAGATATCACGATAGGAAAAAGGCGGACGTTTCAATTAGGTACACTCCCATTTAATGTCAATTATCGTCCAAATTGACGTACACAGTAGTCATAATTGTATTACACAGCTCAAGTCTATCTACACATAGTATCCGAGTACAATCGCTTCCTTTTGAAGACGATACAAAATCCCCAGAAACGCCGTTGTGTATGCAAATGAGCACAAGATTAAGCTTCTTTGTCGTGAGGTGACTGCAGAAATCAACGAACACTCATTCATAGCCATGAGCTCGTCAGCCGTAATCGTGATTCATCGATGCTGCAAAGAAAGACCTGATAAAAGCTACCGGCACAGTGGCACGGTAGTCAGAGCAAGTAAATGCAAGAATGCAATACGCAAGCTATGCAAAACACTCTCATCATCTTACGTATCCATTAGCAGATATGGAAGCAAGGATGCTGAGCAGCAGCCACCCAAGGCTATGTGACAGGCCAACGGCTTCGCAGGCCCTGCATCCACTGCCCGTAAAGAATATCAGCAAGGAGACCCTGCTGTTCCATACCCTTCTCCACATGACCCGGCAGCTTCTTCTCGTTCAGCATGCCCTGACCATCAGCACTATAGGTCTTTTCGCCGAAACCAAACGCACTCTGACGGCGCCGGTGCGACTTGAGATGCGGGTTATTCTGAGCCAGCACAAGCTTTGCACCCTTCATGGGAGAGCCCGAAGGTGTCGACGTCGGAGTACGATCGTATTCCTCCGAATCTTTGCTAACGGACGAACTACTTGTTGACGCGGTGCTGGATCGGATGCGTGTTGTGCTTGTTCCATGGACAGTAGTGCCGCCCAAACTCGTTTCGCTGGTGTTGGTGTTGTGCTTCCGGGGTGATTTGTGTGGCGATTGTGTAGGAGTGACCTCGATCCCAAGGGCGGAGGCTAGCTTCGAGTCATTTTTCAGTCGGTCGACCATGGCCTTTAACAGTAGAAATTCGCCCTGAGGGTCGGCTTCGTTGAGGCTGGCCCATGATTGGTGAACTCGACCGATGGCTTCTCGCTGATGAGGCGATCCAGAATCAGCATACGCTTCCTGGAATACGGAATCGAGGACCTTGCTGTAGGCGCGACGGCCGTAGAGTGCTTCCTTGGTGATGGGCATTGGCGGGTACTCAAGAGCTGGTGGCTCATTCTCGTTGTTCACGTCGAGAGGGTGGTTCGAGGTGGGCGGTGATAGGCGAAATGTTCGGGCCTCGGGGTTGGGTTGGAAAGACTGATTGCTCGGGTTGCCTTGGTTGCTGGGAGGGTTTGCACGAAGCCCCTCACGACGCTCTCTAGATGATACTCGCTTGAAATGGCGTACAGTTGAGGGAGAGTTACCGAAGGTGAGATCCACACCCAGGGGTTGCTTGTTGCTAACACGACGAGCAGTTCCCGAAGAAACTCGGAAGGCGGTAGCCTGGGACACCCTCCGCGATGATACTCGACGGCGCTCTGGCATCGGAGAGTCTGTGACGTTGCCAAGAGGAGCTGCGTGAAGGTCCATATGTTGCATAGCGGCCGACACTGAATCCGTACCCGAAGAGGGTATGCGTGCCTGCTTGCGTCGCCTCGCTGTTTGACGTGCTGGAGCAACAGTGCCAGGCTTGACTGTGTCGAAGACCCATTCGTCTTCTTCGGCCCTTGGTGAGAAATTGACCCTAAAATGAGGGTTAGCAAGAATGGCAGGAGTGGTATGTGGAAGTACGTACATGGTCTCCTCGTAGTACTTGACATGTGAGGACGCCTGCTGCTCCCTCTGGGCGTCGAACATTTGCTTGCGTTCGATCAACTCGCGTAGTGCTTCCACCTTGCCTGCACGTTGAATGAATCTATGCTTTAGCAACTCCTTTGCTGTTGCACGTCGATCCGGGTCTTTGATAAGACACTGAGAAATGAAGTCCTTGAAGTCCTTACTCCACTGGTCGCCCTCTAGCCGAGGCGCTGGGTTCTTGGGAATGGTAAAGAGGACCTTCATGGGGTGGGCTCCAGCATATGGCGGTGCACCCTCTGCCAATTCCATGGCAGTTATCCCTAGAGACCAAACATCGGCGCGGAAGTCATAGCCAGCTTCTTGTATCACCTCGGGTGCCATCCAGAACGGCGTGCCCACGAACGTCATGCGCTGTGATTTGATGTTGGTCAATTGTGCGGCGACGCCAAAATCAGCGAGCTTGACTCTGCCTTGGTCGGTGAGGAGGACGTTTGCGGCCTTGATATCTCGATGGATCTTGCCCGTCGAATGCAGGTACTCGAGTCCGAGCAGAAGCTCTCGACACATGATGGCGATGTGGGGTTCGTTGAGGGGACCGGGTGCCAGCTGTGACCGTCAGTATAAGTGTACGATGACGTATTTGCTTTCTGTTGCTCAAGCGTACCAAGTCTGCGGCCGAGCCTCCTCCAAGATACTCCATGACGATCCATAGCTTGACGCCCTTGACAAAGCTGGTCTTGTATTCGGTAATGTATGGGCTGTGGCAAGTGCTCAAAAGGGCGATTTCGGCTTGTATATCCACGAGCTCTTCGCTGCTGTCTTCGAGGTCGATCTAGACGGGTGAGTATGTTGGGCTATAACTTGGGTGCAAGACTCGTACATGCTTGATGGCAACCGTCTCGCCCGTGCTGCGATCGATGGCCTTGAATACCTTGCCAAAGCTACCGCCTATGAATTGGTTAGCTAGGGCGGCTAAGGATTCAAAGGTCAAGACGTACTGCCGAGCTCTTCCATGACCTGGTAATTGTCTGCCATTGTGGGCGTGGGTGGGGGATTGCTGAGCTGGGATGCGGTTGCTCAGAGAAGCCAGATGGCTGTTGAATCCAGGGTGAAGAGGGACGACGGGCGCTCTGGTGTGGTTCTGGGTGGATAGGAATAGGGTGCAAGTGGTGATGTGCCCCCAGATGCGACGGCGGTGGTGGGTCGTGGAGATTGTGCAGGGTCCATTTGGCGTGGATCACCGTAGCAACGAGCTCGACCACCAACAAAGAGCACGCGCCGCTCGCTGGACTCGCCCGACCAGCTCGTTGTGGCGTACTTGGAGGAGGCAAATGGGGGATGAAAGTGAAGGTGGATGAAATTTTCTAGAGAGTGAATGAAGAGGCTCACTTGGAGGGTTGCACCTGCCGTTCCCACATGAGGACCGTTTCGAAGGCCACCCGTACCGTACCTGCAGCAGTAGTTCCTATCGGCTCTTGCAGACTACCCTGCATCAACTCCGCAATTCGGCTAATAATAATGATGATGAGAAGAGGATCACGGGTGTCGCTGTGCCAATTGGTGTGTTGTGCAGAGGCGCGCCTTGCTGTATCGAGGACGCGTAAACAGTGTTCCAGACGCTTTACGCGGGGACCGACGCCTAGGCCAATGACGTGCATCCATCACGAACACCAGTTGGTTGCCTTGTAATAAGTTAGGTTCCAGAAAACAAGAAGAGACTAACTTGTAGAAAAGAAACGCTGCCTGTTACCGGATGATGTGTGATGCAGTACTAGAGAGATCCTCGTTGGAAGACGGATACGGGCTGCGCTGGCATCCGAGCCGCCCAATCATTCACACATGTTCGTCGACACATGAAATGCCGAATTGGGTGGACCATCTCGGAGATGAATGCCCCTCTTGCGGCTTCGAGTAGCTCGTTCACGCACATTTGACCAGTGTAGTATACATGAGGCATTTCGCAGGCAATGCCCATTAATCTCGGTCTCCAACACTTCCAGCTGCAAAGTGACATAAACAACAATGGGAATAAACTCTCTCGACTCCAACCAATTCGCCCTCATCCATGGATCCATCCGTTCTCCTCACCCTCTCCAGCGACGCTAACCAAACAGGCCCTTCCCTCCCATGGCCAGCGGGACTGGGCGCCGGTGCCTGTATTGGTTTGTTTAGGGGGCTCGAGCGGACAACACCCGCGTGAGCAACGGGAACGGTAACACAAAGACTACGGCTTTGGCAGTCGACTCTTCGCAATCTTGTCCTCTCTCTCTCCCTCTGGCCTCGAGAAATGCCCCCTCCAAAGAGCCTGGCATGGTTTCCTGCACGGCCAGCCCCACCCTAGTCAGGACGTGGTTTTCGTGGGTTAGAGGCTCTGTTCTCCTGCGCTTAATTGGCCTCCCGGCGGCTCTGCTGACCCTTTATTTGGAAATCTACGGCAGCTCCCCAGCCACTGCCTCGCTTATCCTTCACCGCTTGCGTCGACGCCTCCGTCTCTCTTCCTTTGTCTGCACCCTCACAAAGGGACATGACATGACCTCGAATTCAATCTCTTACTTTGGAGGCGCTGATTCCATGGACCGCGCACAGACACAGTCCCTGAACGGCAAAGGGGCGAGCTCCTCAAAACCATCCGACTCGGACGCCTCGACCTCGACCTCGACCACTCTTTCTCACCCGTCTCCTACCATGCCAACCCATTCGCGCTCCAAGACGGCCTCGCACGTTGACGTTGTCGGCCAGGGCAAACGACTCTCATTACAATTTCCTATCCAACCAGCTGCTGGCAGCAATTCGCCCTTGAGCAGCGAATCTCGGTCCCGCCCACAATCTTGGGTTGGCGCTCCATCTCCCCTTCTTTCCCCGGACGCCACCTCCTCGCCCTCCGAGACTAGTATATTAGGTGTCCTTGCCGCTCAAGAACGTTATGTTTTGGAGCTCAGAGAGGAACTCAACAAAGCCGAGGCAGACCTCAAGACGCTGAAGAAGCATTACGCTCTTCACGAAGCCAACAAGCGCCGAAATGACGTGCGCAGGGTCGCTCAACTCCATCCTGTCAACACTTCGCTAGCCAACATCCCAGCAGACCGAACCGACGAGGATGGGTCCAATCTATGGATGCAGCGCGAGATGGAGCGCAGGAAAGCTTTGCTTAGCAACACAAAGACGTCTCAGAGGAAGGTCTTCAGCGGCTCGCGTCACCTTCGTACCCTCTCTCTGCTATCGCCAGACAAGCCCTACGCGCCATCTTTCCCTCAGCCACTAGATCTCGAAAACGAAGACTCGACTGATAAGCAACCCACACTCCCCCCACGGTCATCCACGTCCTCCGACATCACGAAACGAGTACTTGATGCCGTGGACAGCGACCAGTACGACCTGGGAGGTATTCCAAACATGCAACGAGAAAACATCATCCGGGCTGGGACGCAGATGGCGGCCGACTTCAAGAACGGGCTGTTCACATTTATTGAAGACATAAGACAAGCCACCGTCGGCGACGAAGCCGTCAATGGGGCTGATGGTGTTCCTACCTCCGTGAATGCTAGGGCTACCTCCACAAAACCTGACCGAAAAGCGTCCGGCGGTCGGCCACCCCTGAATCGGTCAGCTAGCTCCAAGAAGTCGACCCAGAGGACAGGTTCCATTGCCGATGACTTTTGGAAGGAGAATGGTTTGAGTGAACCTAAGTCCACTGCCATAAACAAGAAGACTCACACTATCAAGAACGTCCAAACCCCGCAAAAGCAGCTTCGCACACCAACGGACGAAGACGAAGACTGGGATAACTGGGATACCCCAAATGACGCTGATGCCTATGTCGCAAAAACGACAGACTCGCACAATAGCTCAGACGAGTCGGAGCCAACGTCGCCCGCCTCAGGTCCAGGCAGCTCAAGGACGAGTACCAGGTACCACTCCAAGCGTCATGACTCAAAGGCATCATCGCTCACAACCACCAGCTCTGCGGGCCACCCCGACGAGGCCACGTCGCGCGATCTGAAGCGCAACTCGATACCATGGCCTGACCTGGTCAAGCTCTCGCCCAACAATCTCAAGCGCACAGCATCGCACTTGATGAAAGAGTGGGAGAAGCAACTTACGCCCCCGCCCGAGTCGAGGATCTCGGGCCATGCTCATGGAGACTACCTTGGTCGCTCGAGCTCGCCCCCTGCGTAATCTTAATGAGGAACGATTTTACACGTAGCATATTATATATACGTTGATGACGATACGCCATTTATACGGCAATGTCTAATTCTATCTTAGAGGGGGATGAGCTTTGTTTGGCGGTTTGTTGTACAGTCATGGTGATATCAAGCAGAGCATGGTGTTGGGAGCAGGCGCATAATCATGTACACTGGGCTTTTAGACCTAGCATTGGGATGATGTCTATTGTTGTTAGAAACGTATTGAGAATCAATAGATATGTCTCCTCAAAGCCTCGTTAGACCACACATGATGTGTTATTTCTTGGACTGACACCATGGCTAGCCGTTGGCTCGAGTCTATCTGTAAGATCGAATGTCATCACGAACTTCTCCGTATTTGCAGTGAGACTATAAATCAAGATAGCTTACTAGACCGTCCTCTGGTGTAGGTGCCTGTTGAGTATTTTCCTCGTTCCACAGGTCATGCCTTCCATCCATCTTCAACCTTGGAACCCAGCCCAGCTAAAATAGGTCTCGAATTCAACGCCAAGAGCCACCCCGGCATCTGCCGTCCTCCGCGCGAACTCCGCAAAAGTTCCCACATCGCAACCACCACCCGCGCCCTCCCATCCTCGCCTACTCTACACACTTCTCCGTTTCCTCCGTTTCCCCTCGTACCGTTCCTATCATGGCGTTTCCAGGAAACCCGGGTATGCTGCCCGGCGCTATGAATCCCAACGCAGGCATGTCGGAGCAGGAACAGCAGATGGTGAAAATGGTATGTCGACTCCGACTATGCGGGCGCAGATGGTGCGATGGACATCCTTGAGATGGGGAGTCAAGAGGGGAGTTTTAGCTAACAGGCTGTATAGATGCAAACGAGCATGGAGTCTTGTATTGGCAAGACGGTCATGGCGGGCGTCATGGGTGGAGGCCTGGGTGCCATGTTCGGATTGTTCATGGCTTCGGTACGTCTATTTCTTCTCTTATATACACAGATGGTGGGAGGCTAACGATGTTTCCTAGATGCGTTACGATACCCCAATGTCACAGCCGCTGCCTGTGACAACCCCAACTCCAGCCTCCACAGCAAAACCGTCCACAGCAAAACCCACCACTGGAGCCGTAGCTGCTGCCGTTAAGCCAGTTCCTGCAGTACCTATACCCACAATCGCCGCAAGCACCGTTACCTCATCCTCCATGTCCTCAACCGCCACCGCCACCGCGGCATCCACAACATCAGCAGGCGCCTCCGCCTCCGCGGCGATAAACCCCTATGCCGCGGTTCCCCTCACCGACCTCCCCTTCAAACAACAACTCAAGCACGGCCTCCGCGACATGTACCGCAGCTCGCTTAGTTCCGGCCGCAACTTCGCCAAAGTCGGCGCTATCTTCAGCGGCACTGAATGCGCCATCGAAGGGTTACGGGCGAAGAACGACTTGTACAATGGCGTAGCGGGCGGGTGTATCACAGGGGGTATATTGGCAAGGCAGGCGGGCCCGCAAGCAGTGGCAGTGGGTTGTGCGGGCTTCGCGGTTTTCAGTGCTGCGATTGATGCGTATATGCGTATGCCTGAGGATGAGAAGAGTAGACCTATTGCGTAAAGAGGGGTAGTCGGAGAGGGGGCCTCACAAGAAAGAGGTTGGAATTGAAGCGAGTGGATGTGTTTATTGTACGACTACTGTATACCACGAACGACTTGTGACAGCATGAGATTCGCAATATGCATCGGGCGGCGTTCTGGTATACTCAATGATTGGGAAAGATGTCTAGGAATATTAAAAGTTTATAACGAGTAAGCTTAAAACTTTGTGCTTGTTGCATCCGAATGGACTGTTGTTTCAACGCTAGAGACCGACTGGCATTTTAGAATAGCTAGTTACTACAATACACCCGGCGGCGACTTTCAAAGGAAGAAAGAGAACAAAGAACAGGTCAGTTCCACAATGTGCAGACATGCCAGTAGCTCAATTTCAATATCTGATTTCAAAGAAGGACCCAAGGGTCGTACTCGGTCTAGATTGCTAAACGCCATAAACAGATAAAAGAAAAACAGTGCCTATGGAGCAACTCTCCCTTGAAGCCTAATAGCTACACGGCCCTATCTCGATATTCCCTGCGAAAAAAGACTTTCTGCTCTATAGCTCGCTCAACGCAGACACGTAGCGTCTTTCCCACTTGCAGTCTTGAGAGCTCGCTCAACGCAGCCATCCTTCAAAGCTAACGGAAGGTTAAATGTTATGTATTTACGGTCGCCCACTTGTTCCTCGATTTTCCAATCAGTCACAGCTCCGCAGCCCTTGATTTCATCGCGCATCTTATTTTCATCGGTGAAGAAAGTAACCCCAAAGCGCCAGAAAAAGACGGAATACCATATCCTGCAGTCTGCGTAGACGGGTGTTGCTGGTTGCGATGATGGTGCCGGTGCTGGTGCTTTCGGGGGTCCTTCGAGGCTGTAGCTGTACTTGCCGCATCCGACTTCAATCGAGCCTTTCTTAACCATGCTGTTCTGTTTATTACCATAATGGCCACCTAGTATATATGGTTAGCATTTCTTCGCTATCTGGATCAGAGAGTTCTTACAAGCGTCGGTGAATGTGCCCATGGCCTGTTCGCAGGTTTTGGCACAGAAGCCCGAACCCTTTGGCTCCCACTCAAAATGGAACTTCCAGTCTGGGTACGATTTGTCCGAAGGTGGAGGAGTGCGCCCAAAGAGTGACCGCGTTTGCAGGTCGGTGTTTTTTAGGTCTGCCTTCTTCCCACTCTTGCCATCTCCTACCTCGTTGCAGAACTTCTTGGAAACGCCTTTCCAGAAGTTAAACGCAACTTCGCTGACATCGTCATTGCCTTTGGCACAGTCGGGTGACTCCTGGGGTAACTGCTTGAATGGTGGGTCGTGGTCGTTCTTGGATCGACTGAAGGTGACCTGGTATCGAACACATCCGTCTGTGAGCTCGGCGCCCTTGAATCTATCCTGTCCGATGTTGCAGTCATCGAGTTCCTCCAGCATGGTGCTGACACAATTGATTTCAGTCACTTTCGCCTTGTCGCCGCAGTTCCCGCCTGATGCTCCATCGTATCCCGCCGCCAGCCAGTAGCTGTAGTAGTCGTAGTCGAAGCGCTTGTAGACAAACTCTGTATCGCCTGACTTGGTGACCTCTTTGCCGTCCACGCTTTTGCACCACTCAGCGATGCCCTTCTTAAGGTCGTCCCGTTTGGCGTCATATGGCAAATTCTGACACTTGAGTGGATCGTCACCACCGTACGAATAAGAGCTGGGAGAAATCTTTGGTAGACTATCCGGGTCAAAGTTCAGGATGGACTGATCCTGTTGTGGCCACTTGACCGGATTTGGTGGCTCGTCCCAGCATTCACAGCCTTTCCAGAGATTGTTCTTATCGGCGATGCCTTTGCATTTGCCGTCGCTGCCCTTGTCGCCACAGAAGTCGCAGAATGGTGTGTACCGCTTTTCTGGGCACGAATTCTCTTTACATTGGCATCCGTCGTTGTCGCCAAGGGTACACTTCCCGTCCTTACCATTGCATTTTTGTTTGTCGTCACATTGAGGTTGTTGATCCCCTGTTGGGCAGCTCTTGCAGGCGCAGCCATTATGCTTTCCGGACGTACATTTGCTGTTCTGGCCCGTACAGTCCTTGTCGCTACATTTGGGCATTGCTTCTCCTGTTGGGCACTGCTCTTCAGGTTCGCAACCACACCCTCCGTCGGGTGTGACACAAATGTTAACTCCCGGGACGGCACCGCAATCCTTGCATTTGTGCTTCTGGGCGGGACACTTTGGGTCGTCCTTGTTGGCCTCTGGTGGTTTTGGGGCTTGGAGAAGTGCGGCGCCTGCAGCGTCTGCACCAGTTCCTGTAAAGAATCAGCATAACGACCCCGCCGATGCGAGAGTAGGGGAAGAGGAAGTACCGAGAATCCAGGCAACACCGCCAGCCGCCACAACTGCTGCAGCCGCTGCAACAGTTTGTTTTCCGTCAGTTCCGGTTGTAGTCTGCGTAAAAGTGATAGTCTGTTGCTGTCTAAGAGACTTATATTTGTCGATAGTAACTAGTTCGTAGACACCAACGATTGTGGATCCAGCAGAGTTTGTTGCTGTGACTTTGGTATTGGTAGGGGCTGGTGCGCCTGCAGTACCGATTTGGCACTGGCATGGCTTACCGTTACCGCTGTTGTTCTTGCAAACTTGAGCCGTATCAGACTTGCCACCACAAGCTGGATCGTTACAGTTCATCGGAGTGTTTCCAAACTGCTCTGGACAGGATGCAGTAGGCGTGCCATCACGGCGGAGTAGGGAGTAGGACCCGGGGCGTGGTGCAGGAGTCACTTCTTGCGCAGATATAAGTTGAGCTAAAAGGCCAAGAATAAGGGGAAGATCCTTTGTATGCATAATGAAGAGTGAATGCTAATGAAAATTGAAGGCGAGATGGTGCTGAAAACATGATGGAAACGATTGAAATTATATAAGTGTGCGTGATGGCCGCCGGAGGAACTTGATGTTCGCTGCTACCCATGCATACTATTACGCCCCGCGTAAGTATAGAGTGGGCTGAGTAGGATCAAAGTGTATATCGCACGCGCCACGCTAGAGGAAGAAACAAGGGGATAGCTTATGTCGCGATGGGGATTACATAAGATATAAGGTAGAGTGCGGAGGATGTTACAGGCCATCATCGTCCGCTGCGATTGGTCTAATGCAACATCCACCCTTGTCTATCTCCGAATTAGGCACGCATGTCGTAGCGTAAGCGCCGAGGTACCGTTGGAACTCCCCTGCGTGCCAGGGTCAAAAATCAACCTTTCTAGTGTTTCGACTGTTAATAAGTCCACCTCGGCCTCGAAATTCGGCTGTAATATTTAAGTTCAATAACTTTCGGAAAGGCTAATGCTATGGGATAAGCCCAAATTATACCAACACGAACTTAGACAAGGAAACTTTGGACGCCGTGAAGTAGCTTAGGGGTGGTGGCATTGTACGGCCCACCGTCGCCCTTGTCTTCAATCGCCGTTTACTGGTTTTTTTAGCAAGGAAGGATCACATCACATAATCGAGATGCAAAAGTCAAGGAGCTATTTCGAAGAATCGCCGTCACTTGAACAGGGCGTAAGCAACTAAGGCTGTTTACGCCCCATTGAAAGACAACCCAAGGCAGTTTCCATAGTCAACAACATCTGAAAATCTAATTTTGGCCTCCGTAGAGCGACAAGCCACAATTTGAGGCCATTCTAGGATGGAGTCCAAGTCAGCTGTGTATTTCCCAACATCTGGGCGTAGCATAGTGTTTGAAACGGTAGACAAGATGAACAGGTGGTGACAGTACTGTTCACAGAGCCAGTATTCTTCTATTTAAGACTGTATCGCCGCAGTGTTTACTACATTTTCATTTTCATCCACCTTTTATATTTCAGCTCTATCCTACACGCCTTCACGTATACACAACGATGCGTTCTATCATCCTTTCTTTGGCGCTGTCCATAGCCTTCGCTAGTCAGACCATGGCTTTTACCTACTGGGTTGACGACAAGAGCTGTACTGGCGATCGTTCCCTGACTGAAGCTCTAAAAGAAACGAAGCTTATGGGGGAGAAGGCTTCCGAGCGGCTGAAGTCCAGCAGTGATGCAGATTATCAACACGTCTACGAGTTTCTTATGAAGAGAAAGAAGTCTGACAAGGCTGAACTCGATAAAATTGAGGGTGAGAGGCATACCCCTGAATGGCTTTGCTATTGTTCGCTAATTTATTCGTGACTGATCAGGCTTTATGTCTGACGTAGGGAAGATGACAGAGGTGAAAGACCGGAATACTGCAAACATCCGTATCTATTGCGATGACGAAAAGCGATGGAAACCACGTGTTGACCCGAAAACGGGGCAAAACACTGGAGGTTGGGAGGATCCAGAGAACTGGATGCAATATTCAGGGAGATTTGAATGGAGCCAACCTGGATGTCATGATAAAAGATGGGGGGAACTATACACATATGCGCAGACCTACAAGACCTACATGAACGGCGAACCATCTCAGAAGCAGGCAGATGTGCGAGCTACAGTTACAGTAAGTTCATCTTTGAATGCATAAGCTTCCCAATCCATAAAGCTAACATTGGGAAGATATGCGAATTGGGGCTGTTCACTGAGAACAAAAAGCCAAGGAGGGTGTTGAGCCAACTTCAAAAGGATCTCGACCTTACTAAGCCTCCTGCTGGCATCGAAGTCCTCGCACTTCACCCAAGCAAAACAATTCTTCACGAAGTGAGTATGAATAGCTTTCCCAATCAAAATCGCAGAGATAAGTAGAGCCTGATACTGACCATTCCTAGCTCTCGCACTTTCACGGATACGACACGATTGACAATGGGTACTTTATCAGTAACCCTAAGGCTAATCCGAATATCCGTTCACTCGACGCTGGTGAGCTGATGAAAAATGCTGACGTGCGCGCCTATCTTGGACAATTAGCTATCCTAGCTGATCGTGGATATACCTTCCAACGAACTCCCCTTGAAAGTGCGTCGAAGGAGGAGAAGGCCGACTTCAGCAAGAATATGGAGATTGGGAAGTTGTTCTTATACCCAAATCTGACCAAGAGAGGCCTTAGAAATATTGGAAGGCTTGCAAGGAGGTATAATAAAGCCTAAGTGCAGAACTGGACAATAGAGCCAACCGTCAGGAATTGGTTCTATAATTGAAGCGTTGCGTCGGGTTTATTGGAATGGCGGGTCTCACTGCAGTTTACTATATGTTCTTGGGTTTTGCTTTAGTCTATAGAGGGTCGCGAATAAAATATGAACGGAACTACATGATCGAAGGCATGGTTACTATAGTCTATGCCAAATTTTAACCATTCACTGTCAAAGTGCTAAGATCGAGTTTGAATATACTGTGTTACCTCGGCATAGGTAATACAAAAGCTAATTGCACTAATGCTGTAGTCCTTTGACTGTATTATGCGCAGACTTGTCAGTAAGCAAATCAATCAATAATTGTATTGAGTTCAAGAGCACGCTCACTAACTCTCTGACAGGTCCGAGGCAAGTCTAGACTTGCTACCCAGGTAGCAATGTTAGCGCCGCTATTGTGGGAGAGGCTGCCTGCGAAGCACGCGCCATTTATTTTAGTGGTGGCCAGTGCGGTGCATGACCTCAGCTGGTGGCCTGGTTGGAACAACTGGGCGTAATCATTTACGGAAAGCCTCATGTGCGGCGGTGCACCTTAGCGGGGCGTACATATATATAAAACCCAGTGCCCGACTCCAATGAGCCTCAGAGCAGCAATCACCTTTTCAATTCCCATAGTCCATCTGACCACTTTGAGCGCTGAATAAACCTCTCTTAATCGAAGCCAGAGTACATTGCGCTACCAGATAGCACCCGCATTTTCGCTCGCCTCACCACAACTCCAACCCAAAAGCTTGCGCACTGGGCTCTTGCCCTGTCTCTGCTCCAAATGGCATGCTCCTACGGTGTCGCCGATATCCCAGAATTCCTCGCAGCCAAAGCTCAAGCTGCTGTTGAACAGCCCCGCCCCGTCACAAACCAACTTTCCCGTGCCGCGTTGCCTTCTGCAGAACCATACCGTCAGATCCAAAGTATATTACTAGAGAAGCTACCTTTGAACTGTAGGCTCTTGATCTGGACATACGTCCTTCAGGCGCCCTATACGAGGATAGAGCGCTGGCGACCATCCTACTATGGGTCATCGATTACTGCATATGGAGTGGAGGCTCTTGACGCTGACTGCTTTCCTTATCGATTAAGCACACCTGATACAGAGATGCACGAGGGTACGAAAAAGCATGAGAAGCCATTAGCTTTGCTGTTATCGTGCCGTCAACTGTAAGCTCCCCTAGCGCTACATCTAGAGGACCTCATAAGCTCATACCAGTATTCGCTGCTAGGTACGCTGAAGCGCTGCAACTGCTCTACTCGTCAACAACACTAGTATTCGCAAATCCAACGGATATCTACTGCTTCCAAGTAACTGCATCACCCAAGGGCCTCGCGAGTGTAAACGGCTTGATCATTGCATTCGGGAAAATTGACTGGCCGAACAACGGTCCTTTCCACCACGAAGACGGGTTGAAGGAGTGGGAACACGCGTTCTACAACCTCGACAAAATGCCCTCCTTGCGTGAGCTGCAAGGCTGGTTCTACCACGGCGAATTTAACAACCCTAAAGAGCTTGTCTGGGCACGACGTCCTTGGGATGAAAGAATGGAAAGCGAGGCTGTCGAGCAGAGGCATAAAAGGCTCTTTGATCTGTTTGGAAACGTGGATGTACCGAGTTTCACCATCAATCTAACTTGGAAACCAGAAGATCTTCTTTCGCAGAGGGCGTGGCCTTTTGAGATCAATGTACAAACAAATGATGAGATATTTCGTAGGATGTTGAAGTTTCCGTACCCGATAGAGCTAGACATGTATAGCTAGATCCGCTTGAGCAAGAATGTACGCAAGAGATTGGAGTCCTTCATACTTAACTATTATATAGTTTTGATATATCACGAATAGGTATTACATAAAAAGTAAGCTACTCAAAAGCCGGTAAACCCCTCTACCAGTGATCACACAAAAATGCGTAACAGAAGTTTGCACAAAAACGCTGGTTCTCGTTGGGACATGCTTAACTATAGTTGAACATTGTATTAGTAAATTAGTAGTTCGAATACCCGCTGTTGCGTGTGTTTTGTTCATGGTTGTTGCTTGACCAAAGACTGAGTCATCTCAAACAGTTGATGAGGTATCTCAGGCCGCTTTTGCTGCAGATAAGTTCTAGAGCCCTGTCGGATGTCTCTCTAGGTGAAGATGACCACAGAGTTGAAGAATAAGAGGTTGTGGTCGAGAGAGTCGCACTAGAGCAGCTTATGAGTGCTAGGCATAGCTTCATAACATGCAACCATTCTTCGATGTTCAAAAATTGCTAATACAGGCTGATATCAATTTTATCTAAGAAAATGACGTATAGATAACTGTCTCGGATGGTAATAACGTAGGTGAACAAAGTAGATGCCTCCAATCCGCGGTAATATGGGTCAGAGAAATGCCTTGAAACTCGACGCGGATGCACCGCAAGTAAATGAAAGATAAAGAGTGACGTTGCCTCATAGAGCAGTACTCTATCATGACTTCTCGGTAAAAGAGTATGTGTGTATGACGTAATGAAAGACAAAAAAGTGCAAAAATTGGGGGTGGAACGTATTTAGCGCTTAAAGAACGGCGGAAGCATGGCCGGGCTGAGGGTGGTGCAACTGGCGAGACGTATGCTTAGTTAAAATACTTCCCCAGGTCCCCACGTTCATAGCCCGCGAGATCATCGAATGTTGATCCGCCAGCCCATGATACAGGGCATGTATACACAGTGACAACGACACCACGTTGCTCCGTGCCTGCAAATGTCAGTGTCATGAATATATGCGGTACCTCGAGATAACGCACGCTGATACTGATGGGCGTGTTCGAGCCAGGCCTGGTTGTTAAACATATGTGGAATAACAGATGGCAAGTATTGTCGAGAGGTCGTATGAGCCATCAGGGCTATAAAAATCGGCAGCTCCCCCGTTAATCCGCCATAGCCTGGACTTGTGGTAGACGCTGCAGTTCGGTAAATATCTGGTAGCAACATTTGTGGCCAGGTTTGATCTGCTCGCTGGCAACGTAGCGTATCATTTGCCCCAGCGTTTGTGAGGAATGAGGAGTAGTCTGTGGGCGAGTGGTCAAACTTCAGAGGATGCCAGTCGTCGTCATCTGGTGGATCCGTTGCATCTCCGTCTAGAACCCAGAAGCCATGGCCGCCAACATAGTAAACGGAGAATGTACTATATTCCTTGGAGCCTGTGGGGCGTTCGGCTATCTCATAGATCCTTGAGCGATCGCAATACCATAATCTCCCCGTGACACCACCAGGCACCAGTACGTGGGCTGCTCCGTTGATTGAGGGTTTCCATCTTCCATGATTGTCATAACGGCAATCTACTCTTGTGTTTCGGACTATCTCGTTGATCTGGATAATGAAGGGTGGCTGAGCAGATAGTGTGTCAGTTATGCGCTCTCTACGGTGAACGGGGAAAAAACCGACCGACATCGCTTATCAGCGTCACGTATTTTTGCAATAAATCTCTGGCTAGAAGCGTGATATGCGTAGTTGCGCTTTGGACGCGCTTGCCCTGCTCCAAACTCCTCGCGGCCCCCTCACTCGCACCAGTCCTTTATCCTTCCGGCCCGCGATGCGGCTCTGCTTGACACTGCTCGTGAGAAAAAGCATCCCGGTATGAAGGTCAGACGACTGCCTTAGCTGGCAAGTGACGTGCGGGTTCGGCATCGAGAGCAAGCCTCTGATAAGCTGGAGGTGGCTGGTGGATGGGTTCAGCGGCAGGATCCTGCGTGGCCTGCAGACACGTAGGCGATAGGATGTCGGGCAAGTTCCTTTACCCCGCCTATCATGCTATCGATATCCTCGGGCCATCTATCCTTATTGATGTATAGCCATGCCATCGTCCTGGAAGACAGATTTATGTGAATCGTAGGTGTAGGGTGCGAACTTGTGGAGTCTGTATCCCTCGAGACTGAACGAGGCGTGATACACGAGGTTTGACCCAAAACGTGGTAACAGTGAGATGAGGACTCCGCAGCTATCGTTTGTATTAGCGGCGATTGAGTAAGAGCCGGCCAAGGGTTGTGCTCGGAGTAGTGCAATGGCTCGCATGCGACAGCAGCCGGCCGAGACCAACCAACCGAGCGGCACGGCGACTGCCCAAGGAGGATCAGGTGGGCGCCTTGTTCTAGCGAAGCGCCTTTTCCTCGCTGCTGTCCGCCACGGCATATCTTGTGAGACAGCGGAATGACTGTTCCGTGGGGAAACTGGCTAGAGGCTTTCTCGACGGGCAGCTGGTTCTCTTCCTAAGAGATTGCTTCCTTTTCCACGGGTACCGTACCATAGGAGGGGGCTTTGGCCATTTGCAGTGTTGCTTTCCGTAGGCCCGGCGATGCATTGTAGTGTAGAGACAATAAAAGCTGGCTTCGATTTGTCCAGAGGGACCGACAGACTGGTGGAGTAATATTTTTGCATTGATCGGCGCTGATGCTGGACATTACAAGGTTGTACGATTGTCGCAATAAGACGCGCATGTGCTTCGACGTAGGCAACAACGGCGTGAGATGCGGCTCTGCTCGACGTAAGAGGGGTTAAAAGCAGACGGCTAGCGTTTTCTATTATGCCGACAAGTATTTGGGCGCTTATCATTTCGCTCGACCGTCAAGAGTGTCCGATTGCGTATGCCTGCGCGGCGGCTACAAGGAACAAGATTTGTAGGTTTGCTCATACTGACACCGGACCAAGGTGCGATTTCTTCAATTCAAAGCTGAGGGCCTGTGAGAGTTAAGTAGACGCCCGTATGACCTGCTGACAAGACTAGTTGACTTGTGGCACAGAATGCCAGGGCAAAATCTTGAAAAGCCGTGTGCAAGGTTGCCTTATAGTTGCCTTCTTCTCCTCTTCCTGCTATTCCGGTCGGGTCCTTGTACTCACATTGGCGAGTCTACCCAAGCAGATGGCGCCAATAAAAGGGCTCGGTTGGAGGGGTTCCTATTGTTTTGCCCCCATCTGGCGGCAATGCTGCAGAATCGTAAATCACCGCTCACCGGACGTCGACCCTTGCTACCCGACATCCACCATCGACAGCACTGTGGACAAGCAGCGAGACTGAGCAAATGCTCACCGGTCGAGTTGGTAACGGCACTAGGAAACGGCTCAAAACGACTCAGGGTCATGCGCACACCATTCAGGTTCAATGATCGAATCGAACGACGCGCCACCCTCGACCACACACGCAAAGGCATACCCTGTACTTCGACATTTTCCTCCACTCCCGTGTCCCTGAAAGCTCCTACAGAGTTGCGAGGTGGTCAGATAAGGCAGACTTGCACCGCAACCCCGCACCGAGACATGCCGCTCCACGGATCGTTGCGTATAGTCATTATATCAGGTACCTGTCGATTGGAGGACTGATGATCATAGCGCACCTGATAAGCCTTTTACCATCCGTTGCGACCGAGAATTCTACATCATGGCCCAAGCTACTGGGCGGCAAGCAAAGTATAGGCCGTGTATAGCGAGCTGTCCCGATCGGAATCTCTCGTCAGCCACGTGAACCAGTTACGCCAATCCGGCGTGACATATCTGGCGTCTGTCCGTGTAAGAGTATGGAACATGCCAAGCACTGACAGCCAGAGAAGTGTGCTCTGATAGGATACCATTGATGGCATGGTCTCAAATGGGATAGGGAAGGTGCAATATAGTCCTGATGCGTGTGCTTCACGCTCACAGATCCCACTCGGTTTGCTATCATTGGCTAACGTGGTACGGCCAAGACCAAACACCAGCCACGGGAACTAAAAGGAAGGGCCGACCCTGTTTCGTAAAAGTGGCGCTGAGCTGGATGGGATGGCGGCGTGTAGATGCGTGGGATTTGGTTTCCTTGGCTCCCTGGAACCGCAGAACGCACTAGTGGTGGAAGGTTTATCTCTTCTGTGAGTATACTGAAGATGAGCTTGATCAAAGGGTATGATCTGGAAAGCGCAGTGTGATGGAGAATCATAGACCCGAGCAGATGGTTCATAAACCCCCTGAAAGCGTCATCGATCACATCCACGGCGCCTCATGGATTCGTATTGCGGGCATCCAACGAACCCATACCGGCCCAGGACCTGCATTTGGCCTTCCCCCGGCAGTCAAGCTTGTTCCGCGGACAAATCCATTGGTTTTGTTGCGGTTGGGTCATCTTTTGCTTCTACCATCCGTTTGTGGAGGCTGCTGCTACCGCCCGTCTCAGCGAGGACCCAGGAACCCATGTTTGTTCGAGGGTCTGATGGCGAATGAGCTCGTGCGACGGGCGAATTGATCCACTGGTGGAGCCGCCTTTTCACGCCGTCAGGGAGTTGGAGAGGCCTAAAGGAGCGTTAGTATCTGCCGGGCACTTGGGCAGCCAAGTACGGCGGGTAGTGGGGAGAGCTCAAGGGCCGGCGAGGCACCTTGGAACGACCTTCAGGACGGACGCAGAGACTCTTGAGGGGGTTGAAAAGGTGCGAGATGTCAACGGCAAGGGTCAAATGAGGTTAAGAGTCGACTTCGGGAGCTAGGCGGAAAGACCGCCTAATGGTCCTTTCCTCGTAACTACGTTTACAGTCAAGCAGAGAGTGGCCAATCAAAACTCGCGACCTCCGCCCCATCATTTGCCTGAAAATGGTTCGCACGACGACACACAGAATAATTCTTCGCGCCTAAGCCTATGGGAGCAGCAAACGACTGGACAGAGCTACAACATGGCCCTGAAACTGACGTCCTGTCCAGCGTACTTGGCACCAGTCATATACCTAAGCTATACGCCATATGCCCAACAACAATATCTCTACAAGCGCCAACTAGCACCTCAAGATACTGTCTGGTCTGCTGCGCCTCAGCAACATCCCTTAACCCCCGCTCCGAATACAGCAACTTCTGCTCAGACTTCCCAGGCTTCTCCACAATCCTATCACAACCATCTGAACTATAGTCCCCTTGTTCCACACCAAACAGGAATAGCAGAAACTACATCACTTTCGTCCACTTCTTTCTTCAACGAGATTATGTCGTTGAATAAGAAGAAGACACCGGTCGCTGCTTCACGGATCATGCCTTGTGCTTTTTGGTCCCAGATGTTGGTAGGGAGAGCGAGGTCCAGCTATAACCTTCAGAGGAGTAAAATAAATATACATATTTTTGAACATTACTCACGACTGCGAAAGCATGTGGACTTGTACCGCCGCCCCACTGCAGGGGCTACTTCTTACTCTTAGGAAATTCTTGCAGGATAAGGTCGACAACATATATGCACTCAAAACGTGCTTGCGCAGGGAGAAATGAACGAGCCACGTCACAAACCCCAGTGGATACGTTTATGAGTGTCCAAGGAGATGTGTAGCCGCCTGGGGCGGCGTATTATGGTGACAAACAATGCGGGTACTTTTCGTTCACATCTCCCACCCCCCGTTAACCCACAGTGTTCCCCGAGACAAGGCAGATCTATATACTGCCATGTCGTAGTATGTTTCTCAATCTCCATGTTTACACCCGACTGTGAATCAATGTAATCACAAGCATCTCCGCACTCAAAGTACTTTCACAGAACCAGCGATAGCTCAGCTAGGGCGTAGGCGCTTTGATAATCCTCTTACACTCGACTGTCAACTGAAACTCGGCTCGTCTCATTCAGAGCGCCGACCCTTTCGATCTTAGAAAGCTACCCACAAATTTGTCTGATCCCAATATGAAAATACTTACTCAGCCTAATCAACGACACTCGAGAATTCAAGTTTATAGGTGTTGGGTTTAGATGAAAGGAAGGCGATTTGCAGGTTGCAAATTTGACCAATCAGAATTCGCAAAGTTGACGCCAAAAATTTGCGCTACTAAAGTTGGTGCGCACCGCGAGACACCCCACCGCCACACTCGTGAAAAGTTGTGCATCGCGATCCACTAACATCTCTATTATATTATAATACTCTGATCCCGGATTACCCAGCCTTTAAGGTCTTCACAGTGACCTAGCGACCGACAGAGAAGCAGCAACTTGACCAACTCCCGAAGGTGCCGAGATTTTCGAGCGCAGTTCGACACACCCCAAAATGGCCGATCAAACTCCCCATCAGCAGAAACCAATACACTCGCTCATCCTCGACACTGGCCCTCTTATCAAAAACGCTGTCGCCATCTCCACCATCATCAACTCCGCTGAGGAACTTTACACCACCCCCGCCATCCTTTCCGAGATCCGCGATGAAGCCACTAGATCACGTGTACAGACTACGTTGGTACCTTTTCTGAAGATCAGGAGCCCGGCTCCAGCGAGCTACGATGCGGTGATTGCATTCAGCAAGAAGACCGGCGATTATGCAGTGCTAAGTAGACAGGATCTGGGGATTTTGGCTTTGGCGTATGAGATTCACTGTGAGAGGAACGGAGGAAATTACGGGTTGAGAGAGGCGCCGAAACAGCCGGTTAGAAGAAGGCCAGACCAAGACCAAAAAGAGGTGGAGGTCAAAGAGGGAGCGCCCGAGCCAGAGGCTGTTGAGCCATCAGAGACCGACGAGGGCTGGTCGCAACCTCGCGGCAAGCGAGTCACTAAAGCCAGAACGGCGAAGCCAACTCAATTTAAATTCACCGAGAAACTAGCGGCTGCAGGGAGTGATACCCAGCAAGAGGAGCAGACTGAGGGGCAAGGCGGGGTTGCAGTTACACCAACGCAGATTCTCGAGCAAGAGTCGCCTGCAGTAAGCAGAGACGTGATTGCAGATGTACACACCGAAGATCAGAAAGAGGAACCCCTCACACAAGAGAACATAGCAGAGGAGCAACAAATAACGCCTTCCGAGCAGAGGTGTGTCGAATTAGCAGCTGCTGATGAAGCTTCAGAGCCCATATCAGTAGCCGCACAAGAGGCCTCAGAAACCTCGCCAAACCCCGTCAAAGAGGCCTCCGATTCTCTTGCAAGTACAGAAGACAACTTGCATGGTCTATCGAACCTCACTATCTCCTCTCCTCCGTATTCATCCCAACAGCCTACACCTCCCGCTACCGACTCTTCCGACTCCGACTCCGACAGTGACGGTGACTGGATCACGCCCTCCAATCTCCCCTCTCACCAAGCCAAAGATTCTGGTATCGAATCCACCACGCGCACAGCGGCCGCACAACAACTAGACGTTGCAACCATGACCATTGATTTCGCTATGCAAAACGTGCTGCTTCAAATGAACTTGACGCTACTATCCACGAACATGCAGCGCATCAAGCATCTCGCAACAAAGGTGCTACGCTGTCACGCATGCTTCAACATCGTCAAGCAAATGGATAAGCAGTTTTGCCCTCGCTGCGGTCAATCTACCCTTCAACGTGTATCCTGCTCTACAAATGCCAAGGGTGAGTTTAAGGTACACCTGAGTAAGAATTACCAATGGAACAAGAGGGGGGATAAATACAGCGTTCCCAAGCCAATTGCTGGTACTGCCAACACTAAGTGGAGTGGTCTAGGCGGAGGCAAAGGCGGTTGGGGGCGTGACCTCATCCTAGCCGAGGACCAGAAGGAGTACCAGAAGCAGGTCGACCAGGATAAGCGTACCAAGACTAGAGATTTGATGGACCAGGACTACTTGCCTGGTATTCTGACAGGGGATAGGGGCAGAGCAGGTGGACGGCCAAAGGTTGGTGCGGGCAGGAATGTAAACTCGAAAAAGAGGGTTTGAATGATCTATGAGACATGATCTTCTGGCGTTTTGACGAGGGCAATGAATATATCAACGGGCACGGGGAGGAAAAGGCCATGAGATACCATGCATTAGATAGGCGTTATGGGAATAAAAAGTTCTGACTCGATATCTTAAAGTAACTTTTGGGGTATCATAACAATTAAAGACAATATTCACATCATTTTGGTCAACTTCCCATGCCCCAAACCACCACATTTCCGTCTCCACCGGCACTGCACCACTCCCTCCGCGCCTTACAAAATGCCACAGCAGACAAGACGTCCTTCTTGCCTACCGGCTGTCCGGCTGATTTTCCCTTCACTTCCCTCATTTCCATATGTGTGAACTTATGCAGGCACTCGCCCTCCAGTAGGTCCCACGCAAAGATCATGCCGTCATCACTCCCGCTGACCACGACGCTATCGTTCAGGCCAAGCGTGCTCCTAACCCTAAACTCCTTGTTAACGAAAGCATCGTCACGGTACGCCTTCAAAAGCTGTCCATTTGTCCGGTCCATGAGCCTGACGGTTGAATCCAACGCGCCGACTAGAACCTCCGTGCCCTTCTTCGAGACAGCCAGGCTCGTGCAAGGATGTCCGATGACATCGACCTGGCACATGCCCATTCTCAGATCGTAGCTCCTCACCCGTCCATCCACACTAGACGCTAGGATATCCGCGTCGTGTACCGCGATATCCGTAATGCTATCCTTGGCGTCGTCAAGCGTCATAATCGGCTTGTAGGCGTTGGACTTGACATCCCATATCTTGACCGTACCGTCGAAGGAGCCGGTGGCAATGATGCTATCCCCGTCCCCTCCGAATACACCGCGGTTCACACGCCCTGCATGTCCCGTCCACCGCCGCACTGTCTGCGCGGTTTGTACGTCCCAAAAGAAGACGGTCTTATCACCACCGGTAGATACAAAGCGATCGTTGGCTTCGTTCACGTCTATTGACAAGACTTCGTAGCCGTGGGCGGTATATTTGTTCACTAGTCCCGGTGGGTAGGCATTCGAGGTAGTAGGCGCGACGGACGACGGAGGAGCCTTTTGCGGGTTGTACAGCCGTATTGTGCGGTCGGAGGCGCCAGTGAGGATGTATGACTGGGAGCCGGAGGAGTATGCGACGGCGTTGACGATGCCTTTATGGCCGGTGAGTTTGGCGATCGGGGTCGTAGGGAAGGCGGGCATGGCGATGCTTTGAAGCGTGTCAGCAATGTGATCTATATAAGCATAGGCTAATGAGACTTACAAAGACTACTGTTTTGATCTGGAAGATAGTTGAAGCATCTCAGGATCAGTTATGGTGATTGCGAATTGCTAGTAGAAGGCCGTGAAGGCATCGAGAAAATGAGGAAAAAAAATCAGTGGAAGCAAGGTATGAAACGCTCCGGTACTAATAGTCATATAGAGTGGGTCCAGTCACAAACTATATCTATGCATAGCTGCCGCAAACCTCAGTATACAACGAGAACGTAATTGTCGCAAGTACACGCCAAGCCCTCGGTGGGGAAGGAGCGATGACGTTCGGCAGAGCTTCGGGAAACTTTTTGGACACCCCCAAATAGCTGCCTCGAGCTTATGGTTTCCTTTCCACCAAGATCGGCCACGCATAATCACCGCTCCAAAGTCTTTTTCCCCGTGTCGCATACATTGCCGCATACTATCAAAAGCATTGTCCCACCAAATGGCGCTCAGACACCTCGACACTGCGCCAAAGTCCGCTGACTTCACCCCACTTCAAGAGCACCAGGAACAAACTCCGTCCACCTTCTTCGGCGCGAAACCGGTGCTGTATGCACAATATGAAGGACTGACTTTGTCTGCGCCAGCTTCACAGCTCGAGCAAGATGCAGCATTTGCAAGGTTCAGCTCCGAGCGCGACGGTGAAGATGCGCTGGTCAGGAATGTCGACCTATTCGTGAGCTCAGAGTAAGATGCACCCAATGGCTTGATATTGAAACCTATTGACAAGCACTAGAAATCTCATCCTCTTCCAAAGCACACCTTCGTTGACCGGCGTCGCGATACCCTACCCCTCCATCGCCTTGCACGCCACGATGAAGTACAAGTCTACTATCGAAGCGCTCTACATGAACCTCTCACTCAACGATGTGGAGACCGTGAACGACGACGAGGATATTCAGGTGCTTGAACTCACTGTTCTCCCGCCATCATACTCCTCAAACCCAGACACCGCATGCATCGAAGCGATCTTCGCCGCGATGAATATCTGCGCCGACCTACATCCGGATCCAAATGCGAGCGACGAAGATGGTGAAGACGTCCTGGATGAGACAGCACCCGGTGCCACGGGCTGGATTACAGCAGAAAACATGGACGAATATGTAGATGAGGATGGGAATTTTAGAGGCACAGTGATCGGAGGGGAAGATCTAGGACCCGGGGCCGGCACCGTACGGCACAGGGAAGATGGTGAAGGTGCGAATGGCACCAATGGCGACGATGGACATGAAGGGAAGTACTACCGCACAAGCTAGGCGGTGGTGACTGGGAGGAGCAGGACAACCCTACCATATTGGATATCGAACATGAAGATGATGAAAGGGTGAAAAAGCCCATGGCCCTAGCGATATAGCGCTATGTTTGGATGGAATATCATGATTGAGGTACAAAATGTAGGTGCGAGCTTCGTCAAATACCCACAAAGCATACGCTCACAGGAAAAGCAGAAGATGGTAACCCACATTGACGAGCCCGTTTGTTTTTGCCTGGATGCAACATACCAATATTACCACATGTTCAACCAGTGCTCTTAACTCAACCTTACTCTCGGAATGCATTGGTAGCACGCATCAGTCGAGTATGTACTCATCAAAACTGCAAAACACGAAAACCTTTCAACCTTCGATCGCAAAAACATCCAGATTACACGACTCAAAACCTGTGTAGCAAGCCAAATTACTTCATCTTGATCTCTTTCTGATTACCCCGGATTGCATGAGGCTAGCGGAGGTTCTACCGAACGTGGCGATTCGCGATCGTTTCCCCTCTCACCGCTACTCCGTGCAGCAATAGCCAGCCGTCTCTCATCCTCCATAGGCTCCCTATGATACACCGGCAGCGGCTCTTGTATCACACCAACCTCCAACTCCTTGTCGTGTCGCTGCAAGGGACGATATGTTACATCCTGGCCTTCGATGTGCGAACTGGTGCTCGTCCCCGCTTTGGCACTCCGTCTTATGCGTCTGCTCCAGATGAAGAGGGTCAGTACAATGACAGCGAGGGTACCGATTATGACGCTGACGATGATGGCGGTTCGGACGTTTTCTTTTGTCATTTTGGGTTGTGGCTGGTCAGATGGACGGGGGCGCGTTGCTGGCATGTTTGATCGGTACTGATGGGTACTGATGTGTCCTGAGATGTGATGAAGCTGAGGCTATTGTCTATCTGGTGCTTTTTTCTTCCTCTACAATCCGATAGAGGCGTCCGAAACAGGAGAAAGCACAATAAGATTGAGGATAATAATAGTTGTGTAAAACCGACGAAAATAGGACTTCAGTTCAACCCAAGGCGCGGGTGAACAGACGAAAAGCCCAGCACGATGCAAGTGCTCGAGGCAAAATTCATATGAAAAGCCGGGCGCTGGTTCTCTGAGGCTCTGTGCATTAACACCCATGGACGAAGGCGAATGCTTATCGTGCCGAAGCAAGGAGGCAGCATTCCCCTCTTCATCGGTCGAACCGCGGCGCCCTATCACCCAACCCTCCACCTCCTCCTCCAGCAAACACAACGCGAAAGACTGGAGCCAGCACATATACGTAATTCACCAATCTCTCACCATCCATGTGTTGATCCTTTCACTGCTGTTGGTGCAACTTTTCAGCCTTGTGTGCTTACTCATTGGTAAGGACGTAAGATTGTCAATACGCCCGCTGTGCTGATTGTTCGCAACACGAGGCATTCTATTCGTAATTCATACACGTGTGCTTCTGCAATTACATGCGAGGCTGCATGATGAACTAAAGATAAACTCACGTGGTGGAGAAACATATGAGATTTTGGGGGGGCCAAAAAGATAGACCCGATAAAGTTTTCGCCCCGGAAAGTGTTCGCGGATTGAGCTTTTGAGACTCATATGGGGTTTTAGCTGGGGTGATTGGGCGTTGACTTTGGGTATCCAGTGGATCTATCTCCGTTCTTTCGTCATCGCCTTGGACCAGCTGATCCCTAAGGTCGGCGGTAGACAGTGAGAGACCACTGGCGGTGGGGACTATGGTTGGATTGGTGAGGTCATCAATGGACATTAGTTTTGATATGGTATTCTGAACGGTGTTTAGCTCTCTGTATTTTGTCGTCTCTTTAATCTGGATGTTCAGTACGTACTTGATTATTTCCAGGGCGGCCAAAGTGGATTGCTCATGAGACTTATGATAACTCAAAGCTGCTATTTTAGTTCTGGAGGAATAATGAAAGTTATATGATCTCTGTGATTATGCCTTGAAACAAGCTATTTAGCGCGGGTTTGGATGCTGCGGTTCGGTTGCTTTGGGCAGTGCGGCTGTTTACGACCGACTTGCAAATAAGCGACTGATGTAGTTTATACGATCGAGGAAATTCAGATGAGCACGACTGCACATGTCACTGAATGCAGAATGACGCTTAGCATCAATACTTCCTGAAGTCTGAAATACAGCGTCGAAAGTTAGGTCAAGAGGAGACTATGTCTAAAAAAAGACTAGCTGTTATACCTACCATCCATCACTACCCGCCACTTCTACGCTTGATTTCTATCCCCAAAGGTGCACAGAGATTTTGAGTATACATATTAACTAGTGATAAGTGTAAATGCCTATATATTACCTATTATTAATTTGTGGCTAAAGTGTTGGTTTATTAACACCGCCAGTAATCGCCTCGAAGGGGCGAACATGCGTCTCCATCGCTGATTCAATGCTACTACTTTCTCGAAGGAACATTGCACCGAACACACCAGACCTCTGTAATTACCCCTGTCGCCCAAGCCGGAGATATTATCTCCTCGTTATGTACTCTAAAGATCTGCCGCTAAACGATGTACCCCGCAGCCACTTTGCGCATCTTTGCATATACCAGGACTAAATAGTCATGCGCATCCGCAAACAAGGTTCAGGAGCTTCCAGATTGGGACATTTATATATTATCAACCGTCAAAGAAGGCACATATACGGCGGGTGACATTGAGCACAGTCACATCGTGCCATTGCCAAGGACCGAGGAATGGAAGGATAAATAGAGCATGTGGAGGAGGTGTCCTTGACGCGTTGTGGGGTGATTGCATGCCTTGTCTTGTTTACGTGTGAGATCTTACAAGATCCAGGAACTTGGACGATGGGTGACGTCTTGAGAAAATTCGCTATGGCGGCGTTATGGTCAAGTCTACTAGCATTTGTGGGTGCGCAGCATACCGAATCTCAAACGCGAGGCAGTTCGGGATACGAGTATATTAACCCGCTTATTGGGACATCAAATGGAGGTCAGTAGCGAAGTCTAAGAGAAGATCAAAATTTAGAGACTGAACAATATCAGGCCATGTGTTCCCCGGCGCAACGCTACCGTTTGGTGAGTTTATTGAAGCAAGCAACTACAGCATTTTGACGAAGCGCTAGGCATGGCGAAAGCCGGACCAGATAGCTTTGGGGAGAACCAGGGTGGTTTCGACTCCGGTAACACCATGATCTACGGCTTCTCCCATATGCACGACAGCGGCACAGGTGGTTCAGCCTCTCTCGGTAACTTCCCAATCTTCGCCCAGTCTGGATGTCCAAACGACGATTTCAAGGCCTGTAAATATCCCTATACTGAACGCGCGACCGAGCGCGTGCCAGGGAGTGAGCATGCAAGACCGGGCTACTTCGATATAACACTGGTGGACAACATCAGAACGGAAATGACAGTCACGAACCATACAGCGCTATATCGTTTCACTTTTCCAGAGATTCCAACCACGCCGAATACGACTTTACACCCACACATCCTAGTAGATTTGAGGGACTTGCCTAATACGATGAGTGAAGGCAATATCACCGTGGACGGGAAGACTGGACGCATAACAGGAAACGGCAAATACTCCCCATCATTTGGCATCGGAACTTATAAATCATACTTCTGTCTCGACTTTAAAGGCGCGGCGGTAAAGGACTCGGGTGTGTGGTCGAACTACCAAGCCACTAAGGCAAAAAATCTGAGAATTCCGCCCATTAAACCGGTTAACAAAAAGAAGAAGATAGAGCCACGGCCCGCGGGTGGATGGGTACAGTTCGAGAAGCCTATTCGGGGGAATCAGATTCTTGCTAGAGTGGGAATAAGTTTGGTCAGTGAAGAACAGGCCTGCGCAAATGCACAGCGAGAGATCCCTAACGCAAACTTCGACACTCTCGTTGCGGCTGCTGAGACTGCCTGGCGTGCCAAGTTTGATGTTACAACCATAGAAGACGGCGGCGTCAGTGACGTCTTCCTGAAAGCATTCTGGAGCGGGGTATATCGCGCGATGATTAGCCCTCAGGACTACACTGGCGAGAATCCCTTCTGGAACTCCGGGGTGCCTTATTATGATTCTTATTATTGTATTTGGGATAGTTTTAGGAGTATCCATCCGCTCATTACACTGCTGGATCCGCACAGCCAGACCCAGATGGTGAGAAGTTTGTTGGATATCTACCAGCATGAAGGATGGTTGCCGGACTGTCGAATGAGCCTTTGTAAAGGTAATACACAGGGAGGCTCAAACGCAGACATTGTTATTGCGGACGCGTACGTCAAGAATATTCGAGACGGTATCGACTGGAACTTGGCGTACGAGGCTGTGATAAAGGATGCCGAAGTAGAACCACCGAATTGGGATGTTGAAGGTATATGTCACCCATATGTCTACGTCTCTCACATAGCTGATACAGGTGTACCCAGGGCGTGGTGGTCTCAAGTCGTGGAAGACGCTAGGGTACATTCCCACCGAGAATGTCGACGTTGAAGGCAACGGCACCCAGACACGCTCCATCTCTCGCACCGTCGAATACGCCTACAACGACTTCGTCATCGCAACACTAGCCCGCGAGCTCGGCCACACTACAGACTACCAGAAATACCTCGAGCGCTCTGGAAACTGGAAGAACATGTTTAAATCCGATCAACGAAGCAGCGTGAATGGGGTGGACAGCGGATTCGAAGGCTTCTTACAGCCTCGTTACATGAATGGCACGTGGGGTTATCAAGATCCCATATTCTGCTCGCCGTTGCTGGATTTCACAGGTTGCTACCTGAATCCGAGTGGCAAAGAAACATATGAAGGCCCAGTCTGGCTCTACACGTTCTTCGTACCTGGAGACATGGCAACTCTGATAACTACCCTCGGCGGCCGAGACCGTTTCATTGCGCGGCTAAACTGGCTTCATGAATCCGGCGTTCTGTATCTCGGTGACGAGCAGGCTTTCCTAAAGGTATTCTTGTATCATTATGTGGGTCGGCCAGCACTGTCTGCGGAACGCGCACATCAGTACATACCCTCCCTCTTCAACGACAGCGTTGGTGGAATCCCAGGGAATGATGATAGTGGTGCGATGGGGTCATTCGAAGCGTTTGTTATGATGGGACTCTTTCCGAATGCGGGACAGGATGTGTATTTCATCATTCCGCCATTTTTCAAGAGTATTTCGATCAAGAACGGACAAACGGGGAAGACGGCGACGATCAGGAATGTCAACTTTGATCCGAGGCATAGGAATATCTATATTCAGTCAGCGACGATGAATGGGGTGCCGTATACTAGGAACTGGTTGCAGCATAACTTCTTCCTGGAAGGGGGTGTGCTGGAGTTAACGCTGGGTCCACAGGAGAGTGCGTGGGGTACGAGGCCAGAGGATGTGCCTCCTAGTTTAGGACCACCGGGAAATAAGACGGTCCCGGGGAAATTGATGGGAGGCAGAGAGACGAAGTGGCAGAAGGCAAAGTTAGATTGGGATATCTCTGATAGTCAGAGACTATAGCGATGTCAAGGCTCCACTTCGAGACCTGGTGAACTTGAGCTCGTGTCGACAGCGATCTCGGTATAAGCTATGACCCAGAGAGCGGACGAATTGCGAAGTAGCTCTAGGATGATCTTGTTCTTAGTTCTTGACAACAAAATAATCACAAACCTGGACATGACCAGCTCTTCCATGGTATAACAAATGAAATGGACTTCGAAAGTGTCTGAGGAGGCAAAGTAACCGTGTGTCGAGTATCAGGTTACTAGCGGTACTTTCCCACACTTAGTATGTAGCTCGACTAGAACAGTCTTGATTATGAAGTCGATACGTTTGGTTACAAGGTTCAGGGTGTGTTGTAGGGTATTTGCAAGCTAGCAAAGGATGGTCCATCTTGGTGCTCAACCCCGAAAGCTGTGAATGTATCTGAACCCGTTTTGGTTAGCGAATGAATGATGCCTTGATGTAAGCACCGGTGGGCCGGTCCCGTATGCTGTACACGGAATATATCAGGCTCATTAGTCGTCGAGACAAGCTTTCCCAAAACATCGACCATGGTACGACTCTTCTCGAAATTCCCGCAACATGTGAATCAGTCCAAGCATCCCGATACATCCGACTTGTTCCCATAGAGCGGTTTATTTTATCCGATTTGCGATCTTGTGCGCGTTATGAAGTCTTCTGCATCTAAAGTCGAATTGGAGTGGTGCAATATGCAAGGCGGGCCGATTCCATCAACCAAGCGATAAGGGCGCATTAGATTTGATATGGCGGTGAACAGCACATCAGCAAATGTGAGTATCGCGGTAATTGACGCGCTTGGACCCTTAGATGTCGAACAATACGTTCATGCTGCGCCCCTGGCAGTCGTCGGTTTAGAGTTGTTTGAGATGGATCGACGTGTCTCCACAGCGGGAATTTCAGTCGTGTTATTTTGTGGAAAATGCCGCAATACTGCGTCGCTCAGATGTCATTCATATTGTCAGGTAGGTCCTGAAACACCTAGCAGTACTGATATAGGGCAAAGCCAAACCTAGCGTAATTTTGAGGTAATTTTGAACCGCATGTTCGTGGCTGAGGCGGTTGAGAGCGAGACGCCTCTCATGCGATACAAAGGAAAGTCGGATCAGGTTCCAGGTTTCTCCACAAGCGCTAACAGCATGCGGACACCCAAGGAAAGTTGCAAATGGAGATGCCGAAGTAACTCCCATCACCTCATGATACTGGCAAGACATCTTTCAAAACAAACAAGATGGTGGACACTGTGCCTAGATCAACGGCATGGAAGGATGGAGCCGAAGCTTCCGAGTTAGCGACAAGCCCCACTCTAGGTAAGGCTCACCTATGGCCGGCCCCTCTTTGATCGCCAGTCCTCATGACACGCGGCGTCTGCATAGAACCCGTTGGATCATTGTCCCTTTGACATCGTGACGTTTCTGTCGTGTGCTAACCGGCTTTTGTACGTAAGTCAGGCTTCTGGACCATCGCAAGCTGCGAAATGCCATCATTGCAATGCATTACACGATCCTTCCGGCATCGTGGGCGTGGAAGGTATCGAAGCAGTGGGCTGAGTCGTTAGAAGTCAACAGTGGGGCCGTGACGTGGATTTAAACTGCATGTGCATTGAGAATGAGGTGAATAAAAAGGTGGAGATTCTCAGAGCGGATATAGGTTCAACCGTCAGAAGCGTGCGCTTAGTCGCAGATCTAGGTAGTCTAGAAAAGGTCTCCCCGTCTACTTGCATGCCCCATAGTACTATGCAGAGTCGTGCAGATACTCCCAGAGTAATCGTCTGAGGTGACCTGGGCCAACAACGTGGTTCTACCAGCAGCTCAACAGGCCGTCGGACTTGCCAACGTTCTGCAGCTTGAGCCAGCTGGTTAGGCCTTGAGGCACAAAGAAATTAACTTTACCGTATCAGGTAGTTTATAGTGGTGGCGTAGCTGCCAACGTCTAAGACGGCGGTGCACGGACGTTGTCACAAGGGTACGATTTGGAGTATCGTCATTCCAGCGCGAATAGCGAATACTACTTTGTGTCATGGCGCCTCTTCGAACAATCAGCTTGGTAAAAAAACCGGGAACGTGGCGAATGCTCAGCCACAGGACCATGTAACGGCACGATGCCTTCAGTCATGAGGTGCCACATGTAGGTGTACCTGAACGGTCCAAGTGCAAACGTCACGAGCAACGCCGCTCCTCACTTATTGTGGTACTGAGTTTGTAGCTTCATGTCTTTGTGGTGTCGGCGAATGTCTGCTATGACAAGGAACCGGAATGCAAGGAGCTGAATGGAGGCTGGTGGTCAGCGAAGCCCCTGAGTCGTGGTATGGAATCGCGGCTTCCCCACACTTTCATTCGTCCTTTCCCAATTTGGCGGTGTGAACGAAGGGGTGAAAATGGCGCAAAGCTAAACCGGTCTGATCACGTTCTATACTAGGGAATAATCTGCCGCCAATTACGTTGTACTTATTGGGTGAATCGAGATTCATGCACTATTGTCCGGGTGTGAAACCTATCGTGACGACGCGATTCGCGCTGTTTCTCATTGTGCGGTGAGGGTCCCAGTATGCTAGTTTTAGACTCCCGATCATTCGTGTATAAAAGGATCGCTGCGGCGCACTCTCGAAGAAGGAAAACATCACCAAGCTTCAACCACCTTGAGTTCAATCTAAACTCACATTAAGACGGGATCGGCACTAGAGAACTACCCTCATACAAACCTCGAACTACTCCTCAGCACATACCACCTATCATCCACCATGCCTGTTCTTCCATTCCACTCCGCTACTCCTTCTCCCTCAACTTCTCCCACTTTGTCGCATACACCCTCAATAGTTCTCCATCCCGCATCGGGTATATTTGATCAACCAGACTAAAGCTTTCCGTCTAATCTTTCAAGCAGGCGCTTCATCAAAACGGGAGTTACACAAGCCGAAACAGGACCCTGCGGAAGCGTACCGTCACCGCTACGCGCAGTATCTCGCAGCGACTTTCAACATGTCGATCCAAGCTGCGATGGCCGAAGCTGATACCCAGTTGGCACCTCGTCGATCGTCGAGTATTTCTGAAGCCGAGTCGTTGAGGGAGATTTAAGGTGGACATGGACGACATGGCGGGGACGTACACGACTTTACGAAATATGCATGGAAATGGTGCTGGCATTGGGAAGGGGTCTTCGGCGCATACTCATATTTGTCGAAATCAAAAGCTTCTTTGTTCCTTGTGACTCTTTTTGTGACACGACCCTAGGTGCTTTCGCTAAACCAGAGCGTTTCACAGATCCCGCATTGGAGGTGAGGTCGTGCTTATCTACTCTCGTCCGCTGAAATGGGTTTTTGCGTGGGACGATTCGACATCTATGTTGTCGTGAGGCAGATAGTCATTGCGCAGTACAACTGCAATACGAATAACCCCGAACCAGCCTAGTCTTCACATTCAAATGCGACATTCTATACTGGCCAGAGGGGCCTCCCACAACGGTCGTGGCTCGAGCTGAAGCAACCAAGGCATACGGTCCATAAGCGTTGAAGCGTTAGCATCTTCTACTTCTCTTGCTTGTGTACTCGCACCTGGCACTACTTCTCTCACTTCTTCTACCTCTGGGATCTTACGCTTACGGCTGCATTTCCCGTTGGCCTTTGGTGCTACCACCCTCTCCTGCTCCGCACGCTTAGCTCGTGATTACCTTGTCGACGTCCTCTTGGCTGATCAAGTTGCCTTTCCCCAGGACAAATGATCTAGTCGACCGCCGGACCTGGGCTTCGGCATTGACGTTTGTCAAGTACTGATATCGATCCTGGAGTAGCGTCTGTTCAGCAAGGGATATTTGGGCGACACTCGCAAGGTTCTGCACATATCTTTGCAGACGCCAGCTAGTTACGTACTTTGTGAGCTGTGGCCCCGCTGTAGTGGGGTTAAGCACTGTTTGTCGCATACACTGCGGTGTGTGATGACACAAAGAAGGGCTGTGTGCCAGAGTGGAAAATTAAGGTTCTGTCTGGTATGCGGAGTAGCGGCTGAAGCTCCTCTCAACATACAAACGCTGATTACATGTTTGGAGGAAGCCTTCCGCAAGCTCTTCCTCTCCAGTCTTGGCTGCCGGTGCGGTGCCATACTCACGAGCTTTCTGCAAGGCGAAGGTGGCGTGTGGCGCGAGTGGGAAGGATAAGATCAGGCAACGTGTTCCACGGGCGAGTGTCGCGCCCCACCAAGCTTGCTTACCTCTCTCATCTTGACCTACAACGGCTCAACGCAGCGCTATTCGATTGGCTCCAACCGAATTAGACAGACATCCAGCTCGCTATCTCTTCTATTAATTGTAATCAAATCCTTAGCAATCGCAGTGCTGCCGCTATCTATAGCGTGTTGGAACGAACGATCCGTTACCGACGCGCAGCTAAGCTACGGCTGACTTCTCACCACTTCCGCACTTTATCTACAAACCACGGCAACTCCAATCAAGTCATGATCAATGGCCTCTTCGGTCCCTAACAATAATCCACTATCTTCTCGACAAGAGAGCTTGTTAACCTCAAATCCACAAACCAAACGTACAGAAGACCTCCTAGGTTGGTCTGCTGCGCACAGAAATGACCCACCGTATCGCGAAAAGATCGAGCGAACGCCTGGGGATGGGCGTGTGAACCATGGAGGACCGATCAGGATTACCTCAAAAGACGGCGTCTTGACTGAGTACGGCAAGAAGGTAGAGCAGGAGCGGCTGGCTAAATTAGCTGCTGCTAACAAGAACGGGGGAGGGAAGGAAGCAGAGTCTTCGTCTTGAATGGCCTGTTGTGAGTAAGAGTTGCGTAGCTGGCTCTAATACGGACGATGTCATCATTATAGAAGCGTAGTTTCTAAAGAAAAAGAAAAAGAGTACTAATTGTAGCAGTCGCGATTATATTAGTATAAAAAGTAGTAATACTGTATTTATAGTCTCTTAACAGTTTCCTATTAACCTAAATACTATTTAATTGCTAACACCATGCTTAAAAGGCCTTTGTTAGACTACTTACTAGCACGCTAGGAACCTATCAATGTTATAGGTACTACTTTGTCTCTAAGTAACTTGTTCTTGTTTGTGGTAGATGCTGCGATATAAGCGAACTAAGTTACCTAATCCTCAACTAATTACTACCTGGGAAGGCATGCTTCTACGCAATAGCCCACCACACACAATCCTTAGTGCTCCAATCCACATTTTCAACTCTTGCTATCAAACCCCCTTTACTACCATGAGTTCCCAAAAGTCCCCCTCTTAACCCAGCCAGTATCCTCTCATCCTCTGCAAACCCGCCTCGCCGCTATGCGCGCCGCCCTGTCCGAAGGCTTCTCCCCCAATGAACTAGATCGCTACCCCCGCGGTATAGGTCGTCCATTGGACTACGCAATCTGCGATTATGCCTATGTCGACTATTCCTAGCTCAAGTAGAACCTCCCCATTATCGAACTGCTCCTCGAAGCCGGTGCTGACCCCAGGCTTCCTTCGAGGGATCCGCGCGGCTGGTCACCAATTGGTTCCTTAGAGGCCTGGTTTGAGCAGTATGAAATTAAAAAGGATCAATGGGCAACAGAGGATCGGGAGTTGAAACCGTTCTTTGAGAAGGCATTGGAGGCTATGAGGAGGGTTAAGGATGAGCTCAATGGTGAGTTTGTATTGCTAACGTGTTGTGTCCTTGTTGTTTGTTAGCTAACCTAATGCGCGGGTAGCAAAAGATGCGGCTGATGCCGCCAGGAAAGCTTGGGATGAGAGGTCCTTGTTTCGTAGTCTGAAGTTTTAGTAATGCGGTGCAGCTACTATAGGTTCCATATTTGTCGCAGGTCCATGTTGGTTCTGCTAATCGAATATTTGGGGGTTTTATCATGTAGATAATCTTTTGTGCAACAGCTTGTTTATTCTAGAAAAGCGTACAGCAATAATGTCCACAGATTACACAATTAAAAATTCCTGTTCCTATGAGGATAAATTGCAAAACTAGTCCACACTTTCTTTGCCGCTCTCTTCTTTCCATTAACGTGGGGATTACCTGCCATATCACACTCCCCCTTTACCAAGAGTTCTATAATTCATCCCTCTTCCGCCTTGCATTGCTCCTTTTTTGGGAAGAAATCCTAGTTGGTACCAAAGTCCGGTGTTTCAAAATCCATATCCGGTAGGACACCTTGCTTCTTGGTGCTCTGGAGATGTACTTCGACCGTAGAAACCTAGACCCATTACTACGCGTGCGGAGTTGATGTTGTTTCTCCAGAGAAGCTCGAGGTCGAGCTGAATCTCGGTGAGATTGGTGTGCGCGTAAGCGTATGGGGCGATTGACTTGACTATGCTGTCCCAGACGCCATCTGGATAGAATAGTATCAGCGTAACGTTCGACTTGTAAGGTCAGAAAAAGATAGTCTTACGGAATTTATAAGTTATAATGTTGACCAGTCTACCTTTGGCTCCAGCTCAATGATGTCGAAACCTTTCAGTTACCAGTAAGATACTGGTAAAGGGAGGATTAGCCATGTTATCTCATTAGCTCCGGGGGCAGTCGACTTGCTAGTGTGAGTGTAATTCCATAGTATTGACTACTGCCGTTGAGGTGGTTGCGCAGGTTTTTCAAAGAAGGTTACATAATTGTCAAAGTCCTTCAGTATGCCTCCACGATCTTCCGCACCAGGATATGTCGATGTCCACACCGTCAAAGTTGTTAGCTTTCATGAATGTCATCAAGGATTCGAAGAATGAAGCTTGTGCGGAAGTGAATTTCGCGAGGTTGGAGAATGTGGTTCTGTATAGTCCGAGATTATTCATTGCCCATCCACCGTTGGCTATAACAGAGATGATTAGGAACAGGTCGAGTAGAGATTAGGTTGCACTGAACGATCCAGACCTGAAAGCCGGGCTGTCTCTCTTTTAGTTTCGTTACTCTCGTGTACATCTTGGTAGGCCCGACCTCTTGCAGCTCTAGCTTTTACTAGCTATTATTAATACTGACTTTCCTCTTATACTCTATAGTTGCAGTATTGAGGTAGTTAAGATCTACCTTATTAATAATTAATAACTACCTACTATTAGGTACTTTAAACCTATTAACTAGCCTATTTTTGTAAAAACTAGCTACTTGCCTATAGAGTACGTTCTAGTTAAAATAATTGAAAGTTTGTAAGGTTCTAGTAGCAGTTAAGTAGCCTAAGGTAGGTTTAAGCTTAGGCTCTATGCTAGTAGCACTAGGGCCTTAGTTAGCGGCTGGAGCGTTACTCTGCACGAGGAATACTCATTCCACGTGTTCGATTGCTGTTTTCAGAAGGTAAGCAACACATCACTAACAAACTTCGTCCATCTAGCCCCCCCAATGCCAACAGCCGAGATATCTCGGCACTGGGGCTGTGTGCCACTGTATCGATACACATATCCAGGAAGCGGCAAAGGATTGCTTGGACCCGTCAGCCAAGACTCTTATCATTCTACCCATATGTGGAGCTGCGTGAGCCTCACCTTTGAGACATTCTAACCGCGCTTCCTGTGCAATGAAGTTCTTTGGTACTTGGCTAAGGTAAAGTGGCACAAGTAGCGCAGCACATGTGGGGGTTCCTTTCAGGCGTGTGGTACGATGCAGTAGCGTCTTCCAGCGAGTGAGGCGTGAGTGATGAGCAGTTCCAAGTTCCAAGACTCTCTACGCTTGGGAGGACCCACGTTGCTCGCCTAGCGTGCGCAACCCCGCCAAACCCTGGTTCAACAAACCGCCTATAACTGCTTCCCCGCGAGCGCCTTCTTCTTCTCTCCGCAAACCAACACCACGAGTGTTATCGCATACTTGAATGGGTGAAACCGACCTGCCTGCCGTCGAGGAGACTTCTCCCCAAGCCGAAGAGCCTCCTATATGTGGTTTACATGGGCTAAATTCATCACATCAACAAAGGCAGTTCCAGTCGAACTCAGCCGATGGCGATACGCCATTATCGCTCCACGCTCCGCACACCCTCTCCATTGAAGAAGTTGCAGAGAAACTGCACGTGGATATCAAGTAGGACTTACCAAGCGAAAACGTTCTGTGAAATTGCTAACTCATGTAGCCATGGACTCAGCCATGCTGAAGCGGAATCTCGCCTTCGGCTCTATGGACCTAACAAGGTTAAAGGAGCTGAAGGGCTATCCATGTGGAAAATTCTGTTAAGACAAGTGTCCAACAGTCTCACATTTGTCCTCATTATTGTCATGGCCATAAGCTTTGCTATCGATGACTATATCGAAGCAGGCGTCATAACCGCAGTCATCTGTCTGAACATCGTGGTCGGATTTTGGCAGGACTACCGTGCTGAGAAGACCATCGAGTCTCTCAAAAAGCTTACCGCTCCGGAAGCCACAGTTACCCGCAATGGCACACCCGATATTAAGATCAAGGCAGTGGATCTTGTCCCTGGTGACATTGTCCAACTGGCCGTTGGCAACATTGTGCCCGCCGACCTCCGTCTCATCGATAGTGTCAACGCCTACACCAACGAATCTTTTCTCACAGGTGAAGCGATGCCTGCAGAGAAGACACCGTCGAAGAAGTTCGACGACGAGGAACTTGAAATTGGAGACCAAACCAACCTCGCTTTCTCTGGGAGTGAGGTGACCTCCGGTCGATGTCGTGGCATTGTAGTTGCTACAGCCATGAAGACTGAAGTGGGAAAGATTGCCTCTATGATGCGTCATAAGGAAGAAGATGCTGATCCATCTCCATACCTCATCGTGCGAATGTCCAAGCGATTCGTAAGGGGAGTCAAAACTATCTTGGGTCTTGTAGGTACACCCTTGCAGATCACCCTGAGCAAGTTTGCTCTTCTGCTTTTTGGGCTCGCTATTCTTCTCGCTATCATTGTCTTCTCCGCAAGCAAATGGCAAGTAGGTGGCGAAGTCCTCATATACGGCATCTGTGTGGCGGTGGCGGTAATCCCTGAATCGCTCATCGCCGTCCTCACAATTACCATCGCAGTCGGTGGTAAGGCGATGGCCAAGGCCCATGTCATCACTAGAGTTCAGTCCGCTATTGAAGCCGTGGGCGGCGTCACTAACATCTGTTCTGATAAGACCGGTACTCTCACACAAGGTCGCATGGTTACGAAGAAGGCCATCATTCCGGGTGCCGGTACGTTCACCGTCGATGGTATTATGGATCCCTTCAATCCTCGAAGCGGCGTTGTGTCCCTGGATGGCAAATGTGTTGCTTGGGACGAGTTCACTCCGAACACCAAGCTCGTCCAGTTTCTTCGTACGATCGCTCTTTGCAACAACTCCAAGGTCCTACCGGCGCTCGACTTGGATGGAGATTATGCGAGCGAGAAGAAAGAAGCCTTGGATCGAACCACGAGTGACGATGATCGTGATACTGATGGGTCCACCATACAGTCTATATCACGACCGCCCACAGCTGATATGCAAGGTTTGTCGAATGCACCTTGGATGGCTCACGGCGAACCAACCGAGATCGCTTTGCATGTACTAGCCTCCCGTTTCAACATGGGCAAAGAAACGTTGCTGAGAACACTCAACATCCATCTTGCCACGGAGTTCTCTTTCGATTCGACGGTTAAGAAGATGTCGGTCGTGTACAAGGACAATCATACCAGTCACATGGATGTCTACACTAAAGGCGCTACCGAGTTTATGCTTCCCGCGCTCAACATCACAGATCAGGAGAAGGATGACATTCTCCAAGCAGCCGAGAACATGTCCAACCAAGGTTTGCGTGTTCTCTGCATAGCTCACAAAACTCTACTACCAGGCACAGACGTTCATGAACGTGCTTCGGTGGAGAGCAACCTCAATTATATTGGTCTTGTCGCCATCTACGACCCGCCTCGCCTAGAGACTAAGGGTGCTGTCAAAGAATGCAAAATTGCTGGCATCACGGTACACATGCTAACGGGTGACCATCCCGGCACTGCACGAGCTATCGCGAGAGAAGTTGAAATTATCGATGACAGGACACCACCTTCAGCCGTTATGGTCGCTCGAGAGTTCGATGCAATGACTGATGAGCAAATTAACGCTATGAAGACGTTACCCTTGGTTATTGCCAGGTGTAGCCCAACGACCAAGGTCAAGATGGTGCAGGCTCTAGCTAGAAGGGGCCAATTCTGTGTTATGACTGGAGATGGTGTCAACGACTCGCCCGCCTTGAAGCAAGCCAAGGTCGGTATGGCTATGGGTTCTGGAAGCGATGTTGCCAAAGACGCTGCTGAAATGGTGTTGACCGACGACAACTTTGCCTCGATCGTGAAAGCGGTCGAGGAAGGTCGACGCCTGTTTGATAACATTCAGAAGGTCAGATCCCCCCCAATCCTGTCTTCCCTGAGCTCTTATGCTAATCCCTTGTAGTTTTTGATGCACCTCCTCATCTCCAACATCGGCCAAGTCATTCTACTCCTCATTGGCCTTGCCTTCAAGGACAACGACGATCACTCTGTTTACCCCCTATCCCCCATCGAAATCCTCTGGGTCAACCTCATCACGTCCTCCTTCCTCGCCATCGGTCTCGGTCTCGAGGAATCTCAGGAAGACAGCATGTTCCGCCCACCCCACGACGTCAAGAAGGGTGTTTTCACCACTGAGCTCATCACCGACAAATTCATCTACGGCTTCTTCATGGGCGCACTGTGCCTGTTCTCCTTCGCTACCGTTGCATACGTCGGCCCAGGCGGCGGCAACCTCGGATCAGACTGTAATGAAGGGTACAATGCGACCTGCGACGTTGTATTTCGCGCACGTGCGACTACGTATGCTACCATCACGCTGCTACTCCTCGTAACAGCTTGGGAAGTAAAGCACTTCTCCCGCTCCCTGTTCAACATGTATCCCAACACGGACCAAGGCGTTCCACGCGGTCTTTCCATCTTCCCCACGCTTCTGCGGAACCGTTTCCTCTTCTATGCCGTCATCGCTGGCTTCGTCACCATGTTTCCCATCGTTTACCTCCCCGTTATCAACGAGAAGGTTTTCAAGCATAAGAGTATCACGTGGGAGTGGGGCATCAGCTTCGGCTGCGTGGTCATTTATATCACGGCCATTGAGGCTTGGAAAGCCATCAAGAGGCGCTTTAGGCTATGGAGCGGGGCCCACAGAGTCATCAGCAGGGAGGATGCTGAGGCTAGAGCTGGTCTAGCGGGTGGCGTAGTGAACACTCGATCGGATCTGGTGGAGGACACGAATTGGACTAACGAGGTAGGGAGCATTAAGTTGACGCCCGTATGATTGCTATAGGGACGGAATTTTTTTTTGGATTGACCCACGGCCTGTCATTATTGTCAACTCGGCGTTTGCGCATGTTCACCCTCGCTTCGATAGCATGTTTTTATGATTTTATGAATTGAACTTAGTCGCTCTTTCACCTGCCTTCCCCAGTCCATTGCTAGTGTCAGACCTTCGGTACATTGCTAAGCCTCTCTCACGTCGAGGATTTTCGAAAAGGAGAGCGTTCAAGGTATAATCGTGCGATCTCCAAGGTCGTCATAGTCACGGATGTCTACCGAGATTCCTCAATAAGGCTTATACCTGGCCTTCTCCTTTTCATCGCCCCTCTTCTTCTCTTTCTTGTCCTTCCGCTTCTCTTTTCTGTCCTTGCTCTTCTTCGCTGGCTCAGCCTCTTCGTCAACATCCATGCTCTCCTCCCCAGCAGCCTTCCATGCACGAATAAATCCGTCTTCGCCGCAGGTAAACGTCGTTCGAGTCTGTACATCGATTTAGATAAGCAACAAAAAAGGCACTGATGATATCACTTACATGTATATCCGTGAACACATCGCGAACAAGCTCCTCGCCATGAGCTCCCGGTAGCTGTATGCTCTTTTCGAGGTCAAAATCGTACTCTAGAGGCCCGCTGGCGTTCTTTTTGATAGGTATGAGATTCAGACGACTCTCGCTACCTTTTGTTAGCGTTCGTGCAGCGGCATGATATGTCTCGAACGTGCCTATGCTTCCCAGCAGCCACGAAAGGCTCCCCGCCCACCCAATGCATCTTGGCCAGATACTCGCACCCCAAGCCCTCTCGAACGTCACCAAATGCTTTCGGAGTCGGCTCCTCCTCTTCCTCCTTTTGGCTTTGTAGCGCATAGAAACTCATCGTCTCATCTGTGCCGATGGCATAGATGTCCGTGCCCGGATACATGAAGCCAGCGTGCGCAATGGCAGACCGGTGGTTGATGACTTGGTACAGGGCGTCTTCCTCCTCAGCCTGCGATGTGTCGAAGATGTTGATGAGGCCATCTGTGCTGGAGGAAAGAAGGAGAGTAGGATGCGAAGGATGCAGTTGCAGGGAAGTAACGGTGTCGGTATGTGACTCTATGTAAGAACGAGTTGGGGCTGAAGGGTTACGCTGGTCCCTGCGGCGCGTTTAGTATCTCGACTGGGCAAGGCATATGAGTGGGCGTACCAGACATAGACGGGAGAGACGCCAGTGCCATCATCAGGGTTCTCGATGCCAGCTGCGATGAAGTTTTTTTGAGCATCGCATACGAGAGATGAGATGAGTTTGTGTGCTGTCCTACTGGTAAGCGTACACCCTTCCTCATGTACTTTAATAATAATCATCACGTACGACTCTGGATCACCAGAACCCTCTGTCTGCTTCTCTTATCCCAAAATTTGACGAGTCCATCTCTTCCCGCGGTCGCTACTACGTTGCTCGGTGCGTCATTGGCCCGTTCCAAGCATGTGACCTTGTCATTTACAGACTTGGTAACACCATCAGGCAGTAGGCTGAGCGTGGCCGCATCCAAGTAGCGAAGCGAGTCATCTGATGATATGAAGGCTAACTGATCAGTTTGTGTGTATGTGAGTGGGTCCTGTCGTGGCGCTGTGGAAATTATCCTGTAGATGTATGAATTTGCTGGAAGCCCGGCGTCGGAGCTGAAAATTTGTGTGAGCGACATTGCCAATGGTGCGCGAGGTACTCTTCCTGTATATCATTGGGTAGGTGGGTTGAAGTGGGTGGTGGACATGGTATGGGGAGATGAAGGTAACGAAAAGAAATTTCGTAGCCGTGTGAGGTGACGATGCGTAGTTCTCACAAGGCATTGCGGGAACGCATACAGTAGCACTCATTAAGAGATCAACATGTGAAATCGAGATTGGGCGACATGGACATGATAGGCCTTTGCAATCCACGATTATATACGCTCAGCCTCGCACTCGTGCTGGAAATTGTTCACGGGCTTGGGAGACGCGTTCCGTTCGAACATGTATCAACTGACGAGCCCCAACACCATCTCGATATGACGACTAAATAGATCATCGCGAGCACAATAACCATGTTCGTCGAGAACACTGCTTGCGACTACGACTACGACTACAGAAAATATGTTGCCTTGATATGAAACTCGATGCAGCCATAACTTTAGACAAAACGAGCGATTAACTACGGGCGTCCCTCTCCGAACTCTCATGATCCCAATCTACTGACATAACGCCAGCAGACAACGGGCCGTCACTCCAGCAGGTCAGCACGCAAGCGCTCGCTGCCGGCGATATCGAGGTTCGTGAGAGAAGAAAACCAAGCCGCGCGCGAGGAATTTTCGGGTAGTAGGCACCTGCATGACTAAGCGGTTACTCGTTGTGATTGTGATTGGCTTGAAGCTGCTTGAATAAGGCTTGGGCTGATTGGGCAGCGGAAGACCTCGGGCATCGGAAAGGTGCGAGACTTGGCCTGCGTGAGTTTGAACATCGACATCACCACTCCCCACGACTCTCTCCACTCTGAACTCGGCCAATTGGTACATCAGCTTGTGCAATGGCTTCTCAGCGCATATTCCAGCTCGGTCTGCGCCGGGTCGCGGCGCCGGGATTGAGGGTTCAGCCTGCTGGACGCATGGTGCAGCGGAGGTATGGCAGACTCATTGACAGCATCACTGCTCCTCCCAACGTCTGGATACTAAACGCTATCAACATAGACTCGCAGCGACCGAACATGTCTCGCAGCCCCACGGCACCGAAATCCTCGCGAAACAACGCCTCCGCCGGCCCGTCTCCCCGCATCTGACCATCTACCGCCCACAAATCACCTGGTATGCCAGCGCCCTGAACCGCGTCTGCGGCATCATGCTCTCTGGCCCCCTCTACCTCTTCGGCTTCGCATACCTCGCCGCGCCCACGCTCGGATGGCACCTGGAGACGCAGTCGATGATCGCGGCGGTTGCTGCTTGGCCACTCGTTGCAAAGGTGGCACTGAAGGCGTACTTTGCATTCCCGTTCTTTTTCCATTGCTTGAATGGGTTCAGGCATTTGTCGTGGGATGTGGGTGTGGGGTTCAAGAATCAGACGGTTATTAGGACTGGGTGGACGATGATTGCGATGACGGTCGCGGGAAGCTTGTACTACACCTTTATTGGTTAAGCGGTCGATGCGAGGAAAGATCAAACGGAGGTAGAGAGTGAGGAACTTCAAAGGGCACTGAAAAACTGAAGGCGGATAGGGGGGGCGTGGAGCATTGGACGTGGAAATACACTGAAGTGGACGAAAGGGAAGCGGGACCTTGTACAATCTGTGTGTCAAACGAATAGACGATGTTTTGTCTTATGGCTGCGTAGCCCAATCAAAGTATGAACTGGCATGACAGCCCTTGATACAAGTGATGTTCAGTCTCGCAATAGCTTCCTCATGCGCAGCAACCGACGAGCCAGTTTTCCCAGGTTGCACAGACGTTGAGATGCTCGCTCGCTCTCTCATATTGGGCCAGGACCACACTCTGAACTTCCCCATACGTATAGTGCGCGCTATGGTCTATATCTCCAACGTGCTGTGCGAAGGTGTCATCGATTGGTCGAACAAAGAACGTCTGTGGACGGCACGTGAGCGCGTGTCTGGGTCGGGTAATTGGCGCGTCGGCTGAATCGCAAGACATGCCCGGGCACTAGACGACGTTCGTGGAGCGCGCTGCTCCTTGAGTAAGATGTGCTCTTGCAATGGCAGAATCGCAGGCTTTTACCGTGCTTGCGGACACGCTGTATGATGTGAGCTCTCCCCCAGCTGCCCCTACATGACATGATTAACGCCACGGCGCACGGAGGCGGACATCCTGGTTCGCGCCGATTGTCAATCGCTCATCTCACTGACCATCAACGCCACATTTAGGACCCGTCCCAACTCTCCCAGGCCCTCAGGCAGCGGGCAGGCAGTGAAAAGCCGCTCCATTTCACCACGTCGACCGAGAGCCGCCAGTCAGGCAACACTGCCTCCATCTTGGCTGTACCGCAACAATCTTGTCGCGCCCGCGTCGCGCAGCAGCTACCCACCATCGTGCTCGCCCATCCCGATCACGCTCTCTCTTCACGACGCGTCGCGACAGCCAAATATGTCAAGCCCGCTCTCCCCAAACATCACAGCGCGCCCACAAGCACGGGTATCATAGTGGACAGGGAGGGCGCCCACAAAATGCATCAAAGCTTGAACGCAATGGACGCTCCAGGCGATACGCAGCCGGATAGCCAGATGCATAAACAATGGACAAGCGGTGTTTATCCGACAGTAGAGGTCCACAATCGTGGCCGCAGTCCAAAGTCGCTCTTCACAGAGCACGAAGAAGAGGAAGCGGACGACGACGACGACTTGCCTACAGATGAAGTCGAAGTCGTAGAGTCCAGCTCGCAGCGCAACAATCCGAATGTCACGAGTCCAACCGTGGTGGATGTCGATGATCAAGGCCTAGCGGAAATACACAGTCTTGCGCTCACCAGCCCGCTCAAGTTCGAAACACCCGCACTGGCAGGCAGGACGCGAGAGAGACAGAGCTCAGGCCAAATGTTGAGCTCCGTTGCGCGGACAAACACCACGCCTGGTACTGCCGCTTCAGCATCTGCATTTTTCCCAGTGGGGTTTGGAACCGGCACAAGTGCAGGCGGACCGCTGATGTCCCTCACCCAGGCATGGCAGAACACCCAGGCGCCGACTTCGCCAGCTGTGGGCGGAGCAAGCGAAGATGTCGTCTTCACGCGGCCCTCGCCAAACTTCACGAACGCGCGCCACTCAAGCCCTATACCAGCATATTCTAGCCCTATCAAAGATGTGCGACCCGAAACCCCCAAGTCAGATCCAGTCGTGCGGTCATCCAGTGAGCCTCGCGCTCAGTACGTCACCATGAAGCAGTCACAAGAGAAGCGGAAGCTATCAACGGGAGATGAGGGTGTTATCTCTGTTGAGCAAGATAGCTGGGAGGAGCTTTCCAATAAAGTGAAGCGGAAAAAGGCTCAAGAGCAGTTTCACCAAAGGGCAGCCCGCTCCCTCTCCAATATCTCCGCACCGACACCGCTATATCCACAATCGGATAGGAAGCGCCAGGCAACTGCTGCGTATTCGTCACCAGTCAAATCCAAATCTCCACGGCGGATAGCTCATGCAAATTCGCAAGAGGAGGGAAATGATGATGATTCCATGGACGAGCTTTCGCAAGTGAAAGGGCACGACGATGCTGAAGAATCCCCCGACGAATCGTCTCAGGACGTGCCCTCTACCGCACGGGCCACAGTGCGATACAATAGCAAAGACAATAGCAAAGACAATACAGTGCAGGTGCCCAAGACCTCCTCACATCCTTATCGTACTCCTTCAAGCCATACGCCACGAAACTATTTTCAACAAACAACTCCTTCCTCACAACTGCAACGCGAATCACATCTGCGAGCACCAGGATCACAGTCACTCCTGAGAGGTACATTTGAACCTGAAAGCAGCAAAGATTCAGTTGCTATCATGGATTCCCAACCAGATGCGACTGCCGACTTCAACAATGTGCCCCGCCCCAAGGCCCTGCGCTTTCCTTCGTCACCATCGATAAATCAGTACAGCATCAACCAGACTACCATGGCTACCAAGACTGGATACACAAGTCAGGTCATCTCATCGTCAATGCCACCCATGCCGCCAAAATCAAGCCCGGTTGAAGAGGAGGAGAGCCCGGAAGATGAGCGCGTGCCCAGCAGTCCTCCGATTTTGTCTCACGAGGACGATGTGACGATGCATGAAGCGGATATCGAGTATGATGAACATACTTACGATGAGTATGCTGAGGGTGTTGACCCTTCCGCTGTCAATGAAGACGTAGTCATGGACGAAGATGAAGATGAAGATGAAGATTTGCCTGTCGCAGAGCAAGGACTTGATGCGGAAGAAGCGGAAGGGCGAGGAGCAGGTGCGGGTGAAGATGAAGAGTTGGGCTTGGTTCAGCCTCAGAATGAAGATCTGAGTACCGACCAGGAAATACCAGAGACCTTGGAACAGAAGCAGCCTACGGGTCATATCCGTAATGGCGAGAACGAACAACATAGCGAAGGAGATGCCACAAAAGTGCCCCGCATGCAACGCCAAAACACGATTCCAGAGACAGATGCGCTGGATGAGACACAGCCGTCCTTCTTTCCTCACAATGTCCCAGACGAGCCTGCCGACAGTACTGAGATACCAAATCACACTAATAGCACGGAGCCATTTCAAACCGCTCAAGAGGAACAATCTAGGGAACAATCTAACAGACCAGCTCTTCTCAGTTTGAAAGACGAGGGAAGTGATGCGATTCAAGCAGGCGATCGCATCCGTTCTGTAAGCGATCTCCACAATCTACCAGTAACTCAGCAGTCTATGGCCGAAGAAGAGATTGAAATGCCTCGCCTGAGCGGACTCGATACAAATGAAGAGAACCCGTTCTTGTCTAGCTCTCCTACGCCGCCATCTGCGAAGAGGCGAAAAATCACATATACAGCGAAGCGTAAAATTTTCCGTAGCCCAGCCAGGCCAGCAACCAACTCAGAACCGCCATCCGGTACTGCTCCCTCGCCACCTCTAGAAGACGTCCAGCAGGCTCTAGAGAATACTCCGCCGAAGGCATCTGCTCAAGAACGAGAGCAACAAGGTGCTTTTGCAGTGGCGCGCGCTAGAGAAGAGGCACAGGTTTCAAACTATAAGCCAGCGATCCGAAAGCCCAGAGGTCGCCCTCGACTTTCAAAGCCGCAGGCTCAGAGGAAGGGGGCCCTCAAGCCAATTACTAGAGATCTTCTTCAGAGTCTGTCTTCCCCAGCCGACTCACCATCAAAAGCGGGAGCGTTTGTCACTAGTCGGGCGAGCCCGCCTCTTTCACCGAGTAGACGAGGCACGGATGTTGGAGATGCTCAAGCGAATGCTGACATGCTCGATGTCGATGACGAGAAAGATGAGCTTGCGAGTTCTACGCCCCAGTCGGCCAACGTTGAGCCATTTGTCGATATCACATCAAACCGAGATGGAACACCATCAGGATATGTGCTTGTACCGAATCGAGTATTTGCCTCATGGCCCGGTAAACACTACTATCCAGCCACATGCATCGGTCGATCAAACCCCCGCCAGCTTCAGATTCGCTACGATGACGGCAATGTAACAAATATGGATGCTATGAATGTTCGCGCACTCAGTCTCCGAACTGGTGATCAGGTCAAGGTTGACGAGACCGGCATGAAGAAGAACACATATGTGATAGTCGGCTTCAAAGATAAAATTGACGATCTTAGTGGCGAGGAGTATCCCACCACTGATCAGCTTGGGTTCGCAACTATTGTTCTAGAAGAGAAACGAAGAGAAAGTTTGCCCGCAGCCAAAGCTGGGATTGCGGCGGAACGCATCTCGGTGCCCATGGCAAGCATCTATCTGACAACCTTGCTGTGGAAAAGACTACGAGATCGATGTTACAACTTCTCACCACTAGTGTCGCCCAACAAGGCTGCTTCTCGCATCGGCACTCCAACGGCAGATCTGCTTACAACGCCATCCTTCACTCGCAGGGGAACAACAGCACCTTCACTGCTGAAGGATGCGACCGCCCGCGCCACGTCTGTTGCTTCGACTGCTCGATCTGGGCCTGGGGTATTCTCAAATATGGCGTTTGTGCTTACCTCGACTGCTGCAGACGTCGACAAGGAGGCTATTGGGACCCTCATCAAGACCAACGGTGGTCAAACGCTCGAACATGGCTTTCATGAACTCTTCGACTATGAGCCTGCTGATATACCATCATCTCAGAGCCGGCGAAGGTCTGCCTCAGCCGTTGAGGGGTCTGTCGGACTTGTGCTTAAGGATGCGTACAAAGATCTTGGATTCGTCGCCCTGATCTCCGACTCGCACTCCCGCAGCACAAAGTACATACAGGCTCTTGCTCTCAACGTTCCATGTCTGCATCTCCGCTGGGTCCACGACTCACTTGCTACAACCCGCGCCCTATCATTTGCCAAGTATCTCCTCCCTGCTGGTGTCTCTAAATTCCTCGACCCAAACGGCGTCCTCCGCTCACGTACCATGTCCATCTACGACCCTGCCGGCGACGACATTTCTTTCGCCCAGACCATACAGGACCGCGACCTCCTCCTTCACAACCAAACCGTGCTCCTCGTGACCGGCAAATCCAAGAAAGAAATTGAAAAACGACAGCCTTTCATCTTCCTCACGCACGCCCTCGGCTCCGAAAATGTAGGCCGATGTGCCGACCTCGCTGCCGCTGCTCAAATGCTCACCGATAGCCAATGGGACTGGGTGTACGTTGACAATGGCGAGACGGGTGTCGTGGAGGCTGCAGCTGAGCTTTTCGGTACAGTGACTAGCGGGAAGGGTGGTGCAGCGAAGGTAAAGAAGGGAAGGAAGAGGAAGAGCGAGGACAAAGAAGAGCTAGTAGCACGAGGGGAGTTGGCCGGACGCAAAGTTCGCATTACGTGTTCTGAGTTTGTTATTCAGAGTTTGATATTGGGAGCGTTGGTTGAGGAGTAAATGGCAGGGGGGGTTCATGGAAACTGTAACGGAAAAGGAGGGATCGCGGTGGCTTTTAGTATCACGCAGACGGCGTCTGTGTTACCAAGGGTATCTACGGGCATATAGCGAGGCGTTTGGGAACATTACCCCTTTTGACCTTTTGAGCTGAACGATGGCACTATTTTTCGAACGCAGACTTAGTAGTCGATATGCGCCATCGATGTTATATACACACTTCCATCACATCACCATTGGCGAAGCGTAGCACTCATAACCTAACCAATCGGTTACTTGTACATACGTTGATCATATGAGGCTAGTATGTGACAGACTGCTTGGATTGATATGAAATATATTTGAAAAGAATACACAGAAATATGTAGAAATCGGGTATCATCTCGAACTCCCTACTGAGTGAAAAAAACCGGGCTCACTTTCCCTCCCCAGTTATCCCCCTATGAACCTGTACCTTCAGCCCTTCTTTTGGATAGATATGAATAGTCCCATCTTGCGAATCAAAGATGAACGAGCCCAAGTTGTAGTTACTGCTTGAGTCCCGGAGTGGGTTGAAGACCCTACGCCGCTTTACTGTGGGCGGGCTAATGAGTCCGACAAAGCTGCGTTTTTTCGTCGGGGGAGGAGTGGCAGCGCGTGGAGTGGACGCCGACGTTGAGATGGGGCCAGATGGTTTTGGCACTGGCAAGGGCGTAATAGAGAGTCGCTCTGAAGTGTCTTCGCGTACGAGTGTGCGCAGTTCTCGAGATGCTCGTATGCCCTTGCCTTGTGTGCTGCCGTCCACCGAGTACTGTGTCGAGGACAAGGTGTTTTGCTGAGTCTCCGGAACTACAGCATCGTCAGCGGGAGTTTGATGCTCTGTCTCTTGTGTAGTCCGCTGGGTGGTTTGTTGTGTCGTCTCCTGGGTCATTTCGTCGGTTGAGATGGAGACTTGGGAGCCACCCGTCTCCTTGACATACTTCTTCACCAGCAGCGCAACATCTCGCGCGTGGCCGTCGAGCTTGTCTGCATCAGGTACATTCCACTTCTCTTCAGCCATGCGCTCGAGGTCTTCCATGGTGACTGCGTCTTCCCATGTCCTATCAGAGTGGATCTTCTTTATTCGAGGGTGGCGCAACATCTCGAATGTCTCGTTTTGGAGCTTCTCGAACCCACCACCAAGGATCTCTGCTACGAAGGGCTTCTTGAAAGCGACAGTCATACGTCGATCGTAGCCCTTTGATTGCTCGATGTTGTACTCATGAATGGAGCCATTCTTTCCCAGCGCAGCTTGCCGAACATAGCCCTGTGCGTTCAAGTACTTTACGTCGGGTTTTGGTATACACTTGTCTGAACTTAGTGAAGCAACAACCTTGAACTTTGGCTTCTCCCCTGTTCGCTGCACGGTGACCTTATTCAAACAGCATGCTATATAGAAGTGCGTCCAGTGTAGCGGCTTAATATCAGTTTTAGGAGCCACCTGTGCATCAAAGCTTGCCCCGATGACAGCGAAGTCACCTAGATCACGCTCACCACCCATGTCGGCGAGATAATCCTTCTTCATCTTGATGAAGAATCGTGCCTGAAGATACCCATGTTCTGAAACTAGTGGAAAGTACGGAGTATGGAGCGGCTTCAGTACAAGGCCTTCTTGGCGATCTGCAAGGGTGCGGGCGAATGCCTGCTTGAGGTCCGTTATGCCGTCCCCTGTCTTGAAGTCGAGCAGGGTCCACACCGAGCGCATTGACCGGCCAGGTATGAATTGGACTAGGTTTCGCAGTATATCTCGTCGATTTTGTAGGCAATGACGTAGGACCGGTTCGTCGTCCAGTGACAGGACGTCAAAGAAGACGATCATCAGGTGCTCCCAGGCATGCGGCACAGAGTCTTGCAACGTGCCAATGAAGGTCCCTGAGCGGGAGATGTGTTTTCGGATTTTTGAAAAAGGCAGTATCTTTTTCTCCTTATCGCTATAGAGCACCATCTCGCCAAGGACGATGCACTTCTTCTTGAACTGACAGCCAGGGTGACCGATGCGTAGGGCATCACGAATGGTGCTGTGTAATGGCTGGCGATCTGCAGTTGCGTCCTTGCCGTTCTTTGAGAAGATCTTGATCTGATTGTTTGGATTCTCCAAATCTATATGGATCTCGCAGTATTCGCCATCATATTTGACTTCAGCGGCCCAGGCTCGGTTACCCACTAGCTGGAGGCAATGTTTTAAGGACCATGCCTTGTGAAATGTTGGACGTCCGACTTTGACACCAATGACCGGCTCCAGCTTCTGCGCCGCTTCTACACGCATCGTCTTCTGTTGCGAGGCGTCTGGGTCAGAAGGATAGCAGTTTAGCTCTCCCCTTATCATATTGAAAACAGCGTCGAAGTCGTTCTGGAACTTCAACAGGTCTGGTAGTAGAAAGTGATACCGCTCGAAGACGTATTTCTCTTCTAGCTCAATGGTGCAGTGATTTCTTAGTATCAGTCGAACAAGCCATTTTGCTTCCCAAGATTCAAGTCGGACGAAGATGTCTTTCAGCTCCGTATCGGTCCTGACATGCCAGTCTCGCTGCTTCCGAATACCTTCGTCGGAGAATCTGTATTTGGCTGCTAATTGGAATAGCAGTTGGTCGATCCTGTCTATAGGGAATGCATGCTTGGTCCCAAAGGTGCCATCCCAAGGTCTCATTGTGCGTTCCGTATACGCACCAAGATCGCCATGTGCTCCGGTCTTCCATCCTTCGAATAACGCTTGTTGACCATGATTGAAAGCTAGTAATTTGGTGAGCTTCTTTGCAAGTAGTGGGGCCTGCAGGCCGTAGACTCGATCCTTTCTCAGATGCGGAAATAGAGCAGACAAGATAGCACCACCATTGGTGTTTGGATCATCGAGGGCCTGTCTCTGGTTGGTGAACCAATTCGAAAGTACTTGGCGAATGCTCTCCTTCTGTTTTCGTGCGGACAGTCGTGGCTGCCGTGTAGAAATGTTCTCGACGCTTTGCAGGAGGTTGCAGATGGCGCCGAAGGTAATAGTCATTGGTAACAATGCAATGTACAGTAATCAATAATCGAAGATGTTGATGATAAGCCGGCTGTGTCGAGGTTGAGATCCAGTGGTAGTGAGGGTTCCTGAACCTTCAAGGTAAGAGCAAAAGGTGCACTTGCTCCTAATAGGGCTTGTCCCCCACCAAGTGAATTGATGATTCCCGCACTGGCTCCCCTAGCGACCGAGCGGGTTCCTTGTATGCACTTGAAGACTTCCGTTGGGATGCTAACTTTCACTCCTAGATATATGCCTCGAAGGCTCGTATTTCATCGATGCGCACACTTGAGGCCTCAATATCGCCAACATAGTAACGCTATTACGTACAGAACACTGAGAAGTTGATGCGGTGTAGGTACGCAAGGCTTTGCAATTACTAGCGTTGCAAAAGTCGAGGGAAGGATAAAAAAAAGCAAGCCATATAAACAATATATACACAACGAATGTACAACAAAGGACTCGGAGGACTCGAAGAATGAAAGGCCCATGGCGGGGTGCACGCGCTTTGCACAACGCGCTAGTGCAAGACATCACGGGATTGCGCGCAGGAGCCAGTCCGAATCCGGGCGCAGCGCATTCTTCTCCCACCAGCCACCTCAGACTTGATGTTTTCAGACATGCTCAGCGTTGAAACTCAGGCATGTACACTGCAATTGAACACCAACCTTCGAAAATGAAGCAAGCATACGCAACATGCTCTGTCGGTGATTTCCTGATATTAATGCCGATGATCCCTGACGTCATGACCTATATGGACTGATGTTGGATTGATTCAAAGCCTCGCATTTATCGTCTTGCGCCTACAAAACCCACCGCGATTGCTTCAAGCGAAGCGTTGCAAGATATCCATCATCAAACTTACAAGTAGCCTTGCTGTCGAAACCCGACCCCCTTGAGGAGTGACAAGGTTGACTATACTCGGACGACGGAGACGTGGATGCGTTGCGCCTGGGTAACACTACCTCCTAAAACAGTAGTCCATTGTGCTAATACACCTGAGAAGCCTTCCAAATCAGCGAACGGTAAAAATGAGCGCAGAGGGCAATACCCAGGACCCTCGCTCGGAGGCGTCCAAGAAGCGCGATCTCATCGCACGCGGTGACCACACCCCAACGCCTGCTGGCAAAGTGACTTTCTTCATACTTCGCGGCCTCGAACCATTCCTTCAGTACTCGACCCTCGCACATGGACTCGGAACGTCCGCCTTCCACCGCTTGGGGCTACGGACGCTGCCTCCTGGGCCCCCTTCACATACAGGCATTGCTCTCATCGATGGCTTAGGGCTGTCACCGTACAGATTGGTGCTATTGGGCATGTCGATTGGCGCTGCCGTCAAGCAGAATATATGGGTCAGCGCATTGTCAGGAGAGCCAATGCCTGTTGGAGGTGCTGTCGCTGTTGGTGCTTTTAACGCCTTCTTCAACAGTGTGAGCACCTATGCTTTCCTGCTCACTGCGACATCAGCCTCGACCAGGTCGAACTTCCCCCAGCCAGCCCTTATAATCGGTAGCTCATTGTATGTTGTCGGTATCCTTACTGAGCTTATGGCCGAGATCCAACGCAAACGCTTCAAGTCAGACCCGAGGAACAAAGGCAAGGCCTATACTGGGGGCTTATGGCAATTTGCTCGACACATCAATTATGGTGGATACACGCTATGGCGCGCTGGATATGCTATGGCGGGTGGTGGTTTCATGCTTGGTGCAGTGGTTGGCGCTTTCTTTTTGACCGATTTCGCAGCTCGCGCTGTCCCAATTTTGAACGAATATTGCGAAATCCGCTACGGTGCAGCGTGGGAAAAGTTCAAGAGAGACACACCTTATCGCCTGATTCCTTATGTCTACTAGTCATGAGCGCATACGGAAATGGACATGTCATTAGAGATGCCTGAACTCGGAAATTTCACGTCCGACTCTCCTCAAATACATCTGACCCTCTCACAGCACATGTCGCTTTCTGGCATCGCAAGTTAATGTTTACATCTAGCTGCACCCCAGCTGGCATATACATGCATGCCACCGTTTAACAACACCGAAAGCGGCCCGAAAGATACGACCTGCTCGGAAGGACCATCCTCTTGCCGATCATGCACTCAGAAGCAGCCGAATCACAACATGCAATTGATCGACAATATCACACACCGCTGGCAGCGGAACAGCAATTCAGCTTTACCGTATACTAGCGTACAACTGGCCGAGCTACGAAATGATCTGGATACTAGGCAAGCTCAGTCCCTGATGAGGCAAACCACGATAAGCCCTAGATGTTGTGCGATAGAATCATTGTCACACGATGCAGGTGCTTTCCGCGTGCCCAGGTGATCGGGTCGTTGCTGTGGCTCGTAACAGCAGATCAAGAGGACATTGATTTCGTGCTGGACTATCTATGCAGGTGACCAATGGCCAGCACCCATGCTAACGTGGTGTATCCTTTGACCAACAAGCCGGGATCATGTCAGTGTTGGACAGCAGTAGACATGGCGAATTCAACGCCAATCATTCAACATGGTGTTCGATTCCACTCGAGATGCCCTATCAGTGCAATCAGGAGCTGCGTCCGCACGGTAGCACCTCTTTGTGGATTTGTGGCGCATGTGCAGAATCCAACCGTCATTCAGTATTCATGCTATACAGTGCTCACTGTAGCTGAAGAAGGACAACGCATACATGTCTTCTCCGAGCCTCTCATACACTTCCACGGTCGTATCCAGTTGCCAAAATAAGACTGGAAACGAGGTGGGGTGAGAATTCGTAGCTCAACAGAGCTTGTAGACACAACAAGTAACGATCAGCAAACAGTTACCCGGTCCAGCTCGTACAGGGACCCTGTGGCGGACGATGTTGCTCCAGGATGGTACGCCACGCGAAGCTTCTCCAGTTTTCCCGAAATACATTGTGTTTTGTCTATTTCGAAAACACATCTCCACAAAATATAATCGGTAATGACGATCAGGAGGTGGCTGTGAGGGTGTTCGGCGACGGGCGAGGATGCAGTGCGATGTCACGCATTTCAGACCCTGAACTTTACAAGAGCCTCAACAAGTGTCATTGGCAAGTAAGGATCACGATGATGGACTTGTTCGGCTGCTGGCTTGCTGTTGTAGAGCGGGGAACGAAGGATGGCGGGATGCTTGGTGCATGGCCTTGCAGCATGGATACGTGCAGGCCCCGCTCTGGGCTCTCGCAGCGGCTCAAGCAGTTCATCACATCACGTCTACTAGCCACCGTGCAGGAGTGAAACCCGATAAATTGCTTCCAGTTGCAGACGACTGCTCTGAGCTTGGTCAAGCCCCTGTGTCAGGGGTGCAGCTTATCGCATTGTCAGCTCCAACGCGGGTAGATGCCATGGTACCCCTCAGATACTGCTGCTGATGAGGCATTTTGATCTCGGTCTGAGGTCATGGCCTCATGTCCAGGATATCCCCGGCCCCTGGGAGCCGACATAGCGGATGGAAACAACTGCAACCATGGTTGGCACATACGCGATCTGTCAATGGTACGAAAGTAGCACTCGCCGGATTATTTTGTTGGAGTAGCGATGCGACCGAGGCGATCTTTCAATGGTAGCGAGCTTCTCAGCCGCCGCCGCGACGGCGCATCGGCCTCATTCGGTGCCACGTTTGCCGGTGATTCGATGTGGACAAGCTTGTATTGTGTGGTTTGCTTGTGAAGTGAACGAAGCGAAGCGATATGCAGACCAGTGCAGTTCCAGGATGCTCGGGCGCATTGCCTGGCGTGCATGGCCGTAAGCGGATTGGACTCGGCTGGCGGTTGTTTCGACTCCGGTACTCTACCGCTACGACTTCAATTCCAAGTTTTGCAGCCTTAATAGGAGGATGCTATGGGCGCGCAAGGCAAGGGAGGGTCAAGGTCCCCACGGGCTGAACCACTGTCTATCTCGATGACATTTCGTCATTGACAGCCATGGGTGGAGACCTGTTCCAGCTCAACGCCTGATGCGAGCCAGTTTTGACATTTCTAGCGTGGCCGACTTGACACGGCAAACACGGAGCCTGAGAATAGATAGCACGTCTGTTCTGAGTACAAGACTCTTCAGCCTCCACTCTGGCTCGCGGGCACTGCATCCCACACGTTCATTCCTTTCGCGTATCACGACTCCGTTCCTCCACCCATCCATTCATCCCCCGTCGTCTCAAGTCTCGCGTATACGAGGCACCAAGCTGAGAGAAGCGCTGCCGCCGCTGCAACCTCGGATTGGGCCACTGACGAATATGTAAGTCAGCTTTCGCGCCAGGCCATGTCCACCACACGCTGTTCCCACGTCGTGCTGGTGCCGACGACACTACGCCGAATTGTAGCATTTGCAAGCATTAGCCAGCATTCAAACATTGAATTCGCCCGTGTCTGCCGTCTTCGCCGTGTTTCGCAACTGACGCTTCTTTGTTTAGAGTGTAAGCTTTTCTAGCGTCCTGGGACTTGTCTTAAGCCACTTCCCGCCCGCGATACAGCGACCACGACAAATCCCTCCAAAACCCCCCCTCTCGCGCCGCCCCCGGAGAATTCTGCGCTGCTCTGTCTACCTGTCAGCCACCTGCGCATCGCCAATTCCTCTCTCCCCTCATCGCCAATTCCTCTCCCCTCATCAGGCCATCGCCGGAAGCGGAAGCAGCCAAACGCAGGGCCGACGACGCAAGCGGGGCGCCAAGCACACGGGCCTGGCTATCTCCATTCACTCTATAAACACCGACTTGCCTTCACAGTGCGCTGCAGCCCCGTGCTGAGTTCATTCCAAGGTTCACTGTCCTTGTCTTTATATTCAGTGTCTTTTCAGTGTCCTTGACGCACTCGCCTTGACGTTAGCCCGCTGATTCGTATTTCTACCCTCTTCCCCCCAAGAGCCAAGCGAAGGAACGCAGCGTCAAGCAAACATGCAGTCCGTCATGGCGCAACCCCCACAAGCTCCAACCTATGGCGCCATGCCAGTCCGCCGCAAGCCCATAACCCAACCTGGAATCTCGGTGCGACCCCCGCAGCAGCAGATGTACACTGAAGCGCAACTGGGCCACTCTCGATCACGAACCACCAGCTCCGGCGTATTCCCTACCCCCGTCGCCTCATCGCCGACTGTAAGCACCATGAGTTCACAGTACCCGACCCAGTACCAGAGCGGTCTTCGCCGTACGCCCACCTCATCGACGAGCTCTACCACCGGCACGCCGAATCGATCCAACAGTGGCAATCTCCGCCGCTCCTCCTCAGCGCGCTCTGGTACCTCGCCCACATCATACGTTGCACTCATGCGGAAACAAAAGGCTACCGTCTGGTGTGACAGGGCTCAATATGAGGATCCTCGCATTCTCGCGCAGCAACGCCAGGCAAAAATGAGGGCAAACATGGAGGTCGCAGGCGGCCCTCACCACGCGCCACCACGAAGCGCCTCAGGAGGCGCAAGCATGACTGGCGGTGTCAGGTCAAAGATTGGCCGTCACCATGGACTACCCAAGGCGTCATTATACGCGCCAGTCACATATGCCGGGTCGGGCGTGCCCATGCGCCTCAGTGCAACAGAAGTCGACGAAGGTGACGACGAAGACGCCGCTTCAATAGGGCAGAACGGAGCGCCATATCACCACCGCACCGGCTCAGGACGCAGCTCCCTTGGTTCTGGTCGCCGCATGTCCTACGCCAATCCGGGCGGTCGCCACTCGTCCAACTCCACACCCCCTCAGAATTCGTCACCAGAAGACCTTGGCGACCTCCAAGAAGAAGAACCCACACCGAATCCACTTTACGACCCCACTACTGGCTACTTTGTTGAACATACAAAAACCAATCTTTCAATTGGCAGTGGCAGTAGCGGGGAACGCAACTTTGGCGACGTGGGGCAGATGCCACAGAGCCTCCCAAAGCCGATCCAGGAAAAGAAGGGGAGTGACGACTTGGTGAGGCGGGGAAGTGTTGACGAGAGGACAATGACGATGGGGACACGTCTTTTTGTTGCGAATCCCGATCTTAGCGATTGAGCTAGTCATTCTATTCTACGATACCCGGCAACGAAGCGAATACACACGATGTGATTGGTTATGCTTTTATATATATTATGGAGGAAGGAGATGCAATTGTACGCTGTTTTAGATTTCTAGCATTACATGCAGCATCCTGCACTGTCTAGAGGTTTCTTTTGTTTGTTTTTTTGAGTTTAGCAAGCGCGTTTTGATAGTTGCACGCCCAGGTGGCCGCTCGTTGGTGCTGTATATACGTCGTTGGAGTGATGGGCCAAGATAATGATTATCCTTTACCTCAAGATCTGATATGTGATGACGATTCTAAATTCCCATTCTTATAAATAGAACTGCTCTCACGTGCAGCTGTCGGCTTGCATGTTTGCATGTTCCGATGTGATGCTATTCGTCGATCATCCGGCTGTGCCTGCCAAGTTCTCCGAGATGGTGGTGATACTCTTCACAATGTATGTTTTCTGAGAACCCAACAAGGCCTAGAGTTGAGTGGTTGTATAGATATGCGATAGCCTAGAGGTAATCGGTTTCACGTATTAACATGCTCGAGTCATGTCCGATACACCCTTGAAGTAGGAAGGTCTCGGTATCTACTCGGAACATTTGTAGTACGTCGTGCCTATTTGAACTCTACAAATACAGCTCGCCAGAGTTTACATGGGCTTTGTTGTAGTTGTCTGTCTATTGGTTCATTCATTGGGTGTCACCTTATCGTTTATCCGGACGCCCTGCCAAGATGTCCGATCAGGGGACCTCACGCAACAATAAATCTTATAAACCCGCAACGGCACTCCACGATGACTGGCTGATACTCTATCAGACCTCACAATACCTAGTGTACCTCTCGACATAATGCCACATGCCAATGGCGCAACGAACGGCACGACGAAGCGTGGAGCGAACCAGAAGATAATTAATGGGACGGTCGGGACACAGAGGAGCAAGTCGGGGGATGAGAAAACAGACTACACTAAATGGAGGTTGAAGGACGATCGCGGGTGTCAGACATGGCATTATCTAGAGAGTGAAGAGGAGGTAAAGGCGTGGCCGCAAAGTACAGCGGACAAGTACTTTCTAGGCCTTGAGACGGTAGGTTCATTACACGCAGTCGCAACAGAAGTTATTAGCCCTTCAAAGAGGAACATGCTAATTCAAACATTTCCAGAATCTCCCAGGTCTCAAACCCGCCAACAGTCCTCTCGAAGCCGCCTACAACGGCCTCTCTTTCTTCTCAAAACTCCAACTACCCCCTGGAAACTGGGCCTGCGAATACGGTGGCCCCATGTTTCTCCTCCCTGGCCTCGTAATCACCTGGTACGTCACCGGGACGCCCATCTCCACCTCGCATGCCATCGAAATCAAGAATTACCTCTTCGCACGCGCACACCCAGACGATGGAGGTTGGGGTCTACATATCGAGGGCCAGAGCACCGTGTTCGGCACAGCGATGAACTACACTGTGTTGAGATTGCTAGGGGTGGATGCAGAGGATCCGCGGATGCGGAAGGCACGAGATACATTATGGAAGTTTGGAGGCGTGCTGAATGCACCGCATTGGGCCAAGTTCTGGCTCAGCGTGTTGGGGGTGACAGAGTGGGATATCTTGAATCCTGTGCCACCAGAGCTATGGTTGTTGCCTGATTGGGTGCCGTTTGCGCCATGGAGGTGGTGGATTCACATGCGGCAGGTGTTTGTGCCAATGTCGTATGTGTATTCGAAGAGGTGGAGCTATCCGTTGAACGACTTGACGAGGCAGTTGCGCTCAGAGCTGCTAGTACAGCCTTTTGAGACGATTGACTTCAGCGCGTATCGGAATAGTATATCGCCTGTGGACAACTATCATCCCAAAACATGGGTGATCAAGTTGCTGTTCTGGTTCCTGGCTACGATTTGGTTTCCCTACATCCGCCCGACCTGGATGGTGAAGCGCGCTGAAGAGCACGTCTGGTGGCTTATCCAAGCCGAAGACGACAACACCGACTATGCAAACTTGGGTCCTGTCAATGGGCCCATGAACACGCTCTGCGCATACATCAAACTTGGCCCGGATTCCTATAACTTCCGCGAGCACATCAAGACCTTGCCCGAGTTTCTCTGGGTGAAAGATGAGGGCATGCTCATGAACGGTACCAATGGCGTACAAACATGGGACACCGCATTCACGATCCAAGCTATCGAGAGTTGTGGCTGGTGCGATGACAAGCAGTGGAAACCCTTGCTCACCAAGGCCCTCGAGTTCCTCGAAGACCAACAAATTCTCGAAGAATGCAGAGATCAACACGCATGCTACCGCCAGCAGCGAAAAGGTGCCTGGGGCTTCAGCACAAGAAAGCAAGGCTACACGGTCAGCGACTGTACATCAGAAGGCCTCAAATCGACTCTCATTCTACAAAATCAACACACCTACCCCACACTTATCTCAGAGCGCCGCATGAAAGACGCCATCGACGTCTTACTCACTATGCAAAACCCATCCGGTGGCTGCGCATCTTACGAACCGACAAGGGGCAGTGTGTTGATGGAACACTTGAATGCGGCGGAGGTGTTTGGAAACATCATGATCGAGTACGACTATCCAGAATGCACGACTGCCGTTGTGACCGCACTCCATATGTTTCAAAAATACTACCCAGCTTACCGCGCCGCTGACATCGCAGCTTTCCGGGACCGCGCAGTAGCCTACATCCGAGCAGCGCAGCGCCCCGACGGCTCCTGGTACGGCAGCTGGGGCATTTGCTTCACATACGCTGCTATGTTTGCTCTCGAAAGTCTCGCGTGTGGCGGCGAAACGTACGCCAATAGCGAACGTGTGCGTCGCGGTTGCCAATTCTTCCTAGACAAGCAGATGGACGACGGTGGATGGGGGGAGACGTATAAGTCCTGTGAATCTGGGGTGTGGAGTCAGCATCCTAAAAGTCAAGTGGTGCAGACAGCGTGGGTTGTGATTGCTCTGCTGGAGGCAAAGTTTCCTGACAGAGAGCCGCTTGAGAGGGCGGTGAGGCTGATTATGGAGAGGCAGCAGGAGAATGGTGAATGGCTGCAAGAGGCGATTGAAGGGGTGTTTAACAAGTCTTGGTAAGTGAGGTGTGAATTGAGGTGCTAAGGGCGAAGCTAATATGTGCAACAGTATGATCTCATACCCGAACTACAAGTTCATCTTCCCGATCAAGGCATTGGGCATGTATGCGAAGCGCTTTGGCGACGAACCACTGCTCTGAGAAGAGATCAGTGGCAACTCATCATACGGGCTAATAGCCGGGTTACTGGCAACCGTAGAGATATGAGCAAGAGGTCTTCATCACCTTACTTATTAATACTAATATCATGACACTTCTTAATGCATCAGGGTATCCCTATCCTTCAAGAGGCCTGAAGCTTAACAGAATCGAGGGGTAATCTGAGTGAAGAGTGCGCACAGGGCAGAAAACCTGCGTTTGTTCCCGCTACCGTGTGTAGGCTCTCGCACATGATATTTTTTTCTTGTCGTAAACAACACGCCCGCGCGATTGACTTAACCAGTTTGGCCTCAACCTCGCCTACTACTAACAAACCAGTTGTTACTGTTGTCGGTGACATGTCTGGTAAGCACTTTCTTTCTACAAACTACTACATGCCTCAGACATTGACGGACTTGTAGACAATCGCAAAAGCTTCGGCCTCCCACCCAATTGGCCCCAGATGCCTACTGATACCGGCGCTCCCTCCTCTGGTTCCACTCGCCTAGATCCAGTTCTCGAGGGTTCAGTTGCCGACGAGGATACCTTCGAGTATCGCCAACAGCAACCAGTCGAGGAAGCGCGTGGTGTCGGCACTGGTGAGGATCTTGCACTCTCTATCATGACTTGTTGAACTGACACATCAACAGCAACACCAGCTATGTCCATCCCCGGCTCAACTGCTACGAACCCTCCAATGGATGCCGACGGCCGCTCACAGTCTGCGCCATGCACCACTGTGCGAGCAGAGCAAGTGAACTGGTTCGCAACCGCAACTTCCAACGACCTGTTTGGCTTTCCTCCAGTGGCCCAGCAGCTAGCCATGAACGCTGCCGAGGCCACACGCATCCTCCCCGACGATGCCACACCACCCGAAGGCAACACGGCTGTTTTCAAGCAGGCCAACCGGCCGCTCCTCCCGGGCGAGAACCTCTTCGAGGCGGTAAATCCGATCGACGACTGGCGCCGCTTTCACAACCTCCTCGGCGGCTTCATCCCTAATCCAGGCACGGAGGATAGGCCGCCTCCTACGTGGAACAAGGAGCCCGCAGGCCAAGACCCCGTGAGCGAGCCAGAGGTGCGGGACGACGGTGCGTTCCGACCGTACCGCCGGTCGCGTGGCGGTGAGGGCTATCGACGTCGGCGTCGTAGGGGTGCTGGTCGGGGCCGTGGTGGTCGTGGTGGTCGTGGCGGCCTTGAAGGCAGTCGCGATCAAGCCCCTCACGACGACGTCGTTGCTCATCGTGATTCACGCATGTTTGAGGATACGCACCTTTTCTATCGCGGATAGTCAGAGACTAGAGCCCAGTCGACTGTCAGCAGGGTTAGTGATGTGTGTCGATGTGGGCTGGGCGGTTTTGGCTAACGAGACACAGGGGAGGAGGTTTAACCTGGAGGCTGCGGGCTTTACACGGTCGGCTGGTTGCACGCCTAGCTGGTATCATGAGCACCACCGTGAAGAGCCTGATAACGAAGGAGGTGTGGCTGCCGCAGTCTGGATGGTGTCTTGAGATAAATGTCCTTCATCGATTGTATAATTAAGGAAGAGATCCCAAGGTTGCTCCGGGTCAGTGTGCTCCCTCATGGGCGAATTCGGCATCAGGCGATTTCTTTTATTTTGCATCAGGTTCTTTCTCCACCCACTTCCATGTTCCTCACGATTACCTATTCTGCAGGCTCAAGGAGCGAAAGAGCAGAATCGATCTCTCCGATGGCACCCTTCTCGAATACATCAAGCCGATACGACCCCTGATAACTTGATCTTGGAGCAGTGTGGAGGTCTTCACATGACTACTGTATTTAGCTTGAGTCTCGCTATTACATTGAAGGTCTCTTAACTGTATTATGAAGGTTCACTCTATCTCTTGCTAAATCGCTCTCCGATACAGTATGGATGGGCCATTTGAGGTGCACACAGTCTATGAATCTAACCAAGGCGACGTCAAGGGTGTACATATTCAATTGTAAGTGGAGGTTTCCCGTGGCGTTTTCTAGATCGGATATGGCGAATGGTAATGTTGATATAGGGAATGAGTTCCAGAAGACGTTTAGCCAGACTTGTGGTGGTGAGTAATCACGCCGAGGCCCCCACTAGTGATGCATGGCGCGCTGCACTTGCGTGCTGACATTCTAAGCCAGAGAGAACAGCCTGCTTACATGCCCATTATTCAGCGACCTTATCCCCTACCCTTACTCAACGCTCATGCGAATGATAGGTTATGGGATATGGACAGCGGTTTCACGCCGCAAATATGCGGGGTTGGAACTAAACAATATACGAAGACGAAGACCTCGAGGAGAGGTATAGATATCTGGAGTCGTACAGGTTTTCAGCACATTGCAAACACACCTGCGTGCTTCGATCATCCATCATGGCCAAGCTCATCACCGTCTTTGGATCCACTGGCAATCAGGGTGGCTCAGTAGTTCGAGCTATCCTAAACCACTCTCAACTATCAAATGAATGGAAAGTCCGCGGCATCACCAGGAATCCAAACAAACCCGATGCGCAAGCTATGGCTGCACAAGGCGTTGAGATGGTCGCAGTAGGTAGTCGACTGTAAAATCGAGAGGAGGTGCTCACGCTGACCTCCACAGGCGGATCTCAACAGCAAGGAATCCATTCTCAGCGCCATCAAAGGCTCTAATGCCGTCTTCGGCGTTACCAATTACTGGGAAAAGGCCTCTCTAGAGCACGAGGTTCAACAAGGCAAGAACCTAGCCGATGCCGCTAAAGAATCCGGTGTCGAGCACCTTATCTGGTCCTCTCTACCCTACGTCTCCAAGATCACGGCAGGGGAGTTGCATAACTTACACCACTTCGACTCCAAAGCCATGGTCGAGGAATACGTCAATCAGATTGGCCAGCCTGCCTCCTTCGTGTTACCAGCCTACTTCATGTCCAACGTTCCGGGATCCATCAAGCCTACTCCAAATGGCGGTCAGTATTCTCTTTCTTGGCTCTTCCACCCAGACACTCAAATCCCTATGCTCGATGTTCCACGCGACTTTGGCAAGTTCGTGGCATCCTGTCTCGCCAATCCTTCCGCGACGCTAGGCAAGCACACCCTAGCTGCATCGGGTTGGTTCACGCCGTTAGACATCTGCAATGTGGTAGAGAACTGCACCGGGAAGAAGTGTGTGTTCCACGAAGTTCCCGTTGAGCAGTACCAGGGAAGTAAAGAGCTGTTTGACAATCTGATGATGATCAGGGAGTATGAGTACTATGGACCTAGCGCCCAAGATGGAGTGAAGAGCAGTCATGAAGTCGTTACCAAGGTTGGGGGCTGGGAGGGGTTTGGGACATTTGAGAATTTCTTGCAAACGGTCGGCATCTGATACGGGTCGGCAATTTTCAGTTCTCGCTTTTGTGGTTCTATGGGATATGTAACGCCGCCCATGGTCTTGTTGTTGAGCTTCGGCGGAACGCGTAACACAGACATGACTCGAAGTTGTTGCTAAATACGATAATAGATACACTAGCCACGATACAGCAATTTGTCCAAACGTTACGCAAAACTCATGCGATGGGTCTCTTGTGATGGTTTCGATGACCTAATGAACATACCCCGCAAATGTCAGCGTCTTGGCATCTACTTCATAATACCGCATGCAGCTTGTTTTCGTGGAGTTTTCGTAAAGCCCGAAGATCGCACCTCTGCCTCACCGATCTCCTTATGCGGATGGATTCACCGCGGAGGCGCAGTCTGCTGGGCCCCACTGAGCGAAGGATTGATCGCCAAAATTTGACTCGATCCTCTTAAATATGACTCGGTTGCAAAGATGGGTTTAATATAAAGCGTGCCGTCTTCCATTTTCCCATCCACACAAAGGACAAAGCGGTGTCATTCTCCTATTTCTCCAAAATTCTGAGATCACTGAGATGCGATACCTTCTCGAATCGAGCCTTAGCCGCTTGCTACTCTTGTGCGTCTTTTCAGCTTCCACAATATCCCATGGTGTCGCCAGTCAAAGCTCAGGTTATACCAACGGCGATGGCGCAGCACCAACAGCAACCATCGATATTGGTGTAGTCATCGGAAAGACCACCACACTGCCCACGGCAACAGGATCTGTAAATCAGTTCCTTGGTATCCCATTTGCACAATCCCCACCCGAAAGATTCTCCCCACCGCAGAGTCCCCCTCGTGCTGCCGCGCCCATCAATGCTACGACATGGAAACCAGCTTGCATTCAGGAGTTCCGCTGTACGTCCCAGAACGAAAGCTCCATTTCGAAACAAGAGCTAACCGCGTTAGATCCATTGGCAAGCGCGAACATGGTAAAACACATCTTCGATAATCCGTCGCCACTAGAATCGGAGGACTGCATGTATCTCAATGTCTATGCTCCGTCCACACCGGCGGGTGGCGCTGGTAGGCCGGTCTTGTTCTGGTTATTCGGTGGCTCGTTTCAGTTTGGGAGTGCGGGTAAGTGGATCTATCTCAGCCTTCCGATAGTGAGTTAAATACTTACTATAACTTCAGGGCTAGCACTATACGATGGCAGTTCTTTCGCCGCTTACGAAGATGTCATTGTTGTGACAACAAACTACAGAACTAATGGTGGGTGATTCGTCTTGGATGCTTTCTACGTCTCCTAATAGTTTGTAGTATTTGGCTTTCCAAGCTCGCCGGAACTACCATTAACAGGACATAATCTCGGATTTCTCGACCAGCGCTTTGCTCTCGATTGGGTGCAGCGGAACATCCATGCTTTTGGCGGTGACCCATCCAAAGTTACGCTCTTTGGCGAGAGCGCAGGGGCTTGTAAGTAACATCGGTGTACGAGTTTCAGGCACGGGATATACTAACTTATCTTGACCTTTAGTCTCCATCGATTCGCTACTTACAAGTTATCCTAAAGGTAGCTCGCCGCCGTTTCGAGCTGCTATCCTGCAAAGCGGGCAGTTTAGCTACCGCGCCCCTTCTCCTTCGAGCATCCCCGCGTGGTACAACCTTACGACACAACTTGGATGTCCGGGCACTTATAGCAGCAACTTGACTTGTGTTCGAGCAGCAAACGCGACAGCCATCAAGAACATTGTCGACATGAACTCACTTATCTTCAGTCCTGTGGCCGACAATGTTACACTCGTAACAAATCCAGCAGCGCGCCGCCTAAGCGGGGATATCGCGTTCGTACCGGTCCTAGGTGGAAACAATGCTCAAGAAGGACGGTAAGATCCTCCACGAAAAGTGATCATTCTTTTGCTGATGAAGTACAGAGTGTTCACTATGGGACAAACTAATGCAAGTACATTCCTGAAAAAAACCTTTGGCGACGCCGTTGTCGCATTCCTCCCCGCCATCGAAGCTGCCTATCCTATTGGCAGCAAGGGCATCTATAACGGTAATGACCAAAGTGCACAAATTGTCACAGATTTTATATACCAATGTGTAGGCAAACCCTATGTTTCGTTCGGATTATCTTCGTCTTCATTTCTAACATCATAACAGCCAGCAGCTCTATGGGCCGACGCCACCACTTCCATTGGGATCCCCGCGTGGCGCTACTACTTCAACGCTTCCTTCACCAACACTCAAGCTGTCCCCAATCTCGGCGTATACCATGTCTCAGAAATACCGCTCGTTTTCCGCACATATAGCCAAGTTAACGCAACTACCCAAGAGCATGCATTGGCTCAATTCATACAGGGCGCATGGGCTAGGTTTGCAAAGAACCCGTTGGCCGGGCCTGGATGGAATAAGATAGGTACCGGTGGTGAGGGTACTATCTTGTACGGTTCCTCTGACCAGATACGTGGCGGACTACTTCGAGGCCAAAACGCGAGTGTTGCGCATGGGGACTGGAATTTGGGTGTTCTTGGTAATGTGGGCAGTGTCATGGGAAGCGGTGTTACTGTGTTGCCTCAATCAGACCTGGACTTTAGGTGCAGTTTGTGGAAGCCCTTGTTCAAGTCTTTTGTTGGTGCGGAGGGAATGCCACCGTCTTTGTAGATGGACTATACTTTTGTTGGCTTCGACCGACTGGTATACTTCTCAGTTGTTGAGAACTTTGTATTATAATAAAATAGCATAATATTACCGAAGGCTGGGCTTCAACATTGAAGCTCACCTTAGAACTGAGCTTTCTTTTCCGAATCGCAACAATGGAATCAACTTTAGAGTAGAGTTGGAGTAGATATAGTTGAAGGAAAGATAGGAGGAGGAAATCTAATACGGAAGCCTCAATCCTTCCCGTGTTCCCACAGTTAGATACCAAAGCGCCTTTAATGATTCTCATAAGTACTATTGGGGAAATAGCTCTTCGCTAGGCAGCACACACGACTAGGAAGCCAAAATGTATCAGATGCTTTTGAGACGTAACATGCATTTTGTTGCAACACCGCTTTTACGATTTGCAGGGAGCTTCCGAGCTTTACAGCTTATTCTTCTCTCTCGTAACATGCATAACTAATTCGATCGAGTTATTCTATTATGCGATCAGCCTTGGAATGTGCGGTTTAAGTGGCGTTGTGGCTTGACCTTGTGGCGGATAGCCGAAGTTCGGTGCCGACGAACTTCGTTTCTGCACGTTGCCCATATCACTCATATCTACGACCAATTCACACCGCGCATACTGCTATTGGGAATTGATCTAATTCTACCATTATAGGAGCAATGCCTGACGTGCAGCCATGGCATTCGTTACCGCCCGACCTAGTGGAGCTTCAGATTGGCCAAATCGATCTTTTGATGGCGATGTACCCCGACGAGATCGTTATTGAAGAAGACTGCGAGCGGGATCTCGATGCTTTACGCAAAGCCATTGATAACAGCTCTAGTGTTGTCTCCAATGGCGCGCAAAAGATTGCAATAACCCTTGACTTACCAATCGCTACGTCTGGAGAAGAACCATCATGTCCCAAAACGTTGCGTTTAGACCTCAGTGTGCCATTTGTTTACGAAGGCAACACACAACCGCAGGATCCACCTGAGATCAAAGTCCGAATACAGCAACCATCATGGATGAGCAGAGCAGCAACAGCCAAGATCATGTCACAATCACCAGAAGGCGAGGATCTACTAGGCGTCATCGAGCATATCAAAGAAACAGCCGCGCAACATCTCATAAACTCCGATAAGAAAGTGGACGATGCTGATGCCGTCACCACTGGTAATGGGCCTCTTGTGCGAGTCTGGTTTTACTTTCCCTCCATTAGCACACGCTCCAAACGCGATGACTTCATCAAGTACGCACCATCCTACAATCTCACTGGCTTTCTCTACGCTGGCAAACCAGGTCTTCTCTGCGTCGAAGGAGATTCGCAAAGCATCGATGACTACATGAAGTTCATTAAGACGGAGAGCTGGGGCGATATTCCTGCGCACCACAAAAAGGTCAGCGAGCGGCATCGGGAGATTTGCGATGAGAGGGTCTTCAAAGAAATGACTGAGATTACGGATACAGTGGGTGAAAGGCGAGGCCAAAGAGCGAACAGAGGTGATATGAAAGCCGTTGAGGAGTGGCTTTTGGAAAGAGGTCTGGGTGATGCGTTCACGAAGGTGCTCATGTGATGAGCTGCAATCGAGATGGGAGCACGATCGATTGCCGGTCATACTGGTAGCTAAAACTACGGATGTATTGGTCATTTAAGAACCCTCTTACTTCACCTTCTTTCGCATTCGGGACCATACTAGCCCAACATATCTACTACGCGTCATTTTGACGGGAAGAGACAAGCTTGCCCCATGGTGGGGGTGCTACCAATATCTTTTCATTCCTGGTCTAGGCGACACGACCCTCTTGGAGAAAGGATTTTAAGACTCGGTGACAGGGTATTGTGCACCTGAGACTCTCGGCTGTATAGCAAACGACCAGAGCGTTGAAAGGTCACACCCGCGCAGTGAATGACCTCTCTCACTCACTATGATGCTACCGCTAAAACAAACGCCCGAGACGACCTCCATGAAATATAAAAATCTTTTCTAGAACCCCCACATCCTTTTCGCGCGTCAATCACTACTCGAACTAGTCTAACACCACCACGTTTGCAACCATGTTCGAACCTATGCAACCTCCTCCGCAACGCCACCGCCACCGTAGCGGCCGATTTGCCCAAGCCATTGCCGCAGCTGCACAGCGAGAGGAAAACGAAGCAAAGGCGCGGGAAGAGGAAGCTAGGGCTGCAAAGGTGGAGAGAGCGAGGATTGAAATCGAAGAAGAGATCAAGCGGAAGCTAGCTAGCGACAGCGATGAGGAGTACGAAATAAATCCACGATACGGAGTATGGGAGGCACGCCATCTTAAAGTGGAGGAGGAAGAGGAGAAGACGTCTGGATGGGTGAAAGCGTTGTTGACTTTCGGAGGAGAATGTGCTCGAGAGAAAGGGACATGGAAGGCGGTCTGCTTTACGTCGGTATTGACCGCTGTAATTGTGGTTTTTGTGTTCTGGATGGAGTGGCTATGAGCACCCATAGTCCACCGCTCCCAAGGGCATGGAAATTTTGCACCACTGCTCAGTTCTCTTTCCATAACAATGAGTTAAAGTCATGTATAAAGAAACTCTGTTATACGTGTTCTATTCACATTAGAGCTAACGCCTGAACTCCGGATACTGTTACATCATCCATGCGTAGATCCAACGGGTTTGGTTCAAATGCAGGGTATACGCTCTAAATCGCGCTCAATATAACCAAACGCCGGATCATCGACCACAATGCTACCCTAGATGGGATGTTCAGAACTGAATACCAATCGTCCGCGAGCGTGAACCTCCTTAAATCGCCATGACAGACTCTCCACCATCACGCGTAACCCTCATCCTGATGTTTACTTTCAAAAGACGGCCAGTAGCCTTCCTAATATTGCCATCGTCGTTCTTGCCAAGCGCGGTATTTGGAGAGTAGATGAGAGCTTCCCCTGTTTTAAGACACTCAATCTGCTGCATGATGGCCTTGTCGTCATCCATCGCACTAATGTGTTTCTTCAGAGCGGCGTACCAGGTAGGACTCGTGAACCGATGGACGATCGTAACGGAGCAGAGTGCGATGAGGTCCGTAGATACGGTGGGCTCTTGTGTAGAGATGACGACACGGGCGCCTTTGTGTCGTTGAAGGCGAACCAGTGTTGCCAGGTAGGCAGTAAGACTTTTCGAGCCAGGGTTGTCTAGCATATACTGAAAGATTGATTAGCGATGTCATGTAAATAAAGCGTCAAGGGAGTGGACCTTATGTGCCTCGTCGAGCACCACCATCTTGCCAGGCGTAGGAGATTGCATGTATCGTTCAAGACAAAGCTTGAAGAGTATGCATGCTGTATGAGGAGTCACGAAGGGGTCAGAGAGGTCGATGATTGTGATCTCGCCTTGCCGGAATTGTGGTTCTGGGGCCTTGCCCGTCTTATCCAAGAAGGATTCTAATAAGCCCAGTCGCATCTCGAGCATGTTGGTCTGTTTGGGGTCGAAGTTTTCCATAGCTAGTCTCTTCTTGAAAAGGTCGTAGTCAAAGACGCCTTCTTTGGTTTCCGTTGCGATAGCGCGTAGGATGCTCTCAACTCTAGCCATGTAGAGAGGGACCTCTGACTTCTCGTTAACCGCCATGAGGGCCATTAACGGTCCGATATCTAGCGCCTTAGCCTTGAGTTTAAATGGGATAACCTCAACGTTAGGAAGTCGCGCGTAGATCCTATTGATCGCAGGATTCGAGGGTGAGGTAAGTACCGTGATCTTCTTCACGCGATGGCCAGGAAATGATTTGTTTGCCGCCGCAAGAAAGGCTACTTCGCTGATGTTGAAGCCCAACCCACCATTACTAAACTCGCCATAGTTGAAAACCAAAGCGGAGACAGGAGCTTTAAGATAGCCGAGATATGGAGAAGAGAGTAGGGCATTCTCGAGCATCACAGCAGTAGTATGACTCTTTCCGCTCCCTTGAACTCCACAAATGAATGTAGAGAACGGAACGTTGGTGTTCTGGAATATCTTAGTATACGGCGCGTCTGCACCTTCCGTATAAGAGCCAAGGAAGCCGTATTGCGGGACAAGGTCCTCCACATGGGCGGAGACAATATCACCGGATAACAAAGGAGCGTTCTCAATATCTTGGCTCATGCCAGTGGCCACGCTCTTTTGAGAAATTAGTTGGTCCATCAGGCTGAAATCAGGCTTCGTGGTCATGCCGTTGAGCTGATCGGCAACCATGTCTTCCGGGGAGCTTTCGGATCCGGAGTCCGCTGCACTGGGACTTAGTGACTGCATCTATTATTAGTAATCGATCCCTCAAAGAGAATGAATGAATGCTGGAAGATGGTTACCTGCTCAGAAAGTTGAAGGTCCCGTAACTGCCTCGCAACAAAAGCAGCGTCTTTCTGTGACTGCACTCCCTTTACGCGTGTCGGGGGAGCTATTGGTTTCGCGTTTTCGAGAGAGAAGGTGAAAGGCATCCCAGAGAGTGGGGGAAACGTCTGCGCAGAGTCTGACGGCTGGCTCTTGGTATTGGGTGTGGGCGTAGGTGTGGCTTTCAAGACGACTTGCTGGGGATTTTTGACAACCTGCTGGGTTTCTTTGGCAACTTGCTGGACTTCTTTGACATCGATAGAAGGTTGAGCCCCGGCCTTGGGGTAGGACTTGTGAGATCTGTCCTTTTGGACTAGATTTGGGTCTTTGAGATAGAATGCATGTCCTGGTCGTCTGCGAAGACTAGGGAGCGTGAGCAGAGGCTTCCAGTATTCGAAAGATTTCTTCTTACTCTTGCAGCGTTTTCTTGATCTCTTTTTCTCTGTCAGGGTTCTTCTGGGTGAGCAGCTGTGCGAAGGATTTCCAGCCGATGAAGCCTTGATTGACAAATCCCTTGTCATGATACAGCTGGTGAATCCATTGTTGTAGCTCATTCTCCATGGTTGGACCCGGGACCTGATGTGTCGGGGATAGAATGTCTGCCTTATCCTGGGGATAGATAGGTGTGCTCGACACCGTCGATGTTGTCTCCTGGTGCGCTGCAGGTAGTGTATCTGCCTTAGCCTCGGGGTAGATAGATGTGCTTGATACTGTCGATTTAATCTCCTGATGCGCCAATGTGCCCTGTTCTTGGAGCCTGTTAATTATTAGTTAAACACTACATTGCGTAGCCCATCCCTGTTGACGCACTCTTTCACAACCTTCTTTCGTAGTGTCTTATTAAGAAGATCAGTTCTAGCATTGGCGAGAAGCGCGTGAGCATGGGAAGGATCTCTAAATCGGCCTTGTGCGTCCCTCTCGACGTCTTTACAAAGGTGCTAGTATGGTCAGCTTGAAGGGAATGCGCCAAGCGCCGAGGAACTCACAGTACAGATCTCTAGATTGAGCCTAAAGCACGTCAGATAAGAGCGGGGTTGCAGATAGGGAGTATTCACTTCTTGAGCCCATCATCGATCCCCTGGGTCTCGTTTGGGCGCTGCTCGTGGAGGATGGTTCGGAGTAGCTCCAAGTCGACTTTTCCTATCGGTTGACGATACCAGTCGCAAAAATGGTCGTGATACGCGGTCCGCACCCACTTTTCCATTGTAACTAGTCGTTGGAACTTGTGAAAGGGGAGCCAAAGAAAAATCTAGATGTTTAATAGCAGACTGATGAGTGCGGCTGTGCGACAGGCAAATGATCTGGAGCGCGTAGCGCAACTACCAGTATGAGGTACGTGCAGTGCCCCTGGTCTGTCTTTCGCGATTCCCGGCAGCTCGGCATCCCGTCACCTCCACCTTCACGTTCTCTGTAGATATGTGTATTCTAGGAGGTGCAGTGTCTTCGCGCAACTCTCTAGATATCAGCAGAATTTCCCGCATTTCTATCTGAGTTTTCATTATTGCTTGTGTGATAGTTTAAAAAGTAGTTCTTGGGCTAGGCGCGTTGACGCGTCGACGCGACGACGCGTGTTAAACTTTATTTTTCCTACTTCTTTTTTTTTGCATATTTTCCACCAGCCCTTCGCCCTGTTGTAACACGTTGGGTGCTCTTCGCACACACCTTCACATGGCATCTAGTGTTGCCTACCATAAGTTAGCTAATAAAAGCTTGCTATGTAAAAAGGCTCGACAATGGCTTCTCTGCTTTGTCCGTCACGTACGACGAATATGCAGGGGTCTGAAACGACGGGAAAATGATGAGACGAGTGCGAGATACAGTTTTGATTGGGTAGTCTGATGGGTCATGTCATTTTCTGGTCTTGTAGAACCCCTGCAACTTTCCGTTGGAGGTGGCGTGTGCGATATAGTAATGTGTGTTCGACTATGAACATCGCGGTGCGAAAGTTACGGCTGATGGATTTGTTCGCTTGCCCAAGGCAAACTTCGGTATCTACTAGTACTCATGCTCTTGAATTCCTACCCGGCAATTCATCGTTCTGATGCACCGTTGTTTTCACGACTATGTGACCTGCGTTCTTTGCAAGCTCTTCCTGGCTACTATGCGTATCGTTCCAGAACATGTCGGGCCTATCCCGTTTCGCTCGTCCATTTGAACTAACTAAACTCTTCATCTTGATCTCGTCGGTACCCTGTTTCATGTACCCTTGAGCGTTGTATGATGCCTTCTTGGATGAGTTCATGCGTTTACGAATGAGGACGGCGAAGGCGGGAGAACATCCGATGATGATGGCTACGACGGAAGTTAGTCAAGCTCTATTATTGAGCAATCGGTGTAGGCTGGCGTACCCATAGAGCATTCAAGAACTGTCCACAATAGCATCCACTTTGGTTCTGGCGTCCTGGTTTTGCCGCGGCCATCGACACCAAGTTGTACGACACGGAGCGTGGCGAAGGCAATACATATGAACCCGGAGCCGAAGAGAACAAAGACGCCCATCTTCTGGGCTTTCGGCATCTGAAGATTCCACGTCAGGCGGATTGGCAGGAACATGACTATCATAAATTAGCTTGATCGCAACGACTAATGGATGATACGTGACGTACTTGCGAGATCGGTCGCAACATCGACAGAATAAGCGAAATATAAGCTGAAGATGATCCGTTGATCTTCGTTGGCTGTGCCACCGCATCTTCCTTTAGAAAACTTTTCCTTAAGATTGTTGCAGGTAAAGATGCTGCTAAAAACACTTCCAATCCATGACTACGATGCAGTTAACAAGCCATAAATGCAGGAGGAAGATGGCAACAACTGACAATCAGACAGAAAGCAACGATACCCCACCAAATCTTCCAATAGACACCCGCGACTCCAGCCAACAACTTGCGATAAAGTGTCAACAGGGACATCTTTACTGCGAACAAGAGCGTATAGAAGCACATCTGACCCGCTGTGATGAGCCTCAGCATAGTCGCCCCATCTGCCATCATCGTCGCGTAAGGTTTCCTTTCGCCCCCTATAACTGCATATACCCTGAACATTGGAGGGACGACCAGGATATAGCAGCTCCATAATGCTACGTAAAGAGCGTAGGAAAAGTAAATGAAGAGGTCCGGTAGCTCGAGAGTCTTTCGCTTCGAGATGTGAAGGGCCGCTCGCGAAAGGATAAAGATGGACGTTAGGACGAGCATGGCAGCGTTGGTACGCACCAGCTCGTCTCTAGTGATGGGTGTCTTTGGTGCCGCAGCCATAGCGAATCGAGTGCGGTCCGGTATGAATGGAACGAGGGGACGATGCACCAACGACCTCCGCGGGATCACGGTGGCATACTCAGGATCTAAACATTCTAACGGAGTTGATATCCAAGAAGTCCTAGACCGCAGGAGTGACAGCAACCCTGAATTTACACATGTAGACGGGTCATGAGGGGCCCTAGCAGGCTCTCGATCCCAACAACAGGGCTTACCACTCAAGACACTGGCAGGTAATAGCTGTGCTCCGATAACCGTAATATGGAACAGAAACACGGCTGCCCTTCGAGCAGGGTTTGGAGCCAATAGTTGGTACCTGCCAAGCTTGGCTGCCGAAGCGTTCGACATTGGCATTCAGGGCATTCCACGTGCCTTGTAAAAAATCCAAGAGGATTACTTCGAAACGTGCCTTTTCTCTATCTCACAAACGCTGCAACCTTAGAGTATGTTGTCTTCGAAGTGTTGATACGCCAAGCTTGGTTTCGTTCTTGCAAGTCAATCTGGACGTAGTTCCAAGTTCAGGCATTGCTGCTCCCTCAAGGCACGCAATCCACTAGAAGGATTGTAACTGATGCGACTACCCTTGCTCAATTGTGAATAGGTTCGATAGTGAGACTTGGCCCAGATCCCCATTGGCTATAGCGCCGAAAGGATGCTGGCAGTTGCCTGGAGGAATGACTTGTCAGACATTGTGAACCTTTTGAGGCAGGAGAAAACTCTTCATATTACTAGCAGGTCTGATTTTGGCCCTAGGTGTTCTTTCCTTTCCTCGCCAGCGCAAAAGCTGTGGGGTGAAAGATGTCCCCAACGCCGCACACGAAGTGGACCCTTAGTGGGGCGATGCGTATGTAAGGGGCGTATAGGTTGTCAATCACGGACGGCACGCCCATGGCCAGCGGCCCGTTCTTAGCACGGAACGGATAGTCGTTTTGAGCATGCTGCATCATTTGAGGCGGTCTTGCTAGGATGGTGCTGCGGTGTCTTCCTTCGTCTGCGTTTAGCGTGCACGTGCCCACGTAATCCAACCACTCGAAACCAGAGATGCCATTGCTCATCCGCCAGTATTCCCTTCTACATTTCGTTGGACTGTGAATTTCTGTGAGGATGTTTACGCACTAATCCGCTAACAAGAGCAAAAAGCAACTCACAGCTCATCAATACCGCGGAATTGTGCTCACCATCCTAGTCGCGACATGCGTTAGCTCTCGAAGCGAGTTGAAAGGGATTCCCATCAAAAGATCAGGCCCAACGCACTTTAACAGATTACACTTCGTCACCGCCTCTCAATCTCCAACGTTTACCCCCTACCCATGAACATTTCCTAACCCGGCATAATGGTTCATGGCAACGGCAAGCGAGCTGTCTCGGCGCAATCTCATCCCGCATTCACCAATCGCTATCCGCGGATGAATGTCTTGAGCCGATAATAAAATAAATTGAAGGGAAGCTGCACTGTATTGCATGCCCCGTTGTCTGTTCCTTGGATCACGTCAGTCAGGTTCCTGGTTTTACTATTCACACAACACAACCCAGGATGAAGGCCTCCTCCTTCTTTGCCATTGGCGCTCTCACTGCAGGGGTGTTTGCTCAGGAGGGTATCTTCGAGACGGCAGATTTCAACATCACCGAGGCCCTCATTGTTAATGGTGTCAATGTCTCTGCTATTCCCGAGCTCGATTCTTTGGTGGAGCGTTCCCTTTTCAGCGGATGTTCGATCGCTGTTCGTCTCCGAATGTCACCTTTCACTTCCTGGTCAAGTTACTAACCACCTCTAGTGTTCTGCTTTGAGCACCATCTACGGCAGCACGAAGCTACTATCCGAGGGGACGTCGACTTACGATGCCTTCACTAGCGGCTATTGGAGCGCTCAACAAGGCACCGTTAACCCTCGCTGCGTCTTCAAGCCGACAACCCCTATTGAAGTATCTTCCCTGGTACTACTGTCACGCCTTACCCAATGCCCCTTCGCCGTGAAGGGTGGCGGCCATGCTGCCTTTGCTGGTGCATCAAGCATTGATGGGGGCATCACGGTGTCAATGGAGACCTTCAAGAAAGTTACAGTATCCAGTGACAAAAAGACTGCAGACATTGGTCCTGGAAATCGTTGGGTGGATGTATATACCACGCTTGAGAAGTCTAGCGTCGGTGTTGTAGGTGGCCGCGTAAGTCTTTCCCGATTACCGTAGAGCTCACGCTGACATATTTCAAGATGGCCCCAGTCGGTGTTCCAGGCCTTTTGCTCGGTGGAGGCATCTCCTTTTTCTCTAACAAGCTTGGATGGGCCTGCGACAACATAGCCAGTTACGAAGTTGTTACGGCATCAGGCATCGTAGTTACTGCCAGCGCCACTAGCTTCCCAGACCTCTACTGGGCCCTGCGAGGAGGCGGTAACAATTTCGGTATCGTCACTAACTTCAAGCTGAATGCTTTCCCTCTGGGCAAGATGTGGGGTGGCCAGCGTATCTACACCGAGAACAACTTTCCAGCAGTCCTTGATGCCATTTATAAATTTGCGACTGTAACCTCTTCGCAGGACACTGACGCGGCACAAATAGTTGTAAGTCTTGGCTTGAACTTCGTCGACGAGTATGGTGGGTTAACCCTTCGCGCAGTCATTTGGAAGCATTGCACAGCTCGGCAAGATTGCCATCGTTCAGATGCACTACGCTCAACCCGTCTCGAACGCGTCCGTATTCAATGACTTCAACGCCATTCAACACGTCCAATCCAATACCGCCGTCTCCTCCCTCGCGGACCTGACGATCAAAATGAATGAAGGCGCTGCAGACGGCCTCCGCCAAACACAATGGGACGTCTCCTTCAAAGTCAACCGCGATCTGTTCACCTTCCTTATCAACACGTTTTACACCCTTCTTCCGGACGTTCAAAACCTACCTGGTGCTTTCCCAACAATCTCCATCCAAGCCATTACCGCTGGCCAACTGAAGGGCATGCAGAAGAATGGTGGCAACGCACTGGGTCTCGATGCTGCAAAAGGCCCCTACTTTATAATGAATATGAGCTCAAGATGGAAGAATGCGGCGGACGATGCTGCTATTCTCAAGTTTTTCAGCACTATCATCAAGCAGGTCAAGGCGGAGGCGCAGAAGAAGGGCCTCGACAATGCTTACATCTACATGAACTATGCAAGCCAGTTTGAAGACCCGATTGCAAGCTACGGAGCAGGAAACGTAGGGAGGCTGAAGCAAGTCTCTGCGCGATACGACCCAGCAGGCGTGTTCCAGAATCTGCATCCGGGTCACTTCAAGTTGGTGAAGGGCCCGCCAAACCCGAACATGCCGTAAGCACAGCACAAGTTATTGATAGACATGATGGTAAAAGAGGACATGCATATGCGCAGGGATTAATAAGTACAATACATAAAAGTACAGAAAATACTACGTAATGTTTTAGAAGACAACACTCACAGCCTTGACCGCACTTTCAACCCTCTTTCTACCCGCGTATCCAATCCTTCAAACTGGCCATAGAAGAGCGCCGTCTTCTCCTCGAGCCGGTAACATCCAACGGCACGTCGAGGCTCATCCGTGGACTATCTATACTTCTCCTTCCCTTGTGCTCTGTGTCGACCACTACAACGACCACGGTGCAGTTGTCCGCACCTCCCCTCAACGCCTCTCTGCTCGTCAGTTCTTCGGCAATGTCTTTTGCTGCTTTGCCTTGGTTCCACCGATCGACCGCCAAGCGCGTGACTTCCTCTGCGTCCTTGGCGTCGCCCACGCCATCGGATGCGAGAAGGATTAACGACTGGCCCTGCAAATGTCGGATACTGGAGTGTGCTTTGTTTGATACGAGGTTCTCCTTGACTGTCTTGCCTGGTGCAACGCCCGTGTGCACTCCCGCCAGATCCGACAGGTCGTGGCCTGCGAGCCGATTGACGCGGGGCTTCTTATACTGGACGTCGCCCAGTGCGCGCGCCATGCTTACACCGCCAATTCGCGGTATGCCTGTGATGTAGTTGATTTCGCCGCCTGCTTGTTCGATTCTCTTTCTTTCCTCTGGGTTATCCGGCGCGTGCTCTTCGCTTAGTACTTCGACTTTCCAGCCTTCCTCACTGATTGCGTTGCCGTCATCACTACTTCCGCCAACGATGACGGAGTCGAACTGGTGCTCGGAGAAGACGACGTGTGAGTCTCCCAGATCTACTTCAATAAGGACACCCTGTTTGGTGTCGATGAGTGCTAGAGCTACCGTCGACCCGCCCCTCAGGTCCGCGCGATCCAGGTCCTTGTCCACAGCTTTGATGGCCCGCTGAATCGCTTGCTTGTACTCCTCTGGCTCCAGGGTTCTAGACGTCGCTGCGAACTGTTGCTCGATATGTGTCACCAAGTGCTCAGAGACATAGTCCACCGTCTCTGTGCCGCCGCTAAACTCCCATTTAGAAGACTGTTGGATGGGGGGGTTATAGATGGAACAGAAAGAGACCTACTGGCCGTCATAGACTGCGAAGAGTCCGACTTCTTTCCGCGACTTCAGTTGTCCTATGTTGAGCGCACAATAGCGATCCTCCTGATCTGCTCGTGATCCCAGAATCTGTGGGGCCCCAGACACGAAGTTAGCCCTGGATCTGCGGCACGCGACAAAACAAGGAACGCCCATGCACTTGTACGCACCGTGCTGACACCGTAGTCGACGATGTTTACTGAAGGCATTGCTTTTTCGGGCTCTCAACAAAGTCGATATTGGCTGTCCTCTTTGCTCGACTTCACGTCTGCTATATCTGCCTGCTCCGTCCGCACTGCGTTTTTTCAGCTTTCCGCTTTGGGTCGGCAAGAGGGGCTGGGCGAAGCGATTAGCGACCACGCGACATGACGACGTCATCGAGCCAATACCACAACGAGGAACTTATATCGCGCGGAGTAATTGGATCCACAATGCCTCTGTACAGCCTCAATTGCAATAATTCTCTCGTGGGTCTGCTTGCGTTATTTGCATGTGCTTGGCCGACAAAATACCGCATGCACCTATTAGGCATCAAAACTCTTCAAACCACTGCGGCCGCCCAGCCATGACGTTGTTAAAGAATTGCTTGGTATCCCTTTTCTTAGATTGAAACAGGTTTGTAGACTGCATAGTGCAATGTGGAGTGCTTTGCAGTATGAGCAAGTGTCCCATGTTGTTTCCATCTCAATATCAGATCTCAAACACCATCCACGACATGCCGACCAGGCGTGTGGTGTCCAGCCATAGCTACAGCCATCGCCCGTCGCTCATATCAAACGAAAGGTTCTCCCTACCCCTTACTGATAGCACTGGTATTCATCCACTCCTGTCTGAGCTTCCTCCAAACCCCATCACCTCTGAAACCCCAAGCCCACTTCTCCTTCTTCAAGTCATCCATAGTCTCCTTGAGAAAGGCTTCTTCCTTCTCAAAAGCTCCGTCATCTTCTCTCTTTGATCTCATCTTCCTCACCTCAGCCATCAACTCCTCGCAAGCAATGTCTTCACTCATCGTCTGTACCACCACATCGCAACATTCCTCAAACTCCAAGCCATATCCATATACCAGGTCCTTGACCGTCTCTATGGCTCTCCTGTCTTTCCGTAACCATTGTAAAAGAGAGTCTGGTTTCTCAAATGCATCCACACCCTCAATCTCAACCCTACACATTGGGCACGTCCGATGCGGGTACTTCGCCTCATCAATCTTCGGCGTGACCATCCACTGCGCGAGGCACGCTTTGCCGATGATGTGGCCACAGTGTTTGATGCGGACGGGGTAGTCGGCGAGAAGCTCGGAGATTGGAAAGGCGGATAGGTCGTTGTAGGAGGATTGACATATGGGGCAACAGCCGGCGTTGTCGTCGATGGTGGAGGGAGTACTAACTGTTGTGAGGACGGAGAGCGGTATCGCGCAAGCAAACTGGTCGACTTTAATCAACCGGGCTTTCTCGAAAATTAGTTCCCTGGTTTCTTCTATTTCGGCATCCATGGGTGCTGCGCGGTGGGTACGTGCGGTGCGAATTGCTGCAAGCTCACTGACATCCTTTAGATGCTCCGCAAAGTTGAGGTGTAGAACCAGCGCGAAGGCTGCCTTCAGCCGATCCTCTGGCGATGTGAGTTTGCAATGCGTAAGCGCCATATACAGCTTCTCCATGTCCTTCCCCGACCACTCGCCCTCTCCGCCAGCTAATTCTTTCTCGACTGCAACTCTAAACATTCTCATCTCGCGCTCTCGACCAAATAGTTGGTCGTGACAGTCCAAGATACCGAAAAGCCAGTTGCGAGCTTGAAGTGCTTCTTGGACAAGCTTGTCATCGGTCATAACATTGAGTCGCGAAGTGGGTGACGAAGAAGGGAAATGCTGCTGTTCAAGTTTTCGAATAGCATCGGATGAAGTAGGTAGTATGCTCTTTGGGTCTTTATGCTCTTGCCCAAACTTTTGTAAACTTCGGAGGTTGCGCATGCGGAGACGGACGCGCTGATACACTATAGCAATCAGTCAACTTCCTTCTTGATGCGAGTTGATATCTGGATGCAGTTGTTGACTTACCCGCTGCGCTTGCTGGCGCATGCCTTGCCTGTGGTATTAGGTCCTCGATATTGACTGGCATGGTTGTGTGACTCTCCGCTGGCTTTGCGTGCAGTAGCTTTAATGCAATCATGGTGGAGTGGTCAAGTGGAAAGAGCAGGCTGGAGTGCAAGTGAACGCCAGTCGCGTGTACCTAGATCGGAGTGGGGCGGACCGTTTGCGCCCGACACGTGATTATGGATGCCTACCTCAGGTGTAGAAACACTGGACACAATATCCTGCAAACCATTTTGCCAAACCCAATCTTCAGATGGAGTCTTTCGTAGCCGTCACGTTGCAGTGGCGTTGTTGGGTCGTGAGTGTTAGCTAATAAGATTCAGAAAATCATTATGAGATATAAAGATATTCGTAAAGCTCAGTTAATCTAGAATACATCTGCTGCTTTCTGCCTGAGATGACTTTCGAACGATTCGAATATATGTAGCAACCATATCATTTCACCACGTTTCTCCTACAGTCCATGTGTCCATGCGGCCCCATACCTCTTTTAGACAGATGGCCACACTCAGGCCACGCACTTCTATCGTCCATACATAAGTCGGCTGAAAATGCCAACACATTTCTCGTACAGAGTAAATGGCTCCGGATCAGCTAGTATCTCATTCTGCGATAAGAAGTCAGTCCATGTCTTACGCGTAGTCAGAACTTGGATTTGGTTTGCTACCTTCAAGCATACCGCATTGTGTCGTAAAGCCCACAGCAGTCCAATCTGCCGACCACGCTCATTATTCGAAGGAAGAGGCATCCACTTCAACGGCTCATGCAGACGAGTTCGACAGTTGGGGCAAGTATAGCTTGAGGGCGAATCGCGATTCAGCAGCGGGTTTAAGCAATCGCGGCCAAATACGCACTGGCAGTTGAGTGGCATGACACATTGGGACCCTATATGCATATCCTGGCAAATAGTGCAGAACTCGGTCGTCGGATGGCATAGTGGCTTGGTGATTGCTGTGATCTCGACCGGGTCTCCATCCAAGCGGCGCTCGACGGCTTGGAAATGGTCGTCTCGCATACGGCTGAATTCTTGACTTATGAGGTTGAAGATCAGTTTGCTGTGGCGTCTGAAACACTGATCCTTAACATGTCGCTTGTATGTTCGCGACCGAGACATAGAACACGCTCGTGTCATTCTCCAGAGATAAAGTCTAATGCGAAGGGCAGCACAATAGGCGCTCAGTCTGCATTGGATACTCTCATCATCTAGCTCGACGATGGATGCGGTCTCTTCTAGGGCTTCTTTGTGACTACAAGAAGTCAGTGATCTTGCCACGAAAAATGCCTTGCGACTCTCTATCAAGTATGTTTTCCTGCAGAATAGCACCTACTCGAGTAAGACAAAGTACAACTGAAGTACGATAAGCGGCCACTTCTTCCGAGGCAATTGCTCAGCCTGGCGTATCAAACCCGAAAGCAGCTGACCAGTCGTACTCAGATACTTTCGAAGAGCAAACCATCGATCGAAAATATGCTGTGGGGTGTGAGAGTAGAACGAGTCACACAGGAAGTGGAAGAGCGGCTTGTCGGTGTTCTTGAGCGGTAGGATATCTTGAGCCCAGGTAGTGGTGGTTAGTAGCATCTCGACCTCTCCTACAGCGATAGCGTCTGCGTGATCTCTCAAGTTGTTTGATGCGCCAAAGGCATGACTGAACGACGTAACGTTTGCCGTCTCCGTCCTAAGAATACGGGTCGTTTCCTCTACGGAGAAGATGTGTCGTCCTAGTGGTGGTTCTGCTGGCAGGAAAAATAAGGTGCCAAAGTTGCGCATCTCATCTTGAGCAATTTGATCTAGCATGCTCACCGTGAAGATGGTTCGAGATAGTAGCTGTGTGGTCTCATAGTCAGGCAGCAGGAGTGGTGAAGCTGGATGAGCGAGCCACCCATTGTCGACAGCAGGCGCCTCTTGGCTATCCATGACATCGAATCCAGAAGACACATCCTCTGGACGGACCTCGATCGAGAACGTAACGGTGATGTGCAGCGCGTCAGTATGGGGTCGGGTTGATGGGGTGCGCCGTAGATGCATAGCGAACCAAGGAGCTCGTAATGTAATCGCTTAGTTGGGAAGAGGACGCCAGATGGGGTACCTTGAAACGGGGGAAGGGTGACACGGGCAAAAAGGCGAGTTGAATTGAGGTCGCTGGTAAACAGAAGCACGTGGTTGGATTGCTGAGGAAGGAGCGTCTGGCACCAACGACAATTCCTATGGCAGTGGCTCTTGAGCTAATACCGGCGCAAGTGGTTAAATATCTGAAAGATGGGCATGAAACAAATAGCCTACCATGACAAAGGAGGCCGAGTTATCTAAGTGGGAAAGAGGAAGCAAATAATGTCCCTCAACCCACAAATGGCAGCTACCAGGTAATGGATTTATGAAGACCACATCCACCAGAGCCAGAGCTCTAGACTTCCAGACCCACCGCTGATACCCATCCCGCTTTCTCGCGGGTACTCTCATTTTCTCCTAATCACTGTAATCTCCGGAGCCTTGCTTTTCGCCTTCGCCTTCGTCTTCCTCTTTGGCTCAGGCTTCACCTTCTTCCTCGGTTGCAGCGTGTTCACTTTCTGTGTCGCACTGCGCTTGACACCTCGACTCGGCTTGACCTGTTCCTCCGCATCCACCTTCTGTTTGCCTTTGCCCTTACTAGTCTCCGTGACCTCTTCCTCCTTGCTTTTCCGGGGTCCACGCTTCGTACCCTTGTCTGAACGTTCGCGACGGGCTTTGGGTTCAGGCTCGACAAAACCATGCTCCTTGATATAGTATATGACGTCGAGAGCAACGTCGCAGAACTCTTGGACTCCACGGATGAGGAGGAGAGGCTCCTTTCTGCTCTCAAGTCCTGCACGCCAGCGGTCAATGACTGCGAAAAAGATCTCATCAACGTCCGCATCCTTTGCATCTCGCATCTTCTCGTACTCTTCATCACCATGATTGTAGTTCTGATGGAAGTGACCGCGACCTAGTCCATACTCATCCCCGATCTCAAACTGCACGAACGCTTCGATTACCATCACGGCGATGGTGTGGAAGTTCAGCACCGCGGTAGCCGGAGTGGGATCGGGCTCAGCGAGAGCTTGTTGGCTTGGAAGGAATATGTTGAGTAAAAGGTGGACTTCTTGCTCTGAGTGATCAGCAGAGAGCAGGAGCTCCTCTCGTATCAAATTCGGAAGGGAGACTTTGACGCTGGGGTGGTCGTCTTTCTTGTCGTTAATTTGACGCTGCACTTCGAACTGTGGAAGTTTCCAGGACCCGATTTCATTCTCTGGCGAGGAAGAAGATGGCACGTCAATGGTATCTTGCACGGGCTGAGGGAGAAGACGTTGCATGCGCACTGGGTTCTGCACAGAGACCTGCTTAGACTTCGGCTTGCTGGCCACGAACTCAACATCTGAATCTTGACCTCGGTGTGCACCTGGCCGGATATACCTTGAAGATCTAATCTCAGGTGAATCATCGATGATAGAATCCTGGCTCACGACCGACGGATGGCGCTTCACACGTGTCCTTAGTGGCTCATCGTCATCGGAAGTACCACTACGCTCTTTGTTGAGCCGTGCTACGGCGACGGAGCGTTCGATAGTCGGTAAAACTGATTCTATATGCGCACCAGACTGCCAGTCGTCGGGCGTGAGAGGTATAGAAGGTGGACCAGGTACCCTGTAGCCATGCGATGAGACAGGGCGACGAGCTGGATTAGAAGGCATTGGACCGTTCCTTGCCCCATGGTGACCTGCAGGATGAAAGTCCATCGGGTATTGTTCGAAGCCAGTGTACTGATAGCTGCCCCGTGGAGTATCTCGATAGTCCATAGACACAGGAGGCATTTTTGGTATGCTCTGATCAAAATTGACTGACATCTGTCGACCACGCTGCTGTGACACATAGAGATTCTCTGTTATGTGTCTTCGCTGTTGCTCAGTATGCATCCGATTCTGACGTTGATAGTTTACCCCGAAATTAGGGTTGCGAGGATTGTCGACACTAAGAGGGGGTTGCGGATATTGCTCGGGATACATGTCTCTCCTGAATTGTGACGAGACGCGTTGGTATGGGGGTGTAGGAGTCGGCATTGAGTATCCAAGCTCTTCTCTGTAGAGTTGATTGCGCCCATTGAGCGCCGGTCTTGAAGTATGACCCTTGATCTCATATTCTTCTTCGTCATCGTCATCGTCCCCGTCATCGTCATCGTCCCCGTCATCGTCATCGTCCCCGTCATCGTCCTCGCCCTCACTATCCTCTTCCTCATGCTCTAAATCAGAGATTTCAGATTCTGCGCATGGATCATGAGGCTGCGACTGAAGTTCCTTATCGTGTTGTAAACCCTGCGGTGCCGCCTGTAACTCTTCGAATTGAGTGGCAGCTTCTAAGGGCCCCAGTAAGGTCTCACTAGGAACAGGCTGTTGAACTTCGTCACCTTGCAACCCTTCATCCATAACTTCGCCTAAAGGGCTTTGAACATCCTCTTCGTTCTCCCTGCGCTCCTTGATTGCTAGCTTCTTTCCACTTTGACCCACTCCAGAAGGCTCGCGGACAACCATGTCTGAAACCTGGTGGAAAGCTTCGTTGCTAGGGACATATATCGCATCATCGTCTGGACTTGCGGCGATATCCATTACATGCGTACTCGGGGTCGGCTTGATAGATTGGGACTTTTGATGCTCTACTGGTTCAGGCTCTTGTTTGATGAAGTCGCCTCGACTCGGTGTATGCTCAGAGTGAATCAGGGGCCTGGGGAGGTTCGTTTCGGTGTCGGTAGCGCGTTGTTCATAGCCCAGGGCCTTCTGGTCGTCTGGTGTAGAGGTTGAACGTGAAGGCACTTGACTAGGAAGCTGCTTTGAGCCACTATCTGGAGTTTGCTTTACATCCTCTGTGCTGAAGTCATCGATGATGTTGTCTAAAGACTCCCGGTGTAAAGGTTTTTCGGTGAGTTCAATAGAGTTCTGTTCTTCCGGGAGTCCGATTTCTGTAGAATCGTGGCCCTGGTGCTTGATCTTGAGTATCGAATGCTCCTGCGCAGTCATCCCAGGCTCTTTTCCCGTACTCTCAGTCCTATCACCACCACCTACGAGTTCAGTCGGCTTCCCATTTGCCACCAATTCGTGATCTTTACTTTGTAGCTGCTGTTCCGCCATTTCAGGTCCTTGCATGCAGTCGAGCTCACCGTCGGCGTCTCGGATATTGCTCATCTTGAGGGCCCTGCAGTCGCTTGAAAACTGGTCCTGCGGGTCTCCAACGTCTTTGGGGTCGTTGAAGAACTCCGTCTCGTTCGCTCCGTGTATTGACGTAGGAGTGAAACTCGTGGCGGCCTGGTGGCGGCGGAGGCCTACCCGAAAGGTGGTCGGGCGGGCTCTTGAAGATGCCGGCTCCCGTAGATATGTGACAAACCTGTAGTTGCTGAGAAGAAGTGTCGTTGAGAGTCGACAGTTGGTAGTATTGTCGGAAGTAGATTGTAAGAAAGATCGAGGACAACGATCGCGGAAACTAGGGACAGCCGGCTTATAAATCTGACGGCTGGCTAGGCTTATAATTCTTTGTGCTCACCTTTACCCAAAACTGTAATTGAGCGCTCTCTCACCTGACAGCTCGCCGCGGCGCGTTTGATTCGTTTGCGAAGTGTGACTTGCGTCGGAAAGGGGCGGGGATGCTCGAACAGGATGGTATAGAGGGGTCACGAGGGGTAGCCGCAACTGCTCTCGGAAGACGTATCTTTCACTCGGCCACAAAGATCAAGGTTCCAATTGGACACAGAATAACATGGCATATCCACAGTATGCGAGGTGTTTATGCATTGGAGGACCGATGTTAGGCAGCAGCGTCGCGCTGGATTGTGAAAGTGATGTTGACGTTGAAGGTCGGGGCTCAAAGGGCGGGTAGTCCAGAATATGAACTGTGCGAGAGGAAAGAGAAAAAGAAAGAGGAGCTGTGAGAGATTTAGTGACCAATTGCAGCTGCCATAGACTTGCAGAACTCACCAAATCAAGCGGAGGCAAAGTGTAGAAATTCGACACGGACATTTCCTTCATTTCAAAACCGTCATCATCACAAAACTAGGGATGTTCGGTACTGTTGTAGTTGATTTGTTCACGTAATTTCGTCATGTCCGATTACCAAGGTCTTGCAACAACCTCCTCACAAATCCATCGAACAAGGGGTATAACGAGCAGTCCCGGTACTTATCCACGAAAAGCCCTGCTTTCCCATCTCCATTGTGCTCCTCACTCCGGCTCAAGTCCTGGCCATCAATCTTGGTCCCCTCGGGATACTGCGGCCTGATACCCTCCTCCACCAGCATCACAAACGCTGGATCAATCGGCACACTGCCTAAGAAGGGAACCTCAAAGTCTCGAGCCATGATCTCTCCACCACCTTTGCTGAATACGTTGGTGCACTCGGAGCAGTTCGGACACACGAAGCCTGCCATATTCTCCACGACGCCTAGCACGCGAATCGAGGTTTTGCGGCAGAAATTGAGCTCTTTTTTGACGTCTGATATGCTAATGGCTTGAGGCGTTGTTACTATGACTGCGCCGGCGAGGAACGGTAGCGAGGCGGACGGGGTCGGCGAGGTGTTCTTGAGCAGGGTTTCGAGTAACGAAATGTGTTCATCGCTCGTCCCAGGTGGTGTGTCAATGAGCAGGTAATCCAGTTCCGGCCACAGCACATCGGTGAGGAACTGCCTGACCATGGCCGTCTTTTTTGGCCCTCTCCAGATGACTGCATCCCCTCTGTCCCTCAGCAAGAAGCCTAGGGACATGCATGATAGCGCTCCCACTTCGTGCCCCGCTTGCCCATTTGCCTCCCCGTTTGTCTGGGTCCGCGATGGCAGTGTCTGCTTTGTATGCACATCAACTGGCACCCATCCACCCGGTGCCTGCCTGACTTTGGCCTCCTCGATGCCAAAGAAGCGCGGTATACTCGGCCCCGTCAAGTCTATGTCCAGCACACCTACTGTGTGTCCTTGCAGCGATAGCGTGAGGGCTAATTGTGTTGTGATGCTGCTTTTGCCGACGCCACCTTTGCCGGAGAGGACGAGGATTATATTTCGCACATTTTCAAGTCCCATTGCGTAGACTACTTCGGGGCGAGGTAGAGGGTGCGCGCGAGGTGGACGTAGTGGGGGGATTGCAGCGTATATAGCGGGGTAAAGCGCTTTGCAAGTTTCAATGTGCGGTGTGGTCGATCAAGTTATCACTCTCAGTCTGGCGCGCGACTCCGGGAACGTGAGGCATGGGCAAGGGTAAGATGGTGAGAGAAGTGCATGGTGCGCGTGCTAGAGGTTGAACATTACGCGCTTTGAAATCGAACAAAGCGGCGGCTCTGCGGCGGCATCGGAGGTCCGCTAGCTTGGCACAAGTGCGAGCCATTCCAACTTCATGTCTCTAATTCCAACGGTCACATATCATGATTATCATCACCGCAACATCTCTAGAGCCCGACGTGGTTACGGCAGAAAGATTCAGATCAGAAAGGAGGATATGCATTCGGAATACATAAATTACATCCCCCATACAATCCCCAACTCCGCCATGATGTACGATTCAAGACGTGAATAAGAACAAACAAAAGAAAAGCGATGGGAGGAGCACTCCCTCCTATCCTACGTCGTATTTTCTAGCCACTGATCCTCTAAACTCCATCATCCCACTCACTTACACGCCGGCCGCGTAAGCACATCGCTACATGTCTGATCAGTACAGACCTTGTCGCACGCCACACCAGGCGCAACATAGACGTAGGGTTGCCCATCGACGTGGAACTGCTTGCTGAAATCCTTCGCGTTCCATGCACCCGCTGAATACCCGGCGCGGCAGGCGCAGTAGTACTTGCTGCCTCCAGTCGTCGCGCAGCTGGTGGTAATGTCACACTTGTTCTGGTCAGGGTGGAACGGATCGCAAGTCTTGGGACAGATGCCGGCAAGCGTGGCGCCAGTCCAATCAACATCCGAGGCCAGAACCGATGAGAATGCAGGCGGGGGCACAATTTGGGTGACGAAAGTGGTCTCGGGAGCCTCTGTCACAGTTGGCTCAGGGTGCCACGTGTGCGTATGCGTCCATGGCCTGCGAGTGGGCCATGGAAGGCGGGTGCGCGTGTAGGTAGGCCTATGCCATCGAGAGGCGGTGGCAGTTGGCTTGAAGCCATTGTAGCACCTCGGAGAGCACCTTCCCCCGGACATAGGGCGTCTGCCCCTGGCTGTTGCTTCAGGCGGATCGGGGAAAGCCTCCGCTTCTTGCTGGCGTGCCTGACTACCCGTCGTGCTGCTGGCCGAGCTATCAGCCTGGCTATCAGCCTGACTACCAGCGTCAGGCCAGTTGAAAGTTGCAAAGCCGCTAGACGCAGGTTCTTGACGCGCACGTAGTGCCCGCTTCGACGACGGCTTCGACAATCTCTTATTGTCTGTGCCATCCTCAGAGTCGTCAAAGTTGAAGTCTGGACCGGAGTCCGTATCGTCATCATCATCATCATCCTCAGCATCGTAGCACCACCATGGACACTCATCTTCTGACAGGTCGAGGGTGTTGGTGTCGGCGTCGGTGTCAGTGTCTGTAGGGATTGCGTCAGCTGCGGCGGCTGCGCCAAATGCGCCGTCATCATCATCATCGTCGCCGTAGTCCTGTCCATCGTAGTCGCCAGCATCCTGGCCCGACATGCCAACATTTGGATCCCCTGCGGCCTGGGCACCAAATCCGCCTGCATCCAGGGCACCGAACCCAGCACCAGCACCAGCCGATGCAGTTGCAGAAGGGAAACCGAGCGCGCCGGCGCTGTCAGTAGTCGCGCTGCTTGCAGTCTCCGTCACTCCAGGTTGTGGGGGCTCCACTGCCACACCACTTCCGTCTCCGGGTAGATCGGTTGCATCGGCAGCCCCAACGCCGCCGGAAGATGTGTCGGCGGTCGCTTCAGGGAACGAGGGCTCGTCGCTGATCGTTGATTCAGAAGTAGCCTCAGTAGCAGGAAAGTCACCGCCAGACGTAGACCCTGTGCTCGTATCCGTTGCTGCGGCCGCGCTAGCAAGCTCGAAGAGGTCGGTAAAGGTAGGCAGACTACCCGTAGTAGGAGTCACTTCGCTACTAGCCGCAGTGAGGCTATCGGTAGATGTAGGGAATGTGAATCCGGAAGAATCGAATATGACGGCCGCATCAGATGTCTCGCTTGCGGATGACTCGCTCGCGGAGCCAAAAGCGACAACAATCGTCGCGGTTGGCGGCAGTGCGCTTGAGCTGTCTGTCGAGCTGTCTAGAATGACATCCGCCGTACCGACAGGGAGCGTTGTAGTATCGGGTGCGGATGTTGCTTCCGCCGCAGAAGCAGCTGCTTCTGAGCTTGAGAGCTCGGCCTCTGATGGTGCACTTGGACCGGGAGTAAGAAGGGGTGCCGCACTGGCGTCGAAATCGCTCGACGCCGCGACACTTGCTGAGGCGTCGGCATCGTCAGTGACTTGGGCGTTCAAAGTCCGCAAAAGGAGAGCCCCGAGCACAAAGGCCTTCATTGTGGCCAGCCGCTAGGAAGTGAATGTAATGAAGGACCGTGTACGACACCGCTAATCAACGAGTGTCTATTTTAGAAAAGAGTGACAGGAAGAAAGCTTGGCTTAGACATGGTGTGAGATACGACGCGATCAAAGTTATACGTCGCCTTGTTGAATTCTTCAGGCTCGAGATCAAAACAAGCTAGAATGGCATAGCGTCTAGCATGGCGCTTCTAGCTACATCGGTGACAATAGACGATGTTGTCGAGTGTCTTGATGTTGGAATGTGGTACAGAGGCTGGTTGTTATGATCCCCTTAGTGGGCCGCGAGTGGAATGTGGTCCAAAACACCGCTCAGTGATACATTAGCGAATGAGTATTCAGCAACTAGCAAACATGCTGCGAATTGAGCATCGAGTTCGAGTGCATTGCGGGCCAATTGACATAGCTCACTACGTTCCAGGCTGTTACGCGTCTTCAAAAATGCGTTGCTCCGGTGCGGCATATTAGGACCAAGGGAAGCGCTCGTTTCTGCGCGTACTGACAAAAGGACCTCAAGCCATTCCCGTGAAGAGGTCTGCTCGCTGGTTGAACCGCTAAATCGTCGTCTAAGTGTTATGCACTGCAGCTCTCTGTATATTGCGTACGTATCGGCCCTCGATCGATTCGCGGCAAGCTTTGTGCATGACGCGGTAGTTGTCCTATAATAGTCGTCAGTAATAGCCAAATTCCAGGAGGGAGATGTATTTCACCAAGACGACATTATCCCTATCACTCTCGCATTCCACGTCGAACGCGTATTCATCCTAGTTTACATGGACAAAGCATGACTTATTGTCCATCCTGTGATGCGCGTGATGCGCGGAGTAGCGCTCCCTCCGTCTGCTTGGCTCTTGGATCCGCACAAGGGCATGTTTAGCCATGTCATCTTCTCTCGGTCCATACTCTTCGAGAACTTGCGATCAGGCGTCTTTTGTGCCACAAGGAATGGTGAACCACGTAGTCCTTGATAGGCTTTGGTACCCTTGGTGAGGTCCGCATATGCTGTCCGCGTGGTTTGCAAATGCAGTAGCACCGCCAATGCCTTTTGCCGACAGCCGATGAGCTCTGAGGATGGAGTGGCCGCGCGACCAATATTGAACGCTGGGTCGACGTGAAAGAGGCCATTGTCTAGACCGAATTATTATCGCAGACTGTCGTCTGACACCACACCGTCGTTGTCATTGATGCTGCTCGCATCGATCATCTTGGTATAGCGCTAAACGATGCTTCTGGCCCGATTGCTATACGGCCTCGAGTCATCAAGCCCATCATGTTGTGCGTCGAAAGCCGACGTATCGTGCATCCTCGAGCTGTTCCTGATAGAAGACCAGAGCACCACTTCTGGCGAGGCCCGCCGGTATCTCATTGACCGCTTCAGGATGCATGTCTCGTGAAGAGTCTGCTCCATAGCATTCCACTCTGAATGGGCATTGTAACAGCTTGTAGGTATGCGTCGCAGGTGAGAAAGCCTGCAGACATCAAAAGACGGATAAAGAGATGTGTTGCAGACCATGACGCGTATCGTTATCCTGACGATGCGCCATGAGGACAGCAGATGAGGTTACGACCACGCTAGTATTAATGCCGAGTTAACCCCGGAAGGAGAGGCGCGACCGTCGTTTCCATTCCGGCTGCACCGAGTATCAGGCATTTGGCTTTTTTCCAACCTCGCAAACTTGTTCGTCATCCAGCTCTTTGGAGGATGGCCCCTGTCCATTCATCCTTACCAATTACGAGTGTTCCCTAAGGCCAGATTTGCTTCGTCGACACCAACTTGCCGTTCTCATCCATGAATCTCTCCCAAGCAACGAGCTGGAAGCCTGCGGAACTCATGGCCAGACTATTGATCCGAGCCATGAATTCTGCACATTTGGGACAGATCTTGTTACTTACAATGAGCTGTACTTCTCGCAGATTACTCTGCTTGGTCGACAGTTGCTGCTGGTGGGCCAAGTCAATGTCAAGTCCAAGATCCATCAACCTCAAATACTGGACGATTGCCTGAGGCTCAGCATGGCTGGCGTAGTAGCGTTCATCGACTGGTGATCCATCACTAAACCTCATGCTACTTTGCTTGTCCGGCGCAAATGAAAACCCGATCGCCTCGGCGAACCTGAGGACTTCCGTTACATCCCCAGGGATGGTGTACTTGTCATTGTGCTTCCAGCCACTCATGGCGTCGATAGTCAATAAACCGTCTACGAGTCGAACTACTGTCTTTTGGCGTTTTTGTTCGGGGTCTCGCATGGTCAAGAACTGTTTCAAGACAAGATTGGTCCGTTCGCCTCCAAGGGACCGGTCGAAGAGAGGAAGGTTGGAACCGGATTCGTTAACAAAAGTCGCGACATCAGGGCTTAACAACTCGACAATTTTACGTCGATCTTGGTCGTCTTTCCAGGGCCGCTCGATGATGCCTTCTTTGCCACTTCTCAGGTACCTGCGACGGCTGTTGCTCTCGCTCTGCATTGCCAGATCGAGCGCACTATTCCCTTCTCGATCTCTCTGTCTTCTATTTGTCTCTCCCTTTAACAAAACTCCTACATTATCCAGCCTTCCCCACAATGAAGCTTCCATCAGCGCTGTTCTACCGTCCAAATTTGCAGCATGCAACTCTGCACCGTTCTTTAGGAGCCAGTCCACCATTGTCGCGTCTTCGAAGCAGGCTGATGCAATCAGCAAGGTGTTGCCTCTAGCATCACGTCCATGTATTAAAAATACGTGATCCCAACTATCGTCATGTCGGATATTGTGGTACGAAGTATTCCACATCCACACCCTTGCATTCTCATACACACAGTCTAGCACCCCATGCATCCATTGGTACCGAGTTCTCAGGTCCAGTCGCTCGAAGCTGTTTGCAAGCTCGTCCACCGCTGACTGGTGTGGAAGTAATGTGCTTGTTGGCGCCGCTGATAGAGAAGTCATGTGCAATGAGAGCGTATCTTTATGCGAAAAGGCGATAGCAATGAAGAAATGAGTCCAGCCTGGGAATGAGTGAATTGTATTTATTCTAGGAAATACGACTATTTGATGTGGGGAGATTTGCAGTATCGCAACCTCGCGCCGAACGCGCTGATCTTACTCATTAGCACGAGTACAAGAGATGCAGGCTGATATCGAATTTCTCCGTCAGGTCCTTGGCTCCACCAAACTTGTCGACTAGAGCAAATGCTGCCGCCCTCGTTTTTAATTGCCGTGTTGGCCATTGCGAAACCGGTGGCTTAGGAGTTCACCGGCTTCCAAGAGAGGCTGCATGACACCTCGGCGGCTAAGCGCTTGCGCCACTTCCACTTCGAGTCCAACAAAGAAACGTATTATCGCTCGCGAAATTGCAACAGACAGTATTTCTCGTGCAGCATACATAGGACGGCTTGATACGTGCAATTCTCTTCGTATAGTCGCACAGCGGGTCTTTCTTATAATTGCCATATCCTGGGCCACCCGGTCGTGAAGATTAGCCCATACGGCAAAGCTGGGCGAACATTTCAGACGTTTAGGATCTCTAAACTCGATAGACGTGGTACCTAGCTTCGCCAGGGAATATGAAGGCCCGCCCATGCCCATTCGAGGCCTACAAAAGTGCTCTACTCACCAGCTAATAATTTGTAGCCATGGTTGACGACCGTCTCGACCTATCTTGAAAGAATCAATGTAATCACAAACATCTTCGCACTCGAATTACTTTCACAGAACCAGCGATAGCTCAACTAGAGTGTAGGTGCTTTGCAAATTCTCTTAATAATTTGGAGAAAGGTGTTCTATTGACATTGGGATACTAACGCAAAGTCAGGACTCGAGGGTTTCATCTGGCGTGTTCTTACCTTGGTTGAAGTCTCTCCGTGCCAATAGCATAGCTGACATCTTCAATTGAGACCTCGCTATATGAAATCTTTCACTACTCCTTCAATGAACGTCCTAGGCAACACGGCCATAGCTATTTACATCCCTATCTACAGACAGTAGTATTTTTTCACAAAGTGTAGGTACACAATGGTTGCTGGGCAGAGTTGCTCGACTACAATCTTCCCAGTTGGTATCGAGCTTTCACAATGACAAGAGCACCCCTAAAGCCATAAAGCCCTTTTCCGCTGTTCCCTACCACTCTATTTCCTAACCACCACCACCTCCTCCTTCAACCAATCAACCACCCAAGAACCTCCGGCAAAACCATGAGCGAACCCAACCAGCAAGAAAACGTCACCGAAATGCACGATCAAGACATTGGCGAGGAGTCTTCGATCCCGATAGCTCTTGGAGGGGCCCTAGCATATATAGACACCTCTTACTTCTCCTCAGGAACTCGACGGCCTACTGAAGTTGTGAGCGGGCTCAAGGAGATTCTTGGCCTCACGCCTTTGAAGCGCCTTGCATATGAATCTCAGCCGTCGGCGGCACAGAATCCACACTACTCAGCCTTGTTTCCGCCACATATGTACTCTCCAGATATGAGCTTCGTTCTCCTACTTGAAACTAGGAAAGGCGTAATCACCAACTCTAACCCGGGCATCGCGGAACTTGCCACACCGACTAACCACCGGGGAACAAATTTTCTCACTTTGGTGGATGTTGCTGCTTGCACAATCGAAGAGAACCGACCGGAGACCGTCAAAGCTGCAGTCAACCTCATAGGCCATTTTGTGCGCACCTTGGAGAATCTCAAGCCTCGATGGTTTCCAAATACTTCAACGGATTTGGGCGGCCGGCTACAGGCGTGCTATGCCTTGACCCATGCACAGCGAGTTACATTCTACAACGCTCGCTTACAGGGTAAGTCTTTTCAACAGCTGGAGGCTGATGTTATCCAGCTACACCGGGACATGGAGGTTCCCATTGGGTTCAATGTCGTTCAGGAGCTAAAGGACCTGGAAATTCGTTTCGGTCAGATGCTTGAGAAGGTCAACGATGACTTCAATGCGAACGTTCGACTTGAATGGATTGGAGAGCCCATTCCTGTCGAAGATGTGTCAACTCCTATTGAGGACCCCAAGGGCATAGATTGTATCGTCTGTCGCTGGGAGCTCACTCCACCAGGTGTCCTCACGAAGCCTTGCCAGCACGCTTTCTGTCGTGGCTGTCTCGAAACTTGGATTCATGCCTGTGAGAAGGCCAGCCACAACTGCCCGTACTGCCGCACCGAACTCTTCCCCAAGCCCACGTACCGGTTAAACGAACCTGAGGTAGCACGGAATTATCAGGAAGAGAAGAAGGGTCTCGAGACATGGGTGCGCCGTGTCCACAAGGCGCGCATGTCCATTGCTTGGTTGCGTAAGGAGTTGGTGCTACAGCGCACATATGAGCAAGAAACTGTAAACCAAGGTATTTCAGACGAAGACGTTGAAGGCTAGACTCCGTACATGACGGTAGCACCACAAGGCCCTGCAAGATTTTGGAGTGCGGATATAGAATGATTCCTCGTTACACTCCAGCTCTTACCATTTTTGCAATGCACCTGTTCAAGGTAGGCATAGTAGATTATCTGGTTTTGAGCTTTTTCCTATGTTATTCCTGAGGCGTAAATGCCTCTTAACTATTTTCCTTGTCTACCCTAAATTGACAATCTAATCCATACAAACCCAATCTTTCAACGTGTCTACTTGGTGTCCTCAATTCTTTCCTTACAGAGTGCATATTGCTGTTTCTTCAAACCACTCTTCAAAGCCTTCCCCGTCCCGTGATAAAATGATATAATCCCCAGCTTATTTTCTTCAGGCCTACAGGGTGTCTTCAATCGTACTCAAGTATACATTTCGCTCATGTCTGATCTCCCAATTAAACTTGCGGTAATTTGTGTCCAGTAACTGTCTTTGAAATAATACGCTGCAACTACCTTTTAAGTCTTGATATATTTTGAATTTCAATGACATAGACAGTTTAGCGGTTTAAATATGTAAAGTCCTTAAGTTGATATTGTCAGTAGTATCTCCTTTCCTAACTTGTACCCTTACTGTTAGCATACTCCTTTGTTTGGAAGTAAAGTCAACACTAGAGCGGATCATACAACGCAGTAGGAGAAATTAGTATAAAATCACAGTTCAGATGCTATACTCATCACCTTAAGGCAGTATTAAGGCAATAAAGTTTAAATAATGCCAGGTTAGTTGAATGGATTATTGAGAGATCCTCGAATCTGAATTAGCTTCGCTGTATTGAATACTAGTATGCATGCCCTATATTCCAGCTTTATATCGATTATCTTTACGTGAGCCTCTTCCGCGGATCGAACTGTCTGTGAGAGACAGAGAGCACGATAAATTGGCACTGTAAAAACTCACGTAATTGAGGGGCCTCATATCTTCACCCGACAATTTCCTACGGCTAGAATGTTTCAAGTCACACGAATGCCCCGGCAACCAACAAGGATGGAAACAATTACTCGAGGTTAAGAAATGGAAATGGAAATGGAAATGGAAATGGTAATGATACAAGTAGCATTCGACTCTCACTATAAATGATTCGACTAAATTTACGTTATCTCGGTATGTCCCACCGCCAAACAACAAAGTATACACCTCGAAGTTATCATTAGTGGAAACAAGCGGATTTTTCTTATCTGTTGTTAACAGGCTCGACTATTGCGAAGAAAAACTGAGATCAAAACAGAAGTTGAGGCAACTCAGTAACCGCGGAACCCACCGTATCCGCCACCATGTCCATGAGCGTAGGAACCACCATGCCCACTGCGACGAACGCGGCGAATTCTAAGCGGCGACCGAATAGTCTCGCTATCCTCGTCTGTATCGTAAGAGGGCTGGCGACGAATAACACGCTGTAGAAGCGGCGAAGGGGGTGGGCGACGCGTAGCAAAGCGGTCGAAAACGGACATGCCGGAGTGAACAGGCCCCGTGTACTCACGACCCGCACGAGTGAACTGAGCATCGCGTACAGAGCCCATATAAGGGCCGCGAGGCGCACGTACGAAAGCAGGCGGTGTGCGTGGCCGGGTATCTCTACCACCTCCTGAAGTAGTAGGCTGGCGCGTGGGACGAACGGCACCATGACCACGACGGCGCGTCAAGCGCTCGTCGTCTTGCCATATGCCCTCCTCGGGCATCCACTCGTTGCGGCAGAGCGGGCACTCCTTCTTCTTATGGGGCTGGTGCTTTAGGAGCTCCTGAAGACACTCGAGGCCGAACATGTGATGACAGCCTTCGATGCCCGTAATACGGACACAGATGTGCTCCTCGATACCTTCAAGGCAGATGGGGCACTCTGTGTTTGGGGGGTCGGTGGTATCGCCGTGGGAGAGGAAGTCGGTGTGCTGCTCCATGAAGGTAGTAGCGCGATCACTGGATAACGCTGGAGGGGGAGTACCATTAGCACGGGTGGTGCGAGCGGTACGGTTGGTGCGAGCGGTACTGTTGGTGCGGTCGATGTAGTGGACGGATCCACTATCGTCGTCGAAGGAGAATGACGAGCCGTCGGAGTCGTAGTTGAGTTCTTCATAGGACAGGGTACGGCGAGGAACACCTCGCTCACCACTGTTACCACCCATACTACGCATGCCAGGCGTACCCAAGGACATGCCGCTCATCCGACCACCACGTCGGCTGGGCGAAGAAGGACTATATGGACCGTGTCCCGACTCATGATGGCGACCATTGTGATCATGGTAGATTGAGTACCCATACCATTGGCCACGCTGACCATTGCTATCCTCCTCGTCGTCGTCGTCTCCAAAGCTAGCGCCAAAGCTACTGCGGTAATAACCAGACATTTTCGTTGGTGTCTGTAATGGACTTGTGTTTGCTGTATGGTAGTTGACCGATCAAGAACTTGCGTGGAGATCTACTCAACGGTGCTCTGATCGATGGTTGTGCTGTTCAGTTGTGTAGAGGAGCAGCAGGGAAGAAACTTGGGCGATTCAAATATGCGGAAGAGCCTCTTGAAACCGCCCATTCACGGGGCCTGGAAGGTGTGAAAGCTGGCTTACAATGCAGCGAGGTTCTAGGAGCTGCTTGACACCGTCCATACACATACACAGTGTCCAAGACTTGAAAAGAGGGCATACAGTGTAGAAAACGACTACGCGAGACTGTGCGTGAGCGAGCGTTGATGTGCCTAGTTGAGAAGTTGAGCTCGAACAGATATCTCGCTTCACTCGTGGCTGTCGTCGTAGTAATAAAAAAGAAAGGGGGGAGGTCCAAGGTTCGCCCATGTCCCATGACTAGTCCGTTGAGCCTTAACAGGAGAACAGGACACCAGGAGAGGAGTGCCGCAGCAGACACCTACATGAGAAAAAAAGCCATGCCTCTCACCGCGTGACTTCTACCCCGTTGAGACCAGCCTGGTGACTAAGAGCCGTGAAACTCTCTGTACCCGCTTCACAACGCAGGCCCGTGAAAGAATACTTCTACTAGTAACGAGTGTCAACAACAACAATCCTATCGCAGAAACTTGCGCAAAGACACTGTGATGGAACGAGACGTAGTGTAGTGAGTGAAAGCCCGATGAAACAACTTACCCATGTAGCCCTCTGCATTGCTATACTTACTCCAGCGCAAGGAGAACCCATATATCTGTCCGAGTGCGGAAAATATATACTCCATAGACATCAATCCTGACTGAACGTTCATAGGATCGAAATGGAAGGAATCAACACAGCGTCTAGCTTTTATAACCGCACACCCAATTCACTCTGTGAAATGCGCAAACAATCTGAATACTTACGTGCCAAACACGCAAAATCCGGTCAGGCGTCTGGATGTAGCGTATGGGGGTGAGACTTCTGCTTCTCTCTCTTCTCCCCGAAACAATAACAACAAAGACAGAGACAGAGACAGGGACAAAGTTGGTCAATACGAACAGACATTCAAACAATCAATAAGAATCGCAAGGTGAAATGTTGCAAACATGAGCAAAGGGACAGTCTATCCCTCTTCTATTCTCTTATTCACAAACCCCCCTCTTCTGTATATAATAAATATTTACCGCGACAGTGTCCATCATCACACGAACCTCGGAGAAGTGGACACGAAAAACCATATATACATCCGGGAAAGAAAGGGAAAATTGAGCAAGACAACACCAGTGCCCCAAAGACTAAAATCGCTAACAAAGTCTAGATACCCAAGATGAAAACGAAAAGAAACACGTCTTGTGTAACGACTAACGCCTCTAACGCGGAAAAAAAAAAGACGAGGAAGCTCCTACGCTCTCTTCTCGCGGTGCGACGCGGTAGGCCCCGCACTAAAAGCGCCAGAGAGAATCCTCTTCAACTGCTTCGGCTTGAACCGATCGGCCGTAGTAGGTCGACCCGTCTCACCGGATATACTGCTCCGTCTGCTGAGCCCTGTACCCGTCCGTGTAATACCGTCCATGCCAACATCCAAAGCATTACTACTCCGGCGTGCCCGCCTTGTCGCATCTTCGTTTTCCTTCTGGTGCAACGACTCAGACGGCAGTAGGATAGCGCGATCAAGCGCATACGGCAGTCCACGATGTCTGCCACGGATCTGCATGGCAATGATGATGAGTTTGGAGAGCGTGCGGAACTGGCCCGAGAACGACGTGTTGGTGCCTGGGAAGCCAAGACTCAAGCCGACGGTGCCGTATGCGGAGACGATTTCGAAGAGGACGGAGAAGAGGCTGAACGCATACTCGTTCGTATTCTCCAGCCGCGAGCCTTCAATGATGGCGATGAGGAAGAAGCCCAAGAATACAAACCACAAGTCGAAGGACAGCTGGCGTCGTAGATGGTGGGATAAGTAAGAGGATTGGGTGCCATCGTCTTCTTCTTCGCCGCCCCAGACGCCAAGGGATTTCTCCTCGTAAACGTTGGTTTGGCGCATACTCATGGCGATGGGGAAGATGGAAATGTACATCATGATGAGATAGCTGACTTGGATCGCGGGGTGCAGGTCGGCGATGTTGACGACGGCAAACCCGGCGGTGCGCGTTGCGGCGGCTTGGAAGAGGCCGGCGAGGAAGCGGAAGCCGCCGGGAAGGGAGGTGACGGTTGGGTCGTTGAGCTGTTTCTATTAGTACTACTATCCATAAGCTTTCGAGACAAGGAAGGACTTACGTCAAGAATAATGAAGAAGATCAAGTCGACGCCGTTGAGAAGAACGAGAACTCCAAAGAGCCACCAATTAGCCTTACTGGGGAAAAGCAGTGTGAAGCACCGGCGAGGGTGATCTAGCAAGAAGCGGAGTTCTTCCCACACGCCGCTATTCCTTGGGACTACCTTGGAGAGCAGCCAGATAACGAACCGTAGCATGCAGGGAAAGCCCGTATTACCGATGATGATAAGGAAAGTACCTAGTACAAGCGGCAAGACGGCGTACTGAAAGGAGACCATGGAGTCTGGTGTGAGGGTAAAGCCGAGATCGTTGAACATGGACGCCGGCGTGAAGAAACCCCACCACGTGGGACTGATGCCGACATCTTCGACCACCTTACGGAACCGAGCGTTTCGATTGATCCAGGGCGTCAGGCACACCATGCCCAGCAAATGGAAGCCAACGAAGTAGCTTACCAGAATCATGGCCAGTAACTTCAAGGCACGGTACTCAATACCACCCAGCTCCTCTCGTTGCTCTTCAGTCAGGTCCACGAAGTTGGAATTTCGTGCAATCGTGGGCGTCCAACTGAGGTAGGGAATCGGATCTTCGTCCTCTTCCTTGGTTGAAGTAAGAAAGCTGGTAAACGTTCTCGACCTGGATCTGTTGCGAAGGGTTTGGTCAGTGGTGGGTGTCGATGTGTCCGTGTCCGTTGTCTTGACCCTGTTGTACACGGAAGCGCCAGTGGTAGGGCGTGGCCGATCGGGGACGTCTATAGTTATGTGGTGTTTGAACGGACGGTCGTCTCCATTCATTACAGGAGGAACCGAACTTGATCGCTCTCGTCTTGGATAGGAGTCTTGTGATGTTCTGCTAAGAATTCGGTTTAGATGCTCATCGTTCTCTGCGACTTGCTGTGGCACGAGACCTCTGTCGAAATCGCGTGGGCCAGGAATGCGCAGCTTGGCCTTCTCCGTGGGGTTCCTTTGGCTCTGCACGAAGGCAATACTCTTCTCCTTGTCCACCCGAGGAAGGCGATCCTCGGGAATTTCTACCGAGTCTTGTTGCGCGCGGTGACTTTTACGCTCACGCTCTGCAGGCGTGCTCAAATTGTCCGCCCAGACCACGTTCGAAGCGACCGGGTGCACTGGAGTTGTAGGCTGATCATGCGGAGACAGCTCTTCTTCCGAGCTCGAGGCGTTGCGCATGCCCGCACCATCATCTACGCCATCTACCCTTTGCTGGAACGTCTTTTCGTCCTCAATGTTGCCGCCCTCGGCGTGTCCATTATGCGCTCGCACGACGCGGATCTCGCGGTCGCCAACGCCTCGCTCTTCCTGTCCTAGATTACGGTCCAACTCTGCGTTCATCTCGCTCTTCCTCTTGGACATTGTGCGGGTGCGGCCACCCTTGATCCGCGATTCAACGACGACGTGCTGGAAACGCTTTTCGAACCAGTAGAGGCGGACGAAGACGACGGAGCCGTTGATGAAGATGGGGGTACACATGCAGGCTATGATCATAATCGCGACCTGCTGGTATAAAGTGAGGGCGTTGACATCGATGCTAGTTCCAGGTCAGCCATTGACCGTCTCTCTCTCTCCCTGCGCCCATTCTCGAACCTACGTGTTTAACCCGCTCTGTGTCGCTGCGCCGCTCGCGAAGAAGAGAGCATCGATGTAACTCAGGCGACGATTGCCGTAGAGAATGACGGAACAGACAAGCGTCCATGTTAATATGTAGCAGTCTACCACTTGATTAGTCTAGTCACCATTTCCCGCGTGTCTGGGACGTACAATGGAGTGTTATAAAGTTGGCGTTGGGCTTGAGAGCAGACAAGCCCGCGGGCATGTACTTCCTGAACCATTGCTTGGTGGTAAACCAGGGTCCGAACATGGTCGCGTCCTCTCCACCGTGTAGGCACTCTCACACTGGGTACTTGAAGGTGGTGTGTCGGATCAGGGTGGCGGGCGAAGATGAGGTTGAAGATCGATCGGGAAAGCGGGCGGCCAGCGTTGCGGAGCTGAGTTATCCTTAGTGTGGGTAGGGTGAGCCAGCGTTGGGCCAAGCAGGAGTCGTCAACGGACCGAGCCGGTAGCGCGTCGCGTCGAGGCTCCGTTGGAGTGCATGTTGAATGGTTGGGGGAGAGAGGCGTGAAGGGTGTCGGGTGAAATTGCATATGTCTGGGATCAGCTGCTGTGACGGGGGGAGAGAGAAAGCAGAGTCGCGCCCGGGGACGTCGACAATTCGATGACGCCAAGATAGCGTCGCGAAATGGAAAGCCTTTCGGAATTTTTGTGTTTCATCGCGTAGCAATCCACGAACCCCCTGTCTCGCTGTCCATCAAACAGGCTCGCCCTTTATTAGGCCCAAACAAGCATTGTGCCCTGAAACACCCTGCAGCTTGCGTATGTACCCTAAGCACGGCCCCCCGTCCAGAGAGAACAGGGCGGATAGCGGGTCGTTGGTGGCTTCTCCCTTATCTGCTTGCAGCTGCGCCTCACCGCCACGGCCGCAACATGGACAACGCTCCTACGGCATTACAAGTTGCCAAATTGCACTGGGGACATTAGTCAAGCGCTTTGCAGCTCCATCACCAAAGGGCCGACTGACTGACTGCAAAGCACCGACTATAATAAGTCGATGGCTGATGAGAGCGTTGCGGCCCGCGGCGGATCATGACAAGTTGACAACACATCCAACGGAAGCCCCTTTGATCCGAGAGTACTTGGGGTCTTGACACCATCACCATCCTCTAAATTCTTTCGTCTGCACTATCAACGACACACAAATACAACAGTCCAATGAGAAATGTTATTCACAACTTATAGATACATAGGCCTCGCCGCCCAAGCAGGGGGTTGCTCAAAGTCATGCCAACTCATGCAGTAAGTATCGCGTATATAAAAGCAAGTCCAAAATACAGATAAGAAATGAGTAGCCCACGCATGCAATTTCACACTTCGTCTTCCTCTTCCACGTCTTCGCCCCAGACATGTTCGCGCCACGCTGCGTAGCCTAGTCAGTACCATTCACCGCAGCTGGTAATGTTGGCGTGTTGGCGCCTGAGTTCGGTTTGCTCTTTGTCTTGAGAGTGAGCGGGAAATCAAAGTCATCGGGCTCTTCCTCTTCACTAATTGTGTGTGTTAGCAGTACTCTCTCAAACTGGATCTACGTTTCAACTTACGGAAGCTTCCACGCAATGTAATCCTCGGTGCTCAGTCCCTCGCGGCCCTCCTGCAGCGAAGCAAAGTCACCAGGCGTCATCATGCCCGATCGCTCGCGCGGCGACCCAGGCTCAGACAGAGGGCGCGAGATCTTGATATCCTGCGAGCCAAAGAAGTCAGGCTCGTCATCGTCCTCGTATGCCGCAGGATAGGCGCGTCGAAGAGCCAGCTGCCTCGCCTTGACGTATTCGAGGCCCATTCGCTTCCAGTCGAGGAGATCGCTGAGGCGTTCCGTGCGGTTACGCTGGTTGATACGTTGGCGCTTGCTCTTCTTGGTGAAGTCGAACATGTAGTCCACCAGCTGGTTCACAGAGTCGTCCACTCCCTTCATTCTCCGGTCCACAATGTAGATGCCGTAGTCGGACGCATTCTCAATGAGTTCCTCCATGTAGCAGCCGAAACCAGACAAGTTGGTCGTGATGCTGGGAACACCCATGACAGTGCACTCGGCGGGTGTATAACCCCATGGTTCATAGTACGATGAGAATACACCAAGATGCGTTCCGCGGACAAAGTCATCGTAATCGAGGGGCAAGACGGGATTGGCGGAGTTCAGGAACTCGGGATGGAACACAACCTTGACGCGATCGGAAGGATGGTTGAACAGCTGGCAGCGGCGCAGCTGGTTGAGCACAGGATCCTCGGCATCGTTGACCATGTTGTGGGTAACAATGGGCGGCAGGTTGTGTCGCTTCATAGCGAACAACCGTCGGCGGAGCAGGATCTTGTCTGCAGGCGTAATCAGATCCTTGTCTTCCGGCAGGTCATGGCCCTCGTGCCAGGTCAAAGAGCGTTCAAACAGCTTCTTGGCTACATTCTCCGCAATGTTGTTCACAGTGTCGTGTAGCGACTTGATCACGGCCTGTCCTTTCAGCGAGTCGACCGACAGAGACGTCGTCTGCGCAGGCAGAATGATGAAGGCGACCACCGTCATGTTGGAGTTTTCGCTCTTCATCTTGTGGTTCAACCGAGCCAACGACTCAATGAACATGTCAACACCCTTGTTCCGGTACTCGTATCGACCGGCCGTGAAGAAGTAGAGCGTGTTCTCGGGGTCGAAGTCGTTGTGGCCGTAGAAATGTCCGCGTACAAAGTCGTTGATCTTCACCTTGGCCTGCTGATGCAAGTTCTGGAACTCGTGAGTGGCAGAAAACTTCTTGACGTTCAACCCGTTGGGCAACACGCCGTCTGGCTTTCGCTTCAAGAGATGCTCGCTCTCGTAGGCGGTGATGTGAGACACGGTGGTGAAAACATCAGCGGCGTGCGTAGCGGCTCGCTCGATACAGTAGCGGTGGTAAATACCACGCTTCCCAGCTTCCGCGTCACAGTCGAAGAACTGCAGGTTGTTGTAGAAGTCGACCGAGCCGGCACAGAGATAACGACCGAGGAGGGTTGCGTGCGTGGTGAAGATGGTAGTCACATCGATGCGGCGCTTCTTGCAGAGCGGTACTGCCACACCTGCCAGCCACTCGTGGAACTGAACAATGACAGCCCGCTTCTTCTCGTGGAAAACGTACTAGGAGCGAGTTAGCAAGGACCAGGTTGCACTTGAATTGCCATTCTTACCTCGCCCAAGAACCATGCAATGAGGTAACCAAAGACAATGGCTTCGTTGGTCTCCGAGTCGCCTGGCGGGGAAGGGATGCCGGCCGTCGACCACAGATCGCCCTTCCACTCATCAAGCCAGCCGTATCCAGTGCTGGTATCGAACAAGAGCACACGAGGAGCGCCGTCAATTAGCCAGCGTCCGTATAGCGTCTTGATGCCGCGCTCTTCCATGGAATTGATGGTAGCGATCAAAGCAGGGTCCTTTGGCTCAATTGGTTCGACCTCTACTGCGGCCTAGGTAGCTCTGTTAGTCCTGAGAGTGTGAATTGGTAGTTCCAGGGCGCCTACCGATGCTCTGTTCCACGGGCCCAAAAGAGTATATGCTGCGCCATATTCGGCTGTTGTGACCTGGGCCTTGGACTTGAGGACTGAGTAGATACCACCCACTGGACATTGTCAGCGTATGCTCTTGGAAGCTCTATTGCGATGGAGTAGGTTACCTCTGTTGGCTACTTCGGTTGCAACCTCGAACAGAATGTGGTTCTGGACGTCTCTCGCTGTTGACCCAGCCATGGTGGATGTGGACTGCGTTGCTTCGGGCGTGAAGTAGATTCGCGCAATGGCAGACGTCGGCGCAGTCTTGAGGGGAAGAGCTGAAGGACGGTCGAAGGAGCTTGAGCTCCGACTTGGTTGAGCTACTGCGGGTGGGCGCGCTAGACAAGCGGGTATATTACTCCAAAGGTTGAGGACGACGTCTGGCCGTCAACAAAAATGTGGTGGTTGCGCGCGTGTGTGGGTGTGTGTGGGTGTGTCGCAGCTGGGACCTGTAGGGACTGAGTCTGGCAGCAAGGAGAAGCTCTGGTGTCAGAAGAAGGAGAGACGAGACAGCAGTACATTGGGATTATGAGTTCACGTGTTCGCTTCCAAGGTTTCCTGTTGCGCACGAGCGCTGCTAGAGCGTGGAGAGGTTGGGTCGAGGGTCAGGGCTAGCTCAGACTTGAGATAGCATCGGAGAGAAAATGACGTAGCCCACCGCGCTTTCTCGCCTTTTCTCCCTCATGTCATGTCATGGCATGTTCACTCCATTTCGCTACAGAGAGACCCTCACCACCTTCACGCGTGCACGACGAACAGTAACCACCTGACACTTTTCAATATCACGATATCAGCCCAATATCAATCTTTTTTTCTTCCTTCTCGTATTCAGCCTACCTGATTGCCGTTACTGTCGCAACGGGGAGCCAGGGGTCGCAGTCAACAGCTCAACAGTCTGCTTGTGGAAATGAAAGCGGAGCATCGCCCAATTCCGTAAAGACGACGCTCTTTTCGCCTGTGCTCGCCCATCCTTCACATGGCGTCACATAGCTGATGACCATGAAGCACTGCAAAGTCAATGGTCGCGCAGCCAATGCCGAGGGATGACGATGATGCGGGGTTGCCGTTCCATCGAGGGAGGGATGGACAGACGCCACCATGCTCTCCGCAGAAGACTTGTGGGCCCCGAGTGGAGGCGGAGAGGGCCACGTGAGGCGAGCAACCCCATGTCGTTGGTTTGTGATGTCGACGGTGTGATTCGGAAGGATACACGGACAGTTGGTTACGGAGAGCATCAAACTAAAAGGCCCGATGTATTGTGCATCATTGCGGTTTTTGTAGGTGTGGATGGGGCGTCTTCATCATCGCATAAGAGTTTTCATCATTGCATTGCATCGTATCGTACTTGTACAGCTAAAGCAGATGGATATCCTGCTGACCTTGATCCCTGGCCAGATGCGACACATAACGCCAATAAAGATAAAAGAAAAGAAACATACAATAAGCCAAAGACAAGAAGGGGGAAATATCCAGCTGAACCATGCAACCCAACCTCCGTAAACACTACTTGCAACACTACTTGCCAGATCGATCAATGACAGGCGCGGGTATAGGCGTGTTCGGCAATGCAGACAGCAGACTGCCTGAAGCAAACTGATTATTCTCGGCAAGGTTGATCATAGGGCCTTTCGCCTTGGATCCGTCCATGACTCCACGTCCCACAGGAGCATAAGCATAGCCAGCAGAGGTCACCAGTCCGCCGCCTGTAAATGCGCCTCTTTCATCCTCAGGAGCACTCAAATGGTTGTTTTGTGTGTACGCTGCCAATGGCTCGCCGCGGCCTTTGAGCGACCGTGTGCGCTCATGTCCACCTGTGCCATATGTGCCATGTGCAGCACGCGTTGTTGGACGTGCCCGCCAATCGTTCGCTGATGGGACCTTGATCGCTTCTTCCATGGACGTAGCGCTCTCGACCAGCGGCCCCGCTGCAGCCCCGGGGTGATAGCCCTTGCCCTTCTTTTCAAATTGAGGCGGAGGACGGTACTGTGGGGTCAAGTCAATCAAAGGCTCCGGCAAACCTGGAATCCGTTTCGATGCACTGCGTTGAAGGTCGCCTGAAGCCTGCCGGTGATGCGTGCTTCGGACCGAAGCATTGCGTTTCAGAGCAGTATCGTTTGCTGATACTTGTGCCACACGGTTCATATTGAGTAACGAGGGGCCCTCGGTGAACGCTCCTTGTTGTTGTTGTTGTTGTTGCTGCTGCTCACGGGCTTGCGCTGCTGCCTGGCGTTGTGTGTACGTTCTACCAAGAAGACCTCCAGCAGCGAACGTGTTTTCTTCCTGCGAGTCGCCCTTTTGGTGTCCTGCATCCTGCCGGTTGCTAGATTGTGATGTGCCTTCCGTAGCGATTGCATTTCTATTAAAGGCTGTAGGAGGCGGTTGCCTGACTCGTAATGACTTCTTTCTTGCATGCATGGCCTTTGTGTCGAATCGTCCAAGCGGTTTATTGTCAGGATACTCTCCGGGTTTGTGTACTTCGATAGCGTCTAGTGACTTGTTCAAATCCTCCATGTTCAATAGAGATGAGAATGCGCCCAATTGATAATGTGACCCCACAGATTCGCCTCGGGCGTGCGAGGCTGCCATCTGTGCTTTGCCGGCGCTTCCAGGTGCGTCTCTAGACACGTGGTTATCCTTCTTCAGGCCTTCGCCCTTCTGATGCTTCAAGTACCAACTTCTCCAGCTCTGTAGAGCTTTGTAGAAAGTGGTCGCGGTGTTTCTGTCGTTGGTGCAAAAGAAGTGGACATACTGCGACCCGTCCGCGAAGATGTTGGACTTTTGCATGCTCTTCACAGCGTAGCATATCTTCTTTGGCGGTTTGACCCTGCCCAGCTTCTGTTGAGTGACGGAATAAATATCGTAGTCGGTGAGCGTCAAAATATTATCCTGGTCCTTTTCTTTCGCCTTCTCGTTTTTCGCCATCACCAGCTGGCCATCTGGACGAAGTGTCAAATAGCGCTTGGTCCACTTGCCGGGCCTCGACGAGTACTGGATGAAGCACGACATTCCCTCTGGCCGAGTGTCTGGTACTTTGTAGGAGAGCAAGTCATCTTGATCAATTCCGTCAAGTTGTGAATCGATGATGGTGAGTTCGTTCTGGCCATCGTAATCCCATGAATTCATTACATCTCGGACGTATTCGTAATTACGCAGCGGCCGCGTTACGCTGACTTTGGTAACCAATTCGGATACAGCAGCTGTTCGAATGTCAATTGACTCGCTGAGAATAGTTGCAGCAGATTTGATGAGGTCTAGGGGTGTAGTCGTAGGGGTAACAGGGAGCTGAATGCGCTTTCGGTTGCATGTAACTGTCACGCGCTGTCGCATGGGTTAGCATCGTTCCTCGCCAGGGAGCGCTATACATACTCTGTCGCCAGCATTCACAGCAGATGTAGGGGCGTCAATGCCCAAGACTGCACCTCCGCCGCCCGGCCTGATGATAGTCTCGGACTCGCGGTCTCCAAAACTGAAGCTTCTTCGTGGTGGACTCGCGGGCTTTTCAGCAACTTCAGCAACGTCAGCAGTAAGCCCTTTGTCTCTCCGTCGCTTGAACAGCCCAAATCCTGCGTCATGGTGCCGGGGCGGTGATGTTGGAGGAGATGATGTAGCGTGGCGAGCTTGCTCTGCAAGCCTTGCTTTGCGCTCCTTCTCCTCCAGCTTCGCCGCGCGAGCTTCCTCTTCCCTTTGCTGAATCATTCGGTGGACTTCTGCCTTGCGCAGTCGCTTCCCGCGCTCCTGCTCGACCTTTTCGTCCTCCTTCAGTTGGCGCAATGTTTCCGCTTCCTCGGCTTCTTGCTGAGCCTGCCGACGCGCTGCCTCATCCTCTTCATGTCGCAGCCTGTCGAGTCTGTCCACCTCTGCCTGCCTCGCGTCCCTTGCTGTGCGCGCCTCGGCGTCATACTTTTCCTTCAGCAGTCGCTGGCGCTCCCTCTCCTGTTGCATGAGCAGTCTTGCGCTCTCATCGCCTCGTGACGAATGCTCTCGCGCGGAACGGGATACTGGAGGCGAGGCATCTGAGCGCTTTTCGGTGGTCCTTGGGCGGGGCTGGCCAGTGTTCGCCGAGTGCGATGCATGCTGGGGAGAGCTTACGGCTCGACTGCGAGTAGGGGACGACGGTGCCTGGGCGACTGAAGGTAGCGGTTGTGTGCTGGAGCGCAACGGGGGAGGAGAATTGGGGTTGGTCGCGTGCGCAGTCGTTGGGCGACGGTGGTAACGGCTCATGCTCCTGCTCAGCGGCGCGTCGCTTTGTGCATGCGTCTCGGGGACAGCAGGCATTGGAGGCACTGGAGGCGCTGCCGGCGAAGAATGCTGCTGCTGGTGAAACTCTCCCAAGTGCTGCGTCTGTCGCTCCTGCGCGCGTCTCACGCTCCTGTAGCGAGAGACTTTCTGCGACGCCGTTGTCGTCGGCGGCATCGCGTCGGTTGCCATGTTGTACAGGAATGCTGTTGTACCATGGGCTGCTGCGTTCCAGCGCGAGTGCAGGTAAGGGATGGAGGTGAGGGGGAGTAGGGCAGGGAGTCCAAGGGAGGGTAGGTGCACGCGGACAAACGGCGTTGCATTATTACTACTCAAATTAGTACCAGACACCAGGCTCACGGTGGTTCTAATATTGCATTACCTACTTTCAGTCCGTCAGGGGCACGGTTGGTTGCAAGCTAAAGTGCACAATAGCCGACCGTTCCATACGCTAAAGACCGCCACAAGTTGGCACCGCGTACGATGATACATAATTAGCCCGTTTGGACGAGCAAAACTTGGCTACATGAAGCCTGCAATCTTAAAAGCAATACACTAAGCCCTGTTTCAGCCACAGCCCGGGACGCACGGCTTACTTCGTATACATGCATCAGCCCTATGGGACACTAGATCAGCGTCTTGTACTAGATCAGCGTTCTGATACTTGATCGGCGTCACTTGATACTTGGTCATCGTCATTTCAGTAGTATAGTCATGGGCTGCTGTCATGACGATGTAATTGTACGTAAATCCTGAATGGGAATGAATTCACCAACATGAGGTCATGGCAGAGGTTGCCACGCAGCACTCGACGTAATCACCAATGTCTCCCCACTCAAAGTACCGCAGCTCAAGTAGCCCAGGGGAGTGAATGCTTTTCTTCAGCCAGGCAAGAACTAAGGAACATTGTAAGGTTTGATATTTCGTTTGCCGAGCTCCTTCACCATGGCCACAAACACCACTAAATACACACTCTCAATGCTCAAACTTTCTAAACATGAAACATCCACTGTTCCACCGCAATGCCGCGAAGACATAGAATCCTCGTCGTTGCAATCTTCCTTGTCCTTGCCATCTTCCTCTTAAACTACTACTCCGTTTCTACACCTAATCGCCGCAGAGACGGTCTCCACCCAGCCAATGCGACCCTGGGCTTTGGCACCATTCTCGCCGTCTCACATATCCAGTCGCCTCGACGCAGAAGCCTACTATGGGCAGCGAATCTAACGGACCTCGAGGTTGTAATTCCAGACCAGGAAGATTGGACAGAAGGTGATGTGCAGAACTTCCGTGCCAAGGAGGGCAGTAGCATAAGCAAAGGAAGTGCACTGGCGTGGCTAGGACATTTAGATGCGCTGAGATGGTAAGTCTATGATCTAGTAGGAGTATTGGGACGTGAATAGAGCATAGCGCTGTGCGAGAAGAAGAAGAAGAAGAAGAAGAAGAAGAAGAAGAAGAAAGTTAAGACACCCCCAGGTTCCTGAACACGACGCACGAAACAGCACTCATAATCGAAGACGATGTAGACTGGGACATGTCCATTCGACAGACGCAGATCCCTCTTCTCGCCGCAGCAGTACGCGTCCTCCTCGCCAACAACTCCAGTGACACTGGGTACTGGTCGCATGCCTCCAACTGGGACCTGCTCTACCCAGGGCACTGCGACGACCTGCTCTCCCCATCGACCTACCTGGCTCATCCCCACCTACTATACCGCGACGACACCACGCCACAGCACACGCTACTCCACCCGGATACATTCAACTTCCTGCACTCCTTTGCTTTACCGGAAGGTACACGGTTCCTGCACCGCGCCTTCTGGCCCTGTATGTCCAACTCACTTTCTCATTGGAACATGTTCAACTGACTAAACGCCAGTCTGCACATTCGCCTACGCCGTAACCCGACGCTCTGCTTCTCTAATCCTAGCACACCTCTCCCGCGAACTAGAGGGCGGCACTAGCGCGTTCGACGTGGCATTGCTGGCGTCCTGTCGCGATTTGGACTGGAGGTGCTGGAGTGTGAGTCCAGAGCTGTTTCACCATACTCAGGGCCAGTCGGAGATTTCCAGAGCGGATGGAAATGGCGATGTAGAAGTAGGGGCGAAAAGGGCAACGAGGGCGACGTGGAATATAGGATGTGGCGCGAGACATGCGCAGTTGTGGATGGACGAGAGTGATGTGGTGGGAAGGAGGGAGCTGAAGGCGTTGGTGGAGGGCATAGTGGAGAGGGGTGAATGTCCCGTTGATGGAGTGGAGGAGGAGAAGGGCTGGAAGGGGTGTGAGTGGGGAGAATGCGGTGCTCAGTCCTGATATCCTGGCCATGCAGATATATATTCGGCAATCTTCTACGGTGCCAGACGAGAATGGTCAAAGACATCAGTCCATTTGGATTTTGATATAATGATTATCTACAAATAGCCGCCCCGCCGTGCACTACCGCCCAGTCGTAACTGATCGGTAAATGCACAAAGCAACTCGTACGCCATATCATACAAAAAAAGCCCGCACACGAAGATATGGATGGGTATCCAGAAGCGAATGGGAAAAGCCAGAAAGGATTTCTGTAAAGAAGAATATAAAAATGTCAGACTCTAAAACCGAGCGGATGCGGAAATAGCGATGAATAGCAACATCAGTGTCTATCTGCCAATGTGGTAGGTAAGATTGACCTAAACAAGATCGACTGTCCAGAACATCCAATACATGAGCATTCAACGCCACAGATCCGCTCGGGAAGCCCGCTTCTCCCGCCCAGCATGGCTCATCCAGCTCGCGCGAGGGCTGGGACCGAGACCACCAAGGGAGTTGGAGTATCCATGCCCCATGCCGCCACTTGGGGTGGGATTTCCTGCGCTCCTCGGTCGCGCGTCATCGGCGGGTATGGCCAAGAAGCCACCGAGTCCATTGGGCACGACCACGCTCTTCCGTGCATCGCCACCCCACTGTGGCCCCAGGCCTTTGTGTGCGGAGTAGCTGCTGACGGGTCGACCGCCTGACAGGGATGGCCGGCGTCCTCCGGATAGTTCAGGAGGTATGATGGAGGTGAAGATCCATTCCAGCTCGTCCAAGCCCTTGGAGTAGACTTCTAGCGGCTGGTTGAACATGGGCGGTGGCGCTTCACTGAATGGGCGTAGTGGGGGCGCCAATGTGAGGATCTCTGGGAACTCTGGATCGCGGACGTATAATTGTCGCAAAGCGGGGAGGCAGTTGGACATGAGAGACCTCGCAAGGTATTGGTAATAGGAGGCGCCAGGTGGGTATAGCTGGTTGGCCGAGCTCGAGATGATCTCAAAGTTGAGTTTGTGCAAGGTAAAGGATGCCATGGGTGGTAGAGGATCCAAGGGCAGGGAAGCAGCGACCGTTGCGGTATAGTCCAGGGTTCTTAGATTTGCCGCTGCCTGAAGAATGACGTGTAGCGACGAGACTGGGATCCCGGAACAATCCTTGATGTTGAGAGTCCTCAGCCTGTTGCTGCACATGGGACTGGAGAGGTATTGGGCCAATCCATTCGCAGTAACACCATGAACCTTTTCCAGCTTCAGCGAGTCCAGCGCGGGGAAGTTGGGGAGGCCTGGGGCAATGTGAAACGTCGAGTCATTCATCCATGAGACGCCGGTTATGATGAGCTCACTCAATTGCGGGAGCATACCAAAGGCCTGCCTCAGTATGCTGGGCTCAATGTGTATCCTGTTGAGCTCGACGACGAGCAGCTCTTGCCAGTAGCCGTGGAGCAGTGACTCGACCGACTGTTCTCCACCCTCGTTGTACTTCATTTTCCGAATATGGGGACAACGGGCTTGGAGCTCTTGGCGGAGCAGCTGGCATGACGCGTCGCCGTTGTAGAAGCCGTCTGGGAGATCGATGAATTCTATGTTGGGGCAGCCCGAGACAAGTCGGGCAATGTCAGCCTTGCAGGATTCGCGGGTCATGTAAGGCAGCTTGATGAAGCGCACGCGCTGGCCGAGGTATTGGTTTCCGCGCACGCTCTGGCATAGCTGCTGTAGGCGGACCGTCGGGACGTCTATTTCGTCGCCGTTGCGCGACTTGCGCCGTCGCTGGTCGGTGAATATCTCTTCGAGCTCACAGTAGTGGACAGCGTCGATGCGTATGCTGTTGTATCTGCCCCGCGTTAGCTACTTCATATTCCTTGAGGGGTTGCGCGCACGTACAGGAGGCCGGCTGCAACGCCATACCACTGTCGCTTTGTGAGGGCGCAATGTGCCAGATCACGCATGTCACAGCTCATGCAGCCATCAGTACCACTGTCTTCGCTGCCATCCAGTGTTTCGTCGGCTGAGTGGGGGCAGACTTCCTCGAATATGCGGCGCAGGATGGTATCAGGTAGGCGACGGGTCTGATCGGGGCCGTGGTATGCGTAGGTAGCTGGAGAGTAATAGTCATTTCGCGGTTGCGATGCGTTCTTCTTGGGGCTCTTCTGGCGTCGGAAGCGCTTGAAGAAACCCATGATTCCGCGCGATGCACTGCCAATGAATCAGCAGTGGAAGGAGATGGACGCGACCGACATGTGGTCCGAGAGGGAGAAGTAGGCGGGGGGGTAGGTGTGGTTGTGTGTGACAGGTGCGTAGGACAGCTACTCACTCGCGTCGCTCTGCTTGCGGGGAAGTCGGATGCCGAGACATGGTGGTAGGGCACAGGACGACGACCCAGGCAAGCTAGAAAAGGCGGCAATATAGATGGCCAGGCACTACTAGGTCACGGCTTTGAGCCGGGGACAAAGAGCATAAATTGCAGAGGGACAATGATGCGCTGTCACGACGAAGCTCGTGCGTGTTCAGAAGCAGCAAGCGGAGGGAGGACGCGTTTAAGGGGTTCAGAAACTAAAAGAGTCAAGAGATTGTTCCACAAGACGACGAATCGAACGGCCCGCTGGAGGGACTAGTGGTGCAGCTTTGGACATGTCAGCAACACGGCCCAAGAAGGGGGCTTGTTGTTGATCATCAGTCATCGGCCTGCCCCCGAATTCCCTCTGTTCGGTGCGAAACAGCGAGCCGTTGTCTGGCGCTGAGGAGGGCCGTCACGTGCAGGAAGCTATGGTCCGCGGGGGAGACGGATCGGCAGGGGTGCCCTGGCCAAGCCACACGGGCCCAGAAAAGAATTACGAAGACAAGATGGGACGAGGAGGAAAAAGCAAGCAGGCCCACGGCGGATGCAGCATGAAGGAATCCGTCGTTGCTAGCCTATGGGTTGATGACAGGTGTGGTGGTTGGACAGGTTTCGAGCCCCAGACGCCGCAGAAGCCTCCCTCTGAGGGGCTGTCCCTATCTGTATACGTGCATGCATGCATACATACCTATGTGCCTACATGCATACATACAGAGGGTAATATCCTGTCACGGTGAAGCCAGAGTCGTCGTCGTTTGAGAGGTTTGTTGGTCTGTCCTGCTTCAGCGCTGTATCATCATCATCAGTCAATAGGCAGCTGGAGGCACAGGGTGGTACGGCAAAGGCGGAGCACACGCGAGAGCGTTCAACAGACGCGTGGAACATGCAATCAGAGGGCGTCGTCGTGTTTCAGGCGGCGTACCAAAGAAGCAACATCTTTGCCGAGCGCGACGAGCTGCCCGTCGTGTGTAGGTGCATTTTCCTACAGGCATTAGGGAGCTCACTCACCCACGGCTTCTTCAGGTTGCCATGTTAGAGAGGGGGGACACACGGCAAGCAAAGCCATCAAGGAGGACGCTGGGTGAAGGTGGATAAGATGACCCTCAACCGTGGTCCTCCTCATGTACATAGATATTATGATAGATGTATAGATTCCCGCTCGAGGGGTCATGACATGGCCCACCCACTCACTGCTGCTGCTGCAGACGCACTGGTCTTCTTACGCCGCCAAGCGGGTCCACGGTGCGCCTTAGCTCTTCAATCCACGTCAAGAAATCTTCTGGGGGGCATTGCACGGAGCTACCCACTGCCCGACCGCATCTCATACCACTTGGTCTCATCTCTCACGGGGAGTCTTTACCTTCACTCGCTCCCACCAATCTGCAGCAGAGCCAGCTGTCTCCCCTCCCTCGTCCATCAGGTGCCTCGTCCATTCACCTGCCCGCTGACGTCCTCGCACCTGCCCCGACCCACCCACTCACCCTCGTCGTCGTCTCTCGTACGCAAACCACTCGACGTCACGCCCACTCCGCCGCCCAGAAGCACCACCGCCCATAGCACCACCGCTCCCTCGCTCCCTCCCTCCTCCATCATCCCTCGAGTCGAGTCTACCGCGCCCGCACTCCCTGCCCGAGTATAGATAATGGCCTCTCAAGCTACCCCGAGCCCACAAGCGCCAAATCTAGACCGCTATCTAGTCATCCATGTAGCTACGACGTGCGACGAGCATGGCGTCTACGTCACCAAAGATTCTGCAGAGGTGATTGAGCTCGGGTGGATTCTGCTCGATGCAAAATCCTGCGAAGAGGTACGCTCGCTCTCGGCTGCTCCAATTGCACTTGCACATGCACATGACATGACATGCAGTTACTGACTGGCCGCTCCAGCTTCACCGTGAGAGTGTTTTGGTGAAACCTATCAACACGCCCATCACGGCTCTGTGCAGTAAGTCGTGTCTCTACCCGCTCTCCCCGAGCTTCGGCTAACTCGAAGCTCGCTGCAGCAAGCCTGACCACCCTCACTTGGGACCAAGTTCGCAACGCCGGCTCCTTTCGGGACGCCATTGACCGTTTCAACGCTTTCGCCCAAGAGCACATTGTGCCAAAGAACTACGAGTTCGCCTTCGTCACGCTCGACTCCTGGGATCTGCGCGTACAGCTGCCCCGCGAGGCTCGTGACAAGTCTGTCGTGCTCCCTCCATATCTACAGCACTCGCGAACATTCGACCTGCGCACAGAGTACCAACGCTGGCAGGCACACCATCCAGAGTCGCTGCCCTTTGGCTCGAGTGCTTTGACAAACATTTGTGCTGCCCTCGAAGTGGAGCCTGTCCAGTCCTCGGCTCCCATTAAGCACAACCTTCCCTTTCACCTGCAGGCTTTAGCTCCCGCCTCGCCCAGGCGGGCCATGGAAGAGGCCGTCACACTTGCTCGTGTACTCCGTGGCCTTATCCGCAAATCTCAGCCACCCCAAGAGCACCCCGACGTCCTCACCAAGCCCATGGATGCCCGCGCTGACGTACGTGCCTTCCTGTCGGAACGCAGCAAAGTCCTTCACATGAGTGGTCTGCCTCACGACACCACCCAATCCGAGCTTGAGAGCTGGTTCACGCAGTTTGGCGGTCGTCCAATTGCATTCTGGACTCTCCGCACTCCAGACCAGCACAAGCCAACCGGCACAGGTTTTGCCATCTTCTCGTCTCATGAAGAGGTATGTGCTCCGCATTCGTGACCTGATGACATGTGAAAAATGCTAACAGGCTTAGGCGGCAGAGAGTCTCTGTATGAATGGGCGTGCTCTCAACGAGAAGGCCATCGAGGTCTCGCCTTCCTCGAGCCGTGTTCTCGACCGCGCTGCTGATATCATCACGCCGTTCCCGCCTAGCAAGAATCGTCCCCGTCCGGGTGACTGGAATTGCCCCTCGTGCGGCTTTTCCAACTTCCAGCGTCGTACGGCTTGCTTCCGATGCTCTTTCCCAGCAATGCAGCAAGGCCCACCCGGCGGCGACCCGATGGCCTATGGTGGTGGCGGTGGTGGTGGATACGGATACGGCGGTCATCCTGGTATGATGGGCCCCCCACAACACCACATGGGTCATGGCCACGGCCATGGCATGGGTGGTGGTCATATGCGTGGAGGCACTGGCGTCGTTCCTTTCCGGGCCGGTGACTGGAAATGCGGTGAGAATGGATGTGGCTACCACAACTTCGCCAAGAACACGGCCTGTCTGCGCTGCGGTGCCAGCCGTGCAGGAGCTGCTGTCGTGGCTGACTCTGCCTTCCCATCGCCCATGGACACGCCATCTGGTTTCGGCATGGGGCCCCCTTCAATGGGCGGCACTCCTGGCGCTGGTCCCTATGGCCCGGCTGGCTTCGCTGCTGGAGGCTTCCCTGCACAACAGTATGGAGGGCCGCCCAGCCAATACGCGCTTCCATCGGGCATGGGTGCTGCTAGCCCCTACCCGCCTATGGGCGCTCAGTACGTACAAAACGGCGGTATGCATTCGACACCGTTTGACAGCCGCTCTGCGGAAGCGGCCTTCTCGTCGGCAGACCCCTACGCGAATCAGGGCGCCATGAACGGCGGTGATGGCCGCAATGACCCCTTCTCTTTCTTGTCAACTGGCTTCGGCTCACTATCGATGAACGATGACCGACGTAATGCTTCTAATCCGGCCAACAAGTCGCCGGCGTAGAGCACTCGTATATAAGGTATCGATCTTGTAGAGCCTGGATCTTTGAGCGATTTGACATGGTATGGTTCTTTGGACAGGCTGGCGCGGGCAAGATATCGGAGGGGAGTTTGTCGTCATTCAGATTGATACAAGATTTTGTGGCATTTGCTGCTGACTATCTGGCATGGAAATGGGGCGGGTTGCTTATAGACGGAAAACTCATTTGGCGAGGAGTTCGATACCTTTGGGGATTGGTGGTGTTTGGGGCTCGACTTGAACCTTTATAAAAGCTGGACGGACGGACAGGGCAAAAGTACAACATGGAGGGCGGCAACACGGGCTTGCCGACACAGGGCTTGTTGGAGCTTTTTGGATCTGCCGGAGGATCTCTTCCTTGATGTCTTGTCAGCCAGCGTTTCTCTTCGACATTTGTCTAGCTTTGCTTCTTTTCGTCTGCGTTGATTTCCTTGACACAAATTGAGTCACTTAGCATAGCGCGGCAGGGGACGGGCGCGGAAGAGGACCGCATTACTCAAAGGCCGCTTGTAACTAAATATGTTCTCCTTTTATTTTTTCCTTTCGTCTCTGCAATCCTCGACTCATTCAGAATTAAAGCACAAAAGTCTAGCTATATAGATGCATGTACAAAACTAATATACTCTTAGTACAGTATTCATGTTTAATTGTGTATGAATTCGTTGGTTAGTATATCAACGTGCTCGCGAGCTTGTACAGAACACAACCCGATGGATTTCTCTGCAACAGCTACTAGACAGGAAGAGAATGCTGTCGGCAGATAGATGGATGGGCCACAGACTTGCCTACTTTAGATGGCTCTTGAGATTGTGGATTTGGCCCCGTTGTTTATCTTATATGCATGCAAGCCGCTCGAGACGGTGCGTTATCAGTATCAAGCCGAAACGGTTAGAGTATCCACTTCAAGGAGACTTACCATCTCCCTTGATGGAGTCGAAGCCCCGCTTCAACGTCGCACATGGAGAACATGTCAGACACATGCACAAACATGACTCGGGTGCCTTTGCGGGAAAGTCACGTCCCCATTCTACAAGTATGGCATGAGACCTGCGTGAGTACTCGACGCACACTGAATCCTTCTTCCATCTCGAGATGTAATTTGAGATCTGACGGAATTCCAAGGATGGCGAACGGGTAAGCCGCACCAAAACGGCGAGGCGCAGCGCTACCGGTAATAGCTCCAGGAAATTACCCGTGAACGCAGCTTATTCCTACGACCACCAATCTTGTTTTTTCACCACGAGTCCAAAAGAGCTGCTGAGGCGGACGGTGATGATGAGCGGGCTGAGTATTGAAGAGGGGTTTTTGCCTCAGTTATAATGGCTGGCGGCAACTGCGCGACTACTGTGTTGCTGTGGCTGCACAGCTCGTGAGACAATGTCTTCACCTCCCTGCTATGCATGCCCTCTCTCGTCCCACGCACGGCGAGATGATTGCTCGTGTTGTCCTTGTCGCATCTTCTTTTCCTGGATGCCGGGTCATTCCCGAGAATCTGGGTTGACAGCTTGATGAAGCTGCAGAATGTCGAGGCTTCGTTTTGGACCCCAGGAATGCATGCACGTGCAGGTTCTACCTACAAGGTGTGTCGTTTGAAGCACTAATTAAGCAATGTACCACCTACATTACGATGTCAGCGCCAGTCTAGAGCTGATAAGTTCAGTTCAAGTTGCAGCGGGTAACTAGTCAGAGCCACAGGTGTACAGTCGCTAGTTGAGCCCGCCCCCCAGGCTAGGGTCTTTTAACCAAAAGTTTAGCACTATGCACTAACAACGCCGCGATATTCCGGGACACTAGTTCGACATCACTTTGCATTGCACAAGACTATGAATTAAGATTGAACAACGTTCTGCCGTCGAATCCAGAGGCTGAGCAGCCTCGCCTGTTTGCTGCTGACGTTGGACCAAGGTGAGAATTGCCAAGCTTCCAACAAACGCCATGTATAGAACAGGGCTTCTCGCTCCGCCGGGCCTCTCGCGCACCACCAACACCACTACCACTATGCGGGCCACCACTACCTGGATAAATTTAAGAGCTCAACTTAGGATGGGCCAACTACCCGCTACCAAGCTTTAGCAAAAAAAAAGGGCATAGGGCTGGGATCCGCGGGGCGTAAAAAAAGTGGCTCTATTATTATGCGTCAGCATAGACCTGGGCGTAACTGAACTTGCCCCCGACCGCCTTGCTGCCCTCACAACCTTGCCCTCTCCCACTCCGGGGCTCGAGTGTGATAGGTTTATTATTGTGTCGCATGTCTTCGACGCTGGGACATCAAAGTCACATTGCTCCCCGTGTGTCGATTTAGAGACGGATTTCCATCCTTGCTCCCACACATTCCGCCACCGACGACGAGGACGGCCCGCCTGGATTCAAGTGTTTGGCAAGCTGTACCATGCCGATACGCCTATTTGTTTTCTAACCCGGTACCTACAACTTTTCGAGCGTTGTTTGGCATTTTCCAGTTTGCGGCCAGGCCTTTCGTCGTTCTCGCATTGTGATAACCCCCCTGGTCCATGGATTCGCGTTTATGATAACGATCTACCACCCGTCATGCTCATAAACATGCCGCCGCATATCATCTCGACCCTGCCCCGGCTAGTCGCTATTCCTCTCCTCCTGCTGGCTTGCAGTCTCTTCTTCCTACCACGGAGACATGACCATCCATCAGCCTTCAATCCCGTCCATTACCAAGGGAAGAACGTTACCGAGGCAGGATCTACGTTCGGTGCGGCAGTGCAAGGCTTTTGGCAAGATCTTGCGTCGGCGCTTCTCGCAGCTCAACCACAATGCAAACCTCTACAGCTCGTGAAAGATGACATTGGCTCGGCGGCCGACTGGAGACCGCTGGAACCAGAAAGAAAGCATGCTGATCGACTGGCGGGCTTCACCGACGATGATGAGACCGCCTTATTCCGGGCGCACTATGCTATGCGGACATCGGCGCAACATCTCGGTTCGAAACTGTCGTTTGCAAAAGGCACCACGGGGATTGTAACAACAGCCAATGCTGTGTATATGCCCGTCTTCTTGGTGTCTTTGCGTATGCTTCGAAGAACAGGATGCAACCTTCCAGTCGAGGTCTTCATCGACGATTGGAGCAAGTACGAGCCAAAAATATGCGACACCATCCTCCCCTCATTGCAGGCGCGCTGCGTCGTGCTGTCAAACGTATACGACACCGCCGAGTACATCAAACAGCCGGATCACTACCAGTACAAGGTGTTCGCGATGCTCTTTTCCACTTTCCAACACGTCCTCTTCCTAGACAGCGATACATTCCCCGTCTATGATCCCACGATCCTCTTCTCAACCGCACCATACACGACTCACGGTCTCGTCACATGGCCCGATTACTGGGCCTTAACCATCTCGGCGCACTTCTATCACATCGCCGCCATACCTGAAGAACCGTCACAAGCGCGATTCACCACCGAGAGCGGCCAGCTGATGATCAACAAAGACGTGCACCGAGAATCTCTCCTCATGATGGTCTACTATAACTACTACGGCCCAGACTACTACTACACGCTCCTCTCCCAAGGCAGCCACGGCGCCGGCGACAAGGAAACCTTTGTCCAAGCCGCCATGGCCGTCGGCCTGCCTTACTACCAAGTCCGCAGCGGCCCGCGCGCCATCGGCCGCCACATGAACGGCACCTTCCGCGGCTCAGCCATTGCGCAAGCCGACCCAGGCCTCGACTACGAATACCTCACCCCGATGCGCAGCCACATCCACCCTTCAGACCAATGGCAAAACACAGACCTCGCACACCCCGTCCCCGCCGTCGAGAAATCGCTCAACCGCACGCGCAAAGCGCCCAGACGGCCGCGGCCTGTCTTTCTCCATCAGAATATGCTCAAGCTTGACCCGGCCAAGGTGCTGGTCGACAAGTCGCAGCCGACGTATGAGCTCGATGGTACGCCGCATAGGATGTGGGGCAGTAAAGAGGACATGGTGGAAATGCTCGGGTATGATGTTGAGAGGAGGCTGTGGGATGTTATTGCCGAGGAGGGGTGTAGGGAGGACCAGGCGAGCAGGACGTGTGGCGAGATTAGAGGGTTTGTCAGGGAGGTGTTTGGCTGGATGGACAGTATTGATCGGCCGTGGTGAGGGGCGGCTTGTTCACATGTCGATATACTTTCAAGTCTGGCAGTATAGGTTGCTCGAGGGATTATCTACGGGGCGTACGAATGGCGTTGGGAGCATGTCACCGGGGCCTGCATATATGGGTTTAGATAGTTTAGCTTCTCAGGTGGCTTGTTTCGTTCTGTATACCCTGTACATTGCTGTTGTATATTTATATATTTCTCAAATACAACTTTTCATCTTAGCGAACTACGACCTTGGGTTTACCGTAGCATAGTCACCATCTATTATCTTCATCTTCTATGCAGCTTAGAAGAATATCGCAGAGCCGCACGTCTTTATTCGCCGCTACATTCACAGCATGACGTATTATTCACGCAGACTGTGAAGCAGGTCCTGATTTCCTTCAGGGCTGAGCTGAAGAATGAGGGTGTCATGTGCCAGGTACAAGCGTCCTAGACCGCTGGGTCTGTGTCACTGTACGCCAGGGAATGGGAACATGTTCCCCTTTCGTGGGTCAACCACATAATCTTACCTCTCCGATTCACCAAAGTTTTCAGCCCATGAACGCCTCAATCTCGTTATACAACCCTCTCATGGGGCGAAACTACAGTTACGGTTCGTGAACTAGGCTTATTCGAAGGAATTTGAGTATAGATCAACATTGTCTCAGGCGTGTTTGTGTGGCTGCATTGAAAGAGGAATATCATTCGCATGAACTTCATTGCATACACCCCCATTCCGCCAGACACAATACGTCCCGCCCTGAACCAACAACCAAGTAACCGAAGAACGCCGACATCAGCCCAGCCCAAACATATACAGTTTCCCTTTGCAGTAAATTATGAAGAGTCATCGTCTCTTAAGAGACTCTCCATGATATCATCTTCCGTGACCGCTGTCTTCCCTCTTCCAATAGTCATTGTCGTATCATCATCGTTTACTTCATCCTCTACCTCCTCGTCTTCTTCTTCAAGGGGCATGCGTGTGCCTTCGCCTTGCAGCCCCGCTAGCATCGTATCATCCTCATCTTCATCAATCTCAGATCCGTCCACATCTGCCTGAGTCTCATCGACACCGCTTTGCGCTTGAGCCTGCGTCTTGGAAACCTCAGTCGTATCATTGTCTGCTTCGGTCTCGCCCTCATTTCCGTCCGCAACAGTGGTTTCGGCCGAAACGGGAGTCTGATCCTGCACCTGTGTGACAAGTTCCACCTCGCCCAAGCGCTTGGTAAGACTAATCTCCAGTTTAGATAGGGCGTTTCGCTGTGTGGCATCCACCCCAATCCTGCCTTCTACAGCCTCCGAAACAAGGCCATGCAGCGTACGCAAACTCTCTTCATCCACAACAAACTCCTCGCCCTTCCGCCTCGTAGATGTCGGAGCAATGTACAATTTACCCAGCAACGACAGTAACGGTTTCCTTTCATCTTTCGAGCATGTACTTGTCAAAGCACGCTCCAAGACTTCATTTGCAAGATGGATATGCGGTTGTTCTGCCTCCGCAGAAGTACTCGTTTTCCCGTCAAGCCCCAGCTCGGTAGTCCCGACGACTTTCCGCCCATCTGTCCATTCAGAGAGATGGGCGGTGATGACAGGCCAGCCCACCATCTCATTGATCTCCTCATCATCGACAAGTTCATCGCGCATGAGGAGTAATTTCGATATGATCGGGACAGCGATCTGAGCCATGAGCTCTGCGTTTTTGAGTTTCGAGTGGCAGTATACGGGGAGGAAGTAACTCAGTGCTTGTCTCAGCGCGGGGTTCAAGGCGGCCTCAGGATCGAAGTACGTCAGCGTAAATGCTTTCAATATGTCCGCCGTTGGAGCCGGTGGTAAGATGCCTAGCAACAACAGTTTGGATGCAGCGGTGCAAGCAATGAGGCTTATTCGCCGGTTGTCTAAGCCGAATGCCTTTAATAAGACCTTAGTGAGTGGCTTGATGAGCGGATTCGGCTTCGGCTCGGCATCCTCCTCTGTGGCTTCTGGGTCTAGCGCTGGAGGCGCAAGAAGTTGCGGATGCGTGATGATAACATCAGTTAACACTTGAATGACAATCTCCTTGAGTGCGTCATGGCCCTTTGTATAACAATGTAAGAAGAGATCCAGGTTGCTCAGTGCAAGATCCTGCATACTATCAGCACCATCTCAGTCACGCTACTCAGATACAACAAGCTTACCTTGCTAAGGAGAGCAGCCAAACCTAAACAAATCACTCCTCGCTCTCGGATCATCGCTTCGTGTGCCTGGACAGCGGGTATGATCAGTGTGTTGAGGATGTTCGTCAAGGAGTTGTCCGATTCCAGATCACCCTGGACGTTTTGTAATGTGCATTGGGCTATGTGAAGGCATTTCGAGTACACCATGACTTCTCGGATACGCTGTTCTTCCTCTTCTTCCGGGCTAAGATCCTTCGCGATGTCCGACTTCCTTAGTTTTATCAGAGGGGCATCTCCGACGACGTCTGACTGGGCGGAGTGGAAGCTTTCTTCATCGTCGCCGTCGCCCTTGTCTTGGGACTCATCCACATCCGCATCTAGTAAAGAGTCTCGAACCTCAGCGATAGCCTCCACTATTATGGCGCAAAAGTCTGACTCGCCGCGTTGGCCGCAGACAATGCGCAGGACTTCAATGGCGAGCTTCGTGCACTCCTCAGGAAGTTGAGCCTTCGCAATGGCTTCCCGCATGATGTTGTACATCTGCCTTCGTCCCATTTCGTCCGTGTAGTCGAGTGTTTGGGCGATGTGAAGAAGCTGTTGAACAATGAAATCCTTCTCCTCAACATCTTCTTGAGCTTCCTCGGCGTCAGGATCCGACTCGTCCATGACTGCGACTTTGTCTACTAGCTCCATCAACGAGTTCAATTCCCTCTGTAGAATGAAAGCGAACATGGTGACTTCAGGCATCTTGTCCTCGATCATACCTTGGACTCTGTCATCTTGGGTCCCGTGGCAGTAGTCATTTAGAGTGCGCGCAATGAACGCAGTCTGCGAATCCAGATTTTTCCAGAATTCATGGTCGAACGTGATGTGCTCGCGATAATCTTCACGGCCGTCCCAGAACTCGCGCATCGCCTCGTGAGCCATGCCGTCTTCTTCACCCGACCGGGTGACATCAATGCGCTCGAGGAGTTCGCACAGAGCTTCAAGATCCGGTGGAGCAACACTGCCCGGCTTCCTCTCTTCTTCGGGACGCTGATCGCGCGATGAAGCACAATTCTCAAGCCATCGTTCGCGAAACAGAGTTGCAGCAGCTTTTCGCACTTTATCATCGCGATCCCGCAGCCCCCACCGAATGAGCTTCTCTCGTTCTACTAGCGACATGTGCCGAAAGTCTCCTAGAGAAGGCAATATACTGACGTATACCACTCGTCGCAACGTTGGATCCATATCACGAGCTCGCTCAAGGAGGTATCGTAGGGACGATGGCAATATAGGTAAATTTGCGAGAACAGCGCGTCGCACTTCGGCGCTCGGGTCGTTGATCATGACATCTACTAGCTTGTCTAGTATGCCGCCTGTGGTATCGTCATCGCTGTCTTCCTCATCTTGCTCGTCATCCTCTTCGGATGCAAGGCGGCCGAGACCAAGGACTGCTTGCACGCGCACTGGAGACTCCTTGTCTCGCAGACGTTTCAAGAAGCCCAGTCTGCATAAATCGAAAATGTGGCCGTCGAACGTTGTGAGGTTGTTTACGAGCTGCGCGACTGTTTGTGTCGCTCGAAAGCGAACCGTCTTGTCTTTGGCTGTCAGAAAAGCGAGGATCGTAGTGATGATCTGCGATATGAGGCGGCTGCTTGGTGTCTCTGCTAACATTGTTTCCTCTTCCTCCGTCTCTACTGCAAAGATTGCTTGGTCTGTTTCGCGTTAGTATGCCGCTATTGTATTGTTGTGTCGAGACTCGACCTACCCTTTTCTGAAGCATACTTCAAGAACACGGCCAAGAACCTAATCAGTCTTTCTCCTGCCGGCTCGGTTTTCTTGACGCAAAGTATCCTGAGCGCACATCTTACAATCTCATTGTTGAAATCTTCCTCGTAAAAGTGCTCTTGTACCTCTCCCATAGACTTCTTCCCATGTTTCTTGCCTGTATCCGGAGGCTCGAAGCAGCAAGCCTCCTGTATCTTTCTCAGATTGACCACTAGCTTTCGTTGCGTCGCAATAGTCTTCTGTGCATCTCCGAAAATTTGCGCTACTCGTGTCCGCAGTGACGTTATAGGGCCTTCATCAGGTATCTCGACTGCGTTCGAGGACTGTCGTGCGGAGGAAGCGCGTGTTGACTTGAGAGTCCCGGTAGTCGATTTGGGGGCTTCTGACGTAGTGGAAGTGCGCGTTGCGCGCGTCGATGTGCGACCAGGCATTTTTGCTGTGTGTTTAATAGTTTGTATCGTCCTCTCCTGGTACTAGCATAGATATCTTGCTGATGGTGGCTGATGTATGCAATGTTGTGCACAGCGCACAGACATAAACAATGCGGGCGGATACGAAAGCACGTGAAAGCGGGATGGCGACATGGCGACATCGGGCGAAAGCGCGTTGATTCGCCGATGGGCCGACGACTTCATTGAGAGCTTTCGCCTCCATTCAAATTCTCACATCTCTTTTGTTGGTAGTGCAGTCATGTTCCGGACAGCAGCGCGCAGCTTTGCGGCTTCTGCATGGCGGAGTGCCCAGAGCATAAGTCAATTGGAAGCCGCAAACCAAACGGCCATCAACATCTCAAAAGCTCAAGGCTATGGACAGCGGGGCTTACTAGATGGTACGATTGCAATAGCCACGGACCCGCTCTATATTACTTCAAGATGATGTTACTAACATAGCTCATAGCAATTGGAAAGACACCTCTGATCCGCCTAAAGAAGCTCTCCGAGGAGACGGGCTGCAATGTTCTAGGAAAGGCCGAGTTCCAGAACCCGGGTGGCTCTGTAAAAGATCGCGCCGCTCTTTTTGTCGTCGAGCATGCAGAGAAAGCCGGCCTGCTTAAGCCAGGCGGCACGGTCATTGAAGGCACGGCGGGAAACACTGGCATAGGCCTCGCACATGTCTGCCGCTCCAAAGGCTACAAACTCGTAATCTACATGCCGAACACGCAGTCGCAAGGCAAAGTCGACCTCCTCCGCCTGCTCGGTGCAGAAGTATACCCCGTCCCCGCCGTCGCATTCGACAACCCAGAGAATTACAACCACCAAGCCAAACGGCACGCCGAGCGCTTAGACAATGCGGTGTGGACGAATCAATTCGATAACACGGCAAATCGCCAGGCGCATATTGAGACTACAGGCCCAGAGATTTGGTATCAGACAGAAGGCAAGATCGACGCATTCACCTGTGCAACTGGTACTGGAGGCTCCCTAGCTGGCGTTACACGTTACTTGAAAGAGAAGAGTGATGGAAGGGTGAAGAGCTTCTTGGCGGATCCACCTGGCAGTGTGCTGCACTCGTATATTCAGAGTGGAGGGAAATTGGCAGATAGAGCTGGAGGTTCGATTACAGAAGGCATCGGGCAAGGCCGCGTAACCGACAACCTCAAGCCCGACATCGACCTCCTAGACGGCTCGTTACACATCAGCGACGAGAAGACGATCGAGATGGTGTATAGGTGTCTGGACGAGGAGGGTCTGTATCTAGGCGCCAGTTCATGTCTGAACGTCGTAGCAGCAAAGGAGGTGGCAGAGAAGCTGGGCAGGGGACATACTGTCGTCACACTGCTCTGCGACGGCGCATACAGATACGCCGATCGTCTATTCTCGAAGAAGTGGTTGGAGCAGAAAAACCTCCTAGGCGCGATACCGAAGCATTTGACCAAATATATCGTCCTACCTTAGATGGTTGAGAATACATAACGAATAAAGAAACACGAATACCACTGTCACATCTACGAGTTTGTTTTTATGAATCTACGAGTCTAGACGCGAGACTTCATCCAATCTCTACAACCGCCTGATTCTAAGTCATTTCCCAACTCGAAATCACATGCAGACTATATCATAGGCGACCCACTAGCAAAGCCATTGACAAACGCCGTCATAAGTTGGTTCGCAATCGCCGTCTGCGGCGGCAACCTAAGTCCGCCTTCCTTGTACTCTGGCCCCGCATCGTCTCCAAGCCCACTCGTTCCAACCCTTAGAGCCTCCCTCACTTCCTCTGCCGTAAACCACTTTGCGTCCTCTAATTCCACGTCATGGCCTAGATGGATCGTCTCTCCACCAGGAATAGCCTGCCCAATTGCGCCAATCATCAAATTGGCAGGATAAGGCCACGGTTGCGTAGAATGAATGACTACACGTCCAAGATGGATACCAGATTCTTCCCAGACTTCACGACGCACGGCTTCTTCGACGGACTCGGCGGGTTCGAGGAAGCCGGCTAGGGTACTGTACCAGTGTGGTGGCCACCTCTTCTGTCTACCCAGCAGTATCTTCTTTCCGTCCGCTGAGACAACGGCCATGATGACCGTCGGATCTGTCCGCGGGAAGCAAAGGTTAGAAACACCGGTTCGGGTAGCGCACGGGGGACGTTCGCCTGCGGTAGCTACTGACTCAGCGATGTCCTTGGGAGGACATGTGCGTTTGAAGCCGGCGTGTACGGAGAGCGTCTTGTAGCCGCAGGATGCGCAGTAGGGGTTTCGCGCGTTCCAGTCGAGGAGGTGGCGGGCTTCGGCATAAATGGCGGCTATTAATCACCGTTAGTATTGATACTAAACACATGTCAAGTATTGAAGGGAACATGGGAAAACTTACCTTCTATCGCTGGCAAACTCAAATGCATCCTTCCCTTGCTAAAATCTAATCCCTCTCCAAGCAACCTCTCTACCAACTTCTCTGCCTCTTCTTTTACGCTTTCCTTTGGGGTAACATCAACCGCAAACCATGGCTGGCCCTTATAATGTTCCTTATACACTAAACCTTCTTTCTTCTCATGCAGGCCTAGAAATATTATCTGAGGCAGGTAGAGGGAGGAGTTGTATTGCGCAATGGTGTCTGTCTCTGACCGCTCGAAAGGATTGTTGCCGATGATAGATTTGACATCCTCGAACTTCTTTTGGGCGAGTTCGGTAGGAGACTTCAAGAGGGGCTCGAGTTTGTTAAAAAGGAGGAAGGTTGTGCTTGGATGGTGAAGGGCGGCAGAGAGGAAGGCATGGTCGGCGCGGAGGAAAGACACGCGGTTTAACGGAGAGCCTACGTGGTAGTGTTAGATATTGCAGGATAGAGAGGCAGGCTAAGACGAGTAGATGTACCGGAGAAGTAGTTAGCGACCTCTCTTCCAAACTTGCGACTTAGCATCGAGTCGACGTCCGGATGCGCTGGCTCAGGAAGCTCCGGCGGGGGAAGCGGGGGCATTGTATGTTGTTCTATCTCCAACAGTATATAGTAGATACGCTTGACACTTCACAAACGTAAGAGGAAATAAAGCCAAACACTGAAGACGAGCAATGCGAGAAGAAGAGATCAGACCGCGAGACCCTTAGTATACATCCTTCTGACGTCTTACCCCACGGAGGGGCACACTAGCAGTGGATTATTAACCAACATGAGAGAGGCCGAATATTCGTCACTGATTGTTCCGAGGCCTCGGTTCCTTTTCCGAACCACAAGTAAGCTTATCGATAAAGGTTATTTGGACTTCCAGAACACCTGGCGCGATTCGCATACGGCGATACGCCTGCCGCCATGAGCCAATTCTACGTACGTGTATACATCTAATTGAGTCTCGCTGCTTCTTATCACGTCATTTGAGGCATGTACACAATATTTGTGCTGATAGCAATGCATAGTTTGGAGACTCTCGCTCTAACTCCTCTGACGATGATGAAGACAATCTCGATACGCTGCCCTTCGCTACCCCATTACAGCGCAGCGACTTCCTAGCTCCAAATTTCTCGCCGTCAACATACCTCTCCACGCTTTCCAATCGACACCAAACACTCGAAGACCTACGCTCAGAACTGCGCTCCCGATCACAGCTCCTCAGCAAAGAGCTCCTCGATCTCGTGAACTCGAACTACCAAGATTTTCTGAACTTGGGGAATAGTTTGCATGGCGGTGAAGAAAAGGTAGAGGAGGTCAGGGTGGGGTTGCTAGGCTTTAGGAAGGAAGTTAATGGACTAAAGGGTGTGGTGGAGCAGCGGGAACTTGAAGTTGGGCAGCTACTGCAAGACCGGAGAGACGCTAGGGCAAAGATCGAGATTGGGAGAAGGCTTGTGGACTACGACTCAAGACTCAAAGAGCTCGAGAGCGAACTGGTCATTGAGACGTCAGGGAAAGAAGTGATTGTCTTAGGTGACGAGGTGTCGGATAGCGATGAGGACGAGGACGAAGATGAAGAAGACGACGGGAGCTATGGAGTTTCTATTGCGAAGCTGAGGAGGAATGTAATACAATATAAGCTGATACTGGGTTTGGAGAAGGGCCTGAACGAGCATCCATTCATTACAGCGCAACGGCCGCGGATAGCAAAGGCGCGGAGTACGTTGTTGATGGACCTAAGCACAGCATTACAACAAGCAAAGAGTGCTGGAACAGCAGGGTCTGGCAGAGTTATGAAGGTCATGAAAAGTTACGCGGACATGGAGTCAGCAGAGGCAGTCAAAGTGCTCAAGTCACTCAAGACGAGGCAATAGGCAAACATGATACCAGCATAGCGATGGCGTTAGATATGGTACATTGATTGTACAGCATGTATGCTAGATGCAAGAATCTACAAAGGACCAGACAACTCCTTTGGCGCTATAGAATTCGCGCCTTTGAACTCTCCGTTCAGCGTGAAGCCAGGCGAATTCGTTGAGCTGAGAACCTGTCATGCTGTTAGCTATCCATTCACAATAGTCAGAGAGTAGTGGAGTTGACTTACCACCTCGTGCACTTCCTTACTTATCCGATCACTCATCTGCGCAATATCCTTCCTTAATGCATCCATGAACGCTTTAACGTTCCTCTGCATCTCCTCTGGCGTGAACCCCAGCTGCCCAACCGCCATCCTGATCACCCCCAATCGTTCTCTGTACTCACTTCCACCCACCATGTTCCGTACACTCGATCCCACAGATGTTACCACGGTGCCCGTCTTCGTGCTCGGCATCAGCCCCTTAGGTCCCAACACTCGTCCCAGCCCAGCTTTATTGAGCTTCTGGAGAGATTCAATGTGGCAAATACAGCGGTCAAACTCGACAATTCCCTCCTTGATCTGGGCGAAGATTTCGTCCTCGCCAACAAGGGTGGCGCCGGCGGAACGTGCTTCGGCTGCGGCTTTCGAATCGGGCGCTGCGATGACGCATATTCGTATGTCTGTCTTTACAGGGTGTGGCAGACGTAGGCGATTGCGAACTACAGGACCGTTTTTAAGGGTGCGCAAGCGGACGTGCATTTCGTACTTAGAGGAGGATGGGTTGCGGCCGACTTCGAAGGCGCGGATGTAGCTACCATATAGTTAGTATTTGGCTGGACAATGGCTATCTGTGTAGAACGGAAGAGATATACTGCATCGCATCAATGAGCGAGAACTGCTCTGCCTTCTTCAGGTCATACTGTAAGAAAGTATTCCTGGGCTTCTTCTTTTTCTTGGGTTGGGCTTTTGTGGTAGCGCATCGTATCGACTGGTACGGTAGCGAGGCAAAACGGGGTATCTCGGATCTCGACGAAGCGATTGATAATGTCGTGAGTCGGCTCAAAGGAGCTATGAGCGACCGTGGGTGTGCCATTGAGCTTTGTGTTTGCTGATGGCTGTCGCGTTCATCTCAAGATTTGGATCGGAGTTCGGAAGAGCCAAGATGCGGCTAGCTGTTTTGGGCCGTACACTATGAGACGCTTCGCTTCCAAGACGAGGGTTGCCTTTCCCCACGACTTTAGCAGAATGACATCAAGTGTCTAGTCTGCCATTTATTTGATTTATTATTGTCCCCTACATTCTCGCTGCTAACAACTAATTTACGAACGCCTATCCACCGCTAGAAGTTCATATGAAATGATACATACTGCGGAATGGCATCTTAGGTGTAAGAAAAGTTCTGTAGACAATGATGGTAATAGCGAAGACTCTATTTTTTTAATCTCAGTTTGACTTCGGTATGCTCATCCTAGTCATAGCTATTTTGAAGCATAGTATGAATAACCGCCAAATCAGTCTCGAAGCGGCACTAAAGCTAATGTCCTAGTAGTAGCTAGCAACTGGCTCTCCCAGGACATCCAAGCGAGGCTTCATGCCCAAGCCTGGCGCACTCGGTGCTGTGACAAGACCGTCGTGAACAGGATAGTCGCAATCCGCCGTCTTCACCGTCACCATATCTCTTGTGTCTAATATGCATCGCAAATTCCGCTCTGGAATCGTCTGGGCTAAATGGACAATTGTGGCAAATGAGATATCAGAGCCGACCGTATCTTGAACACTAATAGTATAGCCGGCAGCTATACAGATGTCGCGCTGTCGACGACCTCTGGTCAAACCACCAGCTTTCGAGATCTTGAATCCAATGCCTTCTGCCGCATCATCGGCAATTGCTTGCACAATAGAGGCTTCGTTGGTTGCAAGCTCGTCGAATATCATGGGATGGACCTATGTCGAAGAGACATGTGCTCTCGTAATGTTGCACAGGGGCTCTCGAGAACAAAATCCAGCCCCTCCGGCAACAACTTCAGCGTTCGGAGCGCGGTTTCAACAGTCAACCCGCAGTTTGCGTCGACAAGAAAGAATTCTCCCGGTTGCTTGTCGGCCATTGCTGCGACAATCAGTGCTGCATCCGCTGCAGGCTCTTGTCCAATCTTAATTGAGTAGCCTCTATACCCATTCGCTCGGTCTTTAGCAACTTGCTTACGCACATCCTCCGGACTCATCACACCAATGGAAGAAATCGTAGGTAACTTGACATTCGTTCTTCCACCAAGGAGTTCGCAGACAGACAATCCGACAGACTTTCCAAAGGCGTCCCAGCATGCTATATCTATGGCTGCCTTTGCGGCTTCATGACCGAGTAGCGCGGCATCCATGGCGTCGTTGATGCGGTCCACCCTTCGAGGATCAAGCCCGATAATGCTGGGTGCGATTTGAGCGAGACCGGCTCTAACGCCGAGTGCGTGGGAAGCAACGTATGTGGAGCCGAAGGGACAACTTTCTCCCCATCCTTCGATTCCGGTGTTGGTGGTTATGCGGACGATGGTGGAGTCGAAACTCCTGTACTCTCGTCCTGCGGAGAGAACATAGACACCGTGGGAGTATGGTAAGTCCACCTGGAAGACGTCGATGCGTGTAATGGCTAGGTCTACCATGTCTGGCGGATTTGCTTGGAAGTCTCTTTTAGAAAAGGGAGTATGATAATGGATTCTAGAGCTATGACGTCCTGGAGTCAATTTATATGAGCAATAAGCAACACAAGGGCCTCGAAGTTGGTGTACTCATTACCCATCTGTGTAACATCGACATTAAGGCGAGGCGAACGAATCGCTTCAGACCAACCTGCCGTATGCGGTAGTAGGCGCTTTGAAAATCCTCTTAGAGAACGACGGAATGATAGCGTACCGACTGATTTTGTAGCGGAGCCGTTGTAGAGCGGATGCTATTGGTCAATTTGGAAACATGATTCCTGAATAGGAATGTGGACCCGCGTATCAGCATACCACAGCCAAATGCTTTGAAATCTCACCAGCGATTCTCTGGCAACATTGATAAGTTTTTAAAGCGTTCTATCGATTAGTGTTCAGTTATCAAGGTACTTGTCAACCACTATTCACGATCAAACCGTCGCACCATCGAAAATCTCATAGGTTAGCAATCAGTCTTTAAGCCTCATCGCAATATCGATCTCTGAAGCCATACTGACTGAAAAGATAAACATGTCTCATCTGCCCACAACAACACGTCGCGCCTTCCGCAGAACCGACGACTTCACCCCTGGTACCCCAAAGGTCAAGCTCGTCACTGAAGACCTCCCTGCTAAACTTCCCGCAACCTCAGTGCTAGTAAAAGTACACGCCGTCGCGCTTAATTATCGGGACTCCAATATAGCAAACGGCGGCAACCCCTGGCCCGTAACTCCTAACGGCATCCTAGGCAATGATGCGGCTGGCGAAATCATCGCCCTTGGAGATCAAGTGAAGTAGGAACTAAAGCCCGCCCTTGTTCGCGGTTCTATGCAAGAAATGTGCTGACTTCATACGACAGATATCTGGCGATAGGAGATCGCGTAGGCCCCATCACGGATACCGAGAACCTAACCAACCGTGAATCGGCACGCTCCTGGCTCGCGGCAGACGAGGATGGAGTTCTAGCCGACTACATCATCTTTGACGAACGAGTGCTGTGCAAATTGCCTGAGCACCTGGATTGGGTGCAGGCGAGTATCATCCCGTGTGCGGGGACAACGGCATGGAGCGCGTTGAAGGGAGTGGAGTTTGGGAGGACGGTGTTGATCCAAGGTTCGTCCCCCGAGTATAATCTACTGGTGGTCAGTCACTCATCAATGCATCCAAGGCACTGGAGGTGTAGCTATGTTCGCCCTAAAGCTCGCCCGTGCCGCCGGCCTCCGTGTCATCATTTCCTCCTCAAGCGACAAGAAGCTCGATGACCTGAAGAAGAAGTTTTCGAGCCCGCCGCTGTTAACTGTCAACTACTCTGCCCACCCCGATTGGCACGAGGAAGTCCTGAAGCTCACCGATGGTGCTGGAGTTGACCTGGTCGTTGAGGTTGGTGGTTCTTCAACACTGATCAAGAGTGTGAAGTGCACTAGACGCGGTGGAATAGTCAGTGTAGTTGGATATCTCAGCAAGCAGGACAATCAACAGTTTGACGGCCTACTCGGGATTATCATCGACCGGCGAACAATTGTGAGGTATATATCCCTACTAAACGCTCCAGTCGATATGTCTTTCTCTGGTGTCTGTACCAGCCCACTTATTAATATTCCCACATTTATACTTTGGAGACACATTCAATATCCCGAACTGAGAGACGTGTGAGTCGAGCTAAAAATGATCATAGAGGCATAAACGCTGGCTCAAAACAAGACCAAGACGATCTCTGCGCCGCTATAACAGCCTCGCAGATGACGTTCGACGACATCATCGACTCCATTCAGCCATTTGAGAAAGCTGAAGAAGCTATTCAGTATATATGGGAGGGCAAACAGGTTGGCAAGTTAGTTCTAACCTTATAAGGTGAGACTTGTATATCAATATGCTTTAGAGGATGGATCAAGATTTCGAACTTAGTAGCATTTATTCAATAAACTAGGCCAAAACCTCTAGCCATTTCTCCAATTTCTCACTCCACCCAGCTTTCCTAGTTCCACTTCCACTAGCCTCACGTACTCGACGGAGCCCACTCAAACCCTTCATCGCACTAAACACCCAATCACTAACCCTTGTAGGCATGATAGTTCCGAGAAACCAAATCAACCACACACCCTGGCCCCTCCACACCTTACCCTCCTTTCCCATCTCTACATCTCGCACAACCTGCTCAGCAAAATCTTCCGTCGGCGTTTCCGAGTGCGGCACAACCCCCTCAACAAAATCTCGAATCTTCTCTTGAATCGGGGCGTAGAACGAGTCTGAATTTGCGTGAAAGCGAGGCTGATTTCGCTGGAGGTTAGACTGTACAGCATCTACTACAACGGCGAGAACGCGGATACGAAACGGCGCGAGTTCGAGGCGCATGCTCTCGGATATCGTGTGCAAAGCTGCTTTGGAAGCTGCGTACAGGGCTGTCACTCCCTTATCAGCCACCAGATCATTTATGGACAAATATTTAGAGGAAGGGAGCAAAGACGAACGTTGATAGGCAAACCAGATCTCGCCAATGATACTGCCCAGATTTACCACCGTGGCGTTTCCATTATCTTTCTCGCTGGCCTTGACGAGCAAGGCAGAGAAGGCCTGCATCATGCGCAGCGGGCCCCACACATTCACTTCGAAGCACTGTTTCCCCACTTGGTCAATGTCAACGTCTAGTCCGGGGCCGTGTTGGTTTGGATTCCCAACACGTGATTCATCATGTGCCCGACACGCTAGTCCACACACGGACTAGCTTACTCTGGTTTCACTCCCCTCTGTATATAAACATAGTTTCCCCCCACACATAGAACATCATCAATATGATCACCTTTCTTCAGTTCCACAGGCCGCTGAGCATTGTGCCTGCGCTGTTGACGAGTACATCAAGTCCTTTTCCATCAACATGGCGAGTGATATCTGTCACCGCTCGGTTAATCGAGGTTTGATCTGTTACGTTGAGCTCTAGTGCGTGGATGCGACTCAAATCTTGCAGGCGTGCGGGGATGTTGGAAATACGGCGAGCAGTCGCAAAGACGATGTAGCCGTGGGCGTGAAAGGCGTGGGCGAGTGCGGCGCCGATGCTTCCCTCAGAATAGCCTGTGATAAGGACTGATTTACTTTCGCCATCTCTTCCTGACTTCGAGGATGTTTTGTAGTTGGGGACCAAGGCTTTCCATGCGATGAGTGCGGCGATAGCCAGGGCTGAGCTGATCGCTACAGATGAGACCATACTGCGTTTTCGAAGAAGTATATCGTGGGAATTAAAGGGGTCGGCAAAATGAAGACCGGTGCTGTTTTAATAGCGAACAACATGAAGTTCCAATACAACCTCAGGTAGCTTCAAGCTATGTTTGTATTAGTGCTTACCATGATTAAGGCAAACCGTTGCATAATGAACACCTAACTAAGGCGTGGAAGAGGCTAGAGGTCAATACAGCGGTATCTAATTATAGATGATTTTTCATTCAGGAGGCTTTTAAAGCTGTTGGGGATATGGAGTCTTGACACAATAGTATGTGTTCGCTACTGTCCACTAAAATGGCTAATCTGTGCGGCAAGTGAACAATTGCTACATACCACTGTACCTAGGTCTAGACGATGATGCGAAAGATTGTGCACCTCAAAGCCAGTTCTCACTTCTTTTTTGCTTCTCTTTCTTTAGGAAGAATTTCGTGAACCTTCATATCCAAGCCCACCCAGAACTTCCTACCTCTCCACTCCACAGTCACACCTCCCCAAAATGCAATGACCCAGACTGGTAGCGCGGATATCTCACGACCCAGCCATGCAAAGAAGAACTCTTTGAAATCTCTCCTTGCCCCATCAAGCAGACTCGGTTCACTGGGTATTTTGTCACCAAGCAGGGGTTGCAAGGCCTCGGTGCGGTGGTACGCAGATGCAGAACGCTGTGGTAATATGAAGTCTGGCGTGTCGGCGTCGATTTCAACGGTTTTCGCAGAGTGGAGGAGTAGGTACTGAATATAGTCTACCAGACACCATAGGCTCATGTTAATGAGCCAGATGAGGAAGAAGGAGCTCCAGGTAGGACTGATTCCCAAGCGAGTGAAGATGGGCAGTGTGGTGAGAGCATATGACCCGTAGAGACTACAGAGTATACTCTCAGTTCCGGGCTCAACGAAAGTAGCCAGTGTCACCGTGAATTTTCTTACTCGCAGCCATCGGATGCGGCGGTCTAGGTAAGCTATTACGGGTGTGTGACTGACGGGCTGGAAGCAGAGGTCACCGAAGAGCATTGCGTGCTTGCCCCACGTCTCTTTCTTCTCGCTTGGGGTCGGCTTGTAGCCTCGTTTCTCGAATGCTTGAGGCTGTTTCCATAGGGCATCGCCGATAAGATGATCTTCACAGATATTGTCGGAGAAGAAATCGATGCCACCAGCGCGCTTGGGATTTGAAGAGGTGATGTAGTTCAGCTGCGAGCGACGGAACATGGTGCTTTTGCCAATGATGCAGGGCGCTATGGCAACAGTATTGATGGCCAAGTAGAACTTAGCATGTGAGGAAGAGAGAAATGCTTCGTCGAGGCGCCCTCCTCCGCGCTGAAGGAGTCTTCGCAAGGCACCGTTGGAGTCCTTTCGAGGGTCTGAGGAGGTCGTTGCTGCGATGTTTGTTGTCTCTCTATCTTCTTCTGGTCGTCCTCTGAGTAGGTCCTTCCTGTCTTGAAGAGAGAGATCCTGAGAGTCTAGATCGACGACAAGCGGAGTTTGGTGCACGAACTTGAACTTGGTACTGCTCTTCCCACTTTTCACCTCGCCGAAGCCACAGAGCAGATCTACCAGCCTTCCACAGACACCCTTGCCAACCCAGACATTGCAGTCCAGAATCCACACGATATCGCCCTTCGCCTCTCTGTATGCGCGACTCATGTTCCGAATCTTCGGATTCGGTCCCAGCGCATCCTTGTCTTTCAGCAGCAATGGGTCCTCCTCCTCGACCAAGATCTGTACATCGACATGCTTGAAGTCCCGACAAAGGCGCTCAAGGATGGGGAATGCGGGGTCGGAGCGTTCAGACACGCAGAAGACGGTGCTGATCTTGTTCTTGGGGTACGTCTGGCGGAGACTGGCGGCGAGGCATTCGTATAGGCGCGGTTCGAGGCCTTTGACGGGACGAATGACAGTAACGCAGGGCAATTTGTCTTCTTCTAGCTTCGTAACACATCTCGCTGGCTGTGGCCTTCGCCAGTAGTATCGGAATCTATTTCGTAGTACGTCAGTATCAAATAAACCGTGACGATAACGAGTGAACAGCTGGCTCACAATTGGGTAAAGCCGATGAGACACACACACCACACTATCACGAACCATATAAGGCAACCGGTAGCAATGATGGTGCGCAACATGGAGACATCATTTGTCCTGATGTCTGGAGAAGGTGCGCCAACCATGCGCGAAAGTTGGGCAAGTAGCGATGGAGGTGGGATGTTTTGGCGAATCTCGGTGGTCTGCGGAGTTTTGGGGCAGCTTCGACACGTCCGGAACTAGCGACGGCAGGCGCAGACTATAGACATGTGTAGATACGAATATCTTTTCGCACGCCTCTTAAGATAGTTACACGAAGAAATTTTGTTTGTTTCGCAAGATCTAATTGTTTGGCGTGTTCAATATTTATTTGCGCTATAGTCACAGCTGCTCCCGAGCTTTCCGACGTCACTGCAAGGGTATTGTCACTGACTAGAGCCAATGAATGCGAAGGATTGAATATCAAATCTCTTCAATAATAGAGAGTATGCAACGTGAAAACGCATCCTCACGCAATCCAGACCTAGGTCAATCGAACGCCCTACGCAAATATGCAAGACTGGGAAGCAACTCTAAACACCAGACAAGAATAGCACAAACGCCTTCAGTCCAACAATCACTCAAGATTTGGACTTCTTCCGCACCAAACCAGCTGACAGTGTGTTCACGCCGTGGGTAACGCTCGCTTCTGCAATGGGCGTGGGCTCGATCCTGGCTTTCTTCCTGACCAAGCACTCTGAGAGGACTTGCACACCACCTTCAGTAGGCTTTTCTAATGAGCTTGTCGCTTCCGCTGTAGTCTCTGGCTTTCTTTTTTTCCTCACCCCCATCACTATATTTGGGACCAATCCGTTCGTTGACGTAGAACTTATGGCTGCGATCTCTCTTTTCCCTTTCACTGTCCAGCCCCAATTGTCCATTCCGCCCAAGACAGCCATCTCCTCTTTCCATTTCTTTGTACTTTGTGCTGCAGCTCTTCGATTTGCGAAAGTTTGTTGAAGTAGTACTTCATGTGCTCGATCGTAATTCTTCGTTGAAAAGCAAATTGTACCCCGTGAAGACGCCGGCCACACAAAGTATGGACTCGTCTCGGGTTGTAGTTTGGCGTCGGACTTGTTCGAGGCGTTTGATGTAGTTGATAAGTTCGATGAGCTTGTCTTGATCCTGGGTAGGACTAGTGGAATGGGGCCGTACTTGATCTTGGCTTCTCGTTTCCGTTTGCTTATCTTGCGTCTTCTTGGACTAGGTATGGCCTCTTGAGAGCTCTTCTGTGAGAGTGGTTGTGAAAGTGACTGCTGTGATGGCGCGTCTTCGTCCTCCTCAGGTATTGATGGCTTCGGTGGGGTGATTACCACCCAAATAAACCCCACGATCCTTCCAGATGAACATTCCTGTCGGAAAGCCATGAACTCCCAGAACTGATCCAACGTCTTAACGCTCTTCCATTGTCCGTTACTCCGCGATGGCGTACCTCCATCGACAACCATGGCGTCAGTACCTCGATCGTGTAACTCTTCATCTAGCTCATCAAGAAACCGTGCCTTGGGGTCATCCGGGAAATGCGGGACGAGACAGCGCGGGGGAGCAGCTGGATGCGGCGCGATCTGTAGAAGTGGATGTGTGGTAGCCCAGCGTCGAGGTACGTTCGGCTTTGGCGCTGGAGGAATGTAGCGGAGCGTGTCATTTGGCTCGAAGCCCGGTATTACAAGGTAGCCCTTGGCCGTGGTTTCTGACTGCGAAAGGGTGCAATTTGTTCCGATACTTCCCCCTTCCACCAGCCGCTCAGCGAACGGTCTCCGTTCATCCTCGGCCTTGTATTGCCATATTATCGGGTCTAACACTTTACACCACCACTTAACCAGTCCCCTGTCATCCAGCACATGCTTCTTCTTGTTCTCAATGCTCGCTGGAAAGAGGTACTGATCTTGTGCCCGAGCGAATAGTGAGACTACCAGCTTCTTCCCCTCTCTTTGTCGCTCCCTTGCCAGCCAAGCTACAAATGTACCGCAAATATCTTTCAAAGGCGATCCAGACTGCGAGCGTGGTAGTTGTAACTCTGAAAGGTACCCTGTCGAGTCCGCTTTCGAGACGAAGATGGTAGTAAGGTTCCTCGTAGTGTAAACCAGAACCTCAATGGCGAGTATGAGCAACTCTTCAGGTAATCCCGATGGAGCAGTGTCATTTGGTATTATCGAGGCAGCCAGGGTATGCGATTCACAATAGGTTCTTTCCGACTTTGCATGCGGCGGTGCGGAGAAGAGGGCGGAGGACTTGGAGGGCGGCGTCGAGTAGTGATAGAAGGTCAATGGAACGTCCTTCGGCAACTGCTCGGCCAGCAACTCTTTCAAAGACTTGGGGGTATTAATGTCTGCCATATTAGACCAAAATAAGCGCTTGAGAAAGGATAAACGCGTGTGTCTGGTTGAAAGCTGGGGATAGGAAAGCGCGACGAGGCTATCCCGATAAGGCAAGGTGCGATCCGCGTGCCGCAACTTTTCGAATCATCTGAACTTCACCTCGAGTAGTACCAATACCTTCACCTCAGCGCCAGGACTTGCCCATCCAAGCTAATTCACTTCTTGACGAGCTCCAATGGCATCCAAACGGCCGCTTCGCTCGCTCCTATCGACCGCATCATCATCCCTCCGCCCGGCGCAGTCGTCAAAAGCCTCCCTCGTGCGGACCTCCGCATGCGCATTCTCGACCACGCCATCATCACGAGGACCTGAATATGATACCGAGGCTGCAGATAGGCCAAGATGGCAACAGACACCGCCACGCATGATGGCCCCCTTTCGGATACGGCCGCAAGCAAACGGCGGCGTCTTCAAGGTCAATGAAGACCCTAAGAGATTAGATGATGCCTATGTACGAATGCTGGGACCTGGAGGCGACAAAGTGCTCGGCGACGAGGTCAAGTGGTTAGCGGTGACGCACAAGAGCTTCGATCATGGAAGGAGGGGTTTCAATGACCGTTTGGCATATATGGGTATTTTGGGACCACCTCTACGGCTAGAAGAGAGATTCTAACAGCATAATGTAGGGCGGCGGATAGTGGAACTACAAACATCACAAGCGCTTATTAGTTCCCCGCAAGAAAACCAGTGGCCAAGAGACGAGAGGGGTCAACCGCTGAATGACGATTTTGGCCGCAAGCCGTACCTACATCCTGCCCTAAACGGCTTGCAGGGCTTGACGGACGAAGCAGAGGGCATGGTGCTGAACAAGTCACGGTTATCACAAATAGCGGAGCGATACGGACTAGACAAGGTCACCCGGTGGAAACCGAAGCGGGTATGTTGATGATATCAGGAACTTCGTTGTGATATGGCAAAACTAACTTGTTATAGGCGGATAACCTCCAGGGTTCTGGTGTAGAAACCGTCCTCATGACCTCGTTATACGCCATAGTTGGCGCTATCGCTCTTGAACGCGGCGGTGAAGTGGCGAACAAAGTCGTCCAGGACAAGATCCTCGCTCCGCTAGGCTTCACCTTTTCCTCCGACTCATAGCCACATAATCTTTAAGCCATGGCGGATTAGTCTTCGTGTACAAAAGAGCATCCAACACTTGTAATATACATGTAGCAAAGGCAAGACGAGATATCCTACAATATCCGTTCCCCGCAGAAACCAATTCACGGCACCGAAGTGTTCCAAGTGCGATGATTGTATAAATGCTAAACAGGAATGAAACTAGTGCCTCAAAAATGCGCGTTACTTCATAGCATAGAAACCCAAAGATTTCAGCACATTCTCACGCCATACATCCCCCGCTCCCATCACGAGAGGCAACTTAGCGAGTGCTATAATCTCCTATTTGCAAAGTTATTACTGATTAAGTATTACATACTTTAACGTAACTCTACCAACTCCCCCCTCCCCTCCCACATAAACTTACACACGTTCGACCCCGAACTCTATGGCTCGCAGATCAACACTGGCCATGAATACATAAACTACAATCATGTTCAAAAGATCAGAAAACCCTGCGAGTCGTACAAACTCCCTGGCGTGCCCCTAACCTGCCCACCCGGACTCGTGACCTGGATCCTGACATTCGGTGTTCCAAGGCCGAGAATGCGGCGCTTTCTGTGACTGCGACTTGATGCATTGCTGCTCCTGGCACCGCCACCACTATTATTACTACTTCTATCAACACTCTCCCTGGGTTTCTTGTTGTGGTGGTCAGTGCTGGGGCTGCTGTTGGCGGTGGAGTTTTCCGTGGGGGAGGGTGGATTATCGTCCTTTGCGACTTGGAAGTCGCGCTTCTTGCCTGAAGACTTGAAGGTCGGGGTCGTTGGTGCCGTCAATGTGGTTTTTGGGAGAACAGGCGAGGATGCAAGCGGTTGGTAGTGGTTCATGAGGTTGTTGCTATTGCGTGAGCCGGAGGGTGGTTGTGGTGGTGTGGCTGATGCCCAGAACTTCTCGCCATCTTCCCATATACTGCTGCTTGATCTGTGCTCTGCAGTGGCCGTCATGTTTCTCTCTACAGGCTTTGTCTTGGCTTCTTTTGGCTCAGGCTTGATGGTGGAATTTGAAAGAGTGGAAGTGTTTCCCTCGTCGAGATCAAGCACAGTGCACCCCTCATCCTCCCAGCCTTCAAGCACATTGCCTACGAGTCTCCTGCCTTCTACGTCGTCTAGTTCCACCGCATCGTCGTCATCCTCAAGCTCATCGAGCCAGCTCTCATCCCCAGGTAACTGCATGCTGTCTCCTCTCCCTAGTCTTAGATGCCTCCTCTCACCACGTCCAGACTTGTCTTTTTCTGCTTCCGTTAAATCAGAGTTCATCCGCCTCAGTGCTGCGATAGACGAGCGCAGAGGCCGTGGCGGTGATCCGCGAGGACCGCGAGGCGAAGGATTAAGCCTAGGCATTTCTGCAAAGTTGATGGACAACCTTGATGTCGGTAGCTGCGCATGACCCGGACGAGGAGAGCATGGTATAATCGGACTTGGTAAGTCTACAGGCCATGATGTGAGCGACAAGGTTGGCGAAGGTGAAGAGTAAATTGAGCTCGACTGTGAACCTGTTCTCATATGTGCAAGCGTTGGTGAATCCATGCCGCAAGCGGGGGGTGGGGTTGATGGAAGAGCTGCCTCGAGAAGAGGGTCGAATACCGAGCGCGCTGAACCAGGTGTTGTGGGCATAGCAATGCTTGAGCGGTTACTATTTGGCGTTTTGAAAATGCTGCCACCAACGTTGTTGTAATTGCTATTGAGCATGTTGTAAGAGTCTTTACTCAGTACTGCTGGGTCAATAGTATCGAAGGGCTCCTCTGGGATGACTGTGGCGTGTGTGGGCAAATTGTAGACTGAGTGATCAACCAAGGCGAACCTCGGCGGAGACATAGACTTGGGTGAGATAGGTGGAGAGTCGTCATATCGGGAGTGCGCGAGATCCAGTGTCCTGTTCGAGCTCACCGAGGACTCTTCTGGGATGGGGGCAAATGCGGTCTGGAACGCTCGTGAAGTAGTATTAGCGGGTGTTTGATAAATGCAACTAGGTTGCTCCGGATTGTACTCATCGATGTCGATGTTGATGGGCGAAGGTGACCGATCCCGGCCATAATTTTGTGCTTGAAATGGATACTGCTGAAGCAATGGTGTGTCGGGCATCCAATTTCCATCAAAGTCATAAGGGTCGTATGTAGAGAATGTATGCGGGTGCGACATGTCAATATCTACAGGTTCGATGACAGAGGGCGCAGTAGGGAATTGCGACAAGCTGAAGAGAGAACCATTGCTCAAGCGCTTTTGCTCTTGTGCCGACAGAGCAGGTAGTACTTGGTCAGTTGGGAATACAACATACGACTGATCGTAGCCGACTAGAAGTAACTCAGGCGAAGTTGGCGTCAAGGAAGCTCGAAGAGATGTTGCAGCGAACTTCAGATCAGGCGCAAAGGTTGACGAGCTAGGAGGGGTTGGCAGAGACCTCGTGCTAGATAGTGCTGGATCGATACCGGCCTTGGGTTTCTTCGCCGAAGCACCTTCGGTAGTATCTTCCTTGTTGTCGACTAAAGCTGATAGACTAGGTGTCCTACTAGGCGGGCCATGGATGGTGGGTACTAAGGAGATGCGCACACTGTTCTTTCGTCGATGTCCTTGACGCGCGCTGGGGCTTCCTTTCAACGCGGAAGGCTTCCCAGTGGATGAGATTGGAGTTGGATCCCACTGAAAAGGGTTGCCGCCGCTACTTCGTGAAGAAGTCTGCGAATGCTGGCGTTTGGGTGACCTGATAGCACCATTCAAACTTCGCGAGGCCGTAGCGCTCTGATAATGTCGCTCAGGAGACCCCGACGAAGATATCTGGGTCTTTAATTTGCGCTTCGGCGTGCTCAGACTCGACGCTGTGATAGGGCTGGCAGCTGGCGAAGATACCTTGCTTAAGGTAACGGACTGTGCTCCCTTAATCGCACCGAGCGAGTTGGTGCTCGATTCTGTTGATAAAGTACCTTGGTTTTCGGGCTTTACTTCTCTGGATTCCTCAGAAATCATGCTATTTCGAGTCGGGGAACTCTGGGTCGAGCCTCGTGCGCCTAGAACTCTGGCGCGAAGATCAAGCGTGTCTCTGAATGGCTTCACTCGTGCGAAGTTAGACCCCTTCGCATTGGGCTTGGTGATCTTTCGAGTCCCAAACTTCGCGGACTGCGGCACACTTGGACTTCGAGACGTGAGGATTGAAGTGTCGGCGGAACCGAAACTAGATAGCGAAAGCTTAGACGGAGTGCGTCCGAGTTCGCTGCGTCTTTTCGCGTCGCTCTTGATACGAGCGATGTCGAGCGGAAGAGGAGGCAAGATCACATCGGGTGCATTTCCAGAAGTTTGACTGCATAAACTAACGGATCTCGCCCGTAGTTGTGGGCGTGAGGGTTGTAATGATGGTACCTCAGCAACTGATTTAGCCCGCTGTAAACGTTTATTTGCATCCATGTGGTGGTTATATGACCCGGTAATCGATCGACTCTCTGGCACTATAGGACCTGTAGCATGGCCCTGGTTGCGGAAAGCCGGGTGATATTGGAGTAATGATTGGCATGGCGAGGGTCGATTGCCATAATCTCCCGATAAAGCGATGGAGGACCTGCTCCCGTTTACATGAGTGTTGTTCAGAATAGATACTAGTGATGAGTTCTTGGGATCCTCCATGACTGTTGAAAGTCTCGACGCTCTCATCTTCTTCATCTGTATAGTTTGGCTGGAGTGGCCGGATAAACGACGCGCGGAGAATGGCCATGAGAGACGACTGGCTCTCTTCACCTCCTCGGTTGGTTTAGGCGGCGCATAATACGCAGGGGCAGAGGCTGATTCTGCGGATCGGAATGTCTCCACCGAAGGTAATGCCCCCCATCCGGACTTGTGGAAGGGCAGGACAGTGTTGCGCCGCAGCACAGTACGTGGCCTTGTAATGGGTTCTCGTCCTGCTTCCTTCTGCGCCTGCGCAATTGATACGCCTCGTTCCTCTAAATCCGCGAGTAGCTGTTTGTGCTTCTTGACAGCCCGAACAAGGAGAAATATAAGAGCGACGAGAAGGCATAGCATAACAACGCCAATGCCTGTGACGATAGCAGCAATTGCTGTAGTGCTCAGTTGCCCGCTTGGCGCGGCGCGCGACTTTAACGACGCCATTGCTGTTCCTATCGATCTTCTTACAGCAAGATGATAAACAGTCGTGAACGCGCCGTATGCGCTCGGGTTCGACGCGTGGGAGCGTTTCGATTTGGCTGTCCGGTTCGTCGATTCGGTCGGAGCCACGGAACGGCTTCGAGGGCGCTTCTGTCGACTATTACCCTCCTCTTTTACTACCTCTTCTTCCTACTCCTGTAACGACCGTGATGTAACGAGCGGCGGAGCAAAATCCGCGTCGATATGCTTACGAATCCGTCCGAAGGCATGGGGGGCAGCGCGTAAACATACATTTTGCTGTATTTGGGCGACAACTGACTGTCGTTAGGGGAAACCAAAAGGAATGCGTATGAAAATATGGAGAGCAAAACAACAAGAGTGTAGGAGCCGAGAGAGGGATGCATGTGGAATGTGATCCAACCGAGCTAGCCGAGTGAGACATAAGAAAAGCTGGAAAAGACTGCCAGTCCTAGTATCGCATTGGCTGACAATAAAATACCGGCTTGAGGGTTCTCCAGATGATTTTCACGCGAGCGATTGCTTCTTCTGGGTCGATTTTTTCCCACCTTTTTTTGACTATCCTGAACGCGTAGTCATCAGTATCTCAAATCGATCTACGCGTTTTGAAGGGATAGGCAGGATCACCTTGATCCCGCCAGATCTCAGAGATCTCGCCGATGGACGCGTTGAACGGATGAGAGAAGACATGTTTTGTGTTAGTACCACAGCGCTGATGTGGGTGGTCCATACGCGAACACAGGAGGGAGGATGAGACTTGCGCTCCCCATCGCCAGGTACCCCTCGGTGTCTCTGGCACTGTCTTATAAAACTGTGAGACTAACTGGGGAGCATCAAAAGTGCCGGGTGCCTGGCTTGTGGTAAGTGGTTCTGAGATGGGTTTCTGGGGATGGACATCATTTCCTCCTCCGAGACAACCATCTCCAGGTACCAGGACACATTGCTAGCATTACGGTGATGTCTGAGACAGCAGATACATCATTGCTTGCATGTCTACTGGGATGCGCAAAGTCCAGGCAAACTCAGTGCAAACTCGATGAAGGGTGAAAACACGACGATTTGGAGTTGTGCGATGCGGGCGAAGACAACAGGCTTACTAAGCGGGTCGGTGCTAGTTGCTGTGGGTATTACTCGCCACAAGCACGACTCTCTATAATGAAGGCGTTTTCGAAGTAGTGAGGAATATGCTGTGTTGTAACGAATGATATTGAAATGCAGATGAAATATATACAATAAGGAGTAGCGCACTGCCAGCTCCGGGTATAAGCCTACGTGCCAAAAGAAGCGAAAAACCACCATACTATCTATTCGTTCACATCTTATTCCTCCTCCAGAAAATAGCCTTAGCGGCATTCTTTGGCGGTGGGTCAAAGCTAGGCGCTTCCTCAACATCCATCTGCTCCATCTTACTTTCCCGATTCTTCCTCAATTCCTTCTTCAGCTTCCTCTCATCCTTCTTCCTCATCCACGTAATATACAAACAATATAATGCTGCAATTGCGCCCATGCCACCAACCACTCCGCCAACAACCGCGCCTACCAGACCTTGCCGTTGCCATTGGTTTTGGTTGGGACGCACGTATGCTTCAGGTGTGGTTTTGGGGCAGAAAGTTTGGGGCATGACCATGTTGTTTTTCTGGACTGCTGGGGCGAGGAAGAAGTTGTTGGACTCATAGTCGGCCATGAGGTAGACTTGGCCAAGGAAGGCGGAGCCGAGGTAGAATGGGGCGGTGGACTTTTCGTCGCGGTCTTGGATGGGTGTGATGTTTGAGGCGTTCATGAGGACTTCTGGCGGTAGTGTGACGGTAAAGCCATCTTCGAGGACAATTGACAGCGTGCCATTAAAGGCGTTCTTCAGCCTCAAGGAGTTGTCGCCCCATGTGTTGTCCTTTTCCGCGCCTAGTCGGGAGATGAAATTCTTCGTGATCTGGTATGGAAGCGAGATTGGGAATTGCTCAGTGGTAATCTGGCCTTCAAAGTCCGAAGGTGTCGACTTCATATCGGTGAAAACCTTGTTGTCGAAAAGTGAGACGTTGGCGTTACCTTTCGAGTCGGTGATGACGATGTCTTTAATCCGCACGCTCATCGGATTGCTGTTCGCAATGTTCATTTGATACTTGTGAGGAACTCCTGTGAAGCGTCCGGAATCGTATCCACCAAAGACATTGCTGCCGTTGACTGAGCCTCCAGCACGAGCAAATCCCTGCCCAATATATAGCGAATATGTTTTACCAGCAATCATATCCCGAGCAGAAAGATCACGCAACAGCGTTGAAGACGATCCTACACCTACTCTACCGGGCGTTATTGAGCCCTGTTCGGCGACTTCGACGGTTGAGTTCTCCACGAGCGTTTGCGATGCGCCATCGGTTTCGAAGAAGTGTGTGTATAATCGTAAAGTCTCTTGGCCGTAGAAACCCTTGAAATCCGTGCCAGCTACATCTAATGATTTGAAGTTCTTGCTCTCAGTGAACCTGCACACAAGTAAGTAAGGGAAGTCATCCTGTTAGGAGCTTTAGACGTACGTTGTTGACTCTTGTTGGTTGAAGAAGCCTCCAGTTGATCGGTCACAGTTCTTAAGCGTGCTATTATCTTTGCAGTAGACGTGTGATGCGAAAGAAGTGTGGTTCTGTGCTAACGAGGGCCATAGACTTTGGTTCTGTGCTGGTGTTCCTAGTCCGATGAATGATCCGTACTGAAAGACTGGAGAGTCGTGGACGGCGCGTTTATGGATATCGACATATATCGGTTTCCTCGAGCAGTTGAAGGCAATTGTTGACTGAGCAAACAGCACAGTTGCAGAAAGGTACAAGATAAGCGACGCCATGGTGGATGATTAGGGAAAAGCTTGAGGCCAGCAAGCTGTCAAGTCAAATGATAGGTATATGCTCACAGCACGAACAGAGCAGAATGGACAACGACGACAATCACGAAACGTCTCGAACTAGCAGGAGGTGCTGAAGGCAATGCGGCGTCTTTGTAGGTCTCTACCATCCGTACGAACTATACGCTAAGATGAGCCTGCAGGTAGTAGCCAGTCAGACAACACTGCTACTATTCTTGCGTACGGGTATCCCCATAACATCCGTTCCTAGCACACACTAGTTGATATTAGGGTGCCATCCAGAGCCGCAAATAACAGAACCGCTCCTCAAGAGCGCCTGCTGATGCCGTTGCGGGAGTACCAGGACTGGGGAAGGGTTGTCGTGGGCGCTTCGAAGAGCGAGATGCATAGGGAAAAAAGATGACCCTCTCCGAACGTAAGCTTCGTTATCATGTGGCCGAAGACGATTGGATGGTTGTGGGTGGATGGCGCACCAAGAATAGCTCAGCGTTTACAACATGGGGTCGATTGGTGGAGAGTCTTTCGTGAAGATCACAAGCGCCCTTGTGCACGGACTCCCGTGCATCGTTGCGTGGGAGTCTAATGTCGGAGGGCTATTCTTAACTTCCGATTGCCTTTGCTCTCCAAGGAGTCTGGAAGATGTTATGCACGTTGATTGCGTGTGCACGGTAAGTTTTTGATGATCTTGGTAACGCGTCGGCCGGAACTGGTCATCTCCGTCTTGTTTCCAGGATTCCCAATTCCCAACCGCACACTACCTCTGTCTCGAATACTTAGAGCTTCTATTTCCCGGCAAAAGTCCATGTCGGCAATTATAGTTGCTGCTGTAAATCTTAATTATTTTTGGCCGAGAATACAGCGAAAGAGAAGGGCACCGTCTGCAGGTACAGGGCGAGTATTTGATAAGGTTACAGTGGCACCGTTTTGTCGTACGTCTCTAAGGGCGCTTACGCTCCGGGCCGACCATGGTCTGGTCAAAAACTTGGCCTGGAAGTCTTCACCCCGGCTTTGTGCATCTCAAGCACATCGGTTGTACCAAGGCCCAAAATCTGGTGTCTGCTGCCATAAATTTACCGGAGGCGACACCAGACCCTGCAATGACTTGTGATGCAAATCACTCCTAAAGACCGACCAAGACTTCCTATTCTTAGTCGGTCCACCTTCACATTGCCTTGTACCCGCAGTAGAACTGTATCATAGCGCGAATACCTCCAGGCTACCCTATTCCTTGGGCCTTCTTTGAGAGGCAGCTTGGTGCACCTAGTGGCGAATGCCAGACGGTCTACAAATTGAAATTATATGGCTGCTCATCCGCTTACCCGCGTTTCACCTGACATTCGTTTGGCGGTTCGTAAGCGCTGATAGAACGCCATATTAGATACCGGTTCTCTTAACCTGAGGTAAGCCAGCATGATTCAAGTTAGGCTGGTTTTATGGCAAAACACGAGGACTTCACGTCAAGATGATCTCGATTTGCACATGTGTTGCGAGTATGAAAGTATTTTGCGTAGATATACTCTATCTCATTCGCTAGAAGATGGATTTTCCTTGAACATCCATCCATATACTATAATATAACGCCGAGGACACCAAACGCTTGACGAAACGCTCAATAGTGATGATGATTTGCACGCCACACCCTAACACCTAAATCCCACCACTGAAGCCTGTCGAACCAACAAGCTCTGCTTTACACTATACCATCCTCGTAAATATATGGCTCAGACATGTTGTACAATGAAGATAGATCTGACACTCTTAACGCCGTTGATACACTGCGGCAATTGGACAGAAATAATCAGTTGTTGATCAACACCCAGCGCTTCTCTTTCTCAGTAGGTCCAACCCTTGCAGCAACTACACTCAAGGTATTGGTGATGGCATCTTTGGGAAGTTTTGGGAACATCTTCTTCAGGGCTTCGACCATGCCAATCTTGGTAAGATCTTTGCCCTCGATCTCCGCTTTGAAGGCCGGGAGTTGTTCAGGTGGAATCTGTCGTTTTGCTTTGGTGGGTTTGGAAGCGGTGCCGGACGACGGATTCTGGGGAGTGTTCAGAGTGTTAAGTAGGCCATTCATGGTACGTTGGACCAGCGGTACTCGTGGTGGGTTCATGGGTCCTTTACTGGGGATATCTTTGCTCGGGGTCGAAATAGTCGCTGTGGAAGGAGTAGGTTCGGGTGTCCAGTACGTCGTCGAAAAGGGATCAATAGAGCGCAGCTGCGGTCCTAGCACATTGTTAGTTGCATCCTATTGTATCTTCTCGGAACACTTACCAAGTAGAAAGCCCATCGTGAAGTCCTTGAAGTCTGTGCAGATGGCTCCTGATCCGTCGTTCAGTCTGGACACCTTGTGTGCGTCCTCCCAACACAGACCAGTGCTGACAGGCACAAGGTCGCCACTAATATGCCGCCGCTTGAGTTGCGGATCTTCCTCATCATCAAGGAAGCCGTCCATGTCGTCTTCCGCCTCTTCGTCGGCGTCATCCTCACCATCAGAGTCAAGGTCTTCACCTTCTTCAGGCTCGTCCCACTCGGCTTCGGAATCGTAATCGTAGTCAGTATCTTGGCGCAATCTAGCTAGGGGGTTGCGGGCAAGTCGAGCTGCGTCCGCATCCGTGTATGATCTAGTGTATGTCCCATAGTATGGCGGGCGAACATCTTTCTCAAAGTGAATATACTTCATCGGGATGTCGTTCAGCATATCAAGTGGTTGTCGTGAAGTCGCACCCTTGCCATCAGTCAAGTCGATGGGACGATCGGTTGAGCCATAAGCACATTCGACTACTTCAACGATCGAAGCAGTCGGCCAACCTCGACGGAGTTGCGATGGAAAGGACGACTTCAAAGTCTCCAGCGTTATGGGCTCCATATGAACATCTTCTTGTGTGATGAGCTGGTCCAGTCGTGTTTGGGCGGCCTTGAGTTTGACTGAATCTTCTAAGAACGCGTTTTTCGGGGCCAGAATGACGTGCGCAGCTAGGTTGAAGGGGAGAAAGTATCGCTCGTAATCTGATTGAGCATTTTTGACGATGGTCTTCTGTGGAGAGGGCGGGCCTAAATTAGTACTATTTCCAGAGGCATCCGCTGATAATGATACTGAAGGTGCGACAAGGTTCTGAGTCGAATCTACCACAGCTTGTCCTGCATTCACTCCCGCAACTTTCGGCTTCACGAAGAAAGCATTGAGCTTCATTTGGGCCTAGTATAATGTTAGCACCAAGCTCCGCGAAGTCACCAAGACAGCATATGCCAATGAACCTACCCGCTCCTTCTTTGCCTTTTCTTCCTCCTTTTGTTGCTGCTCTTCTTCTCGTTGGCGTTTTTTCTCGTCCCGTTCTTCGATCTTCTTGCGCTTCTCCTCCTCCTTCTGTGCCTTCTGTTCAGCCTTGAGCTTGTCCTCGGCGTCCTTTTGTGCTTTCTTGTCTGCCTTTGCTTTTGCTTTTGCCTCCTTTTCGAGACGTTGATCGTCCTTTTCCTTCTGTGTCAACTTCCGTCTCTTGGCGGGTTGGGGTGTACTGCTCGAGGCAACCGCGGCCTGTGTGGACGGAGCATGGTTGCTGCTATCTGGTGCGGTTGAGCTCGGGGTGGCTCTTTTAAGTGGTGATGGTGTTCGAATATGGGAGAGGACTGAGAGTGGTGTAGAGGCTTCTGATCTGATTGCTTTGACCGGTGTTACTGGAGGCTCAGGGTCCTCCTCCTCAAGAGGACGCTTTTGAGGGGATGGCGCAACAGGCGTTGCATCCTCCATGATTTAATTCAGAGTCGTACAGTTGAATGATGGTATGTGAGTCTGGGGTACTTCCAGGGTTGTGGTTGCGGTTGAACAAATAGCGTGGTGGTGTCGGCGGTCGATGAATGGAGAGGAGACGCGACTGGGGAGGCGCGACGCGTTGCGCGTGGAAACCGCGGGCAGTCGATAGGCGTAGTCTTGGCAAAATACATAGTGCAGTTTCCTACTTGGGAAGGTGCTGCTCCACCATCATCACAGGAGCAACCTCACATCACTTCCAATGTTGTATCATTCAACTAGGCCTGAATATCTTCGCGGAGCAATGGAGTTGTCGGATCGTAGGCGCATTGAGGTTGAAGTTACTTCGCTACTGCGCCCGTGGCTCTTTCCACCTTGTGCTCGCCACCTTCTGGAACGCCTCACCAGCCCATCGGACTGCCAGTCCACCAGTTTCAACGTTTTTCACTGATTCCAAACTATCATATTTCAACTGGAAATGGTGCTTTCAATTGTACAGCTGCCAGCGCGTGGTAATGACCAGTAGTTAATATGAATACCGACGACTTTGAGGACATGCTATTTGGCGATTTAGCTTCGCAGACCTTTCCCGACGATGCTTTAAGCAATGCTTCTGAAGACGATATTCTCTTTCCTCTGGCCGAGGACGACTCTATTCTCTGGGAACTACAGAACAGACCACAGCTAATGCCAGCGCCAATAAAAGAGACACCCGACAAGCACAGTATTGACACAGAATTCAGCCACATAGAAGTCAGATCTAACACCAAACTTCCTACCCAAGCACCGCCCCGCGACAGGTAATGGGTCATCCTCTGCATCACGCTGCGCGCGACTGACTTCCTCGCAGGCATTGGGTCATAGCTCGCGTAGAAGCTATGTTGGAAAGAATTGTGGATGGCCTCCTCGAAGAAAGCGAATCACTCACCATAACGCTGAAGTCTCGAGCAAGCCTTTCTCGAAGACGGACGAATGTTCTAGATAGCAATGGCCCACCTCCTGAGCCCAAGGAACGCGATATCAGCTTCCCAGGCGCTAGTGCGCAAGAAGCATGGAACTTCAGTTGGTACATCCAACGTCTGCGGCGTACGCGCTTACAATGCTCCAGCTGTGCTCCTGCGGATACTGGAGCTCGTTCATGGTGCCCTGCTTGACGACACAGTCATGACTAAACGGTACTCCCCTTAACATTCAGGTTAAGTAGATGCCAACTTACTCAGCATAGAGATATATACTATCGACACCCCGATTTGTTCGTCAAGCAATCGGTTGTTGATCGATATGTGGACGATCTAGCATGTACCTTTGGCATCACTAGATCTCAGTTGAATATAGTGCGCTACATTTCCATTTAATTATTTTCAATGGAAGGCTAATTGCTTAGACTGCCGCTGCAAAGGGGCTAGTCGCGGGCAACTTTACGCTGACGCGAGAATGTGGCCATCAAGTCAACGTCAAGAACGATAAAGAGGTTCGATAGTCATATGCTGGCAAATTTGTATGTACTGATAGGCCATCCAGGGTATGCTCATCCCTACAGTTGGCGATAGGGATGCACTAGATTTGACGTTAGTCCAATGGATACTCGTCATAGAGAAAGAGGCATGCTCTACTCAGTCCACGGTTAGAATTTTAGCTAAAGAAAAGCTTGTAGGCGACATTTCGAACTCTGCTGAGCTCCTCACAATGGGAGTCGTTGGGATCATGCGGAGTGATCTTGACTGTAAGACCACTACATTGCCCCTGCACATCTACTCACAATTGCATAGGCAAAAGGATACCCCGATATAGCTACAAGAAAGTTCCTACGCCAACTAGCGGATTGCGCCCCTTGCATCCCCATGTACGCGTTCGTAGACTTGGACCCTGACGGCATCGCCATCCTATCCACGTACAAGTACGGCTCGTATCGCCTTGCTCACGAATTTGTTGCACAGAAGGAAGCACCTGCAGTGGGCTTGCCCGACATCCGCTGGCTCGGTGTAAAGAGAAACCACCTCAGCCGAACTCCGGTAGGCGAAAGTGACACAGGCACAAATGTGATACCTGAACTCCAGGGTCTCATGAAGCTCTCGCCCCGCGACCGCACGAAGGCGGCTCGAATGCTAGAGTGGGATCTTTGCGTCGAGGACGGGCCGGAGCAGGGTTGGAGACAAGAGCTACAGACGATGCTTATGCTCAATGTCAAGGCAGAGATGCAGATACTGGACGAGCTGCCTGGCGGTATGGTGTCATGGCTGAGCAATGAGCTCGATCAAGCTAGCATGCCGGTGTCTATACAGTGGATCGAAAGCACTGGCTCAGACGATGGGATGCTCTTCTGAGGTCTTTGGGAACACCTCCGCATCACCGTGTGAACGCTATGTCTATCCTCCCCTTTTCTCCTCATTCTGCAAGCGACATGCTACAAGACTTGTCGGCGGTAGTATTGCAAAGTCTTTTAGCACCTGTAGCCCTACTTTGAGCTCGATTCGGTACGTCTTGAGAGACCAGAAGCAATGCGAACAATGTGCAACTCGATCAACATGTCAAGGCGTCTGGCCGCTGTCTGTGTGACGGTTGTGTAGTAGAACTAACAGATTGTCCAATGGTAGAGATCGGGTCTGTGGTAGGACTGCGGCAAAGTATTGCAGGGCCCTCAGCTAAACAAGTTAATTAATTCTGATTTTTCTAAGCTAAAAAGTGCAGCACTTTAATAAAGCTTTAATTTTTTATTTCTTTGCCTAATATTAATGCTATTTAGCTATAAAATAGCTAGTAACTTTTTTTAAAAAATTTACTTTTATTTAAGCGCTTTTTTATAATAAATTAAAAATATAAACTTTAGCTTTAATTTAGCTAGCAAGTTTATTTTTAGCAATAGTAAGTTTATATAAAGCTTTAATATAAGTAAATAAATAAATATTGTTTTTAAGCTTATATTAGTTAGCAAAATTAGCTTTATTACTTTTATATATTATATAAAATTTATAAATTTAGCTTTATAAAAATTAGCTATAGTATTTTTATATAAAAAAGTTTTACTTATAATTTTAAATGCTAAATTTATATATAAAAGAAAAAAGCTGCTTATATTAGCTTTATAAAATAAAAATATAATTAATTAATAAAAATAATAATTAGTAAAAAATAAAATAGTAAAATAATTACTTAGGCAGGCGTTTTATATAAAATTAGATTTAGCTAAGTAGCTGTACTAACTAAATAGCCTACTATAAATTAGTGATAAGGCTAGATCTTGCACGTGATTGCTATTGACCTTAGGCTGAAGGATAGCTTCGGGCAATAGAGCGATCTCGCCAAGCGTGTTCCGTGTTCGCCAGCGCATCCTCTCGATCACCGCAGCCCACGTCTAACAACTCAGACTGCGTCGCATAGCGGCCATGCATTGACCTGCAGCTCCCAATAACGCGAAACCCACAATGCCCGACTCAGCGGCGAATTCAAATGCCCCGAGCGACCCGTCTCAGACGCCCGCTCCTCCGCAATCTTCTGCCCCTCCTACGAACCACCATGCCTCAGCTATCGCGGATGCCGATACCCTCCCGCCAGCATTGACGCCTGCAACGACTACCAGGCAGTCGGTGGCTTCAGGTGTCTCTTCGACACTGTGGGAGAGTAACATTACGCCCACATTCAACGCACAGCCTATTCTGTCCGACAGCTCTGTCCCAGCTATCCTCACCCACACACCTTCCCTCGATGCACAAGTAGGCCCGTCTAACCTGACGGCCAGTGTAGGCTCAGTGCCTAGTGCTACTACGACATTGACGAACACGCTCCCACCAACACAGTCTGCCGCCCTCCGCGCCCTCAATGCCCCCGCATTCCACTCGTCGCCCGCGAAAAGCAAGTCTGCGAAGTCAACGTTTAGTCGAACGACTGTGACGAGCCAACCGGTCGTAGTACGCACATACTCCGCGTCACGCCACGCTTCACGCCCAGGCTCTGGGTTCAATACACCACGGTCTTTCGCTATGAATGGACATTCCAACGCCTCTGCTCTGTCGGCAGGCCTGGCAGGCAGGAGCGAGCAACTGCCTTCTATAGACGACTTTTCCTTCTCTGCCATTCTTCGTGCTGTAGACCCAGAGATTAGGGACGCCGTCGACGCCATTGCCGAGATCTGTGCGCGGAGTAGAATGAGTCTGGCGGATGAGTACGATGCGCACTTGCCCCCACAGGGCGAGATTACTGGCGCCGGGCCTGGATGGGCTACGAGCACAGGAGCTTTGGCTGGACGAGGTCGGTTGTCGAGAGTTGGTCAGGGATGGACAGCGGCAGACAACACGCTAATGGCTGTGCCTGAAGCAAGCAGCTCGAGCGAAAGGCTAGCACAAGAAAGCAAGATCAGCAGCAGCAAAAAGAGGAGCCAGTCTGCGTATGGCAGCTTGAAGAGTGTAATCAGTGGTGGTAGTGGGAAGAGGAAAGCCATCGATGGCGATACATTCCGTGATCAAGAAGTTGGCAGCTCAAAGCAGGTGGAGGCACAGAAACAACAAGGGCCTGCGTGGACCGTCCATGCTCCATCATCAACTCATCCGTCCATCACGCTAGTCACATTACCAACTGCTTCGAAACAGCTTTCCCTAGCAACGTCGACGGCTCTAGGGGACGTCTCAGAAGAAGCTGTAGAAGGATCAAGTACTCGGCCTCACACAGCGTTACCACAAAACCCATATGCCCATCGTCGAGGTGTTTCAACCTTGAGCCTCCCAGCTTCAAGAACACGATCCATAACTTTATCCTCCATAGCCTCCTGGCTACCTTGGCCCCGGCCCACAGATCTCAGTTCAAGTAATCAGCAAGAACTGACAAAAGCGGAAGCTCGCTTAAGAGAAATGCTGATGTCGTCGCAAGCCTTGGGGAAGGGCAAGGCTACAGTGAGCGTGGTTTGATATTCCCTTCACGATCGCATTTCATGACTATGACCAAGGTATACCCGGTCAAGGAAAAGCGACACACCCAAAATGAAAGGGTCGTGTTTGTATTTGATTGTAGGAGGCTTTCCACATTTCGCTCTGATGCTACGATATACCGGATATGATACATGACTTACGATATATGACTTATGATACACTGAAATATATACCTCTTAACTCCCCGCGTTACCGCTTTAACACTGCGATATTCCTGACCCCCAGATCAGAGACTCGCGAGCCAGCGTGCTTTGAAATGAAATTAAGTGCTGTTCGTGGATGTACACCTACATGTGGGCTTCATTCCACCGACTAAAGAACCGTCAGCGCTGGGAAATCAAGTGTTCCAGCTTTCGCCATCTGGGGACGTTCAGTAACCTACTTATAAGGAGGACTAGTAATCTTTGGACCCCTTTTGCGCCCTGCAGAGCCCCATGTACCTACTTTGTTAGTTGAGGCTGTACTTAATATTATCTCACTGATATAAAGACATTAATTCTACTACAGACGATCATCACGGCCTCTCGATGAACTAGTTTAGTTAAAAGCCATATATTATGGAAGCTTTACTAGTTTAATATCATAATATTATATTCTTAAAGGTGCACTGTAACGCGCCCAAACTACACTTTTGTACTCCTCCTATTTGCTATGTTAGATACTATACTCTTGCTAGCGTTGCTTTACTTACGTAGGAAAGAAATGAAGGGACAGAATGTGGCTGCTAATGACTTGCGGATGCGCTTATATTCACTCAACAGGCCGTTATGGGGGAGTCGTTAATGCTGAAAGGGAAGAATTTCGATAGTCGTAAGCGATGTGCGTAGGAGCCCTGTTCCAGAGTCGTCGGTAAAAGTTCGGACTGAGAATACGTAGCTGTTAGTATATGGCTCTCTCTCGCTCGAAGACTTGATTCGGTGCATATCGTTGTCGGGGTGAAACGAATGCCAGAGGAAGTTGGGATGGAAAGCCTTGAACCGACCAGGCCGTGCTGACATCTTACATGCCCATCTCACTCCTTATGACCACTGCACCTCTCTCGGCCTTGAACTTTGCCTCCAAACTCCCAAGTCCGCACTTTCTCATATCTTTTTCAGAGCGGGACCACATCCACTTGACCACGTCGTCTTCTCCGTCACAACTCTCTTCTGCGGGCAACCTCCTCGCAACCCGTTTCTTCCCAACCCAGAGCTCTACCAAACGCTCGATATTTCCAAATGCTGACCGCGCAATACTGTTCTCCGCTTCCACTCTCCGAGTTTCGTGTTCCTGCCACAACCCCTTCCGCGTTCCCTCGCTTTGGTCTGGTACATCCAGCCAGTTTGGTTTCCTGTGGTTTTCCGGGTCCAAGATTGGCATGCTGGAGAGTCGCAAAGTCCTCAGGTCTTTCAGCCCGTCTCCTAGCAGTTTGGTGATATCACTGGCACAGAGAACATCGCTGGGAAGGGAGAAGTGGCGGCGGGAGAAGATCCCACTGTCAGTTTTGATGCACAAGTGTTGGAGGTGCGGGAATGTGGCGGTAAGATACTGGACCTCAGATGCGGGCCATTTGGATGTGACTTCAAAAGATGTGAGCTTCGTACTGAGGCCGGAAGACGGGTGCAGGTGTTCAGCCATAAGGCGGCACTTTAGCTCTACGTCCGCCGTGGGCTCATGGCAGCGAGGAGGCTTGATGATCAAGTCTTTCAGATTCGGACAGTGGCCTGCTAGAGATGCGGCACAGTTTGAAACAATTAGCGTCTCCATGGAAGGTAAGAGGAAGACTTGATGGTCGATATCTGGGTCACTGAATGCCGAAATCCGACAGTTCACGTGCGTGTGAATATGTAGAAACCTGAGCTTTTGGAGGCTGTGCATGAACTTAAAAAGCTCAACATCATGACTCCATGCATAAATGTCGATTCGGAGCTTCTGCGCATTGTATTGAAACCTCGGAAGGTCTGGTAGTTCTTTGAGGGGTAGCCACATATGCAGGTTTTTGAAGGCGTATGGCGCAAATAGGTCGCGAAGATGGCGGTTCGTGCATATCAAGGACTTGATGGGCGTCGTTCGTTCGCGGAGACGGCGTTCGGCGAATGACAAGCTCTGGATGGGTTTATCACTCTTTCCTGTTCCCTTGTCGAGGTGTTCGTAGATCAAAAGCAAAACATCGTTGTTGAGGTCGGAGAATGTGATGGTCTGACTTGGCGACGACTCTGGTATTTCTGGCAGGCGTCTAGCTCGTGTAGCGGATCTCAGGGTCGGGGCCATTGTGCTTGCATGAAGAGTGACTATTTCACGTGAGGAGTTCTAAAGCGCGTACGCCCTAGTTGAGCTATCGCTTCTTTTGTGAAGGGAAGTTTGTGAAAGAAAAATGGATGGAAGTTTGTTGGGGAGAAGGCTGAGGGAAGCTACCCCACGTTTGTACACCCTTATTACCTGATTGGGTTAGCTCACTATTAGCGTCCCGATGGTAGGTTCTCACAAGTTGCCATGTATCAGCTTCCAGACTTGTTCAGCTCTTCCCATATGACAATATTTCTCTCTTGGATGACAACACACTACTGCGATCTATAAACCAACAAACATACAGTGGATTGACCCCATCTGCGGCCAATGAGACAGGACACTCCACTACATTCGTAATGTATGATGATAACGTGAAAAACTATGCACGTTTGTGAGAACCCGACAATGCACCAAACAAAGACTCAGACAAACCCAGGCAGATCCGTTCTGCTATACCTAGGTATCACCTATGCAATCCACCGGACGCCGAGTAATGCAAACACCAATCATGTAACGGTATCAGCCCGTCGATCCTCAAGGCTTCCGTTTGAGATCTAGAGGACGAACGAGATTAACGTCCATAGCCGTTACTCGGCCCACTTCCACTACTCGAAGACAGCGGCAGTGCTGAGGCTGGTTTCCATATCATGATCCTGGCATCATCGCCTGCGGAGGCGAATACAGTGGGGTCCTTGGGGTGCCATGCTACGCTATTGACACAGCTGGAGTGTGCGTCAAGGGCTTCGATCAGCAGACCGTTAGAGCGCCAAATGTAAACCCTGGAATCTAAACATGTCTATCAGCAGCCGTCTCAAAGGAGATGAGATAGATGGAGACGTACCTTCACTTCCACTAACAACGAAGTTCTCATCTGCGCCACCGAATGCGGAGCGGATGATGAATTGCCTCTGACTGTGCCCCTCGAATTTCTGCACAACCTCGCCAGACTCAATTTCCATAAGCCGAATTCTATCCTGATCCTCGCTAACCAGCATATGACGGCTATCTGCACTGATACTCACGCTCGTAAGCTTACCATCATCAAGCTGCCACTCACGTAACCTCTCGTAGCTCTCGAGATCGAATACGATAATTGAGCTCTCGGACACGACTACGAGCCGTTGACCGTCAGGCGAGATGGCGAGGTCGTTGGGGCGGATTTTGTTTGGGGGCGAGGAAGGGGATGAGGACGACGAGGACGAGGAGCTGAATGAGTGGATGAGATGGCCTGAGAGGTCCCAGATGGCGCAGCCTAGTTTTTCGTCTTGGGAGCCGATGATGACGTGTTTGCCAGAAGGCGCCCAGGCGGCTGTTGTGCAGGGGTAGGTGAAGTCGCTGATGTATTGTATACATGCGCCGGTCTGGTGTGGTCAGCTCAAGTTTTTTTTAAAGTGGGCGTTAGACATACCTTGACATCCCATATTCGAGTAGCGTTCTCCGGCTGCGCACAACAGGTTACAATCTTCGAATCGTCGGGACTCCAAGCGAGGTGTGCTACTCCTGAGCCCTGGTGCTCATCGAGCTGATGTATCACCTTGTACGTGTTCGTTTCGTAGATGATAATAGTTGCATCTTTGCTTGTTGATGCCATCTTCGTGCCGTCGTTTGAGTACTTCAGGAACCACACCTCATCCTTGTGGTGTTTGAGCTCGAGAACAGGTTTGGTAGGGAAGTTTTCCCTCTCGCAGTTGTGGTCTAGATAAAGTGATGGCGAAGCGGCTGTATTGTGATAGAGACAATTCGCTATCCAGCTATCCTTGACTTCATCTAGAAGTATAGATAACCGATGTTCCGGGATCATGACGCGAGGAGAGATGGACTCTGTAGCACATGAGTACAAGTGTTGGGATATTTAAAGCTTGTTGCTTACTTGAAAGTTCGGAAAGGAGATGCGTCCGCGACTCGCCCTGGGCCCCGTCCCACTGCGCTTGATGCCTCAGGTCCTCGGCAGACTGGCACATCATTAGACTGGCAGTTGTTAGCCTGAAGTATCTACCAGGAGACTCCAATGTTAGCGACTCACCTTGAAAGAGCGTGTAATCTGCCAACATCTTGATGAAGCGGTGTGAGCTCCTGCCTGAGCACTGTGAGCGCCTTGGCTAGTTCTCTTTGCTCTAATAGCTCCAGGTATTTCTGTTGCTTCACCCAAAACAGCATCTCGTCCCGATTCACACCCTCAGTAAGCGTCAAGCCTCCTGAATGCTGCGAATGCGGTCTCGACCGCGACTTCCCCCATGACTTGCCATACGACACATCCAGACCGATGCCTCCGCCACCATCATATGTGTTGGTGCCAAATAACAACTCTTCAGCCTCAGTCCAGTCGCCATTCAGCACGGAGGTTCGAAATGACGCCACTGTCGGCCCTTCCAACTGAAAGCCGCTTTCCTTGCACAAAGCTCCTGCAGCACTATGATAGCCCAGATCCGTCAGACTCTGTATCAATATGCGCGTAACTTCTTCCCTGTCGTGGCCAAAGAATGTCGTAGGTACTGCACTGCGGTTCGCTACCGGGCCGCCATTGGTGTACGAGCCGTTGCTCTCGGCGCGCGCATGCGAGTCTCCATTCTGTACTTTGCCCAGGGGTGACCTGGGCCCGGATGAGCGTGACGATCCGTTTGTGTAGTTTTGCGAGGGTGAGCGAGATGGTTTTGAAGTGTCGTTGTCAAGGCGCATTGTCCCGTCTGTTCTGCGCCTGCGCTTCGAGATATGGCGGGTGGACCGGCCTGCGTTCCGGCGTGTTGCAGGACCCTCTTCCGCTTCGTCGCTCTCGGAGAAGCTGTGCCTGCGCTTCCCGGCTGTAGTGTGATCGGACGGGTCTGGAAGGGTGGCGTCTGTCTGTTCGAGAGGTCTCGCGGTGGGTTCGGAGGTAGTGGGATGGGCAGAGATTACTGGGGAAGTAGAAGTTGGGGAATTCGGAGTGGCTGGGCTGTCGGGGGCGATTAGGGGAGAAGGGATCGGGGTGGTTTCGTCTGCCAGGACGAACGCTGGGGCAGGTTACCCGCAGATGACGCAGGTGTTGAAAGGTGGCAGCGCTGTGCCTTTGGGTGGCTCTGGATTTAGGATTAGGTAGGCACCATCGGAGGGCTAGGAATACGAGGAAGCCGGAGTAGGGCGGCTGTACGGCTTATGTAGCAGGCGGTTGGGCAGGTGGCAGTTGTGAGGCGTGGGGCGAGCTCGTAGTAGAGCGCGCGGCGGACAATGTGACGAGCGGAGAGATGATGTAGAGACGTGAGCGGTCGGTGCGTCTCGAAGCCTGACTACAGAGCTCGGTGGAGCTCCACGGAAGCTTGGAGCGTCGTCTGTGGGGGGTTACCAGGCTTGCCGTGGCTGTCGTGGCCGTCGTGGGCGCGTTCGGCCGTGGTAGAGTAGCTGGTCGTATGTAGACCCTCCAAGCGGAGGCTGGCTAGTAGCTCACCGAATGCGTTATATCGTCATCCGCCAACTTGGCAGGCACGACACGACCGTGTAGTGGTAGCCTGTTACAGTGCGCGGGACAAGCAGGTGGAAGAGGGTTTGAGGGCAGTAGGCAGTAGACATTTATCGAGGGCAGTCCAAGTACATGTGCACGGGTTTGTCTTGCACGTCCAGCTAGCTACCCCGTCCATCCATCCTGCTCGGATGGACCCGTGACGATGCTTATCAGACCAAGCTAACCACCTACTAACTACCCCATCGCCTCTCCCGCGCCCCGCTGTAACCGCCAGCAACGTTCGATACAATGAGTTGGGATCTGTTTATCTCTATCTTTGTCACATCTTCATCATCACATCTTTGCAAGTGGCATTGTTCGTGAAGCCTAAACAAACGCGACTACGCTCAACACACGTCGCATGAAACAGATTACGCACTGTTCTGCCGAGGAGCCAACCAACCGCGCTCAGGGAATGCCACTGCGCCGCTAATGGTAGTGCCTCGTAGCGTCAGCTGGATGGTGTGCATGGCAGCAGTCACAAACAGGAAGGGCGACGTTGAAGCTTGAAACGTGTGAGTGTGTGGATACTGCCATGCTGGCGACTATAGCATCACTTGCCAACATGATGTTTCAAAACGAGGCTCTGACATTATCCATTCCATCTTCATCCACATCTTGCTGCTTAGATCCTCATGGTCGCGTTACTCCCCGCTTCATGCTCCTTGAACCAGTTCAGAAACTGGAAAGCACTCGCCTTCGGAGTCCTCTCCAAGCTTGTATAGTTCACGTATTGCACTCCAAATCTCACCGACATACCTAGCAACCACTCAAAATTGTCGAATATAGCCCACCCCCAGGCGCCAGTAACGTTCACCTTGTCCTCGTGGATCGCCAACAGAATGTTGTCTAGATACTGCTGGAAGTAATCCGCTCTCTTCAGGTCCCAGAGCGCAGAATTAAGATTCGACCATTGTGCCTCGAATGGCTCGGCGAACCCGAACTCAGTCACGACAATGTCGGGAATGGAAGGGAAGAGGACCTGCGTGATATGCTTCAGGAATCTGCGTACGCCGGAAGGAGCAGAGTAGAACCAGCTCATCGCCGGATCAGCAGCTGGTCCGATAGGGAATCCATTCGGTGCGATGCTCGCGGAGCCGGCGCATTCAGGGAACGCAGGGTGTGAGCGGTTACTCGTGCAAGCTTCAAGACCGCCACCCACCTCGAATGCGAGGAAAGACGAATACGGATCGATAGCGTAGAAATCGCAGCTGCCCTTGATCAGGTCCTTCTCTTCCTGTGTAAGTTCCGGTAAGATGTCACCCAGCGTATCCTTGAGGCTCTGGGGATAATCGCCATCTGTCCACGGCCCGCCAAACCATCCAATGCTGAAATCGAAATTTCGCTGCCGCGCGATCTCATCGGCAGGTGACGTGCTATTTGCCTCGTAATAGTTTCCCGAGTTCTTGAATGTGATCCTGCCACGGCCCTTGAACTCCCCATGATACCATTTTGCCACCTTCGCATGCGCAAGTAGTGTATGATGACCACACAGGAATCGCGCTTTGTTGCCTCCCGTCACACCGTTTGGCGCGGGATAGTACTTGCCTGCTGGATAGCCCGCGTACTGCCAATTGCAGTACTGTGGCTCGTTGATGGTGAACCATTCATCCACGTACGCATCGTACCGCGTGATGACGAACTTTGCGTAGTTGAAGAAGTCATCGACGATGCGCTTGTCTGTCCAGGCGCCATACTCGCTGAAGAGCGCCAATGGTGTATCCCAATGGAATAACGTGACCGCGGGCAGGATGCCTTGGGCGTGCAATTCGGAGATCACATCGTCGTAGTGCGCAATCGCATCCTCGTTTACTGAGCCGTGGCCGAAAGGGAAGAAGCGAGGCCAGGAGAAGCTGGGACTGAAAGCTGTTGCTGTTAGCCTCAATTGTACAATCTCGTGATCTTTCTTCCGCTGCTTTTGAACTTTCTCAAGTTCGCTTTCGGATGCCCTCGCGACAGCATTCAGCTAACAATGAAGAATATAGATACCCTGAAGAAATTCAGGCTGTTATAGAATATAGTGGGTGCGTCCATACCATACGCGTTACCCATATTAAAACTTACCTCTAACACCCAAGCTCTTCAGCCTGGCAAAATCCTGCTTATACAGATAGTAGTGACTAGCAACAACATCACCCGTCGTATTATCCGCCACAAAATTCGGCACTCGATGCGCCAACAGATCCCAAATACTGGGTCCCTTTCCCTCATCTTTCGCCGCGCCTTCGATCTGGTACGCCGAAGAGCTCAAGCCCCATCGGAAACCCTGTGGCAGCTTCAGGTCTCTAGTCTCTGGATATGCGCTGCCAACTAAGGCGTGGTAGTATTGGGGGTCTGGCCGTGGGTAAGAGCTGGGCTCTGGTGTTGGAGAGGGCGTGGATGTAACTGGTCCTGTTGCGATGGGACCTACGAGATCCCAAAGGGATGCGAGAGCGTTGGGGGAAAAGTCGGTTCGTGTAAAAGCTGTGGGTTGTGCAGATGCATTAAAGCTTGATGTTGTGTATCCAGACGGCAGCGAGAAAGAGACGGTTGCTGTGCCATTGCTTTGAGTAGCTACTGAGGACGAGAGGAGGAGAAGACCAAGAAGAGGATTTCGAAACAATCGAGCCATTTTGACGAACGTGAGCGGAAAAAGGAAAGAGCGATCAAGGGAAGAGAGTTCAGGAAGGTACGAAGGAAGCGGTACTTCCCTTTATTACCTTGAGGACCTCTAGCCTCACTGTACTGTACCAGGGAGCTCCTGTACCTACATGATCTCGCGACATATTCCATGTCATCTGACGAGCATTACCCGGAATTATCTTCTCGCATGTAGGGAGCCCCTCATAAGAGCGCTCAAATGCATCTTGAACGTGCCGGTGTACTGGGTATCGGGAGTCCACAAGGTTGTCTGTTGGTCAATTGCTCAAAACTAAGGCAAGCTCCAAGCTGTGCCACGGCGCATGCCTTCATGTACTACTTTTGAAGGAGGCTAAAGGACGTCATCGGTCGACAGCTTTTCGGAAGAACCGGGGTGAATGTCCGTGTCGGAAGCGGTATGGCACGCAGAGTCGAGCTGTGATTGGTGGATGTACATGTTCTAGAAGGACTACTATTGCGGGGAAGGTTTGCAAATCCTTAGCATTACACTGATGTTCAAGTGTAGAACCAAAACCGTCGTCTTGAAAATCTTACGAGTCTTCCTAGTAGGATAGGTCATTGTGTGGCCGGACCGTATGCCGAATCTTGGCCAGAAGCACATTGCGACAGGTGATCAACAGATGGAGAAGATGGGTGAAAGAGATCTATGCTGGATCAAGTGGTCCATTTCATTGAGCAAAGCTTAACTTTTGGTTTACCTAAACGCTCATTCTAGATTCGTCAATGGTTCGTGAGGTTATTCGAGCTACGTGAGCTGTCCCAGGTGCATGATTCGCCTCAGTGGAGACACGAGAAAGCGATCATGATGTCGTCATAGCAGTAAGATATTGCTTAAGCCTTACGCTGTTTCTTCGCAGGCGGCTGTGCTGAGTTTCGGCCCTTGCCAACCAAAGCTCGGATATCAACCTCGCTGTCAGAGTCGCCTTGGTTTTCAGCATCCGAATCTTCATCCATGACATCGAGCTCGGATAACTCTTCGTCATCCTCTTCCTCATCAAAGGTTGCCTCTGCGACTAGTTAGAATGGGGCTTCGAAAAAAAATTGTTGAACGTACTGTAGTACTTGATGGCGTTTGGCCACATGTCCTCCGCGATGATGGTAGCCACTTCGTCTCCGCCAGGGAAGACTTCGATTTCCTGGTAGTCTTGAGGATCTTCTTCATCTTCATCATCGTCTTCCACCTCTTCTCCCCGCTTGATCTTCTCCAGCTTGTCGTTGTCCTCCTTTGTGACCTGCTCTGACTCCTCGGCACTGACCCATCTGTACCCGGACACGAACGCAAAGATGCCGAAGAAGCTGACTGACGCATCTGATGATGTTTCGATCTTCTGCGCTAACTCTTTGTATGCTTTGGTCGTGGCTTCCTTTTTCCTAGCCTCGCCGTTGGATGTGTCGGCTGCGAGCTTCTTCCTCTCCTCGCCCAACTTGCAAGCCGCATCGGTGAGACCAGAGGTCAGATCCTTGCCCTTCTTCCAGTGGATCTTCACAGGCTCCGAAACCAGGCCTTGCCAATCCTTTGTCCTCCTGAACCAAAACTTCTTCTCTAGCACCTTATCCTCGAAGTACTCATTCTCCTTGAAACCGAACTTGAGCGAGAAGCTGCGCGGTGAGCCTTTGGGGTCGTCCAGCTCGAATCGAGAGACTTCGAAGCTGTCAAAGCACTCTGCGAAGACCTTGGCGTCTGAGGGTTGGATAAAGTTGTCGATTTCTGGTGGCGCCTGCTCGAAGACGAGGGTCCAGAAGTGTGGGATATTGGCAACGAACTCGGCGCGCTTCTTATAGAGAGGTGCATGAAGAGCTTCCGCCTTGCGGACTGTATCATGTTAGCAATGGCCCGTTACTCCGCCTATAGCTGATATTCATAATAGCTCAATCTACAATGGCATGCGCTAGGATGGCCAGCGCCGTAAAGTGTCTGATATACTTACGAATCTCTAGTTCGGCCTCCTCAAACTCGGTCTCGAGGACACTGAGCTCCTCAAACCTCGCCATGATGTCCTCGGGGTTTTCGTCCATGTGGTCCATGTTGCGCGAAATGACTAGAATGGATATATCTAAGGGAAACGGGCTTTAGTATAGTTTCTAGTGGAATCGCAGAATTCAGGCGACTCACTTTAGATTTCAGATATAGACTTGGAATGTTCGTGTAGATGGTGACGGAGTTGAGCAGCGAGAGGAGTGCGCAGCCAAAAATTTCCTGGGAACTGCTGCAGGGATCGGAGCTTGAGCTCCACTCAAGCTCGAGCACAGATCCGCAAATAGCGGAGACATCCCGCCTTCCACTGGTCATCCATCAGCCTTCAGCCTTCAGCCAGCAGCTCCAAGCAACAGGCAATTGTTTCTTGGTCTCTACGTACAGATTGCACCCTTAAAATTAAGACCTTTCTCTTCTATGCAGCGGGTGATGCTAGCTCCATAAAAACCTACCGCCCTCACTGCCCACATTCCAGGTAGGTTGCGCTCAGCAATGCCGGAATCTCCTCATATACACACGCTACTGTTAAGTAGCAGTTGTAGTAGCGTGAATACATTCAGGCTACCCTAAGATGTAGTGGCAGTTTTACCCTAATTCGTATATCTAGCGATGAAACACCTTACCTAGGTAAAGACATGCTTTCATGCACACACTTTCTCTAAAGCGTTTGTTGCAGTCATATACACTCTACAAACGCAGTTCGAGGTGGCTGTGCGCATGTTAAGCAGGCAATACCTACTTTCTGTCCTGCGCCTCCTCTTTTACTCTTGTACAAACCACAACGCCTGACTGTCACTGTAGCTCACACCTTTGTACCCTTCTTGGTTCGCAGTCATGGGCGGTCTGGCGTTCGCAACTGTCACATCCGGCAACGGGCAGCCACCTCACATCCCTCGTATGCCGCCAGAGCTATACAAGGCGATCTCAGCAGAATGTCAAGCAAAGCTGAAGAAGCTCTTCAACCATGTCGTCATCCCTCGCGACGCTCCAGCGAAAGTAGATCACGGCGATGTCGATTTCCTGGTCGAAGGCATACTACCTCACACCTTGAGAAGCGATATCTGGACAGCCACCAAGAACATCATCGGTGCCGAGTTACATCTGCCCCGCGGTGACTCTCACTCCTACGCTATTCCCCACCCAGAAATTCCGGATGCATACGTACAAGTAGATGTAGAACTCTCGCCTGGAAACGATACGCCTGAAGGAGCAGAGCTCTTTGAGTGGACAAGATTCATGAAGGGTGACTCGGACCTGCTGCAAGTTATTGGCGTCTCTCATCGACCCCTCGGGCTGACTTGCAATGATCGTGGTCTACACGTCCGAGTTGAGGAAATTGAACCGTGTACGTATACTCTATATGCTCCCATTCGTTGACCTTTTCTCTATTGTACTCGCCTACTTTTACTGACTGTATTGCACTGTAGACAACAAGAAGAAAGCGCTCGTCTTCTTAACAAGAGATCCGAACAAAGCCATGGAGTTCTACGGCTTCGATGTGAGTAAATACTGGGCTGGCTTCACAGACGAAAAGGACCTGTTCGATTGGGCTTCCAGCGGAAGGTTCTTCTCTCACGATATTTTCGAAAGTCGCGTTGAGAAGTCAAACGATCGATCACGGCAAACAAAGCGGCCCATGTACCGACGTTTCGTAGAACAGTACATGGCCACACATCCAGATCAAGGCAACAATAATGCATGGACCCGCCAGCAGGTTCTCCACGAAGCCCTTACCTACTTCAACAAGCACTCCGAATATGACGCTATGATGGAGGAGCATCGTAGCAAAGAAGCTGAAGAGCAGCTGTGGAAAGACATTCGAGCAATCCTGCCCGTTGAGGGCAACTCATTGGCGCTGACTTTGAAAGGTTTGCGGCGCTGGGTGGTCTTCCAGAACGGCGAGCCGCAAATCACATCCGAACCCAACTTGGAAGAGTACCAGTGGTGGGTCAAGCACATATCAGAAGAAGATAAGGGTAAAATCATAGCCTGGGTAAAGGGCAATTGGGAAGAGGTGAAGGCCCTAGAAAAAGCGCGAGCGCGAGCTGCAAAGGAAGGTGCAAAGACGAAATCGCAATAGAAAGGCAATATCTCAGTTCCTTTCAAGGTACACAGTAGAGCCAAGAAGTACTCGTGATTTACGGTATGCCATATCAAGCCAAACTGTCTAGAGAATGACGCAACGTGTATGTACCTAGGTAGTAGATCGCGTGGAGTTGCTTTGGCAAACACCAACCGCATCCGCACATGGAGGCGAGGATCAGAGCTTTTCTTCCAATGTGAGTGACGTAATGGTCCCGACCCTTCCCGTAAATTAGAATTTACAGGCCCTAACTTTTATTTTCTGGTATGATGTGAGATGCATGTGCATAGGTCGGCCGTGCAAATTTTCAGTTTCGAAGGGGTAATGGATGGTAGATAACAGTTTTGAAGGGGTAAGAAGAATGGCCAAAGTGGTCCCTATTCGTTAAATCTGCAGTGCGCTTGATGCTCGGCCCGATCGGGAAAGCAGGACCTGGACCACGTCAAGTTCTTCGACTACCAATTCAAAAGCTTCATAAGCGGATACTACGCCAACTTTGATCTGTTTTGCCAAGAACTGGCTCCACAGTTGTTCTTATCTTCTTTGTGTGTATCGTTCTGCGGTACCGACGGATATTGAACTCACTTTTTGCTCGCTTACCACACTACTGACCGCCACGTTCGACCTTTGAAACACCTAACATTTCCCAAACCTAAAGTTTGAGGGATTTCAACGTCACACTTGGATTGCGAGTGGCGAGAAGGGCGACGAAATGGACCACGATCACGAACAATTTCCAGAGCTTTCGCTTCCAGAAGCACGAGTTTTGATCGTCATCACAGGTGCGATCCCGGCCATGAAAAGCATTCGGTGGCTAATATCCAGCAGGCGGCACAATATGCATGCGAAAATCCGCAGACGGCTTGGTACCTGCAAGAGGATTTTTGAAAGCCGGACTCGCGCCAAGGCCCGTGTTCAATGATGGATCCTATCCTGAGCCTCTCGAAATTGTTACCGATGACAAAGGCAATAAGAAAGCTGTCCAGAGTTTGAGAACGCCTGTCAGCACATATCAACGCAGAGTCAGGTACTGCGTACTGGAATTTGAAAAGTTGCTCGACAGCAGCTCCATCGATTCTACGGGATGGGACCAGATCGCGAGAACCGTTCAGAGGAACTACCGGCTGTTCGACGGCTTCGTCATCCTACATGGAACTGATTCTCTCGCCTACACATCCTCTGCACTGAGTTTCATGTTTCACAATCTGGGGAAGCCAGTCATTCTTACCGGATCTCAGGCGCCTATGATGGAGCTGCAGACCGACGCTCAAGACAACCTATTAAATTCCCTCATTATTGCTGGCCATTTTATGATACCGGAAGTATGCCTGTTCTTCAACTTCAAGCTCTTCCGAGGAAATCGTGCTACCAAGGTATCTGCAGAAGACTTTGATGCGTTCGGTAGCCCTAATCTTCCAGCACTGGCGACTATTTCATCAACGAGGACCAACGTCTTATGGCACAGGGTACATCGTTCGACAGACCTCAGTCCATTCGCTATCCAGACGAACTTAGACACAGGACATGTGGCTTGTCTCCGCGTCTTCCCAGGTATCACGCCTGCAATGGTAGACGCAGTTCTGCGCCTAGAAGGCCTGAAAGGGTTGGTGCTGGAGACTTTCGGCGCCGGGAACACCCCAGGAGGACCCGACAGCGAGATGACACGAACCTTGGCAGATGCAGTCAAGAGAGGGATTGTAATCGTCAATGTGACACAATGTTTGAACGGTAGCGTCAGCCCGCTGTACGCCCCAGCAACCATGCTCGGTCGAGCCGGTGTGGTATTTGGGTTGGATATGACGTCGGAAGCAGCGCTCACCAAGTTGGCATACCTACTTGCCCTACCGGAAGCTACTCCCGACGAAGTCGCGAAGCGAATGGCAGTATCCCTTCGCGGCGAACTAACTGCGACAACAAGAACTCACTTCGAACACCCGTCGAGCGGTTTCCTGACTCCAGAACTCTCGAACCTTACAGCACTTGGTTATGCCATCCAGAGGGGTGACTTACAGGACACGAGAGATATCATTCGCGGAGAGCCGCGATGGCTACTCAACGACTCCGACTACCAAAAGAACAATCCTGTGGTGAGTGACGTTCCATCTGCCCTCTATCCAGTCATCGTCTCAATGCCTATCTATACCCTTCGTGCTACCTTCCGCATGAGCATCAAGTCAGGATTTTCATTGTTCCTGCATCAAACAAAAGCTCCAATCGGAAGCAATCGTTTTGCAGCAATCTGAGACTGTGCCACGCATTCCTCTTTATCTCGATAAACAGACGAGAGGCCGTCGGGCAGGTAACGCGAACAGCCAACAGCTGCTCAGCGGGAATACCACCCTGTCGCTTATCTATGCGGATCAGGAGCAACATTCTTCCGTACAATGATGCAAGATTGCGTTCTCTACTGACAAGGTCTCGTAGCATCTGGCAGCGACAAGCCCAAATGTCGAAATCCTACGTGATTTCCTTGCCCAGGGCGCCTCAGTGCATCTTCGGAATGGAGCAGGCAACACGCCACTTTTCTTAGCTGCAGCTGCAGGGTTACAGGAGCACGTACGTGTTCTACTCGACGCTGGAGCGCATCTTCATCCAAATGAGATAAGTGCAGCAAATCTACGTGCGTTGGAGGGCGACGGCAACGCTGCGTTATGGGAACTTATTATTGGTTCGAATAAACTCGAACGTTGAAGTTTGCTTGGACCGCGGGTAATCTGATTGATGCATGGCGCCTTACGATGTCGCCATGCCTGGCCCATCGGTCCCCAGTGTCTGGTGACGCACTAGGATCAGCCCGGGATAGAGATCCAACGCCCAGGAGCTGTAGCATTGGGTTTACGCGACAGTAATCCAGTGGCTTGATGGCGTTGTTATCAACGAGCTGCTGTACTGTACAGATCCGGGCCGGGAAGTTGTCGAGGTTCGAGACATACAGGGAGCACACACCAAAAACAGCAAGATGGGCAAAGCAGTCAAGGGCAAGCTGACAGACGCTAGAGAGTGTTGGGGGGTACCTCGGGAGCCTGTTTTCGGTTAGTAATAGATATAACACTTCAAGTAGCTCTATCAGACTATCAGAGCACGTTTTCCCACCAGGTGACCGTCATGGTTGGCAACCATGTAGTCGTCCAAAGGTGGACCGCGCCGCTGTTGACATGGGCTCACTAATTCCGTCATCCTTCGGGCCTCTCCCGGCGGCATATTCTCTTGTCCCTGATTTTAGTGCTCCCCGCAATCGAGTTGTGGACAGGCCCTACCCCTCATTGAATCATTTGCATCACAAGCAAAGTCTGAGGTGGACCTCGTCTACTGGAGTAGCCTACCGCGCTTCCTGCACTGCAAAGATAGTGCACGTTGCTGTCTTGGATAGGTCACAGATTTTTCACTTATCTCCCCCTCGAGTCGAGCCACGGACCATGAGCTGATGGGAGCAAGACTCCCGTTATGACGAACATATTGGGCTGACCTAAGTACTCACCATGGCCTCCCGGTCTCAGCCAGGTGCTTGAAGGAGCAGAAATTGGGACGCTCCACTTCCTATTCGTTCTCATACCAAATTATTATGTAATTTCTAGTGACGGGCCCGAAAAGTGACACAGAAAACGGGCGAGAATTCAGTTTCTCCCGCATCTCCGCCAGGCGACATTGAACTTGGCATCTACTCTTTAACTTATCCTGGCCCGTCAGGTTGACGGCTTCCACTTTACAGCAGTTGGGCCCAAGGACCTCCATTCTTGGATACCGCGAGTCACGTGCCTCTGGCCCTCAGTCGCGCTACCAGGCCCTGCTACCAAATCTCTTTGTGCGCTGCGAAACCATCCACTCCACCGCTATCTGCTATCTGCTATCGCCGTCTGGCCACCACTGCACTACAGCCGAAAACCCAGCAGACCGTCACTCGGTGCTGTTGTACCTTGGCCCTGTTTGCCATATATCAAGCGACATCCCTCCGGAGACGACCCTTCCTTCACTACTGGATGCGACTTTCTTAGCGGCTTTGCAGAGGATCTTCAAACCTTATCGAGACTTGTTTCATCTTTTCGTTAAATCGCCATCACGGACTCACGAATGCAAAGGACGGTCGTTACCATCAACAGCAATGGCCGCCAATCGGCGAGCTTCATTCGGGTGGCTGCCGCATTGGGATGGCAGGTGCGCGCGCAGATGCGAGACCTGAACGGCATAGTCGCACAAGAGCTATCCGAGTTGGAGAATGTTACCGTCTACATTGGACGCCTGGAGGACCGAAAATTTCTCGACAACTTGTTCAAGAGCGCGCAATGCGCTTTCATAAATACAACGCATTGGGGAGATGAGGTTGCCATTGGTCGAGCTCTAGCCGACGCGGCGAAGAAGGCCGGCATACAACACTACATCTACTCGAGCATGCCAGATCACTCCGTCTTTGGCCACAACTGGAGAGCATTACCATTATGGGCGCCCAAGTTCACAGTCGAGCAATACATCCGCCAAATCGGTATGCCCGCCACGTTCGTCTACTGCGGCATTTACCACAACAATTTCACCAGCCTGGACTTTCCGCTATTCCGCATGGAGCCCCAACCAGATGGGAGTTTTCTGTGGCAAGCACCCTTCCACCCTGAACAACCACTGCCGTGGCTAGACTCGGAGCACGATATAGGCCCTGCCATTTACCAGTTGTTCAAGGAAGGCCCCCGAAAGTGGAATGGCAAGCGGTACGTGTTTTTCTGCCTCTGCATACTTCGGCTCCACTTGACGCGAGCACACTCCACATGATTCGATCTCGTGGCGACTCTTGCCCTTTTCATATGTCAAGCTTTCCACTCTTTCTAGCACGATTTTACTTGGCTGCATTGCGCAAAAATCGCAACCCACGTGCTGCCTGCACGTGCTGTTGAAGATTACGTACTGACTGAGTCAGGGTACCTCTGGCGTTTGCCTCGATGACTCCAAGGGAAGTCTGCAAAGCCTTTAGCAGTGGGCTCGGAAGGCCGGTGCGCTATAAGCGGGGCCCCATAATGATCAACGTTCCCACACCCATCGGATATCGGGAACACCTTTCCGCACTCGAGTACACCTTGGGAGAAAAAGGTGCACCGTACTTTGGGCCCGACCTCGAGCCCGCTGTGCCTAGCGTCGCTCTGGAGCTATGGGAGGGCAACCGATCAATGGAGGAGTACGCACAGGAAGTGTTCCCAGTAGAAGAGGCCGCTAACGGCCTCACCTGGATGATGGAGGTAGAGACACCACGCCGCCAAGTTGAAATCGACTTCGAACAGGTCAATTGCTGACTACTGGCTTTGTCTTCCAGGGCGAGAACTTCGAGCATTCAAACGGTGTCGTGGGCCTGAGCGAGCAATTCAACCAAGCCAGGCTCTAATTTCTTCCTTATGGCATTTCAACTTCCATTTCCATCGGCGTCGGGCGGCAGCATATCGGCGGTGTCTGGTATTCTTTATCTTCTCCATGGAGCTTCTAGGGATAGAGTGGTGAAGGTGGCATATGTTTTGTATGAGACGCGGCTTGTGGTATCTCTTTACTCCTGTCAGACCATCTATCCACGATAGGGTGTCGCGTCCAAGCATGGTGTTTGGGCTGCCTTTTTAAGCATGGGCGGATGCATTGCGCAATACCTAGGATCTGCATTTACAAAAGTTTTGATTTCTTCACGCTTCACGAGGAGATGTCCCCATACACATACGCCTAGGTATGCATTTCTTTTTATAGAGCGCTTGTGGAATTTCACAATAGAACCACAACTCATACTAGGCTCAAAGAGAGCCCAAAAAATTCGGAAAATGAGTTCAGTGCATCCGTGATGTGGAAAGAAGAATACGTGGTGGTGATGCTCTTTGAATTGAATGTCGAGATGGGCTGAAGCTTACATAAGCGACATCGAATTTCTTGAGCTCGACATCATCCAGCTTGACTGCCACAACTCCACCGCCAATGTCAGCCGCAATACCATGCTCGCGCGCTGCGGCGCCGCGTATTGCCTTGAGAACTACACGATGCCAACGATTTCTGAGCACCGAAGCAATTGCTGTCGAGGCGACGCCAGCAGCTCTACTCCCCCGGAAGCGTGAAACGCCAATACTGCGGAAGACCCTCAGCGAGCAGATGCACAGGGCCATGTATCCGCATTTATACGAGGGTGGAAGTTCCAAAACGGTTGCACCTAGGAGAACTGCACAGCCAAAGATTCAGAAACCTATCGGTTCTAAATGGGCACCGGCGATGCGAGAGGAGAACGTTTACAAGACTCTCAGTACGTTCACCCCTCCTGGTAGCCATGGAAAGCTAGCAAGCACGGCGCATGTCTTAATTGGCGAAACATCGTATTGCAAGAAGGAGCAACCATATTAATGAATCCTCAGGCGAACAATTCGGTGTCCCCATCTTCAAGCCTTCGGCTCTTAACATCAAGAAAACCTGTCCCAACCCCGTCGCAGCCGTAACCGCCTCGCAGACCACGCTCCTCGACCCCACTGGCGCCCGCACCCGCCTCTTCGCGAAAGACAACCCAGAATGCGCTCGCGTCGGCGACATTTTGCTCGTTCGCCAGCGCACCGGCGATCCCTTTGCTGGCGTATGCATCAACATCCGGCGGCGCGGCGTCGATACCGCCATCCTCCTACGCGGTCAGCTTACGCGAGTCGGCGTGGAGATGTGGTATAAGATCTACAGTCCGTTGGTGGAGGGCATTGAAGTTGTACAACGCGCGGCGAAGAGGGCGAGGAGAGCGAGATTGACGTACATGCGCCTTGTTAAGCATGATAGGGGGAGTGTGGAGAATGTGGTCAGGATGTATCTAAGGCAGAAGGCTGCGCTTGGTACAGCGGACGGCAAGAAGAAGGGTGGTGCTGCTGCCGCGGCGGCAATGGGTGGAGGTGGCAAGAAGGGCAAGGGGCGAGGGAAGAAGAGGTAGATGTGTGTAGAAGGATAGATTTGTGTATAATAGCATGGCATAGCCCGGTGCTGGTTTAGTTGGACATACTGTACAGATATGTACAACATTGGGCAGAAATCAAGAGCTTGTTCTGTCGAAACTGCCATTCGTGTAACCATCTTCATTCCGTAAAGTAGAAAAGGGTAGCGGTGGAATTGAGATCAAAGCAAAAGGTATAATGATTCCTGAGCCCAACCATAAACTCCAAGCTAATGATACCTAGACTCCTCTCATCCCATAACCCTCGACCTGATACCACCCCTCCACTCTCGCTCAGCGCTCCCTCTACCTCCACAGTCTAGTTCACACGGTCCCATACCCCTGCTGTCCTGGCTGTCCCGGCTGAACCGGATAACCTTGCTGAGCCGGCACAGGCACAGGCTCACCAGCAACAGGCGCAGCTACCGGCACAGGGCCACGATGCCCGCCACTCTGCACCTTCTGGCTATACACACCGGGTGCTGGACGCGCATTATAGATACCCGCGCGCACTTCGTCGCGTCGCTTGACGTACACGTACTCGATGTAGAAGGCGTGGATGTGGCCGGGGAAGTAGCTGCACTGTGTTAGCATGGATTGCGAAGCCGGGTATGGATTGTGGGGTGCGAGGATTGACGTACCCTAAGACGGTGAGGAGAATGTTGATGAGTAGGTCGACGCCGCATCCTGCTACGAGGAAGACACCGATGGGTGGGACTGGGGCGGTGTCAGTAGGAATTTCTAGGAGGTAAGTGAGTATGGAGAGACGTACTGAATATCGTGATGATGACCAGCAGAAGTGTCTTGATCATTTTGGCGACTTGTGTGGTTTATGCTTAGGGCTGTTCGGCATTCGAAAGTAAAGTAGGGTTGGATATGTTTGTGCTTTGTTGAACGTTTGCGTCTGTCGCCGCACAGAGGAATGCGTATGTAACGTAGAACTCGTAGAATAGACTCTGGCAATCCGAAGCTTCCCGGCAGGGTATCAAACGTTTATGAGCGAAACTTTGAAAGGTGTCACCCGCACTATCTGTTACCACGCTCCCCTGCGTTTCTGGTCAATAAAGCGTTGGGTTCCGTGCTGCGCATTCGTCATGGGTGTGGCGCGACGCCGGGTGTGGCGGAAAGCTCGACACGCTTGCGCGTCGTGTTGCCCGATGACTGATGAGATTTCAGCATGTGAGAACAGTTGTAGAGGAGTGCGAGGCTGGAGCACATGTTGTCGATCCTTAATGCAGTGGTCACGTCATGTCACCCGGCGGGCTCCTACGTTGTCGTGTTACTCGTCGAGCCCGTTTCCTCCCCAGTCTTCGTTATCACTTTTTCTGAAGTTCATACCCCAAACACTTTGTGTTTCAATCACAGTCTTTTCTGCATATCCCTGGCATATGCTCTGAGTCCTTGAGGATACAAACACAGGATCACCTGGTCTGCTTCATTTGAGTCAATACTACATAGCACCCTCAACCCAGTCTACACCGAGCAAACCCCGAAGACGATCAGTCCAACGCCTACCCATACCTGCACGTTTCTGGCCGGCTGCATGTCGATGAATATAAGCTAAGATCGAATTAGCAGCTATATGCGAAGGAACCACTATAGCGGAGAGAAGATGAACATTTCAACCATCTTTGTTGCCCTTCCAGCCATACCTGCCGCTTTGGGAGTCTGTCGATCGCCATTTCGAGTGCAAAGTGATATCCTTGGACCCCTGGGTGGTCGTTGATCTACAAGAGGTAGGCAGAAGACGTCTTGTAAGAGTACCCAATCGGAGGTAACAGGCATGACCAATATGGTCATATCCCTCAGAAAAGGTATGGAAGGATGAATGCACTACGGGGCACCACGTGCTTGCCATAATGCGATCACCCACCTCCTCTTTGAGTTATCTGAGGTACATCATGGCCAATCAAGAGCAGTGAATGTGGAACATGTTGAATAGCCGTGAAGTAACTCAGGTAACTCAAATTAAAGTGCGTTTCTAATCGCAACCCCCTTTGGTGATTTGGAAAGTTTGCATAAATGCAGCAGTCGTCACCCGAAGATGCTTTGAAGCAAGTTTGGTTATTACTGTTTCATGCTTCCGAAGAAAATAAGGAGAATGTTTTTAGCTAAATAGTAGGCTCAAGCTTCACGAAGAGGGTGCGTCGTGCAGCGCCGTTGCAGAAATAGCAATATCCAATCTAAATGATGAAAGTAATAATTGCATGAGCTGTGTACTTCGGCTGCATGCCATTTGGACGTTTTCAACAATGATACGGACTATTGGTATGGCATCCGACTTGCAGTGATACAATGCGATCATCACGAGCCAGCCTACTCACCATTAACCACAAAGACACCGCTTAGAGTGTAGACCACACTTGGAGAGCAGAATAGGCATATGGCAAAGAGAAACGCAAAAAAAAAACATACAACAGCGGGGATTCGCCAGTGGTCACCCACCTGACTACTAATCCGCCGGTATTCTGCTTAAGTACCGCTGAGCGAACGGGAAGCGCTGAATTCAGAATCCTATGGTCGTATGTGAAAGATCTGTTGAAATTATTGCCCTATATTGGTGGTGCTTTGCGTGTCCTGGAGAGTACTTCTCAATATCCGCCACCGATCTTCACTGTTTTTGATTTCACGTTGTTCCCCGACACCTCAATCGCAACACCATTATGCCCACGCCCGTAGCCGACCTCGATTTCCAGTCTCTCTCTAGGCCAGAGCGTGACATAATTCTCAGACCAAGTGACTGGCACCACGTCTTTTCCAGTCCCGTCCACTAGATTCAGCCTGACAAACACCGCGGGGATCTTGCTCTTATTCTCTAGTGTCACTCTTGTACCCTGTGCTCGTATGTCAACACCTGCCGTCGGCAAAGCGTTGAGAGCTGTGAAGTCCGAGTAAGAAGTGACGGGCGTGTGATACCACGTTGAGTTGTCCCAGTCCAAAACATCAACCTGTGGTGCCAACCAGTATACACTTCTACTTAAGACTCTCCTGCCGCCTGTGAGGCGAAGCCGGAGAAGTACCACGTCCGTAATATTCAGAAGTCCCGGCACTGAAGTTATCTTGCGACTTGAGTTGAGATCCGTGATGGTATCTACACTCTTCTTGACAATTGACTGTCCATCCAGACCAATGACTTCGATGTCTATAGTGCGATCAGATGACTTTGGTGCATTCGATCTTGACTTTCTGTTCACCAAGTAAACGGTCTTGTCCCCGTAATCATAAACCGCCGTCTCCAGTTTGCCCAGAGCGGTTTTCACGCCGAAATAGCTCCCGCCAGGGTGTAGGTAGTAATCGAAGAGGTTCCAGTGCAGCGACGGCCACGCATTGTTCAGCATCCAGTAAATAAGACCTGTAGCGGGCCGCTCCAATGCTTTATTCCAGCGAGACAAGTAGGCCTCGAACTGAGAACGTGTAGCTTCATAGTCTGCCATTTGGGCTTTGAGCAGGTAGTCGGAGAGGGAAGAGGGCGCACCGTATCGAGCCCACAGCGCATCGTTGTATATCGTCCTCGTGTAGAACGACGACACGTTCGTGGACATGTGGTACAGCCCTTTATCTTTACTTTCCTTCTTCCACAGGTCTCCGAGGTCCTCTGGGCTGAGAAACTTCTTGAGAGATCCGAGTTCAGGTGTTCCCACGCCAGCACCGAGTTCGGAGCCAAAACCAGCTGCACTACCAAGTCGCCCCTGGTTATCGTACCAGTAATTGGGAGACACCCAGTCGTAAGGCCCCTCCATTCTCATGCCTCCATTCCCAAGAAGGTCGGGCGCGCCATTCTGGCTTGCGGATGCGATGATTGGTATATTCCAATTGTAGGCCTTGAGTGCGTCAACGTAGATTTGCGTTGCGCGGTCGTCGGGCCAGAAGTCACTTCCGACCAGGAATCCAAGCATGCTCGGATGACTCTGCATGAGCTCCGCTTCGTGACGTATGGAACGATTCGCAATATTGTAGTCGGCGTCTGTCCATTTCTCGCCAGTGCCTTCGACGTTATAAGTCCAGCCTTCCCATTTATCACAACATTCCCATCCAGCGAGGATCATGATACCAAGTTCGTCCGCGAGATTGTAGAGGAAGGGATGCTCTTGTTTGCCTTCCAAGCGGATAGTGTTGAGGCCCATATCTAGCACGTACTGAAATTGTGCTCGTAGCTTGTCCTCGTCGAAGCGAAGAAAGATGTCGGAGGTATAGCCAGCTCCGAGGACTTGGAACCGCTCGCCGTTGACGTAAAAGGTAGTATCGTTATACTTAGCGTCCAATTGCTTCGTGACAGTCCGGATGCCAAACCTCGTTACCGGAGTCGCATCACTCAAGCCGCCAGCCTTTGTAGTAGCATTGCACTGCACGCTATACAGCGGTTGATCACCCCACTGTCTTGGCCACCAAACCTGCGGATCGTTCACTCTTGCTTCAAGACTGAATGTCGCTTGTTCTCCGCCTCCCAAATCGAAGCCCGACCTCGGAGCCCCAAGTTTGATGCCATTGGGGTCGTAAATTGCGCAGTCAATGTACCCACTCGCACTAGCATTCTTCTTCACGTTCTTGACTTCAAGGTAGATATCAACCGCGCCGTCGAGCAGCGCTCGCGTTGTGACGCGAAGGCTACCGAGGCTTACTTGGCCTGTCCTCTTAAGCTCGATGTCGCGCCAGATTCCTGTACCGTTGTCTGCGGGATAACTGAGAGAGGACTTAGCATAAACATCATTCGGGAAATTGGAGTTATACATACGGATTCCAGTCCACAAAACCAAGAGCAAAATCGCGATTGTAATCGGTCGGATAGACCTTGACTAACAGTACATTTGCACCTTGAAAGCTTAGTTTATTCGTCACGTCATACTCAAGGCCGCCATATGCTCCAGCTTGTATCTCTTTATCTGCAACCTGCTTCCCGTTGAGCCAGATATCAGCTCTCGAGGAGATCCCATGCGTTCTGAGCGTGTAGTAGTATGAGGGATTATTATCTTGTCCCAGGTTTCCCTCCGATCTATAGTACCACGGTACCCGGAACTGACTGGCATCGACGTTTTGCAAATTGGTCGAGTAGAACAGAGCGGCTTCGTTGTAGACGTGGTTCTGGATCAATGTGGACATGAGCGTGCCTTTTGAGCCGATGGTGTACCATCCGGACGTGTCGAAGCCCGGATGGGAGAGCTGAGTCGCGTTGGAGGTGCTGAGTCGGGCGGATGATGTGACGTTCCAGGAAGGAAACGGTGCATATATCCTTGGGAGGAGGGCGGAATATATTGGCGTGAATTGACTCAATGCGAGATATACGAACCAAATGACATTCGGAAAGAGTGCTGAAGTCATCGTGGCTTCACTTTCATGGATTCGATTGATCAAGGGAAGGATGCGAGGTGGTAAGGAGAGGCCAGGACATCGTGATCTTAAGGTACCTAGATGCATGCAGTGTAACCCCAAGCCGCCGACTTTCCCTTTGCGGTAGCGTATGGCTGCATATCAATACCGTGCAATATTGTTTAAGTTTAAGTTTAACGCTTCTCCGCATGCCAAGGCAACTACTGTGGGATAGTGGCATGGGCTTGCAGGTGAAGCGAAACATGAACGCGTGATATTCGTGACCATTGGGAGGCTTAGCCTCACACCCGTGCTTGTGCGGCTGAGAAATATTTCATAACTTCCAACCTCGCCTCTTCGCAAGCGCTGTTTCTTGTCGCACGGCTAGGTCTGCGATGATTTCTTCACTTCCACCACCAACAACCTAATGCCAGTGTTAGCCATGGGCGTTTGGCAAGGCAAGTTGAACATACCATCATCCTCAAATCTCGACTCATTTGCTCGATAATAGCACCAGGTCCACCCTTCTGATACCCAGCACCACCGAAAATCTGCTGCGCCTCGCGATTCGCCATCTCCAGAATTCGTCCACCGTGCACCTTACATAGCGCAATCTGCCCTGCGATCTCTGGGTCCTGCCAGCCCAGCGGTGACTGTTGAATATGATAGGCAAGCTGCTCTAGCCACGCCCAATGACTCTCCACATACCGCCCGATAGTCGCCAATTTGTGGCTAATAATTTGGTTGGAGATAAGGGGCTTGCCGAAAGTGTGACGTTTTGTAGCGTATTCGAAGGACTCGGAGAGACAAGTTCGCGCTTTACGGTTACAACCTATGGACATGAGGAAACGCTCTTTGTTAAAGTTTGTCATGATGATACGGAAGCCCTCGTTTTCTTTGCCGATGAGATTCTCCACGGGGACGTGCACGTCGTCGAGCTCAACGAAGCTCGCGCCGCCGGCTTTTTGACCGCTGTTGGGTATGCGGCGATGGGAGAAGCCTTTCGCGTTTGTAGGAATCACGATGACGGAAATACCTCGCATGCCTGGACCGCCAGTGCGGACAGCAGTTGTCATATGTGTGGCCCAGGGCATGCCAGTGATCCATTTTTTGTAGCCATTCACTATGTAGAACTTTCCATCGGTCGTCTTCTCCGCCTTCGTTTGGATGTTCGCGACGTCTGACTGCGGTACAAGTCAGTCTATACGTTATGGAGAGTAGTAGTACGACGTACGCCACCACTCGGCTCAGTGATACCCAAGCAGAAACTCGTCTCCCAGTTGAACAGTCCAGGGAGCCACTTTCTCTTCTGCTCCTCAGTACCATGATGCACAATAGGCGGCACACCAATTACGCTACCACCACCGAGTGCAGTGCCTACACCACCCTCAATCCTGGCGTTGTTAGGCGCTGGGTGAACAGCCCCAGAGGCTTATTGTTGCATACCTGCTATCCTCATCCGTAGAGATAAGAAGATGAAAAATGTCCATCTCCCCAACGGGAATTCCAGCTGGACCAGGCACATTCTTTGGTCTATACGGCTCCGGCACATCTCCAAACGCAAAGCCTGACTGTGCCCATTTCAATCGCACTTCCTCAGGAGCTTCGCCCTTCTCTTCCCACTCCAGCATGTATGGCTTGATATTCTCATCGATATATGTACGTAGTACATTGCGCAATCGCTTGTGGGAGTCGTTGTAGTAAGGCGACGCGAGGGAGCTGTACCAGGAGGGTTCAGCCCAGGGACCGAGGTTGCCGAAGGTTTCTTTCTTTTGGGGTTGCATTACGGAGGGACGAGGCGCGTTATTTTCTGGCTTTGGAGTCGCCGTTGCGTACCGATGGGACTGTTCAAGGACATGGCTGCGGTGGCATATGTTTGTTAGAGGAGCGTTGCCGCGGCTCAAGGAAGCGGGGGAAGGTGCGAGTCAGCGCTAAGGGTCTCTTGTCCGCCCACCATAACATTTGAGGCCTACAGCAGCATGTTATTTTGATCGCAACTCCTTGGGAGTGATAATCTGTGCGAATTATGTTCTTCGTTGCGAGGACCACAGAAAGCAGCGCGATCCTGAAGGTTGTACACCAAAGACGAACACAAGAGTAGCACGGCGTGTGGAAACAGAAATGGTTTGTAAAGCGTGGCATTCATTCAGGTCATAAAGTACTAAGTACAGAGAAGATTTCGTGGCTCTTGCCAGAACTCGTAACTTTTCTTGTTATTCCCCTCGGTTCGTGTCCGTTTTCTTCGATGGGCGACCCGTTTACCTGGCGGTGTAACCACCATCGATGATGAGATCGGATCCCTATCATTGTCAGTAACACGCTCTCACATGGAGTTGTTGGGGAACGTACAGTGGTGTAAGAGGAAGCATCCGAGGCGAAGTAGACATACGCGCCCTTGAGCTCCTTGGCCTTGGCGTCACGTCCCATGGGGATCATGGAGTGCCAGAGCTTCTGGATGTCCTGGGGAACGAAGTCGGAAAGACCAGTGTCAATGTATCCAGGGGAGATGGAGTTGACACGGGCAAAGTCCCTCCACTCGTTGGCCAGCGACCTGGCCAAGTGGATGCAGCCAGCCTTGGCGACGTTGTATGAGGTCTGCTCCTGAGGGAAGTTGGCAATGTGGCCGGACATGGAGGCGGTGATGACGAGAGAGCCGCTCTTCTGCTCGCGGAAATGAAGACCAACAGCGCGGGCGCAGTTGAAGGTGCCGTTCAAATCGGTCTCGATGACCTCGTTCCACTGCTCGACAGAAGCATCGAGGATGCCGTTGTCAGCGGTCTTGCCAGCGTTGGCGATGAAGACATCGACCTTGCCGAAGTCCTTGACGACGTTGGCAACGAGCTCCTCGCACTGGGCGTAGGAGTCGACCTGGCACTTGTAGGCCTTGACCTTGACGCCATACTTCTCGCTCAGCTCCTTTGCGTTCTTCTCAGCTCCGGATGCGCGAGAGTTGTAGGTGATGGCGAGGTCGGCTCCGAACTCAGCACAACCGCGGGCAGCCTCAATGCCAATACCGGTAGGGCCGGAGGCACCGGTGACAATGACGACCTTGCCCTTGAGGCTGAAAAGGTCCTTGAGCTCGTCTGCTTTGGGAACGGGAACCATTGTGGCGGTAATGTATGTGGGGGTTTAAAAAAGGTAAAGATAGAAGCTGTGATGAGATGCAATTGAAATGGAAGCAACTGATGGAAGCCGGAATCAGAGGGGCAAAGAGGGGTTCAAGTAGTCGAGCACAAAAGATTCTGGCCTAAGAAGCGGTTAGTGAGGGGCGTCAAGGCGGGTGTGACGTGTGGCCTCTCTTTCGATCGAACGTCATGTTATCCAGTTTAATTCACCAATTGGATTGAAATGTGGGTTTACTACGGCGACACTCCGCTGTGATGCTAGCCAAAATGGAGGTGGTGGATCGTAGTGATGATTACTAGCCCAACAGGGTTCTGTTGCCCCGCGACTCGATGAAGAGCTGGTCTTGGCCTCAGTGCGCGAGTTATCTCCTATTGGCCTTGACTTCTTCTCCCATGCCTCAACGTGTTTTTCTCACTTCAATTCATCGCGTGTATCTCGCCAGGATTGAACAATGATGGGCTGTTTTGCCGATTCCTGCGATTCCATCTGGTTCTGGACCCGATCATGTTTGATGCGAAGCTTGAACAGCAATGCCCTGCATGTGTACAAACCAAGCCAATGCCCATGACCACGCATATCGGCTCAAAACATAGCTATCAATTGACTAATCAGGCTACTATATCTCTTACTCTACAGCACAGCAGCAATGAGGCATCGTTACTCAGCTCTTTCAGCTTTGGTCTTCGCACAACCCTCAAGGCTCTAGAAGCTTGGACCCTGCATATATAAAAAAGCGATCAGGTGAGGGGAAAGTCTTCACAAGAGGAGCCCCGAGATTCTCTGCGCATGGGCGTTATCATGTGGATCCAGTCTGAGTGCTGCGATGCCACGTACGGTGCCTAGAGCATTCTCCATCATAGGGTTGCCAGCTACGCAGATGCTGACTTATGGCTCGACCATGCCCTACAACGGGGCTCTAGTTTACGCCGGGACGAGGAAGACTGTTGCCTGCAGATTCTATACTCGCAAGCAATTACTTTCAATGGAGCCCTGAAAATATGTAAGCCGTATTAGCTTACCTGGAAGATTCGTAGGTTCGAGAGTGTGGAGTAGTGGATGCGTATGCACAGACCATCTGCGACGCGGAATCACGTGCCTCATACTGCGCTCTGAATATGAGAAGCGTATACTGATAGATAGCGGGTCTCTTTGCTAATATATTTGTATACTAAAAAGTGTTCATACTGGTGACTGGCGGCAGGGATGGTGTGTGAGCTGATGATCTCTCTTACTTGGCACCGCGCATGAGCTCCTGCCCCTCCTTGACATTAACGTCGTAACACTACCTGGCGCTTTGAACGATACGCTGCACGTAGACTTGCAGTTATACTTCTAACGAACTCCTGTTACAATGGTGCTACACGGTCTCGTTCCAAAACCCCTTCCCGCCGGCGACTTCGTTGTTGGCCAGCTACTCGTACACCCTCTCCACCCCGAGCGAGACTCCTTCTACCCCGACAAGGCCCACGCAGAGGTCGACGACCTCAACGACTTCCACATTCAGCTTCGCTATAAGGACATCTTCTCGGTCGATACCGAGGGTCGCTTCCTGACAAATTATGGCGCAAAGTTCGATCTCGGAAAGATATACAGGCAGCCGAACCTGCTGACGGTTAAGGCGGAGCAGATGATCCAGCGCAACAGCCAATACCCCTCGCAGGCATTCCAAGCTGTATGTAATGACCCAGAAGCTAGGACTTGGATATACGAGCAGGTCAAGGCGGGCAAACCGCTGTATGTCATTCTCGGCCTCACAGAGCTGAAGAATGCTGTCTTCAAACGCGCCAAACTTCACGACTCAGGCGCGTCGAAACGTCTCAACGAGATGCCGATCGAGAGAGACGCCAAAGTCCCTAGAACTCTGCGCGGCAGATCAGAGTCGAACCTTGGGGGACTAGGTACCGAACCACATATATCTGGCGTGTTTGGTATGGATGTGAGACGCGTGCAGGCGAGGGTCACTACTCCTGCGGAGCCTCATGCTCTGGAAGATCTAAAATATCGATGGATTTATTATGATGTTCCGAACAGCGCGAACAAGGAGCAGCTTATGATTGGCCTGGGCGAGGAGCTCAAGGCTAATGATCTTCGCCTGATGCTTGATCTGAGCGAGGAGGATGTGCAGGGGAACCTCGACGCCATAAGCCAGCTCAGCCTTGATGCGATGAGCGCTGCTGCGAGCCCGATGTTACGCCCCAGCGAGCCAGCGCTGCGAGGACGCTCACCTTCTCCCAACCCGGCGATGCTACGACACCTTTCCTAGAGCTACCTTCTTTCCACCACGAGTCGACCGTCGCGTGAACTACGAGCAACATGAAAATACAGCTGGCATGAGCATGCGAGTTCAAAATACATCATAGACTTGACAGCATTCCTGCGACGATATATCATCAATATTACGGCCTATCTACACAGTTTCTATACCCTTCGAGTATGTTTAAGTAATACATCTTGAGCTTCGCACACTTTCATACGCATTCAATCTCTGCTCTTCCACTTGGCATGCACCGCAAACTTTCGGTTTCCAATTGCAATTGCTGGCATCTAGTGTGTATTTCAAATGTTTGCTGTTCCCCCATAGTTCAACGCCCCATAGCATTCGGCCACTACTGCCCGTCCATGCGTCAACTAATGGGGATGCTCCACACTCATGCCGATCGTTACCCCACCCTAACTAGATGTGCCTAACTCGTTGACTTGTCAAGCAAGATCATGCTTTTGATATAGAAGCTCGACTTCGCATAGACAGGTGGTGAAGAAGCTTGGCACACTCTTATGCGTCTTGCGTCTACAAGCCTCATTAATTCATTGACTTAGAACAAATCATGTTTTCAGGGCACTGGAGAAAGGCGACATGAATCGAACTGTTAGAGAGATAAGTTATAAAAGGTCAGTGCAGACGATAGCTTGCTCAAACCCTCGGCCTAACTGTCTTTAGGCCTATATCTCCAGTCACTCTACCATTTTCGATTGGATCACCAAAATCATCTTTCAACTTCCTAGAATCCGTCAGATTCCCAATACTGGCCATCTCCAGATCCGGCTTCGACGCTTTTCTTTTCATACCCATTTTCGAATGTGAGAACTCATCATTATTCGTACCCAGAAATCCGAGTTCCACCAACCGATTCCGGGCCTGCGTCTCAGTATCTTGATCATAAAAGAAGCCTCCAACTTTCACGAGTGAACGTTGCATGAAGCTCTTCAGAGTGGGTATAGTAGCAGCGATGAGCGCAACTTCCTGCTCCAGCATTGCCCAAATAGTCGCCATGACGTTCGTACGAAAGACATCCGTTGACGTGTAAAACGACTGCAACCAAACGGTGCGCAAGATGGCAAAGGAAGACGCAAACAGCCCGAGACCCATCAGAACACCGAGAAATATCTTCTCCTCGCGCGGTCGATGTAGCTTCCGGATGAATATAATCGGCACAAAAGAGAAGATGAGATCGGTCGAGACGTGTACTGCGCTTCCTGCAATTATATTCCCGATAATAACGCTCCGCGGTACGCACTTTACACCCCCCGGCCGGAAAAAGGTAGAAGGATCCCAGTAGGAACTGAAGGGCCGGCACTGCAGAAATTGGAAGAAGGTCTGCACAGTGGCGTTGAGAAGCAGTACTCCCATGATAGAGAATAGGAAATTCCGCCAAGCGCGTCCAGGTTTCAAGCGTAGGAGGAGTAGAGCCACTGATAGCTTTACGAGCGTGATAGACCAGTACCAGATAACCTGGCAAATGAAACTGAGGCGGAGGGCCGCTGTGCGGGACGCTTGGGGAATGAACTCTGCGTGTCGTCCGAACCCGTATGCGCATGCGATGCAGATGAGGCAGTACTTGGCCATGGCCAGAATCTAAGCAAGACTCTTTTATTAGTCGTGTGCTTCCAACTCGGCACATAAATTGATGTTGACGTACAGTTGCACCGACTACCGTCCAGTCTTCTAGCCCCAGGCAGGAAATCGGTCGTATTCGAGACCACAGGCGGGCAAATAGGAGTAAAATCGCTATAAGCAGTATACTGCCGGTGGTGCTGAGGAGCATGGGCGCTTGTGTGTCGTCGCGTACAGAACCGTTTAGTAGTTGTCTGGAGTCCATTTTGGCGGATGCAGTACTATCAGGAGGGACTAAAAGGAAAGGAGGATCATCAGTTCAGATAGAGCGCAAACATGCACCGAAGACTTAATGAACCTTCTCGAACATCTTGTACTGCATAAACACCTCGCTTGTTGATTTTCGCGATGCCCATCCCGTTCCACACCTTTCCTACATATTCTCGCCTACATATCTCCGAGCAATGCCTCTTCACAATGCGACATGCGCATCGCGAGAAGAATTGCCGCCATTGGACGCTGCTGAATCTGTATCTAAGCATACTAGGAGTCTACCGTTTTGTTATGTGGTGCAGTATCAGAAGCGTTTCGGGATCTACCCCGTATCGATGCACCCCAGATATGCAATGCACGATCGCGTCAACAACCTGATCATATATTGTCTATGCAATCCTCGACAGCTTCAAGGACCTGTTAGCATAGGACTGGAGTAGAGACAGGGATAGGCGAAGGTGTATTTGTTGTTCGAATGACCGGGTTGGCTATGGAAGAAAACTCTGATAATTTGAAATGTTCGCTGAAAGGTAATCGAAAGAATCAAGTAGTGCATTATGATGCTCCCAACTGGTAGCGCTTTTGGTATACTAAGTTCGCAATGAATGAAAAAATACCGTCGGAGCTATGAGCCCGACCTACGGCGCTCCGTACTCACTCCCTAATCCAATCCCAACCCATCGTCTCCATCATCTTTATCCTAAAGCACAAGCGGCAACCCAAACTTCTCTTTGATCAATTTTCCAACGGCATTTCCCATATCAGTCTCCAACATTTCCTCAATAACCGTGGCAGCATCCTTTAGCATCGTAGCATCGGCGTTTTCACTGCTCTCCTTAAAGATATATTCGACGATGCGAGGAAGCTGGCTCTCATCCTCAATATATTCTTGTCCAAACAGTTCGACGAGCCGATCACGACATCTGTCTTTGATAGATCGGAGGAGACCCCAGCAAGCGCGGTGAAGAGTGAGATAGTCGACCGAGAGCTCGAGCATCTGACTTTCGACGCTATCTCGTATGACGCATAATAGCTGGTTAGCTGGGACTCCCCTTTGGGGGTCGTTCTCGTGGCCAATGAGGGTGCCGGGGGCTGTAACTGAAGGCATGGGTTGACCCTTTGCGTCGAACTGGCGCTGCCCCCTGCCCGCCCGGATAAAGCTGTCTACATCTTCGGCACGGAGCTCTAGGCTAGGCTTTCCCGAGCAGTATCTCTCCTTGAATTTCCGAATGACTGGCGCCATGTTTGACGAGCCCGGATAGCTGGCATTGAACGTCGTGGTCTTGTCTTCCAACGGGGTCTCATAGCTCGGTTCAGAGTTTACGGCAAAGTCTTCTATAGCCATCTTGAGACATACGAGGTAATCTTCTGGACACCAAGGTGGGTAACCAACAAATAGTTCCTTAGCGTGGTTTGTACCAAAGAGAATGATCATATCGATCCACTGAGTTTCGAGAAGCTTTTCTTGGCGCACGGCATTGTACAGGTGTCCACAAGACTGAATGGCACCCCAAGCCCCCATGAAGAAGATGCTCCCTGTGTGTAGCTCTGTTTGTACGTAGAACTTCCACACGCCGGATGCCCACGGATGTTGTCGTAGAAAATAGTAGGGGTCCGGAAGTTTTAGCCCCCACAATGTCTGGCAGGCATATCGGTGCGGATCTCTCAAGATGTAGTTGAAGACATTGTCCGAAAACTTGCTCATCTGCTTCATAGACCCCGCCGACAAGCTGCTAGAGCGTAACCCCTCGTGAAAGCGGAAGTTTTCCTTGATGTTGTTTCGTGTAAAGGATGCTACGGCGGAAAGCTTAAAGAAAGCGGCTTGAGCTTTATCACGAAGTCGATTGTGGATATCAATGAATAGTTGAGAGGCAAATGCCAATGATAGAGTGACCTCCTTAGTCTCGAACATGTTGCGTATACCGACTGTCAGTTCGTCTTCCGCTGGCGAGCGCTCGAATATTGAAGTCATGGCCGTAAACTCGGGAAGCATCCTGATCATAACGCGCCTGTCCTCGAGAAATCTCTGGCGATTATTCTTGCTTGCGCGATCGCTGCTCGGATCGTAGTCAGAACTATCCTTCCCTCCATAATCAGGTACCATACTTGGCCGCTGTACATCCAAATACTCGGTTAGAAGCCTGAATGGGACCAAAAAAAGATTCATTATGGTATCGTACATCTTGAAGTTGAACTTGTCGCCCGGTTGGTCCCTCTCGCCCGGGGTTGTGTTATGAGCAATGCACTCTTCGTTGTAAAGGAGCTTAAGCATCGCGTAAATCCCACCATGTTTGGTATACTGCTCCTTGCAGTCATCCTCCAATGAGCAGGCAAAACTGACAGCGGTGTCTGTCACTAGGGATGCAGTGACAAGATCAAGCACTCCCTGCTTATACCCGTCCCAAGCTTGGGTAACCTCGGATCGGAGATAATTCAAATCCAACAAGAACAGTTGAATGGCAAGAAAGTCGTCCTCGATGCCGTCGGATAGGTTACTCGTATCTTCTACCTGCTTTTCTTCGCGTGATGACGATGTAGTCGCAGGGCCAAGCTCAAGATCGGCTAGCAAAGGATCAGATTGAATAGCGGCTAATACACGATCGCGTTTGGGGTCAGCTAATAAATGTTCAGGTTCATCTGAACTGTCCGGGGTCTCTCCCCGTGGAGCAAAGCCACTAGCATGTCGAGATGCGAGAATATCGCGGACCTTTTTCAATGCCTCGAGGAGGGGTGCTTGGTCGGTATCGTAAATCTGCTTGACTGTGCTTTCTACAGGACGGCGTGATCTCATATAGAGATAAAACTCGAGGACTTCAATTGTTCGATCGAGAACGATACGGAGGGTCGCTGAGGCTTGAACGACCTGATCTTTATTGGCGGCAATGAGCTCAGCCATTGCTATGTACTCCTTCGTAGAAACGGCGTATGTTGAGATATATTTAGCTGATTTTTTGCGAGATCTTCGACGCGCCCGAGTGGCGGCTCTCGAAGTAAAGCCAAGATTATTGGCAGTGGTCCTGAGCCAAGAGGCAACCTCCCTGAAGTCCGTATGAGTGAAAGATCTTTGCACCTGACAGGCTTCTTACCGAGTGTCCCTCTTGTACTGACGGCACGCGCTCCACACATTATCCGGCAGCATCTCGATATTTGATGAAAGAGAGTTTGATGCAGGTGAGTCGGGGACCAATAGTTCGATAGCTAACACTGACGTGAGGGTAGACGGCGGAGGAGAGATAGCGAGCCCCAAGAGGTGCTAAAATGTCGAAGATTTTGGAATAAACAGACCCTTCTGACCTAAGGCTTGGCGGATAATATTGTGGCAGGCTCAGTGCGGGACTTTGGCAAGTATTACTTTAATGTTCCATGCTGAGGGTGGTTCCCGCCTTCCTGGACAGCCGTAACCATCAACAGCGACGTCGCCATGTATTTAATAGATTGAATGTGTCTGTCGTAGGTTATGCTAACGTAAAGTCGTAGAATTATCTGTTTGTATGGGGGTTCATGGTGATGGAAAGTGAACAAACAGGCTTTAGTAATGCCGGATTGTCGGACAAGGTTCTCATATTGCAAAGATCTCGCAGCATTATCAAAAGAGCAAGACCAAACCTCCTGGAGGATGTTCTGGCTCACCACAACCTAATGCCGAGATCCACCACGTCCGTAGTCAGGACTTCTTCTTCGCTCGGAGAAGCCTCGACCACGAGTAGCATATGGTTGACCACCATGCGACTGGTTGTTATACGGCTGACTGCCTCGCGGCTGATTGCCATATGACTGATTGTTATACGGCTGCCTGCCATACGACTGATTGGCATACGGTTGATTTCCGTACGATTGACCGCGGCCACGAGGAGCGTTGAATGCACCTCGACCACCTCTTCGGCCATGATAGCCACCACGATGTGGAACAGACGACATTGGCCAATGTTTCGTGAAAAACTCCCTTCCCACAGCACGACTCATCCCCTCCATTGAGCGGATGGTAAGCGGACCGCCCTTACTCTCGCGTACAAGAACAACTGCCCGATTTGGTCGTCGTTCTCGTTGCAACACTGCCCTCAATTGAGTTAGCAAGCTAACAAGTTTCCTGAGATTCTCTTGGTTGTCGTCCTCCCAGTGCTTAATTCTTGCTGTAGCGTCTTCGCATTTCACACGACGGATCACACCGGTGTTCAACTCATATGGTCCGGTGAAAAGTAGCGAAGTACGGCCGAACCAAAGCTGATCCTGGCATGCGACTGGCTTATACCTCTCTGGATCGTGCTTTTGCGTCTTGAGCTCCACCATCTGGGCCGTGGGGACGATATGACCCTTTTGCAAAACTCGGATAGGTGCCTTGTGGACGAAGTTTGGCCGCTGTGCGAGTCCGCCGCTCACAGCAGCCGCCTCAGATAGGGAGAGTTCATCCGAGACGAGTCCATCGTCGTATGCATCTGCCTCGAAACGGCAGACAACATTAAGAGGTCCCATGGGATATTTGATTGCTCGGTAGTGGCTCGTTGCGTCTTCCATACCCTTTGCAGAACGAGTGAAGAACTTTTCGAAGTTGCACCCGTAGCTCTGGCCATTGTGGTGAGTCCACCACCTTGACTGATTGCGCACGATAATGAGTGTGTTGAAGACGAGATAGAGATCTAGGCGAAATGGACCGTTGGACTTGCCCTGCACAAACTCGAGAAGGACTCGCAAGTTGTTTCGATCTGCTAATACATCAACATCATTGAATTGATAGTTTGGGTTCATGACACTGAGAGCGTGAAACATTGGCGAGTATGGATCTCGGGGCTGACGCGCGTAGTTGTAATCTGTGTATTGGAAGCCACTGTCACGCTCGAGAGTGTGTGGCAACGTGGGTGGGGACCACTTCGCGGGTTCTCCAGGAACTATGTGACGTTAGTCTAGGGCTTGTTGAATGATTCAAGAGAGCCCAACACACCAAAGATCGTGTTAGTCCCATCTGTGGAAGCCAGCCAATTGTAGCAACACAGCAGCTCTGGATCTTGATCCCATGTAACATTTGTAGGGACTGGAGTGAGAGCATCCGACTCGATTACTTCAAGAACATCGCCGGCATCACGTGCGATCTTTTGTGCTTGCTGTTCGATCTTCTTTTTTTGCTTCTCTGTTAGTTCTCTTGGCGCCTCTGTTCGGCCTTCTGCGGCTTCAAAATCAAGCGTCTCTTGCACTACTTCGTCTTGAGAGGGCTCCGCTGCTTTGCTGCTGCTCCCAAGCTCTTGCCAGTTGGACCCGCTCAACGCCAGCCCGATCTTTGCCTCGAAAGACATAGCGGTAGGATCCATGACTTGCGCGGCGGGAGGCAAGGCTGATGCCGTATCTAGATTGCGCTGTTGTTTGATAGCCGTCTTAGTTCGCTGCATCTGCGAGTTTTCTTGATTCGTCCTCGGGCGCTTTCTCGCGTGATCGCGGTCTGCGTCGGTCGAGCTCTCACGGAAGGCTGCAGTTAAGACTGGTGAGTGAGAGAACAGAGGACAAAAGTTGCACAAAAAACCTACCATGCATGATTGAGAATTGAGAAGTCCGATTTCCACAAAAGGCTCAGCTGCTACGGGTGACCAACAGGTCGTGCGATGGAGCTGGGAGAGTCGCACTAGCGTAATCGATTAACTGGCCACTGGGAAGTACGAGTGACCGTGCGCTGAAGTATACCAGAGGCACAACACATGGAAGAAGTACTCAGTGATTGATAGTGCGTGGAAGCCTACTTGGCAGACAGAAGAAAGTTGATGGCGACAGCGAGTTGCTATCTACCTGACTGGCACATAACCAGCCAGAAGTACTAGTGAGAGTACGTTGGAGTCTAATTCGCAGACAGAACGTTTGCTGCATATTAACCTCTAACTTCTCCGCGATGCTGCCTACTCGCAGTATCCTCACGCATTTTTACGGCATCTAAGGAAGTAGTATAAAGTAGTATAAAGTAGCCCCGGAGGCATTGTGCGCGTCAGAACCCAGTTGGGTGACCAGGGTTATTGCATCCTCTCATCTACCGTCCAAGGCTTGGAACTACGACAACAGTGCCTGGCAGCTTCATCCCTCAAGTTTTATCATCGACAAATCCATCGCTATATACATCAAATGTTGTCTGTTACGTCGCTGCGCTGCGGCTCCAAGACACGATCAGCGCGTCAACTTTGCTCCGGCTAAAAATAAACCGTCGCGACATGTTCGAAGTACAAAACACCAAGACTGGCCCAAGCGCATCGTCGCAGCTACATTCCATCGCATTATTTATCCTGCGGCAACGATGTCGTCAGTGACGCTGCTCACAATGTCTCGGCGCTGCTATCTTTGCTGGGCTCCCCACGGCCTCCAGTTCGAAGCGACCGCAATCTCTTCCGCTAGTACCGAGCGCTTCCTCGTTTCAAGTCCTCTGTTCGCCTTCGCCATCAGCAAATTGCCCTCTAGTTAGGCTTCTTGGATTCTCAAGGTCCACTCAACGAGGCGATTTCCCGCTTCGAGAAAGATGAACGCGCAAGCACCTCGCTTTCAAGAATGTCATTAATGGAGAGCTCCTGTCCGTTATTGGACGCGGTGCCCCTGACCAAGCCTGGGCGCGCCTCTCCAAATTCACCACCCGGTGCTTGGCCTCTGGGCTCCGCGATTCCGCGCGCAGTGCCAACGCTCGTGGACTTGGCGACCAGCGACGCCAGACAGACGATGAGGTTGGCAGTTCCACATCTAGGATTGGGGGGCTACCAAGAGATTTGGTGGCTTCCTGGTTCAAATACGCCCCCGGTTCCTGTTTCCAAGTCTCCAGTCTCCGTCTTTGAGCCGTTTTGAGAGTTTTCTTCTCTACCTATCTGTCGTCACTCGTTAGACATACCATTATTGCTCTTTTCTAACCCTCTTTAATTCCTCTTCTTTTTCTACGGAACAATCATGAAGTTTTTTGCCGCTCTCGCTCTTGTGGCGAGCATTACGCCAGCATTAGCGAATGTTGTCGCTCGTCAAACAAAGGGAAAACTCCCTGCCGTCACAGTAAAGGGCAATGCCTTTTTCGCAGGCGACAAGAGGTTCTACGTTCGCGGTGTTGCTTATCAGCCAGGTTCGTTGTTGTGTTGATCAGATATATGTGGTGGAATACTGATACCTTCCAGGTGGTGCCGCAGACGCGCAGGATCCTCTTCTTGACATCCCGAGCCTGAAGCGTGATGTCGAAAACTTCAAGTCGCTCGGTATCAACACGATTCGCATTTACACAATCGATAACTCGAAGAACCATGATGAGGGCATGAAGTTGCTTGACGACGCTGGTATCTACTTGGCTCTCGATGCCAACACGCCGAAATACTCGCTCAACCGTGAGAGTGCTCAAACTCTCCACCGCTCATACAACGACGTCTATCTGCAGTCTGTCTTTGCTACCATCGACGCCTTCGCTAACTACAACAACCTACTCCTCTTCTTTTCCGGCAATGAGGTCATCAACGATAAGAACAACACCAATGCGGCGCCGTTCATCAAGGCCGTCACCCGCGACATGAAGCAGTACATCTCCAACAAGCACTCGCGTACCATTCCCGTCGGATACTCTGCCGCTGATGTTGCCGAGAACATCGAGTTGCAAGCCCTGTACTTCAACTGCGGCACCGACGATGAGCGTTCAGACTTCTTCGCCTTCAACGACTACTCGTGGTGCGACCCCTCCTCGTTTACCATCTCGGGCTGGGACCAAAAGGTCAAGACGTACAAGGACTACAGCAAGCCCATCTTTCTGTCCGAGTTTGGCTGCATTACCAACAAGCGTCAATGGGGCGAGATTGCGTCTTTGTACCACAGCAACATGACTAGCGTCTACTCTGGTGGTCTTGTCTACGAGTACACTGTTGAGCCCAACGGCTACGGCATTGTCAAGATCGAGAACGGCAAAATCACACCCAACGAGGACTTTGACCGCCTCAAGGAAGCGTACAAGAAGACTGCCAACCCCAACGGTGACGGCGGGTTCAAGCAGAGTGGCTCTGCTTCTCAGTGCCCCCCTGGATCTGACGATTGGAACGTCAAGACCAACACCTTGCCCGCCATCCCCAAGGGCGCGACCAAGTACATGAACGATGGAGCTGGTAAAGGTCCTGGCCTTGCTGGTTCCGGCTCGCATTTTGCTGGTAAAGCGAGCGAGTCCACTGCTACTGCTGGATCTGGCAACCCTACCCGCACTCCCGATGGTAGCTCTAGTGCTAGCGGCAGCACCAGCCAGGGTGCCGCTGCTGGTGTTGATGTTCCCGTGCGATTCATGGGTATGGTAGCTGCGAGTGTTCTCCTTGGCGCTGTGCTATTATTTTAGAGGGACTGAGCATGGAGGGAGCTGTACAATTGCTGAGGTGTGAACATCCGTAAGAAATAGATGTAGAACGCGTTCGTTTTCTTTGCTTCAAAGAGCTGGAGTTTACATGAGGCCTTTTCTCCTTCTGGTATATACCAACAGAGGCTCGTGTTTTGTACCCTGTTAGTTATCGTAGGAGAGAATACTTTTCTTTGCGTGTTTTTAGTAAGACATCTAATGATCCGAAAAGCTTTTATTACCCCCACATTCCCGCCATCGTTCGTATTGTCCTTGATCACACCTACTGTAGGTTGGTGGAGGCGGTGGCCATTCTTGGCTAGCGTAGCTTGGACCCCAGATTTTTGGAAGGCAGCAACCTGGTGAATTTATTGCTTCTGCCCACGGTTGTCATCGAGAATCCTCAACACCACGCCCAAACACTGCAACCTGTGAGTGCACATTAATTTTTAGAAGCTCGTCAATACACCCAAACTGCGCATAAAAGGCCTCGCTGTTCAGTGCACTTGCTCGAAACTCGATTCTATCAAGCGACACTTACCCCGCCATGGATCACGCTCGGAAGGGCGAGGCTGCTCTCAGCGCGAGCAAATATGCCGAAGCTATTCAGCACTTCACCGACGCTCTCGCCGTCAGCCCGAATGCTGTAAAGTATTATATCAACCGCTCTACAGCTTACCAGCGCTCATCAAAGTACACCGAAGCTCTCGCCGACGCCGACCTCGCTGTCGCTCTTGCACACAAACGTGGCGCACGCGAGCTCATTAAAGATGCCCAATCCCGACGCGCTCTCACCCTCTTCTCTCTCGAAAGATATGGTGACGCCGAATACCTCTTTGGCATTGTCAAGGAGATTGACCCCAAGGACAAGATGCTCCCCATGTGGAACGTGAAGCTTGCAGCAAAGCTCAAGGACATCCCAGACGGCGACGACAGACGGAAGGTCACAGTCAAGAACGTCCCTGACGTACAAGTCACCAGCGCATCTATGCCTTCCAACCCAGCCAAGGGCGAAAACGATGCGCCAAAGAAGACAGACATGCCAGCCAGCAGTCCAAAGCCTGTCGTGCCAACCCCTGCGAACAAGATCAAGGTCGACTGGTATCAGAACAACGAGAGCGTCACTATCACCATCCTCGCCAAGGGTGTACCGAAGGAGTCAGCGACCGTCGAAATCGAAAAAGACACATTCTCAATATCCTTCCCTATCAGCGGCTCAACGTCGGACTACAGCTACGTCCTCGACCCTCTCTACGCGCCCATCGATCCCGCTCAATCGAAGTACCAAATAAAATCCACCAAGGTCGAGGTCACACTGAAGAAAGAAATGTCGGGTGTGAAATGGCACAATCTCGAAGGCGACCGCGAAGTCAAAGCTGAGGGCGAGGGCGAGGGCGAGAACAAATCCACCATCCCCTTTCACATTCTCACGAATAAGTCCCGAGAGTCAGCTCCAGTGTACCCAACATCATCCAAGTCGGGCACCAAGAACTGGGACAAGTTAGCAGATGAGGAAGCAGACAACGAAGAGATTCGCGGCGACGAGACTTCACACTTCTTCCAGAAGCTATACAAGGATGCTTCCCCCGATCAACAGCGAGCGATGATGAAGAGCTACCAAGAGAGTGGCGGCACGGTCCTGAGTACGGACTGGAAGAATGTGGGCGACAAGACTGTGGTGCCTCAGCCTCCTAACGGCATGGAGGCGAAGGAATACTAGGCCTTCCTGCCATGTTCAGGCGTCTCTCGACTTCTATCTTCGACCAACCCCTCGCGTGTGGCGGCATACCCCTGTTGCAGTACCGCAACGACTTGTTGCGTTGACGATATATGGGCATATTATCGCCTGCCGAATCTTCTTTTCCAAGTCTCTTTCCACAACCTATATCCCTTGAAAGTATATTTAGCGTTTTGATAATCACACGTTTAATAGTCACTGTTGTATCCTACATGTACATTGGTAATCAACTCAACTAGTTCCGAGCTCGCACAGTTCTCCATCGTGAGACTGTCATGGTCGTCATGTGGACCAAAGACATGGTGCACCTAGGTTAGATAAAACATGTTGCCAGGTCGTGTGCCTCAGGAGCTCCATTGGCTTTACTCCCCATTCTGACCCAAGGCTGCATACTAACGCGCGTGCTATGCTCCAGCCATCGCTTCGCATTTAGCCCTGCATTCGTATACCTAGGCCCCGGATGTATTTCTTGATTGGTTAAGTTCTCGAAGGTGATTAACTCCACCCATATCCATGCTAAGTCACGACGTAATGCAGGTGTGCAACAAGTACCGGGAGGGGTAGGCGGGCTAGTGGGGCTGGTCTATGACTTTCCACCCACCACGATGATACAATAGCACATATGTCCGAACTAGGAGGTCCTCCTTGGTGGGTTTTCGTCCGAGGTAGATTCGAAACAAAGCTATTGGTTCGTCTATGATATGGCGTCACAGAAGTCACGGTGCACGCACACGGACGGAATGGATAGCGGGCAGAGTATATAAGGAGAGGCATGTAGCGCTCTGGAAGAGAGCCATCATCGAGCAAACCCGACGTCATTGAGTATCGAGAGCATCATCAATTGCGCCTTCCGCGACCCGTATCCCAACTTCCACTTTGAGCACCCACCCCATCTATCAAAACACCGGCCCTAGTACCACCTGAAGCCTACCACCACAATGGTGAAGACAATTTTTGGCGGCGCCTCGCTGTCCAGACACAGCCCTGAGGTACAAGCCCAGAGTTTTGACGTCCTCCTCGCCAACGGCGTGACAAACATCGACACGGCGCGTCTGTACCCCGGCTCCGAAGTAGCCATCGGCGAGCTCGACAAGCGCACCAGCTTCACAATTGACACCAAGCTCCCCGGCGGCTTTGACCCCGGCCATGTCAGCAAGGAAGAGGTGATCCGCGATGCACAGGACTCGCTGGAGCGCGTGAAGATCAAGCAATTCGACATCCTCTACATCCACGCGCCCGACACAAGCAGCCCGTTCGAAGAGACACTCGACGGCATCAATGAGGCGTACAAGAAGGGCATCTTCCGCCGTTTCGGCCTCAGCAACTTTTCCGCAGAGCAGGTGCAGCAGGTCTATGACATTGCAAAGAGTAAAGGCTACCCGCTGCCCACTGTCTACCAGGGCAACTACAACCCCGTAGCCTGTCACTTGGAGACGCAGCTCTTCCCTACGCTGCGCAAGCTCGGCATCTCCTTTTACGCCTATTCACCCCTTGCGGGCGGCTTCCTCACCAAGACGGCTGCTGATCTAGATGCGGGTGCGGGCCGCTTCAACGAACAGGCTATTGGCGGCTTGTACTCGAAGCTCTACGACAAGCCTGCGCTCCGCGAGGCGCTCATCAAGTGGAACCAAGTCGCCGAGAAGGAAGGGATTAGCAAGGCTGAACTCGCGTACCGTTGGGTTGCGTACCATTCCATCCTCAAGGGCGACGACGATGGTGTCATTTTCGGCGCGAGCAGCATCAAGCAGATTGAGCAGACGGCCCAGGGCCTGAAGAAGGGCAAGTTGAGCGCTGAGGCGGCTGAGAGTATTCAGCAGATTTGGGAGTCTGTCAAGGCTGATGCGCCGATTGATAACTTTGCAAGCACTAGGAGCTAAGTTTATAGTGCATAGGTGGATACTGTTGCTTGCTGCTTACCATGTTTGTCAAGTCCGAGCAATTAGTTGGTACCTATCAATTGCATAAGAAATAATGATGAATCTTTCCGTGTATTTTCGTCCTGCTTCGTGCGTCGCAATCGAGCGGTGGATATAAAATAAGATTACTCATGCACTAACTAACTAGCACGCTTACTTCCCGATGCACAAACCTCCTCCATCCATTGAATGAGGTACCAGATGTTATCTACCCTAACAACAAGAAAAATGCTTATCTAAAGCTTGATTGTAATCATGAGTATTCAGTCGGTTCGCAATCCGAGTCGAACAACAAGAATGAATACATGTAATGGAGAGGAGAGAGAGGGAGCTTAAAAGAGGTATCACAACACCGCAATCTTCGGCAGTGGTTTGTTCTTCACCTCCTCAAACGTCATCACCCTCTGACTTGTTTCCTCAGCGCTCGACACCCTACTCTTAGGTAGCCTAAGGTCCTGCGGCATCTTGCTCAGCATCGTCGCAGCCGCATCGGCAGGATTACTAGAATGCCTCATCGGATCCGCAGATCTTGATCGTCGAGGCGGCGGTGATGATGCAATGCTTGATCTGGCAACAAGCTCCTTCTCAAGCTCTTCGTGCGGTTTCTTCACGTTGTCATCTGGACTCGTGTCCGGGCTGAACCGACTCAGAAAGTTTGCCGATTTGCTCTGCACAAGCTTGACTAGCTTGACCGGCACAGAGTGGCTCTCTGATATAGTTTGCGGAGGTGGTTCTTGAGTCTCGCTTTCGGTTTGACTTGCATTTGGCCTTGCGAGTTGCGGCTTCCACCCCATAGCCATGCGCTCGACAGCCCCGGGTTCTTGAGCACCGGCCATGGCGTCTGGCGCACTGGCTGTACGCACATGGCCGCCAGCATTAAGGCTTTTGACAGGACTCATTCCGCGTATGAATGCACCATCATCGCCGGATAATGGGCTGTCTCGGCCCTCAGGTCCTGTGGATCCACTTCTTGAACTCCAAGCTACGCTGCCCACTGGTGTTGTATAGCTGAGACGGCGAGGCCGCGTAAGAGATACCGACGAGCGTGAGAAGCGGTTGCGGTACAAGAACCCTGTGCTAGGAAGATGTGTTTGCGAGCGTGAGGCAGGACCTAACGGGACAGGACTAGCCGGGTGAACAGCCCGCCATGCAGAGGCTGAATACTGTGCGGGTATTGATAATGGCACAAATCCGGATGTTGACACGAGGCCTGACATGAGTGGCGGACGTGATAGTGAGTGCTGGGATACGGAAGGGTGAAAGCCAGTTGGTAGTGTCTCAAACGACGAGGTCCGCATTGGAGCGGCATATGCAGATGGAATTGGAGGTGGAGTAGCATTCGAGGTGAAGATTCCCAGCCCTAATGAGCGGACTGGAGAAGGAGCGTGAATAGTCGATGGCGGTGGACCATAATTCAAATCCAGCGTGTCAACATCCGTGTTCGAGAATATGGACGCGTTGCTTCTCCAGGTGGATACGGACCTGCCTCGTCGATGAAGTTGCTTATCCGAAGCATAGGATATAGGCCGTACTGGGGAGCCTCTTCGGGAAACACATGGTGTTGAATAATAATCCACCGGTTGTTCGTAACCGTGCTTGAATAGGTGTGCTTCGAAAGGACGTCTAACCGCACCGAGTACACCGAATAAGGTACACGACGCAATGCTGAACCCAAGTCAATTCCTGTCCCACATATTGAGTTCAGAGGTGCACTCACAGCGCGATCATGGCGAACGACATGTCTATACGGCTGACTTGACAGGTCGACCCAATTTCCCATCTTTGAGCTCCTGGTCCCTCGGGTCCCTCGGGTAGGCATATTGGCCTGCGAGCGACAATGATCATGTTCCAACCAGACGTCAAAAGCCAGAGGACGCACAAGGAGACTACCGTGCGAATGGCGACATAGTCAGTCTTCTCGACAGCGGATGGATGTCGTCGTTGATGCGTCCATATGCGTTGCTTGAGTGAAATGATGGTATGAAAGAAGGTGTATGCTATCGTTACAAGAGCCTATATTGATAAGGGTAATGCTATTATGAATATACCAAAGTGAACTTACGGAGGTCGATGTTAGCACCACCGGCGCAATGTTGTTTGTGTCTTTGGGATCCGATGCGACCTGGTAGATTGAAATACCAAGACATATGAGAGAGCTCCAGAGCAGAACATTAAGGAGGAACGAGATGGTTATCAAGGTAAACTTTCGACGCGGAACCTTGATGCTGATGTTGATGGCGATCGTCTTGATCTCGAATTTGCCAGGCGGATGTTCAGCTCCGCGCCTGCCGCGGTCTGGCCTATCCATTCAGTCACTTCTGGGTCTTAGTCGCCTGATGCCGGTCGAGCAGGAGTGACGGCTGTACACAGTGGTAAGCGAATGTGAACGACGTGATCATCGTCAAGATTGCATTAAAATGTAAACAGAATGTCGAGTTGTGAGCGACAGTTGTAGAAGAAAAAGGAAGAGCGACAGGCGTAACGGGTAAACCTGTACTGGTCGCCGCGAAGGTAGTGGTGGAGATGAAGATTTTGCCTGAACAGGTCCCCAGACCAGCTGTGTCTCAGAAGCAGCGGGACCGGTTGCGCAGATGAGGAGCGGCTGGGGAGGTGTTAGTGCATTCCATCGAGTTGACAGAGCAATTGTAAGGCGAACTGGGGAAGCGAAGGATCTTGTGCGAGGGAGAACACTGAGGAATGCTGTTGGTTGGGAGATTTGTGGACGAAACACATGTTGATAGAAGTCTATAAAGACGTAATTAGTCTGGTATAACTCCGTCATAACTTGTACTGAATTGATAGACACCACTGTAGGATTGATACCAGCTTCGTGCTGCGCTATCAGTATGTGATGGTGAGCGAATGGGGCGTCGTGGGCGGCGAGGTCGTGGCTCGCGACTGTACAACACGATAATGCGAGGTTGCCAGGGGCATACCTGCATTGCCCCGGAGCCGCGAACATCCCCGGGCAACCAATAGATCCGTCTACGCTGGCCAATGCCACCGTGCGACGACTTTCCGATGCTTTTATCATGCCTATACCCATGGAGATATAACGACGATATCCATGGTACCTTCCCCCATGTTTATCCGGTTGAGACAAAGAGCGAATCTATTGGATACGGCGCGCCATCGTGGATATGCGACCGCAGCATTACTGCCGCAAGCCAGAGCGCACAATTTGTTATCCGGGCGGTTGTTCCATGTTGCCTAAGTATACAGTTTCGGATTGCTAGCTCCCGAGAGGTGCTCGTTGTAGGGCCGCGCGGGACAATGTATGGATCCTTTCTTTTGCTAGCTCCTCAGAGTATGACAAGCAGAGTGAGAAATAGTATTAAGACGAAGATGAGGAGTGCAATGCAGCAACTGGACCACCGATCTACAAAGCGAACAGTTAGTAGTGTCAATTGTGTATTCCATGGCCAGCCGTACCTTCGTTCTTTTTGATGACCCAGCCAACCTTCTTGATGCCCGTCTGGAGCTTGCTGCCCACTCTGTCAGCCACGTTGTCGACATCAGTGAGCATCTCGCCCTGCTCTTCGAGCTCGCGGCCCATGTCGTCGGCTTGCTGGCGTAGGTTGCCCACGGTGCGGAAGACGCCGTCGAGGGCTTCGTCCTGCTCATGCATCATCTCGAGTTGTCGCTCCTGCTCAAACGCTGCGTAGTTGTCCTCTTCTTCAAATGAGTCTGGGTCAGGCAGGACATCTCCATTCACTGCACTCTTTCCCTTGTTGCGCGCATTGTCGACCGTCTGCTGCAACTCTTCGCGCATGTTCTCGATCTCGTCTCCAACATCCTTGACCAGTTTCCTGCGTCGCTCGACTTCATCGATCTCGAGCCCGAAGCGGTAGGGGTCATGCTCGACGGCCTGGACGCTCTCGACCAGATCTTCGAGGTCCTGGTTGAGATCTTGCAGTGTCTGCTCGAGTTCGCTGCGGGCTTCTCGAAGCTCGGGGCTGTTCGCGGAAGAAGCAGAGGACCGGATGCGCAGGTAGGATTTGAACAGGGGCCGGCAAGTGTTGAGGGCAGACAAAACATCTCTGTGATAGTCGTCAATACAGCTATCTAGGTTTCCAACAGGACTGTCTTACGCTTGTACCTGCAGGAAGGGATCTTCGTCACCCTGTGAGGACATCATCTTGGGCGAGGCGATACAAACCAAGCCTCAACGCAATGCTAGTGAATGAAGATGGACGTGTGGAAGCCTAAGTCGCGATGTTGGAGCGTCATCATGAAGCTGTCCAATGCCGCGGATATCCAGGGCAGGGGCTCAGTACCGCACGGACCCAGAACTTCCTAAAAAAATCCCACCACAGGCACATTCGACTGCACTTTTCCTCATGAATCGTTATACGTCCAGAGTACAGAATCAAACTAAGCTGACTGTTCGTGTGAGGGACTACGGGTGACACAATGGGGCCCGAAACTGCTCTGCCCCTTCCTATTGAATTCTCGGACGTCGACGAGTATGTCGAGTCACTCTTGGAATTCACTACCTCCTCAAGGCTACTCCAAATATTATGTGGCGGCGTTCACATCCTCGATTTTTATACTAGGTCACCTGATCTCTACTCAGCTATCTTGCCTCAACCATGGCGGGACTGGTTCAAGACCCGGGACATTATGGACATCCTGGACCTACTGATGAGGGAAGATCTCCGTCAATTTGATGTAGAAGATGCCACCAAAAACTCCGTCTGGCGAGGAGGGCCACCTCCACCAGAAGAGTTACTACAGTATATTAAGCGTGTGCGAAAGCATCTGCTAGCCCGCGAGTTTCCTCCACCAAACTCTGGTCTCAAACCTACAAAGGCAGCCATACCACGCCATATCGCCATGGGCATGAAAGTCAAGAAAGTACACGAGGTCGACAACTTTGCGCGCTATGTCGACAGACTGACCTCTGAGATAGCAGCGTCTGACAAGAAACCCATTACGCATCTTGTCGATTTTGGCTCCGGGCAGAATTATCTTGGCCGAGCCCTTGCTGCCGCGCCGTACTCTAAGCACATCGTAGCTGTGGAAAGCAAGCAGCACAACATCGAGGGAGCCAAGAACATGGACGTCCTCGCCAAGCTGGTACCAAAGCCTGTAGTCATGAGGAACAAGAAAGAGTTTCGAGCCAAGTATGGGAAAGTGAAAATTGGTAAGAAGAGCGAGGCCAATGGATCCACCACCGTTCCTGTTATGGGGCCTATAGCAAGCACGGAGGAACGAAATCTAGAGACGGGATGTGACGCGAATGGTTGTACTCCACTGCCAAACACCGATCTTCCTTCAAACGCTTCGCAACTCCAAAATGGGGTACAAAGCGACGTTGTCTTACAATCAGATGCGAAGCAACCGGCCTTGTTGAAGTCGACTGCGGACAATCAAGTCAAACCGACCATTACCACAAACCTTCAGATATACAACCAAGGCCACGGCAGCGTACAATACGTCGAACACATCATCAAAGACGGCGATCTCACACCTGTTATTGACCAAGTCCTTGACACCTCTCGCGTCCAAGACGATAATGTCACCTCGACTTCCACCGTCGTTAAAGAGCCTTCAGCCCTCGACGCTGTGCCAAAGCCAAAGGAAGTCAACGCAATGGTCATATCCCTGCACTCCTGCGGCAACCTCGTCCACCACGGCCTCCGCTCCCTCCTCCTCAACCCCCACATATCCGCCGTAGCCATGGTGGGGTGTTGTTATAACCTCGTAACCGAGCGTCTCGGCCCGCCGACATACAAGCTGCCTACTCTCCGGCCAAATCATCCGCGTCTAGTAGCCACGTCAAACGCTTTCGATCCCCATGGCTTTCCCATGTCAGAAAAACTCGAAAAATACCCGCTCCCATACCGGCCACTAAAACCCGTCGATGGAGGTGTCGGAAGCGATGGCGTGGACGACGGCCGGCCCAAAGGCGTCCGTCTGAACATCACAGCGCGCATGATGGCCGTCCAAGCACCTTTCAACTGGGGTCATGACGACAGCGAACTCTTCTTCACACGTCATTTCTTTCGCGCTCTTCTGCAACGCATTTTCCTCGATCGCGGTGTCATTTCCGCCCCACTCGATGCTGAAGGCCTTTCTAGTGCTGTTTCGGCGAATGGCCACACTTCGCAAGTGAACTGGACACCACGCTATGGTCGTGGGCCTGGACTGAGCTCAGACGGCACAAGCACACCGCTTACGATCGGTACGCTACGGAAGTTTGTGTACAGTGATTTTCTCAGTTACGTGCGTGCTGCGATTGAGAAGCTTGTCAGTCCAAACTCATTTTGTGAAGTGGATCCCGAGTTTATTCGGGAGAAGTTGGACGGTTTGACGGACGAAGATATCAGAAAGTACGAAGTTGATTATGCAGAGCGGAAGAAAGAGCTCAGTGTTATGTGGAGCCTAATGGCTTTCAGTGCGGGTGTTGTTGAGTCAGTTGTTGTTACGGACCGATGGCTGTGGTTGAAAGAGCAGGATGAGGTTGAGCATGCGTGGGTAGAGCCGGTGTTTGAGTACAAACACAGCCCGCGGAATCTGGTCGTCGTTGGTATCAAGAAGTGATTGGAAAGCTGAGCTATGTATGGAACATGTAGCTGTGAATGATGGTGAGTCATTGAGTCGAACTAGCCACAGGGACTTAGTGAGTAGTTCAGTGGAGAAACAACACAAATTAGGTTGCAGTATTGTGGTGTACATCTCAAGAGCGAGCAAACTCTACTCGTCAAGGGTATCTAATTTGCCAGATCATGTCTATATAATAAACCGCACTGGAATCGCAAAGTGCTTAAACGCCAGGCATGCACCTCTCCACAATATCCCTCAAAATACATACACATCCTCTCACAACACCAAGAAACTAACACCTACAACAACCGCCCAAACCCCAACGGCCGCCCACCCAGGCCTTAGCCCTGCAGCAGCATCCTTCTTATCCGCCGTCCCATTCCCACCACTTGACGGATTCCCTTCTCCCTTCCCTACCTGCATCTCACGACTAGCCACACTCCCCGACACACACGACTGCTCATTCAACCCGCCATCCTTCCCTCCAAACGCCACAACCGCAGCCCTCTCCCACAGCTTCGTAACATTCAAAAGCATATCCGGCTGATACCAAATCCGACAACTAGCACTATCATTCAAAAACTGCGTCGGCATACCCCCTTTCTCCATACCCGCGCGGATATTATCCTGGAAATTAACAGATGCATCGGCTACTGCGATGGGAAACGGGTTCGGCACAAAGGACGCCCAATCTCGCGCTTCGGAGCGGGAGGATGCGAAGTTTTGGATTGTGTAGGCACTGAGCGATTGCAGGTAGGTAGAAGGTAGGACTAGAGTGCCCTTTGTGCCGCCTACAGGGGTCATGGGACCGGAGTGGGGACGGCCGCCTACTGCGAGGGTTTTCACGTGGGATTGTTGGACCATGAGTTCGAGGAAGAGGGCGCATGTCGAGGCGCAGAGGCCGTCGGAGAGGATAATGATGTCTTCTGCGCGGAAGGGGTCGGCCGTGAAATTTGATCGGTCGTTGTAGCCCGTCACCGTGATGCCGAGTCCTAAGCGCGGGTTGGATGTCATCAACGGGTCTGAGAGATTGTATTTCAGCAGTGACGTAAAGCGGTCGTTGTGGAAGGTCTCGGGCGGATACATGTCGGCCCAACTATTGAACTTTTCCAGCTTCGAGTTGACGTATCCATCGTTGCTAAAGGGCGAGGTGAAAAGTTCGGCGTTCAACGAGGTGAGTTTAAGGAACGAGGATATTGATTTCCCGAAGAGTTCGCTGGCTCGGTGACCGCGGTATCGCGATTGTGTCTGTGGCTCCTGGGATGGGAAGAATTGGAGATACATGTCGTACCCGCTCAACACCTTGCCGCCGCCGTTGGCCCGCACGTCGATGATGTGCTTCTCCACGCCGCGGGACTTGGCTTGGGCAATATAATTTTGCACCACGGCCTGAAACTCAACGGCTTCGGCTGTTTTGTTGGTATTGAATGTTTGAACGACCAAGACGCCGATTTGGCCTACGCTGGTAGATAGGAAGTAGCCGGCCAAAGGAACCTTGGGGGCAGAGTGCGCAACAACAGGTTTAGGGTAGAGGAGCGGTACTGAACCCTGCTGTATGGGGGAATAGCTCCTAAACTCATGATCCCTTGGATTCTCCAAATGCATTGGCAGGTCGTTCGGGTCTCGCTTCTTGATTTTCCGCGAGCTTGCTTGCGGGATGATGTATGTTTCGTAGAAGGATTTGGGGTCGGTGATATCTTGCCATGCCCTGGGTTGCACGACGACTGCAACATTCTTATACTCGTCTGACGTCCCGTTCTCATACGTAACACTAGTCGTAGGTCCAGGGTAAAAACGCGGATTCGTGAAGTACCCAAAGTTCTCAGCGGACTGCAGAAAGAACATGGCATTGTACCTGGTATCTGGATCATGATACGCAATCAGATTAGCCTCGTCTTGCAGGAATTGAGCGACGTCCTTTCCATTGATTTGCGTGATAGGCGAGCGTGTGTAGCTGGTATCTGTGGTGTTGAAGTCTGCGATTGCCCACACCTTCGGTTCTTCACTGCCATCTTTGGACGCCGAAATCAGGGCGATGCTACTGCTTCTCCGCCACCTGAACGCGCCCGCATAAGCCATGCCTTGAAAGTTTAGATGGCCGTCATGCGCTTTGACCAAGAGAGAGGCAATGTCGTTTTCGAAATCGTACTCGTTCGTATAATCTCCCTTGTTCACTCTTGATTTGATGTCTTCTAGCCCTGCCATGATATCTACTGCTCCATTTGGGTATCCTTTCGGTGGATCTTTCAGATATGATAGTGTTGATTGGAACTCCACCATCTGTTTTATCGAATCGATTGTAGACGAAGCATCCTTTGCAATAATAGGTACGGTCTTTAGGCATGCATATGCAAGCTCAGCGTCCACGGCTGGGAGTTTCAGAACAGTGTCTGACACAGAGTCTGCTATTGCCGCACATGCGCGTTCTGTTTGTATTGGGCCGGAGACTGTCTCTGTGGCGGTAGGCTCTACGTCTCCTATCGATGTCGGCTTGACATCCAAGGACTGTGTTGTCCTGCCGAACCTAGAGCTTATGCCTTGCGCAGAGGCAACTGCTATCAGCGCCGAAAGCGCTGTGAAGGTTTTCATGTTAAGGGAAAAATAGACCAAGTCCCAATACGGTGCGGCCCAGGGTATGTATTCGACGAGTACGAAGCGGCGCAGTACGGCGGCGGCAAGAGATGCAGGTTCGTCTGCTCCAACCGTGAGGACTGTTGTGAGTCGTCGTAATGAGTCGTCTCTATTCGTCTTGAACCTGAAAAATAACCTCTTCTTCGCGTTATCCTACTATGACTCTAGGTCCACAGATTTCCTCCTTCAACTCTTCACCAACTGAATCGAAGCCCGAGAGTCCAGAGAAAGAAGCCAAAAAGAACCTCCTCGTAAATACACACTTCGAAAGCAGAACGTCACGTACGAAAAACACACGGGACACCATCTTCTTTAATACACACCCACCAGCGTGCCGTAGCTCCCGTGTTGCCTTGAACGCCATGCAAGCGCCATCTCGTATATGTCGGCCACGCTCTCCTGAAAGCCTAACATTTAGCCCTGCCGTAAGGCGCACAGGGGCCGGGGCCCCGCCTTTGTGCATTTTCGCGCTGAAAAGAGAATGGTGCATTGTGTATCTTGTGAGAAACTAATCGTATCAAGGAGCGCAAAACGCCACAAAAAGCCCCTTGTGGAGATGCCTAGATGAGGCGCGGCGCTACTAAGTACAGCCATGCAGGGCGTTGTCCGTTTCCTTTGCTATTTTCTTTATTGATTTCAGTGTGAATTTCAGTTTGAGAATAGAAGAATAAAAATTGGAGTAGCGATGTCGCTCAGATGGGTGGATTTGTCAACTCGCTTTGATGTTCTGTTCTTTCTAATCGTCATTCAGCCGCACATTTGCACCTCTGCCAAGCATAAACCGTCAATTTCGAATACGAGATGCGCACGATCCGGTGACGAAAGGGGATTGGCTTGGAACCTTGCCGCCTTTTAGGTTTAGATTTGCGCCGCTAAATCTCGCACAGCCTCACAAGTCGAGCTTGACTTGGGTGTGACGTGACGTATGCGACAGAGACGGGCTTATGTAGAGCAAGTTGGTATTTGAAAAAGTCGCGGTGAGCTATTCAGGTATAGAAGTAGAGAAAAAGCGATGGTATTTGTTTCCTTCCATCACTACATAAGGCGATGCTTGCACAAGCCCACGTGCTTTGCTTTAATGCAAAGAAAACCAACCGAAACCCTCCACCATGTAAACGCCATCGCCATGCAAAGGATTTTGTGATCTCTAACTCAGTTGAACACATTGACAACCTTCTTGCCGCTCCGCTTAGACTCGAGTATCTCGTCCCTCCACTTCCCAACTTCTGCAAGCGCCTTTGTGGGGTCCTGCTTTCGCATCAACAAGTAGCCCTGTATCTCTGCAGGCGAGAACCTGGCCTCAGGTAGTTGATCGGCGAACTGCTGTGCCATCTCGACCAGCTTCTCCGGCTCAATAGTGTCAAGCCTTGATTCAGCACGGACAAGTGCGAGGAGGTCGTCATTTTGCCTGTTGGTCGTCTTAGAAGAATTGGGTGTGGGTTTGGTACTGCTAGCTCTGCTTCTGACTTCCCCAGCGTCGAATTCCGTGCTGTACATGCGTGTGAAGATGTCGCGTATCTGCTCGCGTGTCGCGAGGGTGAAGAGCACTTGAAGATCCACACGGCCTGGTCTGATCAGCGCAGGATCAAGGTTCTCGGGGCAATTTGTCGTCATGATAAGAACTCGTCCCTCATGGGATGCGGCGCCGTCGATGATATTCAGCAGCCCGCTGAGACTGATTAGGCTTTTGGTGGCAACGGTGGCGGCTTTCTTTTTGCTCGGATCCTTCAGGAACACATCCGTCTTGCTGATCTTTGTGAGGCCATCTTCGGAGCCGTCAGCAGTTTCAGACGCAGGCGAAATGGGATCCGTCCCTTCCATGCCAGTTGGCATATCATCGCGGCGCAGTCCAGCACTGTCGATATCCTCTAGAAGTACGATGCAGCGGCGGGGAAGCTGGCTAAACAGGGTTCCAAGGTCCGACTCTGTAAGACCGACCTCATTGAGTGAGATGCAGTAGACTGGGAGCCCAAAGATACCAGCTAGAGCGAACGACAAGGATGTCTTTCCAGTGCCGGGAGGACCATGGAAGAGATAACCGCGTCGATATGGGATACCACGCGATGCGTACCAGCGTGCCGTGACGGGATGCAAGTATTCGTTGATGTCTCTTACTATCTTGGCTTTCTGCTGCTGCTCCAGGGATACAGTATGCATTGGCCGGGACGGACGACAGGACTGACGATTCCACATACGGCCGCCGTGGGATTCTGCAGGTGCTCGGTAGACACTAGTCATCTTGTTCTCCTTGTTAAGTGTCCATCTCTTGACGTGATTGAGCAAGTCTTTGATAGGCTGCGTGCTGCGACCAAAGCATCGAATGACCAGAGACTCATCATCATCGCTACTCCACTTGTTCTCTTTCTTCTCGCGTGAGAACTGGAAGTAGCGTCCATCGTGATAGAACCTGTCGCTTCCGTAGTTTGGCTCGTAGCGCGGCGGGATGTTGCCAGCCCACTTCTCAAAGTTGAAGATACCCTTCTCGTCGAGAACATCGAAGTCATCGTCGTCCAGCTCATCTTCGTCGTCTTGGTAATTGTTCACCCACTTGGAGACGGCCTTGAGATCTCGACTGACTTTGGTCATGCGCTGCTCAGCAACCCATTTCATGACCTGACTGTACAGATTGTCGTTGTCTTCGATGTATATCGATGAGGTGAAGTAGGAAGCGATGTAGTCGAAGCTTTGGTTGTAGAGAAATTGCCCTCCGTGAAAGAGGCCAAACAGTACAAGGCAGCCAGAAACAACGTAACCGACATCGATGCCACAGAGACGATAAATGAGTTGGGAAATATTTCCATAGCCGGGCACCAGTGCATCCATGAGTATGGAAGGAAGACTCAAGGTTGAGTTCGAGGAGTTGAGGTCCATACTGAGTATGCGTGAGAAGTCCATCTTGGCAGAGAGGGAGGGAGAGCGGTTGAAAGAGAGTACTGAATAGGGAATCTGAAGAGCGCCCTAGGCGAATTAATAAATGTGCAAGCCGTAAGCAAGAGTCACCAGACCCCGGTTTGTCTTGGTAAAACTGGGAGTCAAACAGCAGGAGTTTGGGCGAGGGACGTAAGAGAAGAGAAACCAAAGACACTTATACACAAACTGGCTGAAGCTTAGAAGGGCGCCCAAATGTGACTCGATGGTGAACTGCATCAGCAACCGTGTTGCGGGTCGCCGGTGAGGCTGGTGCCTATGGCTGTAGCGCTAGGCTCATACATTCATCCAATCGCGACGGCATCGCTAAGTGATTGTCGTGGAGCAGCACAGCCCGCCCTTCAGCTTCGACGTGGAAACTCTACATTACATGCATCCACTACCGCCCTTTGGGAGCCTTTAGGGGAACTGAAGGATTATGGCGGAGTTATCAGTAAGTCGTTTGATCGTTGTGATTAACCGACGGTTGAGGCTGAGAGTCTGGATTTTGCGTCGCCGATCTCCGCTGCTGCCTTGTAGCGCGACAATAGCTTAAGGCAACAGCGCATTCGCACCTATGCATGCGGTCAGCTTTAAAGTATGCCGCAGAACTGTTTGCAGGGTGAAATGGGTGGGCGACGTGACGTGGTGTCGTAGGAGAGGCTTGCCCGTCCGGCGAGAGCGATGGGCCCATTCACCGCCACAATTCAGCCACTTCGATCCGCTTAAAGGCGGTCAAGCAAATCGTCTCATCTGGGTCATGACGCAATCACCATATTGAAGTCCAAGGTCTGTCTCTGTCTGCCCATCCTCATTGATTGAGTTGCCTAGTCTGTTGACTGGACTCCACACCTTGTTCCTGAAACCCCAACCCATACTGCGTAGTAGCATTGAGCCTCTCCAAAATGTACTCTCCCGCCTCTATCGGCTTCCACACACTCTTCTCTCCCTCCTTCAAGCAAGTCGGCAAAGTCTGAATCACCGTATCATAGTTCACAGAGAAAAAGAACGGCACGCTGTACCGCGCTTCAGTCCCTCGATTGACAACCCTATGCACCGTGCTTAAGTACAACCCATTCGTCCAGCGCATGAGAAAGTCTGCGACATTGACGATGAAGGAATCGGGTATGAATGTCGCAATGTGCCACTGACCCGAGGGTTTGAGTATCTCGAGCCCGGGTGTAGAGGAGGTGAGAAGAAGAGTAAAACATTCGTAGTCCGAGTGCGCGCCGAGACCAATCTGCTCTTCTGAGGATGGACCGACTGGCTGGGGGTTCTTGGGCGGCGGGTAGTAGAGTAGTCTTGCGATGCCGCCGGGGTGCGTAGTCATGGAGTCAAAGTAGGTTTCTGGGAGATTGAGTGAGAGGGCGAAGAGGCGGAACAGGTGTCGTGCCAGATCAAGTACCTGTTTGAAGAGTCAAGACTATACGATTTTTATATAGTCTTTCGGCTTTACTTACAGCGCCATAGTATTCTTTTACTGCGTCGTAGAACCCAGGTAAGTCTTGCTCCTTTGGCCATAGATTCCCTTTGTACTTGGTGCCATCCAGATTCCGATACAGCCCATCTCCGCCTGTCGGGTCGAGCGCTTCTTCATACGCGAAATTGAATACCTCTTTCTGCTCTTGATCGCCTGCAATGGAGGTATAATCGCTCGGCTCCCAGCCTAGCCCAAACTTGCTGTTCTTTACATGCAACTCTTCCTTCTGTCCGGTATTGAGTTCATGCATGAAACGCTCGGCCTGTCGTAATATGGCTTTCCTCGCGTTCTCTGGTACGCGGTGGCCGGTAATGTAGAAGAATCCAGAGGTCGTACACGCCTTCTGGATTTGGGCTGCCACCGCCTGGCGGTTTTCAAGGGACGAAGAGAAGGATGGTGAAATGTCAATCACCGGGACGTCGAAATCAGCGTCAGTTATGTCGTTCCTAACAGCGAGCCGCGACTGCAAATATGCTGCTGCGCCGTTGTGAGCCTCATCATGGGTAGTCGCGTCCGGAAGGCTGGGTGCGTCGTCAGTACCAGTCGTCATGACAATGTTTATATATCAAGAAACTGGTATCAACAAAATGGTGTGTTTCAGATGTCATGAAGTTTGGATATGTTGCTAGAGATAAGATAGTACCTAGTAGATCACAGCTGCCTAGGTGGTTACCCCAAAGCGGGGTAGCTTCCATCTATCCCAGACCGCGATCATCGATGCCTGTCCATCATGAGCGCTGAAGCGCTTCATCTTTATTTTTAGAAGTGAACATGCGAATTCGGAACCCATGCTTGTTCTCTGTGTTGAATGTCCTCGTGATACAGTTTATACGAGATCAAGAAAAAGGGGGCGAGTGTAGTGAAGAATATAGAGAACAGGAGATGGGATGTCACTTATAGCATTGAGGCCGTAACGAGAAAACGCCTCCGTAGACCCATCGGTCCTCGATCGGTGTTAAATCTTGAGGATATTCACATGTTTGCTTGGAGAGGCCTGAGGTAATCTTGATCTAGGAAAGTACCTAGGCTAGAAAGAGACTCGGTGCGGTTCCGGACGCCCCCGAAGTCTCAGACTACATGCTCTCACACTAATGCCCAATTACTACATTAAGAGGATTTTCAAAGCGCCTACGCCCTAGTTGAGCTATTGCTAGTTTTATAAAAGTACTTTAAGTGCAAAAATATTTATAATTATATTAATTTTTTTAAAATAAATTAAAATAGTTGCTAACTATAGTTTTAAACTTTATTATTATTCTTTTATAGTACTAAATATTAATTTTCTGCTTTTAATAATTATTAATAAGTCTAATGCAAGTTATAATTATATAAAAAATTATTTATTTTTAAAGTATATATAAAGCTGTTTTACTTTATAACTTTTATCTTCTATCTACTGCACTTTTATATAATAATAAAATAATTTTTTTTTTTTTGCTGCTTATTAAAATATTAATTTATTAAATTTTTTTTAGCTAACATATTACACAGGCGAGTTAGTTGCCCGGTTAAGTTAGTTATAATACTAAAACTTTACTAAAATTAATACTATGCACAACAGTATAGCACTGTAAAAAACTATAGCAGTAAATTATAATAAGCTAATTTATTTAAAAATTACTTTTATTTTTTGCTTATATATTTGCGCGTTATACCTAGCTTTACTATAATATTTATAGCACTTTTAAAAAAGCTTACCTACTTTAGTATACGCTTATTTTTTTACTTTTTTTCTATTACTACGCGCCCTAAACTCTTTTAAAATTATTAGTTAAAAACTATTTTTTATTATAAAAGTTTTTTTTTTTTATACTTGCTTTTTTTTATATAATTTTTATTATATAGCAGCTTTATTAGCTGCTTAAAGCTTAGTAATTTTTTTTTGCGCTAATATAAGCTTATGCGCAACTATAGCTGCACTTTTTAAAATTTTTTTAAAAGCTTTAACTATTAAAGTAGAAAAACTATTTAAGTGCCTTTAAATTTTTGTTTTAACTAGTATTAATTAAAACTTAAATTTTAAAGTATTGTTTAGTATTTTTAACTCCTAAAGACTATTTTTAATAATAAGTAGTAATAAAGTATATAACTAAATATTAAGTTTTAATATTATAACTTTAAAATTAAAAAAAACTAAACTAGCGCTTTTAAAGCTACTTAAAATATTGCTTTTTATAATAGCAGTATTAAAAACTAGTTTAAAGCATAGTAAAAACTTAATTTTAATAATATAGTTAATATTATTGCGCATTAGCTTTTTGGCTTAGCACTTATATACTTTTTTTAAAAGTATAAAATAATTTATATTAAGTAGCTATAATAAGTGCAATAAATGCAAAAGCATATAAAAAGTAATAATTTTTTATTTTTTATAGTACTGCTAGAATTAGACTAATACATAGCTTTTATAACTATTAATAATAAATAAATAATAAGTACTAATAATTTTCTTTTTAATATATTTATTAAAGTGCTTTAACTACTTAAAAGTAAGCTTATTTATTATTTAGCTATTTTTAAAAATTATAATAATTTAATTGTAAAGCAGGCTATCTTTTTTATACTAAGCTAAAAAGTAGTTTTTGCCTGTAAAAATAATAAAAAATAAAATAATTTATTTTATTGCGTTAATACTTTAAATTACTATTACTTATTTTTAATTACTTTGCTGCACCATTTTTAGCTGTTCTTAATAATTAGCACTTAAAATAATAATTTTATATAATATCTAGCCTATTATAAAGCCTATTTTATTAAAATTATATATATTTTTATTTTAAATACTATGCTTAGCTTTTATATTTTTTATAAATTAGAACTAGTCTTATATAAGCTTAAAATCTTTATATAAAACTTTTTAGTAATTGTACTTTTAAAAAGTCCTAGTATTAAACTATAAATATTATTTAATAAATATATTAGCCTAATTTTTACTAATAAGTAGTTGCCTATATTTAGCTAGCAAAATATTAATTATATTATTTATAGCAGCTAGTTAAGGCGGAAATCCTTAGTCTTTAAAGTAGAATATATATTAAGCAATTATTTTTTTTTTTATTAAAAAAAGCTTTATTTTATTAGGCCTAGTATTGTATTATAAAAGCTTTCTTTTTAATTAATTACTAAATATTATTTAAAAAATGCTATAGATCTGCGCAACTTTTTATTAAAAAAAATTTATATTATATTTTAAAACTTAAACTGTAAGCTATATTTAGTTTTTTTTTTAAAAAAATTGCATATTATTGTGTTAAAGCATCGCGTTTAATAGTAAAAAACTACTAATTTTAGTAGGGTTTTAGCATTGTAACTAACTTAACCGGGCAACTAACTCGCCTGTGTAATATATTAACCTATAACAGGCTTTTAAATAATAGTATTTATAAAAGCAGGATTTTACAGTTTAAAAAAATAAAAAAAATAATAGCTTTTATATAAAGTATCTTTTTCTACTAAAAACTAATACTTAGTAAAAAAAAATTATTTTTTTATAACTATTTACTAATAGCTTATAAAAAATACTCTAATAGTTAAAAATATTAAAAATGCTAAAATTTAGCAACTTTAACTTTTTATATAAAAAATATTTATTTTTATTTTTACTGCTATTAATCTAAACTACTTAGCTTTTTTTAAATAATTCTAAAAAATAATAAATAAATAGCTGGGTAGGCCGTACAGGCTATAAGCATTAAAATAATAGTAAAATTTTTTAAAAGAATAAAAAAAGTTTAAAATTAATATTTAATTAAATATAAAAGCAGAAATTAGGTAACTAAAGCTAGCGTTATTCTTGTTAAAATAGGCAGGTTAAGAAACTATAATTGAAAGCTATAGACTACCCTGGGCAGAAGAAATTGAACGCGTACGTTGAGGATACTTTGAGAACTTTGAGAACCAATTACTACATTCAGTAGTGAGCTATGTCGGTGTTATGGGAACGCCTTCCTGTGACACTATACGCAGGGGCTAGGCGCTATACTCGATGTATGGGCCGTAAACGCTATGTAGCGTCGTCGGTCGTAGTCGGTGTTAAGTACCGCACCTTCATCCCATCATCCGCACGCTTGAAGCCTATTAAAGATGCGTCGCCTGCACCCTTCCACCGGGTGACCGAGTATCGCCGATATATAATATAATTGAAGCCCGTTCTCTTTACCTTTATTCGCTCTGACCCAAACCCGAGAAGTGCAGACGTGCGTTCGATGCCGTGAAGCTAAGCGACGATGCGACAAAGTTCGACCGATTTGCACACGCTGCCAACGCACTGGAGTGTCTTGTGTCTATGACACTCAGAGTAGCGAAAGCTCTCCTCTGTCTGAAGGCTCTTCAGAATCAAATTTCAACAATGCGATTACTCCAGATCTTGTAGCGCTGTCAACGACAGACTCCAGCCATGAGCACACTGTGAAGAAGCAGAAGCGCGCCCGAGCCTGTCTATCTTGCACTCGGTGTCATCGACTCAAGGTCAAGTGCGACAAAGCTCAGCCATGCGGACGTTGTGCACTCTCAACGACCAAGACCTGGACTTTATCGTTGCAACATGGTTCCTGCGGAGGCGAGGATCCAGTTACTGGAAAGCTCTATTGAATAGCGTAAGCTAAGTGTTCCATGGTCTCTTCGCACGCGTGCTGAGCATGACGAGCTGGAGTCGCTCTCTGGTCTTGATGCACTGCCTTTTACGATGGCTATGCGAGAGCATAGCCAAGGTGACTGCACGAGCGATTTTGCACTACCAGGAAATTTCCCCTTTGGAAGCGTTCAATCGACGCGATACACATCGTTAGCAAAGGTGCAAGGGCTGCTTCAAGACTACCGTACTGATCTGGATGCTTTCGTCGCCCGATATTTTGAAAAAATACCATCCTTCTATGCCAATATTGGAGCCTCCTACGTTTCAACTCAACATCTCTCGCTTCTGGAGCGCACCGGAGCAAGCAGATGCGAGCTGGGTGGTCCAATATTTGGTGGTACTTGGACTAGGCGCGTACGCGACGACGCGCGATGAAATCTCCTCCGCAGAGTTCTTCTACGCCAGCGAAGCTTGCTTGGCGAAGACTGCATACATGTCACGGCCGACGATAACAAGTATTAGCAGACTTTGCCTGATGGTCTTAGCAAAACAAGATGCTTACGCAACCTGTTGGGCGCTAGATACCTGCTGGAACATCATGGGCGTCATTGTTCGCTTGTCAATGATGACAATCCTACACCAGGAGTGGATGCCACAGTTCCAGGATCCCGTGATTGTCAAGGAACGGGAACTTCGACGACGGCTCTGGACTATCGTAGTCTACCTGGACATCCAAGTGTCTCTAATCACCGGACAGCAATCGCTATTACCGCAAGATGCCCTTCTGGTCACCACTGAAATGCGCAGCCCAAGTACGCTTGCGGAATGTTGGGACACGATCTTGCCACAATCTTCTCCCGTCGTCTGTCACTTTTTGGCTCGTATCAACTCCTACACGGACCAGATCACCTATGGCGAGGTGCTATAATACGATTCGGCCATAAAACAACTAACCCGTCAAATCACCAACCTTCCCGGTAACGATATCTTTCGTCTTACGCTTGATATCTTCTTTCGACGCGATCTCTTAGTCCTCCATCGTCGTCATGCACTGGGCCTCCATGCGCCTGTTCTGTATCCAACCTCCTACTGGTCATCTCTCGAATGCAGCCTAGCAATGAGTATGCACCACCGCAACCTTTACGAAGCGTCGAACCAGCCACCAAACATTGACCTAGTAGGCCGGCCCTACATGTTAGACTTCTTCGCAGCTGCTCTGACGGTGTGCATCCATCTTCTACGCAGCGATGCGCCGTTGGACACGACTTTGGCACCCGAGGGCACAATACCGGCTCGTCAAACCATTCTGAGCACCTTGACGAACTGTCTAGACATCTTCTCCAAGGAGCAAAACAAGTCTTTGTGCTTCCGCACAGGACACCGCCTCCTGATGGCAGTGTTCGCGTTGATACCTAAGGAACAAAGAGATCGCATCATGCACCAAACTGATGTAGATTTTGGGACTATAGCTCGCATACCTGTCGACGAGACAGCTTTGATACGATGAAATTATGAGTCCGGAAGTTCCAAACGAAATTTCAGTAAGACTTCAGGTATCTGTTATCAATACCTAAGACCGTGATGCGCTATCGCTCACATCGGCTTCGCAGCTCCGAACGAATACACTCCATGTGAGCAAGGGCCAGGTCACAGGGCGGAGTTGCACAGGATGTCGTGGATATATGACATGGTCGATGATCGTTCCCCTCAAGATGTATATAGAACTTTAAAAAATACGTACGAACTAGACTAAGTCAACAATATCGTACAACATATGCATGTCAAACCCGACATCCCGCTCCATGGACAAGTGAATCATCACCACTTAATAATTATGACCGGAAACGCATTTCATCTCCTCATCCTCCTTCAGCACCATGTATCCATCACCGAAATGGATCCTCGCTCCCATCCTGCGCACTATCCCTCTTCCAACCACCGTCCCTCTCGTCTCCTCTCTCCCCCACTCTCTCAACCCAACACGCTGTCCCACTCACACTAACAACCACACACCCACAAACCTCACTCTCCCTCACCACCAAACCCACAATCGCATTCGCACCCAACGCAACCCCCTCCTTGACCATCCTATCAATCGCCTGATCCCTTAGTTGATAAATCAGCCCAGTAACACTCTTCGCTTCGCCCCAGGCGCCGCTGAAACTCGCTGCGATGTTCTTTATGAAGGATTTGGTGTCTTTTCGCACGGCAGAGGTGGTGCCGTGGACAGCGCCGAGGGTGCGGAGGAGGCGGTGGCCTGGGAGGGAGGGCGTTGTGCTTGTTAGGAGAGAAGGAGTGCGACTTTGTAGAACGGGCTCAGTGGTTGTAGTGGTGGTCGAGGGGAATAGAATGGATGTACGTGGTGCTTGGGTTGCGGAAAGGTGTTTGGATTGTGGTTGCCAGCTGGGTATGCGGTTGGGAGGGAGCATCATGGTTGAGCGGCGGTTTGTCAACATCTTGGCGGTTTGGAGTAGGAGTGAAAAGTCGAAGGCGTGCTTGCTTGCGTAGCTAAGGGGTGCGATCTAGGTATTGCAACTGTAATAAAGAGCTGAGGATAATTGCTGGTGTGGTGATGTACAAAGCGAAAAATCGCGACTTAACTATAGACAAGCTTGCGCGCGATGCGCTCTCCATATATCTACAGGTAGAGGCGATTACATTACGATGATATACAAGCATTGCGAAACACAACGAATTCATGCCGCGCTTTGTGCTGTCCTGCAAGCAAAGCCTGGAAGTCTAAGCCACGAGCGCAACGGCAGAAGCGGACAAACGCGCCGTGCATCAGGGAGATTGTTCTCGCTAGGAGATATACACATATTCGACACGACAACTGTTCACGAAATGAAGCGGAGCAGCGTTCCGCATTCTTTGTTGTGGTGTGGTCGTAGTGTCTTTTGGAAGGTCGACGCGAGGTGCTGAAACAAACACGGTCGCGAATCGAGGTTGCGGGTCTCATAATAGGTGCTGATACGACAGTGAGGCATTCAAACCACTAAGATTGCCTTCGATCGGTCTGGTCTTTGGCGGGTTGGTGGAATTATTTGCCGGTGCGTCATTCACTCTGCCTTACCCACGATGAAAATGCGACGCATCAGCTTGGCACTTCTAGGGCGGTTCCCAAGGCGTTCCTAAAAACCTTGATCTGTCTTGAGTGAATGTGTGAGGATACGAAGGATTGTGGTGAGATGCTTCAAGCGGAACCTTGAGCGCGATAGGCGGAGCTAAATCCGCAAATGCTCGCACAAGATGCGCCTAATCAGCAACCGAGTCTAAAGTTGATCAGTCCATGGCTGGCTAACATCGAAGATCACTGCATCATGCTCCATGGGTATCGTAAAAGTGTTGTCCCATCCTCGTGGATTCAATATATCAGATCAGGAATTGATATGCTGGGTGTAGGACTGTATTGTTGGTAGCTGCTCATCGGTGTCATATCCAGGACTTCATCGGGGGCTGGTTTAGTCTTGTACATCTCCACCAGCGTCTGCATTCTCAATTGAGATAATGTCTTCGTCGATAACGTCGTCATCGTGGTCGGGCGAGGACGAGGCGCTGGTGGCCGACTCTTCGGGGAGTGGCTGCTGGACTATCGGGCCAGGTCTCTGTAGGCGGAGGAGGTCTTGTACTTGCTGTTCGAGCACCTATATCCGTCTAACATAGGGTCAGTAGGCGTTGTGTAGATGTGCCGAAGCGTGAGCGCGTACCAGACGCGCTTGGTCGCGTTGTCACGCCGTTGCGCTGGGCGAAATACGCAATGCTTGCTCAAACGCGCGCATCTGGGGCAGTCAGCCTCTGCTCGCCAGTTCCTAGGCCTGATCCTGACCTATCGCATATATATTCGTATTTCTTCCGATCGTAGCGTTTTTCCGGCTCGTCGTAGTCCTGACATGATAATGAGCCACTTGGGGCTAACTCAACGCCCGGCGTAGGGGGAGACATGGCGCCCGAGTTTCGACATTCGCGTCGCAGCAACGGTCATGAGCAGAGTAGAGCAAGTCTAGACCTCAGAAGCGTCGCAACGGGTGTTGGATTTGGGTATCATCGTTCAACTTGTGCCTAAGCGCACGACGGTACACGATATTGTCCAGCATCCTCTCGAGGCTGGTCTGACTGGTCCTTTGCTGCCCAGATGGAGCCGTTGATGTTGGTACCCCGCTGCCAATTGTAGCTCTAGGTGCCCACTACGTAGTCAGTAGGGTAGGTATCGCATGCCTTGTAAGGGCTGGATTCCCCATTTGAGCCTCAATTGTGCGTAGTGACGCCCATGATGATCAGGTTGGTGAGGCGTTGACGATGCATCGACGCAGGGCTGTGAGGAGTGAACCCTTGCGCCGTTTCCGTCCTCCTCGCATCGTGGTTGGCTCATCATGCGACCTGACATTAGTGGACAATAACAATGTGTCGACTTTGAAGCTGACAGACTTATAATCAGTTATAGTCTGGATGATCTTGGCTGAATAGAAATGGTGACTTGTTGGCGAAATTGCAGCGAAAGGTGCGTTCCACATGCTTGTACTCCGTTCATTCTGCTAGCTCACAACCATCTCCTCACTCAAAGGACGCCCCCATAGGCTCGCGATAGCTCAACACGTAGTTCGGAAGCGTGGCGTTTTAGATATCGTCTGTGTCCTTCTACTAGGCTTCCGGCCTCGTTCTTTATATAGCGGCAGCGAGCACTTCCTCACACAGATACCGCCATCACTCAGGCCTCATACACCTTCCGTCCACTAAACCAAGTCTCCGCCACTTTTGCTCCAAGCAACTCTTCGCCCTTCCACTTGGCATCTACCACGCACAAATCTGCCATCTTGCCTACCTCTAAACTCCCCATCCTCTGTTCGGCAAAGCACGAGTACGCAACGCCGGCTGTGGCTGCACTTACAGCCTGTGCCAAGTCCAGCCTGAAGTTGCCGTTCACTGGCTCATCTCCAGCATCAGGCTGTCTCGCTGACCTACGCGTTGTCGCGACGTAGAGGTTTGGAAGGGGCGCGTGAGGCGCCGTAGGCGAATCTGATCCAATAGCCAGAGTCGCTCCCTCATCGGCAAACTCAGAGTATGCGAACGCGCGCTTCAAACGTTCAGGCCCCAGCAGCTTCGGCCAGGCGCGGAGAATGGCGGGATCCGAGTGGACAGGCTGTATGCTTGCTGTGATGCCGAGCTGGCCCAGTCTCTTCGCATCTTCCGGTGCGGTTAGCTCCAAGTGCTCGATGCGATGGCGCTGGCCCGGCTTTCCGTATTGCTCAAGCACATTGATAGCGTTGTGAACAGCCTGATCACCAATGGCGTGCAGAGCACACTGCACGCCTGCCTCACACGCTTTCTTGACAACAGGCTTGAGCATCTCAGGCGTCCATATAGGACCTTCGAAGTGGCCATTCGAGGTATATGGTTCTGCGAGGGCTGCAGTACAAGCATCGATGACACCATCGCATATCACTTTGATGCCTACAATCCTCAAGTCTGGACTCGTCTCGTTGTTGAACTGACGATTCAGCTCTATGGCGCGCTCGACCTGTTTCAATCGATGTTCTTCGCCATCCCCCGGCATGATACACCAATGCGCAGCGATCCGCAATGGTAGTGACCCGCCCTCAGCCTTTTGGAGTGCCAAAACGGCTTCCCAGGCATTCTCATCCATCGCCATATCAATGCACCCCGTACAACCGACTTTGTGATATGCATTGATTGCAGCCTTTAAAGCAGCCATCTTATCCTCCATCGGTAGAACCTTGGCCAGGTAGGGCCATACAATCAGCAACACACAAGCTTCGCTCAGCAAGCCGGACGCTTTGCCCTGCTCATCACGCTCAATCGTTCCACCGGCCGGGTTTTCCATCTCTTGCACACCCATCTCTTCGAGCGCTACGCTATTACACCAGCACGAATGCAAGTCCTTTGAGTCGATGTATATTGGTCTTGGGTCCAGATCGTCTAGCATACTCGCCTTTGCTTCACCGCTTGTCATACTGTGCATCCATCCAGAACACAAAATGCGCTCTTTGTGAGGATTCTCTTTGGCATACTGCGAGATTCTCGATCGAATCTCAGTCAGATCCTTGCTTCCGTCCAATTGGACTTTGTTCAGCGATTGACCCAGCAGCAAGAAATGCATATGTCCATCGATGAATCCTGGAAACACATGTTTCCCGTCTAAATCTTTCACCTGTGCGCCAGCGTCCCGGTAAGACTGGACTTCTGGAGCGTCCGAGTCGCCAATGAAGGCAATCTTGCCATTTCGTACGACGAGCGCGGAATGAAATTCCGCTTCGGACTTTGACGTACCGCCGTGGAAAAATTGACCGTTAGTGAAAAGAGTAGCTTCTTGCGGTGCAGTCATGACTGGGATTGTTGGAGTCGCAGAGAGTTTTGTGCAAGTGAGGGGTTATCATATCTGATGGTGTTGGATCCGGTACCGGAGATCCGAACCATGCCCGAACATATCGATTCTCATACTATTAACTTCGCCGACCTCTTACTAACATGGTGTCCGCAATCTCAACAGTAACTAGCTATAGGGAATCTCACGAAACCCGTACCATGCTTGCACAGACTGTGGAGTTTACTGTAATGATTTCACGATATGAGCCTCGGTTACGGGGGCTAGCTTGACCTTTCTCGAACGAGCAACAATTCGGCAACTTTCGTCGACACGGCAAGATTAACCATTGAGGTAGACGTCCCGAAACCCCAGAGATATTCTGTGCTATGGCTCTATCTCACGAAAGGATTGAATAGCCTCGCAGACAGCCGCATCACGTCACTTTCGAGAGGGGTAATGCATCCGTCGACATGGATCGCCAGCAACTATCGCGAGTTCTTCCGCCCAGGAACGCCAAACTTCCTCCAATGGCGGGTGGCGCACGCACATCGCGCCCCTTCCGCGCATGCGTTTCTCCGGAAACATCATGACGACAGTGGGGATCGTATATTAAGTGGGTCTAGCAAGATGTGGAGGCCCGGGGAATGGGGAAATGCAGATCTCATGGTATAAGAGTTATTCATGGCATGGCCCTTGGGTGCTCGTGAAGCAGCAGATACTTCAGTAGTCAAGATGGTATCCCTCAAGCAGGCATTGGTTGCCGCTACTTGCATCACGTCCTCTCTCGCCGTAGACGTCCTCGTGCAATCTTCTGGAGGCAATGTCACCGGCAAGTTTGGACATCCTTACGGTTACGGTTTTCTTCATGAGGTGAGCTCACAGATCTGTTTGACTTCAACTGCTTTGCTGACTAGGTTTAGGACATTAATAATTCCGGCGACGGCGGCATCTACGCGGAATTGATACAGAACCGCGCTTTCCAGTACAGCAAAAGGTTCCCAGTGTCAACGGCCCACTACTTTCCTGTCAATGGCGCAAAATTCAGCATCCAGAACGGAACGGCACCGCTTTCGAAAGCGTTACCTGCCTCCTTGCGAGTTACCGCTACTAATAAGACCGGCAAGGCTGGTTTCAAGAATGAGGGCTACTGGGGCATTGATGTCCGGCAACAAAAGTACACAGGATCTTTCTGGGTCAAGGGCGCTTACAATGGATCGTTCACCGCAGCTCTCGAGTCGAACCTGACTAGTGATATTTTCGGGTCAGTCGAAGTAAAGTCAAAGGCTGTTGCGAATAAGTGGACCGAGCATACTTTTGAGCTTGTGCCTGAAAGGGATGCGCCCAACTCGAACAACACATTCTCAATCACCTTCGATCCCAAAGGCACGAAATCAGGCGCGCTTGACTTCAATCTCATCAGTCTCTTTCCACCGACATACAAGAACCGCAAGAATGGACTGAGGGTTGACATCGCTCAAGCGCTTGCTGACATGAACCCCGTACGTTATTCCAAGCACAATAACTTTAAGCGCAAATAACTGATGTAGCATTCAGCACTTCCTTCGTTTCCCTGGTGGCAATATGCTCGAGGGCCTTACGAACGACACTCGCTGGGACTGGAAGGACACGCTTGGTCCCCTGAACACCCGGCCAGGCTTCCAGGGCACCTGGGGTTACCAGCAGACGCACGGTCTTGGGATCATGGAGTACCTTGAATGGGCCGAGGACATGAATTTGCAGATTGGTATGTGGTGTACCTACAGCTAAATGGTGACATATACTAATAGTCGTGATAGTGCTTGGTGTCTGGGCTGGCCTCGCACTTGACGGGGGAGTAACTGCCAAGGAGGACCTCCAACCCTTCATCGACGACGCCCTCGACGAAATCGAATTTGTTTCCGGCCCAGCAAACTCCACCTGGGGCGCACGTCGCGCCGCGCTCGGCCATCCCGAGCCTTTCGAGCTCAACTACGTCGAGGTCGGCAACGAGGACTGGCTTGCCGGATTCCCTGGTGGGTGGAACTCGTACCGCGAGTACCGATTCCCCATGTTCTTCGACGCCATCACCGCCGCATACCCACACATCCAAGTCATTGCGTCGGGTGCATCGAGCGACCCCGCCCCAGGAGGCCCGACCACAGGCCCGAATAAGGTCAACGGACTTGAATTTCCAAAGGGTGCGATCGGAGACTACCACCCGTACCGCGAACCCGATGACCTGGTCGAAGAATTCAACAGATTCGACAACGACATTGGCCATATCATCGGGGAAGTCGCAGCCACGCACGTCAACGGAGGAATACGCTGGAACGGAACTCTATACAAGTACCCATGGTGGATTGGCGCCGTTGGCGAAGCCGTCTCTCTCATCGGGTATGAAAGAAACTCTGACCGCATCCCGGGCACATTCTACGCGCCAGTATTGAAGAACGTGAACCGATTCCAATGGCCTATTACGCTACTACAGTATGGCGCGGATCCGAAACTGACGACCAAGGCGGTTACCTGGTATTGCTGGTCTCTCTTCGCTCACCACCCCATTTCGAGCACTTTGCCAACTACTTCTAACTCCAGCTACGGACCGCTCTACTGGGGTGCTGGAAAAGACGACAAGAGGAGTGGTGCACTAGTATGGAAGGGCGCTGTGTTCAATACTACGAACGGTGTAGATGTGCCTGTTTCTGTGCACTTCCAGGGCGTTACACCGGGTACCAAGGCGAACTTTACGTTGTTGACGAACGCTGTTGGCGATCCGTACATGTACAATGATCCGTTTACGGGTATCAATATTGTCAACACGACGACTACGCTGCTTTCGGCGGGAAGCAGCGGGGCTTTTGAGTTCAGTATGCCGCAACTCAGTGTTGCGGTGTTGGATACGGATCCTGCTGGGGTTGGTGCAGGTGGATACAAAATGTAGATTAGTCAAATAAAAATGGGTGGCGTGTAAAATGTCCCTTTCATGAAAATAATCAGTTCGCAGTTCATGGCTCAGTTTATATCCCCTATGCTAGTGATAGATTCAAGCAACTGACCTCAGTTGCGTGTTGCGCACTTTGAAGGAAGATCGGTATTCAGAACGTAGTAAGGGTGGCATTGTGGTGCTATCTAATCAATCACGGGGTCGGGAGGCTTGCAAACTTGAGGTGAAGGTCAGTAGAATAACACGCAGTTTGATTTACCATGCGCTATTCATGGAGTGTATTTCAGGGCTTACACGTGTGATTGCAGCGCGTTCCGTTGTTCGTACGCATTAGGAGGCTGCAAAATTTAATTACTCAAGTAACCCAAACAAATGTCAACACAGTGAAAACCGTAACAATTACAACTCTTTGTATGGGTGAAATGTATGCAGAGATTCTGCGGTAATCTATTTGCTGTCCTCCCATCCTAACAATGGCTGTGGCTTGTTTTCCACATCTTCCTCACTCTTATGGCCTTCTTTCTCCATACGTGTAACCCAGGCGTCGTATTCCTCGTCTGTTAGAAATTCGAGCATACAACCTGAATCGTTGTAAGCTCGCCCAAAAAGCTTGGCCCACACAGCTGCACCGTGTGCCACTACTTCCGATGTTTCGATATCTGACAGAACTTTGACAGTCTCTGTTTCCACCGCCTTATGTGCGATCCTTCCCAGCTCAGTGACTGCATCTGTAGAGGCTTCCCCGGCGATTACAATAGCTCGAATGTCGTCACGGTTATACCCCTGCAAAGCCTGATTGTTGACGAAGTCATCGACGAAGTTGCTTACTCTTTCATGGTAGGCGTCCGCACCGATATCCTGCAGCCTGTGTCAGCTCATGCAAACATCAAAGGCGAATCTTAGTTAGACCAACCTCACGATAACGTTCTCCACATTCCTTGCCGAACCTCTCAAGACACGTAGGGAAGACCCTCGCGTCCCAATCCACTTCCTTGAGGTAAGCCCACAGGTAGCTTTCTTCGTACTCTAGTACCAAGATCAAGTTGATTGGGCCATCATCGTTACACTGATCAAGTGGCCGGCTCAGATATTTACCCTCCAAAAACTCCCACCCTTGACACATAGCCATGTGGGACGGACCCCACTTGATGGGCCGCTGGTCGAGGTTGGGCAAGTCTTCCTTGATCGCGTCGATGCCAGCTCGTCTTATCTCGTCATCCAGTACGGAAGGTAGGAAGAGAGCTGCATATTCAGGCTTGTGACCCAGCTGTTGACTCAAGGTTGCCGTGAGTGGAGCGATGGCGTGTTTGAACATAGCCTTCACATTTTCGATATCGCGAGATCCATCAGACGGTGTTCCGTAGTTGCGGACCGCTTCGTCATAGTAAGTCTGGAAATCGGGACTGACTGGGTGTTTCGCTAGCACGGTAGACCCAGAGGCATCAATCCGAGATGCAACGATGGTGGTCGGGGTGAAAGTAAGCCCAATAGGATCTTTGAGTGGGCCGTGCATGTTGGCGCAAATGTTTACAATGTAAATGATAATAAGAATGAGAAGGGATTGTGCAGATGCAGTTCTAGTGTTGCGGGGCCGACCACGTGCGGCTTCGAGGCCGTCTAACTGAATCAAGGTTTCGCGAAGGCAGACTTACAATCAGCTTGGGGGCGACAAATTTACGAGCTGACTCAGACTTAAGCCTCGCCCTACACCGAGACATCCAATTTACTTGTCATCCGGGCGGCTGGGTAGAAGAGTGCATGTACAGGGATTCTTCCCCAACCGTTCTGTGACGTCACATAAATCTGACGCCTCGACACCAATCAACAGCTCCGATCGTGCATCTTCGCAAAGGCCACCCACAGGGGTGGGGATAAACATGCATACATGAATCCTGGGTAGAGTTACAGCCCCTTCCTAGAAGATCTAGTGTTCGATTAGTACACTATCCAGTGACATCCTACGTTGGCCACCCCATGGCCCTGGACGGGGCGTGTTCTTACTACTAGAACACAACCATGTTCAACGACTTTCAGCCAGACTACGACGCTCATTATGTTCCCGAGAATACATATTATTCAGCTAAGAGTGTAGCCTGGCACATACTATCTACTATATGCACAGAAGTACGACTACACGACTTCTTGAACATTGAACTACTTGTATCGTCATACGACTACGAGAAGGTAGTTTCTTCCCCCCTACATCGAATACACAGCCCCTGTATAGACGCCCTCGCAATACCACCTCAGGTTTGGGGGTATTCGAACATTACTGTGCCGCCTCTTGGTAAATATAGTTTGGGGCTCATCGAGAGCTTTAACCGCCCTCGCGTATTCTTAAGGCCACCCAACATCTCCCCAGACTATCGTTTTGGCAGCTGAGAATCAAGCAAAGCTACCCTGGCTGCGATGGACTCGGCTTAGAAGAGGCATGAAAATTTAGAGTACAGTGTATGATTGATGTGGTGGTATACTCAGGCGCCGAGCTATCTATAGGCGGTGACTAGTGACTAGTGACTAGCATTAGCACCTGCCATAGGATGACATAGTGGTATCAGCAAGCAACGCTCTCCCAGTATGTCTTACATGCTGTTGGTTGGTGTATCTCAGTTGGCACGTTACCACACCCGTATGAGCATGATGTTTGGGGCCCATTAGGAACTTTTGAGTATATAAGCTCGTTCGTCCTGCGGTCAAGTACCTCATCATACTCCTGACTCTTCAAACCTCCTCCCGATACTCAGTAGTTGGCTGTCTCGTTCCGAGCACCTTTGCCTCTCAGCAAGATGGTTCGACTTGAATCTCTGGTGTTTTTTGCTCAACTTGCAGCTTTCACAACTGCCTCTCCCGTTCAATCGACCCAAGGTCCTCAGAACAACGATGCGATCTCGAAAAGAGAGAACTGGAACCTCGATGACTTGAACAAAGAGTTCAAAGGGATCTTGTGGGATAATGCTTTCAAGGATTGCAACGCGGGGCAGCTCGACAAGCTTATCTACACTACTCGAGCAGCGATGTCCATGCTGGATCTACCCTTTGGAGACCCAGAGAAGAAGAAGGAATACAAATATACGCAAGGCTGGAATCGCTACTTTGGGGACTATCAGTGGTGGCTGAGTAACGGATTCCAAGATATTGAATACGCGACCCAGATTGAGCGTCAGTACAAACCTGCCTACTATTTCGATTACCTACAGTTGCTGACTAGTATTCTTAGACAATCTTGTCCAAGTACAAAAGTACCCCAGAGAGGGACATTCTTCCAGCACAAGTAACGCAAAGAAAATTCACTTTACCTGCAATTATAAGGCGCAAGTCGACGGAGAAAAGCTCTGTAGTTCTGGTATCACGTATGAGCCCCTCCCTGTCATACCTATAGAAGCAAACGCGATTCTAATTAGATGCTAGTGGTGCTATCACCGTTGCTCCTCAGGGTAGTTCCTGTAGGCTTTCTCCCTTTCTCAAAAAACTAGCGGATGACTTTTGTGCTGATTACTTTTAGTCGAACGCTGGACCATCGCATTTTGCCCGTACTTCTTCACATCGGATAAGCTGAAATATCTCGAGGACAGAACCAAAGGAGAGAAGACAACTTTCGCTCATATTGGTGACCTGGATACATACGAGCGCGTACTTGCTCATGAGCTTATGCATGTCGACATCGTCAGCTACAAGCCAAGACACAGTATGTTGACTAACCCAGTTAATACCCATTGGTTTTCAAATAGTCTAACGTCAATTAGTTGAGGATGTGATTGGAAAACTGACACCAGGGGGTGCAGACCTTCAAATTTACGGGGAAGGTCGTTGCCGTGATTATGCTCGTCGAGACAGGCCTAAAGCGAACACTGCGGTCAGACACAATGGTGCGTTCCACATAAAGACAACCCCGTCAAATTACATGCTAATGCACAGAAGCGGACAACTACTCATGGTTCTTCCTGTACTACTGGTTCGACGTAAAGTGGGAATGGAGCAAAGCGGGCGCCAACGCCGACGAACCGAAAACCAATAACCAAAACGTTGAAGTCGCGTCTACCAGTTTCCCAAAGAACGAACGCGATCTCCAGGGTTCTACTGGAATGCCTTATGGTTGTACAAGGCACTTCCTCCCATTGGATTCCCATTTCCATCCAGTGGTTAAATGCGATTATGTTGGTGGAGACTTCACTTCCAAAGGGGGTTGCGACCTGACGTAAGTAGCATGGGCCTTCCTGATCCCTCCTAACGGCCGCACTTTTCTTTGCATACTTGTAATGACTAACAATTTACCACAGTGACCAATGCCGCAAGCCATTTGCTAATGGAAATGCGGTTGACCCGGCTTGTGTCTGTACCTGCGATGGCAAGCAAACGCCCTTACGAGATGATAAGTGCGCTGGCTTCGCTGGAGCACTTCCTGGAAGACCATCCCCACCATGAAACATTATTATGGCTATATAAAGCTATCTCCGTGTGTTTAGGTGCCTACGGGACTAGAGAGCGGGGGTAAAGACGTAGGGAGGGTGCATTTACAGTAGATTATCTTGGAAACAATTCGTATATATGGCTAGTATTCGTCTTCGCGCGTTGAGAACAGATCACTCTTTTTATCTAGACCTTCTTGAATAACAATTTGAACTCTTGCATTTCAAATCGAAGAAATCCATGACCACATCAGCTTGAGTCGGAATATTATGATCCACACCAGCCGCCTCGTAAGCCTCAAATTTCTTCCCGTACCGCGATCGAGTCCACCCCTTCAACGGGGTGTCTTTGGTAACTTCAGTCGGTGTCTCACTAACGCCAAACACACTAGTCCACTGTTTGACCTGCTCCTTTAAGTTCTGCGGGTAAAGCACATTATCTGCCGTTCCATGCAAAGTTTGCAGCTTTGGCCTGAAGCCTGAATACCCTGGATACGCATTCTTCACCACAGCAGCCCAATCACTCCCGCTTTTGATGATTTTCCCCGTCGCGCAGGCATCGCTCCATTCACCGTATCCGTTGCCAGCGAAACAACCAAATGCCACGCCAGCCCATGCACTTCCCGCAGCGAAAATATCGGGGTAGCTTCCCACGAGGACATTGGTCATCATGGCTCCTGAGCTGGTTCCGGTGACGAATACTCGATTTTTGTCTGCATTGTATTTCTTTAGGGTCCATCGAACCATCGAAACGATGCCTAATGCATCACCTCCGCCATCATGACTTAGCGACTCTTTGCTGCTGACGTCCCAGCACTGGTCTGCTAGGTTTGATGTATTCGGGTAGATGGAAATGAAGCCATACTGATCGCCTAATGTAGCCCATGGGCGGCCATTGAAGACTTGCTGAGCGGTGCCGTGACACCAGTGTGGGGCTACTAGAATCGGTGGGTTGGGAGGGAGACTGGCTGGCACATAGATGTACATCGAGACATTGCGAGGGTTAGGGCCGAATTCGGTGATCTGTGTGAGCTTTGAGGAGAGCTTTTGGGCTGATGCGGCGGCCGCGAGGAGCAGCGTGAGGGTTATCCGAAGCATAGTTATTATTGCCTGGATTGATTCCAGATCCAAGTGTGTGTATGGTCTTTATAGTTTTGAATACGGCGGGACTTCCATGCATTCGGCGTACCGATTTGATCTAAACACCGGGTTTCAACTAGTGATGCGCCGGGTAGACGGGAATATAGTGTTAGATACGCGCACATTTGGGCACGTTCCTCGCATTCACTATACGGCTATGCCACTTTTGACACGGACTGACTCTCCCCATATTAAGTCGTCATTAACACTCCAGCATTTCTCCGTAAGCTGGTCTCTTGTACAATTAAGAAGGCCTCCAAGTCCTTCCATTAGGCCCCGTCGCATATATATTTTCTTACTAGATTTAATTCTATTCATCATAGCTTTCCAACTGCAAATAATCGAAATAATCTAACTACTCGATCTCAAACCTTCCTCGTCATTGCCTTTAGCACTGAGATTCTTGGAATTACCACCATATAAACCGCCCTAACATAGCTGCCACCCCAAGCTACATCGCTAGGGTATAATTTGTGAGCTAGATCATGAACATCGGTCTTAGTCCTTGCATGGCTCAAGCACCATCGGCTTAACCGACCCATCACTACCTGATGTCTGAACATAAGCAGCCTAGAGAGTCGCCCATGGTATTATTGCACAATGACAAAGGCCCCCAGTTCCCAACTTATCTTCCATCTCTATTAGTGTTAAGATGATAATTCACGTGACACTAATTCATGTTCAAGACATCTGCTGGCTGAGCTAGTGGCACATAGTTTGAGTGATTTCGAAGATTGAGAGTCACGGAGTAGCTTCTGAGTCAGTATCTGATGGCTTTGTCCAGATGACTAAAACACAACACAATGTCTCAATTCAACCCTGCTCCTTATTCGCAACTCGAAATACAATGTGTCGGTATAAAGAGGCTGATGAGCCAGCTATGTGCACTTTATCACCTCACAATGCTCTTCAAAGTATACACAATATAACTATACAGTGCATGAGATCACTGACCCTTATTCATGTATAAACTGTCCCATAAGTTTCCACATGGTTTTATAATACCCCAACAGAATCCTAAGCTATATCTTCAAGTACGTAATACAAGATGTCGACTCAGAACCAAGTTTTCAAGGCCATCCAGTCACGACGAAACAATAGCAAAACTCCTTCAAGACGAGAGGTTAATACCTTGCTGAAGCAAATTTACGACCCGGAGCTGGACGGTCCACTCCACTTCTACTCACAAGATAAGAACGGCCTTCCAGTTGCGAAAATATCAACCACTGTGGCAGGTAAGCGATTCTTTTCTACTCTTGCGTCTGCAAATGTGCTAGAAGTTGAAGACTGGCAGGGCCAGAAGAAGCCATCAGGCTTCAAAGGGACTCGTTGGCCACCATTGCGCGTCGAGGATCTAGTTGGTAACCCAGACCTCCTCGAAGTCTGCGTCAACCATGAGGAAAACATCCGGAAATGTCGCTGTAGCCACCAAACTTGGGCCGCGAAGATGTTCAAATTCTGGCTGGAAAATATCCTGCTTCGAGACGCCGAGGACAAAGGATGCGGTGCTTTTGCGCGTAATGCGATACCGGCCAATACGCCAATTGGGGAGTTTACCGGGAAGATCATACCCCGAAATGAGGATGCCGAAGATGATGCAGAGCAGTACCATTCTGGCATCGCAATCGGGGACTACGAATCCGATGATAAACAACGATCTACTGCATGGCTCGACGCTACCTATACCGGTTCAGTCTGCCGCTTCTTCAATCACTCTTGTAATTTTAACGCGCAGTTAGTGGAGGGAATCTGTGGCATGAAGCACCGCATCGTATATGTGGAAACCACGCGTACAATCGAAATAGGCGAGGAAATTACCATCGATTATGGGGATAAGTGGTTTGAAACGCCGGATAAGCCGTGTCTTTGCGGGACCGCAAATTGTAAGAACCCACCGCAGTCGTGGAGCGAGGTGATGGACCTAGATACTTATAGCTCTGAAAGTGAGGATAGTGATAATACCGACTAGCAGGTGTATGCTTTAGATTGAAAGGAAATGAAAGGAAGAGGTATTTTGAGCTTGGCGGACTTCGTCTTTACATAACCACGTACGCGAGACCTTTGTTTTTGCCAGTTTAATAGAAGAAAAGTCATATCATTGACAGATAGCCAGCCTTATCATAACAAATTTTGACTCCGGAACCTGTATATTGAAATCAATCCGAGGTACTGCAGTAGCTTACATAGAACACATTTATATAATTTAAATGACTTCAAACGTGGACTGCATAACTTCCTCGTCCTCTGTAGATCATTAAAATAACGTGTCCAGGCAAAGCCGCGATGCTGCAGCTATAGACTCACAAAATGTCGGTACTGTATGACCTCTAATTCAAATACCTAGTGTCGAAACTTTGATATAAAGCATTAGTTGGAACAGAATTTCCACCACCAGCCAGCCCAACTGGCTATATTTTCTGGGTGCCACATTCTTTTGAACTTGCCAAGGAGAAGCCAAGGAGGGCTAAAACTACGGTTTTGGCTCGCGATGGGATGGGGCTTACAATTTAGGACATATATTAAAGCAGTTTGTGACTTCTGCATTGATGTACAAGAAATCTAAGAAATAGAGGTGGTAGAAAGTTTGTAACGAAGATAGCTGTGGCGTATAACTACATCTTGTAGCAAAGACCTTGCCAAAATCTTCAACAACCTGGAGCAAACTATGACATAACTTTACTATATAACTGAACATCAACCACCAACAACGGTCTTCTCCTTCAACGACACCACTGCATCCTCCCTCCCCCCGCTACCTCTCGCCTCGCTCATCAAATCTGGCTCACCGAGTAACAATGCCTTCCCCACAAGTCTCCACTTGCCCTCTCCTTGCTCACCCTTTGCAGGTCGCAGAATCCACACCCTCAACGGTATGCACGTCGCATCTAGTAAATCAGTTGGCACAGCAGCTCGTAGCTCCCCAGCCGGCCCATCACTAAAGTGCTCGTTGATAGACATGGCAGTGACAAATGCTCCGTGATTATCGCGTGTGCATTTCAGATGGAACGTGTTGGCGCTGATGTAGTACATAGATCGCGGGTCGGTGAGCCATGTCAAAAACAGCTGGGCGTCTTCAAGAGTAAATGTGGGGGGTGGGGGTATTCCTAGTAGTGCTGAGACCGGTAGGAGTTGTGCTATAAAATTCCGTGCTGCCGTATTTAGAAAAGGGTTAGGCGCCAGGTCTTTAAATACACCAATATTGTAGTTCGGTACCAGAACGTCGCGCTTCAGCTGGCTCCATAGCCTGACAGTGAAGGTGTGCCCGTTTATAATACAGCCAGCAAGGAAACGGCGGCGAGATTTGTCGAGGGACGTATCGGGGAGGGCGTTCATTGTGGTCCCGAGATACGGTTCTGGGACATGGGTCGCAGGCTGTGTAGTCTTTATAGTCTTGGGAAAGATGTCGTACGTAGGTTTGAGATCTGCATCCTTGACAATTACCCCTGCTGCGTTAAGGAAGATCATATCTAGCTCAATTTCCTGTGTTGATACGCTATAAATGCCGTTGACGCTTCCGAGTTTGAACCTGGGAATTGCGGTATCTCCTACTGCAATGCTTCGTGCTAACCATGTTGGACTGTTATTCAACGTGAGTGACTGTCCATCGATCATGCTCAGCGGGTATACTTCTCCGGCCGAAAGGGCGAGCAAGGCGCTGAGATACAGAACTTCCTCTTTGCTCTTTAGTTCCTGTCCCATATATGCAAGTCCTACCCCACACATATTGATCATAATGCTCAGACGATCAGCCCAGTGGGTGCACCCTTTCTGACCTACGCCATTATACTTCGCCATGAAGCTACTCCTCCATCCATTCTCCCGATCATCTCCTCTGCCAACACCAGTAAAATTCCCCAGGCCTTTGAACGAACTTAATACATTACTCCTCGGATCAGGGAGGACATATAACGCACTTCCCATGATGAGTTGGAGATTAACCCATTTAATCTTGACTGTCGATCCTAAAGGTCCATTCACAATGAATGTAGCATTGTGAATCACATTACACTGCCTTTTATCACTCCACGGCTCATTGACATTGAACTCATGGAAGCACCATGCCCTTTCCCACCACCGCGCGGCATTAACTTTGTTATAAAAACTCGCAAAGACGCCTCTTTCATCCCCTTCGGGTCTCCATGTCCTCTCAAACTTCATCTTAGTGGGATCGTATTTTTCATGTAGTACTGCTTCCCGCTCGTCAAGGAATACGTCTTCTAGCAAGACCACGAGTCGTATACACGAGCGATAAATGACATCCATCGCAGCAACGGATATCTTTTTATCGGCCAAAGAATTCTGGTCAATGCAGAGTTGATCTATCCAGATACCCTCGCGGGGATGATCCTTATCACTTAGAATAGCTTCGACGAAGGGTTTGCTAATGGGCCAATTGCCATATTTTCTATACCCCTCGGGCAGGAAATCTTCCGAACGCCAGCAGTATGATATAGCAAGATATTGGCGGACGTATAGGCCTGTCTCGTCGAAGGAAGGGAGGGCAGAGTTGGGGAAAATGAGGCGGAATGGTGTATCTAGGATAGTGGTGGAGGATCGTTTGGTGAATAGGGATGCAACGGACGGATTCCACGTGGTGAGGTTTTGAAGTATGAGAGCGGATTCATAGTCGCTTTCAGAGAGCTTGGATATAGCGTAATCGAAGACTTCGGCTTTGTTTTCGCGGCTCAAAGTTAGTTTAAAGAGCCCGTCGCCAAGCGGCTCGTAAGTGGCATCGTTCGGCGCTGGGGTGGTGGTGATAAGAGGTCGGATTTCTGACATGTTCTTTGGCATAGATGATGGTATTATCACAATCGAAGTTGACGATGTACTAGTAAAAGTCACTACAATCCGCCATGGGCGCCCTCGGCATTCGGTAGGTCTCATGAGCTGATAAAAATAGCGAATATGCTAGTCCTAAAGTAGAAAAGCCTACTACCTAGTTCGAGGGGGCCATGCGGGGTAAAACTCTTCGTTGACGAACGAGTTTTTCTGTCAACAGTTCTGATCTTGTTGGGGCCATAGTACGGTGATCACTGATGCCTGTATTATCTCAACGTCATCTTAACGGACATTAGTATGAGGGTGCTAGTGCCATATAAGTGTCCTCATATATATTACGTTGATGTTGATTACCAACTGTTCAGATGCCCCTTTTCGTGTTGATACTTCATGTAGAAAATTATACTGTCGCTTAAGGGAATACAGTTCTCATTCTCGGTGTCGAAATTTGAAGCACCGTCTTTCTAGTCTTCTATTAAAACTTTACTCTGAAGTAGATGGTACCTAAGCTGCCAGCACTGAGCAGCAGAGAACCACCAGTAAAAATAACGACTGCCTTGTACATTCCATTCCCGTAGCCTCCAGTGTCATTAGACCCGCTCAACAAGCCTGCGCTGATCGGACCTGCAAGAATATTTCCAATGCCTTTCCCGAAGCAGAACAGGCCAAACATCGCCTGAGAGGCAGAAGGTTCCTTACTGACTGCAGTAACCATCCTAGCCCACATAGCCGTATATCCAGCGCCGAAGAAGCCATACAGAACTGCAAAGAAAATAAGGGGTACTAACGAACGCGCGAGACCCCATGTGCTCAACGTCGCAATAGCAGCAACTGATGAAGATGCTGTGATGAGTGCGTTTAACGACAACTTCTTGTCAGAAAGGTAACCGAACGTGAACTGCCCAGCAACTTGTGAGACGCTCATGATCGCCAGAAGTAATGCACCCTTCGATACACTCAACCCGAGCGACGATGCGAAAGATGGCAAATATAAAGAAGGAAAGAAAAAACCCATTCCCATTAGCAGATTGCTAATACTGTAGGTCCAGAACAAACGTTTTTTGCAGAAACTCCAATCTGTCCTCGGGCTCGCATTGTGTTGTCCTGGACGGCCCTTGAGGAGCGGAATCAACGGACCAGTGAGCAGGACCAGGACCACGGCGACAGCCCTTAGCGTCGTTCGATATCCGAATCTCCGTAATAAAGCCTGAAGAATCAATGGTGTCACAGCGCCGGAGGCCCCAGACGCACTACACAAGAGCCCATATGCCATTCCCCTCCTTCGCACCCAGAACTCATCCACCATAGACAGAATTGGATAGTAGAAGATGATGAAACCAATGCCATACATGACCCCTTGCGTGAATATGAGCGTACTCAACCTGTCCGCAAAACTCCCCGCAACTAAGCTAAGAATACAGAGCGGCCATCCTACCAGAATCATGTGCTTACGATATTGAGACCAACGTCTGATAAATGGTACTGCTATAGGAGCACCAAGATAGGAAATTCCCGACGCCGTCGTACCAACGATGGAGATATAGGGTTCATCCTTGAATGCCGGAAGGCGCATGTAGTAGTCTTGGAACACGCCGAAGGAAAGAGGGAAGCCCCAGAGCAGCGCTTCGAAAACGAAAGCCGCGAGTAGTAGGCGCCATGCCGCAAGGCCGCCGTCGATTGGCGGAGATATGGACGTTTGATCTGAGAAGGCCGTTCCAGTGTGCATCTCGAGGTCTTCGGAGTGCTGGAGCGGGGGTTCTGAAGTCCCGAGTTCGACTGCAAGGTTTTGTTGTGGCATTGTGTTTGTGGAGGTGTGGATGTTGCTAAAAATCAAACTCGACACTGTTTACTTAATAAGACGAACACGAGTAACCTCCCGGGCAGTAAACCTTGGCCTATGAAAAAGGCCGAGGCTGTGCGAATTGGTGTTTCGAGGCGATGCAATAGCCTCGGTTAATGGGCAACATGTCAGAGCCGCTACGAGCTCGTTTCGCTCAAGCTCAGGGTAAATCTAGCAGATCATTCCTCGCCTTTTGTCATGTACAAGCGAAACGAACAGGAGCCTGGAAGGATAACAAGAGCGAATTAAATTAGACGCTATATTCGTCAGTTTGTGTATCTTTTTTCCTTCAACCCTTCTTCAGTTTCGTTCGTGACTGGCAATTTGATAGATGTCAAGTACCTACAACGTGTTAGTTAGCAGTTATAATGATTGCAAAACTCTTGATTGATACTCCAAGGGTCGCTTATAATGTTTGTAGCGGCCATAGTCATCTGATAATCAGAGACGGAGTTTGATCTTTGCAGCTTATCGTTGAGTACAGAGGGCGATCCCGACATTCTGATTAGCCACCCCCCATACGTGGATTGAATTTGAGACACGTCAATCATGCTGTGTAACAGCAGCGCTTTGTTGCAGTCGAATGGCCCGTCAACATGAAACCATTTATGCAGGCCTCGATCCCGTGATGCAGAGCCCCAGGAAAACCGGTGAGCCAGACGAGGGCAATATCATCAAGATACTGCATTCTCGATTTCAACAACTGCCAGTCTCCTACATACCATGGATGCATACGTTTGTTCCAAAGCTAAAGTCCCTAAAAGACTTTATCGCATTAACTATCCAGAAAGCCAAACAGTGTTCTCTAGCACTACGGGGTTGAGCGCTGCAGATACGACCAAGATTTTTAGCGCCAATGACTTGACCGAATTTAAGCAGGCCATAAGAAATCAGTTTACGTGGGATTTCCGGGGTAGTCCGCCATTCATTTCTCTCTTCTCCGACCGCGAGCATGCTGAAAACTGGGGTTGCAAAGAGCCTTGGTGCGGAGAAGGAGGCCCAGTAGGCAATCGGTCTCTACATGTGATCGATACAACCAGATTGGAAGGGACGAGTTACTTGTTCAAGCTTAACATATTGATGGAAGTGCTTCATCTCAGTATTCCTGTATGCGCCGGGGAGCATATCCGGGGAGCCTACCTGTGCCTTCACCACATTCCTAGAACGGCAATCGTGGAGACAATGGACTGTAAACAAGTCAAAGTGGGTATGTTTCTAAACACAATGCGCAAGTGTTCGCTTTTAATCGATAGTAGTTCAAGAACAACGATGCTTGGAGAAACTAGAGTCAGCAGACTACCTAGCAGAATACAGCGGGAGCGACAGGGAGGCAATGCAGGAGAATTACAACACGATCTTTGAAAAGAACCTGGATAGTGATTGGTAGCGTGAGGCTGAAGTAATTTTACTGTATCGAGCCTGCGGCACCCCAGTTCATCACATTTCCCAGGAAGGACCTCTTCCCGATATGAGTTCCTACGTTTATATAGGTCTTTGTAGCCGGATGAGTCTGTTTTCACTTTCTAATGTGACTGCAAGTCCAAATTGGAGTGATTACAAGGTTCTGTTCTTTCCAGTAGCTTGGTTGTTTCGCAAATCTACCAGGCGATGAAGTCTTTTTACTTGTAGGCAGCAGTATAAGCCAGTAAGCCCGTAGCCGCGGCTGGACGCATGCATATGCGTCCCACAAACACTTGCTGTTGCCTGCACCTTCACCTTGAAGCCGGTAGCAGCCCACGCATCCCAATTCGGTAAAGCGCTACTGCAAAGGTCTGTTTGTAACAACAAACCCTCTTTTCTCTACTTCATGGTTATCTTGAAGCCGCTTGAATAAGACTGCTAGCCTCATCAAGACCAACACCAACCATCGTCACGAGTGAGAACTGCTCACATACCCGTACTAAACAACTAAAATGGCGACCCTCGAATCCCTAAAGCAGGCACTAAGGCAGAAAGTCAAGAAAACAGCGTCGAAATCTCTGCGGAAGTTGTCTGAAACACAGTACAGCGCGGGCCTCGCCATCGTGACGCGGGGCTCAGGCTGGACGACCACGTACCAAGAATTCATTACCCCCCAACTATCTCAGCTGCTAGACCCACTCCTCAACTTACGTACTCAACTATCGGTACTAGAAATTGGACCTGGCCCGAAGAGCGTACTTGGATCTCTTCCCGGCCATCTCAGACAGAGGGTTAGCAAATACACTGCGTTCGAGCCTAATGGCTTGTTTGCTACGAGTTTGGAAGAATGGCTTTGCTCTACTACGTCTGGGGCAGAGGCCCCGCTGCCTTCTCTGGAAAAAAGGGCCGACATACATCGGGTTCCATTCGTTCTGGAGGACAAAGTAGGGAGTGGTACTAGTACCGGTACAATCGACGACGACGAAAAGTACGACATCATCCTATTCTGCCACAGCATGTACGGCATGAATCCAAAACACAAGTTCATCGAAAAGGCGCTCGAGATGCTTGTTGAGCAGCCACAAGGCGGGATAGTGGCGGTTTTTCATCGCGACGGGGCCCTGCAAGTTGAGGGCTTGGTGTGCCATCGATCGGCTGCTTTCCCTACTGGAGTAATCCGCGTGGCAGATAACGATGAGGAACTAGATTGCTTTGCTTCTTTCATCGTGGGGGTTATCCCGCAGGATGGAGGCGTAGACGAGGCTATACGAGTTGAATGGCGTTCGGTGTGCCGCACGCTGGGCCGTCACGAGGAAGCCTATCCAAACCGTCTCTTGTTCAGCGCGCCCGAGGTTATGGAGGCCTTTACTCATCATGCGACTACTTTACCGGAGCTGACGGCGCAGGTACCATCTGTGGGGCATAGATTGGTCAAAAACTGTGAGGCTCGCCTCCACCACCCCGCCTCGATCATGAGGCCGACAGAGATCCGACACGTCCAACAGTGCGTTCAGTGGTCTCTAAAGCACGGGGCCAGCCTGACCGTCATTGGCGGGGGACACAGCGGCCACTGTCTCTGGCCCAACGTTGTCTCAGTCGACATGGGCGCCTTTGACCAAGTACACATTCTCACGGCAGGGGAGGACGGAGGAAATTCTACTTCTGCTTCAGGTTCCTTGGTCATCGCCGAGGCTGGCTGCAAAACGGGGGATATCATCCGCAAGACCATGGCGGCGGGTGTGACAGTACCCTTGGGGTCTCGGCCAAGCGTAGGCGCGGGGCTGTGGCTACAAGGCGGTATTGGGCACCTAGCTAGGCTACACGGGCTCGCTTGCGACGCCATTGTCGGTGCCATTGTGGTCAGCGTTAACTCTGGAAAGGTCCTCGTCATCGGCAATGTACCCAGTCAACACCAGCCACTTGGTTCTGTGCGGCCTGAAGATGAAAGTGATCTTATGTGGGCGATCAAAGGGGCTGGAACCAACTTCGGCATCGTGATCAGCGTAACTTTCAAGGCTTATGTGGCTCCGACCTACTCGTCTCGAAACTGCATTGTGCCGCTGAGCAATGACCTCGAGGCGCGGCTCAAGCTTAGCGAATTTGATAACCAAATCGCCAGGAAGCTCCCCAGGAACTGTTCTACAGACGCGTATCTATACTGGGACGCCGGCCAGATGCATCTTGGGGTGATCATGATCGAATCTTCCACGACTGGGCTTGCCATTACAACACCACTACCCAAACCTGTGGGGGCGATTTGGGGGCTGGGAGATGATTTCAAGGCTGTCGATGGTGTTGGTTTATTCGAGACGGAATTATACGTTTCTGGGATGCATGGCGGGCACGGCGGCGGCAAGACGTCCTCATTCAAGCGATGTTTATTCTTGAAAGATATCGGGGAACCAGATATCGCCGACCGCTTGGTAGCGGCCATTAGGACTCGCCCTTCGCCACTCTGCTATCTCCATCTGCTGCAAGGGGGCGGAGCGGTTGGCGATGTTGCAGCCGAAGCCACTGCGTTTGGCTGTCGAGACTGGGACTTTTCCTGTGTCATAACCGGTGTCTGGCCCCGCGATCAGGATGGTAGCGAAATTGCACGATATACTGTGCAATGGGTTTACAACGTCGCTAAAGAGTTGTTCTCCGTGAGTAGTGGAGTGTACGGAGCAGACGTTGGACCTGATCCTAGAGACGCCGCACTAGCCATGAAAGCCTTCGGGCCGAACCGCCCGCGCCTAGCCCGTCTCAAGCACCGGTTGGACCCGAATAACGTGCTAGCCTATGCCTGCCCGCTCCCGAGGACGCCCATGAAACAGAAGCTGATCCTTCTTGTCACGGGCAAAAGCTGCGCTGGAAAGGATTATTGTGCTGGCGTCTGGGCCTCCGTCTTCACAAAAGGCCTCACGGCGCGTGTAGTCAGCATCAGTGATGCGACAAAGCGAGAATACGCGGCTGCCACTGGTGCGGACCTAAGCCGCCTGCTCTCGGACCGTGCCTACAAGGAGGACCACCGCCCAGCATTAACAGCATTTTTCCAGGAACAGGTTCAGAAACGACCTCAGCTGCCAGCAGAGCATTTCCTGAGTGTGGTCCGCGGTGTCGAAGATGTAGATGTGCTGCTAATCACCGGGATGAGAGACGAGGCGCCCGTCGCTACCTTTTCGCATTTGGTACCAGACAGGACACTGCTCGAGGTTCACGTCCAGACTCATGAACAGACACGGCGTCTTCGCCGAGGGGGCCACGGCTGTAACGACAATGCAGAAAAAGATGAAGATAGTACCAAGAGCATATCAGATTTAACAACCTGGGACTACCGCCCCTCTCTCATCTTCGACAATGATACAACAGGAAGTGAGGCGGCAAAAAGGTTTGCCGAAATTCATCTGATTCCTCTTCTCCACGAGGACTTGCAGCGACTGGGCAATATGGTGCTTTCGGTACCCGACTTCCCAAGCCCGGGCATCGATTTCCGACATGTGCTAGGCATCTGTCAGCAGCCTGGTGGCCTCGCCTTATGCATATCTCTGCTGCAAAGCCACTTTGCCGGGGACTGGGCCAAAGTCGACGCGTTAGTTTGTTGTGAGGTTGGCGGATTCGTCTATGCGTCTGCATTGGCTTCGCGGATCGATGTGCCCTTGGTGCTGATTCGTGATGCTGGTAAGCTGCCCCCACCCACCGTTTCTGTCGTCAAATCCCCGTCGTATATCTCGTCTTTGCCAACCGGTGATTTCAAAGAGAAGCGAATTGAAATGGAGCGCGATGTGGTCCCCAAGGGCGCATCGGTGGTGATTGTAGAGGATGTGCTTTCCACGGGAGAGACGCTCTCCGCGATGTTACAGCTATTAGACAAGGCGGGCATTGGTGCCGAAGATGCCAGTGTCATAGTCGTGGCCGAGTTTCCGATTCACCGTGGCCGTGAACTCTTGCGTAAACGTGGCTTTGGCAGAACCAATATTCAAAGCCTTTTGGTCTTTGGGGGTGCTTAGGGAAGGGAGGAAGGATCTTGGAATCTTGAAGTTGTGACTTGATTACCTTGGGATATACCAGATCCAGCTGATGGACTTTTCGGCCATCTCTAGGGCGATTTGGCTTAGACGCTGGAAGAATAGAGACTTATTGAGCTCCTGGGTGACTGTGGAAATGGAAAGGTCTAAGTGTCACATTAAATCTCAAAACTGACATCCAAGACATGGATTTGAAGAGCACGAAAGTGAATCTGAGGAGCAGAGTAGTGATCTCAGGAGACATTACTCCAGAGATAGACAGTATCAGATAACCATTTCTTTCTACTAATACTTTTGACTACTGTTCTACTAGTTTGGCTTCCAACATTGACCCAGTCAGTAAGGAGACATATCAAGAACTTGTCTTCAATAGTGGAATGTCTAGCCGGTACAGGATTAGAGAAAACTCCCGTGTACTCTAATAAAACTGACACGACCTAAACCCTGCCCACGGCGAGAGGAGAACCCAACTTCAGCCACCGTGTTGCAATCAGTGCAAAAACACCCGCCCCCATAACCGCCGCTGCACAGAACCATAGGCCGCTGAAATTACTTACAGCATTCTTTCCATCACCCTTAATCGCTCCCATCAGTGGATTGCCAAGAAGGCCACCGAAGCTAGCGACAAGGTAGGCAAGCCCCAGTCGAACGCCCATCTCGGCCTTAGAGGGGGAAAGATCGGTGATGGTAGGTCCAGGAATGATGATGACTCCCCCAGAGAGAAAACCATACACGATGCTGATGGCGATGAGGGAGGAGACGGTTTGTGCGAGCGGAAGGAGACAGAGAGTGATGATGCAAGCTATGCTAAGGGGGAGGAGGGTATTAACGCCGCCATATCTGGTCCCATTAGCTCCTGTTCTTTCAGCACATTTAGGGTGCCTTACCTGTCCGCAATGTAGTTCGGAACAAAGCGCCCGAAGATATTCGCGGCATTCATGATGCTAAGCAGATTGAACGCCATGTCCTTTGAAACGCCCAACTGCAGCGCGTACTCCTGGATAAAGAAGAACGGCACAAACGACGATGCAACAAAAAGAGTGAAAGCAACGACAAACACCGAGTAAGGCAGGTCCTTGAAGTGATGTAGGCTGAACTTCGAGCCCTTGGATCCATACTGAAACTGGAGTTTCATGACTGTAAAGGCAATGGCATTGGTCGCTAAGACGATGAGCGCGAAGATGCGTACAGCCCACGAGAAGCCGACACTGATGAAGAGGGAGCGCATCGAGAGCGTGTATATGATTCCAGCGACACTAGCGCCTGTGGAAGCCAGTCCAGTAGCTAACATCCTCTTCTTCTCGAAGAACATAGCAAGAACTGCGACGGGTATGAGCGCCATGAGACCGCTGCCGACTCCCATACATACTCCTTGAGCGAACAGGATTGGCCAGAAGCCCTTAGAGAGCGAAGTGAGGACTAATCCGGCCACTTCTAGAACAGTGCCGACAGCGATAATACTCTTGAGGTATCCTCGATCGAGAAGCACTCCTGCGGGTAGGCAGCCAATCGTGGTGAAGAAGAGCTGGATGGAACCGATCCATGCAATGGAGGACGCATCTTGGTCCGGCATTAGAGTGTCGACATAATACGTTTGAAATACTCCAAACGCGTTCGGTAGTCCCCTATCACACATTAAACTTTTGTTGAAACAATTATAGATGCTTTAAAATACTTACCAGCTGTTTGCAAACAAGATAAATCCACCCAAAACTTGCATCCAAGCAACACGCCCATGATCAATCGGGTAGTCAGGGTACTCCTGCGCACTTGTCGTAACCTCATGAGCCGGTACCTGCGACGCAGTCAAGCGCGCCTCTTCTGTGCTATGTCTGAGCAATGGCTGTCTTTCGTCTGCCATTTTGGATATTGGCTGCCACTGTTCCGCGCTGATGTTAGTCGCGCCATCTTGACCTGGGGTTGCTATTTATTTTATACGGAAAAGAGGCAAGAAGGTACCAGTGGGGTACCTATATGATCGTCATTTTAGTCACACCGCTGCAGGTACAGGTGAAGGGCTTGCGGCTTTGGGAAGGTTTACCCCACTTCCTTGGATGTTGCAGACCACATTCTAGCTCCACATACGTCATTTCTCGGATCGCAAATCGAAGTGTGGTAGATTAATGGGCAATGTATGTTGCCAATTCCAAGGAAAACATGATATTTTCATCATTAGATGTATAGAAGAAGTCGTCAGTATCGTCAACGATCTCCCCTTGCAACGACGCCCCATCTTTTGTGAGACAACAGTATAACCATTGATATCAAGAACATGCAATCCAACAATCACAACCTAGCCTTGAATGCCTTACTGCTCTCATCCGTCAACCACCCTCCGTCCTGCATCCCCTTTTGCAACCTCATCATATCTTCCTCGGCGAGCGAAACAAGCACCTCATACGGTGCGTCCCCGTCTTGCTGCCGTGGCAGGACCACAATACCCCCCTCGCTCACCCAAGCCGCTCGTCTAAGGGCAGTCGGTTTCGCACTGCCTGTCCCAGGAATGTCCCACTCGCAATCCGCGCCCATGTGTTCCCAGCTCGTGATATAAAGATCCGGGCCATTGGAAAAAGTGAGCTCGTGAGTATCGATAAGGGGTGGGGCGGAGGAGGCAATATAGGCCAAGCGATTCGTCACCCAAGCTCTGTCAATAGATTGCAGAGAGTGCGAAATGCATTGTGCGAAAGGGGCGAGGTGTTGTGCATTTACAATTCGTGGAAAGCGAAAGGAACTGACAATAGGAAGGGGCCATGTAGGCTTGGCAGATAGGACGAAATTACCCAGGCAGTCTGGGGCTGTGAAGGGGGCGCCACAATGCTTGCGCAGATCAACAACAACAGCAAGAGTGGTGCGAGGATAGCCCTGAGATATGAGCATGGCGCATCGAGCAAAGATAATCTGTTCCCAAAGAAGTGTTGCGAGAGCTATGAAGCGGGATATGCGAGAGCTCGTGAAGGATGATAGAGCCGAACGGAGGTCGGAGGTGACGGAGGAACTGATGCGAAACATTTTTGTGACGACTTTGTAGGAAGTTTGCCTGAGTTGTGGAGTCTGAAGCTGAAGAGTCTTCACAGGGGAAACAGGACGTGAAAGGTTTGCCAGAGCATCAACGGCGCGACGTTCCGATGAAAGATGGTCGTGAGCGCTGTCCTTTTGCCATCTCAGCTTCTTCCCGTCCTTGGGAATCTCCGTGTCTGAACACGCAAGGCTCGAGCCAGAATCCCCACAGCCTTGTCGTGCCAATGAACGTACATTCCCGCTCCAGGTTTTATATAGTTGCGCCATCCCAGTCCCATCGGCAATACAGTGGTGCACCCACAAGCTCAAGACGAGCCCACCGGGGATGAAGGTAGCTTACGTAGCTAATACCGGCATAGGAATGCCCTTCTGCAATGTGATTATTCTTTCTGCAAATGGATCACCATCATCTAGTCCCGGGTGGTATTTCAACAAAGCGGGGCAAAACACCTCACTTGGCAACCTGGTCGGTGGCATTCCCTCCTCTGCAAGCAAGCCATAATTGAATTGCGGACTGTCGGCGACAGCGAAGCAAGCAGTGAATATACGCGATGATTCCGCGTCAGAAAGAATGGGATTTGGGTAAATCAAGCTAAGACGTCCAGTCGACGGGTTTGGAACCTCGATTTTCCCGGAAAGATAGGGGAATCTGCATAGTGTTGCGGACAGGCCTGTACGAAGTGCGTTGAGGGCGGCATCTGCGTAGCTCAGGTCAGGGAAAGAGAAGAAGACGAAATGGCGGCCGTAGACGCGGATATGAGGTTGGTCGAGGACTGACAGGTAGAGCTCTACCTGGGCATTGGCCATGTATCCTGTGTAGGAGTCGAGAACAGATCAGGTCAAGAGAGAATTGGTAGACGAAGATTTTTGCCGCACAGCGAATATGCGTGTCGAGCAAACAGGCAGGCCAGTCCCGCTGTGGTTACAATAGCGACTGTGCACGCTTTATCTTATTGGCGCTGATCGGTCAGGACAAGCGCCACAGACGGTGGTACGAAACACAAACCAATGATACGAGTGCTGAAGTATTGAGACGGGTCTGTAAAGGGCCGTTTACACCCATTTCATAGCCTCACTCCGTTCGAGTCCTATCATTGCCGTTTGATCAATTTGGTCGCCCAGAACGCCAGCCTTCTGCAGGATAGTAACGGTCTTGTTGACAACATCACGGTCAACACCCCTAACATCGTGCGAGAAGCGAACAGTCTTCAGCCACTCCCGCGCGTCTTCTTCTGAGTAGTCGAGCTTCGTGCTGATGTAGTGTACCGCCTCTTCGTGGTTTTCCTCAAAGTGCTTGACACCTTTATTGATCTTTTGCAACACGTCGTCCAATTCTTGCTTGAGGGCTGGTTTGCTCGCGTTTGATGTTGAGCTCCAGTTTGTTGGGTGCAGCAAGTCGTTCGCTGCGACAATTTTCCACGAGGACCAGGGTGTGTAGATCTCGCCTACCCGCTTAATCTCCCCGTTGTCGTAGTATCGTTTCGACGTAAAATGCTCCCACATGAAGAAGTCTGCCGTGCTATCGTTGACACCGTCGCGGAGGTTGGCGAAGGTGTTTAGGGCCTCGACGGGAAACGGTGGGCTTCCTGACGATGTATCCAGCCATCCTTGTTGATCTGCCAGGACGAAGCTCATGACGTAGCTGCCGCTCCCTATGCGCGATACACCGACCTTCTTGCCCTTCAGATCTTGTATACTAGTCAGGTCGTCCCTTCGGGCGCCTGCCGATATAGCCCAGCATAGTGATGTCTCCACGTAGGTCCCCACTACTCGGAATCCAGCATCTTCCTTTGTTGCTTGTGCCTTCCCTAGCGCTGCTATCCAACCCTCTGTGAGACCCACGCCGATATCGATTTCACCGGATTGTAACGCGGTCACCATGTGGCCTGTACCGGAAGGAAAGGGTAGGAGTCTCGAGTCTAGACCATAGTGCTTCTTCGCGAACTCAAGCGGGGTAGAGAAGTGTTCTGCGGGGACTCAGTACCGCGCAGAATGCTGTCATCTGAAACACATACCAGGCACGAAACCTATTCGTAATGGTGCCATTGTCGAGCGATATGTTGACATACTTCGGAACTGGCGTAGGACCAGTGGTAGACGCGCAACGCGTAGTGTTTGGAGCATAGCTCGACCGGGGCTCGCAAGTGAATTGGAAAACGCGTGTGTTTGAGCGCAATAGCGCGTTGTTCAATTCTTGTGTATCTGTAGCCTCAATACAGTACAGGAAGAGAGTGCTGATGTCGGAGTGGTGGTTCGCATGATGGAATCGAGGGGCTACTGGAGCTTTACTTTGGTTCCGAGGCTCTTCCGATGAGCTCCGACTATCGCTCCACCACAGCAACTTTCCTATCACGGAACTACTTTTTGCATGTGTGATCAATTTTAACGTATGATCTTTTTGATTATTCCCTACCCTCGATTACCCCTCTTGCTAGCTTCTTTATATATTCGTTACAAATTGCGTCCATCTTTTGCTTTGCTATCAGCGAGCTGTACAACACCAAGAAGAACATATACCTCACATAGCATGGCCTCCGATATGATATCTTTAAGAGCTAGAACTATTGCTATAGTAGGGGCGGGACCCTCTGGCGTGATAGCTGCCAAGTACTTACAAGCAGAAAAAGCATTCGACAAGATCGTCCTGTTCGAGCAGCGCAGTAGACCAGGAGGAATATGGAACTATACAGGCGACCAAAGGGACGAGAATCTGTTCAGCATACCACAGACCAATCCGCATCTGGGCCATCAAAAGCCCCATTGGGAGCCCGTCTCAAGCGGCGAGACCAGCACAAATAACACTCATGAAGATCCATCCTTCCTATCGCCCATGTACGAAAAGCTGGAAACCAATATCCCTAGAGGACTCATGGGCTTCCAGGATCTCGACTGGCCAAAAGAGAGCCAACTCTTTCCGACCCACGAGACTGTCCTGAAATACATCGAAGACTACGGCAAAGACGTACAACATCTCGTGCAGTACGAAACGCAAGTCATCAACGTGATACCGGTAGACTCTAGCCCAACCGGCGCGTGGAAAGTCACCACACAGAATGTGCGCAGCGCCGAGTCTCAAGAGTCCGAGTTTGACGCAGTCATTGTAGCAAACGGGCACTTCATAGTCCCCTACGTACCCGACATTCCCGGCATGCGCGAGTGGAACGAAGAATACCCCAACCGCATCATCCACTCCAAGTACTTCCGCCGACCAGAAGAATACCGCGACAAGCAAGTCATCGTAGTGGGAAACTCTGCGTCCGGTGCCGACATCAGCAATCAAATCGCCCAGTACTGCGAGAAGCCACTCATCTGGTCCACGCGCTCAGACTCCATGTTCTCCAAGTCACACGGCGGAAACGACAAGCGGCGACAGGAACTTTCGCCCATCGCGCGCTTCCTGCCGGCGAGTCGGGGCGTGCAATTCGAAGACGGAACAATAAAGCACGACATTGATGCCATTGTCTTTGCAACGGGGTATTTCTACAGCCTCCCGTTTCTAGAAGACGTCGAGCCAAAGTTGATCACGGATGGGACTCACGTACACAATACGTACAAGCACCTTTTCCACGCCCCAAGACCCACACTGTCGCTCCTCGCCCTGAATCAACGCGTAATCCCCTTTCCCCTCGCAGAAGCCCAGGCCGCTGTTCTTGCCCGCGTGTACGCAGGGCGCCTTTCCCTCCCGTCCGTCGCAGAAATGTCCGCGTGGGAGAAGCCGGTAGAGCAAGAAATTAGTGATCCGCGTAACTTCCATCTCCTCCCTTTTCCCAAAGACGCACACTACATCAACGAAATGTCGAGATGGGCGTTGAGCGCGGAGAAACTGGATGTGCTGGAGAATGATGGGCAGGGGAAGATACCGCCTATTTGGGGGGATTGGGAGTTTTGGTGCCGTGAGCAGTTCCCTGCTATTAGGATGGCGTTTGGGAAACTTGGGTGTTATCGGTTTCAGGTCAAGGAGATTGGGGAGCTAGGGTTTGATTATGAGGAGCATTTGAGGCAGAAGGAGAGGGAGAAGGAGGGGGCTGTTGAGGATGGGGAGAAGATGATATGATATGATGGGTTCAGAAGACTGTGTGTATGAAGCGGGATATTGTTGCGTAAGAGTCGTATGGTGTGCACGCTGACAGATAGTAGGAATGAAATCGTTCATGTACAGTAGTATGTATACAGCAAGCGGCCAAGCGCAGCTAGAGATAAGATGTTGCAAAAAATCAAACGCCATGTATATCGCCAATTGAGCGAGGAGTTCCTGTATCGTGGTATCAATAAGTCAACGAGAAGAGAAGAGAGCACAACCATTCACATAGCATCGTCATCGCCTGATTCGTCCCTCGGTGTTCTAAAACTCACCGCCCCCTCCACCCATTGCAGCGGCACCCCATATCCCGACCAACCCCCAAACACCGACTCTCCAACCTCTCCACAGCCCGTGCACACCCTGGCCCTTCTTGGTCCTTGTCGGTCTGGCAAAACCCATAGACTTCGCCGACGCGGCTTTACTTGCAGTCGGCCCGATGACCGTGACGCCCTCTTCTCTAGCAACATACCACATGGTTCCCAAAACACCCTTGTACTGACCAGGCTCAACAATTGTTTTGAAACTCCTGATGCTCAAATCTGAGTCTTCCATGCCGTACACTGGGCTCTTCTGGTGGGTGGGCAGAGTTCGGTACTCGGAACTTAGGCGTTGGTTTTCGTGGTCTTGGAGCACGGCGACTTGACCACGGCGTAGGACAGTTTCGAATGGAAGCTTGACGAAGAGTTCAGCGGTGGACGAGAGGAACGTGCTGAAGGAGTAAGTTGTCGGTGTGAGGATGGGGTCGATGCTGAGCGTAGAGCGGAGAACAAGTGGGGTTGAGGTGGATATTATCGTTGGTATGCAGGCGTGTAGCAAGGTGGCGGGCAGAATGCTCGGTGAGATGGAAAGCGAGGGTAGGAGGGCCAGACAGGGGTATATTGAACGGGGTGGGGACGATATAGGCGTAATAAGAAGGCGTGTACGAATCAAATCGAGTGGTGCAAGGATCGTGGCGGCGATTGCTGTTGCAGCGACTGCGACACCAAGTGACATAAGTGGGCTCGGGCTGTCCATGATATCCAAGCCACCGATGCCGCTTACTCCATGGCCTATGAGGCCCGGGTCCGGTACATTGAGTAAGGCGGATATCGCGCTGCGAAACCAACTCTCCGTCGTTTTTAGCAAGAAATTGTAGATGAATGTGCAATTTGTGCCTTTCCAGACGCCCCATGCCGACTCCTTCTGCCACAGCTGGGCTATTACTTCGAGAAGAGAATCCGGGCGCTTGAGATCGAGTTTGCGGAAGGTGGGCGGTGGCGGGCGTGTGGGTGTTGATGAGCGAGAACGGCTGTCGACATTTCGTTGACGTTTTTGTGGGGAGCGTGATCGTGATGCAGAGGGTGAATAATCAGTGGGCTGGCGTATTTGGGGTGCAGTTGATGTAAAGTATCCAGGCGCGTCCTCATCAGACTCTTCGTCGGAGGGATACTGCTTCCATTGTTAGCCTTCATCTTTACTCGTTCGACTACCAGTATCACATACATCCTCAAACTTTCCACTCGCAAAGCTCTCAGGTCTACTCCTTTTCACGAAATCTTCTCCGTTAATCTTTAGCCCTGGCAGCTGCCCAGTCGCTTCATGGATCTGCAATATCGTCTTGGCCACCTCAAATGGCTGTGCGAGCAGCACGCTCGTATAATTCCACAAGGCCTGATCAAGTAGTTTCTTAGCATGCCCTGCTATCGTCGGATCATTGTTTGGGAAATAGGAATCGTAGTCCAGATCCGAGAGCATATCGCGTGCCTGGCTGCCCAAGCTCGCCTTTGTGCTGCCGGAGCTGTACCGCGGAGGTGACGACGATGTCTGGCTGTGAGGGACATCTGGCGGTAGGCCGATGGAAGGCGGGATGTAGTACGGTCGTAAGGGATTTGGGGCATCGCGTGAGGTCGCCATGGCGTCGGCCGTGTCGTAAAAAAGATAGACGAGGTTTGTCGTGTTATGGTTCGGTCGCACCTACCCGTTTTCCAGACATGATGCGGCTTCCAGGTTCGTCAGTGGCGCTGTCTGGCCCGTGCCCCCAAATGTTCCTCGACGTCTCACAGGCGTTGGAATTACCGATGTGCTTTTCGTGACACTGCAAACATTCGCGTCTCCACAATCCTCCTTCCTCTCGTTTTGCCTTCAGGTTGTATACCAACATGGCGTCTACCCGGGTATGTGGAAGTGCACTGCGATGTTCCGCGGGCTGGGCCGCAGAGTCAAGACGCGCAGTTACGTCCATCCGAACTTTTTCGAGTCAATCGAGCAACTGGACATTGTCGCAATGTAAAGCGATCAGTCAACCGAAGAGGAGGTTATTATCCATATCACATCAACAGTCGAGAATACCCAGCAGATCAATACTATCCTTCTTACGAAGTCGACGACACTTTTCCTCGAGTCCGGCATCGCGGCATGGCCACATCGACCCGCCGAAGCCCGGAGAAGAGTATGCTACTACCACAGCAACATTCAACTCGATCATCTCTAACCATGTATAGGCTTAAAATTACATTTATAGACAAAGACTCGGAATCGCACACTTTCGCCGTATCCGACGGTGACAACCTCCTCGACATCGCACAAGCAAACGACCTCGAGATGGAAGGCGCATGCGGCGGCTCCTGCGCATGCTCAACATGTCACGTTATAATCGATGATGAGACGTATTACGAGAATATGGAGGAGCCGGATGATGACGAGAACGATATGCTGGATCTCGCTTTCGGCCTCACCGAGACGTCAAGACTCGGGTGTCAGGTGAAGATGAGCAAGAAGCTGGATGGGTTGGTCGTGCGATTGCCAACTATGACGAGGAATTTACAAGCTAGTGATTTCAAGTGAGGGCAAATACTGCGGAGGGTATTGTCAACCGAAGGAAGGTGGGGCTATATGGAACAGGCTACAGGATGGTATCGAAAGGGTGGGCTATCTCGGAGCAATAATGCTGGGTGGCATTTGTCTGTGTTGTAATATTCAGCATCTGGTTAGGGAACGACTGTAACTACTACGGTACACCATGTATTATAAGAGCAACTCCGCTCGCATGTGGGCCGGCGTCAGCGAAACGAGATTTCGACACGAAGTCGGGAACTCATGTATAATATGGTATCATGAACATGTAATTTATCTGCGCAATCTGCGTGCCAAAACGCCAGGTAATGCAACATTAACCCTCTCTCTATGCTTAGCATAAGTGCTTTGTCTACAGTTCAAGCTTCGACTGAAGCCTCCTTCTTCGCCTGCCCACCCGTGATCATATCCAAGAACCCCTGCTTACTCATCTCCTTGACCCTCTCTTCCCTCTTTGCTATGCCTACAAGGTTGACGTCCTTTAAATCGCGCTCCGCTTGCTCGCCCTTGACCTGTGCCGCTCTCACCGCGTTGAACAACTTGATGACACCCTTCTGCGCCGTCCGCCGCAATTCTTTCTCCTTGGCACTCGTCACCGCCGTACTGACCGTCTCATCGTTGAGACCAAGCACGTCCTTCACGCGCCCTTTGTCTTGCGCGGCTTTCCTCTCCGCAACAACTTGTCTTCGTGCCTTCTCGGTGAGCTTGCTATCAGCGAGTTCGCGGTTTGCTGTCTGCGCATCTTTTGAGCGGGCGAGAATGGGCTCGGAGCGTTTTGTTGTCGTGAGTTTGGTATTGAGAATTCTGGAGATGGAGGTTGCAAAGGCTTCGGGGTCGTTTCGTTTTCTCACTTTGCGAGCGGCGGCAGTGGAGGTGTCTGAGACGTCGGACTCCGAGTCGTTAATGTCGAATTCGTCAACTTCGGGCTCCGATGCGTCGTTTTCAGCATCGTCGTCGTCGTCGCTTGGTAGTGCAGCTTCGTGATCTACGGGCGCAGTCTTCTTCAACGCTGACTTTACTGGAATGTTTGCCTTGAACTTTGGCTCTGGTTTCTTTGGCTGGTTTTTCGGGGGTTCTACACCTCCATCCATGTCCTCGTCGTCGCTCGCCGACGAGTCTTCATGTGTAGGGGCTGCGGGCGCTGTTTTTTGCAACGCGAACTTTGCCTGCTTTCTTGCCTGTTGCTTCGATAGCTCTGGCTTTCCCGGCAGTGTTGCATTTACGCCCGTGGGCTCAAATGGCTCCTCCGGCTCCTCGCTGCTTCCTCTCGCCGGAGCATCTCGTGCGCCGCCCTCATCCTCACTGGAGCTGTGGTAGTGCTTCTGCTTCTTGACCTTCTTCTTTTCCTTCTTAGGAAGCTTCCCTCGAAGCTGATCCTCGGTCCGTCTTCGTTTGAGCGACGTGTTCACCATTGTGGCTATAATTCGAGATTTGTGGTTGTGCAACAGGTGAACGGCCGTCGCAAAAAAAGTTCCACGCGATCGGCGTTCCTGGCTGCGTTCACCGACAGCCAAGAGCCCCGCCGCCAATTCCCTTCCCCACAGAACTCCAACGAGCAGCATCATCACGAACATCCGCCATCTCGACTAATACTCCATACAACCGCCGTCATGGTGCTCCAAGACCTCGGACGGCGCATCAATGCCGCCGTCACAGACCTCACGAGGTCGCCAAACCTCGACGAGAAGGTGCGCATCACTTACATACAGCAGCAACCGTGGCTAACTGTACTCGCAGGCCTTCGAAGCCATGGTCAAGGAGATCTCAAATGCACTCGTCGAAGCCGATGTCAACGTCAAACTCGTCATGAACCTGCGCCAATCGATAAAGCGCGCCGTCGACTTCAAGCACCTCCCACCTGCCGTCAACAAGAAGCGTCTCATCCAGAAAGCGGTCTTTGATGAACTCGTTAAGCTCGTCGACCCGCACGCTGAGCCCTTCAAACCGCGCAAGGGCAAGTCCAACGTCATCATGTTCGTGGGTCTGCAGGGTTCGGGTAAAACGACAACATGTACCAAGCTGGCCAGATGGTATCAAGCCAGAGGCTTCAAGGCGTGTCTGGTGTGCGCGGATACCTTCCGTGCTGGTGCATTCGATCAGCTGAAGCAGAATGCGACAAAGGCCAAGATTCCGTACTATGGTAGTCATACACAGACGGATCCGGTTGTCGTCGCGGGCGAGGGTGTGGAGAAGTTCAAAAAGGAGCGCTTCGAGATCATCATTGTGGACACGTCAGGACGACACAGGCAAGAGAAGGACCTTTTCGACGAGATGGTGCAAATTCAAAACGCCGTGCAACCCGACCAGACTATCATGGTCCTCGATGCAACCATCGGTCAAGCAGCAGAAGCGCAAGCGCGCGCGTTCAAGGAGGCAGCAGACTTCGGAGCCATTGTTATCACAAAGACCGACGGTGCAGCGGCAGGAGGTGGTGCTATTTCCGCCGTTGCAGCAACACATACGCCTATCGTCTTCATTGGTAATGGAGAACACATGCTAGATCTCGAGCGTTTCGCACCACAAGCTTTCGTCTCAAAACTGCTCGGTATGGGCGACGTCCAGGGTCTCGTTGAGCACGTCCAATCACTCAAACTCGACCAAAAAGATACTATGAAGCACATCACCCAAGGAATATTCACCATCAAGGACCTGCGAGACCAACTCTCCAACATCATGAAGATGGGTCCCCTATCAAAGATGGCTGGCATGATACCTGGACTAAGCAACATGATGGGCGGCATGGACGACGAAGAGGGCGGCACCAAACTCAAGCGGATGATATACATCTGTGACAGCATGACGGAGAAGGAACTCGAATCCGACGGCAAGATGTTTGTTGATCAGCCTACACGTATGACGCGTGTAGCCCGTGGCTCAGGCACATCAGTTCGCGAGGTGGAAGAAATACTCACACAACACCGCATGATGGCCGGTATGGCAAAGAAGATGAAGGGCGGCATGGCGAATATGCAGAAAGCCCAAGGTGCCATGGGCGGTGGAAACAAACAACAACAGCTCGCGGCTATGCAGAAACGAATGCAGAGTATGGGCGGCGCCAACGCTATGGGTGGTGCTGGTGCTGGTGGCGGTATGCCGGACATAGGCGCCATGATGAAGATGCTTGGCGGAGGCGGTGCAGGTGGCGGAGGAGGTATGCCTGATATGTCTGCCCTAGGTGGGATGGGTGGTATGGATATGAACAAGATGATGCAGATGATGGGCGGAATGGGAGGCATGGGAGGCATGGGCGGCGCCGGCCAGGGTCGAGGAAAACGGTAGCCTTTTGAAAGGGAACTAGGTTGGGGGTTCGTGCTTCTTCATGCATAGCCGTGGCGTTTGGGCTGTTACTTGGAATCACAATGTAGATGTATGTAGGCATACGAAGGAACTCGGTTTCACTGAGTCATTACTATCAGGAAATATCCGCTCTTACATGATCCTAACACAAGAACTTTGCAATGGTCCATTGACTTATACATACTCCGTTAGGGATACCAAGGAGCTCATAGTTTGGTGGCATACTTCATGACGGCAATTGGGCACTATTTTTATGCAGCGAATCTCTAGACAGCTTCTTGACTTATATTGACGTTTAGTACTGTTAGTTCAGTAGCAGTGATTAAGTTCCAGTACTTCAGATCGCAACACCGCCTCTATAATTGACTAAGGGCTATAGCGAGCTTTGAGCCTTTTTCTTCTCTGCCTAGATTGATTGCAGTTGATCTCAATATACATTAACAACATATTTGGTCACTAATCATGCAGGAGTACGAGCGGACGCGTCAAAAGGCTACTAACATATCTGCGACATGTGCTGAGCTAGCTAAACGTGATGTGGTCCGTCCTACTATTGATAATCGTGTAAAAGGGTAATCAGTATTCCACTCGTGATGATGGCTTGACGGCTCAGTGAAGTAGACACATTAGGACCTACGGAGATGGAGATCTCATTGAGCACTGATTGACGAATGTGTGTTCGGGAAATGCCCTCTACCTACTCGTCCCACTATACATCATGCCAGGACAGATGTTTAAGACGTAGTTATTAATCCTTTATGCCACGACATCAGTATTAGGATGCTAAAAAGAGTATGCCGGACGGTTGGACGTTGACATCGAGCCAAAGAGGTAAAATGGCCCGGGGAATGCTGATCCGGAAGGTTTGCCGAACCCCGCATACACGCGTGTAGGTACGCCTACTGTGCCAACGTATAGTCGACAACACCTTTCAATAGAGTATTAAAGCAGTCAATTCCTTAAAAATGTCATCAAACATTTTCAACCAGAGGTTGGGGCAGAATGGGCGAGTTCAAAGGCGATACACCGAGGAATCGTCTACATCATGACGTGCCTGAGAAGATGAAGGCGCTCCAGTAAGGCATACTTACCCCGCAACAGGCGCATATGGGTTCAGCTGATATGTGTAGATACTCCGAGGCAGAGAAGTTTGCTGTTGTGAATATCGATGTTCCTAAGATTGGTGATGATGATGTACTCGTGAGTGGAGACTGAACTCGTTCTTCAAGACCGTGATACTAATTCCGCCCAGGTAAAGATCTCGGCATGCGGAGTTTGCGGAACGGTATGTTAACTTGGGAGACATGCGATGGAAATAGTGCCATACTGATATGTTTCGAGGACTTGCACTACCACAAGGGTGAATTTCTGGCAAAAGTGAGTATCTTGAAATCAGAAATATCGGCTTCGACTGACCAAACATATCAGTGGCCTCTCATACCTGGTAGGCCAGTAACTTCTAATATTCGCACTGTCTATACTGACCCTCCAGGCCATGAGGCAGCAGGCACAATCGCCGCCATTGGAAAGAACGTCAAGAACGTCGGAATCGGCGATCGAGTGGCAGCAGATCCCTTGCAACCTTGTCTCATTTGCTTTCACTGCACTCGTCGGAAGCCACTTCTCTGCGACAATCTGACTGCATTTGGCGGCAATGTTCCGGGAGGTTTCGCTGAATACTGCAGGTATCCTGCTCGGTTGGTGCATCCAATCGGTGACCTCCCAGATCTCGAAGCAGTGCTCGTTGAGCCTGCTGCGTGCGCTACGCATGGAATCGAAAGAATGCAGATCGAAGTTGGAAGCCGAGTGTTGCTGTTTGGATGCGGTCCGACTGGCATGCTATTAGCGCAGTTAATACGGATGAACGGTGCTGCCCACGTACGTCAGATCTTCAGTCTACGTTTTCACATATTGATTTTTTCAAGTTGACTATTGCATCGAAAGGCGGGCCGAAACTAGACCTAGCCAAAGAGCTGGGTATTGCAGACTCCTACATCACCATTTCGGACGATCAGCCCCATATGGAAATGCAAGCTCTCAAATCTGCGAACCCCTATGGCTTTGACATCGTCGTGGAAGCAACTGGTGCACCCACTGTGCTCGAGCAAGCTATTGACTTTGTCCGCAAGGGCGGCAAGCTTGTCGTATACGGGGTGTACGACGAGAGTATCAAGATCGCTTGGTCTCCGTTCCGAATTTGGGAGCACGAGATCACAATACTGGCGAGCTTTTGCAGCATGGGGCATATCCCGGAGGTAATCGAGTACGTGAAAGCAGGGAAGCTGAAGTTGGGTGGCATTGCGAATAAGACGTACAGAATCGAGGAGTGGGCAGAGTGTCTGGAGGCGGTGAGAAAGCAAGAAGTTGTCAAAGCTGCAATTGTGTTTGACTAATGTACATATTCGGCTACTAACAAATGCTCAAACTTTACTCGAGGTCTCGAATCTCTAGGTGTCGCTTCGCTATGAATGTCCTGTTTAGCAAGATGAGGCTTTACCATAAGTGTCAAGCTCCTCGCTTCGAAGCTGTTGTTACTTAAGAGCTGCTGCTTCTAATCTCACACGCCGTATCAAATTTTGGTAACGTTCCATCATTTAGGTAGGCTTCGTATTGAGCAATAATTCCAAGTAGAATTCGGCTTACGCGATCCAGAAACATGACTGCGAACTTTTGGCCGAGAATACTGCGGTACGAGCGGCTTTCTATAAATAGCGACGCGCCTTTTTCACTGCATAGCTGCACAAATAATGTCTGTTGTTCACAACACGCTAGTTATGCGCACGACACATTGTGCCCCTCAAATCGAATCACGTATCACCAGTTTCCAGATAATGACTTTGTTCAACCAAGGGTACTTGTAATCTTTTGAACCTCAACGTGCTTTTGTTCTAGGGCTGTATCGTAATAACTCGATTGAGATGATCCACAAGTTGAGTTCATCCTCATTGATATACTTTAGTTGTGAGGATTAGCGTTTTCCATAATTTTTCCAGTACCCACTCTCGCTAAGCTTCAAGGCGGCTTTCGTAGCTTCATCCAAATCCTCATGTGGTAACCCCAGCTTCTCATTGTCCAGGTCATGTCTCTTCTCAAATAGCCCCGCACCTTCCCCAGGAAAGAAGTATCGCGTATACAAAACCGTCCCAAAAGCGCTGCGGTCGCCGCCTTTTAGCTTCTCCAAAGCTTCGGCAAATCGGTGTTTCGTCGAAACCGAAGTAATAGACCAGTCAGAGTCCACGGTATTGGTGACACGTTTGAGCGATGCAAACATCTCGTGCTGGTTGAGAGTAAAAGAGGATATGTGTATCATGCGATTGCGGTACCCTGTCAACGTTGGACCGTTTCCATTCGTTTCCTGGGGCGATATAGGCAAGGACAGCAGGGAGGCAACCGCACGCCCAACTTGCGGCCATGTCGATGTATCCAATCTCTCTGTTCCCTCATCAAAGAACACAACCTCCCGTTTGGTGACATCAAAGCCATAGAGGCCAGGCCCAGATAGCGAGTGTTCATACCAGAAGCTAGAAGCTACTCCAATCCAAGAGGAAACACCCAATTCCTCGATCAACCCACGATCTTTCACTTTGGCAGGCCCCATTGTATCGTTTTGTGCCTCTCCGTCTTCACCGCCAAACTCATTGGGTAGCACCCACGGCACGCCAGCATCAGCGGCGGCACGGATGAGTGTTGCTTGCGTGTCACCTGCGGCGAAAACACTCAGTGTTATGATGAGCACGTCTTGACCTCTCAAGGCTTCAATGATGGTCTCCGGCTTGTTATAGTCGACATGAGCGATTGCAATGCCTTCAGGGAAACTAGCCTTAGATTCGGCGCGGGATATGGCGGTGATGTCGAAGCGGTGCTTGCCGAGCAGGGCGGTAACGAGGTGGGACCCAACATTGCCACCTGCGCCGACTATTGCGATCTTTTTGACATGGTTGTTGGCTCTTGATGTAGCCATTCTGTTGGCTAGTTGGTAAGGCCTCCGTATGAATGAATAACAAGCGTAACTTTAGATACTGTCGAAGGTTTCGTAGCCTTAAATAGCTGGTTTAAGTCCTAGAAGTATCCTGAGATAGCTGTCTTTATATTTCCTCAGCATGGTGGTGGTTGAACGTAGTTCTTCACTCCCCGGGATTTAGTGCCTAAGTCCGGGCTAACGCCTACGCTCCGAACTTAGTGACCGGCAATGCTACTAAGTCCTGTATTCCTCCGGCCCCGTTTCGATGCCCGAGTTGAATTACGGAGGAAATAGATGGGAGTTCACGCTCAGCACTGGTGATAGCATCACCTTTTGATTTGGAGAGGCTAAACTCTACTCCTAATGCGAACGAACAACACGCTACAATAACACTTCAGACCCGCGCTCCAGAATGTGCTACAACATTATTCGAACAGTCGGAACTGGTGAATCTCCGACCTGCGACGAGGCAGCTCATGTCAACGCCATCGGCACAATCTGCGACCCGAGCGTCATGTGTGCGTGTAATTAACTCCGCAACACATTGCGGCAAAAATAAGCTGCAAGCTCACCCAGAGCTCTTGGTAAATCATAGAGGCAGTGGCTTCAATAAGCTGAACCACTAGCACTCATCTGATAGCACCCTAGGGAAAACGCAGAGGGCCCGAGGATGAACGCAGTACGTGAATTTTTAATTGCTGCCCACTATTGGAAGTTTGTCGGATCTGGATGAATCTAGCCTTAACCTATGCTAGAGTAAACGTGCTATCCGGGGCTATTCATGGTCAGTCGTTCAAAGTCAGGGTATAGATAGGTGCTAAAACGTACATCCACTTGATGCGGTCGATATCCCAGGAGTCTCTTCGCAAACAAAATTCTTTTCGCAACGAAAGTACCAAGAGAGATCTTGTTGTCTGATTAGTTAAAATAATCCTAGCTAATGATACTTACTTCCTACCTTCGGTATAGCCCCATTCGCGCAGGACGGTTTCGATCTTGTCCCTTGTCATCTTCCTTGCCATGTCCCTATCCACCCCAGCGTCCAACATACTGTCATAAGTACTATGCTAATGACGAACATGTGCAATGACTGCTAGCAACACCTTCCGCGACAGCAATAGTAGACTCGTTCTGCCTACTCTACCCGAGTGTTTTCTGAATCCATGTTTGAGGACTGTCTCCTTCTCGTTCGTTGGCATTCTTGGAAACTGACTAGCTAATTCGGCAGCTGCTTTGGTGATATCGGCAGCGTCACGCTTCTCAGTTGCGGCACGGCGCGTAGGAAGGGTCTGCTTGGCCTGTGCATGAACCTGGTGGATAATGGAATTAGGCGCTCGCAGACCGACTTGCTTCTTTTTATCGACGACGATGTAGAGTGGCTTGCCTGCCTCGTGAGTGAGCTTTCTGCAGTGGAGGGTCTTGTAGCGGATGCCTTTGGGAAGGAAGCCGTAGCCTTTCGGCATCGGCATGCCGGGATGCACTGTGAGCTCGCATGTCATAGCTCTGCCTATACTATATATTCAGATCGTTCCGATGGTACTTAGCGAGAGGGATAGTGTGGACTGGTGGTGGTGCGCGAGTTTAGGGGATGAGGTCAACCTATGTTTCCGCGTGCTTTTAGCCATTTGAGTGCTTGAAACAAGGCTTTGTGTCTTCGAATCGTCCTTTGTGCTACTACGAACGTGTGAATGGTAAAAGACAAGGATGATGTGAACGGCTTTGTTGTTAGCATCGCGTGCTGCGGAACGCGTCGTGTTATGTACGTCAGCGACACTAATCCCAATTAAGTGTGTGCCCGGGAACGCGCGTTAAGTTCAATGCACAACGCCATCGCTTTCATCTAATTGTCCCGTCTTCTTCACTTCAGCAAACCGTTCGTGCACGACCCATTCGAAGCTTGCCTCCTCCAATGAGCAGGGTAATAGGCACTGCGATTAGATATGTCACCATCAATGTTGCGACAGGCGCTCAAGATGAAGCGGGTGCCATGGAAGGAACAACAAGACTGTGGCCGCTAATGAACGTAAGTCGACTGGGCAGAATTTGAACATGATCATAGCGTCTTCAAGTCTTGTATAGCATATATTCATCGATATCGAACTATTTATAACGATGCTACACGCGCTAACGACGTATAGTACGCTTATTGCAGGGCCGCCAACACAGTATTGTAGGAAGACTTGGCCTTGTAGCCAGAGTCGAACAGTAGTGGGTTACCGGAAGGCCTCCACGAGTCGCTGTCGCGAACGCCCCAGACGGTGATGCCGACGCAGTTGGCCTGGTTCAAGCACGCTTTGACAACGTTGGTCCAGTCAGAAGCCTGGGCATTCTGGATATCGACCTCAGTAAGCGCGCATTCAGGAGCAGCAGCGCAGAGAGCGGCCATGGCGCCGGGGGCGTTGGCACCCTGGCCAGCTGTCAAGTGACCCTGCGAACCGATACCATCGATAGGGATGCCTTGCGAGATCCAGTTCTTGACATTGCGAATCATGCCCTGTGTTTTAGCGTACGAGGCAGTGTCGAGGCTATACGATGTTAGTGTCATGAAAGCAACGTAGAAACGAGGAGCGGCTTACTTGTAGTCGTTTATGTATAGCTTCGCATCAGGATCGGCCTTCCTGGCCGCCTCAAAAGCTATTTTAACAAACGACTCGCCCAATACATTGTAGAAGACGCTGGAACGAAAATTCCCATTTTCCGCAAAAATCTCATTCAAGACGTCCCACGCGTATATCTGACCTTTCCATCGGGTCAATAGGGTGGTAACGTGGTTCTGAATGACAGTAGTCAATGTCGCCTTATCATTGATACTTGATACCCACCCGGGCAGCTGAGAATGCCATACGGTGGTGTGTCCACGGATCAACTTCTTGTTGTCGGTGGCGAACTTTACAGTCTCGTCGGCGGTAGTGAACTTGAAGCTACCGCGTGAGGTTTCGGTCTGATCCCATTTCATGCTGCTTCCCGTCAGCTGCAATGTATATGTTCGTGGCCGTAATAGTCTTCACCTATTCTCTGGGGTGACCTGGCCGAAGTTGGCCTTGATGATCGCCGAGTTTGATCCAGTGCTCAGGCGATTAGGATCCGTGCAGGTACCGAAGTATTTCCTACCCTTCGCAACCATAGCATCGTGGATGCTCTGCGCCGCCTGCCGGTCTTCGAGGACTGGCTCTGGCTCCGGCTCCGCAAAAGGAGCTGCAGAGACAAGAGCACTGGCAGATAGAAGAGTAACGAGGGAAAGCTTCATGATGATCATGGACTGACTTGTTCACTTAACAATTGGAGGGCGGCGGCGACGGATGCTGAGTTTAAAGGGAGCGACGACCTCTTATACTTGACTTCTGGGGCCTTTCATATTGCACGAGGCAAATCTCGACAGACTTCGACATCATCCATATAGAGCCTCGGTCGACATTTGAAGGGCCCCAGGGTGGGATTTTAGCGATACGGCGTATCCTAGCGATTTCATCTACCACCACGGGAACAGTGTGCCGGATGAAGATCAGTTACCAATGCTTCTGTTCATTGGCTATGTGAAATTCTCAAACGAGACTCGCCAATCTACTCTAGGCTTCTGGTGGTCGGCTTTTGTGTTGCTTGGCAATTATGGGGTGTCACCCGGCTAAATGGAAGGACTCGTACCAGCCGATCCTTGCAACACTAGGTGGACTATGACAGCACGTCGGTACCGATAGTTTGGTATTAAAAGGAGGCATAGTAAGATCGCCGCCATATAAAAGTTTACTCCATATACAGAATATCTGAGTCTTAGATATAATTCGTGGATAATTATTAATAACATCCAGTGTGGGTTCGACAAACGCTTGGAAGGACTACATCCACTAGGGAAGGAACAAGTGCGCCAAATCCGGGGAATAGCTCATATATTCGTCCTTCTATCCGGGGAAAACGGATGCGCAGTTGGATTGCACGTTCGGGTGCGCTTTAGATTGGTGTCCCTACAGCATTTGTCCAAATTTATTTGCGCATAACCTTTGTTTCGCAAAGCTACAGGTGAAGATCGATATAGGAATATCTCGATATGTCCCGTTTTGTTCATGCCTTCTAGTAGCAAGCCTCGCGTCACTTGTGAGCCGCATAATCCTCCGGGGAAGGTTGTACTTGATCTGGTGCGTCAAATCATTGTTGGTGGCATGGCAAGTGAAAAATATTTACTCTTTCCTGTGAAGCACCTACGCCTCAGGAGCTTCCTGGGGGCTATCGAAAAGCGGCAGGTGTTCTTTGTGAGAAAAACACTCTTAGTCAAGAGAGGTCTTGGAACTACCAGATCTCCCGGATGCGCCTCGACTGAAACATTTGTCCGTATTCCCCAACATGCTTTCATGCGTCTGAGGGGAGTATCTCAATTATGTCATGTCGTTCCCGTTGAGGGATTTGGAACATCGCCACTTTTGTCTAAGTACCCACGATGACTGTACGCCTCCTTAACAACAGTGTGATCTTTTTTAAATTAGGGCACCGGACATCGCGAAAGTGGCGGAAGCTCTTCTTGTATGAGTATAGTTACAAGTCGTAGATTCATTCGTGACTAATACATCTCTACGTCAGGTGTGAGTCTACAAAACTCATCACTAAGACGTCACCCCGGACTTGTGACAACACAAGCTAAGCCAATCTATAGCTTTTGACTGTGGCATTGAGTCAGATATAGGTTGTTTGCGTCATTGTCTATCATCACCTGCGCGAGGAAAGATGAGTATTTTAGCTTTACGCGTCACTCTTCACTCCGAGGAAATGACGTAAATGTAAAATTGCTCACTCTTAAATTAGTATAAAAGCGCTGTATCTCCTCTTCGAAAATTGCACTATAATCCTCCACGGCTTTAACCCTACCGTCTAAACTAGATAAATCGTACTATCAAGTCCAACCCAGCCACAGCCCCCAAAATGGGAGCACCAGTTAGCAATTGGCAGCAAGCCACGCTTAGCCAGACGGGGTCTTTCTTTGATAGCATCACTTACGATTTACGGCATATCATTTACCAACATTTCGACGACCTGTTACCATACACCAACGGTCGATCTTTCAGTGGCTACATATTGTCATGCCAGAAGGCCAAGAATGAAGTGGAGGAATTCACCGCTATTAAATTAAAGAGGGATCTCGAGGCCTTCGGGAAATTATATGAAGATAAGAGCACATTCGCTATCGGTCTACCTGACATTCCCAAAACTAGCACGTTCGCACAACTGCGCAGTATTACGGTCACGCTGCCAATCCAGGCGCTATTCACTTCTGTAGGGGGCGATGGCATAATCTTTTCTCCAGAGCCTGGTTATGGCTGGAGGCTAGGCACATTGCAAGGACTTCATCTGTTGTGCGCCAACTATTACGACATGGTCCATGTAAAATTCATTGGAGATCCGACCGAGACTCATATAACAAGCACAGAGCAGCTTCCGAGGTGTATGTATGCAGCCTTGGTAGCTTTTATAGAGGTAATATTTTTTGTCAACCCGGCAGAAATCCAAAAGGAATTCCAAGCCCAATACTTGCCAAGTACCGGTCTATCTATCGGTACTGCTACATGGCCTTCCCCGGAATGGACAGAAGAACAACAAGCATCAATAAGGGACTGGGGCGATGCTAAGACCTACACATGGGGGCCAGGGTGGACTCCGGGGCTACCTATTCGCACTAAGCGCATATGCCTTTCCTGGGCTCTAAACGCTCATACGCCTGATATTTCACGAGCGCCACTGTTAGGCAAAACATACCGGGCTACACAGAAACATCTAAAGCGGCTTAGATTGGAACATATACCGCGAGACTATGCGCCACTTTATTACCACGTTCACAATGAGGCAAGTACCGTCGCTGAAATGGGTATCATTTCCAACTGGCGCTGGTGTTCAAAGTACGAAGATGAGCCCGATTATCCTCATCTTCCTGATCAGTATGATAGTACATTTCATCCTCCCGAAAACAATCTTACCATACGAATCATCGATCACAGGTTTAAGGTTGCAGATTGCTCCAGCGAGGGTGTAGGGTTAGGACTCCAGATTTCAGAGTACTCCGGGGTATAAGGGCCTCCGACCTTTGCATGCGAAGCGTATAACACTGGTTCGTAACATGTTCATACCTGAGACGGACTTAAATCTTGATGAGATACTATACATGGCCTTTTCTTAGGACTCACGCCCAGACTGAATAACTGAACAGTGGCTTACAGTGCCTAGATCTTCTTAAATCTCTTTTTGTTTGCATGATCTTTTGTTTTTGGAATGGTTAGACTTTCAAAGCTTTTGTAATTCATTTGCTTAATTTTCGACCTCAGATATCCAAAACAAATCATGCTGAAGAGACTCGTGAACGTATTTGAAGTATATATAACATTCCACATCCTATTCACTTTTCGAAACGATGCAATCTAGAATACATTCATACGAGCCGCTATCCTCCTAATTCCCCCCTCGAACCCCCCCTTACAGTTCTAGCAAATTTCCTCAGCATGTTACGTCCCATAAACACGTATTTAACCACCCACCACCGTAATATCAATATCGTCTTGTCATGCTCTCTCAGGTACATCCGGGCGACAACATCTCGCGTATGTTATTCGCGATAACTGACTACAAGATATCCTCTCCAGACAAACAAGCTGATCTTGCCTGCGGCATTTATACCACGAGTAGAGTGCACAAATAAGATTATGACAGTGCTTTTCCCACGAGGCGAATAGTAGGTATAGGCTAAGTATAATAACTAACATCATTGCTCGAGGTGTACGATGGTATGCTAACATATATTTGAAGAGTTTATGAGCGAAGATGGCTAGAGAACAAATAATGAGTGCTGAAGGACGATATGTTGCTAAAGAGAAATTACGAAGCGTCGATTGAGAGGGGTATGTACAACGCTCCTATCCAGAACACCCTACTAAGCTCAAAACAAAAAACCAGGTCATATGCCATATGCAGAGTCGAGAAGCCCAATTCGCTAACTTATTTGCTAGTTGCAAAAAACTGCACAGGCTCACACTTGCCCCGATCAACTTGACCAGAACCATCCTCTTCCCCTCTCAGTCTTCTTGCTGATGTCCTTTTCGATGGATGGGGTTTGCACATTTGGCATATCCTTCCAAGAATCCTTTGCTAGCGCATTGTCTTCTTGACCGTGCTGCGTGCGTACAGACTCTGAGCTTTCCTCTCTTCCATCAGCAAAACGCTTCTTGAGCACGACCTTTGTCGTCACAGAGCCATCAGGCGCAACTGTGCGTTCGGTAGAAGTGAGAGTTGACAGGATCGACGATTTGGCTGTTCCACTGTTTAGGTATGCTGGGGAAGTAGAGGGTTGCTCTTTGGAGGCGAGTAACTGTTCGTAGGCATCCATTTCAGTCTGTGTCTCTCGCTCTTCAGATTGCCACGCCTGACTAGGTTTTTGAGCATCCTGCTCAAGCACCTTCTGTACCTGGTAGTCTTCCTGGCTCGTTCTACCTTGTTTTTTCTGCGGAACATTGAACGCCGGGAAAGGACTACTGTGGTCGACTTTCGGGCTAGGTGGGTCGTCGTGTTGATCCTCATGGTCGTGAGCGTACTCGTAGCTCGGCTCATCCTCCTCCTCCTCTAAGCCTCGCCGAGCTACCCACTTAGACTCGCTGAGCGGCTTCCCTTCACCCGACCGCCCATCTAGGTCGAGGAAAAGGCTTCTTCTGCCTCTGTGCTGTGGGAAAACGGGTTCGTCGCTCCTCATACAGTGCGGCCTTTCGTTCCGTTCAGCGCGCAGAAGATCCTCGTATGCCTTCTGCCATTGGACACCGGATTTCTTCATCTCTTGATCCTCTTCGAGCACGCGTGGCGAATACGCAGAATCGTTGGGTCGCGATGCTTCTGCTGGCGGCGGCCACTGCCATGATCGCGACCACGACCATACGCGAGGCTCGCCACTGGCAGCGCGTCGGTCACGATCAGCTGAGTACCTGACTACTTCAGCCGCCGGGTCGTCCCACGACTTCTCGTTATGGGTGTCCTCGTCATGGAAGACTTTCATGACCGCTGCCATGGCGTCGTCGTACGTGCTCTCGCCAACTAGCTTCTTCACCTCAGATTGCAGCTGAAGCATCAACTCAATCTGCCTCGCCTGCCGAGCCGCATCTTCTTCTGTCATTGCCCTAGAGGCATTTTCATCATGATCAAAAGGCTTAGGGAAGCCCCAATCCCATGACCAACCCCACTCCTGGCCCTTCTCGTTGGCGACCCTCTCTACCAACTCCCTGTCATTGTGCCCGACGATTTCCCCTCTTTGCGTGCTCGCAGCCGTATCAACAATGTCTCTTCGCAGCTCATCAGCTCTCCGATCAGACCTCATCAGCTCCTCGCTATTCCTTAGTACAGCCTGTATATCGCCCCTCCTGAACAGCTCTCTGCCTTCATGTCGCAGCTCTGTTATCTCAGCCTCCAGCTCGTGAAGCTTATCGCATTGTCGCTCGTCTGCTTTGCCAAACAGACACTGCTCACGGGCTTGGTGGGCGTAGTTGTAGTTCGAAATGGTCGCGGGAAGTGTGAAGACGGTATTGAGGAGCGACGAGACCTGAGAGTCGGCGAAGCGCCGGAAGGCGATGAAGGGGTTGTCCTCGGGACGGTTGGGGTCGCGGCGGGGGTTGTTATCGTCGCTGTTCGCCATGCTGGCGATATCAAGGGAGAACAGTATATGATTATGAGAAATGAGTACTGCGATGGCTGAAGGCCAGGACGATCTTGATGCTGATGGCTGATGCTGGTGCCTGGAGATAGCATGTCGGTGCCGGAGTTAAGATACGCGCCGTGTGCCGACGCGTAGAGTGGTGCTGCCCAACCATTTCCTTCCGCCCCTCCGTCTCGACACTTTTCACATTTTGGAAGTTAACGTCGCCCAACGAGTTTCAAATCACCTAGTAGTCATACAATAATAAAGGACCGGCTGGATGACGAGCGCCCAGGCCGTGACCTTGTCTCATTAGCCATCGCAGTTGCGGGCACATCGTCAAGAAACAGCAATTGCCGTGGTCAAGAACCTCTTCGGATCCGGAAACACAACACTCCACTCTTCTTACTTCCACCTACGTATTACCAAAGTTTGCGCATATTGCTCGCATCTAACGCATGACCTTGGCCAAGCTAGCATTCTTAGCATCTGCGCTTGACAATCTCGTTCCTCTTCCACCTCACTGGTGCTTCTCCTGTCATACACCCTCTCTACACTATTCTCAATGAATGCCCACGAGCGACATCTCAGTAAGGACTTTCCACGCGGTAGATGCGGACACGCATCTCGATGATCGCCAATGATCTACAATTCACCGACTAGCGCGCAGATCCGCTAGCGGGCCAAGCAGCCAAGCCCATGGCACCGATGTACAAACCACCTTGCGTGTTTCTTCTCATCTAATGTTTCCGGATTGTTCGATCTATAGAGCCACCGAATGGCTAGACAAACATTACATGTTTAGACGCAACAATGTACTCCACGTATGCTGTCTCCACATATGGCGACTCATTATACGTCATCCCGAGGCGGAGCAGCAGCCGTAGTAGGACGATCCCGCCTAGTCACTCTTGTCATGTCTTGGAGTCCTCTGGATATTGTTTCTTTGCTTGGGGATCTTCTCCCCGTATTTCCTGTCTTGGGGGCTGTGTTTGGCTACCAAGAGCGTGTAAACGTCACACCAGCCAGTCAATAAGTATTAAAGCGTCAGCGACTGCCCAGATTGGGAGTATCTACCACTTGTCACCCAAACCTCTTCTACACCAAATATCTCAGACCGCTCATACTCGGAGGCGTAGCTCAGGTACTACCGAGTCTCTGACTTATCTTTTCATTCCCGAAACCCCAAATTCGACAAGGTGCAACTCGACTCTCTAATAGATATTTCGAATACCGAGCCCAGCCATCTAAGCTCGAAAATCTACAACCACCATCACGCAATACGCATAAAGTATCTCTTCAATCTCAATACCACCGTCACAACAATGCGCCTCTCCATCATTGTCGCAGCGCTCATCACCAGCCTCGCAACCGCTATGCCCGACCCACTGCCTCAAGGTTACACCGGACCGTGTTCAGTGGACAATTGCGGCGTCAAAGGTCTCAAGTGTAGATCACTTTGCGTTGGATGGCCGTCGACTGACCTTGCCCTGCGAAAGGGTTGCACCTGCAGCAACGGCTGACGCATGGACAACGTTTGACGGGAATGTGGCGAGGATGTTGCCGGGAGGGTAGTCAGGATGATGTATGCAACAACGAATGAAGACTGACGTGTCTATCGGGGATTTTCATGTACGGGGACTGTGTTTATCTTGTGAATGGCGTAACGACGGCGGTATTGAGCCTCATGTATTTTCTTTCTCACACTTTCTAAGCGCAATTAAATCTACTCTGGGATCTCACATCCAAAACTAGAAGGCTGAATCGTGCGCTTGCAATTCATTTTGTTGACTCTTACAGACAAATTTGCCATAGATGAAGTGCTTCCATCGCCACCGGGGATTTTATTGGTATATTACATCAATCTGAACAAAGTTACAACAATTAACGCATACAATATTTCCCGCTTGGGAGATGCCCTAGTAAGACCTGCTGCCTCCTTTGGAACTCCTCTCGTGGCATCCAAAGCGAACCTATCCACTGAAAATGTTACGTTTGACATCGCATGCTTCTGCTCAGTGCCAAACTGGATTACGCCAATGTAATTCGCGGCAAGAATCATGCCATGGCGCCAGAGGTAGTGAACAAGCGGCGATACGTCACCCTCGAAATATGTTTTGTTTGAGCCTGCGACCCAAGTGAACACGTATTGTCCATTATCGTTGGGGCCTTGGTAGAGGGTGCTAGAACACAGAGGATGTAATGTCAGCCAGAGTGTAACGAAAAGAGAAAGAAGCTTTGACATCTGGCGTTTGACTCTGGATATCAAAAAATGTAAGACTTACAAACTTTCTTTTCCAATCTTCTGTTTATGCAATCTATTCGCCCTTATAGTGCTAGATGCTCCTATCGGTAAGATTGTACCAAACTTCCCTATCCACACCATCACTTCATACCTAGGTGCCGTAGTGTTGACCGCCTTCTCCACCTCAGGGTCGAAAAATATATCCAAGGCAACATTTGTCTTCGCATTGACGACAGCCAGGCCATCTGTGTCGAATACTGAAAGCATTGAACTTGATTTCAGTCTCATCGACCAAGATACCTTGACATCGATCGAGAACAGGTTCGAAATCAGAATAGGATCATGTTGAATAGGATTGAAGTTGATATTAGGGTAAGCGTGGACGAGCGTGTCATTTGCTTTCCAGGACCATGTCGTGGACAAGGCGGTGGCGTTGTTCGTAACATTGATGCAGGACGATCCGCTTTTGTCAAGACCCCATACGTTGGTGCTGACTATAGGATTAGTCAGCTGGGAGCATCCGTAACCGTGTATTAACCCCATTGACACATCAGTTTTGAAGTCAACGTACAGCTATATGTGCTTGAATGATCTGTAATGTTTTCGTATTGGCCGCATAATGTTTCGTCGGGCACGGCGTAGACCAAAGGAACAATCTTACAAAATACACAAAACCCTCGAAACCAGATTGGCGCCCCGTTCCTCATTACGAAGGGCAACTTTGGGCAGCTAAAAAAAGAAAATAGGGTCAGGTGACTATGCTACCCAGGCAGGGAGACAAGTCACAGCATCAGCACGCAGAGACGAAGAGGGAAGGTAACACCATTTCTTCACATGGGGAGCAGGTTGATTGCCCAGAGGATAGGTCGAAGGTGGCTGGTGGCTGACGTCGGCAAGGAGGCTGAAACGGACGGGTAGACTAAAAGCCCTCCGTAGATCAACTTGGATTTGGCCTATTTTCGGCAATCGGTATTGCACGGAAGCTAGGTGTAACCATGGAAGGCCTACAGTAGGCCTTGAGCTCCGCATGCGCTAGAACCTTTTTGTGACTTCAACATGCGCCCGGCATTTCGGTCTTTAGAACTCGCTGTTGACGTCAACATCGCTCAACAAGAACACAGCGCGCAACGGCTACCAATCGTGCCTTATCTGCATGGACTTGTGTTGCTTTGGAACCTGCTCAAGATGACATCTTCGGTGTTATAATCACTGCCACGAGTCGCAAGAAGAGAACGTTGCAATATCCTCATTTTCTTACGGCAGAAAATAACTTTGGTAAATCTACGTAGTCTACGGAGCAAGACTATGCGACAAATCTTGGTTGCTCGGACTTGATCGTTCGGATGTTTGTTCGATGTTTATTTTTTTTCGACGTTATCGCCTAGCCCGACTCGCTAAGAGAAAGTTCCGAACACCACCAACAGGATCCTATGGGACTGTAATCCGCAATCTAGCCATGTCCTTATCTTCAAGATCGACATGCCGCCCTAGTGTGCTTCGTGGCGTTTGTACGAGGTACCATGCGCCGGCACCCCACCTCGTGCCTGAAACTAACTTGCGCCTCAGTGCATGGTAGAGAAACGGCAGCTAGATATAGTGCACCAGGGGATCTTAGTTCAACGGGATATATGTTGAATTGAGAGATAAGGAGAAATTTAAAGCCCAGCCACAGTTCGGTGTTTGCAGTAATACTGAACCGCTGGTACTCAACCAGTGGTACTACTAATAGCACCCAACGAAAGACTTGAAGTTGACCTGGACCCATTTTTTCCAGTTGCTGTTTCAAGGTGGGAAGTTCAACAACGCCCAGATGCTGTCTGTTGCTCTGCTATTTAAGCGCAGCGAGTGGTTCGTAGCCCTTGGTCACGAAGTCGATGTACCTTCAAATTCATGGTGATCAAAGCTTCCGTCGCCACGCGTTAAACAATTGCCTCAGCGCGGAACCCAGTCCACTGCGGGGAAATCCTGCATGGCAGCTAAGGTACGCCCGCGTGAACTAGATAATCACTCTGCGTCGGGGTCGTATCATCCATGTTACCCAAGGCCTCGAACATGATCTATGTGTTACATCAATATTTTGGTACGGATGATGCAACTACTATCAAGTTGCCCTAAATCTCAACAAATTTAAGATATGCAGTTTGGCACTTTTATGCTGCTAGCTAGACGAAGATAAGTATACCGCCTTGAGGTATGATTACGAACTAACGAGTGAATTACAAGAACAGCACTGAGTAAACGAGAATTGGCACCCCAAGTATGAGCTTTATTTCGACACATCATTGGCGCTATACATTTCAATAGTTGCACAGCCTGCTGTTGAGCCGGAAAACAGCTCGGCACGGCTTTCTAAGGCTACCCTTTATCTATCTACGTAGCTCATGCGTCTTTCGGTACTTTGTAGGGCAGGCCAACCCAGTCCAGGCCTGTACTACTACTGGCTGGCTGCTGTATCAGTCTCTAGCGACCGACGAATGTTCGGGAGGCGCAACCTCTGAGGATGCGGTGTCGTCGCTACTAAGATATCTTGCTCTCGATAAGGAAATTGTTGGTCAAGTCTCAACACCGTCGGTCTACCTTGAAATATTAGAAGCTGCTTATAGCTTTCCCGAGATGGGTGAACTGCACACCCTAGAGCGTTTCGGGTGACGTGGATGACAGCACTGACCTTGCAGACCTGGATTGAGGAACACATGTATGATGATGACGCTGCCTCGACCCTGAAAAAATAAAGGTTCAAGAAGCGCCTACGCCCCAGGGCCTACCTGAGATGTATTTATTACTGCCCGATTCTCAAGCCATGCTATCACGCCCAACTTAACGACTTATTGCAACCTTGAATCATTCTTACATTCCCGCCAATATGGATATTCCAAAGCAACCCGACACTCCTGTCAATGGTTCACAGAGCCCCTCAGAAACAAGAACCACCAGCCTCAACTCTTCGGTGGGACGCTCTCAAGAGTTGGCTAATTTAGATTTATACCTACCTCAACCAGTCTACCAGCGTCCTCTCTCCTATGGCCAGCCATCGCCAACCAATTGTATTCACTGTGGAAGCTTGACTCCTCGATATGGATCCACAACTGTGTACGGAACTCCCCTGAAACACACTCCTGCGACGAGCACTGAAAAGTTGCCCAAATATACCAATCGCTACTCTGTGGTATGTCGGTTCCAACCCAACGAAATCTGCGTTTGTTAATGTTTTATTAGGCGACAAGTTCCATCCGCGGTATATCCGAGAAGGACCCTAACGTCTCTGCTGAGCCGGTCTGCTTGGTTGAGAGAGTCCATGGCAAGGACGACATTGATCACATTCCCCTATGGAAACGTCGCATCAACAAGTGCACACCACTCTTCTCGCTCATCGCCGTTTCATCTTACTGGGTTTATTTCGTCTTTAGGATCAAGTTCACTCTTGCTGCACAGGCAGTAGCTCACAAGGTCTTTGTCATGGCTTGGACTTTCATTGCCGTGGAGATGGGTGTAGCCTGTAAGTGCCATGAAAACTTGAAAAACTGTTCATTTTCAATAGCTGATTGCGCGAGCAGTTCCTATGCTCTGCCATCAGTTTTGGCAATGCTTCCTCCTCAAGGGCCGACAGCGCGAGAAGCTCCGCATCGTAGGAGATACCACGCCGACAGTCGATATATTTGTCACGTGCTGCAAAGAAGACGTGCAAATCATAACAGACACAGTGCGCGCAGCCGCTGCCATTGACTGGCCCTCCAATTGCTTTCGTGTCATTGTTCTCGATGATGGTGCAGATCCGGACTTAAAAGCCGCTACCGACGACCTTTCCTTGCTGTACCCCAACGTGTATTATACCGCTCGTCACAAGGTCAAAGGTGTTCCGCATCACTTCAAGGCTGGAAACTTAAACCACGGTCTGCATTTTGTCACTGAATTGCCAGGAGGTGCCTCGACTTACATTGCTGCTCTGGACGCTGACATGATTCCCGAGCCAGAGTGGCTTAGGGCAATTCTGGCTCACTTGGTGATCGAACCTCTGCTTGCTTTGGCTTGCCCACCTCAGGTATGCCAAAACGGTGATGTCGGGGAAGACAGAGCTAATCATTTATAGCTCTTTTACAATATTCCTAAGAACGATCCGCTCATGCAGAGCCTAGACTCCTTCGTGCATATATCTGAACCAGTGAAGGATGCTGCAGGTGTTGCGGTAAGTCTAGGAAACCATTTTCTAGTATTCGTCTACTAATTTTTGAAGTGGTGCACTGGCTCAGGCTACGCCATTCGTCGAGTCGCTCTCGACGGCATTGGAGGCTTCCCAACGGGTTCGTTGGCTGAAGATGTCTGTTGCTCAAGTATACTGCTTGGTGCAGGATGGAAGACTGCCTACGTTCACGAACCTCTCCAATACGGCACGGTTCCTGAGTCGTTCGGAGGGCATATAAAGCAGCGCACTCGATGGGTAAGTTTAGTTCCGCACATCGGGTACCTCGCATTCGCTGACATCATCCTCCAATACAGACGATTGGCACCATTCAAACGTCGTTCAAATTGAACTTCTGTCTCTGGGGACCGTTAGTCACACACATGTCCCTCTTCCAACGTCTGTCTGGATTCGTATACACCGTTTCATCGGTCTTTACCATCTTCTTCACAGCATCTCTGCTTACGATGCCAATCGTATTGATCTCTGGAGGGACATTGATAGCCTATGCAACCAACGACCAGCTTCGATTACTGGCGAGGCTATGTTTTGTCGCATTGGTTGCCAACCGACTGAACGAATGGGTCATGACTCTCCCTGCTGGGTATCGGCTTGGCCAGCGTGATGCAGGCGCCATGATGTGGATGGCCCCATGTAAGCACGCTTTTATTTTGTAATGCTTATGATCTTGCTGATAACAAGTCTTCAACAGATCATGCTATTACGATCGTCCGATCCTTCTTCCTCCCGCGGTTCCTGGGTGGCAAGACCGCCGGGTTCTCCCCGTCTGGCTCCCAGCAGTCCGAACTGAACGAACGTGACCCGGTCCACCGTGCTGGTCTTTTCCGCCGCTTGCGAGTCATAGTATTCGGCTCGGGTGTATTTTTGCATGTATTTTACATTTTGTTCTGTGTCGCTGCAGTAACCGTCTCCACAGCACGGGGCATCATCATCAACAAAGGCTCAGTCGAACAGACACTGATATTCATGCTAACGCATGCTTGCTGGCCGCCATTACTGTGGTTAATCGCGCTTAATGCCTTCTGGGCACCAGTGCATTATGCAATATGGCCCCCGAATATGCCGGATCGGGAGGAGCTTTTGCAGAGAGATCCGAACACGGGTATCGCGTATCCGAAGGAGAGTTCGAAGAAGTTGAAGTGGGAGAAGAAGAACATGCTACATGAGCTGCAGTATATCCTTTTGACGGCGTATACTACTGTGCTCTTTGTGGGGTCGTGGTTCTACTAGATCGGTGGAAGTTGAGAGGATGGAAGTAATATCGCATTAGGCAACTTGGGAAGGACAACGGCGACTTGTAATTTGCCCGTCAGGGGGATTTGGTAGTTGAGATCACATTCCATGCAGTGATTTCACACTGGGAAGCGTTCCGCATCGTACTCATTCCACCCAATTGTTGACTTCCTGTTCATGGTTATCTCGGTCATTTCCGACATAGTCAACACTCTATTGTTTTTAGGCGCAGGACAATGCAGGTCTTCCGGAATTACTAGCGAAGTCCGGTCGGTGAATGAGCCTCCATGAAACCGTTTCGTTGCCAGCTGTCCAGCTGCGAGCCTCTACAGCCGGCGATGACAAACTAAATGGCGTGAAAGGGGAGGTTCGTAATGTACTTGCGTCTGCTTTGCTTTCTGCCTCGTATGTGACTTTGTGGTCTATGCGAGTAGCATCACTATTCTGCGCTCTATCGCCGCGAATTGGTAGCTGGCGATACTCCTGCCGATCCATCCCGTGTGACCAGCTCCGTGATCCAGGTAGTGCATCTTGATGTTTTCGTATAGCCAGAGGTTGCGCCATCCTAGCGATTAAACCCGGGTGCTTTTCTTACTGGGCTGCGTGTGTGGGGCGAGACTCGGCTCTTCAGATCCTGTGTTTTTGTGGATTGATAGAAAACGGCCATCTCATAGAGAAACAAATGCATGTTGGCGCGTTGCATATCTAGGTTGAGAGCGTGCGAAGCTGCCCAGGTGTCATCAATCGGTCCAACCTCTGATTGTTGCCGAATGCCGAAGACGCGAGGTGCGGGGCTATGGTCTTGAGCCAGCACATCCACTAAGAGCGAATCTTCGACTCTGGGGCACATATAAGTAAAGAGAGAGATACACGCTGGTTCTTGAACAGGGTATAGTAAACTGTAAACACAGGATTTGACTCGTGGACGCGTGCTGTCGCGACCCTGAGCTTGCCCTGGTCCCCTGGAGGACAGCCGCGCGCATGCAACTTCATCGAGCTCTTGCACGCTACCAGCTCCTTATTTACCATATCTGCAAACGCCAAAAGGAGTCGCGTTCTCTTGCTTTCTGAACGATGGCAATACAGCCGTCTTTTTTATTTATTCTGAGGGTGCATTTCAACGCCCCATCTTGAAACAGGTTCGTTGCTGTGCCGCAATTTACCTCATCCTTTCAACCTCCTTCAGCGCTTACAACCTCCATCAACAAGAACACGTCCCAGTGATATACACGAAGGGAGATCATCTCAACCCTAATTTATCGACCTGAGCAGTTACCATGCGCGCCTTCATTGTCAAAAAGCTAAAGGAGCGCAAAATGGCAACAACAGCAACTGCGCCATGCTCCACATCGGCGGCATCATGCACAGCACCACGACCAGATTTACCCAGAAGCTCAGCGCATACACAGAGACAGTGTGCCGTTTTCAACACCCTGTCGGCGGAGTTGCGACTCCTCATCTATCACGCTGCACTCGCGGATTCTCGTCGCTTGTTGCACTTTTTACACGTCACCCCCTACAAGGGTGAGCCCCGGCCGATGGGTCACTGGCGTTGTGAGGATAGAGATAGCCCGTATCCTATTTGGCAGCATCGATGCTTTGGGTGCTGGGCTGAGGATAACACACGCTGGCATCGCAAAGCATCACATACGAACAGCGATCTCATATCCTTACTTCTGACATGTCGCTTAATGTAAGTATGACAATGATTATTCTAGGAATATGCTAATATTGCTACTAGATACTCAGAGGCCGTGGAGGTATTGTACGCCGAGAACCACTTCAGCTTTAGAGGTGCTAGAGGGGTGGTCAAGTTTCAGAACCTCATTGCACCACCCAGTTGGCACGCTCTACGATACGTACACATATCGACTACATTTCTCACGCCAATGAAACATTGGAAGAGAGGTAGCCTTCCACCCGAAAACTACGACCATTGGGAAAGTGGCTGCCATGCTCTGAGTGGCCTCCGCAGGCTTCAGCTTCTTTCAATAGACATGATCGTTTGGGATCAGCTTAATCACGAAAACACCGATGCTATTGAACATCAATCGCTGATTTACATTTTCGGTGCCCTAAAGGCTATTCGAGCTCGGACATTTCAGATCGAACTCAATATCAAGCTTCCTGATCAGGTGAAAAACTCCCTTGGGCCTGTACCATTCGAAATTCTATACCACGAGAGACCTTATGATAGAGAAACATTTCCGCTATAGTAGACATCCTCCATGTATCAAGAATATGCTTTCCGGGTCTTCCGACGCCCTTTGGGCCCCATCGTCATACCCCTGGCTATCTTCAGAGTTTCATCTCTCCATACATTTTAGCGAGTCATCAACTGTTGCTCATTTGCGAGGAATGATCCTGCCCTTTACATCAACCTTTCTCGGATTGCTTGGGTCATCCATAAGTTTGCAGACTAGAGCAATTAGCGTTCAGTTTACCCTTGCTTTCGTACTCAACATACCACTTCCCAGCAGAGCTATTGTGTCCGCATTATTGTCTGGCGCGTTCTCTCCACCAAGATTGTCGCCCTTACGAGCAAGTTCCATCGCCGCCTTCCAGCCGTATGCGGCCCAGCCGAATAACGCGAGGAAGCCATTCGGACTACTCACATCCGCCAAGCCCACTTGGCCCTCTACGTTTTCGACATCAGTGTTTGTATTCGTATATGCGCCTCGACCGTGTGTCATTTCGTGTAGAAGGACTTTGTCTAAAAGCGAGAACGCATCTACGGCGGATCCTGTTAGTTATACCTTCGACTTGATAGGTATAGAATCGCCTCACATACCAATTTGTCTCAAACCGAAATTCTTCGATTCTGCAAGCTTTATCACCGCCCTACCGATATTCGACCTAGCGACGTCGTTGTGCAACTTGAATCTCCGGTCTTTGATCCAGTCAACGAACCATAGGCACAGCTGAATCTGGGTTGGCTTTTCCGGACTCATCTTTACGCCATTCATAAGCACATCTTCATCAGAGATGGGATTGACGGTGACGGCAAGAGAAATCCTGTCCATCATACTACCTCGACATTGCTGCTCGTCAAACTTGAGCGCAATTCCATTGCCTAAAGACTGTTATTATCTGAATCGATACAACAGGCTCGATTACATACTCAGATCCCGATAAAGCTTCTTTTTCTTATCGATGAGCTTGAAGCGATCGTAATGGCAGAATATTATCTAGTAGTGGTTATCAGCGCTTTGAAAGATGACTCGATCGGAAACTAGCCTACTACGTCGTTGATAGACACGGGTGCGTTGCCAGTCACCTCGTCTCGGTACAAATTGTTGATTGCGCGTAAAACTTGAGTTGTCTTCTCTAGACCGCCGTTATCGAGAAGCTGCCTTGGGTCCACGCCGTCCTTTGCGAAAAGAAAGCCCAGCAGTTCGATGGTATCTGAATTCCTAGGGTTCGCAGTCAGAAGTTTAATGGCGGCATCAGCCATTTCGAAGGCAGATGTCATCGCATTCCGAACATCTTGTTCAATTCCTTTCTGTGTGCATGATTGGTCGATCTTGTATGCAAGACTGACAGCGGGCAGACTGAAATAAAGACAGAGGCAGCATAGAAAGTAAAACCACGCCATATTCAGCGTACATAGATTGTGAGATGAAACAAAGGTCTGAGAATGTTAATAAATTTTATTTCGAAGAAAGTTCCACCCCAAGTGCCGCTTTATGTACGCGCAGGATTCGGTGTTGTGCTGCTCTTTGGTTTAGAGTATGGCAATGTTTCTCAGCGGCTCCATCACAATCCTACCACTATCGCCCCACTCCAGGTCGACACGCCCGCCCCCAACATTTACAGTTGCTTTAGTAAATAGAAGAACAGCCTTCTTTTGCTGTACGCCTCAATTTGCACAAGTCACTAGGCTGTGATCAAGGATCACTTGGCGCGGCACAGCTCGCTTGATCTCCCACTCACAAACGGTTAAATTTTTCTAAGCGCGCGGCCTGCATTGGGCCATCTGAAGATATCAACACTCGGGGGGCGGAGCATAGCATGTGAAACAAGACGAACATACGTTCACGCTGGGCCACTAATGCGAAGTTGGATATACGTCTTGGAATGTTGGAATCGTTTCAGCACTCTCGATCAAGCAATAGATCTTACTCTGTGCCACAACCGCCCCCCATTTTACCTTGTTCCACCCTTGTATACACTTAATTACAAGGCTCACTCGATGAATGTTGGGAAACTTGGAACCCGTGCCTCTCGAGGCGTATCGCTGACCTGTTGGGGCTGGTCCGCGGTGCGTTCGGGTAGATATAGCACTGAAGATCAAACTATTATAGTCAAGCAAGACCGCAACATCAACTCGAACATTAACCTCGAAGTCATCGAGAACGGATAATCATGGCTACTTTAATTTTCATTTTGCTCGCGCTGTGTTTCAGTGAAGCGTTCGCTCTTGTGCTCACAACACCTCCTCCTGCACACACGACATTAGCACGGCGAGACAATGCCGCAGCGATTCCGACGTTTACATTTGGGCCACAGGCACAGTACTTTCCGAAGAGAGTGAGTACTTGCTATACTCAGCACGGAGTGCGCGACTCATCCTTGAACAGGTCGCAAATCCGGAACCATCAGGGACATCCCTTCATGTTTACCCCACAGGGTCCTATAATGAGTTTCCAAAGGAAGGCATTACGATCGGCTTTGGTCCAGACTTGCGCAAGCAGATCAAGGAGACAATGATACAGAACTGCAAGGACAAGCCTAGGCAAGATTGTCGAAATTCAGTTATCCCGATTCTTCAAAACACGGATGTTACAACCCATACCAAACGCTTCGTCGTCATCAGTGCTATCCTACTTAGCAACCTCCTCGTGGCAATTGCAGCCGAAGCTTTCATAATTTTTGGAGAAGGAGTTTACCTACATAATACGGCTAATGATCTCCCTAAAGAGATGATAATAAATCACGGAGATTTGAAGCAGATAAATTTCATGGCTGGTGCGCACACCTTTGCAGCCGTCACCGCTGCTACTGCAGTGCCGAGTACGGTCACGTATAATCCTCCTGCTACTACCACGGCATCGTAAGCAACCCCTGGCAAACAATGCCGGCCTGTGTTAACATTTGGGTTTTAGGGACGCAATCACAATTGAGACCCTCACAGCCGACAAAGATGGACGCAAAGCGGGAGATATCGTGTATCATATACCGCAACACGCATCTGAGCGTATTCAAGACTTCTTGGGTATGACTGGACTCCGCCAAACCCAAGAAAAGTGCAAAGGACAAAATCTCAAGCGTGCCGATAACCTGGCAGATTGTCTTCGACTCATTCAAAGGCACGGCATGGACCTCGCAGACAGCGGTCCGTCAAACCTCCTCCAACTAGCGCCGCGCCACATACCCGCTCGTCCTGGGCAAGGCCAAGCGATAGGCTTTCCTGTCCAAAATCTAGCCACCAACGGAGCTCTGTTGGTAATACCAGTGTATCACGTTGTATTTGATCGTGCGCCGCGTGCCCCAAATGCAGATCAGGGCTGGGACCCGGCTATCCTTGCTAAGAGTGCCATGGCCGTCACGCTTGCGGCGCACGCAGCCATGTTCGTAGGGCAAGGCATGCTCGAGATCTGGGTCCCCAAAAGCAACCTTGAAGAAAACCTGAGGGAAGAAGACTTGGTCTGTCCAAAGGATTTGATCTGCGTAATGGATGACTGCAAAGGTCAGGAAGAAAGGGAGTTTTTCTTAGGCAAAGAGATAAAGCCAAATATTCCGATGACACCCATATGCACAGTGGTAAGTGGAATAGAGTCGCGAGTAGTAAGCAATATAAACTTACATCTTTGGCAGGCCAAAAACTACGGGTGCAGATGCACCGTAGTTAATTACCCGCATGTTACTGAAGTGCCATTCAACTACATGGAGGAGCAATACAAATGGCTGGAAGAACTCATCAAGCGATCGGAGCTGCCGTCTTTCGAGCCCCAATGCTCAGAAGGTATGCAGACACTCCAGGATGCCTCCAAAAAGTTGAAAGAGTAAGTTGCGCACCGTCAACCTTCTGGTATCTCCCCTAATATTGGACAGTGTCATTGAGCTAGCGTGCAATGAGCACCCCGAACTAAAGGACACATGGACCTACAGCGACAGCAAAGATGGCTTTACCTTTGGAATCAATTTCCAGAAGCGCGGCGGTGATTGCGCGTTTGACTGTCGGGCCATCTTTCCAACATTTGCAGATTCGGATTCATGTAAGCCATTCTTCGATTCGTATTGTAACAGTCGACTGACAAACATTGCTAGGCATTACAAGCTCGGGCCTGCAAAAGAACGGCAAGATTGAGACAGATTGCGGATCTGCATCCTATCTTGCGTATAACTTGTCGTAGATTGTGAATACTTTTCCCGGCCTGGATGTGTAATGTGCAGCTTGTTTTATATATCCTCTGATTTTCTGGATGTTTTTCATATCTTGAGATTAATACTTTGCATGTGCGAATTTCTTGTGTAGTATGGTTTGATGCTATATAAGCGCAATGTTTGGATTAAACTCACACCTTGTGTTATATCTTTAATCACACTGTGTTCTAGATCTGTAGCTGATCTTTGCTTTCTGATCTCTCTACAAACTCATTTAAGAACTGTCTGAGACTAATTAACTCGCTCCTCGTCTTTACATATCTGTCGTATAAGGTCTGCATCGAATTCAAAGTATATCCCTCTTCTTTGCGTTGTTTAGCAATGAACCTAGCCACAAGCGCATGGTCAGAGGCTAACACCCAGCCATAGTGTGAATCTAGATTCTGATATTCTTTTTCATAAAACCCTATCATCTCCAAGCTTTGTCTCGCTGTATCACGCAGCTCGGTCGCGCAACCAGTCGCCGTGTTGACGCGCTCATAAAGAGGGGTTTTCTCTATGACGAAATCAGCCGTAAGATTTTGTAGGGCTAGCATGGATATGATCAGGTCATCAAAGTCGGAAGATGTAACAGCGTTGCCGTCGGGACGCTGAGATGTTCCTGGGTGAGGCATATTTGTATTAAACTCGACTCGACTAAAGTTATTAATCAGCTGTATCTCAATTGGGTTATAGAAAGCTTGCGGGGCCTGGAAAAATATAGGGGAACTTTATACTTTGGTGTTGATAGAATCATGGGCTTAAGCAATCAACTACGAGGAAGACAAACACGGCACAGCCTTGTTGGATTTCGTATCACTCCCACGTTTCTCATGGCATCGTACAACAACTACAATACAACATGTATAGCGAAACTGTTACGTTCTTTGTGTGATTACTGGTAGAGGCTTTCAGCAACGTTAGGTTAGCTTACCTTCTGTAGGATACCGACTCGCGATATATTTAAATTCAAAGAAAATGCCTAGCAAACGTTGCTCCTTTTCGCTGGTTCACAGATTGCGTACGAAAGCTAAATCAATACACACTCCTCCGTCACATTACATAGCTGGCTTAAACCTCGTTGATGCACCTCATTATTATCACGACATGTGACTAAAACCGACGCATACCTTGCTGTACACAATTAATCACTCCGTTCCATATTTTGGAAGAAGTGAAAGCACGAATCATACAACTGCCACGAATATAAAGCCGATAGAATCCCTTGCTTTTAAGCTACCGAATAACCCTAGAGAATACGTACAGTGCAAACTAGCGATCAGAACAACATGTGTACCGGATACTCAGCACCCCGCGAAATACTTCTCGACACCACCTTCTGGGAAGTTCTTCCCTCTCATTACGAGAGAATCAAAGCCCGATGGAACAAAATCGCCCGTCTATACAAAGAGGCAAAATCTGATCTTCTGACAACAGATCGCGACGGTGCGACCAACTCGCTGAAGGCTGAACTAGAGATGCTGGAGAACGATTTGGTGGAGTACCGCAATATCACAAGAGGAATGGACATTACAGATGTGGCGGAGATTTATGTGACTGCTGGCAAGTCACTCTATCGGGCGTTGCAGATTGCGAAGGGGGATTTCGCAAACTTGGAAGCGAGCTTGAAGGTGATTGAAGAGAGAATTGCAGGGGTCAGGGCTGATATTGTGTATGGGATTGGGGAGGATAATTAGGGGATCAGGGCAGTGACTAAGTTCTTGTGTTACTACTACGAAGTGAAGCGTATGATGGCTATAGTAGTGTGGTCTTGAATACTTCAAATATGATGAATGAATTGCTCAGTTAAGACGTACGTAAGATAATAATTTCAATGCCTGCATGTCATTTTCCTTGAGGGTTGATTTGGCAGGTGCATTTGAAGTATGAGTGTTCACAGCGAATGACTCCCTCATGGTATGGAGAAGATTCCGCTGTGACTACCGCAATAAATCCACCCTTTGACTCTGAGGCTACCTTATAAATGTCTAAATGTCTTTTATGAGCCTCATCAATGGTTCTCGCTGTAAATTGAATGCATCTTCTTCTCCCTCTTACTTGGATAATGCCTACCATACTCAGCTCAAGCCCATGCCCCTGCGACCACGTTACGGAAAACCTCGAACATATTCTAACAGAGCTCGACCTGCAAGTTGACCGGGTATTGGCTAGCCTCATATTATTACGTAGTATGGACCAAAAGTACGCCAATATAGCTGACGAGATTGAGAAGTGCGAGTACGCTGGAGTCATACGGTTCCAGGTCTCGGTACTGGAAATGGACTTGGGAGTCATCAAATTAGACGCTGAGTTAGTAACGGACAAGGGGATATCTGAGTGGGTGCAGGGTACTACTAGCGGTGCAGTAAAAGAAAAGAGAGAAGAGCTCGTAATGAGATTGTCGGCGAAGTTGGATAATTTGCAGGACAGATTAGTGGAAACAAAGAAGAAAGAACGGTGGTTGTAGTATTGAATAAACAGAAAGCGCGTGAGACATTATGCAAACTTGGTTTTTGAACTGATAACAAGACGCATGGTTCCGATGTCTTCCAATAATTTCCCTCTAGACTTGGCTGTTCTATCTACAAGCCTATCTGGCCCTATTTGAAGGAACACCCCCACTCATTTGGCTCCGGCAGCGGCGCCGTATTGGGAATATTACTGCTCTCCCTAAACTCAACGATCTTCCGTTTCCCATTTTCTTCCCGGACCAGCGCGAAGGCTGCATTAGTGAAGTACATGTCACGTTTCGCTCGTGTTTGGAAGCCGCCGGCCCATCCGACCATGTAGACGAAGCCTCCCTTGTCGCCATTCGCATTAGGGATACCGAGGGTATTAATGAAGCCATGATTGAAAGGGTCAAACGCTCGGCCTAGTGTCTCATTGAAGCTCTTGTACAGCTTCAGGGAGCCATCGAAGTCGTAGTGTGTGTCATTAAAAGTGAATTTGAGGTTCCTTGAAAATGCGGATGCGTGACCGTTGGACCAGTCGGTGTTTGCTGGATATGGGTAAAAACCTGGAGACCTCCATTAGTATGAGATCTCTCACAAAAAGATTCTCCTATATGCTTACCGTTTATCTGGCATTCAAGCCAGCTTGACAGTTGCACGCTAGCATTAACATTTATCGAGTCGACAAGCGAGCAAGGATCAATGGCATTCTCGTTGGAAAGGTTAACGGGATCCAGGCTGAGTATATCTTGTGGTGGTGGTATGCTAAGAGCTGCGCATGAGGCTGCGAAAGCGTACACAAAAGCTGTCGAAGCGTTAACAAGTGCATCTTGATCACGAGTGGAATAAAGGGTTCTTACCAATGGACGCGAGGTATCGCATGATGTCAGGTTTAGTAGTAAGATAAAGCGTAATATATTATTAGAAATAGATGTTGCGCGAGAGTGATTCGTTGCGCAGTAGTCGGTTCGAGATAAGGCTGAGGTAGATGCCAGGGTGCTTTCAGGGTCCAGCAACACCTAGTTCTGTCGCCTGTCGCGATGGTACGCAGCAGAATCTCTATGCGCACGTTGGTTTTCAAATTACAGTACGTCGGTTTGGTAGAGTGATGAAGAGATTGTTGCCTGTTCTGCGCCAGGTGTCGAAGAGTCTTATATGTAGTAAAGTAGAGGCTGCCTTGCCTTCTCAGCTGACGCGCGAGGTCATAAAGGGCAAGTGGCAGGGGCGCAGGCTGACATGGGGCTGAACTTAACACTATTCTCTGGCCATACAACATCCGTGAACGATTATATACTGAAAATCGAACAGAACCACGACACAGCCTCGATCCACCAATGGCGCTCTCGAGGGATGGCTGGTTGTGGTCAGTCGTCGCAACAGTGCTGAAACAGCGTGGCTTCTACTTCGTTTTTATCCACCACCACCATCTCTTTTGCTGTCAGGTCCGTCGCAGAATGAACAGTATCGCGATACCCCAATACTTTCAACTGAGCTAGTGTCCTCTTCTTCGTCGCCCTCTCCTTCTTCCGGTGTTGCTTGATCATCATACCTTAACCAGTCAAAGTCGTCTCCAAGAAAAGCTTTGAGTCTTCCAGGTACTACATCTAGAGGGCGTCTTAGTAAGTGTTCATACTTCGTTAGTGTTCATAGAACTCACATGTTTCCACATTCCCTAGAACTCGCTCCGTCTCATTCAGGATTCCAGGATGAACGACGAAGAGTTCAGACATACGGCGCCGCCAATAACCCCAAATAAAGATCTCGAGCGCTTTGGGAGATGTATCTAGACTTTTCATCTGTTCCGCGAAATCTTCCATTAATACTTCTAATTGACGGGCATCCTGTTGCTCTCGCCTATCAGATCTGATCTTTCGAATCCATTCTGGATCACGATTTGCTATGACATAAGTTGGATTCCCAATAGAGAGATTGGCGGGGCGGTCGGAAGCTATGCAGAGACGCTTTTGCTCTAGATTGAGCTCTTCGAGAGCACAGCAGGTATGTGTCATGTCCAGTGCTTCAAAAGTAAGAAGCCGTATAATTTGGAGTGATAGATTGGACCGCTCGTTGACTTTTGTGCTCATCGTATTGACGTTGTGGTGGAAGAGAATATGCCGCAAAGGATTCCTTTCGGATCTCCCCGGGTGATATAGCAGCAGTCCCCCGTGTTTGGCATGTGCATTCCAGAGTGATTTGAGCGGCGAGCAACCTTCTCCTTCGTGGTTACACGAACAAGTACAACGGTCTCTTATCATAGTCTGCGAGAGTTCCCTTATAATCTTCCAAGCAAAGGAAACCCGGGAAGTTAAATCGTGCCTATTTGCAAATAAACAACCTGAGCCTAACATGGCAGCGACATAATGCCAACCAGTAACGGTTATATTAAATCGCAGCGCCCAAGGATCTTCTGGATTTTGGTCGAGAGCCCCCTGCTCTTGTAGCCATAACAACGTTCCAAAGATTTGGTCGAAGCTCTGGAGCGGCAAATTAAACGCGTCATCTCGCCAGATCATGATTGGGGTCAGTCCCATGTTATTGCGCGATTTGAAATCTTGAAACCCTTGTTCAAAGTATATCCGGAAGTGATCAATCCGGATTACGGGAGTGTGGTATACCGTCGTATAATCCTGTCCCACCCGGAGATATGGAGGAATGTAAATACCGGCTTTCTCAAGAGCCCCACAGAGATATGCAGCTTCTCTATCTGCCACATGTGTCGGGTTCTGCCTTTCAAAATCCCCCAGCTCTCGCTGTGCTAATTCAAGCAGTTTTCGTCTTCTATCGGCCATATTTGAAGCAATAACGGCAGCTGTATCACTTGTTATCTTTGAAAATACCATGTAGAGACTCTTGTCTGAGGCCATGCTGGAACCCGCCTTCATGAGCAGGTTTACTGATTCCGCACAATTTAAGCGAATGGCCCAATAAACCGGCTGTAAATAGCCAACCTTCATGCCCCTGGATATAGAGGATATACCCTCGTTATCAATAAGGCTTTTCGCCTCTGTAGTAAGTAGCTTTTGCAACCCCTGTGGCCAGTCAATACAGAGCTGAAGGGTTGTGTATCCAGAAAGAGTCTCTATCGGCCCTTTGGGATCGCGCGAAATCTGGTCGTCAAGATCTCTAAGAGACCTCCGTAATATTGCACGAGCCATTGGGGAAACTTCCATCTCTAGATGCTCTAGTCAGTAAGATGTCCGCAATACTAGGCCTAGTTATGCATTACATACCATCTACAAGTGAGAGATGGTTCAACAAAGGGATAATATCAGAATCTCTGTAATTAAACAGTATAGCGTCTAGGTTTACCTCGGAGAGATCCATAAGATATGAGACCATTCGCTGTGCATTCATTCGTTCGTTCTGACGCAATATAAAAAAGCTACTTTGCAAGCCAAAAACTAAGAAGCTACTGTTACTGAACATGATCAGCCCGTATCGGCAACAGTGGACGGGCTATGTTATCAAAACTTACAGTGTCTTGTCTTGAGCCGGTAAAATGTCCATGAAAGTTTGAAATATTTGCAAAACCACTCCTGTAATTGATTGGTCGGATGTTACTTCGCGAACCATTCTAATGTTCCACATAAGTTCATCTATGAACTCCTGTTTCGGTGTCAGAATACCACAACAAACTCCACGGTTTAACTATAATCACCATTAAGAAGCTTTTCCCCATTTCGTTTCGATCGCTAGGACTTGCTTTCCCCTCTCTGTATATGGAAAGAACGGAACGTTCAAACGTCTTTAGTCGCCGAATCACGTTCTCGCTGGAAAGATACTCTGTAGACTGAAAATGATTATGTAGTTCCATAAGCTCGGCATAAACTGGACAGCGGTCCCGTGGCACGATATTCTTAAGGCGTATCGACATCGCAGGATTATTGCAGCCATTAGTGTAGGCGACACACACATAACTAGCCCTTGTAAAGAACCACTCCATTTTGAACGGAATTTGCGCTTTGATACTCCGTTGTGCCTTCCGATCGATCCCATAGAACTTGCAGCCGCGAAGATGTTTCGACGGTTGCTGGTAGTCGTGTTGGAACACTAAGCCCCAGAAACTGTACAAGTGTGTGGTCGAGCGGCTCTCGGAGGGACAATCACAAATTGGCGACCTGACTCCAGAACTAGCCTTCTTAGCTTTCTTTGAAACGGTTTTCCTCGACACTGTACGATCAGAGAATTGTCTGGATGAGGAACCGCTGGAGAGGTACTGAAATCTTTCTGTGCTATCAGGAAGAGACTGTGATATCATCTGGTAGGGTCCCGTATTCGCTCCCGTTGGCTGCAAGAGTGGGACGAGTTGGTTCATCTTGCAATAACAAGTCAGCCTAGGAAAAACTCATGAAGAGTGAAATGCTAAGAGTTGTGATAATTTGTCCACTTACCATCTCTCTCATCTCTGTAACTTCTCCAGACATCGCCAGATTTGTCGAAGCCATCGAGTGCACGCCGGTTTGTATCATTGTCAGCTGTTCACCGGTGTTTTTTCCAAGGTCCTGGATACTCCACTGTGTTCGAAAAAGTTGCTGTTCGATATTACTGAAGCTATCAGTGATAGTGCGCTGTAGTGATTGAAGCTGGTCGTAGTTGTCCTGAATCTTCGTATGTAAATCCTTTACTTGATCGTTTTGGATTTGCGAGCTAGCCTCTAGCTGTCCAATAGAGGTCTTGATGGTATGGACCTCATCATGGTGCGATATTCCAAGGTTCCTGGCGGTATATTATCAGTCACGATTACTACGGGGGCAGGTAGTATTCTTACAGAGATGCGATATGTATAGCCGAGTTCAAGTTCTCCATTAGTCTTTGCAAAGTCTGGCAAAGTGAGACCAGTTTTCCTTCCAAAAATGGGTACACGAGTAGACGCCCTGCCTCTTTCGCCTTTCCTTGTATGCCTATTGGGTTCTCCGGACCTCTGCGCTTGATGAGCAATTGCTGAAATTCCAGGAGTGTCTTCTCGCTGTCTCGGAGACATTGTCGAATAGCAGCGGAATCGGCAGGCCCCGTTCGGTCAAGCTTAAACAGGAGGTCGTTCAGTGATAAGAACATGGAAACCAGCGTTTTGACTTCTCCCAGACCCTGCGCTATTTGCTGTTTTCTTCCCTCGATCGAATGTAAGTACGAAACCAGTCCTTGGCAGACCTGTATACCTAACGATGCAAGACCAGCAGCGCTGGCCGCCACCGAGAGTGGATCAGGCATACTGTATGGCGTTTCCCGCCCAGAATCGCGTATGATGAAGAGAGAAAGAATCTGGGAGAAAGAAAATTTCAATCAGGCTTGGACTATGATATTACTCGCAAAGCAATCAGGCATTGTCAGCTCACCTCATTTATGATCCCCGCACGCGCCAACGCACACATCAAAACACCAATGATGGAGGGCTGCACGCAGCCACTATGCCTGCGTCTTTTCTCTGATTCGAAGAGGGGAAATTGCCTGCAGAGAGAAGGCAACCATCGTTACACAACATGTCAAACACATCCATTAGGCTTTTCAAGAGATGCCCAACCTGACGCACAGTTTGGCGAGGGAAGGCAAACTAGAAGTCTGCCTTCTGAGGCTGAGCGATACCTGGGCGCGGGGAAAAGTGAGCCGTAGGCAACACTGGCTTTGTGCTCTGCCTCTTTCTAGGATCGTCCGTAAGCGCGATAAGAAAGCGTGGTAAGAAAGGAAATATGTAGAAAGGTTCTTGCCAGTATCTCAGTATCGATGAAACTGCGGAAAAAGGCATATATCACCAAACCCCTCTCCTTTTTAGGGCAGAGGAGGCTTCTCGCTACTCAGGCAGGTAGGTGAAGCCTGATATCTCGTGGCTAGGTCAGCAAGTTGATTCGAGGAATGCACTGAGAATAGGTATGGTTCAATTATGGATTCTTCAAGATATGCTTGCTGCTTGATGTTCAACTTGAGGGCCTTTCATAGCAATGCAAAACACGTACATCCGAGTATATATTCTTCAGGTCGTTGATTCTATCGCATCATTCTACATCAGATCATTCCTTATCCAACAAGATCGCGCGCGGTTTCCTCTAACAAATACCCGTCAAAGCCGCCAGCCCGGTAACATTGTCCACGCCGGGGACCGCATCTTCCTCCAACAGCTTGTCAATCTTCTCCTTCTTCTTAATGCGCCAAAACGCCTGTGCGCCTTCCGCAAATCTCTTACTGATATCTTTGACTTCCTCGTCGGGGCACGCCGCAAAACACAATCTGTAGCAATTGTGGCTGTCTTGCTCCTTTATTTCCTGCGTTGCCGCGAACATGGCTCCCGGGGCAACGAGACAGAGGTAGGGCTTGAGTGTCCAGAACACCCAGAGTGCCTGCGAGAGGCGTGGCGCGGGGACGACCTTGGCGAGAGGGTGTGAGGCGAAATCGAAGCGGATCCACACAAACATGCCACCAAGAGGTCGGACGAAAGAGTAAATCTTTGTCTTCTCAATAACGGCCCATTCGTCCTCTTCATCTGCGAGTGATTTGCGGCGTCCAGCTTTCACGACTTCCTTTCCTGCATCGAGCGCGTCGCACATTGTTTGCATTCTGCGCTCGTAGTTGCCCCTCAGACCCTCGAGCCAGCGCACCCAGCCGTCGACTTTCCAGCCATTTCCGTCCGCGGCGCCTCCTCGTCCAGGGTCTTTGGAGCCTTGTGGGCCAATGAGCAATTCAGCGATCATGGATTGCACGAAGCCGGAGGGCTGCTGAGTTGAACACTCCGTGATGCGAAGAATGCGTTCTACGAGCGCGGGCTGTGCGGTGATCCAGCCCAGACGGCATCCTGGAGCTACAGTCTTGGAGAAAGTGTCCAAACGCACAACGCGCCCTTGGTAGTCGACGCTGAGGTAAGAGGGGATAAGGCTGTCGAGAAATTCAAAACCTGAGGATTTGGTGGGGCGGGGAGATACGCTGCTTGGTGATGAGGAAGGGTATTGCAGATACCAGTATGGGTCATCTTCGACGATAATGACGTCGTATTTGACGCAAAGCGCGTAGATTTCAATACGTCGCTCAACGGAGAGGGTGCCAGATGTTGGGTTTTGGCCGATAGTGACGGTATACATGAGGTGGGGACGGCGGCCCTTTGAAAAGTCCCAGTTCTCCAGAACCGACTCAAGTCCTCCTGGGCCCTTGGCCAACATGCCTTGGTCGTCTATGGCTACCGGCGCGATGTTGAAACCCCGAGGTTTGGCAGTTTGAATGGCGTTCATGTAGGCGTACGACTCGCACAGTAAGCCTGGCCTCTCCTCAACAGGATCGTGTTCCGCCGACCACTCATTGCTGAGCGCCTGTAAAGTCTTTGAAAAGCCATCGGTGGAGCCACAGGTCAGGATGACTTCTGGCCCATCTTTATAGGGGACAAATGGATGCAAATTGTCTCTTGTGAACTGCCGGATGAAATAGTATAAGGCAGGGTACCCTTGTGCCTGTCCATATTGTAGTGCTGACTTTAGATCGATCATATGAAGAGGGTCTGGCACACTAGAGTCCTTGGGCACCACGAGGCGCGAGGCGGGCGGCTGCTCATCTTTGTTCTTGGAGACGGATAGCTCGGATAAGCGGACTGTTGGAGGGTCGTCGGCGGGCGGGTCGACGGGTTTGTTGGGCGTTGGTTGCCATCGGTTTGGGTGTGCGACCTTGGCTTCGAGGGTGTCGTATGGGAAATAGTGGTCGTTTGGTAGGCCTAAGCATTGTAAGTTTACTAGTGTTCAGGGTTTCTGAGCATATCTCGTACCTCCTGCTAGCTGGCCAATGCCTGGAATCGCAAAGTACTTGTAGAACTTTTTGACGCTCGAGGCTTCTCGAGCTTTGGTGCTGCGGGACAGGTGGTGGGTGAGATCGATTGGGGCGGGGAAGGAGCCGGGGTCGGTTGTGTAAGGTGCCATGGTGTTACCTTGGCCGCCAATTTCAATAGGGCCGCTCTACCGTGGTACGTGGATGCTAGACTACAACTATCACGGCGACAGCTGTCGGGGGTGTATCTGACAGCTTAGACATAGTGGAGCCCCAAGATATAGAGATGCGCCATGGTCCGCGGCGCTGGTCCGCCGATAAGAGACTGATTAGCAAGCCGCCCTGCTGATGACGACACCAGACGGGAAGCTACAGTGCATAGGAAGAGTGACAAGCCGCACTCTCTATTGCATGTCCATCTCAACCACCTCCAGCGAGCGAGCTTACTTTGAGCAACAAATTTAGAGTCGCCAGTGGTCCATCTGCGCACTGCTCTCTGGTAACACGCGGCAATGCGTCTCGCTGATCTCTTAGCGCGCGTCATGAGGCCGGCAACGTCCGCATGATGCAGGTCCCGGAGCTTACCAGAGCTCTCTTCGTCGTCGACATGGACTCAGCCTGGGCTTGTCCTCTATCGCCTCCTTTTTGTCTTGGACCTCACTCTCACTCCCTGTAGACATACACAACTTTTCTCTAGACCATCCTCCCCCCTCATTCCTGCCGATAAGCATTCGTTCCGCCTTCAAGCTGTCGTCGCCAACCTCCCGCCACGAGCTGGCCTCCCTACCAGACATGGGACCACAGGACGACATTGACGACGAGGGCGCGCCTCCCCAAATCTACCGCGACGAGGAGAATGCCAGTCCATTGTCCGCCGAATCCGCAGTCCTCATTGCCAACTCCGACGCTTCCGACCAAGAGTACTATGCCCAAGAGCCGTATTACGCCAGCAAATACATACCACCACGGTTACAACGTACATGGGATAGTGTTGTCGTATGGGTCAGGGGTCCACAGCCACCGCGACCGTGGAAGATAAGCCCAATTTTCCCCAAGATACAGACGGCACCTATCCATTTCATGAACAATTATTTCCCAAAGAGAAAGCACAGGGTGCTGCTGTTGATATTCTTCTACGGATGTTGGCTGTTGACTTTCGGACTGGTCTTACATCGTAGTGCCTTTGCGGCGGATCTACCGGGTTATGGAAGTCCAGTCCAAGTGCGATGTACAGACCGCTTCTGGAATGACGGCAATGGCTGTGGCTTGAATGGTGATCTTTGTCGACCCTTTGAAAACAGCTCTATGCCATTCCGCTGCCCCGCGAACTGCAAGCGCGTGCAGCTGCTCAATCCACATACTGTGGGAGATCAACAAGTGAATTATCGACCCCTGGTTATTGGAGGCCCGACGGACGAAGAGCAGACACTAGAGAACACATACTACCGCGCCGACTCCTTCATCTGCGGAGCAGCCATCCATGCTGGTTTCATCAACGACGCGTCTGGTGGATGTGGTGTAGTGTCCCAAATTGGTGAAAAGAGTACATATGCCAGCGTCAACAGGAAGCGCATCAAGAGTATAGGCTTCGACTCGTACTTTCCGAGGTCCTTTGCGTTTGTCCCGGGTACCGCTGCAAAATGTCGCGATCTGCGCTGGCCATTGCTAGGCGTATCCCTGACCTTTACCATTCTTCTCTCTCTTTTCACCACCTCACCTCCTGTCTTCTTCACGTCAATATTCGTAGGCGTATTCTTCCACGTCGCACTCGCATCAGACCCACCCAATCTGACCGACTATTACGCCATCATCAGTATCGATCTTGGACGTTTCCTACCCGCGAGCTTCTGCATGTATGCCGTGTATAGATTTGCAGTCCGACGCCAGTTACAGGGCCTGCACGCTCAGGTAGAGAAGACTATCCTCTGGCTTGGCGGGTGCTGGATCGGTGCTTTGAACAACTACACTTTTGACAAGATACCAATCGAACGCCTAACGCCTCACGACATCAAGAACCAGCCAGGTGCTGTTCCTGCACTCATCATTATTGTCTTGACATTATTCTGCATTGCTATTGGTCAGGCATGGGCGCTTCGCGTAGAGGGTCGTCTACCGCGCTACCTTGCTGTCTACGGCATTTTCGTTGCTTGTATTCTCACTCTGGTCGCGGTTCCAAGGATGAATGTCCGCATCCACCACTACATCTTAGGCTTACTTCTTGTTCCTGGGACTTCCATGCAGACTCGCCCAAGTCTTCTCTTCCAGGGTATCCTGATCGGCCTCTTCATCAACGGTATCGCCCGCTGGGGCTTCGATTCGATACTCCAAACGCCCAACGAACTTCGCGGTGACGCTCCGATTGGCTCATTGCTTCCTCTCATCACTGCCCCGATCATTCACAACAACCTACACCTCCATCACTTGAGACCAAACATTACGTTCGAGTGGCACCTGCCTTTTCCTAAACATTATGATGGCATCAGTATCTTGGTCAATGATGTTGAGAAGTATCACGGGTACAAAGACAGGATGAAGGATAGCTGGACCTGGGTCAGGCATATGGAGGGTGTGAATGAATATTTTCGATTTGGATATCTCAAGGGTGGTGGAAGAGGCGACTACACGAAAGCAGGCGTCTGGGGAGCGGACGGCGGATGGGCTGAGATGGAGTCTGGGCCGTCGTAGCTAGCTTCTGAAGTTGGATGATTGTTCATGAGAGCTGTACGCCTTCTCGATGATCTAAGCATAGCCATATGAACAGTCGTCACACAGAATGCTTAACTCCGTGAACTCCTAATATAATTTACTTAGCTGGCGTCAGAACCCGAAGTCTATGCCCGTCTAGGCTGGAATACCCCGCTCTTGCTTCTACTGTCCGCTTGCATCTACAGGCTTTAGGCCCATGATCCGCCACTGGGCTTACATACAATGCTATACCTAGACCCTCTTCTTTGAACATGAATAATCTCGCGTCGCGAATTCGCCGACGACCGAAGGTAGCTCTTAGCGCGATGGGGCGTTCAAGCTTCCCCACAAACGTCATCCCATGGCTTCGACGCCGAGATCCCCGCGCTAGTTTGCATAAATCATGCGACTGACAGCATTTGAACGTACACCTGGGAAGCTCGTGTGGGACTTGAAGCGGGGTGAGGTGAGCAGCTGCACAAATGTTCGCCCGAGCTGTGCCTATAAAGACAGCTCTCGTTACTCCGAACTGGAGCGTGTTCTCGCGAACAATACAAGCATTAAACATCACGAGACAAGTCGGTGCAACAAAGACTATGGCCACTGCATCGAAGATTCACCTCGAGGCTTCACAACAGCCGCAGTTCTACGTCAAGGGACTCACGGCTGAGAGCGCGGCGAAGACGAGCCAGTTATTGCAGGTCAACCATGAGAAGTATCACGTCTTCTTCAACAGATCTGGCTTTCATGTAAGACTTCCCTTCTTCGACTTCTTGGCTAGTATCTTTCTTACCCAATGTGCCAGAACCACATAGCGCATCATCTCCTCACGCTCTTTGCCCTCAATGCCTCGCCCGCCGAACTTCAAAAGGGCTACGATGACAACGTGTCCTATCAGCGTCCTCCAGAGCCGTTGAAGGATTCTATCGTCGACGACATGCATGATCCTGAACGCTTCAAAACGTACTTGGGCAAGGAGAAATACTACCATGATTTCCTCGTGTTCTTCCAGAACGAAATGGATGCCAAGGGTTGGCACAACGTGGTGAATGAGTACCTCTTTGCTGGCGATGAGCGCGCAGATGACATGCTAGTTCGTCTCTTCGGCGGCTTCTTACACCCGATAATACATCTTGGCTTCGGCATTGAGTTCCAACAGCCTGCCATCGTTGCGGAAGGGCTGGCGCAAGCAGCTGTGCATGACAACTGGATGGCGTCGCTCTTCTTTGGCTGTGAAAAGGCTGCTGAGGCTAATAGAGGGAAGGATCGGCCAAAGAAGACTATAGTACAGCTGTTGGAAGAGTGCAGGAACGATGAGAAACTGAGCAACGCGCCGCACTTTGACGATGGGAACAAGATCAGGGAAGGTATCATGCAAAGAGCGCCAAACGAGATGATCAAGTACGCAAGCCAGTATACAATCGACGAAGATGAATTGGAAGAAAAGACAGCAGAGATGATCAACGCCACTGGTAAACCCTCTCATTCCCTACCAACAACCCCGCTGACCAGGAGAACAGCATACTACACCAGCGCAGCACAACGCCCACCCCACCAGATCAAATTCGACTTCTTCTACATCCACTGCCTAAACAGCAGCATCTTCTTCTCCGCCTTCCTCTCCCCAGCCAACTCCTTCCTCACCCCCGCGACAAAACGCCGCCTCCTAGAATGGAAAGTGTGGAACGACATGACCATGTACGTCAGCCGCGGCAGCCCGCCCCTCGTCCTGTCCGAAATCACATCCTACAAACCCACACGACCCTCCGGCTGGCCTGAGATCTTCAAACGCGTAAACACCCTCGACGACGACGACGGGCATGCGTCGAAGCTGGTCAGAGCGCTGGCACATGGCGAGCAGGCGTGTGGGCCGTACAACAGTGGAGGAGAGGGCAAAGAGGGGTTTGAGATCAAGGGCGGCGCGTGGTTGACGTTGGGACACATGGCGATTGATTCGGTCGAGGCGGGGAGCGCGAAGTGGGTTAGGAGTTGTGGGTTTGCGCAGGCGTGGGAGGAGATCCCGCTCAGGGACGATGGGGCTGCTGCTCCTAGTAGGCTCTAAATCGCGCCGTGTTGTAAAAAATGGGCATGTAAGGGCTAATTTTTTCTCTCTTCTATTTGTCTTTTCATACTTTATCGATAATGGCTAGTTGGTTAGCAACGAGGGACTGCGTGCGGCATGCAGTGTGAGCTAGATTGCGTGGCCCGCTGCACGAACTCTGGGTTGTGCGACGCGGTGGCTTTTTTCCATCTGGCGTGGCTGGGTCTCCGTAGGGTTTTACATTTGTTGTGGTTCTCTTTACTCATCTGCCTAAATACCACGAGATACAAAGTTTTTTTCTCAGTATGGTAGGCTATTTATATTCGGTGTGGTTTGTCGTGTGAGAATATAACGGGGGAAGTCTGCCGCTCAGCCAATCGCGTTCCCCTTGTACCTGAGCGACTCCCCCTTTCCTGGTCTACGGCACGGATTTAGAGTGTGCGGGAATTAGTGGTCAGTCGTTTGATTATCTTGTATGTAATTGTATGGCGAGACGGGGTGCTGTAGTGCAGACGCGAGTTGGGAATGCGCTCTCGCGAAAAGGGATATTTTGGGAGCACGATTATCGCGCTGTTCCACGAATACAAGTCAGATACGAGGACAAAGTTCACGATAGGAGGCTGAATGGCAGTATTCTACCAGTGGAATGGTTGTGGTCCTGCAGGCCAGCTCACATCAGCGAGCAAAGCGCTAACCCCTGGGCACGACAAGCTATCGATAGGCTTTCCCGCCTCTGACGGCAAATTGGGAGGTGAGCACGAGGGTGGGCGCTTACGACGGCACCCACCACTCACCCACCTCCTCCCACTGCCGCCTTTTCCAGACTTCGGATGCGCGCAGTCGCCTGCATGTCACTGGGCGAGCAGCCGTGGGCTCAGCCTCGCTTGCTTCGCTCCGTCGCTTGGTCGCCTCGTCGCCGCGTCGCCACGCCAGTCAGGCCCTCTTGGATACCTTTGGCGCAATTTCCTAGGCCTGTAGGCCTGTACGCAGCGGGTACTTGCGCGATAGGCTGACGTGTTCACCGACTCAGAGGGCACACTGTTGTGCAAAGACAAGACCACTCTACGGTGACGATGATAGCAATAGAACGCTGCAGCAGGAGACGCATGATCGAGGGCAATCAACGCCTTTACCGTCGAACCACAGCCACCTCCATCATTGTGATGCGCCGTGAGAAAAACGGGGCCAATGATGTCGCCACGCTCGATGCGTATTTTGAGGCGACCTGGAGATTGCGATGCGATGCAGCACAGTCAGTGCACGCAGTGACCCTGACGCAGGTACCAGGCTGCGCGGCGATCCGTATCTGTACAACGCCAGCCAATGTGCAACGGGGGGCACGCAGAGGAGCAGGACAGACGTGGTGCGAATCGCCTTGTTCGAGAGCCGCGTGGTGACAACGAGCTGTGTGTCTGGCGTCGACGGGACCTGGTGGTGGTGGTGGTGCCCTGGAGATTGCGGCGTAGAGCCATACAACATCCTCAACCCCCCGTCTGGCTCCTCGCAAGGCTGCTGGAGCTACAGCGCTGCACAACTGGGATGGACCCCTTGGCCACATGTTTCAGCTTACGACTTTCGGTCTAGCGGCCGGTTGCTTGTTGTGGCCACGGTCCAACAGGAGCGCGGTAGAGCACCTCAGGGCATCCATGCCTAGGGGCCAATCTATGGTTTCACCTCGCTAAACCGAGCATTCCTTCATCTCCCCTTGAAAACCGACGCTCGGGTCCCAGTGATATTCGGCCGCTTCCCCTCCCTTTCACTTCCTTTTGGTCTCGCCCTTGCCGTATTACTGTCATTCCTTTGCCGTCTGCTGTTGCTCTTTTGCGACATCCCACATTCGTTATCATCGGTATCTGTTGTGTACACAACAACCACACTCTTTTCTGTACATCCGACTCAAGCGCGCGCCATACTATTGGAACTATAGACGGCTAGGAAAAGGTACCATTCATCGCCAACGTACAGTCAATTGAACCACATCGCCAACACAACAGACCAGACCCAGCTATCGATAATCAACATCGCGAAATACCCCCGACAGCGAATACCCCCATACATATCGCCGAACGTACAAGTACACGACACACTTCACTATGAAGTCCGCCGCATCTCTCTCGGTCGCCGCAGCCCTGCTGTCCGGTGCTGACGCCTTCTGGCGCATGCCCTGCACCTCCCGCACAGCCCTCGCGCGTCTCGACCCCATTGTCGATGTAGGCGTAGCCTCCAGCCACGGCCACACCATCCACGGTGGTAGCAGTAAGTAAACAAGTCCACTTTTCCGTTTCAATCCACTTTGGAAGCACATGAACGATGGGCCATGGTGGGTACTCTATCAGGGGTTTCCATTCAGGAGATGTAAACCACGTGTGAACCATGGCTATTAAATGGTGTGCCGTCTCTTGAGACAGGTACGGTTTCATCGTGAAGTATCGTTCGCTAACCCTCGAAATAGACTTTGCCGAGAGGACGTCCTACGATGACCTGAGGAAGTCGGAGTGCACCTCTTGCCAATTCAGCGACGACAAGTCGGCGTACTGGACACCCTCTCTGCATTTCGTCCATGATGGTGGCAGCACCGAGATCGTTCCCCAGATCGGTGGTATGCTTGCATACTATCAACTGATCGGTACCAACCTAAAGGCCTTCCCCAAGGATTTCCAGGCCGTCGCTGGAGACTCCCGTCTTCGCAACTTCACCGGTCCCGTGCCTGACCCGCCAACGTCGGCATGGACTGATGATGATATGACTCAGGTCTCGCTCGGCCAGAAGGCTATCGGTTTCAACTGCATGAACTACAACAAGAACCCTGAGCCATCTCGATACCGCCATTTCCTCCCCTCCAAGGACTACCTAGATGAGAACTGCGCCGATGGCATTCGCGCTGAGATCATGTTCCCATCGTGCTGGAACGGCAAGGACACCGATTCTCCTGACCACAGGAGCCACATCGCTTACCCCAACAACATCGCTGGTGGCCAATGCCCGCCCGGCTTTGAGACCCGTCTGCCCTCGCTCTTCTACGAGACTATCTGGAACACCAATGCCTTCAAGGGCAAGTCTGGACAGTTCGTTTGGTCGAACGGTGACCCCACCGGTATGTTTTCTCAGTATTCTGGCTCGTTGAACAAGAACTAACATGCAGCAGGCTACGGATACCACGCCGACTTCATCAACGGCTGGAACATCGACACTCTCCAAGCTGCCGTCAACGACTGCACCAGCCTGTCCGGCTTGGTCGAGGACTGCCCCCACTTTGCTGGTTCTCTGCAAACCCAGGCTCAGCAGGGAGAGTGCAAGATCAAGGATTTGCCCAAGGCTCTCGACAACGATGACTGCGCCGGTCCCGCCAAAGGCCTCTGCGGAAATGTCCCCGTTCAGTACGGTCCGGGATACGCCAATGCCTTGAAGAACGGTGGACATGGCAAAGAGCCAACCGTCAAGCCGACTCTGTCGTCTGCTGCGCCGGTGCCCACCCAGAGCTATGCGTCTGCCAAGAGCAAGGTCGAGGGCGTCGACGTTTACAACGTCCAGCCTTCTTCCGCCGCTGCCTCTGTCTATATCGTCGTCGCTGCCGCCAAGCCCACCCCTGCTTACAAGGCTTCTCCCGCTGCTCCTGAGCCAATCAAGCCTACCGTAACAGTGGCTGCTGACATCAAGAACGCGCCCAAGACAAACGAGGATGGCAGCATCCTCTCCACGACCACCTACACCAGCGCTGGCACCGTCTACGAGGTTGCCATCAAGGAGGTCGCCGTCACGGTCACCGTAGAGGAGCCCGCCAAGTACAAGAACCGCCGCCACGCGCACCTGCACCGCAAGGACCGTCTCCACTAAAGCATTATGTCCCCATGAAGTTTTAGCGGTATATCTTCTTTGATGACGAGTAGCAAGCATTCTTAGCAGCAGCAGCAGTGGGCATTCATTGGGTCAAGCGAATGCATCGGGCAGGCGTTTTCAATTCACGAACGAAAGGAGGAGGGGGAACCAAGACAAAAACAAAGACACTTCGCTTCTTTCTGGCATATTTCAGCTTTACTACACTCCCCACCCCTTTTTACTCCTTGGAACCTCGTTTATTTCCCCCCGGGGACCCGCGCAGCTCAGAGCAAAGTGAATATGATATGCGTGGCTAGATTCTTTCTGTATTGGTACATATATAGCAAACTCGGTTTCGGTTTGAATACTTTTTACTCCATGTGGGCCCCCCCCGCGCGAGGCTTTTGTTGCTGTGGTTCGTTTGACAATATCTTTTTTCTATTCATTTGTTTGTTTGAAATTTTCCTTGCGTTTTGCCATTTTAAATCACTACTCCTACTATGCTGTGTGTAGTGTGTGTGGAGATTTTGGGGGCTGGGTAGGTTTGGGGGGCGCCTGGGGCTAGGCTGATGAGTTAATGGCTGGGCCGTTTACTCGACTCTAGTTTCCCCCGCCTTCCTACTTTCCCGCCCCCGTGTTTATTGATGATTGTGGTTTGCTTGATTCGAGGTAGAAGAGAAAGAAACAAAGGAGAGATTTAGATGTTAGTTTTGTTCTTTTTTGCATGTTGGTTTGGCTTTTTGAGATATCCCCGATACATACATATGCACGCCTGTGCTATCTATCATGATACCTTGATTCTTTCTTTCTCACTATTTGTTTTGCTGTTTGATTGATTGATTGATGGAGTGAGACGCGCCTTGTTCTTCTCCCTTGTCACATCTGTTGCCTAATAGCGCGACGTATGTTCTAACTTCCAACAGCGTCGTGCGCTTGTACGTTACGTGATAATGCTCTTCGTGCCTTCGAATTCGAATAGCTTACGACACCACGCCGAACGACGTGAATCCACATCGAGAGTTCGGTTCCAGGTTCCAGGTCTTGTCCTAGTCATTTCCAATAATATCATCTCACTGTTCTTAGAGCATAAGTAACAATGCTCACTTCTGCTATGATTCTTTTGGCCTTGAGACGTCAGCCGAGGTATACACCAAGGTCCATCAAGTCCGCTGTGACACTTTCATTCACGAAAGCACGGATTGCAGGGTCATTTCACAAGATTGAGACGTGCTAGTTGAAGGCACTAACTACACGGTTTAGATCTTAGGATTTGGTGTTACCCTAGTGTTGACGTACAATGGTGAGGCGGAGTCAACTTCCCGAAAACGGGATTCTGTATACTGAAGCGCCCACCATCTCGTTGACGAGGAACACACAACGAGAAACGGTTTACGGAGGCGCTGTGAGATGTATATGAAGAGCCGACGAAGGTCGCAAAGCTATCGTTACTATCTTCCGTCTCAGCCTTACTCTTGTCTACAGTGATATCTCAGTCTATTGTCAGTTTGTCCGTCAACGTAGTTCACTATTTTCCCTTCACTCGTATTGGGACCATGTGCAATACCAATACGCAGCGCTGGTTAGCTACTGTTCTTATCCTCCCGTCAAATCTGGCAACGGAACGATCGCATAGGGACGATGAAGAGCTTGCGGAGTACCTACAGGTGCTAAAAGACTATATGACTGAGGTAGAACCTCGACTTGTAGGTTGCTTGATTTTTTCCTTGGCTTTGCTGCGCCGCTGACGAAGCCTGAGCACTAGCTACCGAAGCAAAGCTCTCCAGTGTCTGCAGATACACAAACTTGCACTTGTGGAGTTGGCAAAGGATGTCACGCCAGCGCAAGAAGCGAACAGTGTGAAAATGGCAGGACTTAGTTGACGGTGATAATGTGGTGGGATAAGGCAGCCGGCAAATACGCAATAGAAGGATTGTGGGCGGAAAGATAGTGATGTTTGCAGCGATAAGTTGAACCTGAAGAGATGTTGGCTGGCTATATGCATAGGGCAAGGGCGAAGGGGCACTTTTCATCGATTTCGTATGCCACGTTTGGTTTCATCAAGTATATGCAAATACCTTGTATAAAAAGTACCCCAGTGTTGGCTACAACTAATAAGAGAAAAGTTGTGGCTTAACGGGCGAGAGAGCCTGGCGACACGATCCCGGATATACTATGACTTCCAAAGCTTAGACCGAGAGCCTGAGCAAATGATTCTACGTCCTCACCCTACTCTTCGGAACAACATCCGCGCTTCCGCCCAGTAGCACGGTTACATATTTCGTGATAGGTGGACGGATATAAATAAATGTGGGGTTCTAAGCGCTGCTTTCTTGTTGTGAGCTGAGTGGTGAGCGTGCCGCGTCAACAACCTAATTGTCCCACAAAAACATAAATAGACGCTAGCGCATTGATTCATCATTCGGCTGCCATCCTGTATATCAAAGCTTGCAAGAATTTCCGCGTTGAAGTCGAAATCAAAAATCAAAAATCAAAAATCAAAAATCAAAAATCAAAAATCAAAAATCAAAAATCAAAAATCAAAAACGATTTCTACGTACTCTTTACTGCTTTGTCTAGTTAGCGAGATGTGTCATCCCCCACTATCTACAGACATAAATAGCTGCTTTTCTCGATGTTCCTCCATCTTCCAAACATTCTTCTCGCTCATAATTACGATCCGAGAAACCACGTCATTTAGCTATTCACCGCCAACCATTTCGTAAGCACCTCAGCATACCCCTAGACAATAATTTATAGCTAGCTTCTCGCTGGATAAGAGTGCATCATTACTTTGTTCGCATCCCCAAAGAACAAATGGTGCCTGTTCAGTTCAAGATTACTGAGCTTCCATACGACCCTGTCAACACCCCACGCAGCCTTCCTTCGCCTCAGCAACCTGCAAACGTAATTCGGGGCGGGGGCAAACGCCAGTCTCGAAGGGCGGCTATCACAGATGACATAAGACCACCAATAGACAGAGCCATAAGGCCAATGCCCAAACGACGAGGCTAGCTCACGGTAGACTATGCCAGAGCAATTGCTGTACGGAGCGTATTTTTTAGTAGACAGAATAGCCCACGCGGACCCTTCGGTTACGCCATTGGCTCGGTCCGCCTCGGGCAATCTTTCGCTTGGGTTCAGGCCGTCCTGGACCTTGAAGAAAGCGACTCGGACGATATTCTGCACTGGAGTGGCGATGATGTGGGCGAAGAAGTCTTGCGAGACTTTCAAGTGCTGTCTCTAGATGAACCTGGCTCTAATTTCCTGTTTGGACGCGCTGCTCTAGCAGGGTCATCGGCAGATGCTGTCTTCAGGGGCACGCAGTACGATGTTGATGACTCGCCATCGGAGATGATAGCCGCGAAAATGGTCTTGAACAAGAAGGGACGCTGGATTGGCGACGAGATCCAGGATATGGATCACTATAAGCTCAATCAGATGAATGTAGAGTTCCCGCGTGAAACCCTTGAGCTGATTGGGTACGCCCGGCAGGTTTTAGGTGAAAATGAAGCAATGGAGAAAAGGGAGGCGGGGCTGGAGGAACGAGAGAGCGCCGTGGAAAAGCGCGAGAAGGCTATGTAGGAGAAAGAAGATCGTCTGCGAGCTCTTGGATTTGTCTTGTCGCGCATAAACAAAGACTAGGTAGATTGTACTATTCTTAGTGTCTTGTCGGCTACCTTCTTGCTGATATTTGTGACTGCAATGTCTGACCTCTTGGTCCTCTCCTTTGCGCAATTGAAGTTCTTCCCTGCTTCTTCCCAGTGCTAGAATGGTTTGGTAGGCCAACAGTGATTACTTCGTGATGTCCGTCGCCATCATGAGCACGACAGAACCTCATCTCGCCATAGCTGATTAGTAGAACTTTTACTTTGGTTTCAATCGCGTGGTCTCCAAGTTTCTTGAAGATATCTGAGAATTCCTTCCTGAACGAGAAATCTTTGGTTAGCGGCGCTAAGATGGGGGATATAAGTTCTGTATCCACGATGATAAATACTTCATCCAGATCTGCGAGTACGGCGGCCAACAATTGGAACCAGTCTTCCTCAGTGCGTGCAGATTGGAACTTGGCGCAGCTTAACGCCATAAATCGCTCGGTTCGCTTCACTCTCTCAATGCCAAGCGCTTGCCAAATCAGGTATTTTAGCAAGTCAATCGCCGTCACATCCTTCCCGTCATCTACAGTGATTCTCAGTGTCCACACTATGGCTACCTGTGCTGCGGACACCAGCTCGACCAAGTTTGTACCAAAGTCGCGAAGTTGTGTTCGAAGACTGTATGTGCCTCTTATGATTACCAAAGACGACTTCTCCGACTGAGACCATTCTTGAAATTTATTGGTAAACCAAAAAGGAGAGAGGGCGCTTTGAGTCCTGGAGCGGCGCCGTTTGTTGTTCTGATGTATGCCGTACTGCAGGGCTTTAATGGGGTCGATAAATAATGGAGATGATAGCGAGGCAAGTATTTGGGAGAGTTGGAGGTCGGAAAGACGATGGTTTGTGTCAAGTTGATGGTTCAAGCTGATAGCATGATTTTCTGTGAATTTGTTAGCGTGGTATGACATTATGCACTTTATTAGAGAAGGTAGTACGGATAGTGATTTGTTTGAGCTCCTTTATGAGCACATTAGCTTCCAGCTGTTGGTCCCGCATGGCCATAATTTCTAGCCTCATATCCCGGATTTCAGCTTGCGAAGCGGCCGTCGCGAACGCTGTGACATTCTGCAATCGCAGTTCAATCTCTTCTATCAAATCATCATATCTTAATTTTGCAGGTCTTGTGATTGAGTGGAGTGCGCGGCTCAGACTGCTCTCTTGCAACCAGTCCTGCGCCCGAACGAGAAACCTGATTATGATAGCATATAGCTCTGCCATTGCTGCTTTCATTTTCTTAGTTGGGTAGAGAGCGGAAATAAGCTCAGAGTGTGGTAGAAGACCCGCAATCTTGGCCAGGCCTTTCGATAGCGCAGCAAGGTGATCTTCGTGATTGATAACAGCCTAGACCTAACGTTAAACACAAAGTAGTTTCACCCCTACCCAGCGTCAACAGTACTTACTGTAAAAAGAAACTTCATAGCTCCCCATGCAAGGGCGACGTATTCGGGATGATGTTGTGCAAACGCGTCGAGGACAGTTCCATAGTGGTGCATCCGCTGGCTGAACTTTACGAGCCATTTCCCTGCTGGACGACGCGATCCAAGGTATCGTTTCTCCGCCGTGCTTACTGCAGACCGTAGGTCTTCGAGGCTAGTAGCATCTTGTACTGCCACTTTCTTCCGGTCATCCTGAGTGAGGTCGGATGTGAATTTTTGAATTGCAAGGTTGAATGCTTCCCTCGCGGCGTCAACATGGCTATTTCAAGTCAGATTCATGATTAGTTAGGGAAAGTGCGCATGTGAAAGCTACCTGCCTGATACATCCCCCGCATACCAATCTCGGAATTTGGATGAAGGCTGCATGCCGTACTAGCAGTTATATATACGATTTCAACTAAAAACAGGATGGTAGAGTGAAGGACTATATATCGAGGGTTTGATTTTCAATGACACGTCGGTTGCAGCCTAGATGCACGTGGGTGGGGGCTGGTAGTGCGGGGCAGTGCTTCCCTATCAGCCGCACACATTGAACAAAGTATTTCACCTCTACCTCTGTCTCATACAGCGCTCCAACACACTTCATTATACTATCTTCTAAGCTTTGCAGTTAATGCCAATTTCCGTTCCAAATACTGACGGCGCATCAAGGGTTGCGGTTGCTGGGGGGTACGTTACTGAAAAGGGCAACAAGGCATACCACAGCAGAAAGAAGCCTAAAGGCTTCGCGAAGAAGTTAACTATTTCAAAAGATAGGACCGAGGAAAGTGGATTCATCTCAGAAGGGTTGGCTTTGTCTGTCAAGCCAAGGTCAGTCCGTTTTACAGAGCAACTCGAAACAATCAGCCGACTCCACAATACGACACAGAAGCGGCTCTGGATCGTGGAATGGATAACTTCTCACAATTTCAAAAACTCAGCTCCCCCTGCAGACAACAGTGATTTCCCTATCCCTATTGACGCCTATCAAGCCCCGACGGACGACATCGACAGTATGGAGTCGCCTCCTAGGCGCGTAGATGATGAGAATAGCGAGGATCTGGGCATAAAATCTCTCCAATCTCCCCCATCTCCAATAGTTGAAATCAGAATCGCCAACGCCGCCCCAAGCGACGGTAAGGCTAGAGCTGAAGTGGACGATCAGTCTGTCACACTACTATTACATCTACCCCGACATACACGAATGGGACTAGCATCAGCCTCAGGAAAGGCTCATGATGAAAGTGGTTATTTCCGAAACGTATTCGAGCAGGATGCGGTATCGAATATTCTTGAAGAGGCTGCAGAGGAGAGTTCTACTCCCAACGCAGAAGATGGTTAGTTCGTCAATCACTTCATGTTTCTAGTCTCTAAGCACTGAGCAGACCATGACGTTACTTCACACCACCAGCCCTCTAGGGCCTTTACGACTCTATATCGAGACCGTAAGAACAGGATATATAGTTGTCCCCCAGAATGGATGGTCCAGGACTCCCAGCGTTACCTCTCTTTTGATGATCCAGTTGATTTGGAGAGTTATATCGAAGAGAATAACCAAATCTTTTTTATCATTATGAAAGATTATGATTATGATGGTCAGACAAAGGTACCCACAGTGCCAGTGTCTTCAAGCGAGTCTATTCTGTTTACGTCCTTCGAATTAGTGGATGCGCTCAACAAGTTCACTGGGAAGTTTCCTGGGTTCGATTCAGAGTTCGCGTCATTCATGATTGACAACGAGGTTCACGCGCCCTATCTCTTTGCCTACTATCTGTGGCCAGAATTAGAGTCAAAGCGGTTAGAACTCGACGAAAAGGACGATCGCCTTCTCAGCGTTCTCTTCAGCTACATCAACGAATTCTACGGCACAGAGTACGACGATGCTGCGCAACACATAGCGAGAGGAGTGGTTTGCGGAAGGCATCTCAAGTATTTGGTGAGGACTGGAAGTTTACTAGTAAGAAACAGCAGGCGTGGGCCTCCGTCCGCTTTTGAAGTCATGAACGATATACGAAGCGAAGGAGAGCAAACAATCTTTGATGATATCTACGATGATAACCGAGAAATTCACAGAGATGGCGAGACAGCTCACTTTTACTCGGTCTTCGGTTGGCGACTTACGTTTGACGGGAAATTCCATCGCGAAACAATGACACTGGATATTCGCATGTTTGGAGAGGCCCCAGTTCCAATCTCGAATTTGGACTTCTATCCGTTGAAGTATGCCCCTGAAAGAGTCAAGAACATCCTCTGCCGTCGAGGGACGATATTCTGGCAATGCCGAAATAGATGCTTAGTCTCATATAAGGCACCTGGGGCGCTGGAACCTCATGTTTGATACCCACCCTTCTGTGCTTGGAATAGTACTGACTCAACTATCAGACAGAAGACCGTTTCATGGTGGATTACAAGATGTATCAAAAGATTCACGGAGATGACCGAATCCTTCCTCGAATCCGTGCCGAAAGTGTTATAACTCCTGCAATGATGGTAAAAGATACCCCACCGGAAGGCAATTGGATATACCTTTTCCCTTCAAAAACTGTCGGCTTCAGTCTTAGACAAAAGAATTGGGGTATGTCAGATGGCGCCCCCAGACTCCAAAACATTACACAGATTTCACTTACATTGTATAGTTGATATCTTAGTCGACTGCCTAGAAAGTGTTGCGTGGAATAAACGTGCTTTCGACAATCTCGTCATAGAGCCAGACATAAAAGTGCTCGTAAGGGCTCTGATCACGAGCCGGATCAAAAGTGACGAAGGAACGGACTTGATACGAGGGAAGGGTAATGGACTGATACTGTTACTTCACGGGTAGGTGATTTAAACTCGTATTTTGGCTAATCCTGAACTAAGACTCTTAGGTCGCCTGGCACAGGTAAAACGTTTACCGCTGGTAAGACACTGACACCACACAACTCCTCTAGACAACAGCTAACCAAACTTAGAAAGGTTACATAACTCTTCCCGACTGACGAATGCGTCCGTTCTAATCCTATATTAGCGTCGCGGAGATGGCCGAGAAGCCGCTGTACAGAGTTACCTGTGGCGATATTGGTACAGATCCCGAAGAAGCTGAAAAGGTATTCGTCTTCCCTCAGGGGTATACCTGGCTAGACTGACGATATAGTACCTCGAGTCCGTCCTAGAACTGGGAACGGTCTGGGACTGCGGTAAGCTCAGATATCGGCGACAATTGAGAGAGTTACTGATAGTCCAAGTCGTGCTCCTTGATGAGGCAGACGTATTTCTTGAAGAGCGGAGCCTCACAGATCTTGCGAGAAACGCTCTAGTTTCGGGTACGTCGCGGTCTAGACAAGTGTCATGACATGCTAACCTCGTATAGTTTTCCTTCGAGTCATAGAGTATTATGAAGGCTCGTCTTGATGTGCCTACCTACACGAGGATTAGAACTGACCTTGAGTAGGAATCCTCATCTTGACATCTAACCGCGTCGGGACATTTGACCAAGCCTTCAAATCGCGCATCCAACTGGCTCTGCACTACCCGGCCCTCACCAAAGCGCAGCGTCGCAAGATATGGCGTAACTTTATCAACCGCCTCAAAGACATTAGCTCGGAGTCAAATTCACTGTCTGTTGACTTTGACGATCTGGCCGACCACCTCGATGAACTCGCTTCCGAGGATATGAATGGTAGGGAAATAAGGAATGCGATTACAACAGCGAGACAGTTTGCTAAGTTTGAAGAGAAAGAGCTAGGATATGAACAGTTGAAGTATGTAATTGGTGTTGCAGGGAAATTTGAGAGTTACATTCGTGGTCTCAACTTCGGAAGAACGTTTGAGCAAGTCGCAAGGGAGGATGGATTAAGATAGTAGTACATATGCAAGACTTTCAATCTCATAGGATGTAATCAACCCGAGCCCAACTGAAATAATTTAGTGATACCATGTATGTATAATGTATGTATAATGTATGCAGTTAGCGAATGTATGGTACGAGTCATGGAATATAGCAGAGTGGTCTCATGTGGATATGCACGTCTATATACATTAAAAATCAAGTGAGATGAAGACAGAGGCGCAGAGAAGTGGAAAGGTTCAAACCCAGTAGCTGCAGTTTTAAAACCGGCTCCTGCGATTAGTTCATAGCTGCATGTCGCGTTATCGAATTCTATCTTCAACTTTGAAGACAACGGCATCGGCTAAGTCAGCCAGCAAAGTCAGTCTATTTCATGTTCTCTTGTTGACCAGACGACGCTAGAATCAACCATGGTGTTGTTAATTGCATGATTGATACATCGTCTACAGCGCATTGCACGGAAATCAATGCCGTGTGTAGCCTACCAAGCATGTTCAGGCTGCTCAACCCGGAATTCAGGCCGCTTAGCCTTCTCTTCAACCCAGCCTTTATGACATCGCCGAGACCACAACAACCGGTACAGGACAGCGGTGCCCAAACAGAAATTTAAATTCTCACTAATTTTGAACGCTGATGATTACATTCGGCTCATCAATTTCCCAGCCACCCGTTTTGAAGATGCTGTGCGTGACCATTGAAGCACTGACCTCGCAAGCTGGTAACGATGCTTCGAGCACAACCAGACAGGATTTTAAGACTGCACAAAATAACTAGGAGGAGCAAAAGCTATCTACGATGGAAAAGCGTGTAGAGTTGCCTCGCACACGCGCTAGTTCTCTCGAACCACACAGCAAACTCTTCGGCCAAGAAGTGATCTTGCCTGCTTTCAGGTATATCAAGGATCAGAGCTTATTGAAGGGCTGAGGGGCTTGGAGCTGCAAGTCTCTGCTGTGCACCACGCCCCGCATCCAGACAGAACTAGCCCATGTACCATACCGAGTTGCTTCTGCCCTTCCGTTCCGCGTTGCCCGTGCTTCGCAGAGGCGAGGTCATGAAGTCCGCGGCGGGCAGCTTGAGTCCACCTTTACTAACCTGACTTATGTCCTCCTCCTCCTCTGATGGGCTGTGACACTCCTCGCCCGCATCCACCAGCTGACCTATGTGCTCCGAACTAGTCCCTACCGCGATCTGTGACCTCCATCTGTGACACCTCTGGGTGTCATTTGTGTGATGTATGCGACTGGGAACGCGGCATGGGAGTGCAGAGGGCTCGAGAATTGGCGCGAAACAGATTTGCGCTGCTGAAAGAGCATGACAAGCGTCTCAACAAGCTCTGACATGCTGCACGATTAATCTTAACAAATTCATCAGAGTTGGGTTCTTAGCTGCCCAGGCCACAACTTTGTTGATAACTCAACGAGATCCTAGGAATATTAGTAGCAATACTGATTGCTACCGGCCTGGCCGCGTCAGTCCTGTCTTGTCTGGTAGCAGGATTAGCATATTACTGTTAAAAGTGAAAGGCTAGGATCGTAGCTAACAAGGGACAATTCTATAGACCCGGTCTTCAAGAGTATGGTCAAGGCGGAGGGTAGGTTACGACTATATTACGCCTCCTGTGCTCTTCGATAGCGGTTCTACACCGGACGATGTCTACGGGAGAATCAAGGATATCAAAAGGTACATGTACAAATACTAGTAGAAGCCTGACAATGATTAAGCGGGAACGCAATAGACGTTGCCGTTCTCGGTCACATCAGAAACAGCCTTAGCAGTCTGCATAGCAGCTCTATCCACATCCTCAACCAAAAAACATTCGTCATCATCTTTCTTCCCGCCAACGGTCATGAAGGCGCCTTTAGTGTACTCTTCAAGCTTCAGTCTCCGCCCAAACTTGAGCCTCTTCACGCGGAAGGCAAACACAAATTCCGACTCGCGACTGGACTCTGTCGCATCATCATCCGTGCGAGTCCAGTGGCCTTTGGGGCCAAAGGTCATACCTTGCGTAGGCACGTCAACGCCGAGGTTCCCATTGACCGTCGTGCTCTGTGAACTCGAGTATTTGATTTTGGCGCCCTCACGAGCTGCATGCCCGTGACGATAAAGAGCTCGCTAACGAGCGCGAACTTCTGCCTGGGCTCTCTCAGCCATGTCTCCACGACCGGTACTCTAACAGCCTCTTCTATGTATTCCTGGGTCGGCTCAAACGCCAGCGTCGTCATTGTGTCGAACGCGAACGTATTTGCCGTCGTGTTCAAACGCTCAACGTTCACCTCGGGACCAAGAGGCAGTCCAAAAGTAGCCAGCTGCAGGAACTGTGCAAAGGTACCTAGACCGTGTCCTTTCTCGGTCGAAATAGTTTTCTTCCAGTGAGTCTCCACAACAGCTGGGAATGAATCAGCCACGGCAACAACGGTGGCTTTGTTTAGAGGGTATTGCGGTGCTGATGTGGAGCGGATTATAGACCCAAGGCATAGCGGGCCCGTTGGTGGTGGTTGTATGAAATCGGACGTCGGACACAGGAAATATGTCTTGGTAAAAGACATGGCTTCAAGTTTTAGATTCAGGTACCGGCCTTGGTTAGGATTGAGCGAACTGGTCGAAGGAGCAAAAGAAGAGTGTGAGTCAGAAGCTCGGGTTTTATAGGTACTTCCCGGGGCATGTAAAAACTGTTCAGGCTCCCTCGGTCGAAATCACCAACAGGCCCTAGAGTCCAATGATTTACATTTTTTCTGTCACACGACTAGATTGGCCAAGCTCGCAAGCTAATCAAGTCGTGCATATTGATTTGGCTTGATGTGGCCAGGTGCAGCAGCCGCGCCGCTAATCACGAGCAGTCAGCGCATTTATTACTTGTTGAATATGAGGAACTTTGGAACGCCGTATGTAGTAGGTATATTTAGATTCTTCTTTAACAAAAAGAAAGGGTATTTTAAAATTTTAGGGCTCTAGAGTACTCCAGAAAACAAGACGGTAATATCTAAGAAGCAGATCTCCTTGTCGATTTCGGCTCTAAATTGCTTAAATAAACCCACGATAGGAGAACTCATTTCAATACCGTTGTGGATGACGTTATTGGATACAGGCAGTCATAATAAGTATAAGCCATGGCTAGCAGCGATCCAATCATATGCCTCTCTTCACCATCGTACAGTCAGCGTTTGGAAGCATTTTCCAGTGGCCAGAAGCTCCGTACTCGGCATGTACACATGAATCAATGAGAGGAACAAGTAAGATTGCCGTGAGCATAGTCGAAGGCATCCATATACCCCATCAACTGGACCACAGCGGCGCATACCACCAGGATGTGAAAGATCGAATGTGAGCCCCATAAGTCAAACTTGCCAGGATATCGACTTTCGGGGAACCTGGTCTTTCAAAACCACATGTGTTAGGGTGAACCTCTCCTACGTGCGGGATTGGGAGCCTTACTGCATAAAACGAAGTCCCAGATAGAAGGCAGCCTGCCTTTGCCAGAGTATAGGGAAAAGATTTTCTCATCATCTGCGACATGCCGAAGACAATGAGACCATGAAACAAGGGTGCAACACCGGATAAGCCAGTCACTACGAACATTAATGTTCGGAAGAGGCGATACTTTGGGCCCTGGAACTTGGGATGCATTGTCATGACCATGGTCAATGTCCCGAACACTCCAATCTACCAACCAAGGGAAGAAGCGTGTTAGATTCAAGTACCAGGTCTGGGAGGAGGAAATGATTGGTACACATGGATTTTGACTAACCATAGACCAGTAGATATTGCGTGGCAAGGGTTCACACCAGAACACCATGTATATTCCCAAGACAAGGTCGCCTAGTATAAAGACCACTACCCCCAGCATGTCCAGTCGTAGGCATAAACGGTCGACGTGTTGGGAGTGGTTCAACAAGGTGTGATAGGTCGCCGACAACGATAGGCACGTGACGGCCGCCAACATGAAGATGGAGAAAGCAATGAAATCGGCGCCAGTGACTCCGGAGTATCTGCTGGTAAGGTACTGCTGAATATACCACTCGCCGAGCAGGAAGAGAACGGCCGGGATGAGGTGGGAGTATATGTTGACCGACTCGTTGTGAATATACGACCAACTGCAGAACGAAGCACGGGCCGAGCCTGAGATGGGCCTATAGCCATGAAGAATCCACTGGTTGGATTCACGTCGGAACCATTCTGGCATCTCATCGAACGAAAAAAGACCTGGGCGTCCTGCCTTGCCGGCCTTGGATGCGGTGCCGCTGATGGACTCCATTCCTCGCTCTCTGTGCGCCTCTGGCGGTTGCTCGGTCGGAACGGTCGGAACGGTCGGAACTCGAAGACGGGGAGCGAAGGCCATTTATTGTCGTGTCTGGTGATAATGTAATATGGGCGACATGGACAAAGAGTTTTCCCTCTCTCTTTTCTTCTTTCGGTTGTTCTTGCTACTGTAAGCGTAAGCGCCAGCCTCGCTGCTTAGAATTGTTATTACGGCCTGCACAGGTCGCGCGTGTAACGGCTTCCAAGGCTTTGCCTTATGTAATGCGGGGAAACTTCACGCTAAAAGCGGCAGGACGTTGCCGAGGCTACATGACCACTACCCCCTTCATCGAAACATGATGCAATAATCCAGGCGAATCCCAGACAAGTAAGAACCTAAAATCAGGATTCATTTTCATAACTTGTCTGGGGATGGGCTAACTCGCACTTAAGCCACACAGGCAGCCGTATTACTGCGACCATGTTTGGCGTCGTGTTGCTATACCGTTCATTCATTCCAACGCCACTTTTACTATTTTGTAGAGAGTCTCACAAGCTTTACCCTTTATTCTTCCTTGACGCAAGCCACAATGAATTGAGTTTATTGGGCGCACCAAGTGCCGGACCTGGTTACAGGACATCCAATAACGATACAGCATATTGGAGACTACAGCAAAGGCCCAGAACATATCCGTCGCGCACTCCGTGATATCAAATACTTGAAGCGAGCTAGTACGATTACCCCGCAAAGACACTCCTCGGTTTGACTAGTGCCCATGCTAAGTCGCGATGGTGGCATGTCAGTGTTGCTGGCGTCTCAGTCCTCGACCTGGCACTATCTGCGGCAGTTTATAAAAGTCCCAGTCATGTCTCCTCAAGAAGACCGCCCGCCTGCACAACATTCTCCACATATTCAACTTTGCATTGGAGGTACTTCTACCTCCTAGTCGTATCCACGAACAATGATAGACAGCAATGAGCATTCCCCGACGGCAAAACTCGCCATGGATCACGTAGAGCATGTTCACACCAATGAGCGGGTGCCTGGCCACACGAATTACTACGAAAAGGATGGCTTGAGGACCTATGGCGATGGTGAAGACCACGACCACGAACCACCGATGACTTTCAAGAGGATTATGAGTTTGATCGCAATGGCATTCTGTAAGTATCTCTTCCAATCTAGACGTTGTAATGATTGGAGTAGCTCTGACTTACAATTGGCTAGTATGGACCGGCAGTCAGATTCCCGTGTATCTCTTCGGCGGCGTTCCTCCCTACATTTACCGCGATATCGGCGGCACGGATAGATGGATTTGGTTTGTGCTTGCCAACCTTCTCTCACTAGCCGCAGTCTGTCCTTTCGTGGGATCCATATCTGACATTGTGGGCCGACGTTGGGTTGCCATGATTGGAGCTTGTTTTCTAGTCTTGGGTATGATCATCTGTTCCACTGCACAAACCATGAACATCTTCATCGCCGGCATGGTCTTCTCTGGCATTGGTGCGGGCATCAATGAACTGACAGCATTGGCCGTTACGTCCGAGCTTGCCCCCACCAGCCAGCGTGGCAAGTACGTCGCTATCCTCGTCTTCACTATCATCCCGTTTTGCCCATCGGTGCTCTGGGCCCAGCTTATCGCGTCCCATTCCACCTGGAGATGGATTGGTCTGTGGTGCGGCTTGTGGGCCTTCATCGGTCTCGTCTTGACAGCCATCTTTTATCATCCACCTCCTCGAGTCAATAGTCAGGGCATGAGCCGAAAGGAAATTCTTGCAGAGATTGACTACATTGGCGGCCTTCTTTCCATCAGTGGGATGCTCTTATTCATGATGGGGATGCAGTGGGGAGGCTACCAATACCCTTGGACCAGCGCCCATGTCCTTGCGCCTTTGATATTGGGTGTCATCCTGATGATAGCTTTCGTGGTCTGGGAGAGCTACGGAGCAAAGCACCCTATGTTTCCGAAGAGATTGCGCCAAGAGCCTCGCATTCTCGGCTTGACGCTGGTCATTACTTTCATATCTGGAGCTAATTTCTTCTCCATCTTGATGTTCTGGCCCACACAGGCATTCAATGTATACGGACACGACCCGATCGGCGTCGGTATTCGTGGCATTCCGGTCGGCTTTTCGATTCTAGCTGGAGCTTGTATTGTCCTGTGGCTACTTTCGTTGCTTCGCGGACACAACAAGGAGCTCCTGATTGCCTCGTCAATCCTGATGACTGCAGGGTGCGGTTCGCTTGCCATCGGCCGTGTAGACAATTTGTATCAACTATGGGGCTTGTTGGTACTAGCTGGTTTGGGTATAGGTGGAATCGTCGTCCCAGCATCGATCATTTGTAAGTTTGGTTGCATTACGCCCGGAGTCCAGCTGTCGAGCTAACAATATAGCCACTATCATCTGTCCAGATGATCTCATCGCAACAGTGGCGGCCCTTACCCTCGCAGTCCGCGTCATTGGCGGGTCGATTGGGTATTGTGTATACTACAACGTCTTTATCTGTACGTCAACTATCATGAGAACCCCGTAATGCGCAGCCACTAACAATATATTTAGCTAAATTTGTTCCAGCAGCAACATATTACATCGGTGGTGTAATGTCAACTAAGCTCAATATTACCTCCGTGGAAGTTATCGGCGAAGCGATTGTGATTACTGGCGCTTCGCTTCTTCCACTACTTGAGGAGCTTCCGGGTATCAAAGGTGTTCCAGGAGCTTACGAGGCGGTAGTCTTTGCTGGCCAGCTTGCATATGCGGAAGCGTACAAATATGTCTACTACGTCAGCATCGCTTTCGGAGGGGTCAGTATCTTAGCAGCGTGCTTCTTGGGCGACATCTCCAAGTACATGGACGACCATGTCGCCGTCGTCATGCACTGAGTTTACATTGCCTTGGTTAGTAGAGACATAGGAAGAGCCTGGTATCTGGTACATCGCTCTTTGAGTGAAATAGGGGCGTATATATATGTGCTAGGCATTGAAGCCTAATCGTAGGACTGATTGTAAGAAGAGGGTAACTTTTCAATTTATCAAGCACAACATTGCAGGCCCATCTAACCTGAATACAAGAAGACTCAAGCAAAACTACTACCGATGACCCAAGTTACGTCAGAGTTGAACGAGGTGGCAGAGTCGAACATGTGAACGCCACTGTTGCTCGCGACGTAGCCCTTGTTCTCGTAGTGGCGGATATAGCGCGTAGGGTAGCTCCAGGAGCGGATCGAGCTGCCCCGGCCGCTTAGACCAGCCTGCAGGCAGAATGTGGCATCCTCCTTGAATATCTTGGAGCCGTCATTCGCGCCAAGTTGAAGTTCAAATTTGTTGTGCCTTATGTAGCTACCAGTGGTATCCTTTGATTCGAACGAAAAACAAGCGCCGTTACCCAAGCCAGTGCGAACCGTCCAAGTAGACTGCCCTTTGAGGGCAGTAGTGCTGGGCGAAGATACTGCTTGAATGTTGAGAGTAGAACCAGTGTGTGCGAGGTAGCGATCGGTGGAGCCAGGCGTAGTAGCTCGAATGGAGATATCGGAGCCAACAGTAAGGCCTGGACCGCTTGTTGAAGACGTAGTGGCATATTTAGCACCCACGATATTGGCCTGGACGGAGTCCTCGATAGCGTCGGATGGATACCCAGACGTCATTACGCCCTCATAAAAAGTTCCCTGCGCACCATTGCTGTTGTCACCCCCAATTCCGAGAATTATAGCCCCTTCTTTTTTCATCGGGTTGTAGCCAGACGCGCGTGGACGCACACCGTTGTAGTACGTTGACAGCGACCCAGATGCCGCATTACCCCCTTTCATCGCCCACTTGTTCGGACCTCCCTTCAGGAGTGCAGTTAGGAAGCGGTAAGAAACTGACGGGTCACCAGTGTTCTGCTTAGGATTGGCACCAGAAAACAGACCGTTCTCAAGGTCAGCCATGATCCAAGGGCCCTTACCAGAACCAGATCCCCAGTGAGTGCTGTCGCCAAAGTATATGGCCTCCATATGGCCGTTGCCGGTGTCCAGGTTGTTCGTCTCAGCATTTCCGTAGTCGAAGCAGCAGGCACTATTGTAGTGCATTCCATCAAGAACCGCATACATGCCTTCGGCTGCGTCGCCTTTCGCAGAACCGCTTACGGCATTGTTGCGGTATCCGGTGCCGGGTGAAACGAAGACACCGTACGCCTTCTGGCCGTTCAGGCTGACTGGTGCGCCAAATGCGCTAGCCAGATTGTCGTAGCCATTAGACTCCGGGCCCTTGAAGCCACCGGGTGGAGCCTGAGTGAGGTGATTGCCACGGCCAGACTGGTCGTATATAATAGTGATGAGACAGGTCGTATCGACGCAGAAAGTATCCTGAGCGGTAGCGTTGGCAACACCACCATCAGAAAGGGGCGCGATGTTCGTGGTGGCCCCATCGGAGCCGCGTTTCACCTGGTATAAGGAGCCATTATATGCATTGTACAGCGCCCGCGTGGTGCTGTGCGCAGCGATGCAAGGCGTGCCGCCAGATTTGTAGATGTCGCATGGCCCTGCAGAAACCATGGAGCTAGTGGAAGCAAGGCCTAGAGCGAGAAGTCTTGGTCGTAGAGACATGTTCATGCTTAGTCTGCGGTACAATAGGACTGATCATGTAATAGCATGCACCTTGCGCCTATTTAAATATTCAGTCCTGTTGTTGACACCTCCTTCACCCAGGTCCCTCAGATTTGCCGATGCCTGTTACTTAGATTAAGACGAACATGTGTTATTAAAAGAGCAAGAAATTCCTCCAAGGACTTTTAACCGTTTGACTTCGGAGATGGTACTAATTCAGTAAGACAATCCCCTATGGTGATGAATGCGGGGGTTTAAGGACCTTGTTTAGTGCTTGCAGAATGCAACAGTGTCTGCAATAGTGACTGCTCCGCGAAAGGGAAACCATTTGCGGTCAAGCTTCACGGGGCGCAGGGGTATAATGCGGGGAAGACTTGCCAGGGAGCTAAGTGTTGTTAAGCTTTGCCGAGGAAGGCTCCTCAATTGCAAGACTGTATTAGTAGTGGCTTGTAGTTAGACTTAAGCAACAGCAGGGATTTCGTGCCTAGGACTATGGCATGTCCCAGGGGAAATAACTTGGAAATTGAAATATAAGAAACCAATCACAATGGCTAAACACAGCTAGATGCTAACATGATTAGTTCATTATTGTTAAACCGCCTATATCAGCCTCTTCTCTTCCGTTTTAACAGGCTGTAGCCAACTAATCAATTAGCCGCCCCACAATGATAATGTGGCGGGCGTGGTTCTCAATTCGTGGGTCTTCTATCGGCCACTTTGTTACACTCTCTATCATACGTAAAAGACACTACAATACACATTTACACAGATTCTATGAAGATGCTATTTTGGGGACACGGAACAGAATACCTTCCTTGAATCAGAATTAAATTCACATCAACGAAGGCGTTATGAGACCTTGGCTTAGCTTTTACTCCCTTAGTAAGAGATTAATGGAATGTATCTATGAAAGAATGCGCATTTCGGATGGAACACTCCATTTCACGATACTAGTAGGCTTCGAAATAATGAAACAGATGTATCGCACATCACGGGTGTATCTTCTTAGCGAAAAGAAACCTTTTCGGTTATTCCCGCCTTGGAAGCCCCCGCGAGTGCCTTGCTTCACATAGATAATACAGCCAGCCAAGTCGTACACTGCATAATCTCAGGAACTCCATCCCTTATCTCCCCAAACAGGACCGCCGGGTGGGGTGTATGGATTTGACGCAGACACATCTCTATATTCGAGGAATATGCTCTTCTTATCGTTGGGTTGATACGCACCAGGCAGTGCAATTCCCACAGGTAGAGCCGTTGTCCCAGTTCCTGTCACTGTAATCTGATGGCAACCAGGATAGAATTGGGCCAGACTGCCATCTAGCCGCACCGTCAGCACTAGAAGTCGACGAGTTGAGAAAGCATACTTTTGTTTGTTCGCTGCAGGCCCAGGATCTCGTGACGCAGGACGTATTCACCAGGCTTGATGCTGGATGGCAAATTCACGGTCCATGTACTGTTCTGTGTCGGAAGCCTCTTGCTTGCCCACGGAACAGCCTTACTTGCGTCGTATCCCGCCTGATCGATCTTAACCCAAACATTCCCGGTGCTGCCAGAGAAAGAGCTACATTTGCCCTTACAGTCTGCTAGATATGTGAGTATGGGACCAGGATGGTCGCTCTGCCAGTCCGTCCACATGAACTTCACCGTGCTTCCAGCGGCCACGGAAGCTGCCGCGCTGACTGGTACATTGTTCTTGCCGTCGCGTCCAATATTGCAGGTGATAGCATCTGTAGTAAAGAGTCCGTCTGTTACAGGACCGTTATCCTTGAAGATGCGTGTGATTTTGTTGACGGGAGGGTTTTTCTGGGGGTCTTTGTAAGGATTCCAGGTGTCGACGAGGTTTGTGCCGAACCCAATTTGTTGCACGTAGCCGTGTGCTGACACTAACGGGATGAGGGCGATGTAGACTGGCTTCATGTTGGTGGTTGGATCAAAGAGAAAGTTCTTGTGTATCTTTATTGGACTGGTAAGTGAGCATCGGCTGAACTATTTTATACAGCGTTATCACATTATCGCAGTCTGTAGTAGAGTCGCCGGAACGCATGAACCAGTTTACTTATTGATTCAAATGAATACTGCGCTGTGAATGAAACAAATGCATGTGTCTAGGACGGAGGTTGTGCGTAACTCATTTCATGTTATTGGTGGATCTTGCTTCACCCGAAGTTGTCCGCAATCTTAGAATTGAACACTCATCAGACTTATTGTTCAAAACACTATAATCACGAATTAGATTGCGCAAGTTTTTCCGCCTCGGAAACATTCGAAGCGTAGCAGCTCTGATGCAAAGATACAGTGGCAAGAGATAGCATCTCGCACGACTTTGCGCGGCCGTACTTGTCTTAAAGCTCACCAGCCCGTAATCTCCTTGCAAATTCACGTAGCAGGCCCTCCACCTATTCCTGGGGAGGGACTACGCTCTTGGGATATTGGGTCTGCATACATTTTGATTCCATGATTTCTTATTTTCAATGCTTAAGATCTCTCGAAAGGTCTCTGTGTCAAGTTTCGTATTCCCTTCACTTATAGTACGTAGTCTTGCTAAAAAGGCAAAAAGGGCACTAAGGCCCTGCAAGTTGTTACACAGCTAGGATAACCACTGATTCACTCATCCAATAAGTGCGCTATAATTTGTGATATTATTTTAGTTGGTCCTATTACCCTTAGACGCCATAATCGCTAGGTGGGTAGCTACCCCGCAGTACAACTTCGGCCCTTGCGACTTATTCTCACGTTGACATCGACTCGAAAACGATCCCTACAGAATAGCTGTAAACTTTCCCAAACCAGACACGTACTCACGAGATGACCCCTCCTACTGCCAATGAAAGGTTCGGACCGGTCGTACCTGACGCACCGGCCAAACCACCAAGCAACGACATCAAGCTATCAGGCAAATATGCAACGATAGTCCCACTCCACCCGGACCACGCTGCAGACTTGTACGAGCTGGTGAGCGGTGAAGAAAGGGCATCCTTATTCGACTACCTGTTCGACGAACCGCCCTCATCCTTGGAATCGTTCCAAGCTAGTCTAGCAAGAAAAGCTGCCATGACGAACCCCTGGACCTACGCCATCCTACACCAAACCAACACGCAAGAAAAAGCTCGGGCCGTCGGCATGGCATCATTGATGCGGATGGACCTTGAAAACCGTGTAATCGAGGTGGGCAGCATTCTCTATACTCCACCGTTGCAACGCACGCCTGCAGCTACAGAGGCCATGTATCTGCTAGCCCGCTACGTGTTTGAAACGCTCGGATTCAGGAGATACGAGTGGAAATGCAATAGTCTGAATCAACCATCACGTCGAGCGGCCGCGCGATTGGGGTTTAGCTATGAGGGCACGTTTAAGCAGCACATGATTGCTAGGGGCCGTAATCGCGACACGGCCTGGTTTGCGATGTTGGACGGCGAGTGGCCTCTGGTAAAAAAGGCTATGGAAAGATGGTTGAACGAGGAAAACTTTGATATGGACGGAGGACAAAAGAGGAAACTGGAGGAGTTTAGAGATTCGTAAATGTCATGAGTGTAAAGTTTGTGGTTTCTCCTCCATTGGATTACTATCAATCATCGTGGGGAGGGCTTCAAGTCCGGAACGTCAAGGTTCGTGGTATTTAGAAAATAATGATTCGCTTCTCCAGGTTGGGGATCGCTATACACAGTAGAACAATATCACTTTATCCAAACAGAACAACTAATCCTCAAACAGAAACCCCCTAAAATCTACACCCTCCTCTCATTCTCAGCCCCAGTCTGCATCTCATTCACCTCCCTACCCACCTCCTCTCGCACCCTAACAACGATGACCTCCTCCCTCTCCCTCGCCTGCCCTGCCCGGTCCTCGACTTCTCCACCCCTCGCATCCCCTCCATCTCCTCCTCTAACATCAACACCTCCTCCCCCCTCTCTAACCACACCCCCACCTCTCGCATCCCTACCATTCCTCCTGCGCCTCTCCCTCTCCCTCTCGCCACGAGATCTCGCCTCCCACCTCAACGTCTGCACAGCCGGTGGACCGCGTCGAAGATTCGCGGAGCCATGCGGACTAGACCGAACAGGCGCCTGCCAAGCGCCAGTTCCCGGGCGGGTGCGAACACGATTGCCTGCGTAAGAGTGGAACGGAGTTGCGGGCTGGGAAGGTAGCGGACGGATGTTGTGTGCTGTGGAGGAGGTTGGCGAGTCGAGGTGTCTTGGTTGGGTTTCTGGATCGAGAAAGGACGGAGGAGGGGAAGAAGGGATGCCATAGTGTCTGGAAGGGTTCCTAGGAGGAGGAGGAGGAGGAGGAGGGGCAAAGGGTGTGTAGGGAGTAGGGGAGCGTAGTGGGCGGTCGCTCTGGGGTGCTCTTGTCCTGAGGTCTATGCCCATGTCGATGTTATTTCTATCTTCATACCCTACAAGAAGGCGTAAACGTTCCCGTAGGGTTCCCACGTCGTGAAGAAGTTCTTCAAGCTCTGATTCTCTTACAAGAATGAAGTTATGCTGCATATTGGCTGTAATAATCTATAACTAACTATGAGATGATTCCAGACGGACGACGAGCGGCTGAAATACTCTCCGCTTGCGTTTGTCGCCAGCCGGCTATTCCGTTCGCTAGACGAGACTAAACTACGCAGCTGCCAGCTCACCTCCCAGATAAGATAGCTACGAACAGGGGATATCGTAAAATGACAAAGATGAATCATAGCTCAACTCACCCCTGATGAACTGCCGGTGACGAGGACGGGGTATAGATACTCCACACGCCAAACAAACGAAAAGTATACCTCCAAACGCCCAAAGAGGAGGCTGATATCCTGAAGCCCCGTCCTTGCTTTCAAACTCTGAAAATTCCGCATCAATACCCTAGCGCCAACTCTCCCCTCCCTACCTCTCAGATTACCCCACCGATTGAGCTCTCCTCCCTAATCGCCTTAGCTCCCATACACCCCCTCTCAGCAGCCAGTGTGAACAAGTCAAACCGCACACGCGCCAACTCCTCACTTGTCTCCTTCTCCTCCGGCGCACGCAAATGCCCCTCAACATCGCGCGCGCACATATCTAGCGCCTCCTTCGACGCAGGTGCCAACTCGCCCCCTGAGTTGCCAGAGTACGCAAACGAATAGTCAGGGTGCCGGACCTTCTTCAAGGTGTCTTGCATGTTGAAAGGCGTGGGGAGACTCAAGGCGGCGGCGTGCGCGGCGTCCATTGTGTTGTTGGTCGCACTAGCGTACTGGGTGTTGGAAGCTGAGTCTACTTTTGCGTTTGCGCGGCGGAGGCGCTGCTTGTTGGCGGGCGAAGGGTCGAGTAGGGAGCGTGCGGCTGCGATTTCTGCTTGGTGCGCATGTCGGCTTTGTATCGTGGCTTCGATGGCGTTTCCGTGCTCGACGTCAGACATGTGTACGCCGTATATCAGGGCGCGGCTGCGGAGGTCGTTTACACCGGGGATGGTGCGTTTGGTTGTAGGGCGAGGAGTGGCGGCGGCGGCGGGATTGACAGCTTCGGTGAACTTGGAAGGCAGGGGTTGCGGACGTGGCTGGCGCTGTTGGTTATGCCCTCCTGTAAGGTCGATGACGTTTGGCTTCCGCACTGGGCTCGGCGTAGGCGCTGGCCTAGATGGTGTGCCCGTTGGTACTGTAGCACCACTTCGGCGGGGTGTCATAAGAGTCTGCTTCTCTTGCGCAATCGCCTTATTCTTAACCCCCATCATCTGAGTCGCGTGTCCCGGTGTAAGTGCTCCCGTCGCTTGTGCTATACGGTGAAGCTCATCCGGACTCTTCATTTGGTTGGGCTCCTGCTTCGACGTATCGAGGTTTGGTAAACCACGCCTAACAGCTTCCTTGTTCAATCTTCCATCTTTTCCGTTCACAAACTGTGATAGTTTCTTGTGATGTAGTTGTGCGACCATGCCTTGAGCACTATTGGGGCGCGAGAGTGGTGTTGTCGGAAACATGCCCCTCTTCGGCGTTGGACCTTCTTGATAGGCATCCTGTCCACTTGGACTTGGGCGCTTGGCTCCTGCATACTGGGGTAGAACAAGACCCGATGAAGGGAGAGTGGTGGGTGTAGGCAGACGAGGCGTAGGAGTTTGTCCCATGGCCCGGGGCGACAGCTGTGAAGGCACTGTACCGGTAACTGAGGAGCTATATAGTCGCGGGTCTAAGCGCATCGACTGACTTGGCTGGGTCACAGCCATTCCGCGACCCATGTTCGGGTGAGATCTCATGGCGCTCGCACGAGACATGGCCAGCATGTCTCTCTCGCTGAGTTCATAGCCATCGGAGCCATGAAACGGAGGAGGGGAGTTGACCGGCCAATGTTCGTTCTGACCTCTGTAGGCATTTTCTTGGAATGATCGCATATATTGATAATAAGGATGGTTGGAAGCGAGAAAGTTAGAAGTGCTAGGCGACATAGGTGACATGGGCGCAGAAGACTGGGCACGGTAGCCAGCCTGCTGACCATTTTGGCAATCCAGCTGGCGGGCAGGTGCCTGAGGGTTCATAGGCGACGCACAGGGCATGTATCCATTCTGTCCTGCAGGCCCACGTTGTGCTTGAATGCGATGAAGGCCATGCACCTGGCTCGCATTCAGTTGCGCTTGATTGTTCATAATAGCTTGACGCTGCATCAGCTCGTGGATCTCCTGCTGGGTGTACCTGCGTTGGTTTCCTTCCATGAAGGGAGTCGGCACCGTCGCCGGCACCATCACCGGCCGATACTGATGGGGCTGCACGGAGGACGGTGTCTGCGGACTGCCCTGGGAGCTGTTGCCGCTGAACTGGCTGTTCATAGAATCGCGCCTCGTGTCTGGGAGTCGTTTCGACATGGCGTTGCGGTTGGCACGATGGAGTGATTGCTGGATCTCCGTGAACTTGTCAGGTGCTTACGCGGGCTCGAAGAGGTCGATAAACTTGAGCGACGTATAAGCGGTAGTTGAAAAGATAATGTCAGCCTGAGATAACACGCGCAAGCGCGATATGTCCAGCACAATGAGACCCAGAATGCTCAGCGAAACGGCAGAAACAAGAAGACTGCGCGACCCGTCGCCAGCTGCCGCTGCGATTCTTCGGTAACGATAAAAGATGAACACGGCGACTTGCGCTGAGTGTGACCAGGATAGACTTGACGCCACTAAGAGGGAGTCAACGAGACCGAAATTCGGCCAGAAGAATTCAAGTGGAGAAAGGAGGGTTAAGAAGAAGTGGAGCAAAGATAAGAGTCGCAGTTGTAAAAGTTCGAAGTGAAATGCAAAGAAGTTGGTTGTTGCGTCGACCAATGACGATAGCGTAGCGTCAAGAAAAGGGCTGCGTGGTGAAGCCGAGTTAGTCAGTCTCTCGCACCGCTTCTGGTCCCCCACCTTGATGCGCAACGAAGGCCAAGTATGGCGAGAAGATACAACGCATAAGAATATAACGCTGTATGAGTCTGTGAGTGAAATCCTGTCTAGAGTCAGTGTTGCGGGGTTACAGGGAAGCACATGCCTGCATGCGAACTGAGGTGGTGGGTTGGTAGTACTTTCTCTTGAATCAAATGCTTGTTGTTATTCCGGCTTTTTACGCCCAAATCCAAGATGGATGGCAATGTAATGGTACACGCTCGCAAACCTGATAGCGCCCCGCCCGAGTTAAGTCAAAATGCAGAATCGCCGCTTCCCGTCCATCCGCACTCGCGCCCACCATGACCATGGTCCACCTCGCGAGACTCGAATTTGACAGCCGTCTAAGAATACGGGCTGCGCTCATACGTAACCTGCCAGCAAATATCAGCCTGCAATCCCCACCATACGTTCTCCTCAGACGGAGGACAGATCATATTATACCTTTTCGCGCGCCCTGGAAGAAGAACTTGACGATAAACACCTGCAATCCCGCCATTGTGATCATTAACCCTGACTCCATCAAGCTGAAGTTGAATATCCGCGTCTCAGTGCTCTTGACCGTGCTGAAATTCCGGTTCTCGCGCGTACGGAAGTACTTTTGGTTGCGGGAGATGGTGGACAGCTGCGCGGAGAGCTTGAGGATGGATTCTTCGAGGACGGAGGTTTGTTCGGGGGAGGAGCCTTGCTTGGAGGGGATCTTGGCGCGAGCGGCTTCGTTTTCGACCTGCACATTGAACTATTAGCATCACAAATAGCGGTGAACGTAGGTATGCTAGACGTACGGCAATCTCAAAGTCCACCATCTTCTCCGCAAACGTGCTCATCTCATTGTTGAAGCAGAACCGGTACTCTCCAACATCATTCGCAGTGAACACAAAGTCGCCTTGTCGCTCCTTGGTGCCGTCCAGGATGACTTTGTCCGTGGGACCAACTACAGAGTAGTCGATGTCAAAGGAGCCGCCGGATTGGACCTAGGGGGTGGTTGTGTTAGCTAGAGCATTCCGACTATTTGGGGCTGATAGATGGGCGATTGGAGTGGATTGATGGGGGGTATTCGAGAGTCCAATTTCAAGGCATATATGGCTATTCTTGAAGCGACGTACCGCAAAGTAAAAGGCCACCTTTGTCGCCTTGTTATCGACTTGCGCGAAGAAGCACGCCTTCTCGTGTGCTTCAAGTCTGTAGGTGAGTGCTGTGGCGTAGACGGCGGCCAGAAGGCTGGCAATAACGAGGAGCAACCGCATCGTGGAATTCGGCGGCCAGACAATCGCGTCGGGGACGATTTGCAGTGTTGAGTCGTGTTCGCTGTTTGGCTTCGGAAGTTACAGCTGTCGACAACGTCCAACGGAGATGGCGGAACTGTTTCACCGATGCAGGGAGGGAAGGCGCGGGGATGGACCTCGCCAATGAACATCAAACTCGACCGGACAGAGCCCTTACCACCCGAGGCAGGCTTGGGGGACAATCTAGTTGTCGTGCGATGATGGTGAAGCATATTGGTTTTACTGATACTAATCTACACTGATCAACACAGATGATGATCCAAAAGCCCACACTTCCTCTTGTGTACTAACAGCCCATGATACTCCGTCCCAAGCACGCAACTGCTCCACCTGTGTGATTACGCCCACGCAAATGCCTCGAAGCCCCTAGCGCCTTGTGCATGTCAAGTATGAGGTTGCCGCCTGCTAAACAAGACCGCCCCGTGTTTTCATATCAATGTGCTGGCCGCTATACGCGAGATATTATCTCCGTCGCCGTCCGTATCCTACACCGCGGTTGTCGTGCTTTATCGAATGAATATGGAGTCTGATTTGCCCCAGAAGCTTTTGCTCTTGTTCGTATGGTCAAGACCAAGGGCAATGTCGTCACGCCCACCAACTATATCCCATAAGATTTCTTCTACTAGTTTGTCAGTAATAATCTCTGAATGATGGAAAAGGCTACGAACCGTCGTCAAGGTATTCAGGTTTGGAGGAATGTGGCCGGCTAACGAGAGCAAACTTGATCTTGTCGAGCTGCTTGCCTTTGATCTTCGTAAAGTCTGATATCCGTTGCTTAGTCTCACTAAATGGCTCGCCCTAGTCAACATTAGCACGCGCACTTCCAAACACGCATTGGCAGACTGCAAGAGCTTACTTCTTTCAACGAGAATTGGAAAGGTATGCCGTGTGGTTTTGTCGGCTCCTTTTCGAAATGAAACACCGTAATCTTCTTCGGCGACTCGTCTTCTGGGAAAGGCGCAACATAGACCTGGTGGTAGTCGTAAAGAGTGGCGATTAGGTGGTCCGGTGTAAGATTTTTGGTGAACTTGTTTACGTTCGTTTCGTACGCTCGAACCTTTTGCATTGTCTCGTCGCTGATATTTGCCTTCTTCTGCAGAGCCTCCAAAAGATCTGAAACTTGTGCATTCTTAGGTATCATCAATGTGTACTCCTCCTATGTGATGTTAGCTTCCGTTCTGAATGGCTGAAATTCAAATGCCTTACCTCCTTGCTGAGACCCTCTGGCAGCCAGATGACCTTAATCGGCTTCCTTTGCTCCAACTCCTTCAGACTCATCTCTAACACCTCATAGAACAAAGCATCTGGTCGCTGCGTAGCACTTGTAGAGTAGTTATACGGTCCAGGGAACAGGATGTTGTTCAGTGTCGAGTTGGCGTTGTACTTGATGAGTAGCTTGGGCTTACCAGCCGTGCTGACGGTAGTGAACCGGAGATGGCTAGGGTCTGTTTTGAGATATTCGGCTACCTTACTTGCAAACTGGTCGTATGCCATCTTCTTGCTCAGTGTCAAGGAAAACGTAGGTAGCTCTGTCGCTTCCGGTAACCGTGGGACAAACTCGACGTTGATCCTATTCAACAGGTAGTCGTAGAAATCCTTGGCTTCCACGTATCCTCCGGCTGCAGTTATTTGGCTGATTTCTTTGTCGCTCAACGTTCGCTGGACTGTGAGTATGTCGCCGTCCTGAATCTCAGAGGCAGCAAGCGTCACTTTCGGCTTCATTGCTTCGATCATATTCAGTTTGATCTCCTCTGAAAGCTTGATTTGCGTGCCGGCCGGCCAGCCCATCAGTTTGTTGATTGCAGGGCTTAGATCTGACACTTTGTCCTGGGCGGCTGCGTAAAAGGTCCCGATACCGAATAAACTTTGCGTCTTGGCATCGAAGTGCTTCAAGAAGATCATCAACGGTCGGTTGTTTTGTTGGACCTTGAGATCAACGAGCGCGTCGCCAAACACGGGTGCTCCGTTCTCGTCACGTTTCTCGGCCTTCTCAATCCATAGCCTGAACTGGGCCTGCTTAGTACCGTGCTTGTTCGCAGCCTCCTCGACTGTCATATCAGGGAACTCGAGCGCGGTATCCGGACGAACAGTGCCGTTTTGCCTGTTGACCATGGACCATGGCCGTAACATATCCGCGTCAACTTCCAAATCCTCTGCCACGGTCTGGGCAAACTCCGCCATGGTTTTCGCACGAAGTATCCTATAGATTTTTGGACTGGAGGCTGCATCGGCATCCCCCTTCCAGGAAACGATGTCGAAGCCTTGGTAAACCTTGAAGTTATTTTCTGATGCGACAGCAACATCCATGTAGAGATGTGCCTCCTCGCGCTCCTTCTTTCTCCGCTCAAATGCAGCTCGCTCTTCCGCAAGACGCTCAGCGAGATGCTTGGGTGGCTCCACGCTCTTGCCGTCCATAAGGACAGAATCGAGTCTGGTTTCCCGGATGTAGACCAACATGTAAGCGCTCATTGACCGTTTCGCAGACCAAGTTCGAGTGTAAGGATTCCGTTGTCCCGTGTTTCCGTTTGCTTGCGCATAGTCACCACCAAAGTTTTCCTCTAGCGCCTCCCGCAGCGTCGCTCGCGTTACTCGGTCGTCGTCGAATTTGTAGTAATGGCCATCCTTTGTTGGCTTGAGGAAGGCATAGTAATGTCCGGCGTTGAGATCTCCGCTGTGCACGAGTACGCCGTGCAGGTGATAGATCCAAGATTCTGATCGATCGGCGCCTTCCGAAAGGTACGGTGCAGCGTCCCAGATTTCCGGGAACTCGTAACGATCGTTCACCTTCATCATGGCGTCGCGTTGGAAGTCGTACTCGAAGCGCTTGAGCTGGAGGTGAAGGACGGGCGGAAAGCTCTCAAAGATGACACCCTTTTTGGCATCCTGGAGGCCGAAGCCCTCGGCGAAGTATTTGTTCTCGCCGTCCATGGTTTCGACCTGGATATAGTCCTTGAAGCTGTCGTCTAGATTCTTGTTGCCGCTAACGTTTAGTTGGATATCCCAGAAATCCTCTATCCTGGATGACTCGTAGTCGACGTTGATGCAACTGATGTACGTCTTCATCTTGCCGACAAACATTCTCGTCAATGCACCCTCGGCCTCGGTGCCCTTCATCTTTTCGTCTAGCTTGTCCATGAGCACACGCGACAGTTCTTGCACGTCCTGCTGCTCAAAAATTTGCTTTGAATCCCAACCAAACGACTGCGTTAGATCTGTTGTTCCGACGGCACTGGATTGTGTCTGGAGCAGGTAGAACAAGCGTTGCAGGGCATAGGCGCTATTCGAACGGTCCGATTCTTCGGCAGTGGGTATCTGGTAGACAGCCTGATGTGGTCAGTGGTCATCACAGAATAAAAGGCAAACCACCTACTTGACGGAAGGCATTTGTGAAGAACAATGACTGAAGAAGCGAGTTCAAATAACATGTGGCGCCCTGGTTCTTTAGGCCCACCATGCCTGTCTCCTTCTTGGAGTCGTAGCTAACACGGAGTTAGACAATGGGCTGAATGTGACGCTGGACAGAAGGCCCTACTTGATGAAGTTGTGCCATAGAACGCCAGTTGGGTCCTTGAGTACTCTTATATATGCTGTGACATTGGCCGTGTTGTCCTCGACCATTGGCCGTCCCCGGTCGTCCCACGAATTGCTAAAGAGGCGCCTAAGCTCTGCGAAGCGCGTGAAGCCCCAGTCGCCTTCCTCGGCGGTGAAGCGGTGGTGTGCGGTATGTGTCAGGTACATGCTGGGATCTTTTGGGTTCCATAGCACCAGCATAAACTGGACGCAGGCGTACCAGTCCTCTGGCATCTGCTTCTCCTCGTATCCCTGCTCGAGATAGAACGAGGCAAAGTCGACGTTGTTACCGTAGGGAAAGAAGAGCACGCGCCAGGGATGGCCGGCGCATTCGAAGACGGGGCCATGCTCGCGCCTCGTGAGGGTCCGCCAGTCCTTGATCTCCCATGTGTTGTAGACCTGGTCCTCGGTCTCGTTCTCTTCTGACTCGGGCATGTGCTTCTTCAAGAAGGCATCGTACTCGTCGGCGCGGGGCTCGGGCTCTGCGTGCGGGTCGACGTCGTCCATTTGGTCGTCCGTGTCCGGGGTGATGATGGCGACATGCTGCTTCTCGTCAAAGTCGTCGTCGACGAGCATGTCGCTGCCAATCTGTGGGGGGAAGGGCGAGTCAGCATAGTTGTGGTGGTGGTTGCAGGCGGCGAAGGGCACAAGCTTACCTGGTCCATGGTGCTGCTGGAGTCCGGGTGGCTGCGGACAGGCAGCAGGGGAGAAAAGTGTAAAGAAGAAACAAGCAGAGGCCCAGAAAGAGAGGGATGAAGCTTGGGGGAAGGAGGGAAAGCGGCACACCAGTGGGCCTCTAGGCAGGTGCAGTTGCAGTTGCGGTTGCAGAGCAAAGCAAGCAGCTAAAGATGAGTTCCTCGCTAAAAGGTGGCGGTAGACGATGATGACGGAATAATGGTCGCCGTGCCTTTTACGAGCCTCAGCGGCGACGAAGGGAGAAGTGGAATAAGGCACACAAAGACGACACGCAGGGAATGTCTTCTCGAGGCCACAGGACGCCTCTCTACCACATATGCAGCCTGCTGGGCCAGTTGCCTCTTGGCGTCCACCATGTCTCTAGCAGCACGCAGCGGCGGAGAAGCAACGCCCAACCCCGGCCCAAGACGTCATTCGCCAATGTGCACGGAGAGCAAAGCGGACACCTACAGCTAGCTACCTAGGTAAAGTCCAGTCCAGTGCAACGCGCAATTCACATTCACATGACAATCAAGTCCCAGGTGCTGCCATATACTGTACTTTACCTGGACACAGGCTCTGCGTCACCCAATTGTACGACTCTAGTGCCGTGGCAGGACCCTGAAGCCCGGCTGCGGAGACGCTTCGTCACATGCGCTCGTATTTTGCTGCAGCAGCCTTCACCATGCACTGAGGCTTGAGGCTCCCACAACCATGAACAGAGCCAAGAGTACGCATAATAGTATGCGCGCCTGGCGCTGTAGGAGCTGCAACAGAGCTCGTACGCAAGAAATTTGGCTCCCCACACTCCAACATCGTCGCGCCCACGCTGCAGCCGTCGCGCCAGCATGGAGGCCGTCTTCGGCACTTGACGAGTAAGCCCAACACCAACCTACAGTCATAGAGTTCTTCAATTGATCCCATAAACCTTCAGATGGGTCCAGCGTGAAGCCAGGCCCATAAGCCTACGCCAACTGTCCTTCTTTGGCCGCACGCTCACGGAATCTCGCCTGCTCGACTCTGCCAAATACTGCCGCCTCGAGCTCCCAACCAGGTACTGTATGTCCACTGGGCTCCACAAGGACTCTCTGACATGAAGCACTAGACTTGCCCACCGCCTGCGAGATATCCAAACGCTGCCCTATGTCGTCGTTGCAAACCCCCACCTCGCCCACGTTTACGAGTCGTACCTGCGAGCCTTTGAGCGCTTCCGTCGCGTGCCCGAGATACGATCGCTCGAAGACAACGACGAGTACTGCAAGGTACTGACGGAAACCCTGACCGAACATGCCACCGTCATCCCTCGACTGGCCATTGGCGTCCTCGAGGTGCGCGGTCTCATGAAGGCAGAGGAAATAGACAAGTTCATGACTGCCATGCTGAGATCGGTATGTCTCTATCAGGCCTCGCTATTCGTGTCCTAGGTTAACATAGCCAGCGCATTTCGCGACGCGTCATCGCAGAGCAGCACCTCGCACTCACCGAAACCTTCAACTCGCCGTGGCATTTCCCTCAGGCCGAGCACCCTCCACATGACCAGGAAGCCGTGGGCGAGATCTTCCTCCGATGCAATGCGCGAGAGATTGTCGAGACGTGCGGAAAGACGATGCAGGAGCTGATCAAACGCGCCTATGGCTCGCACATCGCTATTCCAGAAATCAACGTCTCCGGCCACCTCGATGCAACCTTTCCATACATCCTCAGTCACCTCGAGTATATCATTGGCGAGCTGCTGCGGAATTCAATCCAGGCTGTCATCGAGCAGCGAAAGTCCAAAAACGCCAAGCTTCCGCCAATTGAGGTGCTGATCTGCGAAACCTCGCAGCACGTCATAATCAGAATCTCTGACCAGGGCGGTGGTATCCCGAACGAGGTTTTGCCCTATTTGTGGAGCTTCAGCAAAGGGCCGCGGCGCGAGAAGCGACTTGAGAACCTAGCAAGGGTACCCAAGCTGGTAGGAACGCTGCAGGAGCTGCAAGTGCCCGGAGATGAGTCGACGGCCGATTTGCAACAGAAGCACAGAAACAAGTCGAGGCATGGCGACTCGGGCACCCACCATGGCTCATTGTCCTCGCTGACGGGGCGGGCACCAGATCGACGCCTTGGTATCGGCCTTCCCATGTCCCGACTATATGCAGGTGAGTGAGAACAATCAAGTCATTAGGTTTGTAGCTGACGGGTTGAATCAGAATACTGGGCTGGAAGCCTGGAGATTCACAGCCTAGAAGGATACGGCGTAGATGCTTTTCTGCAAATCTCGAAGCTCGGGAACAAGAATGAGCGACTGACTACGCGAGCCTCAATGGATGCGATATAGCAGTCGCACTCACTGCGCTTGCGCCGCTCTTGCCTCCCGATCAATGGCAAGAGGGAGACGCTCGACGACACTTACCCTACCAAGTCTGCCTGCCTTCATCAGAGTAACCAAGAGATCCCATCTCAACTCATCATTCTCCATCCTCTACATCGGATTACCTTATCCTTTGCGAGCATCGACTAGTGCTCAACATATCAATATGCATGCAGCAGATTTTGTAAGCAAGCCTCGATTCGCCTGACGAAGCGTTACTGACTAGCTGCTTGTAGTCGCCCCTGTACACCAAAGCTGGTAGTGTCGTCGGCCATGCTCACCCGTCGCCTGGCAAACCAATCATCCCGACTGATGACACGCAACACCTTCGAGACCTCGTCGCTAGCGTCCCCTTCAACGTAACCCTGGATGGGCTTGGTACAAAAGACAATGCCACGGCATCCGACTTGCTCTTTCCGCGGGTGCGACGTTCTCCATTTTCTGATGAAGGTACGTATGAGCTCTTATGCACGATCTCAGCTTCTTTGCAACAGCTCATCATAAGCAGCGATCAGTCACCTCGATGTCGTCTCATGTTGGAAAGGAATATCTCACTCACAGGGTGTCGAGCTCGAACTTTGGCAGCGCCTGTTCCGAAAGTGTTTGGCGTCACAGGTCGAAGAAGGGTTACGGGATATCGTCACCAACCGTCTGATTGAATACCAAAGTGCGTTACGCCGCGTACCCTTGCCCCTCAAAACCTTTGCATATGTTGGTCAGATGTACTGAAGTCGCTGAAGACATGGCTGTTATCATTCGACGCCTCGCGCTGGACAACTCGCTAACATTATATTAGGGCAAATTGACGAGACTATGCTGATCCCACGCCTCGCTCTTAGCCTTTCGGGCACGAGTCGACAATGCATCGACATCAACATCACTAGACTCATCCGCGAGATCATGGAAACCTTCTATGAATGTCATCACGAGGCTACTCCAGAATGCTTTGCTTGGTCGCTTGGATCTGGAGATCTCCCGAGGTTCTTGTACAATTTTCTACGCACGCAGGATTGTTTTCGCCATACGCTTACAGGCCCGGCCGTGTTGGTCAACGTTTCTTCTCTCAGCTGTACCAGTTCCGTTCTTGCGGTAGTCGCCAACTTGGCCTGGCAACCACCCGATATCAGGTTCAATGACATTCCTAAAAATGTCATCGCTGGCGAGAAAATCTGCATTATCCCTCGTCATGTGGATACAACTTTGCAATACCAATCTACGAGCCTGTACCCAATGTCCGATCGTACGCATTATACAGTGTCGGGGCCCTCTTTGAACCTAAAGCGCGACCCCAACGACGACTTCTTCCGTGGACGCGTTCCCTGTTGGACGAATGAGGTAAGCTTTTCATACCTGCCCTACCCACGGGTGGTGGAAGCTTTTCTAATCTTTCTAGCAGCAATGTAAACCTTCGGTGGCTGAGACAGTCTTATCCGCGAATATTGTCACGCCTTTCTCCGAAACCGTGCGATTCGCACGAACCTCACGATACATCATCAAGCTTCATGTGACGCACGCCGAGTGCCTTGGCTTAGGGCGTCCCCATTCTCCCACAGAGACAGAGGTTAATTGGGTGCCCTCGTATACTAGCACACCACTGTCCAAGACGCGGCACAACGAACCGAAGGAGGCGATAGATTACGCCTTCAGCCATGCCCAACTCTGTCGTAGTCCCGTGTCCTCCGAGAAGGATGCAGCAGAGGATAAGGCCACAAGTCCGTTCCGACCGAATAACCACCTCTTCAACCCAAGTGCGCAGATTCAGTCGCCAATGAAACGGAAGGCACCGCAGTCCAGGAACCCCACTCCCGCGATGAACAAACGCTTTGTCTTGGATAGTGTCGAGAACCTTACCTTAGACATTGACTCCAAACGCTGTAGGCTTGTACAGGCTCAGGACCAAGATGTGAACATGTATGGTATGCCTCCTGGGCCTAGCCGAACTCCGCCAAGAGAACCTACTTCCCCGGCCAGTTGTCTCACTGGTATCACCTTGGATTACACTGGCAAAGCGGATCTTACTACCGCCACTCCTGGTCCCGTGCACGAAGAGCACGACTCTCCGTGCTTAGGTATCGACAGGCGATCAACCACCAACGCCTGCTCGACATGTCAGCACCAAAAGCCTCCAGCAGCCACATTGAAAGCCAGAGCCACACAGACCTCATTCAGCTGGAAACAATGTAACACCCCTCCCTATATGGACAGCGACAACTCCAGTGTCCCTAACATCATCCCACCCAACACATGCACCAACGCCACTCACTCCAAGCATTCTACCGCTCTTGACCTCTCCCAGGAGCAGATCCAGCACAACTACCAAGAGTTCTTAGAGCAGGCTAAACGCAAAGCCTTGGAGAAGGCCTATCAAGCTGCTATCATACCGCTCTTTGACGGAAAGGTTAGCCCGACCAACGACGCGGATAGGAGCTTTGAGCAGGTTTTCTTTGCGGATACGGATAGTGAGGTGGGTGAGTGGACTTGTACTTCTATATCTGATGTTGATGGGTTGAGTGAGGGGGTGGAGAGTGTGGATATGGAGGCGTGAGGAATGATGGGGTCCGCTGCTAAGTTTCTTGAACGGGTTTTGTGATGATGGGAAAGCGGTATGGTTGTTGAGAGTGTAGTATCATCGGCTTATTTTTGTGTTCAGTGTGTTTGTAGTAGGGAGGTTTGCGTTGCTGCAGAGGAGCGGTTTACGCTATGCTGACTAGAAAGGCATCGTCAATACACTTGGCTTTTATTGTCATTCATATTCGCCTTTTCACTCTTTTGTGTGCGTGGTGTGTTTACGTATTGCATGTGTGTGTGCTTATAATTCCTTAGAATCAAACCACACAAGAGCACAGAACGCAACATCTCCTAAATCGAAAGGGGGAAGAGATACATAAAAATACATTGATAGTACCCAAGGCAAACCAGAAAAAAAAGGATATGAGTGACCAAGTCCAGTCACCCAGTCTACCCGAGGATAAAAACGCCCAGGGTGTTAATGGTAATAAGTTTTGTACACGCTCGCTCGCTGAATGCACCGCACCGTAACTTCCGCTAATGTCGTCGCTGTGGCATGATGATGATGGTGAAAAAAAAAAAACACCTCAAAACGCCGAGAAAATGCGATTCCCATGCTCACTTTTGACGCCTTTCGTATCCAATATCTCGAGATCCATAGCCACGCGTCTTTCGTGGGAAGATCACCCTTCGTCCGAGTCAACGAGCATGCTCTCCCCAAATGCACTGAGATCATCCGCCGCAATCCCTTGTGCATGCCTGCGCCGCCGTCCGCGTCTACCCGCCACGCGATTCTGCTCAAGTTCGCGTAATCGGCCGTTCATGCGTCGCTCCAGCTCTTCAATCTCCTCCTCTTCCTTGCTGTCCTCTAAAAGGCGCATTTCGCACCCCGGGCCCGCCTCGATGAGTCCCGAGTCGGCTTCGTTGGCCTCGAGAGCGCGGTTGAGCAGGTCGGTGGCCATTGGGTCTTGTGGTGAGACGGCGAGCGCTTCATGTAGCGCGATGACGGCCTCCCAGCTTCGATTCAGCTCTAGCAAGACAAGGCCCTTTGCCGTGAAGACGTTAGGATCCTTGACGCCATGACGTAAGACTTCCTCGAAGGTTGCGAGTGCTTCCTCGAGCTGTCCGTATTTCCGTAGAGCGTGGGCGAGATTGATGCGTGTTGGAAGCCAGGCATCTGGGTCCGCATCATTCTGCTCCGCAAAGGTGAGTGCGCGGCGGAAGAACTGAATAGCGTCTAGCAACTGCTCTTCGTGAAAGTACACAACGCCCATCTCGTTCAGTAGCAAGGGATCATTCGCGCACAAGTCGTATGCGGTCTTGAGATACTCGCGTGCGAGGGAGAGATTGTTGAGCTGCAGGTTCTGCATTCCAAGAAATAGCTGCGGAAGGTGAGTGCCCTGAAACAAGCGTGCCGCCGTCGAGTAGGCGGAGATGGCTTGATCATGTTCACCCTCGGCAGCAAATGTGTGCGCGAACCCTATCCATGCGGGCCCAAAGTGCGGATCCATCATACTCGCTTTCGAGAAATATCGACGTGCTTCGGCTATACGGCTTATGCTGAGGTAGTATATACCAACTGCGAGCCAGGAACAGGGTTCTGAGGGATTCGAGTCTGCAAGGTCGTGGGCGAGGAGAAAGAGGGTATTTGTCTCGCCGAGTTCGTGGAGCGAGGCGAGATGTACAGGTAGGACATTGAAGTTGTATTTGTCGGAAGAGAGGACAGACGATGTCAGGGCGAGGGCTTCGCGGAAGCGGCAGTGGGTAAACATGAGATCGGCCTTGGAGAGGAGAATGTCAGGGTTGTCGCCGAGGTTGTAGTGGGTGCTCAGTGTTTCTGTTGCGTTAGCGAATTCCTCTGGCCTAGTGTATTTTGACAATCGCGTAGTATAGAGAGTCTTGGTAAATTGAGCTGCTTCTTGTGATAGCGAAGGGTTGCTAGAGACATTAATCGTGTCGAAGTTTAGGGACTCGAGGAACTTCCATTCCTCTTCGGGCGACATGAGCGAGTTGGCCATCAGGGCATCAAAGGCCTCGAAGCACTGCACGTCGATCTGGACCGCCGTCTTGTAGCAGTCTTTGGCGCGGTCGAACGAGTTTTGTTTGGCATAGCAAACACCTCGCAGATAGCACATGCCCGCCTCCGACTTGATGTTGTCGACATGTTCACGGTCGCGCTCCTCACTCGTGGGTACGCGCTCGTGGCGGGCGCCTGTCTTGTTGTGCCTTGGGCCCGCCCGCGTGTTTACGTCGACGTGCCGTAGTTTCTGCCGGGCGCTTCCTGGCGCAGAGATGAGGTGAGTGGGGTTCTTGTCGCCCAGTATCTGCAGGGCCTCCTCCGTCTTTCCCAGCTTGATAGAGCAGTGCGCCGAGAGGTAGCGACATTGCGGGGTGCGCTCGGTGAGGTTTCCGCGTGCGAGCAATGACTGCGTGCGATTGTAGTTGCCCGTGGTAAAGTGTACTTGTGCCAGCCAGAAGGCGTCGTGATCTTCTCCTACGCCATGTCATCAGCGCATGTCGCAGCAAATGGTAGTGTCATGATGGTGCAGCGTACCCGTCAGCGCAAGCAACTTGTCGGCCACGAATATGGCCGTGTCGTACTGGTGTCTGTTGAGGGCTTCCTGCCGCCACTCACGCAGATACTTTTCCATGAGTGCTAGACCATGCGGTGACTTGTGTTGGTGTTGCGGTATGCTCTCGTTGCTATGGACGGCCAAAGTGGTGTCTTGTCTCTCGTAGGTGTTGATGCCGTCGCGCCAGCCTAACGCGAAAGCACATGTTTTTGCGGGGTGCCTGCAGCAGCGACACGGCTTAGTCAGCCAAAAGTTGGCTTGGCCTCTCAAGACACTCAGTCACCTCCACATTCACTGTACAGTCCCCAACGCGGTCACGGTCGACTTGAAATTACACCCGCAACCCTCGCTCGCTACGTACAATTTTGCTTACTACACAGCTTAACGACACACTATTCGATAGACTGCCGTCATGTCGGAACGAAAAGTGCTCACCAAGTACTACCCCCCAGACTTCGATCCCTCCAAGATCACCCGCCAGCGCGGTCCCAAAAATGCCGGCCCCAAGCTTATGACCGTCCGCCTGATGGCACCCTTCTCTATGAAATGCACTCACTGCGGCGAGTTCATCTACAAGGGCCGCAAGTTCAATGCGCGGAAGGAGACGACGGACGAGAAGTACTATAAAATCGCCATCTTCCGCTTCTATATAAGATGCACACGATGCTCCGGCGAGATCACGTTCAAGACGGACCCGAAGAACATGGACTACGAGTGCGAGCGGGGCGCAAAGCGAAACTTTGAGCCGTGGAGGGAGGCCAAGCTCAACGAGGAGACCGAGGAGGAGCGTCTGGACAGGATAGAGAAAGAAGAGGCGGAGCGCGATGCAATGAAGGAGCTTGAGACAAAGGTGCTAGACGCCAAAACTGAAATGGCCATCGCGGATGCCCTAGACGAGATTCGGTCGAGAAATGCACGGATAGAAAAAGCAGACAGAGACGGGACGACGACGACAGATGCTGGACCAGATCCTGTCGATGACAGGCGGAAGCGACAGGAAAAGGAAGATGCCGAGGCGGCACGACAGGCATTTACGAATCGAAGCATGCCGGACATTGGCGAAGAGATCATCGAGGAAGACATGATCGATGTGCCCATTGAGCACGTCGTCACCACCTTCAGCAAGAAGCCAAAAGAGAAGAAGGACTTTGGCGCTGCCCTCGGCATCAAGAAGAAGCCCTCCCCACCCGCATCTGGACCACAAGTCAAGGCACCTGCACCGCCGTCGAAACTATCGACGATGCTCGTGGCGGGCTACGACAGCGACGACGATTGATTAGCAGCGTTCAGGTGCGAGCATTTGAGGCGCACTACGATACCAATACCAGATTGTACCTACTTCAGCTAGTCCATGGCTACTTTTCAGCTCATAATGTACGTTACCTCTAAAAACCTAGCAACGGGATTGGGACGCAAACCATTGACGTCATACTATAAAGATACATGTCACGCCCGTCACGGGCTCGAACTTCTTCAAGCTCACCCGTGTAGTCACGAATTTGCCCGAAATGCCGGTCGTCAAGACCAAGTACCGGCGATCCCTGTCGCGCCGGAGAAATAGTCTCCACCTTATGTGCAACGTCAATCTAACCCCACAATCACACCCTCTATAACCAGGATTACGACGACCTTGAGGCTGTTTCTCCGCATTTGCACCTTTCGGCCCGGTTGGAGAACTGGAAATATATACCGAGGTTACGAGATTTTGCGCCTATGGACAGATTGGTGTCACGACGTTGTAGTCACGATACCGGGCCTCGGGAGAATAGGGTACCTAAAAGTAGGAGAGCGTGTACCCTATAAGACACCTTAGTAACATCGCTTTCATATCTGTGAACTTCCCTAGGGGTTTAAACGACTGCAACCATGCGATTCCTCACTCTCCTTGCTCTCATCCCCGCCGCCCTCACTCTCCCTACGCAATCCCTAGACTTCGCAGACTATGCGTTGACCCCACGTGCTGACCCCTCCCTCACCGGTTACCTGGGCGTCTTCTTCCTCGGCGACAAACCCTCCGTCTACTTTTACCTCTCCAACGGCAACAATGCAAACTCGCTAACAGCCCTCAACAAAGGGCAACCTGTCATCAATCCTACCAAAGGCACCCGAGGTGTGCGCGACCCGAGCATTATTGAGGGAGGAGGAGCGGAGAAGGGGAAGAAATGGTACATCATCGGCACGGACCTCGACATCGCGAAGACAACATGGGATGCTTCCCAGCGCACGGGAAGTAGAGGAATATTTGTATGGGAGTCGACCGATCTCATAACGTGGAACAAGGAGCGCCTAGTAACGGTCGAGGATGCGACTGCGGGCATGGTATGGGCACCCTCATCCATCTACGACACAGCAAAGGGCGAATACCTCGTCTACTGGGCGAGTAAGTTCTACCCTACTTCCGATCCCAATCACACCGGCACACCATCTTCCATTCGTATCCGCTACGCCTACACCAAGGACTTTCAAAGTTTCTCCCCGCCAAAAGATTACATCAACAAATCACCCACGAACATCATCGATCTCGAATTCCTCAGCCTAGGCAACAACGCGTATGCACGCTTCATGAAAGACGAGACGGCCAAGAACGTTTTCACCGAGATCTCCACGACCGGACTCTTCGGCACGTGGAGTCGGCCCGGCGGCGCTAACGCGGTTATTTCGACTGGTGTCGAAGGGCCGGCTGTGTACTGGGACAACCAGGTCGCGGGCAAGGCGCATCTGTTGCTTGACTTTTATGGGAGTGATGGGTATAGGCCATATGAGAGCACGGATGTGAAGAGTGGGAAGTGGACTGCTAGTGATCGGAGTGCTTGGCCGAAGAATCTTAGGCATGGGAGTGTGTTGCCTGTTACAGCGGGGCAGGTGGATGCGTTGAAGAAGAAGTGGGGCTCGTGAGGGATGGGGTGTGTAGTAGATTAGTGTAGTAAAGAGGCAGTAGGTCCTATTTCTATTCTATTTCCCACAAGCCTCTGTCTTAACGCGCATGAACAACCCTCCTACGATCATAGCCGTTTATGTTCTTCATAGTAGATACTTTGCCTTGGATTATTAGTGACGGAGTGTTGTGAATTATATTTTCTTCGCGGGTTGTGTATAGAAATAGTCCGAATGGGCGTAGGCCTCTACTGACGAAAACGAGTTCTTGGTATTTTCTAGCTACTGTCGTCCACATGGATAGAACCTCTCCTTAAGGTTGGCGTTTTACGACTATCGCGATGGGACTGACATGTGGACATCGCAGTTAGTGGCGTCAGGTACCAGGCGCAGGGGTTCGCTTACCCTACGCCACCAGCTGGGGGATTTGTTCGAGGCAAGGCAAAAGAAGAGCCACTAGAAGACACTGTCACTTTCCGATAAGGTTCTGCTTCCGCAATGATTTAGTCCTAGAACTTTTCTCTCGCTCTTTCAGACTCCCTGCTATTCACCATATCGTTCCTTCGCGCGATCATGTTTCACTCACCAGCTTGATAGTGAACTCAAACATAACTACTAATCAGCATTATTCGCGCCGTTGAAGGCTCCACCAACTCTCATCACAAACAACCCCAAATAATTCAGAGTAGTCGGGCGGCCTCGCTGTGCTACCGCACACATAAAGTCAATGCCAAGAGCTGGGGCGGAGATTGCGGAGCTTCGCCCTCAAGCTATCGACCCGGGACGTCTTTCGATCCCTCCTGTCCCAAACAGCAAATGTGATAGCCGAACATTCCCACATGTCGCTAGGCGCTACCTACTTTGCGTAAGGGTAATTCCCGTTTCAATGATCGTACAAGGATATCCGGCGGCTCCGTTGATCTTGCGCAAGGTACCGGTACCACCCTGAATCCACGTGGGTCGATTATGGTCGACCTCAGCTACCAAAAGTGTGAACGTGGCTGCGCTCAGCCCTTATAACAGCTAAGGAAATCCACAACTTGGGCGCTATTAGTCGAAAAAGGGCTTTTTGGCGCCATCGCTCTCGGTGGAATTAGACGATGGATATGCCAATACGGCCTGGTCTTCACGATGCAGGACTCATGGCCCCTGATATTACGCCAGGAATATACCTTTTCAACGCCTTCGGAATATTTGCTGAGAGCGCGTCCACTCTTCTGGCTGCTCTTAAAGACCTCGATGACTACGAGCGCTACTCAGTGTGACACTCCCTGTCTCATTTTCTGAGACTCTATTTGTGTCTCTTTTATATCTAATTTCCTAATCAACAATGCACTCGTTTAGCCTTTTGGCCGTTACGGCCCTCACATTCGCTTCGTTCTCGTATTCTCAGAAAGTTAGCCCCAATGGACGATGCGGAGCCCAGTTCGGGTACACCTGCCAGGGCTCGTCGTATGGAAGCTGTTGTTCTACTAATAATTGGTGCGGTGTGACCAAGGACCACTGCGCAGTCACAAAGTGTCAATCTCAATATGGCACTTGTGACAAGGGTGGAAATACTCTTCCGTCCCCAGTTCCTTCGCCGGCTACCGTGTCAAAGGATGGAACGTGTGGTGGCTCCAAGGGATATACCTGCTCAAGTTCCGCTTTCGGTAACTGTTGTAGTAAGTATGGAGTATGTATCACCACTTGTTGAGTGTTCGAAATGTCTAACTAACCTTGTTTCTTCCTTCCTAGTGGTGTGGAAGCGCAAGCGTACACTGCGGAACTGGCTGCAAATCCGGCTTCGGGAGCTGTTCATCAAGCCCATCTTCTTTGGTTCGATCAAGCACTCGATCAAGCTCCTCCCAGCGTCCTTCGACCTCTGCAGGAAGGTCAAGCAGAATTGTTTCCGCGGACGGGCCCAGTTCGACATCAACACGCCCCTCGTCCACTCGTATTTCCTCCCTAGCAGCGCCGTCGTCTACCATCAAGGTCACAATAGATGGACGATGCGGCACAGGCTTCGGCTTAACATGTCAAAGTTCGAATTACGGCGACTGCTGTAGTCAGCACTCTTACTGGTAAGAACACTACTTGTGAAGACATGATGGGATAACTGACGCTCCTCAGTGGAAGTACAAGCGCTTATTGCGGTGATGGATGTCAGCAGGGGTTTGGAAAATGCAATTTTAATGCTGCGTCTTTATCCTCTCGTCCTCTATCATCCCCGCTATCCTCTAGCACTTCTCTGGTTCGCTCGAGTACTTTAGTACAGTCATCGAATACGCTATTACGATCATCGAGTATCTTAGTATAATCATCAAGTACCTTAGTACAGTCCTCGAATACTCCATCGCGTCCTTCGACAAGTCTTTCTTTACAGAGCACATCGCAAACTCCTTCCAGCTCTCCGGTATCTTTGACTAACAGTCCAAGCTCGAGCTCAGTCTCTCCTTCATGCGTAATCAAACCCAACGCCGAACTCCTCTTCAAGCTCTATGGTCTCCTCGAGTTCCGCCATTTCTTCGACACCTGTGGGGTCGGCGAGCTTATCATTTTCGCAATCATCTTCAACGGTGTCCTCCCTCTCATCAGCAGTTTCGTCATCATCAGCGGCGTTGATTTCCACTTCAACCCCTGCACCATCTTCGAGCTTGATATCTTCTTCGGGCATCTCTAGTCAGAGTACATTGTCGACTGTTAGCATCTCTTCTACTTAAAGTGCTTCTTCCTCACAGAGTGACTCTTCAACCCAGATCGCCTCTTCAACTTCAAGCGTTTTCTCAACTACAATCGTCTCACCTACCCCAAGCGCTTCCCCAAGCGCTTCCCCAAGCATATCACCTTGTTCTTACATCGTCAACTCAGGGTTTGAATCGACCGATGCTTCTAACTGGATGGCGTTTGGGATCGGCTCCACCTCCTGGCGCTTTAATCTCCCCACTGGCGATGGACACAGCGGATCCTCAGCGTACCTAGCTGCCAAAAAGGACACCTCGGGCGGAGCGGAGATGAACCTTGACGTCCCGTTCACAGCCTCCCAGAGCATCACTGTCGAAGCTATCGCTTACGTGCGATCACGCAACAGTCTGGGAGCCTCTTGCAAAGTCGACGTCCTCGTCGATGAACTCAAGCGCGGAAATACTGTTGAGGTCAAAGACGCAAGTGGTTGGGTCAAGATTAGCTCAGGGACAGTACAGCTTACTAGCGGTGCTCACGCGATGCGTTTCCATGTCTCAAGCTCTGCATCAGGCACGGGTCAGGAGTGTGGGTTCGACGATGTTACCGTACAGCTTATTGGTGCTGGCTGTGCTGTTACATCTTCTACCACTATTTCTGCTTCTGCTTCTGCTTCTGCTTCTGCTTCTGCTTCTGCTTCTTCTGCGACACCGTCTTTGAGCAGCTTCTTGACCTCAATGGCCACCTCTTCGCGAGCTATAGCAACGACGCTTTTGACAGTTTCGTCCACCGCAGTGCCGTCTTTGCCTACGACACCTACTCCAACTCCAACTCCAAGCTCAGTGGCACCGGAGCCGACTGACTCTTGATTTCAGAACGCCAGTGTCTGCTATTATTTCTATGTGCCAGATTCACATGTTTCGTGCATTTCAAAAACTAAGATAGAACTTACGTAGTTGTCTATCTATTAGCATCTAATAAGTACTGTTTGCTCTAATGATCCCATTCTCCTTGAGCTTCCATTGTGCCAGTACGGATCTGGAAGCGCGGTAGTGTCTCTCTAGCCCTTTACAGATTGCCCTGGCCACAGGCTCGACCTCATTGGGATCGACTCCAACCGAAATCCGCATATATGGGTCCTCGTTCCGGATGAACGGGGTCGATGGCCAAATGCGAGTAACAGAGAAGCCCAAGCCACCGCCCTTTGTCATTGCAATGCCCTCCTCCTCTGCAGCTCTCAGGACCACGCTCGTAAATGTATCCAAACTTGGCCGTTTATTCATCTTATCCCCAAAGAGCCTGATGGTGACCACGTTTCCCCCATGGCCCCAGCCCATCTTGCGCCAATGGGTCGGAAAGTTGAACTCGGCAATGGTCGAACTCTTCTTGTCCAAAAGATGATAGAGCTTCTCCGCGTTGGTCGTCAACGAGTGCATTCGCGACTGATGAATATCATAGTTGATGGGTGGCAAGACATTCGCCTGACGTGAATATAGCGTCGTTCCAGTGACCTGGCGGATGAGGCCGAGGGTCTCATGGAAAATATCTGGGTAGACGAGGAATCCACACATAACAATGTCCATACCCATCTGGATGTACTTGTGGGCACTCTCATAGTAGAGGACCTTTGGGTGGCCGGGCTTATCAAACCAGTCGTACAACGGCATTCCACCCGATATCAGTGTCCCGTCGATGACTAGAAACCGGTCCTCCCAACCTTCTCTACCTGACAAGATCTGCGCAAATCGCCGTATGTCAGTAGTCTCCAAACCGATTGTGTTGGCCATGGGGTCGAGGTAGACGACTTTGGCGTTGTGCTTTTCCGCCGTCGCGATAATGTCCTCGGCCTCAAATGTGTTTGAGCTGACAACTTTCACATGCGAAACCAGCCGCAAGTGTTCAAAACACTCGAAATACAGATACGGAGAGGTGACAATTGTATCGCCCGCCGTAAGAACCTTGCTCATCAAGAATTGTTGCAGCACTGTGAAAGCCGCAACGCCGCTGGATGTCAACAATAGCTTGAGCGGCAGCTTTTCATTGCCCAGCCCCAGAGCCCGGAGAGTTCGCGCCTCAGATTCTCGTACGTCGGGCGCTCCGTAGCGGTCATAATTGAGGCCATCTGACTGGTGGTAAGAAGGGTCAAACCACCACACAGTCTGAGATTGGTCGTACGCGGGACTGGCGCGCTCGAAAAACGACCCTAAACAAGACTGAAGCTGAATCAGGGCGCGGTAACGCTCTTCCATCTGCCAGGGGACGAGGGCGAATGCCGACAAGGCCGACGGTGCTTGAATCTGACCATGGCCCAGGTTCTGAGTAATAGCCAGCTGCATCTCTAGTTCCGAAGTGAGATGCTCCAGTCGCCTGTACATCTGCAAGAAGATGTCGATGCACCAATCATCAGTGCGAGCGGATATCTCCTTTTCGATACGGGCCCGTTCATCGAAGCGCTGTTTGATCGTAGCCGTTGTCGCCTTGAGGTGGGATAGCAGAAGAGACCATGTCTCGACTATGGATAGCCTGGGTGTTTCATATGACTTCATATCTGTGCGTCGCGACAGTTGCCCATTAGGGTTGGCGACTACGATGGGATATGATGGGGCCATTGAGACCACCATTGAGACGGGTGACGGCAGATGTGCGAAGGAGCCCTAACCTAGACACTGCTGTTTTCAGTTTGAGCGTGCTAGTACTGAAATCAGAAGGGGGCCCATAGAAATCACGAGTGACATGGTAAAGCATAGCCAAGATGAGGACTGCCTGTGATTCTTATATCCGAGTTTCTTGCATACTAGTAGGGAGTTATTACGCCACCAGGGTGAACGCACACATTCTCGACCGATTAATGTGCTGAGATAATTAGTTATCTTCCTTCTCCTCTTACTAGCGGTTTACGAGTATGCACCATACAAAAATTGTGGGGTGAACAAGGGAGTGAAGGGGTCAGCCTGCAGGATCCCAACCGACCTTCCACAACAAGTAAGTAGAGGTGCTCGAAGTTAACGTAAATAAATACGAAGGACCTACAACGCGGCTACGTATTGATAGGAGCTCGCGGTACTGGGATTCTCGAAGCTGACAGGGCTCGTTCCCAATTTATCCAGCGAGTCAAAAAGCCAAGTATAAAACCCAGTATAACATTCTGTTTGGGGCGATCAACCCTCCGTCATATATGAGGATGAACACCTTATCCTCACAGCTTCGATGACCGTAGTTTGGACTCGATACATTGTCAAATCACCATGCCTCTCCTTAACGGGCACAAAACCCCTCGTCGCGGACCGCACATTTTGAATGTCCTCCAACGCCGTTATAATGCTCAATTTTACGAGTCAATTGCCGCCATCATGGCGCTGCGCAATACATACTTACAGAATAGATTTATCTTCATTCGGGGAGACGACATGATCCCGATTCTGAAAGGTCTCGGTGCCAGAGAAGACGATTTCGAGTTCGTCCAGCAGATCAGTGACCTCACCGGACCCGACCCAACCCTCGAATATCGCTCGGTGACTTACGGGCGGTACTGCATCGACCCCGAGACACGCAGCATACAGCGGCTCGAGACACAGCCGTACACCCTAACGGTGCAGGAGGACTACAAGCGCCACGACTCTGGGATCCCCAGGATGTTCGACGAGACCCCAACAGACATGCAAGGCAACACAGTCGTACAGGCTCTAATGCTCTTCAAAGCACTTGTCTTCCAGGGTGTCCCTGTCACACCCCGTGACCACCTAGACTATTCCTCTCCTGCTTGGATATGCACCATGTTCAACGCGCGTACGCACACTTCGAAGAACCATGGCATCTTCGGTGAACCGGCACTCGAAGGTGTCCACTCGGATGGGTCCGACCACACTATGACGGTATTTCTGGGTAGTAAGAACATGCGTGCCGATAGCGCGGTTACATTCATGCACGACAACGAGGAGACGACTGGGGTGCAGGTATGGGAGACAAACCCTACCCTTATCCGGGCCCGCGTGCACCACCAGCACTTTTTGGACACTCTGGTCTTTGTGGATCATGACTTCAAGCACAGCGTTACTTCAGTGCACCAAATGGATGCGGCGCAGCCCGCAAGTAGGGATATGTTAGTTGTGTTTACTCGGCGGCCGAAGATCGAGGGGCATGTGTCAGGTTATGCGGATACTATGGAGCTCCACAGTACAGAACCATTCCATTTGCCTATGTGGCTGCCTTGATAGCGCGACTTCGAATAGGACCAATAGCCTGCTGTTAATCCAGTTAAGGATAACATGAAACTGTACGACATGATCCACAGATGCAAAGCACACTACTAGTATTTTTAGAAGCATGTAAGCAAGAAATCATGGTCGAAATATGCTTGATCTGTTTAGTCGACTTGCAGATTGAGGTAACTAGTCTCAATGATAAGTTGTGGCACTGAATGGATGGAACAAAAGTACTTCAAATCCAACACATTGAATTATGTTTTCCAGAAAATCACAAGTTTCTTTTAATAGAGATTGACTAGAGTAGTTCATAACTTACTTGGTCTATTGCGGCCTTTAGTAAACGGGTCTATCCATGCTGGGCCCTCCCGGAGAACTGCCGAGTTACTGCGCTTGGCACAGTTTGTCAGCACGAAGGAAGATCATCAGAGAATATGCATTGGGTATGCAGCAATCTTAGGTGAATACTGGCGCCAAGTAGCGATGTATTTACCTTCCGTATTAGGTCATTCAGCGAATAGATAAGGGGCGCTTCGGCTCAGTAAATCCTATGACATCCAGCGTAAGTAGTGTTGCACTGCAACGTATACAAATCTGGGAAGAGTGGGGCACACACCAATACAGCATAATGATCCTCTGCAATTTCCATTAACAAAGTAGCCTGAATGTCAGTTTCCATCTACGGCACGCAGGAACTCCGAGGCATACAAGGTTCGGTAGGTGTATATTTGATGTAGGGTCTCCGATCAAGGAGGTAGCGCAGTACTACGCTGCACGTTTAAGTAGGGATTAAGTCACGTGACGAACCCTAGCTTATCGATTGGCTGTGGTCAGACCCACCTGGGCAACCTACATGAGATATACACCCATCAAACTTTGTACGCGGCCGCCGTGATGCGCGAGGACCGTGCGGCTGACGCGCCAGTATAGAAAAGATCTGTATAAGTTATGATTGCTGGTGAAATTAGTGGAGCGATGAATGATCCTAGAGGATCAACTCGCATGGAGCTACGGTTGATCGAGGAGGTAGCAAGAAATGACATGAGAGAGAAATTTGTGGGCGTATGCTTACGTGCCTAACGCTCGTTCCTTTTCCTGAGAATTTTCGACTTCTCGTGGCAGTGGCTCGGCGTTCAAAATGACAAATAAAAGTGATAGTGTGATAGATGCCGATGGTATAATAACAAAAAGACAATACAGGGCTTATTACGCTTTGTTGCATCGGGCCGATTAACCTGGTCTTGGGGTCTGTCTACGACTTACCTTGATTTGATACGTTGTATCATATACCAAACGATTGCATGATATTATGTCGATCCTACCATTACCTCTCAACTTCAGTCGGCCGGATTTTATCCTAGAACCATTCATATAACGTGAGAGCATTCCCGGACGACCGACGAGATGTTCTACGGTGTTTCGGCGTGGGTCCATGCAACTACAGGGACTCCATCGTTCTGATTATTCTGGTTTTTTTGGCGGTGGAGGGAACGAACTTTACAATTTGAGCTGACTGACTCGACAGAAGTCTGGCCTATGCGGAGGGGAGATTGATTCTAGGCCGGGCCGTGTAGAAAACATGTGATAAGTGAAACTCGCAAAACTATATGATAGACCAAAAGTATGTGACGGGATGAGACGTGAGATGGAGCTTTACGGGAAGTTGCGCCATGGATGACGTTTCTGCGGGGCGCGGCGGGGCGGGGCACTCCGTTCTGGTACTATGGGGAAACGGTACCGGTACGTAACTCCCTGCCGTGCTCGCTTAACGGTATTGTATGTACAAGACGACTTTTTTCAGCTGCTTTACAGGGTCTATTAATTGCAAGCAGTACTACGGTTAGTAGATGATCCTTCGCGTTGTTACACAACAACACCTAGGCCCCTCTACACCGCTTCCTCTCCACCTTCTCTCTTTGGACACCGGAGCAATGCTTGCCGAGGTTGCGGCGGTGTTATCTTTTAGAATAGCATGTCAGAATATAAGTGGGCACTCAGGAGCGATAATCTATGCCGATAGGCAGGGGTTGTCGTACGCGTGTTGGACCACATGCGGAGTAAGGCAACGTCAAACGCATAGCAACTTAGTTCCACTCATCCAGGACCTTCGCACATACTGCGCAGATATTCTTACTCCTTCAAGCTGGCTATGCCCTAGATGCAATGCCTCTGTCGACTCCCACATGGCTTTGAGAATCTATTGTAATACTACAGTTGTCAATTCGTACACTCCTGCTGCTGCACCAGATACCAATCACATACTCTTTACCTCAAAAAGTGATTATGCCTAGCGTTGATGAATTCCAGCTTCACCCCTTGGGTTGGGAGAATGACCCAAAGGAGGAGCGATTCAAGCTCTCGACCCTCGACTACTTGTCGACAACAACCTATAACAACATGGCTTTCTTTTTCAAGCTAAACGACACCGAGAAGACGTTAGTGCTAGATTATGCCCTTTGTCTAGAAAAAGAAGATTCGCTAACTGCTCTGACAGCAAAACTACAGCGATACTTAAGGAAGGTCTAGAGCGGACTCTCAGCCAGGTTAGACACCTTGTTGGGACTATCGAGAGTGACAATGATGGCCACCACTCAATAGTCAGGAAGAGAAGCAGTACTGTCCAATTTGTGGTCCAGCATCTTGACTCCCTCGAGGACAAGTTTCCATCTTTTGCTGAGATTGCAGAAGCTCACTTCCTCTCGCCTATACTTGGCGATATCAATGTCTTGAGCAATAGTCCTATGACTGCCGGCAACAAGCCAGAAGCACACCCTGATAACAGCCCTGCAATCACATCATTCAAAGCCAACTTTATCCCTGGAGGTCTTATCCTTAATGTGCACATCCACCACTACAGTAATGGCATTATGGGATTCACGTCCTTTGTCAAACAGCTCGCAGAGAACTGTTACGCTATTGCAAATACGACCGCGTACCCCTCCTTCGACCCGAAGTGCCTTGATCGCAGCCTCTTTGGCTCCCTCGGGTTCGACAGGCCATCGACCTCCAAAGAGCCACAGGTTGAAGCCCATCCTCGGCCCGCCCGCAACTCGGATCACAGGCAGTCACAGTCGCTAATGTTTCATTTACGCAAGAGTAGAGCTGCTGAGCTGAAAAAGGCTGCGTCGCCTACTGATGGGTCCTGGATCTCTACATATAATGCTGTGTGCGCCATAATGTGGCGCGTCCTCTCCAGGATCCGCGAGCCTCTCTATAATCCTGGTCTGGATAACAAGCCGATCTGGGCAGAAGGCGTCAGCATATCCAAGCTATTTATCAACCCTCCGATACCTGCCCGTATGCAGGGCAACATGCAAATCGACATCATATCGACTACGTCTACTGTATCGCAACTAACTCTAGCTGAGATTATCTCAGACGCGCCTTTATCCAAGCTAGCAAGCTATACACGTCAAATGACTAATAGTGTTACTTCCGATATGCTGCAAGGCATGCTACAGAAATTTGCGCCTGTGCGTAACAAGCAGGATCTATCAATCAACGTCGATTCCTTCCCGCCTATGTCCATCTTACTCACCGACTGGCGGGATGCTAATATCTGCTCGTTCGATTTTGGCTTCGCTGAGCCGACTGCCTACCGGCACTTGTTTGGCGGGGTGCCTCTGTGCCTGGCTCTTGTCTACCCACCGCATAAGGGTCCAGCTGGGGATGACGAGGGGATGGAAATACAGTTTACGTTTGAGACAGAGCTTGTGCAGCAGCTGTTAAACGACCCAGAGTGGAGCAAGTATTTTGAATTCAGGGGTGTTGATGCGTGGCAGGAAGGAAGCTTGAGTAATCATAGATCTAAACTATGATGGTATGGTGATTTCGGGTTCCTTTTGAGATAGCCTTGGAGAGTTGCTGAGTGTTACATAAATCTGGTGCAAGTTAACTCTTTGCCCAAAACTCTACCATTAGTCTCATTTTCACTCCAATCCCCCGCGAATTTTGATCTGATTAGCCCAAGTTCCACAAGATGAAATGAAAATATCGAGATTTGAGACTTCAGTAGGCACTCTTCAATCGCTGGGATATACATTATATAAGGGTGAATTCCTGCAGAGCTACACCGGCGGCGCGCAAAGTCTCCGGTAACACTTCGATCAGAGAAGAATCTTCCGGGTGGTTTTCCACTTTGATACCCATCTCCATCAGTATCTCGGCTGGTTCTGTTTTGAGCGTTTGCGTTTTTGGATCATATAATACATATTCCGACGGCCCTTCAAGCGGCTTCACAGGTCTGTAATGACTCGGTAGCTTGCTACCGTATATGGCTTCACCCATCATAAGCCCTGGAGAATGGCAGACACCCATCACCTGCCAAGTTGGACTCAATCCCGCCTCAAGAGATGGTCGTAGTACCACAGGAAATCTGCAGCCCAGTAAAACACAGACAATGTCCCCTGGTTCGGTACCAGCTGGCGCAAACCCGATATACTGGTTCGATCCCTGGAAGAAGCGCCTTCCGAACATATTTGACTCGCAATTTTCTAAGAAGATTTCAACAGGTAAAGTTTTTGAGTCCCTGAGCTCGTTCCACGTTCCGCTCGTTGACCAGACTAGATCCAAAATTTCCATACACTCTTCGAGCTTTGGTTTGCCTACTTGTGGAGGCATATAGGATTCAAAGAAGACATCCCCAACCAGGGCATGGCAGTACTTTTGGATGCAGCTTAGACTTGATTCGTTTTGAGCAGCTAAGGCCTCCACTGATGGTCTTAGCTTTCTCAATCCCCGGAGCAGATCATAATACTGCCCATCATACTCGTCCATATCGATTTCAGTAACACATTCAATTTGACTCGCCATAACTCCGGGAACACGTATTGAATTGCCGCCGTCCATGGTAGCTTGAGCAGAAATCCAGCCACATGCACTCCACTTTGACATAAGTTTATCTTTGTATTTTAGGCGAGACGACCAGTCCGGAACCCAGCTAGGGATATCCAAAATCTTAGATGAGAGTTCGCAGGTTTCGAGTAACTCCAAACTGTGACGTCCAGTCACCACACGACGGAAGACATCTACGTATAGCTCTTCTACTGATCGCGCATAATCCGATTCTATGCCGAGCCGTTGATCCTTGTTCTTCAACAGGCTTAGAGTGGCATAAATCATATCGCGGGGATCTTGACATTGCGCATCGCGCAAGTCGATTCTCAGGTAAGAGAAGGATAGATAACCTTTGATGGTGGCACATACATCGAATGCGGCATTGGTTTTTTTTTTCAAGTCCGCGAAACGTGTTCCCCCCATAGCTGAAACAAAAAATCCTTTCCATCGGAGGCAGAACACGGCCCTTTGGAAGTCTTTCCAGGTTATTTCCTCCTGCCCACATTGGATCACAGCGTGAGTCGCAAGTGAAATTTCCTGCCGAATCCAAGTTCGCGAGAAGTAAGGTCGCTCCAACAACGCGCAAACAGGCTGCAGTTCGCCTAATTGGTATGGAAGGCGAATGTCCGGGTTACCCCATGTGAAATCGCTGCTTTGTTCCGAGGGGCGCATGGTATAACTGTCATAGTCTACATCAACATGGCAAGCCCAGTACCTCATAATCTCAAGCGCGTAATTGCTGTTGTTTTCTTCGGGACCGAGCCAGGCTATCACACTCCGAGCCAGCGAGAATATTCTGCCCATCATGCCCACCTGTGAGCCCTTCTCTACCTTATTTGATTGGTTGATGCAGAGTGCATCTATCCAGACCAAGCGAGACTCATGGCGATGTCGAAGGTGTCTGAGTGCAACATCTAGATTTCGGGTAATGGGGATAAAGCCCTGGTCCAATAGCTGCGATTGGACAAGAACTTGTACGGTGTTATCTTTCGAGCCCCAGACGTATGATAAGGCTTCATATCTGCATGAATGCCACTGTAAAGAAATTAGGTGAAACATCTTACTTCATAGCCAGGTTCAAGACTTACTGATGGAAATGAGGGGAGGGTATTACTGAGTCGTCCTATGCGAAAAGATATGCGAAGCTCATCATCGTACGCTCCCGGCAGAATTTGAGCGACTCGGATTTCATCTTTAGGATCTGAAAGTACCTCATACTGGTATGACATAACGTGAATACTTCTTTAGCAACAAGCAATGAAATAATCGCGTAGATCTGATGCAGGAGAGGATTGTTTGCTGATAGTTTTTATCAGCTTGAGGTTGATCATCTCGAGGTTGACCAGCTAGAGGTTGTGGTGGGGCTGGCTCACCGGTCGTACATTCAGTCTAGCGTCATGTACGATGATGAGATGCCACCTAGCCAAGGATATGGCAACAGCTCTTTCCCCAATGTCACGTGTACGGCCTTCAGCCCTGGGTTTCTTTTATCGGGAAAAAAGTGTAAAATCACTATCCGCGTCCCATTGGATGTAAGTTGTTGAACAAATGATTTCATTCCCATGAATCTACGGATGTAACGTTGAAGCCTTGATACTCCAGACAGATAGCTATGACGCCATCTAAGAAAGAGAAACGATGCCAATCCCGTGTCTAGCTAATCAAGAAAAAGCCTTTGAACCTGTTATCCGAAGTCCAGAATCTCAGACGCCTGTATCCAAGCCTTGATTTGCTGCGGAAGACAACTCTCAACTAGCAAGACTTCCACCCGTCGATGATGCATCGAGTATCGCGCACGAACTCACGGTTCCACCACTGAGGGAAGACGTCCACCATCTCGTTGCCCAGACCATCAATGGCACGATCGACATTTTCGCGAGTCTCGCAGCAACGGAAGTTGCTGTACTGGCTGTGGTAGTTGAAGATGCGAACATGCATGTAGTTCCGCTGGTTGTTACCCGTCGGAGGCAAGTTCACCTGTGTTCAGTGTTAGAATTATTCCATTAAGGGGCATAGTAAGTGAGGTAACATCTTGTTGTAGACCGGGTAGGATTGGGTTAAATTGGAAAGGGGTACTCTAGACTTACGCGGACCTTGTCTCCAACATTACAGGCCTTGCGATTGCCAAGAGAGAAGCAGTTGGACGGGCCGATAATGGCTTGATCCTTAGTCAGAGCCTCGAGCGTGCCGGCGATGCTGCCGATGAGGAGTCGGCGGATCTGGTCGTTCTCCCACTCGCCCCAGATGTCATGAATCGTGGTTTCGCCTGCACATCGAGTTAGAAGCATGCATCGTAAAGCGGAAGAAAACGCAAAGTCTTAGGAACCAGTGTGCATCTAGATGTTTGACTTACACTGGCCATTGCCGAAGGGCGGGTTGATGAGACACTGAGTAGGGAAACCTAGGCCCTTTGGATCGCGGCACGAACCCCACTTATTGCCACCCCAACGATCTTTCGAGTTGTCGGGACAGTAGCGGTCGAGCTGGGACCAGACAGTCTCATAGAGTTCCTTCTCGATGACCCAGCCTACAGTCTGTTGGGTCACACCAATCCAGACTTGTACCGTGGAGTAGTCGTGGTACTCGTATGAAGGGTCGTAGCCAGCACCTTTGACAGGAGTTAGTAGTGCTATGAGATGAATCAGAGTGGAGTAAATAGACAAAGGACTTACTAGCGGTCGTGTTCATGGGAACGGTGACGTTGAGAGGGACAAATTCGATGTCTGAGACACCATCCTCGGGGGTGGGAGCTGCGCCAACGAGGATGGCGAGGCCGAGAACCAGGCCAATGCAGAAGTTGAAGAGCTTCATGTTGAGAATGCAGATAGAATCTTGGTTGGTAGCTTGAATTGAGGGTAGGTTGATCTAGTTGAGGAAGTGAGGTGGGGAATTGGAAAAAGAACCAGCGTGAGAGGGATTATATGCACCATGGGGGGCATTAGTTTGTCTGGTGGGCCAAAGCTCTGGAAGCTGCAGCATGATAAGCCCGAGCTCAGAATGTGCAATTAACCAGCTTTCACACGGTGGTTGCGCGGGGGGGAAGAGTCAGGGCGGCCCTAGGGAAAGGATTTTGTTTGAGCGAGTGAAACACTGGTTAAGCGATGTCAAGTCGACAAAGAACATATCGGTAGCCGATTCTAACAACAAGAATACTCGAGGGCATGTGAACACACAGCTTGCTGTTAGATTGATATCCTCGAGTTTCAAGCTAGTATTAATGAGATAAGATCAATATATAATTTACGCGCTGCAACATCGACTTAACATTTCACATGCCTGCTAATGTAACTGTACAACTTAACACCTTGCTTATACAAAATAAAGATATTACAAAGAAGCAATCGAGAAGTTGAAATAGCAAGTCAAGCTTATAATTTAACACAATAGTGCCCACCAACCTTCTCGCGGCAACCTTCTCTGCTGGATAACGATCAAGAGCAATATATACAAGCTAAATGCTACTATCTACAGCGCAATGCCTGGCCTTAATCCTGTTCAACCTACTCACTCTTTTCTGTACCACCCTTATCCCTTTCACTGAGGGTCTCGCATCCACCATGGTATGCAAAAGTCCCGGGCTGTGTAATCACGACAGTCGGGAACAATGATATCATGTGACGTCGATACATTTTCAATATCGGGCTATAAGCAGTGGTAAAGACCGGGAGTATACCAGGAACTAAAGATATGTAATATATAATCCAGATGAATAGAAAGTGAAGGTTCAGATGGTGAGGTGGTTTAGACACATGAGGGGCCGGCATCGATGTGGATGAGCTTTTTATTGTTCTCGAGCTGTATACGGCGCATTACCTTATGTTTATTAGATATAGTGTATGCACATTGTGGCCGCATTTCTGATGTAATATGTAGTATACAACGAAGAATTTGTAACCTGCGTCAAAGTGAAAGATTGGCATGGACTTGCGTCTACTAGCCAAGCTCTGCGTGCCCTCGATAAGAGCGATGTCTGACCCCCGTACTAGCGCAATTTAGGTAAAAGTCCGTTATTTTGAAGGAGGTGTCCTAGATAAATTCCAGTTCATCACCGTCTTTTGTCTGATTAATCTCCTTCTTACACCTGCTGGAACAACTAATATGAGAAAGCAGCAGACTCATCTAAAATCTATCGAATATTACCCTAATACTTGACTTTGTAGCACTTGCAAAGTTCAGCATTGTTTCACACTCCCTTTCCCTTTCCAAGCGCCCATTCTCCCACAACCCTTTGGATGACTGCATCGAATACGCTACCTACATCATACTTCTTGAATTTCTTACTCATCTCCACTACCCTCCACTTATAACCTACATCCTCTAGCACCTTGCTCACACCCTCTCTGATCTTCTCAACACCTGGCGTCCTGTTACCTAGATTGATGCCCACTCCTGTCACGTGGACAACATTGTTGGTTATAACCTTATCTTGGCCATCGCCCGCCACAACCACCGGGATGCCGAGGTCCAGGGCTGTCATTACAGCACCGTAGCCGCCGTTGTTGACCAGTACATCGACCTAAAACTTCATCAGCACGCGTGAGTGAAGGATAGGGGAGGGGACTTACAAACGGTAAGAGAAGACTGTAGGGTACGAATTTCGCTGCTCGAGCGTTGGCAGGAAGGTTAAGGCCGGGTACGTCTTCAGGCTCTACAACGACAGTACTAACGATGACTAGGATGTCATCTCGATCCTTGAGGGCCTCCAGCGTTGGGAAAAGGAGATCGTCCCATTGGGTCTCAAGAGTTCCCTGGCTAATAGCCACGACCTTTCTGCCTTTGCTCTTCGCTTCCTCCACTTCAACCCACCAGGCTGGAAGCTCCGGTTTCTTATCAGACTGTTTTGAATCTCTCAAGGCACCAAAGTAGTGAGCATTTTTTCTCAGATCACTTCTTGGAAATTCAAAGTCCGGGACGCCCATAGTCATGAGATGGTCTGGTGACCCGCCCATCGCTTGATGCATTGAGGGGAGATTGTCTTGTACGACACCCAGTTCGCGAAACTTCGCCCACATGTATAAATCCATCTCCCGAGTTCGGTAGTCCTGGTGGAGATCCTGGTACGCTTTCCGATGGATAGCCTTTGCATCTGGTCCGGTTTCGGGAAGCTTGTTGATATGGAAAGGATACGTATCGTTCGAATTTATGGACAGTGGATGACAGCTAATTGCAAAGGTGACATCTGGTTTGATGCCAGGGGCGCCGAGGAGAATTGGCAAATGGCCGAGGATTGGCAGATCGTAGAACGAAATCAAGGGCTTGCTGTTTCCGAACCGGTCCCTAAATCCTTTGAAGACGTTTTGAAGAGTTTCGTGCATGTTTGGCATGCCATCTACAAGTACAGCTTTCTGTATGGAAACTTGAGCCTCCTCACTGCCTGGTGGAAACGATGCGAATGTCTTGTAATCTTCCTCAGAAAGCTTATCCGGTTGCCCAAGTTGGGGGTAGTAAGTGATGTTTGGGTGTAGGCTGGAGGCTTCTTTTTGGAGGATACGACCAGTAATGAGGGTGATCGGGTATCCAAGCTGTGCTAGGATGACAGCGACTTTCGCAATCTTCTCGAAGTGGGACCAGTGCGTGATGGCAGAAATGATGAGGGGGGTTTCTGATCGAGCCAACGCGGTCGGCACTACCCTACCCTAGATTCCGTTTGCGTCTTACTGATGTAGGGCAATGCATCCTACAGGCCACTTAGAGTTCCCGGAGAGAACAGTTGCAGAGCAAGAAGGGCGATAAGGGGAATGAGCCCCGCCGAAAGAACTCGCTGAAGGACGCCCATTGTGAATACCGGCAATGTGCGGAACGGAAAGCTTTTTTTGTACCGTGCTCGCTATTTTATATAAGACAGGCGCCCCATTCGTACGAATACAGACAAAGGTTCGAGACTTGGCGAAGCCGGTGGCCTGTCAGATTTGCTTGGTGTCATCGCGATTGGATTGGCTCATACCGTCATACGACTAGCTAGCGCTGACATGTAAAGATGAGAAGAGTGATAGTACCAAATTATTACCACGCTTGAGTGGAGAGACAGAAAAGTAACCGATGGGACGCGCTTCCATTATGGAGTGTTGAGTTTGGTGTAGACCATTGGACGTTGTCCCGAATCTCACCAAAGAGTAGCTCGGGCTTCTAGCTTGTTACGTGCTAGCTCGTTTTGTTTCTGTGAATTATATTTGATAAGGAACATTGGGTAGCGTCCCGCCTCGCTCAACAAGGTTCGAGGGAGTCGCTAGCATGTAAATTCTCTGCTTTAGTGTGACTAACTACCTTTGGTGGTTGCGAGTGAGAAGCGGGTAGATCACGTGTGCACGCGATACAGGCGCCTACACGAGAATCCACAGACAGGGTTTAGACTCAAATTATTACTATCACAGCCCGACAACCTCAACCACCACATGAAAAACACGCAATGCCGGAACCTTCGTTTATTATTGTCGACGATGTCGCGACCACGATTGCGATCCGCGATTCAAGTCGCCTCTTGCTCGATCACCTACATAAGGCGCTTGCGCGTAATCAGGCAGCCACACCTGATCCACGCTCTCTCATACAGCCGCAGCAGGCGAGCCGACTACTATCCCTGCCGACGGAGCTCCGATTGATGATCTGCAAATACATGACTCTCTCACCTGCCTCTGCCGATAGCCTTGCGTGGAAGGGTGCGTACTTTGCTTGCCGACAGTTACAGAATGACATGCGCGCCGAGCTCAAGCCAGAGCAAGATCTTGCTAAATACATCGCGAGCAATCATGCATCATGGCAGCCGGATATCACGGTCGGCCTCAGACATCCGCAGCTCAACCTTATCCGCGATATTGCCGTCCACACACCTATACCCGGGCATGGGTATGATATTGAAAGGTTCTGGAGCAAGACAATGTCGTCTCTCTACGCGCTCTATCTCAACCACCTCCAGGTTATCCTCACAGGCTGCCACTTCTACCGACTTCCCTACTACGATCTCAAGTCGTGGCGCTCGCACCTCTTTATCGATTACGTCGGCAAAGGCAAAGTTCATTGCAAGAAAGTTACATTTACGATTGATGAGTTAGCGAATGAGATGAATGGAAGGAAGATGTGTACGCGGATTGCGAACGTCATTCCGGGAACCAAGATCCTTTATCTAATGGAGATTGTGCAGGACGGGGTGGGCCGGCAGACAGAGCGGGTATATTCGAGTGAAGTAAGGTTCAGGCCCCTTCCTCTTCGCAACTAAAATTTGGGAACAGGGCGAGTGATGGTTTTGATCATCGCTCTATAGTTCCCGATTTGCGCCTTTGCATGGGATAGGTGAACTTGGGATGTGATACACAAATAAATTCCCTCATTATTATGGGACAAGGGAGTACTGGCGGAAACTTCCTCAATCACATTTCGCTACTGGTTTCTACCCATTACATATCACACTCAATATCTCCTAACATACTAGCAATGCCTCTGCTCTTCGTCCGCTGTTCTCGCCAGAGTCCTCTCGCACCATTTGGTCTCACAGTTGTAATCGTATCGGTCTTGTTCCCTTGGTGTGATTGCGATTCCCATCCTAGCGAGGGTCCAATCCAAAACTTCCTCGCACATATCCGTCGGTGGTTTCTTTTCCACCGCCAGCAGTACACTCTTCTGTTTATGTTGACGAGCCCAGGGTTGTATGGCAAATTGTATCCACTTCAAATTATCGCGGGGACATATAACCTCGCTACATGAATCCGCGTTTCAGAACTCATTCATGTAATGTGTGGCCGAATAAGAGTCGACGGAAAGAGCTTTGTGGGGTTTCAGCTTTTGAGTATCAATACACTCTTGAATGAGGGTTGTGCACTTCTTGAATGTCATTCGCTCAGACCGGCAATCGCGGCCCCTCTCTTCCTCGTGTTCCCGGTGGAGAATTATCGACGCGTAGGACAACAGCGAGCTGGACGTGAGCTGGGTCCACCGGTCATTGGCTGGAGGCCTCTAATCTCGGAGGTCAGCCTCGATGAATACGCATAACAACCCACCCTCATTGGTCAACGGCGCGCATACCCAGTACCATTCCCTCATCAAGGAGAAAGTGTCTCTCTCAACAAACCCATTTCGCTAGACCTGAGCTAGGTAGTCTTCCGAACGATACAGTCGTGAATCGTATCCCTCAACCGCCTAATATAGCGTAGCGTGCCCCAATAGGGAATCCCTCTGACTCACTTATGGAAATTGATGATGATAGCGGATATATATCACTTTCTGCGGCAATAAGTCAGCAGTAAATGCCACAGCACATTCATCTGACACGAGACCATCCATTTCGTTTCACTCGTTCCAAATGGCATTTTATACCCGAACACAATGTATTAATTGATTATGACTATGTGAGTTCTCTAGTGAAATGACAATGTTGCTAGGGTACGTTGCTAGGGCACGTTGTGACGTCACTGTGTGGTAACATATTGGAGTGCATCGCGCACATATAAGCGCTTCCTTCTACCCTCACACCTCTACCAAATCTCCCCGCATACCATTTTAACATTCCACCACTACGGCCTCAACCATTCTCTCGACAACGTAGAGAAATGTCTGATCAACATTCTCTCCGTACTGAACCGTCGAAGCGCAAAGCTTGGCAAGCTTGGTCTTCCCAGCCCTATTTCAAGCGTGGAAATGCCGCTTCTACGGCCGCTCCCTCACTAACCCTACCGCCAAATTCGCTTCTTGGTCTTCCCTCAGAGTTGCGACTGATGATCTACGCCGAAGTTGCCGGCAACGATGATCCCGTCATCGAGTTCCAGCCTCTTCTGCGCATTTGCAAGCTCATCAAACATGAAGTTTCGAGTGACTTGGTGAGGTGTGCAACGCAATATCTGCAAGAGGTCGAGAGCAACGTCAACAATGGCACCCAAGCGCGATTCAAAATAGCGAAGCCTCGCAAACTGGACGCGATTAGCTCCATCGACCTAATTCTACCTCTTTCAGTCTTCATGAAGGACCCCGCCCCGGCTCTATTCAGGCATAGACATGTGGATTCCACGTACACGGCAGTCTTAGATCAACTAAGCACAATTCGCCGTAGGCATCTCACCATCAAACTGGACGATGACCGGGAAATCACCTCTACTCATACTGCGCACAAGTTTCATACAGACGCAGTTACATGGCTTTGCTTCTACCTTCTACGAAACGGCCTATTTGAGCGATTCCAACCGTTAGAGACAACAATCACGTGGGGCGTATCTCCCTTTACCTCAAAATTAACGAGTGGTATCGGGATGAGTTCAGAGTTCCTGCAAAAGAATGCTATTGCTTCTCCTCATTTTCGGTACGGAGAGCGCTCATTGACTTGGTGTGTCAAAGGCTCAGAGGAAAGTGACACAGAGTAAAGAAACGGGGTTTCTTGTTTCAGCGTGTTTTGAGAATATGACTGAACTGTCTGGAAATTCTAGCTGCAACTTCTCTGACCATTGGACGCCAAAGTAGAGTCAAGGCATAGACTCTGAGGAGTTGAACTGGGTGCTCTTCGCGCTGCCAAACAAATGACTCGCTGTGTGAAGAGTATTTGTAGAGATAGAAATGAATTAAGACTATTGAAATCATTACCAGGAAGGATGACAGCCGTTCACGGATTGCTTGGAAATACAAGTTCCTGGCTTAGACAATGTCCCTTTGCCCATTGGTTGTACTATTAAATCATCGCTCTAGACGGGCGAATCACAATGATTACGTAGTAACGCACACAGAGTTTTAGAACTCGACCATATTTCATATTTTGCAACCTTCCTTTTCTTTGTGCTCCTGTTCTTCTCTCGTCCGTACTGGGAACGTATGCAACATTGTGCATGTCCTTATTTCGAAGGATTTCCCCTTCCACTTTGTCACAGTGAACCAAAAGTGCGATGGAACTGGTATCGAGAGCTATTCATGGGGACTGGCTAAGATTCTACGACTTCTACAACAAAAGGACGTGGGTCAAGAAGGTTCAAATTCAGACGATAGGTTTCCTGGACCTACCCATCGAGCTACGATTGCTGGTATATCGCTACATGTATCCTTCAAATGGCTACCCAATGGACCAATATTACGGCATCCTTTTGTCCTGCTCCGCCATCTACCTCGAAGCTTCCGAGGAAATACTCAGCATTGCAAGGAAAGACTTCGCCCACCTAGAAAGAAAATGGTTACACGAATTTGGCATAGTTATAGACCCGATGATACCAGCAAAGATCGGATTTCTCAGCAACACTAGAGTACTAGTCACACCGCCATTCACCGGCAGAGATTCCAGCTGCACAAGCTTTATTCTGAACGAAAGACATATTCAATCTTTCACCTTCGCGGTATTCGACGGTCAATTACCGCTCAGCTGGCATATCCCCTCTTACATGGGAATCGCCGGCTCACATGGCAACGCTTCACGAATCTACAATTACTTATTGGTGATCTGTTCAAGAATTGTCGACCTCATACTCGATGAGTCTGCGCGCGAATTTTTGAGAGAAAATATAAGAAAGAGTCAGGACATGTGCGGCAAACGAGATATCTCCGTTCAATGGCGCAACCACAGATACAAGTGGGTGCTTGGTCGGGTTGTGGTGGCTTCTTTGCTTTTCAAGTCAAACTTCTCAACCATTCCTCCGCGTTGGGTGGTAGAGGAAACGGTGCTGAACGGGCGGGTTGTCGACATAACACTGACGGCAAGGCAAGGAAGCAACAGACCAGCCTGCTGATGACTCCTGTGCGGGCAACTCTACGATGTGTAGGGGCTCTCTCGCGGAAAGATGGGGACAAGAAGGGACTTGTGTTCCTGGTTGGGATAGCGGAAAGGATCACTTCGTTGACTCGATGTTAAGCAATGTAGACACAGGGAAAGTTGTTAAGATTTTAGCTTTAATTACATTCTAGAATGCCAAGTTTTACGACTGCTGTAGCAATATCCAGCAAACTCATAGTGCCGAAAGAATGAGGTAGCCACTTGCCGATAGTATGGGAAGCCACGCTCTAAACCTCCATTTAGCGATCAGAGAGATGGAGCTGGAGATAAGGGAGCAGTGCGTCGGGTCCAAATCATCTGATCAGGCATCGCGATAGCGGGGCCTACGGTTTCGGGGAGCTCGACGCTCTCATCCGCCTGTAACAATTCGATCTCTATAGTAGGTTTCATCTCCCACTCATCAGACATACCGTAAGCATAAGCCCAGACAGCGATCAGGTCCCGCCTTTCCTTTTCCAAGGTGTACATAGTGGACCAGTTGAACACGACTCGCTTGACGTGAACTGCGTGTACTGTATTCCTGCGACCGGGTACAGAGTGGTCATGCTGTGCCAAGTTACCATAGACGAGAAGCGACCCTAAGTCAACGGTCGGACCATATACATCTGGTTCCCAAATGAGGCTTCGACCGGCCATTTTCTCATCCATATAGAAACAGATAGTAAGGGTGCGGAGTCTGAATGCCAGAAGCGGGGCCAATATGTCCCAGCATCGGTCAAACTCATCGGGAGACGTATCCTCGGCATCGTGGAAGTAGCTGATAGGAAGTTCTATGGTGACCTCTGCATTGTCGTATGCCGAACCCTGCTGGCTAATTCGAAGCGGAGCGATGCCATCAACAGTCCACTTAGCCTGTAATTCCGACAACATGGTGTTGAGTTCAACATGAAAGGCTTTGGGTAGCTCGTGGAATAACTCGAGGTAAAGCTGCTTGCATGTGAGAAATGCACCGGCCCAAGCGCAGGTATCGGTCGTAAAGCCTTCGAGAACCTCGTGGTAGATTATGCAGCGCAGCTCTGCAGGCAAGACTTTGAGAAAGTTGAACTTATCCATATTTGGATGTGATACTAGTGTCAACTTTTCGTTGGTGATTGAGGCGTGATCTGGTGAGGCGTTACTTGTTGATGTTCTAAATCGTGGTTAGAACAGAAGAATTTGAACGGGATATAACTTAATAACCACTGGGGCTCCTGCCAGGCCGGTGCTTAGCACAATGAACAACTTGGACATTCCCAGCTTTGGGCCACAATGTATCAAAGAAACCCTGTAACTACGTCGGTGAACAATGCCTAACATCTCCGAGCCCATCGTACGGAGCGAAGGGCTTGAACAGATAAGAGGGCTGCTCTAAAAGCGGGAGCGGACTTTTCAAAAGTGCATAATAACATGAGTTCCATTGGTGATTTAAAATTGGTGGTAGCTGTGATGGCATGTTCCTTCACCATGTAGTGCCATCTACCTTCAGCAGTTCGACAATGAGCAACGAGTACATCCCTTTTAAGTGTCAGTACTGCCGTGTGGTAGCATCCAATTACAAATATTGGGTTATATTGAGTTAAGAACCATACATGAGAGGACCTGGGCTGGTTGCAATACACATTACTCTTCCTCTTAGCGTATTAATAATAACACGCAAGATCGGCGAACTGGTGTAGCAGTACAACACCCTCGAGTCTAGACATAATCACACAGCCTGTCACGCGTCGAGGGCAAGAGCCAATTAAGTGAAACTAATTCAAAGAGTATGTACATTCAAAGAAATCAAGTTACCAATGGTAGCCGCGACGAGTAGCTTGAAACTCCCGAAACTCCCAAAACCCATCCAGTCATAATAACTTCATACCCATGAGCAGTGCCGCAACACTGCTATCTTATCCACGAACACCGCTGACCTCCTTCAATAATCCCGAAACCTCCTCCACAACATCTTCAATGTCCATCCCAGCATCAACAGGGAACACGTCCGTCTCCATGACCCCCGGCTCCTCGCGAATAGCCAACTGACTGTCCACCATAACCTCTTTCATGTAATGACTGCCCCTCTCCTTCATGCGGCGCACCAACTCTTCCTTCTCGACTTGAAGATCCACGAACACGACTTGGATGTCGTCACGTCCCTCCTCCAGCTGCCTGAATCGGTCGCGATACGCTGATTTGAGCGCGGAACACGAGACGAAGACATTATCGTAATTCTGGTTGATGACGGTGTCAAGTGCGCGCTCCTTGAGGCGATCGAGCCACGGTGCGCGAACTGAGTCATCGAGTGGTGTACCGTTTGCCATGAGCGTCACGGCATCAGAGGTGTGCAGTTCGTCGCCTTCGATAAAGGGTGCCTTGAAGGTCGCACTGAGCTTCTTGGCGATGGTAGATTTACCGCTACCGCAAGGTCCAGCGAGGACGATGACTTGCTTCTTCTGTTGCGCTGGTGTGTCCGAAAGCTTCTGTTGCCATGAACTGGCCTGGAACTGGTCCACGAAAGTCTTGACGAAAGTCGAGTCAAGTACGGGTGCATTATCCAAAGCAGGAGAGAATAATCGTGCGACACTAGTTTCGTATGTCCTTGATGGGGAGAATGTGTCTTTGTCGTACTTGGAAGCGAAGAACTCGGTTAGCTTCTTTGGCGGGTTGGCCTCGGCGGTATCAGTCGACTCGCGCAGCCTTCTCACCCACTCCTTTGGCTCGACTTCATCGAAGTTCAAGCCAGCTTGTCGAAGAGCGGGAAGCAGATCATCCATCCAGGAGAATGTCTTCGCGTTCGTAACATTGGCCACAATGGAGCCGGCGTCACTGAGGGAGATTTCCATCACGGCCTTTGCGATGACATCAACTGGCGTCCAGCTCGGCGACTCGACCAACTTCGGTAGCGCACCGATGGTGACTGCAGATTGCATAATGAGCGGAATGGCTTCGGTAGCATTCCACACGCCGTGAACAGTGTCCGCAACAATCTGGCCTACACGCAGTACCCTGGCTTTGACACCAGTCTTCTTGGCAGCTGCCATGCAGACGTTCTCAGCAACACACTTGCTCTGAGCATAGCCCATGCCTTGCGCCCAGTCTAGCTCTGCCAGTGCCTCGGGTGTGTGCATGTCAGGGCACCTCGCGACGGTACTAACGGAGGAGCAGAAGTCGAAAGATGCAGGTTCAGCCGATGGTACCGCTAGGCAAAGATCTATCAGGTGACGTACGCCAGCGATGCAGTCCCTTTCGAAAGACGAAAGTTTCAGGTTGAAATTGACGCTCCATGCGCAATGGATAACAGTCGCTAGGTTCTTTGCGACAACCGCATGTGTCTGACTGTTGAGTCCGAGGTATGGATCCGAAAGATTAGCAGCAAGAGCATGGATCTTTCGGCGTCCTGCGAGCGACAAGGAGTGGTAGATCTTGCGTGTCAAGAGAGATTGGCGGACACGTCGAGTAGCGTCCTTGTTGTCCTTGGCCCTTACGAGGCAGTAAACTGTCTCAACATCCGGTCGCGCTACCAGCTGTGCAAGTACATGTGCACCAAGTGATCCAGTTGCGCCTGTGAGAGCAACATCCTGTCGTCTGGCGGGCTTGAAGTCACTGTACTTCTCGATGAGGTCCTGCATCTGTGTAGCGACAGACGTCTGCTCCTCCTCTTGCCCCGTGCGAAGAGCCAAAAGATGTGCGCTCAGTGAGGCGATGGATGGATACTCAAAGACGACGTTTTGACCGAGCTTGTTACCGCCAATATCCACAGTCTTCAAGATCTCCGTGCGGATCAGAATGGATTGAAGAGAGTCGAGACCAAGAGAAAAAAGGTCCGCTGTCTTATCAATGTCGCTGGCTTCCGGTAAAGACTTTGTTAAAGTCTTGCGCACGAATACTTCCAGATCATCAAGAGACATTGCTTGAAGATCGCCACTTGCGGTTGCAGCTCGATCATAAGCTCCCTCGATCTCGGTAGTAAATTGTTTGTAGAATGCCTGACGGATGACACTGCCTTTGTCGGTTCGTGGAAACTGGCAATCATGCGGAAGGATATGGATCATATCGCGCAATATCCTTGCATACGCCTCAGCGACTTTGTTTGCCTCATCGATTACCGGCCATATTTGGTCAATGATCTCATCTTCTGAAAGATCTCGAACAGCCGGGCTTGGAACAACCAGAATACCGAGGTAGGGTCGGCCCGCTCCAAAGACTACGGTCTCGGTGACCGCCTTGTGCGACCGAATTTTGCCCTCCATCATGACGGGATTGAATTTCTCGCCATTGACCAGGGCAATTGTGTCGTCCAGTCGTGCGATATACTTCCAGGCCTTTTCGATTGTCGGGTGGGGCTCGAACAAATCCTTTGTTGCATAGCTGCCATCAGGTTGATTGGATGCGACCTTGGCTGGCCATCCGTCCAAGATGATGCACTCGTAAAGGTTGGGTCCGCGTGAGACCCATCGAAGGAAGGGTGAGAGTTTTGGCGATTCTCGGACATAGTTCCAGGCCTTATCACCTGCAGGTCGGAATGAAGTCATGAGTTGACCTACTTCGGTACTGTCGCGATATTAGCCAAAGTCTAATGGGAAGGGAAAGTGTACTCACGCTCCGTAGTGACCAACGAGGTTCACACCATTCTCTACGAGCAAGTCACCCAGAGTATCGGGACATGCGCTACCACCATACATGACAATCTTCAGCTGCCTTAGCAATTCGATGCCTTCCTCGGTCTCTGCGAGCAATTTCAATGCATAAGGGACGCCATAGAAGATTTCGAAGTTGTGCTTCCTCAAGATCGTGGCGAGATATGGTTGTGTGAGCGGTAGGTCCGCGTTGTAGATGTGAATGGACTTGCCGCTGTAGATGGCGCGGAAGAAGTTACAGATACCATGATTGTGATACAGCGGGAGGGTAATGAAGGCTTTCATATCCATGCTGATGGCGTAGTTGGCGATGGTGCTCTTCTGCGGCTGATAAATCGGCTTCGGTAGACCCGTCGAACCTGGATAAGTTAGCTAGAGGACAATTTATTTTTAGAAGAGAAGACGTACCACTGGAGTGAATAATGTAGATGTTGTTAGTTGCTTCGATTGCAGGATCGAGTTGGTAGTCCATACGGGTATCCGCATGAACCTCGATTGGGAAGTCATAGCTGCTGCTCCCCGTAATCTCATTGACCTGCAGTGTTGGCAAGTTCGAGCGAACGTCGTTTGCGAATTGAAGGAGCTTCGGATCTGCTAACAAATATGTGGCCCCAGTCGTTTCCACTAGTGACTCAACAGCCAACTGAGAAATCCTTGTTGATAAGAACAGTACAGTGTGGCCAAGTTTTGTCAGAGCAAGCAGCGTGACCAAGTAGTCGAAGTTACTCGGGCCGAGGAGTGCAACTGTCGTAGGCTTCGTTTCCGAGCTGGCTCTCGTAGGAATGAAGGCTTGATAGTGACGTGCGACGCGGTATGCGAACACATCGAGCTGTTGCATCGAGTAGTCGACGAACTCGACGCCTGAGCTAGGATATGATACGATTGTGGCATGAGGATAACTGCGTGCGCGGTGCCGTACCAGCGCGTCGACTGTCTGTATTGAGGAATCATCCGGTCGGTGTGTGTCTTGCGCTACACTTTGGATAGTAGGCTGTGGTATTGGCTGGGAGAGAGGACCGGGTATGGCGATCTGTGCGGGCGCCATGCTTTCGGTGGGGACTCGTGAGGAGTAGAACAAAATGACTTGGGGAAGTGAGATGATTGCAACGAGAGCGAAGATGCTGCAATTGAGTGCTGGATGAACACCCCGCGACGCATGTTCCTTTAGTATTGAATCTATCGTGGAAAAGATCAGATGTCCGGAGTAACCTAGCCGTGAGGAGGTTCCGCGAAGGCGATGGCGGTAGGATCTCCGGTGCTCTGCATATCCGCTTCCGGCCAAGGAAAGCCGGATATTCCGCTGATTTGCGAGGCACTATTATCCGGCCAAACTAGGGCACGTACTTTTCCGAACTGAGCTGATCTCCGCGTTTTCTACCCCGTGGGGTCAACCAAGGCACCTATCTCAGACGCTGGACACGTTCTCCACAATCCCCCAAGGCGGGGCTGATCTCGTGGCTGGCATTGGCATGTGGTTCTCCGCAAGCCACGTTCATCGACCCCGTAGTACCACGCGCTCATCCTACGTATAAAGCAGTCATCGCAGTGACGGTGACAAGGACATCGCAAACACTGCCTGCACAACTTGCTTGTGCCGCACTCTCATCTGCTTCATCATCCAATTCCTCGTGGATTCTCACCATGACTTCGTCAATGGACAAGAACGAGATCACTTACGTCGACGAGAAGCCGGGCTCGACCCACGCTGAGAAGCCGCACCAGATCGTTCAGATTGATAACATCCAAGTGTTGGGTATTTCTCCTGAAGATGCCGACTTTTACATGAACTTCTCACCTGAGAAGAGGAAAAAGGTTATTCACAAGGTAAGAATGCAACCATCCAATGCAGCGTTCCCACCTTGCTAACGCCGGGCTAGGTCGACAAGCGCCTCGTGCCGATGCTGGCAATTCTCTACCTCATCTCGCACATCGACCGAGCAAACATCGGAGTAAGTTCAGTCCACATCCCTCCGACGCGCCTAGCTAACGCTACTCAGAACGCCAAAATCGAAGGCATGGTCGAAGATCTTGGCCTTACTGGTGTGCAATGGAACATTGTCTTGTCTGTGTTTTTTGTGCCCTACATCTTGTTGGAGATTCCGTCCAACATACTGCTGAAGAAGTTCAAGCGGCCATCGTATTATCTCGGTATACTTATCTTCTGCTGGGGTATCATCATGACCATGATGGGCGTGGTCAAGGGCTTTACTGGGCTGTTGATCACACGCATCCTTCTTGGAGTGTTTGAGTAAGTTCATGCAAGCTGTGCAATTAAACCATTGCTGATCAATCCCCCAGGGCCGGCTTCTTCCCTGGTGCCGTATACTTATGCACATACTGGTACATGCCACGCGACCTTGCGACGAGGATCTCATACTTTTACTGCGCATCAGCTCTTTCCGGTGCCTTCTCCGGAATCCTCGCAGCGGGTATCGCCAAGATGGACGGCGTCGGAGGCTACGAGGGTTGGCGCTGGATCTTCCTCCTCGAAGGCATCTTCACCGTCATGCTGGGCATCTCATGCTTCTTTCTGCTGATCGATTCCCCAGCCTTGAGCGGGAGATGGCTCAAACCTGATGAGATCCGCTTCCTCGAGTTGCAGAGGTTCATCAAGGATGGTGGCAAATTCCAGGAAGAGAAGGGCGAGTCCTTCAAGTGGCACGACCTGAAGATGGTGCTATGCAATTGGCGACTGTACATGCAGGCGTATATTCTGCTTTGCATCTCAGCATGCTCATATGGTACGTATCGCAGAGCGACTCCAACTACCCTAGCTAACTCGAGAGCAGGAACCAAATTCACGCTTCCAACAATCACCAAGGGAATGGGCTTCACCAACACCAACGCACAACTGATGACGGTTCCTCCATATGTTGCAGGAGCCATCAGCGCAATTGTCTTCGCCAGGCTCTCTGATCGGTTCTACTGGCGCCTTCCATTCATCGCAATCCCGCTATCATTCATCTTCATCGGATACTCGATTGTCATCTCGCTCAAAGGCAACCTCGGCGGCAATCTCGGCCCAGCTTTCTTCGCCATCATTTTGACGTGCATGGGTATCTATCCCATCCAGCCGGCCGGAAGCTCCTGGGCATCCAACAACCTCGCCCCTACCTCTCGCCGCGCCATTGGTGTTGCTTTCAACATTTGCGTCGGCAACATTGGAGGAGTCATCGGCTCCTACATGTATTTGGAGGCCGAGAAGCCCAAATACTATACAGGTTTCGGGCTGTCATTGGCTTTCGGTGCGAGCGGTTTCATCGTCGCTTTCCTGTTGGAGCTGTCATACAAGTGGGGCAACACAAAGAAGGCCAAAATGAGCGAGGATGAGGTGAGGGCGAAGTACACTGACGAGGAGTTGTTGAACATGGGTGATAAGTCGCCGCTGTTCCGCTACACGCTCTAAGGGTGAGATGCGTAGTTATTGGCTATCAAAGGAAAAGCCGATCTTCGAAATGAGCGTGTAAAGCAAGAGGAGGAACATTGAGACTGAGGAGTAGTTGAATAATGATTTCATGTCAATAGTAGTACTGTAAGCCATCAAGTTATACTGTTTATCCACGTCAAAGATGCGTTATCAAATTCTGGCAACGGTCCAAATGCCGAAGAATCAAGGTGAAGCCAGTCAGTCGTCTGCCAGTCATCCAAGAAATTCTGCAATCCAGGTATTGCGGTGTCAATCGGACTGCCAAAAAGTGGTTGCCACATATGTGTTGCAGTACCCTGATCTGGAATCGCCTGGTCTTGGATAGCGTCTGCACGAGCTTCAACTTGATCGCCATCTAGCACCATCGTGATCGGAAGATGCGTCGGCTGTGAATGATCCAGTATAGGTCTTGCAGTCTTCCTCTTAGCTTCAGTTCTTAGCTCCTGTAAGATGATACTGTATTTGCGTGACGGTGAGTTCAACGCTGTGGCTTGCGCAAGGTGTTGCAGGCAACGTTCGGCCTGGTCCAGAATGCTTCGGCGTTCATCTAGGGTCGTGCTATTGCTGCTCTCCTGGATGGCCCACACGTACACGACGACCAACGCGCAAAAGCAGACATAATGAGTCCACCAAAAGGCGTGAAATAAACGACCTTCTCCTGCCATGCGATCAACAACTTCCAACACCGCTTGAGAAGCTGAGATACACTCGGCAAGGCCTTCCTTGGCCAGACTGCGCATTTCGTCGCTGTTAGGCGTTGCATTCTTTAGCAGAAATGGCCGATGAGCCAGCATAACGGCATGACAATATGAAAGCTTCAAAGCAGTCGCTTGCCGTCGGAAGCTGGGAATTAGGCTACTAGGATTGATGGCCCCGAGGAACAGTGGCAGCGACGCCCTCCAGGCACGAAGCTCAAGCCCAAGTCGGTGAGCGGCCTCAAGCCGCGCGATGTCGGGCACTGGCTTGATTGAATATACCTCACGTGAAATTCTCTCGGCAATCTGAGCAAGCTTCGCGTGAAACACTAGCGAGTCGATATGGCAGTCGTCGGTGCCACTTACAAGTGGACCGGAGCTTGTCATGTCCTCGTCATTGACTGAGTCTGGGAAGTCTTGATCAATATCATCATCGTGGTAATGTCGCGGTCTTCCAATCATCACGCCAAGGTACTTGTCGAGTGTATAAGCAACCCAAAAAGTTCGTCTTCTACATTGTTCCTCGATGTAGTCACGTTTGTGCGATGTGGGCGACCGCTTGCGATGGTCTCTTCGATGAAGACCAAGAGCTGAGATGATTTGTAGTGTGTGGCCAAAGGTATACCATGCTTGATTGAAGCGGCACGACATTAATAGATACAGCACTTGGATGAGACGTGACTGTGCCGACTCCAGTCGCGGATTGCCGGTCTCTCCTTCGGCCAGGCGGAAAGATTCGCAGAACAGCTCATCACTCTGTAATTGCAATGAGTCCTCATTGACTGGTGAGAAGGCACTGCTGCCTTTGGCTTTCTCTTCGTGAAAGGATGCGATGGCAAGTACGGACAGGACGGTAGCAGCCTTTGCGCGGCCAAGCCCAAAGAACAATGATCGGTTGAGACGAGCATTCTCTGAGACGGTTTCAAGCCATGACTCCACGGTAGGTCTGTGTAGAAGTCTGTACGTGGCAATGCAAACGTCAAAGTAGAGCGCCAGCAGTTCGCGACCCCTGTCCAGAGAAGGCACATATACCTGGTCCTTCCCCAAGAATGGCTTGTCGCCAGCGCATGTAAGAAGCTGGTTTTCCTCGATAGAACCTAGTTGGCCACCCATGACCTGACTGGTCGCATTGTTGGAGATGCGCCGCCATGCACGATGTAAAAAGGAAAGGCCTGAAGTTGGGTCTGCGTACTGGCCAGCTACTTCCAGTCCTGGAGACGCGCGTGAGGAAACATCGTGGTTAGCCTCAGTCTCTCTAGCACGCGGAGCCAGTGAAGGAAGTGGATCCATCCTGGATATGATGGGTTCTGGAATGCTAGCTGCGCTGCCTGAAATGGGCGGTGGGTTGACTGGAGCAACCGATGCACGGTGCGGAGCAGTGCCCGCCGTGCGACGAGGCGTGGGCGCCTTTCCTCGCGAATAAACAGCCTCGTACTGGCAGAGCAGCCCCCGGCGATTGCAGCTCTCGCATGGCTGCTCACCCGAGCATTTGGACTTCCTCGCCTTGCAGGTGTCGCAAGCCCGCGTTACTTTGGTCTTCTGCCAAACGGGCGCGCCTTGCAGATTTCGCTTCTGCGGGACGGAACTGCCGCTGTGTGGCGAATGGAGGCTCGGTGAGATGGTGGATGGCGAATCTAGCGGAGATTCATGCTGCTGCTGCGCAATGTGTTCCGACATGACGGATGTGGGAACTCCTGGAGATGGTAGGAAACATGGAGATGGAGAGTCGGGAGAGATGAGACGAATGGCCATGGTTTCCGGCAGAAGCGGGGTAGCCATTTGCGGGGCGCTCCTACCCTGCCGATGTTTCCGACCCGGGCCTCAACCTTTCCGCCTTTTCCTCCACGAAGCTCAGTAGCTAGTAGCAGCAGCTAGTATAGCGAATAATTCAATCGTCATGGTCATCATAATGCCCTCATTTCCCTATTTCAAGACACTTCTGCTTGCTTTTACCCCTCAGCCGTATCTTCACCCGCCTTGAATACAATTATCACACTCTATCAACTCAATTCAACGTAGACAACGCAAACATGCCTCTACCCTCCCATTTTACCCTCAACACGGGTGCGAAGATTCCTGCAGTTGGCTTCGGTACCTGGCAAGCAAAGCCCGGTGAAGTCGCGCGTGCCGTCGAGACTGCTCTGAAAGAAGGCTACCGCCATATCGACTGCGCTGCCATCTATCGCAACGAGGTCGAAGTAGGTGATGGCATTCGCAATAGCGGCGTGCCTCGCTCAGAAATCTTCCTCACTGGCAAACTGTGGAACACAAAGCATGCCCCCAAAGACGTCGAGGGCGCGCTCGACAGGTCGCTGCAGTGCCTGGGCGTGGAATATCTCGATCTGTTCCTGATGCATTGGCCTGTGTAGGTCAATTCCTTTTCAGCCCAAACTAAGCCTACCTGCTAATGCTCCCTCAGCGCGTTCAACGGCGAACCCGGCAAGTGGTTTCCCCTGCACGAGAACGGTGTGTTCGACCTTGTCGACATTGACCCCGTGGATACATACAAAGCCATGGAGAAGTTGCTCTCCACCGGCAAAGTCAAGGCAATTGGTGTCTCCAACTTCACCATCAACCGCCTCACCGACCTACTCTCCAAGACGACCGTGGTTCCCGCAACCAACCAAGTCGAGGCGCATCCCTACCTACAGCAGCCCGCCCTTTTCGACTTCTGCAAGAGCAAAGGAATCCTCATCGAAGCGTATTCGCCGCTCGGCAACAACCAGACGGGCGAGCCGCGCACAGTCGATGATGAGCTTGTAGGCGTGTTGGGGAAAAAGCTGGGCGTGGATGGTGGGCAGTTGCTGGCGAGCTGGGGCATTCAGCGCGGAACGGTCGTGCTGCCAAAGAGCGTGACGCCCAGTAGGATAAAGAGCAATCTACAGGTCAAGGAGCTGCCAAAGGATGCGTTCGAAGAGCTCAGTGGTTTGGAGAGGCATAAGCGTTTCAACACGTCGTCGCGGTGGGGCTTTGACATCTTTGAAGAGCTTGGAGAGGAGAAGGTCAGGAAGATCGCCGAGGACGCCGCTGAGGAAAACAAGGAAAAGTTCACTGTATAAAAGTCAGATTATTAATCATAGATCAGTTCATAGACTTGTCAATGCATCATATTAGTAAGATGTACAGCCTGCGACTGATTCTCAAAGTTCTCAAAGTATCCTCAACGTACGCGTTCAATTTCTTCCGCCCAAGGTAGTCTACAGCTCTCAACTATAGTTTCTTAACCCGCCTATTTTAATAAGAATAATACTTTAATTAACTAATTTTTACTCCCGCATTTAACTAAATATTAAACTTTTACTATTATTTTAATGCTTATAGCTTGTACAGCTTATTTAACCGTTTGTTTATTATTTTTTAAAATTATTTAAAAAAAGCTAGGTAGTCTAGATTAGTAGTAGTAAAAGTAAAAATAAATATTTTTTATATAAAAAATTAGAATTGCTAAATTTTAGTATTTTTAATATTTTTAACTATTAGAGTATTTTTTAGTATATAAGCTATTAATAAATAATTATAAAAAAATAAAAACTTTTTATTAAGTATTAGTTTCTAGTAAAAAAAAGCACTTTGTATAAAAATTACTATTTTTTTTATTTTTTTAAATTACAGAATTTTGCTTTTATAAATACTATTAACGTACTTCTATAATAAGTAGTTAGTTAGGACAAGTAGTTAGTTTCTGCCAAGCTCCTACTAAAACCTACTATTATTTATAGTATATTAAAATAAATTAATATAATAATATGTTACTAGCTTAAAAAAAATATTAAATATAAAATATAATTTAGGCTATTAAATAAAATGCAAATTTTTTAATTTATTATATTGCAAAATACTATAATATATCTAAATTAATACTTAAAAAATAATTTATTAAAACTACCTTTTAATGTAACTGTACGCCTAATTTAATAAAACTTACTATAATAAAAAAAAAAAATTATTAATTATATATTTAATTTTATTATAAGAAGATACCCGCCTAAGCTTACTAAAATTAAAAATATAGCTAATTTTTTGCTTATTAAATATTATTAAAATTTAATTAATTTAAAGTAAACTAACGCGTTTATTAAATACTAGCCTAAGCTTAAAATAAAATTTAATTAAAAATATAATTATTTCTATAATTAAAAGTAAAGTTAACGCTAGAGCAGATTATACTACACAGTAAAAAAAATTAGTATAAAAATTATAGTTTAAGTGCTATACTTAGCACTTTAACACAGTATTAAGGCAGTAAAATTTATATAATACTAAGTTAGTAAAATAAATTATTAAAAAATTTTTAATAATTGCTATTAGCAGCCTTAATATATTATTATTTAAAAATTGTAGTAATAAAACTATAAATCTTTTAATAGTAACTAAGTTATTTAGGCATTACTAGGCAGCTTTAAATTTTAACTATAAACTATTATTAAAGCATAAATAAATTTTTAGACTAAAATTTAGGCAAGCTTTAGTTTAGTAATAAGCTTTTTAATAGCTAATACTCTTTTATAATTAGTAATAGGCGCGATAAATATAGTTTCTATAAAATATATAGAATAAAGCTTGCAGTTAAAGCTTATAATTATATATTATTACTTATTATATAGTTGTATTATTGCGCGTTTTATAGTTATATATAAGTAAAAAGTTAAAAGTTTAAATAGTAAAAGTCTAAATATATAGGCAGTAAAGCACATATTTGCGCGCTTATTTTATAAATTAAAATTTATTTTTATTCTAACTTTTTTTTAAATCTTTTATTTTTTACTTTTATTTTTATATTAAATATAAATAATATAATGCTAATAAACAAACTTGTGTATATAAGCCTGTAAATTACTATTATAGCTAGCAATACTAGCTATAAGCTATTAATAATTGCCTAGTACAAATTACTACTTTTTAACTATTTTAAGCTAGTAAATAGTAACTGCTAGTACTATAAAAAAGTATATAAATACTTTAAAATTAATTTTTTTTTATAGTAAGCTTTTTTTACTCTGCCTAGTTAATTTTAATTTTCTAGCATTTTTTTATAATAAGCTAGTTATAATTAAGCAGTAGTAATACGCAACTCTTTCTATAATTAGCTATTATATAATAATATAAAATTTTAACTTTAGCTGTAATTAAGCTGCTTTTATTAAAAACTAAAAAAATAAGCTTTTATAGTTTATAAAAAATATTAAAAATAATGCAAAGCTTGCGGCATATTAAAAATTATTTTTTAAAAACTATAGTTACTAGCAGTATAATAACTAAAAAATGCAGCTTTTTAAAATAATTAACTTAGTATATAAATAAATATAACCCGCAAAAACGGGACCTAATATATTATTAATAGCTTATATTATTAGTAATTTTACTATAATATATTATACAGGCGAGTTAGTTGCCTAATTAAGTTAGTTATAATGCTAAAACTTTACTAAAATTAGTACTATACACGACAGTACAGCACTGTAAAAAACTATAGTAGTAAATTATAATAAATTAATTTATTTAAAAACTATTTTTACTTTTTGCTTGTATATTTGCATATTATATTTAGTTTTACTATAATATTTATAGCGCTTTTAAAAAAATTTACCTGCTTTAGTATATGCTTGCTTTTTTGCTTTTTTTTTATTACTATACATTTTAAATTCTTTTAGAATTATTAGTTAAAAATTATTTTTTATTATAAAAGTTTTTTTTTTTTATATTTACTTTTTTTTATGCAATTTTTATTATATAACAGCTTTATTAACTATTTAAAATTTAGTAATTTTTTTTTGTATTAATACAAGCTTGTGCACAATTATAACTGCATTTTTTTAAATTTTTTTAAAAGCTTTAACTATTAAAGTAAAAGAACTATTTAAGTACTTTTAAATTTTTATTTTAATTAGTATTAATTAAAACTTAAATTTTAAAGTATTGCTTAGTATTTTTAACTTTTAGGAACTATTTTTAATAGTAAATAATAATAGAGTATATAACTAAATATTAAGCTTTAATATTAGAATTTTAAAGTTAAAAAAAACTAGACTAGTACTTTTAAAGCTACTTAAAATATTACTTTTTATAATAATAGTATTAAAAGCTAGTTTAAAGCACAATAAAAATTTAATTTTAATAATATAATTAATACTATTGTATATTAGCTTTTTAGCTTAGCATTTATATGCTTTTTTTAAAAGCGCAAAATAATTTATATTAAGTAGCTATAGTAAGTATAATAAATGCAAAAGCATATAAAAAGTAATAATTTTTTATTTTTTATAATACTGCTAGAATTAGACTAATGCGTAGCTTTTATAACTGTTAATAATAAATAAATAATAAGTACTAATAATTTTCTTTTTAGTATACTTATTAAAGTACTTTAATTACTTAAAAGTAAGCTTATTTATTATTTAGCTATTTTTAAAAACTGCAATAATTCAATTATAAAATAGGCTATTTTTTTTATACTAGGCTAAAAAGTAGTTTTTGCCCGCAAAAATAATAAAAAGTAAAATAATTTATTTTATTATATTAATATTTTAAATTACTATTACTTACTTTTAATTATTTTGCTGCACTATTTTTAGCTATTTTTAATAGTTAGTACTTAAAATAATAGTTTTATATAATATTTAGCCTATTATAAAGCCTGTTTTATTAAAATTGTATATATTTTTATTTTAAATACTATACTTAGCTTTTATATTTTTTATAAGTTAAAACTAGCTTTATACAAGCTTAGGATTTTTATATAAAATTTTTTAGTAGTTATATTTTTAAAAAATCTTAGTACTAAACTGTAAATATTATTTAATAAATATACTAGTTTAATTTTTACTAATAAATAGTTGCTTATATTTAGCTAGTAAAGTATTAGCTATATTATTTATAGCAGCTAGTTAGGGCAGAAATTTTTAATTTTTAAAGTAAAATATATGCTAGGCAATTACTTTTTTTTTTATTAAAAAAAACTTTATTTTATTAGGCCTAGTATTGTATTATAAAAGCTTTTTTTTTAATTAATTATTAAATATTATTTAAGAAACGCTATAGATTTGCGCAGCTTTTTATTAAAAAAAATTTGCATTGCATTTTAAAGCTTAAACTATAAACTATATTTAATTTTTTTTTTAAAAAAATTGTATATTATTGTGTTAAAGCATTGCGTTTAATAATAAAAAACTACTAATTTTAGTAGAGTTTTAGCATTGTAATTAACTTAACTAGGCAACTAACTTGCCTGTGTAATATATTATATTATATACTTTTATTTTTAGAATTGCTAAGTAATAAACTTCTAATTTTTAATAATATAACTTTAACTGCTAAAGCGCAGTCTTTTTTAATAGTTTCTAAGTATATATCTAAATATTTGGCGTAATATTAGCCTGCCGCTAAGTAATTAACTAATACTAGGCTTTTAGGCAATAATAGCAATAGCAATGTAAATAATAATAATAACTTTTCCTGCAATATTAGCTTTAATACTTAATTACTTTTTTGCTTTTCTTTTTTTCTAGCACTATTTTTTTTTTCTATTATATATTTAGCTTAATTGCTTGCTTCCTCCTTTAGGGTTTTTATTATATAAGCTACTTAAGTATTTGTATAATTTCTACAGCTGCAAGAAGTTATTGCTTTTAATTATTAAATTGCTAGTAACTGCAGCAGTATAAAAATGCTTATTAGTATAATTTTTAAATAAGCTTTTTGTACTAAAAAGCTAAATAAAAAGCTTTAAATTTAGCTTACTAGTTAGTAATAAAGGCTTTCTAAAAAGCAGTTAAACTATAGTAAAAGGTTTATATTTAGCAGCTAATAATAAATATAGCTAATATATCTAATTTTTTTTAATAGAGCTTTTTTAGGCTAATAAAACTTTTAAAAAAAATATAATTAAGTATAAAGTGCTTTAGTATACAAAAAAGCTTAATATTTAATTTTTAAAAAATTTGTTTAAGCTTGCTAGAGCACTTAAATGCTTACTAATACTAGTTTAAAGTGCCAGCTTTGTATAGCAAAGAATTAGCCTAAAATTTAATTTTTTTTATAAATACTAAAAATATAATAAAGCATAAAGCAGCATTAAGAAAATTATTAATAAGTATTATATAAATAGTAT